TACATGATCTCGGCTAGCCGGGATTCAGTGAGGCGTGAAAGGATTTTGAGCTGGTATTATTGAATTGATTGCCCAAATGATCAAAGTCATCGATGATAAACTAATATTTTTGTCGTTTTAATAGCAAAGATTGGTTCCACTTTCTTTCAAATCAGCAAACATCGACAATTTTTTGACAATCACTATTTCAAAATCTCTCTGATGTAAACAGTTACTGCTTCTGACTACCTTCAAAGAATTCTTTATGCAGAACATCACTTGTAGATAACATAAGTTGATGTTCACATTGACTAAACATATCTTTGACGTTGTCTTTTTCAGACATTTTAGATTCGCTCTTTCCGACAATTATGGATACTATTTTTTGTATTATAAACACTTTCATTTTTAAAACATAATAAACGTAAGAAGAAAAAGAATGATAGCATAATGCTTTGACCAACAACTACAAACAATAACGACCTTATCTAACAACATTTGAGAAATTAACCTTCCACTCCTCTTCCTTGTAAACGAAACAAGTCTATTCAAAAGCAGAGAGCCTTATACGCTACAAGTCCCGGGCTTGTGACCGGCATAGCAGAGTTAAAAGGTGAAAGTTATCATAGACTAAGGCTCATATCATAGATTTGAACCTTATATCATAGGTATATCATAGATTTGTAATGCTTAAGACTCTCTGCTTTTGAATAGACTTTTCTCGTTTACAAGGAAGAGGAGTGAAAGGTTAATTTCTCAAATGTTGTTAGATAAGGTCGTTATTGTTTGTAGTTGTTGGTTAAAGCATTATGATATCATTCTTTTGTTTAAAAACATTCCGACTGTTTAACCTTGTGATTAAACGTAAGAAGATTGTAAAAATAAGTTAAACGATGTTCGTTGGCAATTGGCATTTATTACATTATGTGTTGTATAAAAACATAAAATTGAGTTCCTTAAGTGCGCAAGATGAATACAATGTGGAATGACAACTATTCTGATTTGCGTAATCGGTAGTTGACTACCAAAACGTCTATACTGTTTCATCTTCGTCGCAACTGAACGCTGAATTTTTTATTAGCTCATTGCATCTTGAGATTTTGGAAGGACGAATACCATTACTTCGTGTAAGATGAAATATAAGGTCGGAAAACGTTTTGGGATTGGGGAGCGTATTACTTACGTCATTGAAGTTAATCATTGCGCTTCTAGGTCGCAAATTATACACACGTGATTTATTTTGAATATTTGAGTCGTTGTTACTGGAAATCTACAAAAAAGAAAGCAAAATGTTTTTAGTTTCAGTGGCGTGTTGGGAACATGTGGGGTTGTCATTAATGAAAATGTGCCCTAACTATCAAAATTAGAAGACGAGGACAGAAGGCCGAGCCGAGCGCTTTATACAAGGGCCTTGGTAATTCTGACGAGTGACTTGTAGTAATTTGTAGTAATCTGCTCCATATCCGAAGACATTAAAATAGTGATCAGAATAATATGCGCCTATTGATAAATGCATATCTTCTCACAACTCATTAACGGAAATAGAAATCACTGCATTGTTTTAAATGCATTTTCCTAACCAATTTCAAAAATCGGCACCAATATTGATTTCTGTACCCCCCCGAAAATTTACAGCTGGTGGGCATGCTTACCGCCCCCACTACCAGTTTAAGACAAAAATTCAATAACATGTGGCTATCTGTGTGGATCACGAACGCCTACATGCAATGATATTATGTGATTACAAATGACAAAAAAATATGAGAATGCAATCATTTCAAACAAAATGATCAAAGATCGCATCGAACATAAATGTGGGATCTTCAGAATCAGATGCACTATCTTCACTGTCTGAGGTGTAGTCGTCAGTGTATGTTTCTTCTTCAGACATGTAAGATTCGTTTGGTGATTGTAATGAAAAATCTGGATAATCTATAGCAGAATATTTCACCACGCTGCTAAAAGAATAAAGCATTGAAATTAAAGACAGTGTTCATTTTTTTAAAATAGATATTACTGACTTTTGTGTGGTATGGATTTTCTCAGTGTAAACTACCTTTTGGTTACACCGAATTTATCAATGCCATTCGTTAGACTTTTTCCAATTTCCATTCCTTTGTTCTTCATTTTATTCAATTCGGTTTGAATATCTCTCAGCATAATGTAATTTACTTGTGCATAATCACAGTAATTAGTTGCAAAATAAACCAAAATAAGAAAGCATTCGAAAACGAATATCTTCCTTAATATCCAAAGATAACCATGAATGGTTTCCTAAATATAATAATATTTCCGGTGAAATTCAAGAATAAAAAAGGTGCCCGTGCAATTGAACTCAATCACGTGTTTTCTGTAGTCTCATTTAAAATTCATGTACCATACGTTGAGCCAGGCTTAATCAAAGGTCTTTATTACTTTATAGCATATTACAAAACGTTAACGTCAGTTGCAATCACGACTACGAGTCCGTATATTTCAAATGTGCCCTCCCCACTTAAAACATTTTGGTTACAACCTTCGTTTAGTGATAGAAGTTGACATAACAATTTTAAAACAATGAAAATTGTAAAGGTGCCGCTTGTAATGTAAGACTGTAACACAATACATCATCAATACTCACTGACTCACTGATACTGAGACTTTTATATACAAGACACGGTCTGTAATACAAAATGATTTGTAAAGACTTTATGAAGTTATATGTTCCGTTAAAGTCTCCAAGAACATGCTGTTCTGAGTCTGACTATGTTTCGTGGGACATAACCTGCTATGTATACTTCACAAGATTATCATTATCCATTTCATTACATTATTAGTCATTATTCATTTCTTTTTTTCAGAAATCTGTTGTGTTCACAGTAAGCGATATAGAAAAATTAAGGCATAGCAGGACTAAATAAGTGGGTTGGCTACGCTAGTGGTATCGTCAATATTTTTCTATGCAACTTACCGCGGTAGTACCAGACTCCTGTGATTCTTTATCTGTTAAATTCCAACGAATAATCAATCTTTCGAAAACTATATGCATCGAAAGGGCTCCAAAGAGCCGCAATCTCGCAGCAGATGTTCGTGGGGCACTTGTGATGATGTAGCAAGCTAAAATTGACAACAAATAGAAACCTAGAGAATGCAAAGTCATGAACTCCCCTAGAAGCATCGACTGTAGCTTGGTTATCCTATCAACACCTTAAAAAAGGCTGTCAAAAGTTTCCATTAATAAAGCAAAAATTTAAATAGTAAATGATGAAAGTAAGAGACCTAAACCATGTTTTGATAGCGACCAACTTAACTTCTATAAAACATCATTGCAAAAAATTCACCCAAGTGAAATCTTCGTTTTACAATTTCTAGTCTTACCAACTTTGTACTTTTGGCGATTCAATAAGTTCGTCATTATTTATTTTTGACTTTTTTGGCTGTCAAAAAATCCATCTGTGACATGCTAGAAAGTTCAGAGTTAACAGATGCCACCCCTTTAAGCAGCAATGCATTTTCTCTCTCAGCATTACTGCGTTTTCTTTTGCTTGATCTCTTTGGTGTGAAGGTTGAATTACAACTGGAATTATAAGCAGAGACACTGGATGTTTCTTCCTGGTCCTCCATATTATCCGATTCAGCAATATATGGTGAACTTGTTTGATCACTTGGATGGCTGCATGGTGATGAAACTCGAGGCTCAATTTCAGGTAAATTGGAAAATGAACTGCTCCTGAGAACGCAAATTAACTCGTGAAATAAATATTTTATGGCGACGAAAGAAATTATGGAAGGCAAAAGAGAATATGTATCTGACTTACGTATTTTGTTTTGTGACATCATGTAACCATTGGAAACACTTCCACCATTTCCACACTGGCTCCTCCACTGCTGGAGCACCACTTGCAAGCTTTGCCTCATATGACCGTCTTTGCTGGTGAAACGTGTCACGAAGGTTAGCCCACTTTTTCTTCACATCTTCATCTTTTAAAAAGATGGAAAAGTTAACAAACATTCGACATAATACTGCGAGTATAATTCTATTAATCATTCGAATCCGGTTGAGTCACCTGAATTTTTCAGGTTCATGAGACAATTGCTTAAATTGTCCAGCAAAGTGCGAAGATCATATCTTCATTTAATTTCAAACACCGCACTGCATATAACATTCAATCATAACAAAATATTAAACACTTTTTTAAAATTTTATTTATTAAACTGCCAACTTCTGTGGTTTGCCGATGCTGAAATAGCGACAGAAAAGGGAACATTTCTTGACTCCGGTAAGTAGCACAGTATTAGTTTTACTATTTTGTTTTTAACACGATACTTGAAGAGTGTTTCTACTACTAAGTTTTAATTTAAAGTTATTTTGGTCCAGTCTTGTTTCTTCTTCACTTAATCACTCGCCAGACGTGTCGAAGCTGTCAATTTTTATCGAGTTTTGCATCCATCTTGTATCATGATCAAAGCATCAAGCTAAACACTCCTGATTTGAATTGTGTTTACCTCCCAAAAATGGGGCATATTTTGTTCATTTTTTTTGAAAAGATGAAGGGAAAGTTTACAACAGAGTTGAAAAAGTTGAAAACACAAAATGTATTTGTAAAAAATGAAACTGTACTAATCGATAGGCAGTTGTAATTTATTTTATCTAACACGGAGTCAGCCACTGAGATAAAGGTAAAATACGCCATTTAAGTTACCATAAGAAATGAAACATACTTTGAATTAATATCATAGTCTTTTACTGAAAGTTAAGATAATGACTGATGATTTTGAAACCAAGTAAAATTTTTTGGAAAGCTGTTTACACGATGATGGTATTATGAGTAAATTTTCTTTATGGAAGTTTCCTTAACAGTATCAGCTAGTGAAATTATTATCAGTGGCAATTTCATGAAAACTGTACAGGATTGGCATTTAAGAGCCATAACGTATTAGCATATGAGCACCTATAGACACGGGTAAAACTCATAAGTATTGGCTTGTATTTGTGTACTATGGTTCACCTTTTTGAATGTTAATAGATATGGCAACGACACTTCAACAAATTTAAACATTTATTAATAAAAAAGCTAGTAAATTCTTGAAGTACTTTTAACAATTGTTAGTACACCAATACAAAAAAAAATTATATAAAAGTGCAGTTTTGAAGGGACGCACACATCTATGGCTCCACGCATTTGTATGACCTAAACAAAAAAGAACAAAAATGATGTAAGTAGTCAATAAATGTATTTCTAAAATTAATCACTAACCAGCCGTTTATTTAGTCACGATATGCAAATTTTTTGTTGATAAATCATTGTGAAAACAAAAGATTTCCAAAAAATCAATAATGATGTTGCATAGTGTACTTCATAATGACAGAATATTTGCTGTATCGTATAATAACCACAAGCGCACAGCACGTTACAATCTCACAAATAAAAATGTAAATTATAACAACAAAATAACAAAACACGTTTGTGTGCTTGGTGATTACGTTTGTTCTTGAAGCCTTGTTTTTAGCCAAATAAGTCATCAGCCATTACCTATCACACTACTTTCGATGCATTGTTATCGGAAAACTTCATAAACATTAAGCTATGGTGTATAATTCCATTTTTTTAACTCGTAATCTTAGGAAACCAGGCTACAGCTAGACGCTATTAAACAAACATAGGGATGGACACACGTGAAATCTCTTAAAACTACAAAACATGTCGGCCTAGACTTAGCGTTAATTCTGAATGACACCGTGTTTCCACTTTTTTCACAACTATGCATCATCAGATGATAAAAATAATCAAAGTCCGTACATTTGTATTTTGACAAAAATTGATTCTGCTTTACTTGTTTTAATAGCGCCATTTTTCTCATTTGTGCGTTTTCCTTCAAAATCCAAGAAGGTAAACTTTTTCCTGCTCCCAAATTTTTCTCAAATTTTATGAATAAATTTGTAACTGTGCTATAGATGAAAGTCTAAATTACAAAGATACACCTAACCCAAATATGAGATTACGAGTTTCATTGTCCTGAGCAAAGCGGAGGTGATTTTGTATTAGTCATGATGTGGTGCTTCGGATTTGAGTAAAATTTAGTGAATTATATGCATAGGCGTAAGGGCTATTATTTCCTGGGGGGGGCATTAACTATTTTCACCCGATTTCTCCCGCCCCCCGTCACGTACGCGTATGATTGTATGTAATATAATTTGAAGACGACAAGTTTAAAGTAAACATGATGAAAAAAGTATTTGTACGTGACATGCACGCGTTGGTGATTTGTAATCGATCCTTTAGACTACATGGTAACAAATTGATAAAATTGAGGATGATCCCATTTTTGTAAATAAAAAATGAATTACGACACTTACGGACCACTAAAGCTTCCTACATTTACACATTTTCTCTTTTTTCCAAAGTGCGGATCACCCTCGCGACAACATTTGTCGTCGTTAGCTTCGCAGCCTGTCCCACCAAGTCTGACACAACTCCTTTTGAAAATCTCATCGTACTGTTTTATAAAAAATATATAATTAACGACGAGGAAAGTAGAACAATGCTTTAATACTGCACCGTCGCAGCATGCAAATATAATGTAAAGACCTTTCACGTTTTTCCTGTTTATGAATAGTGTCCTTCGAACTTTCCTGATGATCGTTTGCAAGTTTTTAGCAACACATTATATTATTAATTGTATCATTGTAAGATTATTGTATTTTATTTATATTTTTAACGTAAATTATACGAAAAGTTCGAAGTCTTTTGATCAGTTGATGGACATTGTTGGCAAAATTTTACTTTCTATTGCATTTCATTAAAACCGGTATATTTCCTCCTGTGGGTTCACCACTTTTTCTTGCATTTTTCACCTACACCCTATAAAAAATGAGTTAACTGAACTATTTCCTACTGTGGGTTCACCACTTTTTCTTACATTTTTCACCTACACCCTGTAAAAGACGCGTTAACTGAACTACATGCTATAAACCACAACTGGGCATTTTCTGCGTAAAACAATAAATAATTAACCAGAAATTGCTTTTTTCTAGATTTTCTATTCCTTAATGCCTAAACATCTTAGGCTATAGTATTGTCTCTTAAATTTATTGAGAAAGCAAAACTATCGCATTTTTTCACTACTTGACTTTGCAGGTTTGCTAGACGAGCTAAACGCCTTGTTTTTTCTCTTAACATGCTTCATTTCTCAAAATCAAGATTTGCAAGCAGTAGCACCACTCCTTTATTTCCGGAATAAGAAATTTACAAAAAGTAAGACAACAAAATTCATAAAACCTTTTATCAGCATTAAAAATTGACCTGACACGTACCTCACGGTTTAACCCCTTTAATGGAGGAGAGTCTTCCATTTTTTGTTTCCAGTCTTCTAAACGTGCTACACGTTCGTAAATGCTGTACCTGGGTTTTGCTGCCAACATGGTAAGCATAACAGCAAATACAAGAAGTGAAAGAAGATGGGCTGTGTTCATTTTTTGCCAGTAGTTCTAAAATATAAAATGCAATTTTCATACTAAGTTTGTAAACACAACAATATTTGCTCATTAAATAGCTACCTTTGACAATATCACCAACAAATCATGTATGCGTAAGATATCTGCCGCCTGGCTTGTGAGGCTGGGTTACTCATTGAAGCTAATTCAACTTTGTGTCATATTACTGTATAATTAACCCAAAACAACACAAACACTTATGGCAAGACCAACAAGCACCGCAGAGCAATTTTTGTATTGAGGCAGCCAATGGAAGGAGTAATACTAATTACCGACAAAAAAATTACATTTTGTTATATGAACCCTATAAATGATTATAATTCATTTGCCGACTATCAAGATAAAACATGTTTGCAAAAAGTCAACACTTAACTTCAAATGTTATAATAGCAAAACGTATGAATGAAAACTAAATACATAAAATCTTCACTTACCCACTACGCCGAATATACAAAATCTCCTGCAGTCACAGTTCTAATTGAATGTCAACAAGTTTTCACAGGCTTTTTAACCATTTTAATGTTTGCAAAACCGTGGCAAACGGTAGCCAATCACTACCCACGTTTACAAACAATTCATTCAAACCATAATGATTGAGGAAAGGCAATTAGAAAATGATCATCGATGGAAGTGCAACGTCAGCTGCTGTTTTGTTCACAACTATTCATGTATGATCTTTTGTCTGGCGAGTTAAGTGCAGTCATTTTCCAGTTCACCTGCTATTCAAACATAAATGCTTTCTTTTCTTGGTGTAGAACATTCGAAAGAAATCAAGTTTGCACTTAAACCTATTTTTTTTAATGAGCCTATCTTCACTTAAGAAAAGATTCTTGAATTGCTAAGTTATCATAAAATGGCACCATTTAATTTCTTCTCAACTGTTCAAAGTCGATGCTTAATAGGGATAAAAACGAAAAGCAGAAAATACTTGATAAATTACATAAATGACATTTTTTAATATACACCTGCTGTCGACAATCTTCTTGATCTCCCCTATATTCAGACTGGGTACCAATCTGAATACCCATCTCCCCTACAACTGGGTACCAATAATCGCTCCACAATTTTGGCCTTAAACAGAAACAGACTAAAGGTTGATTGTAAAAACTGCAAGAAAATACAAAATAAATAAAAAAATACGCTAAGAAATCAGCATTCCTGTGAAAGCCCAACATTAACAGTCGACAGGGAACGACACATGAACTCATAAGTTCAAAGCTCCTGCATCCTCCACTACGTCCATTGGCTACACAACAACCACTAGAACAATACTTTGGATAGTCCTTATTTTCTAACGTCTTAAAAACTGCAATCCTTAAAAATAACGCGGCGATGAAGCCTGATTTTCGCTTTCAGCATAAGCATAAGGACAAGCAAATACAAAAGAAAACACAAAAGAATGCCATGTAACGTCTAACACAAGCATCAACATAAGCGTGAGCACAGCAACTTGATCTATGCATAAGCGTAAGGCAGTAGTGTCAGGTGAAACCAAAGCAAGCTAAAGAGAAAATCCCTTTTGTTTTGTATTCTCCAACATATATAGAGAATATACTTGCTCATGCTATGGATTTGTAATGTGCAGTAACTGTATTGGTATGTGTTATTGTATTCAATTGCGCTTACGTCTCCTTGGTGATGAACTCAGTGGCGAATTGGTCTTCCCAAATCACTGCTAAATGCTGGTCACAAACATATAAATATTTGTTGATCGTAAATAGACTCGTTTGCACTAATGTAACTATTCTTCACTCGAATAGAAATACTATGGTAAACTGGAAGTATTATGAATTGATTTTCCAACTGGCCTGGGGTCGACCAATTTGAATGCGATGAAAAGCAGAAAGCAGAGTTTAGGTAGTGAAGCATTTATCAAAGCTTTTTGCTTTTTTTAGAATGAAACAAAACAAGGACAATCATTGGTTTGGACTGTGTATGTCTGTGTGTTTAAGCAGTAATCTATTATACTTTACTAATTTCTATTCAAAGACAATCCCTCTTTACATTCAGTCTGCCTATAGCTAGATATGTTAACTAGATCATCAACTACGCATAAGCATGCAAGTTTCTGACATTCTCACCTTCTAAAACATTTAGTTGAAAACAAGTTTTTTCTAAATTTTACTCTTATGAACACATTTTGCAAAGTGTGATGAATTGGACAAAAACTAAACTACATAGGTCTGAATGAGAATACGGACATATACAATGTTGTGCAAAAGAGCACAAAACATAGTGGGATACATAAATCTTTGTATACATCTAAATGCACTGAAGCCATCTTGATTATTTTAATTACTTGTCTGACAACGAAACGTTACTTTGAAAAAAATTATCATTTCTTACTCAATGGCTATACTTGGAATGTTATATTGGGCAATTGTTTTTTAACAAAAATGATTCTTCATACCATAATATGGCACCAATAAATTGACACCCAGTCTTGTCAAAGTAGACCGATTTCAATGGAATGAAAACATAAAAGACAATGCACGACAAACGATTAATTTAAGGTGTTGATTATTGGCGTCAATCCTACGTTGATTGTGGGAGGGTGACCACATTCATATATTGTGCAATGCAATTTCACTTTTACTTTCAAAAGAAATCAGCCTGGCATAAAAATACCAAAAATACCACCCACTTAACGTTGGATTGACGTTTATGTTCTTCTTTACTTGAATAATTGTATTGTTTGAAATTTAAACGTTTTTGTGGCTTGTAAAAGTCAATTCAGTAAAGATTGCTTCTAATTTTTGATAAAGAGCCAACCATGCTCTAAACAGTCATTGCCTACGGCTCAACCAAAAAAACGTTGATGCACACCTTTCTTATGGCCTTAGTATAATTGTGAAATTATTTTGCTGCATTATCTATCAGCATTTTGTATCTTCAGCAATTAGAGTGGTTTAAAACGAAGATGTTGTATCTAATGGTTCTACATCTAAAGTTAGTCCAGTTAAAAGTTCGTTTGTTATTTTTGACACAAAAATTTCAAATACAACTGATTACATATATACCTATTCATAACGGTTTGCGACTATCTGCACGAAAAACGAAGAGCAAAGATTTTGAACTTTGGCATAACATATTCCATCAACATTTGTTCTTCATTACTATAGCATTTGTCGTCAAAGTTTATTGCACCAATTTGAGCTGTTTCATTTCATCTTTAGTTAATGAACGTTTATATTTGTCAGCCAATGATAACCATCTCATTGCAAAAGTTATAACTTTAATTAAGTAGCTATACACTCGCTCTTACAGAAACTATATGAAACTATATGCCTTGCGTTTTTCACACATTAAATTACTCTTCCTTGAATCATAAAATTATCATAAAATAGCATCATTTTATTAATATCCCAACTGGTCAAAGTCGACCGATTTGAATAAGATAAAGAGAGAAGATAATACGTGCGTGCATGAGTGAACATTTAACGAAGCTTTTTGTTTGGTTGAATGTTTGTATCGGATCATTAATCTCAGCATGAGAGTGAAAACGACTTAATGTGTTGTATATCAACATTTTGTACCTCCCAAAACATTCTAAGGTTCGTCAAATGATCATATTGTTTAAGCATGAATAACACCAAAGTGTTAAAGATGACTAGATTAAACATGTTACCATCCATAAATGTTTGATCATCTGCATATGAACAGAAAGAATCGACATTTTAGTAAACTGTTGGACCAATTCCATTAGCTACGAACTCCATTTTTCTGCTATTTCATTATATTTATAAGTTACTGTCCATCTTTTTGTAGGAGTTAAATACTTAAATTACTGCAAGATATCTTTATATCAGTTTAGCTGCATGTGTATACCGGCATAAGGTCTGTTTACATGATCTCGGCTAGCCGGGATTCAGTGAGGCGTGAAAGGATTTTGAGCTGGTATTATTGAATTGATTGCCCAAATGATCAAAGTCATCGATGATAAACTAATATTTTTGTCGTTTTAATAGCAAAGATTGGTTCCACTTTCTTTCAAATCAGCAAACATCGACAATTTTTTGACAATCACTATTTCAAAATCTCTCTGATGTAAACAGTTACTGCTTCTGGCTACCTTCAAAGAATTCTTTATGCAGAACATCACTTGTAGATAACATAAGTTGATGTTCACATTGACTAAATATATCTTTGACGTTGTCTTTTTCTGCATTTTAGATTCGCTCTTTCCGACAGTTATGGATACTATTTTTTGTATTATAAACACTTTCATTTTTAAAACATAATAAACGTAAGAAGAAAAAGAATGATAGCATAATGCTTTGACCAACAACTACAAACAATAACGACCTTATCTAACAACATTTGAGAAATTAACCTTCCACTCCTCTTCCTTGTAAACAAGTCCATTCAAAAGCAGAGAGCCTTATACGCTACAAGTCCCGGGCTTGTGACCGGCATAGCAGAGTTAAAAGGTGAAAGGTTTATCATAGATTAAGGCTCATATCATAGATTTGAACCTTATATCATAGGTATATCATAGATTTGTAGCGTATAAGGCTCTCTGCTTTTGAATAGACTTTTCTCGTTTATAAGGAAAAGGAGTGGAAGGTTAATTTCTCAAATGTTGTTAGATAAGGTCGTTATTGTTTGTAGTTGTTGGTTAAAGCATTATGATATCATCTTTTTGTTTAATAACATTCCGACTATTTAACCTTGTGATTAAACGTAAGAAGATTGTAAAAATAAGTTAAACGATGTTCGTTGGCAATTGGCATTTATTACATTATGTGTTGTATAAAAACATAAAATTGAGTTCCTTAAGTGCGCAAGATGAATACAATGTGGAATGACAACTATTCTGATTTGCGTAATCGGTAGTTGACTACCAAAACGTCTATACTGTTTCATCTTCGTCGCAACTGAACGCTGAATTTTTTATTAGCTCATTGCATCTTGAGATTTTGGAAGGACGAATATCATTACTTCGTGTAAGATGAAATATAAGGTCGGAAAACGTTTTGGGATTGGGGAGCATATTACTTACATCATTGAAGTTAGTCATAGCACTTCTAGGTCGCAAATTATACACACGTGATTTATTTTGAATATTTGAGTCGTTATTGTTGCTGGAAATCTACAAAAAAGAAAGCAAAATGTTTTTAGTTTCAGTGGTGTGTTGGGAACATCTGAGGTTGTCATTAATGAAAATGCGCCCTAGTTATCAAAATTAGAAGACGAGAACAGAAGGCCGAGCCGAGCGCGGTAGGGGGGTCCAGGAGATGCTTTCCAGGGAAATTTCCAAATTTAGAAGCTCTGAAGTACTCTTTCCTGGATTTGGGTGAAAGATTTGACATAAATGATAAATGTATTGATGAAGAGATGGCGTTATAACACATCATAATTTAAATTTGGGTTGATTTAATTCGTTAATTTTATTCAAAAGCCATCATTAGAGAATATATATAATATATTAATCCTAACACGGTTTTATATGCACATGAAAAACATGTGACTTGGACGCGATTTGAGAGGTGTTAGTTCAAATCTCGTACAAGTCCCATGTTTTTCATGTGCATATAAAACCGTGTTAAGATTAATATATCATAGTAATTCGTTAAATAAGTAGGGTATTGACTTTACTATAAATCTATATTTCATAACAATTTCGTAGAAGAATAAAATCCCTCGTGCGGTATCTTTGCAAAATATAATATATTTATACTTAGTCCCTATCTCAATAAAATAAAACATGCACAGTGGTTTAAAACATGCACAGTTAACTTTGAAATTCTTAACTGAACGTTCATTAATTTGACAATGTATATCACGTGTTGTGCCCATATTAATCAAAGTGTGCTTGTGTAGCGTGTTTTCGAATGTTACTTGAACGTTCAAATATCACAATCGTTTTTTTTCAATAACAATCAGCAGTTTTATACAAGGGCCTTGGTAACTCTGACGAGTGACTTCAAAAATTTGTAGTAATCTGCTCCATATCCGAAGACATTAAACTAGTGATCAGAATAATATGCGCCTATTGATAAATGCATATCTTCTCACAACTCGTTAACAGAAATAGAAATCACTGCATTATTTTAAATGCATTTTCCTAACCAATTTAAAAAATCGGCACCAATATTGATTTCTAGAACCCCCCAAAAATTGACAGCTGGTGGGCATGCTTACCGCCCCCCGCCCCTACCAGTTTAAGACAAAAATTCAATAACATCTGTGTGGATAACGAACGCCTACATGCAATGATATTATGTGATTACAAATGACAAAAAAATATGAGAATGCAATCATTTCAAACAAAATGAGAAAATTACCGAGGTGTTTTCATCCACTAAGATCGCATCGAACATAAATGTGGGATCTTCAGAATCAGATGCACTATCTTCACTGTCTGAGGTGCAGTCGTCAGTGTATGTTTCTTCTTCAGACATGTAAGATTCGTTTGGTAATTGTAATGAAAAATCTGGATAATCTATAGCAGAATATTTCACCACGCTGCTAAAAGAATAAAGCATTGAAATTAAAGACAGTGTTCATTTTTTTAAAATAGATATTACTGACTTTTATGTGGTATGGATTTTCTCAGTGTAAACTACCTTTTGGTTACACCGAATTTATCAATGCCATTCGTTAGACTTTTTCCAATTTCCATTCCTTTGTTCTTCATTTTATTCAATTCGGTTTGAATATCTCTCAGCATAATGTAATTTACTTGTGCATAATCGCAGTAATTAGTTGCAAAATAAACCAAAATAAGAAAGCATTCGAAAACGAATATCTTCCTTAATATCCAAAGATAACCATGAATTGCTTCCTAAATATAATAATATTTCCGGTGAAATTCAAGAATAAAAAAGGTGCCCGTGCAATTGAACTCAGTCACGTGTTTTTCTGTAGTCTCATTTAAAATTCATGTACCATACGTTGAGCCAGGCTTAATCAAAGGTCTTTATTACTTTATAGCATATTACAAAACATCAGTTGCAATCACGACCACGAGTCCGTATATTTCAAATGTGCCCTCCCCCACTTAAAACATTTTGGTTACAACCTTCGTTTAGTGACAGAAGTTGACTTAACAATTTTAAAACAATGAAAATTATAGAGGTGTCGCTCTAAAAGTTGTAATATAAGACTGTAACACAATACATCATGACTAGTCACTGCCACACTGATACCGAGACTTTTATATACAAGACACGGTCTGTAATACAAAATCTTTTGTAAAGACTTTGTTTCAGAAATGAAGTTAAATGTTCCGTTAAAGTCTCCAAGAACGTGCTATTCTGAGTCTGACTATGTTTCGTGGGACATAACCTGCTATGTATACTTCACAAGATTATCATTATCCATTTCATTACATTATTAGTCATTATTCATTTCTTTTTTTCAGAAATCTGTTGTGTTCACAGTAAGCGAATATCGAAAAATTAAGGCATAGCAGGACTAAATAAGTAGAGTGGCTACGCTAGTGGTATCGTCAATATTTTTCTATGCAACTTACCGCGGTAGTACCAGACTCCTGTGATTCTTTATCCGTTAAATTCCAACGAATAATCAATCTTTCGAAAACTATATGCATCGAAAGGGCTCCAAAGAGCCACAATCTCGCAGCAGATGTTCGTGGGGCACTTGTGATAATGTAGCAAGCTAAAATTGACACCAAATAGAAACCTAGAGAATGCAAAGTCATGAACTCCCCTAGAAGCATCGACTGTAGCTTGGTTATTCTATCAACACCTTTAAAAAGGCTGTCAAAAGTTTCCATTAATAAAGCTTTCTGCTGGGTGGTTGCCGTTTTCATATCATGAAAAGCCTCCTTTGCACTATCTGCAGACTTTTTCAAAGCGTTCTTCAGATACACTTCATTCTTAAGCATTTCCTGTTGATTTTCTAATGAGCTTTTTTGTCCTTTCAACACTTGACGTTGATTATTCAACGAATCTTCTAATTGACTGGCAACCTCTTTAGAAGTGCTTGATAGTTTACGTATTGTATTTTGCGTTTTTTGTTGCCAAACTTTACTTTGTAGATAAAAGCAAATATCGTAGGTATGAGTGTAAAACTCGGTGTACGTGTTAAAGGCTAAAACACTTTTAGCCATTTCGACGGTACATTCTTGTATCGAATCCTCTTCACTACATGGATAAGTCATAAGACCGGACTTCTCAAAATGGCAGTTTGAAAATGCAACCGCTAGTCGACTCTGTTCGATGTCTGTCAGTTGTTTGCAGCTTTCTTGAAGTCTTGATATTGCGTCCTCCCAACATTGGCCATGTATTGCTCGCGAGCGAAGTTTTTGAAATTCTTGTTCGCCATTTTGTAATCGTTGTTGATTTAGCATCAAATCCACATTGTTTGCATTCGCACATTGAATGACAAACATTTCTTGAATTAGAAACACAGTTATCATAATGAAAAAAACTTGTTGACGCAGCTTTGGAAACGCCATAACAAATCAATTGCAATGCTGATATAGGACACAAATAGTTTTCCTAACAGTATTTCTCAGCGGTATGAATGAAATGGCTATTATCCTTTAGTTGATCCTTCTCTAGCTATTTGAAAAATCATGCCTTTGTTTTCCCACGAGAGTCATTTGCGCGCCCACGCTCATTCATTCAGCTAATATTATAAACTATAAAGGTGTCTCGAATCTCAATAGATGATGATACTATACAAATGTTAACTATTTGAATTCAAAGCCAAACGATAATAGTCAACTACTAACTACTTGGAGCAAAACATGAAAGCTGTGTGAAAAATAAGCTATTGCAAAGATAGAACAATCAGCGAACGGGACCAAACTCCCGTAAAATTTTAGAAGATTAAATCGTCATACACCCATCCAACATTATAAGAACACATACATATAGCTCAGTACCACAATGTAACATAATGGTATCTTTGTTATAATTTTAAGTTTTCTAATTGTCTGATAGAAATACGTTAAAAAATTTCTTTAAAATTTATACTAGCAAAAATTTAAATAGTAAATGATGAAAGTAAGAGACCTAAACCATGTTTTGATAACGACCAACTTAATTTCTATAAAACATTATTGCAAAAAATTCACCCAAGTGAAATCTTCGTTTTACAATTTCTAGTCTTACCTACTTTGTACTTTTGGCGATTCAATAAGTTCGTCATTATTTATTTTTGACTTTTTCGGCTGTCAAAAAAATTATGCTGTCAAAAATTCCTTTGTTTTTCGAAATACCTACATATAGAAACTCGTAAAGTTGAATTTCGTAAATTATCGTTTGTATTAGCCTGGCCATTTCATTCATTTTTCTATGATATAAAAAGATAAACATTAAACAAGAAAAAAGGAGAAACAAGACTTGTTCACGGGAATTGCAAGATTGACAAACATCTCAGCATCTTCCATTGAACTGTAATAACAACAGTATTGTTGTGAACATATTATCACTTGAACAGATTACAGTTCACTGGCATCTTCCAATACCCTCACCCCCGGTTTCCTGTTGTCAATAGTAACCGTGCGCGTGCTTTTGAATTCCAAATTGAAATTTAAGACCAAAATGACTCAAATGACAATCCAGAATATCTTCGTATGCGACAACTGCATTCACAAGCATCGTACTTTTTGTATGGGTTTCCGATTAAAATAAATATTCTCTTGAATGGAATTGACTTAAATGAATTTTCCGTAACATTTTATTCAAACTCGACCATAACGAATATAGAACAAACTTATGAATATAGAACAGATGTTTGTACAATGCCATTGCGAGACTATATTACTGGCGCATTGATTGGTAAAGGAACCTATGGTGAAGTATCTTTAGCTAAACATAAGAAAGATAGAAAGCAGGTATGCTCCTGAATTACTGCACACTTTGTAGGTTTCTTGTTGTGTACTCGTGTTACACTGTAACATAGAATTCTACTTCTTATTCTACTGATTTTCATATGTAGTGAAAATTGTTGTTTTATATGGCATGCAAAAATTTGAAAAAAAGCTCATACTCTTCTCATTTATTGACTGCAGTATGTCATAAAGCGTATTGATATTCACAATGCTTCTAAACGGGAACAAAAGGGAGCAGAACAAGAGGTAATTAAATATGTTCCAACAACAGACCTTTGCCTTTAATAGTGATTTAACTCTTTGCGTAAAACATTTAGAGAGTATAAGTTTTAGCTTTTCTTAAGTTTTCATTTCTTTTTGTTGTTAGACAGTAATTGATTTTCCATGTACTTTTCCAAGTCTCCTGTTATATAGCTTACATTATTTCAATCCAAAAAATACACGAAAAAGTAGATTGACAAAAAATACATCCTTACTGTTCAAGTTTCTATTATTTTTTTGACCAGGTTATTGTTAATCTCAATTTTCACACTGTTGTTTCACATTTTGTTTCTTTAAACAGATCTACAAACATTCAAAGCTTTTTGATGCTTTGATATATTTGATGTTATAGTTGCCTGAATTATGTATTTTTATGTTACGTATCAAATATACCGAATACATACATAGTTTTGACTTCTTTTAGCTGTGAATCTATAATAAAAATAATAAAATATAACTGTCCAATTCTATTGTTATCAATATAGGCTAACCTGCTTTCAGAAGTCAGACATCCTAATATTGTCTCCTACAAAGAATCATTTCAAGGAGAAGATGGATTTCTTTACATTGTCATGGCATTCTGCGAAGGTGGGGATATGTACTCCAGATTAAAAGCTCAAAAGGGAATATATTTGGAGGAGAGACAGATTGTAGAATGGTTTGTGCAGATTGCTATGGCTTTGCAGGTAATCTTTTGTTTGCATTAGTGCAAACAGCTTAATACTTTGATTTTTAAAAAAATTCATGCATTTTTAGTATTTACACGATAAGCGTATTCTCCATCGTGATCTGAAAACACAAAACATATTTTTGACAAAAAGCAAAATAATCAAGGTTGGTAAATCATTCATTTACAACAACATTACTTTAGTTTTAAATGGTCAATGATGAGTAAAAAATTGATATTTTTTTGCAAAAAAGGTGGGTGATCTTGGTATAGCTCGAGTATTGGAAAATGCAACAGATTTGGCAACTACCTTAGTTGGTACACCGTACTACATGTCTCCAGAGTTATTTACTAACAAACCGTATGGTTATAAGGTACACATTTTTTATATATGTAAAGTTGCATGTTCTGTTTCTTTTTCGCAAACAAGCTTGACCAGTAAATTTTTTCTGTTTTGATTCATTTAACTGAACTGCAATGATTTTTGCACACTCTAGTCTGATGTTTGGGCATTAGGATGTTGTCTGTATGAAATGTGCACATTGAAGCATGCTTTCAACGCTAAAGATATGAACTCTCTGGTTTATAAAATCCTTAGAGGAAAGGTATGAGTTTTATTGGTGAAAAAAACAAGCATTCATGCAGCATTTTTTGAGATCATATCCCTTCTGCAGCTTCCTGCCATGCCAACAACTTACAGTGATGATCTATGTGACATTATACGTTCAATGTTATCTCAAGATCCAGACAAACGACCAAGTGTAGCAAGGCTTTTACGTCATTCGTTTATAAAGAAGCAGATTGCTTTATTCCTTGAAGGAACCAAAAATAGGTAATTTATATAGACTTTAGGGAATGCTCGGTTGTTTGTCTCCAATTTGAAGTTTTGAAATTTGCTCTCGGATCACTTTGCAACAAACTTCTGCAGCTTCGTTGGTCAATACATCCGTCCCCTCCAATAGAGAAAAGTTCTGCGGCCCTAGACTTATTGTTTTATCCATCTTAATCATCTGTTTCAGGTGGATAGTAAGATAGCATGTTACATATATTCACATTTTGATATTTGTGCGAGATGTTTTTATGATTCGTTAAAAGTATATGTAGCTACTTTCATGTTAAAATTAAAATTAGACAAAAGAAGAACATGAAAGCAAAGGACAGTCCGACTCAAAGAAAGACCGACGCTTCGGAATCTGGAAAAGCGTCTGATTCCGGTTATAGCTCGCTCAGAGAAGCAAAATCAGCTGATCCTTTACGACGTAAGACATCCAATGAAAAGAGATCGGAAAATGACGATCGTGTTATGAGTCCAAATAAACAAGCATTAAAAAACGAAGGAACGACTGGAGATGACTTGCAATCTGCAAATGAACCAATCAAAAACTTCGCTGAACGTAAATCGAAGGACAATGTTGCAGACATAAAAAACGAAAGAAAATCTCGAAGTACTCACAAAGACGAAAAAATAAACAAAGAGGAAGGATCAGGGGAAAAACAGGTAAGTCTAAGAGAAACATTCTCTAGAAAATAGACGAGCAAGTCATTTTTTCTGTGATTTGTGTGTTGCCATTATGTATGACCATCATTACCATGACTTCATAATCCAGAAAAATATTTGCTGTATAGACACGCGAAACTGTTAATATACCAGCATGTAGCATTGCATGAAAATGTACTTCATAATCTATCTACATATAGACACACGAAACTGTTAATATACTAGCATCTTTCATTGCATGGAAATGTACTTCATAACCTATCTACGAATAGACACGCAAAACTGTTAATAAACTAGCATGTATCATTGCATGAAAATGCACTTCATAACCTAGCTACGTATTAGGTAAAGTTATTTTCATTTTGCTATTGATATTTAATAATAAATTAATTTTGTCGTAGCAAAACTGCAACGTTATTTTTTTCTATTTATCATAAGCAGCAAATCTTGAGATCTCGACCTCTTCCACCAAAACCTCACCATCGTGGCAGTGAAAAATCAAGTAATATCCAAGACAACATAGTTTCCCGGGAAAGAAGACGATTTAAAGTCTCGAAACAAATCAAAAACCAAAACAGGTTTCCCGAATCTTCAGAAAGATCAGACGAAAGGTGAGTGTTCATGTCCTGTTATCACGAATTTTTTTACATTTAGCTAAAACATGATGAATTAGTGAACGAAATAGATGGGGTAAATAGAACATGCTCTTTTTTGTTTGTATAAACTTAGTATGACATCGAAGAAGGGCATCTTGATATTTCATGATTTTTCCTTTACCTTTAGGGATTCCGTTGGATTAGAACCGAAGGTAAAACCTATTTTATCATCACGCCATATGTCATTTGTCACGTTTTTATGACAAATCCACATTATTAAAGATTGTATCATTCACTCTACGTCTTCATGCAATATTTGACTATGGACACTATGGAGAGTAATATTTCATTGACTTTTGGATTTTCTGAATGTAATTCATTACGTATGCTTCAAGTACAAAACTTTATCTGAAACATTTCAAATTTTCAAAATTTTGTGTGGAAGAACAAAAGTTTGACAGTATGGACTCGTTGCTTTGAATATTACGAATTAGAAATGGTTTTTGAGATGGTTGATTCAAATGTATTCTTTTCCTTTAGGTTTCAATTGGACAACCGATATCAGCACGGGAACGTCGTCGACAGAGAGAACGAGAGAGCATGAGAAATACACCTTCTGTTTTCCCGTCTAGTTTGAGCGTTGAAAAATTATCTATTTCATCTTCACCATGTGAGAAGAAAGGTTTGTCGCCAAATTAGAAAAATACCCCCCTTCCACCTTAAAGTTTTTAAAAACTTCACGTCCGGCATACCTGTACTATTCATAGCATCATTTCGTTTTGATTATAGCTACGGTTTCATCAGGGGGCTCAGACGTCACTGATGGTCCTTCCCAAAGAGCAATTGTATCAGATGAGGTATAACCTATGATACTTTCTAATGATTTTGCAAATCAAACCCTTTCTTTCAAAACATTCACGATAAACATATTTGGTAGACATAAACACACAGTTTGTATCTGGTTATACATCTTTCCTTCTTTATGCTTACTTTAGAAAAACACTAGTAATTGAGTAATTAGAGAATATGAAGTCGTTTACTGGCTGGCAACAAACATAAGCTTAATTCAACCTAATTTGTCTATTCGGCTCAATGATTTATGGAAATCTAGGAATTTCGTAGCAATTTTTACTGACAAATTAGGCAATTCGTTAAGACTTTGTTGGTGGCTACTGTGTACGTATAATGCCGATGATTTCTTTCCATAGTTCGAATTCAGCAAAGTAGTTGAAAATGAGTCGAGTGGTGATACAGACACAGAAGAAAACAGAGTAGACGATGTTGCTCATGAAATGCGAAATAAGCGAAGGTTATTTGTTTGAATAAATTTTTACATAAAACAATGTCCTGAAAAAGTTTGAACGCAGATTCCACCATATGGGGAGCCTTTCTCATCATAAAAAATGCATTCTTATCTTATGATGAATCCCATATTATATCATGATTAAAACATCATATCTTGTGATTTATCCATATGATCTCATGATAAACTCCATGATATCATATGAAAAATGCATATTACCTCATGATAAACACCATCATATTTTATGATAAATTCATATTATCTCATGATAAACACCATCATATTTTATGATGAATAAATATTATCTCATGACAAACACCATCATATTTTATGATAATTTTTTATTATCGCGTGACAAACACCATCATATCTCATGATAAATCAATATTATCTCATGATAAACACCATCATATTTTATGATAAATTCATACTATCTCATGACAAACACCATCATATTTTATGATTATTTGTTATCATCGCGTGACAAACACCATCATATCTCATGATAAATCAATATTATCTCATGATAAACACCATCATATCCGTCTCATGATAAATTTTTCGTGCATATACGAGTCAAAAGATAGTCTGGTGTTCTGTTCGATGTGTCAACACTCAGTGTTAAACGTTTTCTCCTGATTTAGACTGGCCTTTGACCTGATTTATATTAATATAGTGAAAAAAAACCTATTTGTTTATTAATGTCCTTCACGTTACACCTCAGTGCTGGGAATTGGAATTTATAAAAAGCAAACTTGATCTTTTGTTGACAATCTACCAGTTTATTTATCCCAGGTCATAAACTTTTACTTTCTTTCTTCATCTATTCATCAAGTAGAGTGCAGTAGATTCAGAAATGCATTTAGTTTACATTGAAAAACTTTATCGCCTGTGTAATACGCTCATGTTTTCAATTTCAATAAATGTGCAAATACTGACATAAACTACTGCTCCTTTGTAGGACGAAAGAGAGTAGCGATGTTAACTCGTTGATATCTGCTCTCGACACGACTTTAAAACTATCTGATGAACGGGATTCTCCAGAATTGGATGAAGAAATACGAGACAATACGAATGATATTGGCGGTGAGTTTACAAAACGCAACTTTAATCTGGGTTGAATTGTTTATACACTCATTAACTTGTACGGTTAAATATACTTTGAATACTGCGATGTTGTCTCTGAATTTCTATTCATTTGTTCATTGCTTAACTTTTGGGATAAAATTGATCATAATTTATGAGAAATACGATGAAGAGAATAAACACCGAAAAAATATTTCACGAAATTTGATCTAAGCACTGGAAGGGTTCAATTTACCGTAAAATTCCACAAATTCAAGGCTAAACCCATTGGCATCTTCACTTTATAACGACTTTAAAACTTTGCAATTTGTACAGGTTTTTTGAGTGTGTCAACATTGCTTGGAACTATATCTGCACGTTTTAAAATATTTTTTTTCGCAGATGAATCTGTTTCCACTGGACGTCTTCGAGATCGCATAGAATTTTTACGACGAGATTGCATTGACGGATTGGGAGAAAAATGTTTTGTCGAGGCATGCAACATCATTGATAATAACAGCGAGGATAAAGTTCAACGTCTTCTTATTGAACTTATGGGAAGAAATAAATTCGAAAAATATGCCGGGAAAATATGGCAACTGAAGTTTTGTGAAACTTTTAAACGTAGTTAGCACTTAGCAAGATCAATTTGTCTTTAGCAAGTGGTAACTGCATCTATAATTGAAATTATGATATTTATTATACTCCCTGGAACAGGATATTTCCATTTCGTCTGCCCTAACTGCAAACATGATCTTCTGCGTTTCAAAATTACAACATATATTTCATTACAGTCATGTTTGCAAAATGCAGCAAGATAATTTAGGATTTTTCTCATCAACTGGAATAATTACTGATGAGCTTTGGACACGTTGTAACGAGTTATAGCTGTTATTTGGATTATTTGCTTTTTTGAAGTATGTTTAAACATAAAACGTATGCTATGCTGTACAAGTAATAAAAAAGATGATAGGAAAAATATGTAACGTCGAGTAATCGCAGGTATTTAAATAAATTCAAACATGAAAATCAAACAAAATCAAATTGTCATGAGAGCTTCAAAAAATTGTTTCGAATGTTACGTTCTCAATCGAAACCGAGAAAACGACTGACTGTTTATTTCGTCTGTGACAATCCTTCAACTGCAAGAACGGCTTGTTTCAATAACAAGTCACACTTGACCCTGAAGATGACTACTGCTAAGGTTGTCGAAACGTCAGTCAACATCAACACCAACAGGACTCTACTGACCTGGACGATCTACATCCACAAACATGTAACGATACTCCCTGGTTCAAACCATTCATTCTATTACAATAAACATTACATGATAAAGCCGAAGGAACTTTCAGTCGAATACTTACACATACACACTCGTAGCATTTAACGCTGGATATAAAGGACAGGATGGACTTGAGAACTTATTTATCCATACACAGCAAAATTAAATATAGTATACCTTATGCAGCATCAATTCAGTCCACAATAATTTATAATTTACATTGCTGCTAGCTTTATGCTCGAGAATCAATGAAATGTAACACACACGAGTACTAAGTCCAGATTAGGAAAAAAACTACAACGCTGATTAGGGAAGGGAGTGAATATTCATAGATTCAACTCTGCCCTGTTGATATCTTATCAAATTACAATTGCTTTCAAAGCAAATCAGTAGGGGTGTGTGTGAATAATCAAAGAATATATGAATACTCACCCCCCAACTAGCGTTCTATTTTCGCACCTGGTCCCGGTCAAAATACGCGCTTTTCACAGATTAAATATTTCAGCTGTGATAGAGGAGACAAGGTTAAAGATCGCCGAAATAATTTTAGAGTCCACTACAAATTTACAATGTGTAACGAAAGTCTAATTTGGTCAAATCAGTTCCAGTTGATCGCTAAAAATTTGCAGTAGTTTAACAATTGCCAATGTTCTATAATGTATGTATCAAAATGCAACGAACGAATCAGCGCGCGGGAAGACAGAGGACATAATTTTCCTGCTCACATTTCACGGCTTTGAGAGAACTTCACCGGCCTTATATTGAAAAACGACACTGTACATTTCACCATTGAGGCGCTTCGCTAACCACTTGTTCTTTATTACAGCCATCTTTAGAGATTCACATGTGAATAACGCATCATAATTTGTGTGTATCGCCCTGAAATAAAACAAATATAATTATTAGTTATTTATTATGTGGAACGAGGGCACTATTGGAAAAAAAATTGAAGAAAAAACAGCAAGTCTGTGCCTAGATCTTTCAGGAAACTGATCACCATGGAAATGTAGAAGTAATCGTTACCTTATACTATAGTTTCTAACCTCTGTGTGCACGTAAATGGTCAAATAATGTCAAATAATGTCAAATAATGTTAATGGTCAAATTTAATTAGATGCACGTTTATAGTTCACAGTAATGACTACTTTGTACGAAATAAAGAGTGTAGCAGTTTAGCAACAATGATCCTAGCCCTCCCCCCGTGCCTTTAGCATCTTTGTACTCTTTAATACTAATAGCCACATCGAGGTCCTTACCGCCCCATTCCTTCCAGAATGACCAAATCTGCGTCGGAGCTAGCTTCTGCGAGAACAGTATCAATTCGCCTAACAGAAGTAATTTTTATAAGAGAAAAGAATAAAAAAAGCTGCTGAAAAAGACGTTAAAACGTTGCAGACAAGTGACAAGTTGAAAATGACATTAAGTTAGATTAAAGAATGAACACATTACACCTGAGAGCAACATAAGTTCGCTTTTATCTTCAGCCATATACACAACTTTAAATTTCAGAATTACAAGATGACAATTTTTGTTTCACGTAAGTAAACCAAAAGGAGAGTTAAGCTGCTCAAAATATATTAATATAAGTCTAAAAGAAAATTCAAACGTGAAATTTCTGATGAACACAACCTTAAGTCCAGACATGGTGAAAAGTTCCCAGACTCCATCAAGATTAACCTCTTTTCATCTACAGCTGATCTAAAAAGGAATGGCATAAAATGTCAGCTTTATGATACATGCACTTCTCTTGAACAGAAACATCAGTGCATATACGGCATTCCACTTATCGTACATCACTTTTTATACAATACATATTATTTCACGTTGACGACATGACACTTGTTCCATATCAGATGTTATACAATTCTTGTTCTGTCAAGTCCAAAGATAAGAACGTTTTTTTGCAAGTAGGTTTCATTTCGAAACTGATTATGAACAGTGATGTTGATACTTTTTACTAACTGGTGCATCGTCTCGTTTGGTATGATCAAATATAATTGTTGTTAATTGTTGTTAATAAGGAAAAACATTGGGCTTATAAATTATTTGCACTTGTTTCCCCAATGTTTGTAAAGGTGACGAAAGAAGAATAAGGAAAAAATTGTGAGTGAAAATGATGATTGACGTTGAATAAAGAAATCTTTGCCGGAAATAACATAGGAAAAGAAAAAGGTTTTAGCAAATTCATATAGCTTTACAAAAACATTTAAACTGCTAGTTTTACGCATTTTTTCCCGTTCCCCTATGTATCCTGTTAGTATGAGATGATCTTATATTTTACTACGATTCAAAATAATTGCAATAGTTCAGACATAAATGCAAAAAAGTCAGAAATTATCCAAAATTCATGCAGGGAACAAATGTGATTCTCAGATCTTAGATTTCCACATACTTTATATCCGGGCAAATTGCAGCGACTTTCTCAGTGATGATCTGAAGTTCACCATAGGTCACATCGTTTAGAGCAGGAAGTGAGTTTGCTGCAAGAATTACCTGAAAATAATTACAATACACAACTTGTGAAAATTAAAATTCCCAACTAACATCATAGTATAGAGACGGTTAAGCCTTTAATCACCCTACCTTAGTTCCCCGACAAAGTAATTCTTTTACAAAAGGAAATACGCCAAGGACTATATCCATTCCACTATTATCTACAAACATTACTGCTTTCCGATGAGGTCGACCCTTGAAACAGGTTCATCCAGATACATAAATTTAAACAGGTTGCTTCAAGCTAATAGTTTCACACCATATTTATAACGACGTAAAACGCTAGAACGATAAAACATAACAACATAGAAGAGATAACGTTTTCTTCCTGTCATAAAGTTTAACTGTACTGTTGTTCTCATCTCATATTCACTTTCTTTCAAACTAAAATTGTTAAATCAACGTCCTTGATTTGAGCAAATGTCACCGTTAATAACTGTTTCAAAACGAAGATGTAAATAAACAACAGCCACGACAACGACATGACTTCAATTATTATAGGTGAAAACAGCCAAAATGACATCATAGCAATATGACAAAATTTTATGTTGGTGTATTACATCGTTCTGGCGTTTAGTCCGTTTATATTTAAGCCGTCGAGACTGAAGATAACAAACCTTTAATCTTTCTATCCACTCGTCAACATTGTCATGTAGCCAGTTAGGTCTGGCTGATAAGAAAAAAGAGAAGACAACCGTTTTAAAAAGGTGCGTCACAATGACAGTTTGATGATTAAGTACGTATATCAACAAATTCAGTCAAATCAAAACAATTTATAAATATTCAACCTAACAAATTATTTCTGGCGGTTTCGAACTCAAAGTTACCATTCATCATTAATCTACACAATGAAAACTCATATTTAAGTAGAATCCATCTTAATGCATGTTATGTAATTATTACAAGAACATACTATGTAAACATGTTCAGAGCAATTTAAAATTTGAGAGAGGGGCAGGGGGTTGAACAAAAAATACTAACTTTACGACTTCTTTGGCTCCCCAATCAAAAACATTTCCAGCCAAAATTCCTTCAATGATCTCAAATTGTTTTTCATATCCGGACAACTTGTCCAATTTTGCAAGTCTTTGAGGTAAACTCAACAGGGCAGCCTCGTTTTCTTTCTGTTTTACCTTTAAAAGTTTCAATTCATCATTATCTCATCACACTACAATGCACAACAACTATTCCCATCAGACAGGCAAACGCAATATTTAATAAACATACCGTAGCGTAGGGATCCGAAAACTGGAACTCGTTGAGAAACTGTTCTCTCGTGTCCAAAAGACTTCTGACGGTAAGATTACCGTACGCGCTAAAACAGGACAATTGTGATTATTGTGCAATGAGTACGTAGCAATGTATTATGTTTATGGTCAAGTAGTCGTTTATACTCAGCAGTAATGGACATACGTTCAGCACTTAGTGAGTTTTATGGTGGTCAAACTAAAATGAAGCAGCCATGTACGCCCAATTCACAGCAAAATGTTGTCACTACACACGAGATTTATTTCATAATAGTAGAGAGGGCAGTCTTAAAAAAGTGACAACAATTTAGGTTTTTAATTTTGATGATGCGAAGTTTTATCAGGCGTATTTTTATGTTAATCAAAGTAAAAATAAATTAAAAACATTACATACAATGGCTTCTTCCGCAAGACCTTTAATCGCTGTAGATACTTGTTCTCGAACTGTTCAGCTCTATCTTTCACATCAGGTTGCTCTGATTGGCTTTCAATGGCACGCGACACAACCTACGAATAATTAAACTCTTTCTAACAAAATAAATTATTAAAATTACCAACATGACTGTTACACAGATCAGCATAAAGCATTTACATCCAAAAAGATCGTCAACACTAGGCAGTATGCATTAGGAAAGTTAAACAAAAAATCAAAGCTACTAACCATATGCAAACCAGATTCAAAGCAATCTAACCAGTATTCCCGCGCAGCCTCATCGGCTGTCAGATCTTCAGTATCGGGACGATATTTGCTTGGATGATATAACAGTGGAAACGGGTGCAATACTCGATCCATTCTGTCCAACTCCAATACATCACACTATTTAACGTAGGTATATGATATATAACATCCTTAGGTGCTGATTACATGAGCTAGGGTAACCCGATTCAGCCAAGCGTTAAATGTTTTGGCATGCAAGCTACGTCATAGCCGCCATGTTGGATGATTTTAACAAAGGATTTTCCTTATTTACAATGCAAATTTCATCCAACATGGCGAGCATTTCAATGTTGTCTTACTCCCTGGGGAATGGTTGCATGCCACCATTATTCATCATCAGATAAATCTCGAGAAATTTCACAATATTCTGACTTAATAACTACGCAAACCATTTAAAATTAAAACAACCAATTTGGCCCAATTTGAGAATTACAACAGAAATGACTTGTGGCGCTTAACAAACAGTTGTAATTTTTAACCTTGAAGTTTTGCCTCCCTTGAATGCCTCAAAATCATTTAACGCCTCACTGAATTCTTGACTTGCAACCGTTCTCTTGAGATTTACCAAACAATGTTGCTCACCCACGTCGGTTGGTGCCAACAATAACACTGATAAGATATTCTTTTGTATCATACCACCAACATAGCTTAATTGCAAGTCAAGAATAGCCGGAATTATGTAAACAGCCCTTTAGAGAAATAATATTTACCCATGCGTAGTTTGAGCCTTTGATGACGAGCAATCAGTGAAAGAAATATACAAGTAAATAAAAGGAGAAGAAAAGTCTGTTTTCAATGACAAGTAAATAATGCAATTGAAAGCAATTGATATCTACCATATGGTATGATCGTAAGGTCAATGGTAAAGTATGGTTTGAAGTGCTGAGAATGAAAAGAAAATGCTAAAGATGATCTCTGATGTTACCAAAATGAACAACTAGTAAAATTATGACAACAAATCGCGTAAAAACTATAGTCTTTGCAATTGATTCATCGCAATTTACATTTTCGGACAAAACGATGTGAAGAAATGTATAAATGTATGCATGGTTTTGAAAATATGTGGCTTACAATGTTACTTTGGTTTCTGCATACAGTACCTTCATACCAGATTGTGGTTGTGGTGTTTTAAATGACTTTGTCAGCAAACCAGAACTACCAGCATAATTTTCACCCCAATTCGATAAAAAACTTGAACCAATAGCGGCTGAAAAAAAGCACCATGGTAATGAGAAATAAAACCACGTTTTGAAGCAGAACTTACAACAGAAACAGCTGTAAATGCGCTTATACATGTATATAAAATAAAATACACATACAAACCTGTTTCATCTTCAGCGCCTTTAATGAATGCCCCAATTGCTCCTAAATATCCCTCGTGCCTCATGAATAATGCTTTTTGTTTTCCCTAAGATGAAATTCTGGTTAGGTATTGCTGCTGACGATGTTACTACGCAATGCCACACAAAACAGTGCGATAAGGGCAAGCAAGAAAAGAATTAAGAAAAAGAGACAAGTAAAACAAATAGAAATATGAGAACAATGAAAACACAAATATATTTAAACTCAATAGTATAAACTTGACCGACCTTCGACCAATAGTTGATTGCAAATGTTATTGTATGCATCGTGATGGGATAGCCACGAATGAAAAATCCACCAAATATGATTCTCTTTAAGCCATGAAGCTTGGCATGAAGAGAGGCCAACTAATTAAAGCAAGAAAATATTTTGAATTAATGATGAAAGTTGAAAGTACAGGCTAAGTATAGTTATCTTTAAAACTTTTACCTGTCCGATGTCATTGCTGATCATATGTAAAAGACTCTTTACGATGTCCTTGCCACAAAACTGAGTGTCCTCTAAGTTCAATAGTTTCATAAGTAAACCATACTCTTATAGCAAGATGGACAATGGGTGGTACGTATGAAAGTCCTGTCCGTGGTTTGCTTCAGAAAACATTGCTTACTTCTCAAGAAGCAAAACTATTACATATTAAATAAAGAAAATCTAGTACGATTTTGTTGTAAATGTCTCCAACAATTAGTGGCTAGACCTCCATCGTCAAAATTACACTGAAGAACTGAAGCCCTAGTTTCAAAAGGCCATCACTAGTTACATCATAGCTAAGTATACAATAACTTAAATTGTTATCTAGAATAAAGGTTCCAACATTTTTAGGTTGCTTAAAACAATTAGTGTCAATAGTATAGTATGTTTTACACTTATATACAACATCGTACATCCTGTCTAAGTACAGTGGAATCCCAATTAAAATAGTCATAACTAGGTTAAAATACGAATCCTCATATATACCCATGATACGTATATATCAATATAATTTCTATAAGAATTAACATGAAAACTTACTGTCAGTAGTCGCATCATCTGACTTTGCAGATCTTACAGCTTTACCAAACGTGCATGCTGTTAAATCGCCCGGTAATCCAATCGATGAATAATCTCCTCCATAAATATCTTTTACCTATTGTAATTTCTCAGTTAAAAACATCAAATTTCAACGTTGAGGGAGTTTTATCATGAACAACGATTATACCAACGTTGCATTACGTCCAACATTGCATTCTGTATTGTATGTGGATGGAGTCTACGACAAATCCCATTATAAATTTCTGCTGAATACAGCAAGGTATTGATAATGTCTTTTGACATTCAGCTTTATCGAGTCTTCACAGTTAGACATTACCTGACCATTGAACACATATAGCTACATTAATAACTGGCATGTATCAATATCTATATTCGTTTGACGAATCGTATGGCCTAAATGAATTTTGTACACATTCGTGTACTTTGGCCTCATTAACAACAGTACAGCATTGAATAATCCATATGTGAAAGTTATTTTCATATATAGCGACGTATTTAACATGCAATGAAACCAACTTGCATAACTCAATTTGCTGTTAGCTTGTAATGCACATAAGTATAGTTTTGTGGGAAGAAAATTAAAAAGTAGCATTCATTACAACATTATATAATGCAGTTTAATTTTTCGCACCAAGAAATGTATAACAGATAGCAGCAAATCCATACAACTAGAGCAAGATAACTTTTGTAGCTAGATCAAAAATGCTAAGAAGAAAATTTCAGAGACAATCGGATGAGCGCAGCAGTCTCAATCAGTTGCATAATCAAATCCTGACGTTGATTTTGCAATTACCATTTCATCTCTTTTATATACGTCTACTTGGGCCATTAATTTTCTATCGCTGTAATATTTTTATCGTCAAGAAAAAAGTTTTAGCTACATCGCTATTATAAAAAAGTAAAAAACCTACCAACATATCAACGTTTGAATGCTGTCCACCTTTCGCAAGATCAAGAAGTTCATCAAAGCCCTGACATGATAATTGAAAATATTTTTAAATAGAAAACGTGATTACTGAAAAATTCAAATCATTCATATCTGTGTGCGAATTAACGGTGTGCAATGTGCAATTTGCAAATTCACATTTTAGCTAAAATGAAAACAATTGCCCATCACTTTTTAAACGATGTGCAAAATCAGCGGTTTTAACGAAAACACCGTCATAAATCATATGAATTTGTTCACGTTTAAAAATATTAATTTAGCAATTAGCGCTATATAATAAATAACGCAATATCGATTTGCTTATGACTCTAAAGAAACACTTTTGTCAAAAAATTGCACATCGTTTTTTCTGAACTAATTCGCACATTGATTCATATTATCATTCGTAATTCATCTAATGCATTTCTCCACAAATACAGATCTTTTCATACTTTCTATTACCTTGGCACTGGTGAGGAGTGAACCCAGACCCCAAAAGGTTCCACCTCCCATACTGGTCCCTCCAACACGAACAAAGCTGTCAAATGAATCTACCTATATGCAAGAAGAGGCAAAAATAAATGTAATTGAGTGCACCTTCCCACTATGCACAAAAAGCTACTATTCTCTAACTTAATTTGTTTACTTAATTATTTTGGTTTGTTCTGTAAAATATAGGTCTCTTCATTGACATTGGTAAAATCATTTCAACTACATAAAAGCACCCATGTTTGGCTAAAATTGTACTATGTTTCTTGTCTTTTGTATATTTGAAAGTGATTGAGTGTAAATACAAAACGATATGTCACCTTCAGTATACTGACTCCTGATCCAATGTTAACAAGTAAATAAGGAAACAAATCTGATCCCAATAGATGTCTGAACACATATTGAGGTGTTTGATCTCGTCGAAATTCAAAAACTTCGTTAGGAATATTGTGAAGCATAAAGTTGCATCCTCTTATCAAACATTGCATTTCATCCTCTTTGTCAACTCTGCAATAGATATAATGAACTGAAAACTACTTACAAGGAACTGAAATCACAACTAATGAACTAAGAACAAACCTAACACCAAGCTTCTTAGTGATCATGTCTCGGTACTTGAAGGCACCACCTCCTGAAAACAAGCAAAGGCAAACGCTTAACTGCATTCCATCTATCAATTTCAAATTTTATCCATTAAAAGGTCTTTGATAGATTCACCTGTTACTTTCAATGCTATATGTTTTTCTGACAAAACAGCATCTTTTGACAAGTTTTCTTCAAGAAAATCCAGACAGGTCTCAATAAAAGTGGTTTCAAATTTGACAAAATGCAGTCTTTCTCCTGATTCATCTTCTTCTTTTACTTCATACAGCTAAAATGACAAAAAAGTTCATAAGGAAATAATTGAATTGCTTCTTAATACTTTAGAATATGAGCAAAGATTTTGAGAGATGAAAACAACAAATTGCATAAATTCTGCTGTCCAACCAATGGCCGCCAATAGCCATTCAAACTTTCATGCAAAGTACTAATTATCTGGGTTGTTGTAAAACAAATATCGATTCTAACTCATAGACACATTGACAAAGATCAAGCATAATATTTTTCCAATACTTACTTTGATTGTTTCATCTTGATTGACGCATGTTTGTGGTATTGGTCTCTTTCTGGAGTAAGCAGAAATATAAGCAACTTTGGTCAATGATCCACCTATGTAAAATGTCACAAAGTAAACTGTGCATTCTGTCAGGGAAGTATGTTTTGTGCAAACTGCTGATGAATAAAAGGCTTGCTTTGCTATACTCGGTAATTGGCCACAGTAGACTAGATAACTAAGTTGGAAGCATTATTGGCATAACACAATAATTCAATTAACAAAGCGAGAAGGCCAGTAGGGCCTCAGACAAACAGTACAAAAATAAATATATATTCCTACCAATGTCAATAGCCATTCGTTTTGCAAATTTGAGACCTCGGAAAGCTTGAGGTAGGCTTATTGGCAGATTATTTTCGTGATAGGAATTTGATTCTGTTTCTGATGTTTTATTCGTGTCCATTGTGTTTCTATGTCAATTTTTTATTTACATCCCGCAGATAACCTAAGTGTACGTAGGTGACTGTGTGTGACTGTCATAAAATCACAAAATCGTAGTCACCATACAGGGTCATGTTGAAATGAAGTATTAAATAAAAGACATAGCCGCCGCTGGGCATTTACCTATTTTACAAAGAGAAATTAGAGAATATCGTAGAATTGTACTTGATGAGAAAGAAAACCTTGACAATTTCACTTCTATCATGAGACTTATATTATCTTTATTCTTAAATTCAAATAATCTATACAATAATAACAGAGAAACTCAAATTTTTACCATTCAAAATCACAAATTATTCAAATTAATCAGTGCCCCGCCGCTCGCCATTTCATCTGTTAATTTCAGCGGTATTCCAAACATGCTGCACGTGTTGCAAATGTAGAAATTACGAGATTAATACGTAAATATCACAACAAGCAATAATTAAACATTGTGGTCGAAAACTTTGAATACTCACGATGTTGACTACCATAACAGAGCCCACTGAAGGAATTTATTTAGTTGAAAGAAACGTTCAAGCTTTCGTAGGCGAAAAATGTCTTGGCAAGGGCCCCCTTTATGTGTCAGAAGAGTATGTAACTAACAAATTGAGAGAGGCTAATATCGATACAAGCAATCAAGAAATGACATCACTTAGGAGTTTTTGTGTTAATACACCTATGTATACCTTATCTAGTTACCTGTCATGGTGTGATGCTTTGTCTGCAAAGGGCTTTTCTCTTGAATATCCCAATATATCCCTCCATGCAGTATCAAAAGACACTTCACATTTTCCATATGAATGTGTATTCTGCATGGTTGAAGGAGCATTTGAAGGTACTTAATGTGCAATAGAGGGTATTGCAAAAATATTCTTTGGGAGTTTGAGAGATAACAAAACTAAAAGCCAATTTTATTTTGTTTTGAAAATGTTTGCATTTAGATGAATTGGAAGATAGAGAAGATTCTGAAAATGAAGATGATCCTCCATCTGCTGAAATTCGTTTTGTTCCTGATAATGCATCATCATGTATGTTGATTAGAAATAATACAAAACAAAATCAATTTGTACTTTATTGTGTTGTTGTTTGTGCAATTGTTACTAAGTTGTGGATGGACAGCACAATGTTGGAAACTATGATTGCATAAAGGTTATTAATTTATAACATATTTAACAAAAATTTTCTATCCATTGGTAATTTCTTTCAGTGAATGACATCTACACTGCTATATGTGATTGCCAAGTACTTCACCCTGATGAACAGGAGCAATTGGAAGATGAAATGGCAGGTGTGAAAAATTTGCTACATGGTAGATTGAAATGAATCAAGGAATGAAGTATACTAGTACAAACATCGACTTATAGTTATTCATTTCGTAAATCAAAATTTACGGTTTATGTTCCAAGTGTTATTTTTTACAGGTTATCCCTTTGAAAATGGCGATGAATATTTCACTAATGAAGTTGACGCCTCTGTTCTTTCAGAAGATGGGCAGGTTTGTCATTGGAAATGTATTAAATGTGGTGTGCCATAAAATATTAAATTGCATATGGCCTACTTTTATAATGAAAATTTTGTGGAAACATATAACTTTTTCATTTATTTCTGACACAAGTATTATATGAATGTTTATTGCATGTGTAGTAACATGAAAGTAAAAAGTACCCAGACATGTATTTATCATCTTTGTTATGATTTACATAAGAAAACATTGCTTAATGTCTTTTTTATGCATTTTAAAGACAACCCTTGATAGACTGGAAAATGTATTTCAAATACAGTCACAGCAAGATTTTGCTAGCATGACAGACCAAACTAATGGAAATGTGAATGGGCATGGTAAGATAACTTAATGCATCTGCAGTATCCCTATGTAAGATAGCATGCAATTAAAGCAGCTTTAACCAGGTTGTAGATGTTTCTGAATGTAAATAATTTTATCTTAGAGAAAGTTGATCATGGACAATTTGATGATAAAGAAGACTGAAATATTGATTCAGCATGAAGAAATTCCTCTTCAAACTTTGATGACTAGTCCTAGCCTCCAACCTTCAACCAAAGTTGCCATGTACATTTCAAATGTTGAGCAAATTGATGTTAAATCATTTGTGTTTTTTTTGAGTTTAGCATTATTGATTCAATTAAATCACAAAAATAAACTCTCATTCCAACAAGTTTGTGTTTATTATCTTTATTTTTACTGCCAAATACATATATGTCACGTTTATTGCCCTTTTATAGGAATATCAGTTGTAATAATAAATCGATATGTGATATCTAAAAGCCAAGAAGCTTGTTCAAATAAGTTAAATTAAAGTCTGGAAGGTTTTTTTGGTACTTCTTACAAGACAAATTCAAACACAGGATGAAAGCAACTGTCGATTATTAACGTTTAAAAATAAATTGAAATTTTACTTATTGACTGACCTAAATTTGGAATTTTTGTTAGGAAGGGAATATATTTGGGAAAACAGCGAAACTTTTTAACTGTAGCTAACAATCTCCTTGGCCCTTGTCCACATTATTTCTTTGGATAGTGGATAAGGAACCTTAAACAACATCCTTTCATATTGCAATAATTTTATCCACTAAATAAATTAAGATTGCCCAGGTGGAGAATTTGTTAAAAAACATCTTGGGTAAAAGTTCTACATTGCTAATGTTGATCAGTCAATTCTTAATTGACAAACAATGAAAAGAAAAATGTAGTGAAAAACAGTAGAGCGACTCATTCATATGTACTACTCATCCTTTTTTTTGAAAATGACATTTTTACAAAGTTTTTGCAACATTATAAGTTCAGGTTTGTAAATGTAGATTGTCCAGGTTGGTATAGTCTTGAGAAGGACTGTTTTTGTTGTTGTTGACTGACAATTTGACAACCTTAGCGGTAGTCATCTTCAGAGTAAAAATGGAGCATGATTATTTTTGACTTCTGAAGATGACTACCGCTAAGGTTATCGAAATGTCAGTCAACAACAACAAAAACAGTCCTTCTCGGGACTATACCAACCTGGACAATCTACATTTAGAAACATGTAACGATACTCCCAGGTTCAAGCCATTTACTTTATTATAAGTTCAATTGTTCAGATATTTGATAATAAAAATTTAGATATTTTCATTGCACATGGACCACGTGGTTATGGTACAATTTTGAAAGACTGAAAATTTTTAATTGATACATAGCAGTAGCACAATACAGTTTCAGAAGATCGAGATGATTTGTTGCAGATCATTTGCTAAAGGATGTACAAATACAACAATATGGATAGCAACCAAAACTAACAAATTCTCTTTAACATTAAAAACAAGTGGTAAAAACTGGATTTTAACAGTTATAAAAATTGAAATGCTCATTAACAAACTCAACCAGGTGCAAAAGTTGAATAAGTTGAATAACTCAAATTCCATAGATAATTTATTGAAATGAAGAAAAATGGTTTTAATAACATACATTTACGAGTGCGCTTTGCATTTCAGAATTATTGGTGTATTGTGTCAAACCCGAAAACAGACCAAAAAAGTCCTTTCTAAACAGATTGTCATAAAATAATTCTCAACTGCCGATATACAAATACTATATTATAATATGCAGGTAAATATTGTTCATTTTTACTTTAAGGTCAGGTTCAATGAAGCACGAACACAACACTCATTAAGTTGAATGATAATCAGTCATTTCAACTACTTGTTATAACTTTGTACGACAAAAAGCAGCAATTTAAACTTAATAAAATAAAACATTGATTCATAATCATAAATACAAAAGATTTTTCCAGAAAGAAGCCACATTCATAAGGTGAATAAAAAGAACAAGGAGCCAGTTATCCGGGCTTCACATGAACCTCCCAAATACTACAAGGTTATTTGTACATCATTACAGTTACTTACTTACAAGATACAAATGGGTCTTTTTTTTCAGATATTCCATCCTTGCTTTCCATAGTATCATTTAAAGGAACGGTGTGCATTGGCAGTGGATATTGAGATGAATATGATGTTGGTGATGGCTTTGAGTTTTCATTCCTACTACAGTCAGCCTCAGTGGAAGAATGACGTGACATGAAGTTGGAAATCTTCCTGACAACATAGTTGCCAGCTGGAAATCAAACAAAATTATATTTAATTGTCCTCTATGTACAATGTTGGAATGTAAGGTGAACAGCATGGAGGATTATGTAAGTTATGTAAGCAGTGTCAAACATATATACATGAACAATTAGGTGTGTGAAGTTGTGAACCAAGATAAATAACCCCTAAATCTTCCCTAAAGGAGTCGAAATCTGCCATTTATCACTTACAAATTGTTTGGTGATAAAAATACTTTAGTCAAACTTTTCTTGCATTTCAGTTGGTACCACACTTTGGAACATTGTTAGGACAATGGGATTTAATTTTTATCCATTGTTAATATGTAAATGTGCAATGAGCATGCCAGAAATTCTATGTTATTATCTCTCCACACCCACCAATTATATTAACTACCAGTTCACACTCCCTTAGACTAAAATAACATATTTTTCATGCAAATATGCAAAATATTATATGCAAATCATATAAAAATATTTTAAATTGTTTGGTTAGTTCAACCTTGTCATCATATTTTGTTAAAGAAGCAGTCTAACTGAACTAGCCCAGGTTAATGCAGATCACTCATTTGTATTGCATTAACGCATACTGCATATGCAGTACATTGTAATATTTCGAAGGTAGCAATCATTGCAGAAGTATTAACTAAATCCAGGGATGGATTAAAGAAGGTTTTTTTGAAAAATTTTTTTTCTTTATTCTTTAATTCAATTAAAGACAATCAAAGAAAACTTTTCGAGAAAACCATTAAAACTTTAACAAAATTTCAAACAAATTGTCAAGAAGGAAATATTTATTCCTGAGCTAAATATTCAATAGTGCTAAAGTGCAAATATGAAATATAAATTTTTTACTTTGTTGTGCCGCCATCTTGAGATTTTAACAAGTCACCAGGCTCTGTATTCTCATCCTCATATTACATAGTGAATGCACAAGTGAACCACGGAGAAAATACGCTGTTATTTAATATTTTAATGTGACATTGGATGAACACTATTTCAGACGTAAGAGCATAAATAAGGAACATTAAAGACAATTTTAAGTTTTGATTTAAATCTTCTTTAATCATTAAAGAAGATTAAAGAAAAAATGATTAAAGAATAAATGCCATCCCTGACTAAATCATTGTGAATGTGAGAAGTGGGATAAAAATACGTCAACAAACAACATAAAATCAGATTTGAAAAGGTCAGAAATAAGTGCGTATACTAAAACAGACGTATGATACAATTGGTTTGATACAAAAAAAAATTGATATATTTATACAACAGCCAAGAAGTTGTACATCTACGACGAAGAGTAGCACATTGGTCAATGCACAGTTGGGCACAGTCTATTATTATATTCTAGCGAATTTATTTAGTTCTTCAATCACTACCTATGATTTTTACGTACCGTTTATTATAAGTCAGACCATTACAAAAATACTCGTACTTTTGAATACCAATACCAAAGAATAATTGTAATCTCAGATATAATTAAATGTTGACAACCGTTTTTCAGTCAGAACCAGAACAGAAATGGTCAGAAACAAAACGGAAGGACCGGAAGGCACTTGTCCGTGAGGACTGAGGAGACCGAAAGCGACTCATGACGTAACTGACGCGCATTATGTTAATCGCATTAATACATTACATAAACATACTCAATGAATTTTCTTGCATATTGACAAATTTCTGTGGAGAGATGTTGTTTCTACGCGTAATATTCGTCATCATTCATTTGTTAAACTTTACAAACGGTTGTGGTATTTTGACGCATCTTTCCATTGCTAATGAAGCCCTTGAATCATTTTCTGATTCTCAAGAAAGTCATAATTCGAGTTATCGTCACATCATATTGAATAACTATGATGCATTTTATGCAGGGAGCCACTTCCCTGATACAATGTATTCGTCTCTATGTTTTGAAGGCCGCTACCATCAAATATCAGAAGATACCCATTGGGCACCATTTATAAACGCAAGTGTCAACTATATACGGAAAACCTATTCTAAACCATGGAGTAAGGTAAGTTAATAAAAATGGCCATGATCTATTGACAGTTTGGTACATCTCTCTGAATGCAATATAGAATGCGAAAAAAGCGTAATAATAATTTAAACAGAAAAGCTGATGAAAGAAACAATCTTCAGCTTTCAGTCTTTCACCAACTTTGGGTATGAAATAGTTTTTCGATATGATCGACATGTCGTTATCTTTATTTCAGCCAATCCTGATTAAAAGATGAATATTCATGCAGAATTACAACAAGGAAACATATTCTTAGGGTTATTTTTTGTAGTGTTTCAACTTTCACGTCTTTTTGCAGGAAGCAGAAAAACTGATTGCATTTACTTTTGGCGTAGCCTGTCACCAAATCGCAGACATATTATGGCACAGCTTGGGAGTAGATCAAGGTTTTTTACGTGTGATGGCAAATATCAACTTTCACGGTTCCTTTTCAGCCGCCCATGCCCTGGCTGACGTTGGTGGGGACGTGTTCTCAATGTTTGAAGGTGATCTGAAAAACTTTAGCGTTACACCAAAATGGTAGGTTTCGTAAAATAAATCTATATAATACTACATGCGTTCACCATGGGCAAGAGGCTAACAAGGCTGGGCAATTTTGTTTTACATAATTCAAGTAAATTTTATGTCGTTTTTTAATTAGGTACTATCCAGTAGCAGACTTGGTAAAAATTTATAAAGATTTATATGGTGAAAAGAAAGTCAATGCAAATGTGCTAATCAAATGTTCTTCACTTCTTTACGCGGAATGGATCGCTGAAAAGTTGGCTGGAGACTATCTTTATACAATCTTTGCCAGCAAATCTCCTTTTTTGTTGCATCAACTACATGACTACTTTATTGGTAAATATAAATTGGAATAATGTATTCTAAAAAGAAAGAGCAAAATGCGACCAATTTATTGAAGCCAGAGTTTCATAACAAGAAGACTTCTTCCATTTGAAGAAGATTAAGTTCACTCCTAGGAGACATGTACAATAGATTCAAGCTATTTATAAGTTCTCTACTATGAGACGTGAAGATTATGTTTTGCACAAATCATTGTTCATATAGGTTGAGGCTCGCAAAATTGCAACTTTCGTGGAGACTTTTCTTTACATAACATTTTCTATAGGTGGAAAATCTGATATGGCAGCTTGGACGTCGATAATATGGCATGACGTCGTTCATCTTATAGAGTTTGGAAACAGCACATGCGTCATCCCAAGAAATACATTGTACATACGATGTAAAGGCCAGCAAAAAGAAAGAAGTTTATTGAAAGTGAAACAAACAAACTCCGGGTCGGACAAGCAGCGTCAAATATTGTTAATTCATCGAGAAAATGTCAATATGGAAGACATACAGATTACAAAAGCTTTTAGAGGAGTATATTTCAACATTGTAGGTGAAACTTATCACAAAGTCCGTACACTTGAAAAAAAAGAAAAACTATTTCAACAGAGAAAATCTGATAGCAATTCAATCATGTTGACAACGAAGAACAGCTTCGCAAGATTAGGATGGCAAGTGAAAAACATCATTTTTATTTTTTCAGTTTTATTTAACACACTGACACACCAGACTCACATCCGTGACGTACATCTGACCCAGCAGACATCAATTGCTTGTACAATTACCACCTTGTTTTACAATAATGTATAGCTGTATTACACATTACCTTTTCTACCTCACGATTTTACTGAAAATAACAATTTAAATAATTGGCAGGACTTTAATCACTGGAAACTTACCTGGATATGGAAATGTTTTAATCACAGCAGCTCCATGGTACGGCATTCCTGGTGATGGTCAGCATGGCCGAGTTTACATTATATCAACCGACAAAGTTATTGAAACAGGTATTCTTAATGACATTGACAATATCGCTGATCAAATATTGGATGGAAGTGAAAACGAAAGATTTGGATTTTCGTTGACATTGCTGGATTTTAATATGGATGGATTGAACGATTTGGCTGTCAGCGCACCATCGCGTGGTAAGCATCATTTTTAAATATTGAGCGGTTTCAAGTTTTTGATTATTGTTATAAATGCATGATGACGAAGGTAGTATTCATAATTTGCTAACGATTTCTTTTCCAGGGTCAAACAACTTAAGTTATATAGGAACAGTTCATATCTATTATGGAAATGATACCACTGGTGGGGTAAATAGCAAGGCAGATGTTATTATAATCGGTCAACAGAAGTACTACAACCTTGGTACCAGCCTACAAACAGGTGATTTGAACATGGATGGCAACGATGATCTAATTATTGGGTCTAAGTACGCACCGATGGGCGGTGAGCAACGTGGATCGGTCATTGTATTCTTCTCGAAGAAACGAGTCACTACATCACCAGTCTTTTACCTTTCAAGTGAAGCTCAAATGACATTTCAAGGTGAACAGAACTATAGTTGGTTTGGACATGAGGTTCACTTTCACAATAAAACAACTATCGGCTCATTGCTTGTAATATCTGCACCAACATACAGGTGAGAAACTCTAAAAAACTATCAAATGAGATACTGTCATACAGCGGTGGTATAAGCCCATAGTGCATATAAAAAAACAGCATATTTGTCTTCACAACTTTGCAATTTTCTTATTAATAGGATCTGTGCGCTGAAGAATTGTAATTACAACCAAAATGACAAACAAAGTGTTGGAAAAATCTATGGCTACAAACTCTCAGTTGGCGGTGAATGGACACTATCGTTTCAGGTCACTGGACAAAGTTCGTTTTCGCAACTTGGTAATAGTATTGCTCTTGGAAATCTTAACGGACCCGAAGTCGATATTTTATCTGTTTCGTGTCCAACAGGAGGTATATCACATATTTTCTTTCAATTCCACGGTTTTTAACATTACTCATAAAATAAAGGATGTCGAACCTGTTTTATTAAATAAACATGAATCAAATAAAGCGTCCTCAAAGATTGCGTCTTTTTTCTTTCAAAAATAACACCGATTCAGCAGGATTTATCTACATCTATGATAAGTTGAAACTTGAACTACAGTTAACAAACATTTTTTTAGATGTTTTGGGTAAAATCGGGATACATTTGCCACCATACGTACTCCAGCAGGCAGGTCAAGTGTACTTGCTAAGCTTACATACGCTGTTAAACAAAACGAACGTCTATATATCTGATCTGGAATACGTGGCTCTATTCGAAGGAAACCACGATTTTGGAAAATTTGGTTGGCACGTCTCTTGGCAAGATGTCAATGGTGATGGTTTAAGTGATATGATTTTGGGAGCACCTTATCAAACACCAAATGTTTATAAACCAATAGAAGGTAAGTCGTTATTTCTTACTATTCATATTTGTGCTTTTCGGCAATGATGAACACTTTTTTACTCTAATTTTATGCATAAATCTCTGTCAGCTAAACTACTGCGTTATTCATCGTTGATTTGAAACAACCATAAATATTTCTAACCAACTGTACACCATGAGAGAGCAGAAACTCAGAATTCTCAAAATTTGATCTGTTTATTAAAAGCCAAGGGTTTACGAAAAATCGGACCAATTCTTTAGGTGATGAAATTTAGTCTTTGCACGTAGCTATTTAGTAGCAAGAGCAGACACCTTTTTCTTTCATGGATTGCCACCAAGATCATAGCACAATTTTCTAATATAACATGAGCTAAGTATTTAAATTGTAGTAATTTCCCCCAGCAAATTTTCTTTGTTGGCTTTTGTGAACATTTAGTAACGTCGTGAAGCAGAAGTTTGCATTTCAAAACTGATAGGTGCAAAAAAGTGGCCGACTTTTTCAACCATTTTGCCATTTTTCTGACAACCACCTTTTTGTTTCCGCTTCGTTGAATAAAATTCTCGAGAGTCATTTTTTCTATATTTACCAAAAGGAGCACTACCAAACAGTGCAGCCAATTCAAAATGCTCGAGTTCTTTACCACAATTCCACCTCCAAGTTTGACACAATATATTCTTACAAATTCAAGTTCGATGCTCCAGCGAGCAAACCACAGGGAAAGACAAGAACAAGGTTTACGAGCTACTAGATTTTGAATAACAGTAAAAAATATAAACCACATTTTTATCGCAAAGATAATGCACATTATAACTTAAAATTATATTTAGACAAGATTGGACATTTTGCGCCATCAGAAGTAACACAGTAACACTCATCACCACAAAATAACCAAATTCACCTAGTCCCAGACCCTTGTCCCTTGAATGCGCCATCAGAAGTAACACAGTAACACTCATCACCACAAAATAACCAAATTCACCTAGTCCCAGACCCTTGTCCCTTGAATGCGCCATCAGAAGTAACACAGTAACACTCATCACCACAAAATAACCAAACTCACCTAGTCCCAGACCCTTGTCCCTTGAAGACGCTTAGATAACGCGTAAGTAGTAATAGTATTAGTGATGAACGAATCTTCATAGTCACAAACAGATCGTTTTTCAAGACGTCATATCGCTGTGATCAGCCTTTCTACTCTAGTGCATCTTTCTTGATGATGAAATAATTTAATAAGTATCCTCGTTTTTTATAGACGAAAAAGGAGCACTGTACATCTATTTTGGTGGTGAAACTTTCCCCATGGGCAACGCAACGCGGAATTGTGGGCTTCGAAGCTTACAGCCCTGCCCAAGAAAAAAGGCAAGTTTCTTTAAATTTCCTTTGTTTGTTTGTTTAGGCTTTTAAAAACCCTATTTACATTCACTTAAAGTGTTTTGTAAACATTGTTGCTTCACAACACTTCACTCGTCCAATCTTTAACTATATCATTTACAACAAACCTTTATCCATGATAAACTCTTCTCTTAAGTATGTCTTCCAATATTATATTATAGAACATGGATACTAGTAAAATAAGAAAGGTGGAACTAGTTTTGCACAAAGAATATAAAATGTTTCATTTTCATTTTGTTAATGCTCTTCTCATCACATATTTTTGTTAAATTCTACAGGCATCCATATACCTATCTCCAAATCAGGTTTGTGACAATCCAAATTTCTAAATGCACAACCCGTAATATACTTCATCGCATAAATAGTAATTAGCTGGTATTTTTGTTGATTTTCGATCCAATTTTTCGATCCAGATATTGCTTTATAACGAGCTTTAAATTCCAAACATATGGATTTAGGAGTTTATTGAATACGTAGTTGCATTCAGGATAAAATTTTTACGTACCTATAATACTAAAAATATGGACGGCATACTTAAAACCTTTCCAAGTATCAAGAAATAATTTTATCCCCATTTATCCATTTATTCTTGGTAGATGTATAGCCATTTTGGACAAGGTACAGCTGCGTTGACATTCAACAAGACACAAAGTATTGCCGTTTCTGCTCCAAGACAAGACACCATCTCAATACATAATGGTGTGATTTACTTATTCCCTATTCATTCACATCTTTCGGTAAGTTTGAATTTTTGTTCATTTTCCAGCAATGACACCACAACCGATTAAGTTTTAAAAGAATAACATAAATATTTAACCATAATTCCTTCATTTACGCCCACCAGTCAAATGCAAAAATTGTACCCTTTACCAATAAGGTGGAAAAAGATGGGATGTAAAAGTTCCAATATTAAACCCCGGGGGGTCGAAATTATGTGCCAAGTGATTAGCATGATCTCCGCTTACGCTAGAAATCATTGGATCGCTTCCTTTGCCAAATGACTGAATTAGATTTGGATTAATTGTTGCCATATGAGCGCTGGAATCCGAGCGAGAGATGAGATTATCGATGGCAAAGTCTGAGGTAAATTCAGTCTGCCCTATAAGTGACTCTGTGGAGAAATCCGTGAATATGTTGCCAGTGGATGGCGGAATTGCTCCAGAATCTTGACCTGTGGTTGACGAACGGGTTGAAGAGCTTGCGTTTACAGAAAACGTATCGGTATTTCCAACAAGTGAAAGAGCAGAAAAATTTGAGAAACTTTGAGGGGCCGCAGTGGTTGGTGTTGAGTTGCCATTTATAAGAGAATTTCGGTGAGTCAATGTAAATGTATTTTGAATAACTGGTTGATTAACAGGGTTATTAACCAGTGCGATATCACTACTCGTTTCTTGACGTCCGATTAGAGATTCTGCAGAGAAATTCAAGGGGTTTCCGGTGGTGGTAGCCTGCTGTCGATTGTGGCTACTGTGATTTCCAGTTAAGGCATCAATACTATAAGGTAGTTGCGAAATACTTCCTTGCACAGAATTAGATCCTATCGACCGCATTTGTTGCGCTTGTGAAAAAGCTTTATCAACCGAAGACGTTTCCGCAGTGTCAGTCTGTTGATGAGGCAGATGTTCCATACCAGTCATGTTGGCAACACTTAGAATCATAGCTGTTTGAGATTGTGGCATGAAGGAAGCTTGCCCTATAGTGTTGGATGGTGTTACTCTAGATACTTCGGTAGCTTTAGGGATGAGTGAAGCAAGATGCGTCGACGTTGAGGGTACTGCTGCCGAGCTACTTCGACGTGTAGTCGCTAGTGGATTACTTTGTCTCGAAGTATTGTTTGAAATCCTGTTGGTACTTTTGGCACCAGATGAAGTTTTTGCCACCGCATTTAGTGGCCTCTTATTCGTTAACGTTAAAGCTTGTGAATCTTCATTGACTGGCAACGTTGTAATCTGCCGTTCGTCATTCCTTTGCCTGGAGTTTGTTGTTGTCACCTGTTCTTTACTGTGACTTGATAAAATCGACGTCACTGAAAGACAGTTGGTAACAGTCGACATTATCGTCGCTGTCGGAGTCGAATGAAAAGACCTGGATGCTTCATTTACATTAGAGCCAATAGAAGGTCTACATTGAGGATAGGTAGAGTTTCGAGGTGAAGACGTTGCTCTCATTGCGGTTGTTATTAATGACGAATCACTCCAAGTGCTTGGTAATGACACTTTGTTCTGATGAATAAGTTGTGAAAGACGTTTATTCTCATCTTCAAGCTTGTTTACCTTATTTCTTAATTCCGTCACTTCTTGTTCTATACAAGAAATACAACTCAATAAAATAGTAACCGAGAATTTTTCAAATCCGATTAACTAGCAAGTTTGCCATATAAATATTATTCACATTGTGGAAAATAGTATTTTTCCTCACACAGCTCCTGCTGAACAAAATCTAGCGGCGATTAGGCAGGCTTTTCATTCAGAAAACAAAACATAATTCACTGAAAATTGAATGCATTTACTCACAATATAACTTGCAATAAAATTCGTAGTTCAATAAATACGTAGAAAGTTTTAACATGCAGTGTGTAAACATAAATTGGTTGACATTAGTGAAGAAGCAGCTGAAAACATCTGCCCTTTAAAAAGTGATTATTGATCGCAACAATAAAAAAACTTGCAAGCAGCTAAACATGATAAGTTTAGTCAAACAAAGTAAAAAAGTGACTTTGTTGAAATGACTGCGATTTCTGGGAAAACAAAAAGCGGTGCGTTATCAGCTATAAACACACAAATAGAAAATAATAAAAACGTTTCCCGCAGCTTGATGGACGCCATTAACATAAATTGCTCTTGAAAGGTCATTTATTTTTCATAGGTACAAAACAAAAGAAAAAACATCTACGCAAGAATGAAGAATAACATTGCTGTATAGATGCAGCAGGAAACAGTGATCAGATTTTTGAATAAAGTAATCAATATATTCTAGTATTAAGTGATTTAAAACACGTATTACATACATTGTAACAATTATTTACCATTCAATTAATCATCCACAAAACTTCTACGAACAAGCTCTACTTGACTTACCTAGTATATCTTTGCTAAGTTTGAGTTGATTAAACTGGCTGCTCATTTGATTGAGCTCCTCAATATATTCACAAGCTGTTTCCAACACATAGTTTTTACTCTATAAATATAATAAAAACTCACTAGGGTGAAATTGCATATTGAATATTTTGATGGCTAGTAAAATACATTAATTATTCAATACGTAGTTATTTTCGATTTTGATTGGTTAGCCATCTACAAATAATTTTTGAAATTCGTAATTATGATGGTAATGTACAAATAATTCATGGTATTCTGTAAGTATGACGTCTATCTTCAAATAATAGTTTGTGGGACAATTGTAAGAAACTGAATGAACCGCCTGACAAGGACACAATATTTGAAAATGTTTTATATTGGAGTGTCAATTGTTTTGTGTTTTACTAAAATACTTTTGGGCAGTTGTATTTATTGAGCTCAGATTTCGCATGAAATCTAGAATTATGTCTGGATGATTGATATCGCGCTCAACCTCATTCAATAATTTTTTATTACCTGTTTTGTAACACGATGGCGAGGTAACAAATCTGCTAACTTCTTGATCCAGTTTGTGATCTTATCTTTGCGACGTTTCTCAACTACATAAATTTAGGGGAATAAAGTCATTTCACTAGAAAATGCAAAATAATAGACAATAAATGGCAGGCAGGGTCTGAATTATCGTTATAAACTTGTTGTTTTACGAAAACTTACGTCTCACTTCCCCCGAATTGTCACTAAAGTGAGGGCGTGCATTTTTCATGTTGACGTACGTAGTATTCTTTAGAGATACTCTTACAAACTAAGTAACTTGAAAAATGTACTCCATCATATTTTGTTGAGAATAAGACTCAAAACATTTTGATCAAAATTTTAACTTTTTTTATCTGTACTTATACCTTTATTTTTGTAAAAATATTAATATATATCGTTAGATGACGTTCTACAGTCTTTTGCTTGGCCATCGCCTGTGCCTGACAAACTTATTCGAAAAAATGAAATCAAATTCATTCATTATTTGATTCACAACATATTTACCTTCATTATGAACAATTCTCCTTCGATTTTGCTGAGCAATGCCCCCACTAAATAAAGCAATATAACACAAAAGAATGTAGGAATAATTGTTTGAAGTTATAACACAACATATCAAGTACTGCAACATTACTTTACCTCAAGACAATATCGGATGAAATATAGTATGGTGTTTGTGTATTGTTAGGTGTTGCAAAGCGAAAAGAAAGCATACTAGTTGGCACAGGATTGCCAGGTATTGATGTCACAGGTGGTGCACTACCTAGTAAACAAAGTTTTTGATTGTAAAATTTTTATTAAAAGGTCCAAAGATATGTAATTTTCTCATTGAAAATTTTTTCATTTCAAATACTTTCAATTTAATTCAAGGCTACCATTAGTACAAGTAACAAACACTATATAGTCATAGAAACAGTTAATTTATATACCTACTATAGTTTTCATTGTGATAAACTATTAAACTACCAGCTTTAGTATTCAATACAAAGAGTAATGCGGCCTTTTTTACAACAATTGACGATAATGTAAACATGTAGCATTAATAAAATAAATCTTATCAATATGTTGTGAATCAGAAAAAGAAACCAGTGTGTATTGTTTAAAAATTCAACATTAATTGTTTATGGGGTAAATTGCCATTTTTTAATGACAAGATTTCTTCAATGGAGTCAATTGATATTTTTTGCTGGTCAACTAATGATATGACCGCTGTCCTGTGATATGTGTATTGTCTTTTTGTAGCGAAAATTTCTCTTCATGCATGGTGTTTTGTTTCCATAGAACTTAATTCATTAGCAAAGGTTATAACTGTGGTAAATGTTGAACTAAATTTCTGTTATAAAATGACAATAATTAACAACTAACACATGGATTTTCATATAGTTTTGAGGCTTATTCATTTTGAAAGCATATGTTTAGCGATATGATTTTATTAAACGTAAGTATAGACGCGATGACTTGTCTTGTTAAACATTTTGCTGGCAGGCAGATTTGAGTGTTTTATACAACACAAGCAACAATGGTTAACCTCCCTTGGGATTATTCTGAATGCCAGCAAAACGACTCACAGTTATACAAACATAATTGGATATTAGATTGTAGAAAACCTACCATTGCTGGAGATTAAAGCAGTACCACTTTGCGTAGATGCAGCATTCATCTTAGTGCAATTAATATTCAAATTTCTTACAATGTATTGCTTCAAAATAATTCTAACATGAGTGAAGAGTGACCAGACTTGATGTACAAAAATCTATCGACTATCAGAAACCAGTTGATTTAGTTTCTTTTATCACATTTATCCAACTTCATGAAAAAAATTCTTGATTAAAGCAATCTTTGTATTCTTTTTCTTTCATCCAGTGATACCATAACTGCGAAAAATTATGTCTTAAAGGTGGACTTTGAATGCTCTAAAAAGCTTTTTCCATTTTAGACAGGTTTGTTTTGTCAATAGAAATTTTGAAACAAGGAAACTACCGCTATGACTAAAAGATTTTACTGCGGGCTCTTTTGAATAGAGCCCAGTCTTCACATAAAATGGTAAATTCACGGTTTGCGAATTGCATGATTTGTGATTGTATTGGTGATTTGTTGAAGGGACCAAAATAAATGCAGTGTGAAGGTATTTTCTTCATTTTCTTTTCTGTGATATATTTCTAAGAAGTAATATCAGAAAGAGTAATTGTCAAGATAGAATGAATGCTGCCCTCTGAGAATATTCAGAGATCAAGGGAGTTGAACGACGACCCAGTAGAAAGATATGAATGCAGCAAAGAGAACGTCAACAAAAAAAGAAAGCGGCAAAATAATGTAAAGAACGGTAATCGTGGACAAACTGAGCTCGATCTTATAGATCTTTTACCAAGTAAGAGACGGAATATAGAAATGGACGAGGAAAATGTGGATGAAGGAAAAAATGCTGGATTTGGGTCACCAGGCAGGAACTTCTCTGCGTTCACTAACAATCACCTCAATGAACGTTCGCCTCTTAACGCTAAAATAACTGGTACCAAAAAACTTGTTGTAAAGAATTTCAAAGGTATGTATACATTTTTAGTCATTTCGTTGAAAATATTGTGTTATGTAAATTACCAATACTGTACATGGTGGCACATGGTATTCTGCTGGAAATGTATTGTGTTTGAAGGTCAATTTTCAACTCTCAGATGAAATCCTAAATGATCAACTCTGTCCATTAACTTGGACCCTGTTTAGATGGTTGTTTCAACCTGGTTTGGAAACTGACATTCCCAGCTACTTTTTGATTATGCAAAACAGCAAACTGGTGACATGTATCTATAGCGATAAATAGAGTATTCACTGTACTATGGCCAGAATTACAAAGACCAAATGTGCTTTTTCATTTTTTGGTCAAAAATGAATTCAATGTTACGCACATCACTGTATTGCTATCTATTTGTCTCAAAATCAATTATTGTGCACGTCCATTGCTTTGAGTCAAATGGTCTGCTTATGCCTATGGATGTAGATCGTCCATGTTAGTAGAGTCCTGAATGAGAAGGAGTGAAGGTTGATTTGTTTTTACACTGAAGATGACTACCACTAAGGTTGTTGAAACATCAGTCAACATCAACAACAACAGTCCTTCTCAGGACTCCACTAACCTGGACGATCTACATGTAATGATACTCCTGGGTTCAAACCATTTACTCTATGGTCTGCTTATGTTAATTGATAAAATATGAATTGCTGAGTATGTAAGAATTAATGTTCATTAATTCACATCATTTACTAGTAAATCTTTACTTTATTTCTTTAATTATTTATTTTATTGGCAGCTTAGCTCATAGATTACACTTGTGAAGTATGTAAACATTATTTTTTCCTCTTAACAAGCACTTCAATTCACAATTAACAACTTAATTTTTATAAAGTAAATGTAAAACATAATTGGCAAATGTTTAACTTTGACATTTTGCCCATTGTGTAAAATTTGTAAAAAATGCCTAGACATAATCATATTATCATTAAAGATAATCAACTATTTAAATACCTTGTTTTACATTGAGGTAGTTTGAAATCAAAGCCAAGTTGTAGTGGGCAGTTAAAGTTGCATTTTTGGTTTTGAATTTTATTTCTTTAATATTTAGCTAAGCCAAAGTTACCTGACAACTTTCAAGATCTTACTTGGGGAAACTTAAAAGAAGCTATACATGCCATTCACAATAAAACTTCAATATCTTCAAGTTTAGAAGATCTATACAAAGCTGTTGAGAACATGTGTTCACATAAAATGTCCACTGTTCTTTACGAACAATTGAAAGAGGAATGTGAGAAACACATCAAGTCAAACTTGCCTTGTTTCACAGAATATCCTTTTTTTATGTGACTAATAATGATATTAATTATAATAATAATAAAAAAACTTACTTAGTTAAGGTAACACACAACAGCAAATGCTGACAAATCTATAAAAAATTTTTAAAGATTCTGCATAATTTTCAAAAATTTAATTTTCCATAAGCCATCAATACCTTCCTCTATGATGTACAACAATAACCAGTCAATATATGTGAGGGCAGACATTTATACATTAATCTTTATGCTTCTTTTTCTTGTTTTTATTTCACTTTACAAATACTGTTATTCTCATGCTTTTCTTTAACAATATCCTATTGATTCTTTGGACTGTAATCTATATCTGACAAGACTAAATCATTGTTGGGAAGATCACTGTCAGCAAATGGTATGAAATTTGATTTGTCAACTTTATAGGTATGCTCATGATAGTCAATGTTCTTATGTCATTGCTTTTTGTTCTAGATAATGATACGAAGCATTTTTTTATCTTTGGATCGAACTTATGTTTTGCAAAATCCATCCATTCTTTCAATATGGTTAGTACGGTCTATCAAGCAGTTTGATTTTTTGCGACAATGAATATAATTTATAGAATTAGATATAGAGAGAAGCAAATTTTGACGTTTTATTTAGGGATATGGGTCTTCAGCTTTTTCGTATGCACATTGTTGACAATCAGATTGTTGAGGAAAGGACCATAGAAGGATTGCTGTCATTGATAGAACAAGAAAGGTTAGTTTCATGTGTACAAGTTACGGATCGCCAAAAGTGATGTTCATATAATTATACTATTTTGATGAAGATCTAAATGTAATCAATGTTATCATCAAGTTATTTAGCATGAAAAACTAGCTAAGTGATAAGATTGAGATGTAACAGTTCTTACATTGCTGCTCTATCTGTATTGTTGTGTGTTTATCATTTCAGGAATGGGGACGCAGTGGATCGTATATTACTTAAAAGTCTGCTTCGCATGCTTTCTGATCTTCAGGTGTTATACCTATCCTACAGTTAAACTGCAAGGGGAAGACAGGATTGGACTTTTATTTAAAACATTATATGTATTATCGAGCATTATTTGTGCGTGTTTTCCCCCTGGCTACCCATTTTCGTCGTTTTTACAGATGTACCATTCTTCATTTGAAAAGAGATTCATAAAAGCGACGGACATACTCTATGCTGCTGAAGGAGACCGTTTAATGCTAGAAACTGAAGTTAGTTTGACTTAAGGCAATCGTGAACAGTAACACGTACACGAATTATAAGAGCACATTGCATTTACATGAGGTAATGTTGAACAAAGTCAGTATTTCATAACTTTTCTGCAGGTTCCAGAGTATCTTGAACACGTACGCAGAAGACTTCAAGAAGAAAACGAACGTTTGCTCTACTATTTGGATCATTCAACCAAGTAAAGTATTATAACCAGTGAGCTATGCTAGCAACCATAGCAACCAGTGAGCTATGCTAGCTGAGCTCCAGTGTATCTGTTCCCTCGCAGAATAACATCATCATTATAATGATCTTTTTCTAGAAAGCAGTTAATACCATGTGTAGAGAAGCAACTGCTGGGAAAGCACTCGCAAAACATTCTACAGAAGGGTAAATATTTTAGGTGAACATTGGCTGGTATTTTTTATTCACTCGTGATCTTTCTCAAATGAAGGATTTGAGAAATTGATGGATGGCAGTCGAATGAAATATCTCACATTAATATATCAACTTTTTGGGAGAATACGAAAAGGTCTAGAGGATATATGTGTTGCATTCAGTAATTACATAAAGGTAAGAAAAGAAAATATGACGACTTAGCTTCATAGGTCACGATTTTGAATATTAAATATTATTTTCTCTATTTTAACTTATTAATTCACTTTTCTGCCTATGCACGAATTACGTTATACATATTTGTGTAATTTCATTGTCTACATATTATTACATATTTTATGTGATGACTCGACACTTTTTGTTAGGAAAGACAAATGAACACGAAAGCCAATGTCACGAGCAATAGTAAATTTGTCTTTAAAAATATTATAATTTGTCCCTGTGTCACTATACTTTGCCCAATCACGCAATCTTTCCTCCTAAATAATGCATAGTCCAAAAATATGTTTTGAATCTGTGATTTTAACTCATCTCATATCATATTTTTGACCTGGATGTGCAAGTCTCTGATGTCTTTTAAATTTTCTTATTTCTATTACGGTTTTTATTGTTTTCACTATGCAGAGATGTGGCTTAGAAATTGTTGTTACAGAGGATCCAGAAAAAGATAAAACGATGGTTCAAGATTTGCTTGATTTTAAGGAGAAATTAGATAAAATCATCAAAGAATCGTTTTTGGAACACGAGAAATTTAAAAATGCTATGAAAGTAAGTAATATAGAACAATTAGATACCAATTCTCACTTCGGTCATGAGCTCATGAAGCTTTGAATGTTTAGGACAGTTTTGAAAATTTTATTAACAAGAGACCAAACAAACCAGCAGAACTCATAGGTAAGTGATGGACGCGCACAACTTAAGATTATCGAGTTTTAAAAACAACAACGGACATGAAAATTCTGCTTCTATTTCAGCTAAATTTATCGACATAAAACTTCGAGTTGGCAACAAGGTGACTGGGAAGATTTTATAGCTATTGCGGGATGCTTGATGTAATGTAGAATGTTAAATGACTGGGAAGATTTTATAGCTATTGCGGGATGCTTGATGTAATGTAGAATGTTAAATGACTGGGAAGATTTTATAGCTATTGTGGGATGCTTCATGTAATGTAGAATGTTAAATGACTGTAGAAGATTTTATAGCTACTGTGGGTTGCTTGATGTAATGTAGAATGTTAAATGACTGTGGAAGATTTTATAGCTACTGTGGGATGCTTGATGTAATGTAGAATGTTAAATGACTGTGGAAGATTTTATAGCTATTGTGGGATGCTTGATGTAATGTAGAATGTTAAATGACTAGGGAAGATTTTCCATGTAGTAGCAATGAAATGACAATTCATTGCTTCAGTCATATCAAAATATCGAGCCACAAATCGAATTTGTAATGCTGAAGTAAAAGATTTGCATGATATGGTTGCATTATTATCACTTTTTATTTTCCTCTATTTTAGGAATCAACGGAAGACGAATTAGAGAAACTTCTCGATAGAATAATGGTTCTCTTTCGATATATTCAAGGTATTTATGGCAGTTGTGTAGCTTTCTCCTTTTTATGTCTAGTCTTCCGTGTTAGGTCTCGTATGATATACTCTATGTTGTTTTGCTAGGAAAAGATGTTTTCGAAGCCTTTTACAAAAAAGACTTAGCGAAGCGTCTCCTTGTTGGTAAAAGTGCATCAGTTGATGCAGAGAAGTCTATGCTTTCTAAATTAAAACAAGGTGAACGCAAGCATATGTAGATAATGTAGTTCATCATAGATTATGAAAATCAAACGGAAATCAGTTAGCTCTCATAGCTTAGATTTTAACAAGCGTATTTCTGTGCTAATGATGTACGCTGCATTTTCATTTGACCAGAAGCCACTGTTTTGTAATTATGCCTTCATATCAGGTGCAATACATATAAATAAATAGCTTGAGGAAGGATTAGATCAGTGTTAAGATTGGCTATCATCATAAATGCATGTATGTGGCATTGTGTCTTTGCTCCTAAGATCTGACTTGTATCGCTCATAATATATTGGTCTGGAAATATGACTATCATTATGTTTCAGAATGTGGTGCGTTATTTACTATAAAACTGGAGGGTATGTTCCGTGACATGGAATTATCTAAAGATGTGATGGTGCAGTTTAAGCAGGTTTACATCAGTATATCAAATATTAGTACAATGCATCTTATCTTGTTGCAACTATATTGCCGCTTTTTGTTTCTGATTTTTTTTGTCAATGCTTCAAGGCAAAAAAACAACCTACGTGTATTTGTTGCAGCATTTGCAAAATCAACATCTACCAAGTAATATTGATATGGTAGTGAATATTTTGACGTTCGGGTTTTGGCCAACGTATACTCCGGTAGAGATTAATCTACCTACTGAGGTTTGTAAAACATTACACTAACGCGCTTGTTTTTTTTATTTATTCTCCACGTGATGCAATTGTTCTTATAGATGTTACGCTATCAAGAAACATTCAAGAAATTTTACCTTGCCAAACATAGTGGACGAAAACTTCTTTGGCAGAATACGCTGGGACATTGTGTACTAAAAACAGAATTTTCGAAGGTAAGTTTTTGTTCTTCCACAATTCTTTGGTGCAATGCACGTCTCTAATTACAATACATGCTTTATACATTAACTCAATGTAGTGCAATCAAACGCTCCTAGCTCTGACATCCACAACCGTGAAATAGCAATCGGCAGTTGTTTGATGTAGTTTCTCTAAAAATAAAAACTAAAAATATTCCCTACGCGTGGTTCGTTCAGTTGCTTAAAACCTTTGAAAAGTCGTCAACATGAAAAATCAATTTAAAGGGCACTTGAGAAGTCCTTGAACGTCCTTAAAAAATCAAAACTAAAGAAAGGACTTGAAAAGTACTTACATATTAATTATCCAGATTTGAAATGAGACTTCGTAATGTCCGGACATATCTAAACTGGATGTATGTTTTGAGTTGCTAAATTTGTAAAACCATTAGTTATTACCCCCAAAATTTGACTTGTGGAAATTTTTATTGCGCGAACCTTGATGTAATACGTAAGCTCTATATTTTTGCCGTAATGCAATCAAATATTCCTCGAACTTACACAATAACAAGAGGCATTTCGTGATTCTGAGCTATCAGTGATGTCTTATAACAAACGTTTTTGTTTTTACAAGGGCAATACGAAAGAACTTCAAGTATCTTTGTTTCAAGCACTTGTTCTTCTCTTGTTCAACGATAGAATTAATATTCCTTACGAAGATATCCGTAACGAAACTAGAATAGGTAACTTCATTAAAATGTTTTTATTCTTCAGTTACTACGTTAAACTATTCGGTGAATCTCCATGAAAGGGGAATTGCTTGCATGAAATTAACGAGAGCCAATAATTTTCGGTATCTATATAAACAACTATTTTAAAAACGCAGAGTAGTTTTCTTGAACCTGAGGATGGTATTTAGATATCGAAGTATATCGTTTTATATCGTTTCGTAATTTTGTTGGTCCTCATCAATTTCATGTAGCCAACTATGCACTGCAATGTTTTACAGTTAAAAATCTAGCACGATGTTGAATTGTTGCTCCGATGGTGGCATGCGAAACGTTGTTGACATTAGTATCAATAAAATCACACAATAATCGAATTTTTTGGGCGGGGGGGTTTAACAAGGTTATGTTGCGTATATTTTACGAGAAATTCGTTTCTAATTATAGAGGATGGCGAACTTCGCAGAACGTTGCAGTCACTTGCTTGCGGAAAAGCCAGGGTTATTCAAAAGTCACCCAAAGTAAAGGATTAAATTCTCGAGAACATCTCATTGAATAACATGCTTTTGAAATCTGAATATGACGCGTTGAACTCAATTTGTTTGACTTATTGTTATTTAAAGGGCAAGGATATTGGTGAAGATGATACATTCGCATTCAATTTTGACTTTAAACATAAGTTATTCCGTATTAAGATCAACCAGATTCAAATGAAAGAGACGGTGAGCTCACATGCCATTTTATTTCTCGAAAAAATACGATGACTACTAAATTTTCCTAATGTTTTATCAGCCCGAAGAAAACATCAACACTACAGAGCGTGTTTTCCAAGACAGACAATATCAGGTACATGCATGAACTGCTTTTCTGTTTTAATAGTCAATTATTCTTGCAATTTTTTTAGTTTTAATATGGATGTTTCTTGTTTCAAACTATTTAAAACTTCAGATCGACGCTGCTCTTGTGCGAATAATGAAAACAAGAAAAGTTCTAAGTCACAACTTACTTGTTGCTGAAGTTTACAATCAGTTGAAGTTTCCTGTAAAGGTAAGATATTGAACCCTACTATAGTAATGTTTGCTGGTGTCCATAGCTACCTATCCTTAAAGCTCTTTTTATAAGTCAAATGAAATTGAAATTGTACTTCGTTCTGGTTGTTGTATTTTTGTTTGATCACTTACATTCATCTTCATAACAATAGCCTACTGATTTGAAGAAACGGATTGAAAGTTTGATCGAGCGTGATTATATGGAAAGAGATAAGGATGTACAAAATCAATATCATTATGTAGCATAATGCATCTGACGTCCTCGCTCAGTGAGTAGTTTCTCAAACACAGTGTATTTAATGCAGTCATAAACATTAATGACAGATGAAATTGTCTCATTTTTTATTGGTTTTCTTCAGTACAGAGTGTTGTCAGACTATGGTAAAGAATGATTTCCTACATCTTACGGCTTTACAGTTTCTTCAAATTGTGTTAGAAGTTGCTTTATTGTCATAAAAAGCTGAATTATACTGTGAAATGTGCAATTCCTGCTCACCAATATCTGAAGGTGATAATATCGCTCCATAGGTCGTGTTTAGCGTGCGCCATAATCCTTACTTAGTGAGTTTAAGTTGTGCGTATATAGCTGTGACAAATTAGAGCCATGATTTTATTGAAAGAAGAAAGAATTTGGTATTTGCTAACTGATACGTGGCATGATTACGATGCTTCACCTACGATCCTCGTTGGACTATTGGTACAAAGAGATGACCATTAAAACGTGTTGTCTTGGGTGCAGTTGTGTTATGGTGAAAAAAATTTGCCAGTAAAAATACGTGAATTCATGAGAAACCTCTCTCTTACCTAACTTGTAAGATAGCTCTTGATGATGATTTTAGAGAATGAACAGACATTGTAAGCTTTATCCTTTTCTCTTAAAAGCTCTAACTGCATGCAGTGTTCAGGTGCTCTCATAAAAAATATTGTAAAATATACAATGAGAAAGTAAGAAATAAAAATATTGATTATTGAACCACGAGTCAATTTCTTTTATGACTGTAAACAAAACAAATAAACCAATTCAGTTCATTGTCATGGCTGAAGTTATAAAAAGACATAATTTTTTCTACGTTCTCTTTTCGCTGGAAATGACATTTGCGTAGATTTTACTTGAATAAAATAGTTCTCCACAAGTGTTTTTTAAGCGATAATAGTGTTGTAGGTACGTAGTGTTCTTGTAGTTGCTAGAGATAAAAATTGTCAAAGAAATAACTTCCACCTCCGTACATTGACGTAAATTTCATACTTAGAATATTTTTATCGCCGATACAAAGCAAGCTCCTTCTTTCAATAGGCGTTACGCTACAGTTCACAAATCGTTAAAAAGAATGTTAATTAGATAAATTCCAGCTCGTTCGATTGCTATCAATTGCGGGGTGCTGCGAAAACATTCGCATACTTTTGATTATCGTTTTAGTTAAGTGTCTATAATATATTGGCCAAGGGTCCTTTCGCTTGGGTATTAGCGACGTTGTACAACATAAGAAATATTTTATTAATATACCTAATAGAAATGAAGTGGTTGTCAACGTTGGTGTTAATTATTATTCTTCAATACCATGGAGTAGAAGGTAAATTGTTAAATAAAACTATCGGATGCCTTAGACATTTGCCATTTGTCATTGCCCTATACATTTGCCAGCAATCATATCTTTTACTAAATAAGACTCGCTAAAAACGATAATGGTATTTGTTCTCGTTAATTTACACTAAATTGTCTAAGTGTGTCAAATTCACAAGTAAATTCTTCAAAGTATCACAAGCAAAATATACTATTAGCACTGATGTTATAGACATTTATAAATGTAATTGAATCGTTTGTTTGAGACACCAATGTTAGTTCCAAACGAATCCTTGGAATTCGTTAACCATGGGGTTTGTGTTTCATCCAACCAGGTTTTGGATAGCTTTAGAATAAATTTACCCGCTTAACATACTACACACCAGTGAAACGACTTGAAAATAGGTATTAGAAAAAGGGAATTTTCTCTTACATCAATCATAAAATCACGTCTGTGATTTCGTTAGAAGAAAGAACATTTTAATTTTCATCTTTTCATACTTTCAAAGCAGGGATAGTCACATTTTTAAATGAGATGTAAATACTTTCCAAAGCAACCCAAAAACCCAAGCTACCAGTTTAACATAACTCTTTTTTACACTATTTAGCGCGTCATGCAGTCGAAGATGCAGAAGGTAAGATTGTGACATCATTTATGCAGGAAACGCCTTTCAGTAATTTCGTATACACAAAAACCAAATGTTGAAGAATGACATTGCAATGCATGACAAGGAGTTTTTAAGATGCATATATAATTACTCGCAATACCTCAAATATCAACAATTTTTGAGAAATGAAAAAGAAATGCACTGTTTCGCTTCCTTGTAATTCTCTGGAGAATATTTTGTTGCTTGTGCAAAGAACGCAACTGAGAAATACTCAGTACAGATACGAATGCACATTGCTTTTGTTAACAAAGGAAGGGAACCCAGCGTCCAGTCTATAATGATTCAACTTCTTGAGTGATTTACAATTCAGTGAATTTGTGTTTTCTAAGAAAGTTTGACACCTAAAACTCCATCCATTTTACGTTGAATTCGATTCTTGTGATTTTATAACAATCGTTTTAATTTACAGGCATCATTTCCATCATTTTGCTGGCTGCCGCTATCATTGTTTTTGTCATTTCTTTGGGATGCTTTCTTTACGTCTTGTACAAACTAACAAAAGCAGAGTTATATGATTCTCATCATAGCAGGTATAGAAACAAAAATACTATGTCATTCTAGTTTACCAGAAATTCACTCAGAATGCTTTCTCGATGACTTTCAGTGATCTCGATCACTGTATGTGTTTCTAGACAACTTTATATTTTCATGCAGGCCGGTTACAAAGGACGAGCTTGACGCCTATCGTGAACCTCCAGCCTCCAGGAATGATGGAAATTATGCGACAGCAGGAGTAAGTTATCGTGACAACGAAGACACTTATGCGACAGCAGGAAGAAGCCCTTACGACAACGATGATCCTTATACAACGACAGGAACAACCTTTCAGGACAACAAAGGGGCTACAGCAGAAGAAGAAGAGCAAGTAGTGGCTACCACCAACGTAGTTGTTCAACAAAGTCCAGTAGTTAATGATGTTATGGTTCATCAAGCACCTGAGCCAGAAAAAGACGATGACAATATGCAAACTCAAGAGTTGACAGTCATATTTGATGAAAACGACCATGTTGTTGATGTTTTGACAAACACTATTTAGAAATTATCAACGTAACTGCAAGCAATTAATGAATTTTACAGCATTCTCTTCATTGTGTATATTATTGCTATATATTTATTAGTTTTCAATTATAAACAACCAATATATGTGTAAATTATATCTGTTTAATTTCATGCACAACTCATTGCTTTACTGCCAGATAAAGTTTAGAATAAAAAAATGATACAAGACGTTTCAACATTGACAATTCCTTCTAAAATGACTTAATTCCCGTGCTAGCAACTGTAAATGAAGTAGATATACAAAATTAAGCAGTGTTTTCCTTCGTGTCTTTTGCCATGTAATTTCGATAACATTTACCTACTACGTCGATTCGCTCAATATTTATGGCGACGGCAATTAAACGGAGGTAGCTTTTTCCATAAGACTGTCCTTTATCTCAGATGAATGACTGTATTTATGGGTAAGCACAATCCAAGGTTAACCATCCAATCCAACAAAAGGATAACCTTACCATCCATTAAAAGGCTAACCTTTTAACAAAATGCATCTACACTTGTGTTTGCTCGAGAAGTCGCCTTGATAAGAATTCGTTATGCTGTTGCAAATAGCGAATCATATCAGCTTGTTTTTCCAATATGCCGTTGGGCCAGGCACTATCACTAGAAAGTAGATATTATACAGACATTATAACTCCTAAGCGAGTAAACTAAACGTCCTCAAATATGCGAAGCGCAATTTTTTTAAACGACGAGATGTTATGCGAAGTATATAATAGCATATTGTTTGTGAAGAAAGGCTACCTTAGCAGGTGACTATACTGAGAAATAAGGTGCAGAAAGATTAAGAGCATTTCCTGATGGGTTAAAAAGACAATAATGGAATAAAGCACAATACAGAGAACATGTTTAGTTAAAAAGGTATGGGTAAATAAGACATTTTAGGCTAAGTTAAATCATCTTGAACATGATCGACACATGAAGAGCCGAAGATAACAAATTTGTGGAGCTCCTTATGGTTGAATGTCGATAATTTAAGTATTTATGACATCGAATTTCACCATAATGTTATCTGATTGCATTGTAACGAAACTTAAAATGACTCAATAACTTTTTTAATAGAATTGTGTTATTTTATTTCTTGAAATGACATCAAAATAAACAAGTTTTATGAACATCTTTAATGTTAAAGACATAAGATATTTTTTCCAACAGTACTGCTGAAAAAATGATGGCTAATTGGATGTTGATATGATACAGCTTATGTGATAAGACAGTCTATCTGAGCCTCTAAAAATGATTTGAACATAATACTTAGTGGAGGTCTTAAACTTGTAAACATGCTCAGAGGAAACAAAGTCGCATATCGAAAAGTATAGACGGTCACTTCCATAGTAAGATCTTAAAAAGATATCGAAAAGCGCGAGGCGTATTATATGCACAAGGTTGCATTATCGTGAATAATTTTTGCAAAGATTTTGGAAAGTTCAGAGATTTTGCAAAAACTTAGCTGGATCTTGCGAAGAACGTTCTATGATCTTGATACGTGCTTTACGTACATGACCTTGTAAAGATCATGGCTGGATATTGAAAATATCTCAGGGAAATATATATGAAAATATTCAGGGAAAATATCTTGGAAAGATAATGGAATATCTTAGCATCATTATGCCAAGAATATTTCCATGGTCTTGGCCTGTGCTTATCATGATCATGGTAAGATCATGGTAAGATATTGAAAACGATTCAAGAAATTATCTTGGCAGTATCTTGGAAAGATCGAGCTTTCCAAGGTCTTGCCATTTTAGACAAGTTCTTGTAAAGACCAAGGTAGGATTTTACAAGATCATACAAAATCTTACAAGACCTTATCAAGATACTCATTCTGGGTTGGTTCTCTCTGTTTGCTGATCTCTGAACCCAAGCATAATCGTTTTAGCCCACACTTCTATTTCACTCACATGAAATTTGAAATGGAATATCATCAATTTCCATACTTGTATATGAACATACAACATGCATTTCTTACTTGTAACCAATTTCTCCATCCACGTCCATACCAACAAAATTTTCACGAGCAGCTGCATAACAATCTGGCAAACTGTATTTTCTCTTGAATTTCATAACCTTAACTAAAAGAATGATAAAGTATTGAAGAGCAACCAGATATAGTCAACATAAAGCAACTGCTCAGATGTACAACAACTGGTCATGAAAATATAATGCAAGCAGTCCTTTATTACTTAGATTGCTTGCTATCAAGCAGTGAAATCAAATGTTGTGTTGACTTGCATATACAATATTTGTGCATATGAACTAAATGGACATATATAAAATTTTATTTTCTTCTTTCGCAAATTGCTAACTGTGAATTATTTTCATTATTCTTTTTATTGTTTTTATTTATATTTTGAATAAATAATTAAATTATATGCACATACATGTATAAAAATGAATAGGTACTAGATTGTCATCATAGATGTGTGCCAGTAAGAATAAAATGAGATGACTTGTTACTTAAACAAATGTAATACTACATACTTTTTGTAACATACATAAGGCAGTACTACTCAAACCTAAGAATTTTGCATTCATTCCCTTCATACTATGTGAGTCATGACATGCACGATTTCATTGCATATAAGAATCAGTAGTATGTAGTTGTCTCTTTGAGTTTTCCCAGTCACTTAAATGGCCTGAGCAATTACACAAAAACTGTTTTTGATATGCTGTTTCATCAACATTTTTCTACTATTATAAGGGAAATATTATAAACATAGAATTCAATACTCTTTAATTATAGCAAAAAAAACTAAAATATTTACCAATATAGAAAATGATCGCAGGGAACATAATTAGAAACTCGACAGAATAAAGAATTTGTGGAACATGATAATGATGAAAACTTGATTCTGCCCATGCATGTTCCATAGTGCAAAAAAATACCAATAAAATTGCATTTCCTAAAGGAAAGAATCATAAACATAATTGAAATAAAACCACATACCAATCAGAAAATGTTATTCAATATTGTCAGTACCATCATTACTGCTTTATACATTTTTTTAAATTCAGTTCATTGATTAAACTGAAGTGAATAACGATTAATTTTTCTTTTACTTTGCTTCCTTAAGATCAAACAAATAACTTTGTGTGTGTGTGTGGGGGGGGGATTTAGTAATTGCCCAATATAATGACATTATATTTTGGAGAAAAGTAACATTTTGAACTTACCACATGACAACACTACAGGTTCAATATTTCTCAGAATTTGTGTTGAATGACAGAAGTTGAGATAGCCATGAAGCTTTAACTGATGATGCTGAAGATCCAATAAAATATGGACAATCATCACAAGAACCCACAGCAGGACATGCAACAGTGTAAGAAAAGAAAGAGGTGGATTTATTCCTCCAAGATATGTAACCATTATTACATCAGAAAATACAAAAATCATGACTTCGTATGCCACCTAAACACAGGTCATTCATGTTACATGTCATAAATATATAGTTATTGGGTAAAACTGTTTCTGTGCATTGTATTATAGTATTATTAGACCCTTATGCACGTAAATCTTTAGTTGTTAACCAAAACCAAACAATATATGCGCCATTTTCACCCAACACCATCAAAGTAAAGCCTGTCCTCAAACCACAAAAAGACACAAATGTCATGTGAAATTCATAAAAATGACAATTATGTATGTCATCAAATAACATGTTTACTCAAAAAAAAATCCCTGATGTTGTAAGATACATTAAGTGCTGACTTCTGAAATTGACAAATGACCCCTAACATTGATCAAAAATTTACACTGGATTCAATTTGCTAGAGATTTTGAATTTTACAAAAATAAAACATTAATGAAAGTTTGTGCAAGCTAGCAGAATTATGTTACCTACCAGAAGCAGAGCCTCAAAGCAGGCAATCCACGGAAGATACAAGCAAACAGTATGATGTCTATTAACAACTGGTGACAAGAAATTACTCTCAGTCAACAAATCATCATCTGCTGTATGAACTGATTCAATATCACTTGTGGGTAGGAAAGCAAAATGCTAAAATCAAAGTCAGATGGTTCATGGTTGCATATCATGTGAATCAATACCAAAAATCAATAGTTTATTCTCAACACACCCAAAAAACCAATTTGCTGCAGCATTTGGTGGCAAAATTACCAATATTAAACATGGATAAAATTCAAGCATGAGACTGGAGAAAGGCTTAAATATTAATGACAAAAATATTTGCTGATTCAACAGATGTATAAAAATCACAACATTGTGAAAACAAATTGATAAAAACAATTATTTTGCCGTTTGACTAATATGAGTGACGCCAAAAACAAATTAATCGTGAATTAACATGAAGACATAATCAATATTTACATACAGAATGAGAAGTTTGTCCATAAGCTCTGCTTGGACCTAGGCTGACCATAATGTGCTAGTTTTATAGCTTCTTCTCGAATTCGAAGGTAATTCGAACTTGATAATTTTACGCTTACTGCTTATTAGCTTCCTTCGCTGGTTTTGGTTTCCCAGCAGCCAGGTCCATCCAGGCGCCAGGTCCAGGCAGATCCAGGTCCTGTTAGGAAGCAAATGGTATAAAGGAATGTTTCATTATATTTAAGGAATTGATGTTCAGCTAATTGATCAAACACCGGGATAAATCTCAAGTGAAAATGGGAATTGGACATTATTTAATATTTTCCTAATTCCTCTTACTTTTAATTTTAACATTTTGGGCTATGGCACATAGCATATTTCTGGGTGAAATAAATTGAAATTAACTCGTGTTTAATATACCGTTTGCACGTCGGATAAAAAAGTGTTCTCCATTCCAAGATATGACAGAAAAAAGTAAATTTCTTATACTTGGTGGTGGTATATCAGGCTTGACTGCAGCTTATAGCTTGCTTAAAAAAGTTGCAGATCCCAGTAATATAAGCATAGTAGAGTCATCTTCAAGATTAGGAGGTTGGATTGAATCGAAAAGGCATGCAGATGGGGCTGTTTTCGAGCATGGACCTCGTGGATTGCGACCTGCTGGACCAAATGGCAGAGCTTCTCTAAAAATGGTTTGTTTTTTGCACGTTTCATACAGTTAAAATTTCTTGTTCTTTTTTCCAATATCTAAATTGTATAATTTAACATTGTACTCGTTTTAAATTTTTTTCGGATGCACTTAACTTCTTATCAATTAGATCACCTGATCTATGATCACTTTCGCCCAATTTCGAACGTTTTTGAACGTTCACGAATCACGAGAACATATAATTAATTAATTATCATTCCTTGAGTTTGCCAGCTTTTTGATATGATTGTCATTTTGGCAACAATTAATAATGCTAATTACAATTAATGATGCTAATAATTATAATTGTGATTATATTGGTTACATTAATTACTCATACAATGATTCAGATATTTCAGGGAAATTGACAGATTTTAAAATATATTTTGCGCAATTGTACTATCTCCAGATTTTAACTAGCCTTACGTTGGCAGGTCTTTGTATTTGTTGACAGTGTTGGTACATTGATAATAGGGAATGCTACAGTTTCACGAAACATCGACTCTCACACTTTTACCTCATTGAACCATCAGCCAAAGCTTTACAAACATTGTTCAGCAGTTTCTTTTTTATTGTGAAACTTAGGCATACGATCTTGGTCTAAAAGATGAAGTTATTGCTGTGTCATCAGATCATGTATCTGCACAAAACAGGTACATTTATGCACATAATAAAATGCATAAAGTGCCATCAGGGATCAAAGCTCTTTTCAAACCGCAATCTCTTTTCAAAACTCCTCTACTTCCTACACTATTAAAGGAACCTTTTGTATCACAAAAGAAAACTAATGATGATGAAAGTGTATATGAATTTATAGAGAGAAGACTAAATAGTGAGGTATTTACTTGGTTTAACTAGAATAATTTCATGCGATGATATTTTTATGTTTTAATTGTGTTTTTCAAAAAGATTGCAGATTACTTGATTGATCCAATGTGTCGTGGTATTTTTGCTGGTGACATCAGAAAATTAAGTCTCAAGTCATGCCTTCCCATGCTTTATAACCTTGAAAAGGATTCTGGTTCCATTGTGAAGGGGATGTTGTTTGCAAAACGTGAGTGAGAACTGACAATTTAACTGATGTATACATTGTTTCAAATAATTTGAATAAGTTTATGCAATATTGTTTGGAGCAAAGGGTTTTTGTATTACAAATTTTAAAATGTACTGTTTCAATAACTCTGAGCAGTTTGAATGCTTCTGCTTTTTTTATGCTATATATATTTTCTATTTACATTTGACTGTAATTGCGGGATTGTAAATCCAATTTTCTGTATAATGTTGTTAGGTGTCAAAGATGTGGAAAGTTCTAATTTGTTGATTGAAAAAGCTTCAAAGGAAAAATGGAGCTTGTGGTCATTCAAAGAGGGTTTGACAACTTTAGTCGAAGCATTGGAAAATAATTTGATGAACTCTGGGGTGAAAATATTAAAAAACTCTTGTTTGAAGTCAATTGAATTTGGTTCTGAGAAAATAATCAGAGCAACTTTAGCAGATAAGGATGAAGTGCTTTTGCACATCATCTTATCAGCGCCATTCCATCTCATAAATTAGCAGAAATACTCCCCATTGAGCATGAGCTGTTGGGACAATATCTTCGAAAAATCCATGCAGTCACCGTTGCTGTGGTTAACTTAGAATATGATGGGTCAGTACTGGATGTTGAAGGATTTGGTTATTTATATCCCTCACTTGAGTCAAAAAAGATCTTGGGTGTCATCTTTGATTCGTGCACATTTCCCGAAGGTGATCGCAGATCTTCAAAATCCACGCGTTTAACGGTAAACCCACTTTTTAATTACGATGTTTTTTAATTTGCTGAATTGTATTGCTCAACATGTCGTCAATGCACTGTAAATGCTAAGAGGCTGTTTTTTGCTCTGCAAATGACAGACTCAAGGGAAAGCGTCAAGATGACAGTTTCTTTCTTCGTACAAAAACGATGTCAGTTTACACGACTAATTGATTTGCAACAGAGAAACAGCATTTGTGAGTTGTGTGACTATAAATTATTACGTTGAATGTCACCTGATCTTCAATGCATTAGAAATTGGGGCAAGTTAGCTTCTATCCCGCGCCCTTTCCTATTACGGACAACCATACTCAAAAAATTACGGTTGTCTTTACAGCTAGATAGCCATGGCTTTCCAAGCCCGTGACAACTAGTTTGTTACTTCTTCACAATCCAATATTTGGATGAGAGCTTAAGTTTGTCTAGCGAAGACGTTTTGTCTTTCACATTGATCAATCACCGAATTCACCAAGAATGCAAGGAAGACGTACATTTTCCCACTATCCAAATTTATAGTTACTTTCGATCTTATTTGTTCTTCAAAAAATTGCAGTTTTTCTCGATTGGATACGGTATTTAGAATTCTGACAATCAACGATGTGTTATCAGTCATGCCCATTTTCTTACGTTAGGTCATGCTTGGTGGTAACAATTTTGAGGAGCAATTCGGTAAACCAGACTTGGTTAACCACGATGAGATCAAACAAGAAGCAACGACGTCCTTACGCGAAGCTCTTGATTTTCGAAGTGAACCAAGTAAAATAAGCGTTACCATCCAAAAAGACTGTATACCACAATACTATAAAGGCCATGGTGATTTAATTGAAAAAATAAGGAACTATATCGATAAAGAAGAAAAACTTCCACTGACGTTGGTTGGAAGTTGGTATGATGGTGTTGGTATAAATGATTGTATATATCACACTCAAATTGCAGTAAATAAATTGTTTAGCATTTAATATTGAATAATAGTGCCAACTAAATAGACAATAGTGATTATTCATACATGTTCATGTATAAAGTGCATCCGCGTTGAAAAAAATGCGGTGGCATATAGTTATGGAAGAATTAGCAGATTTTTCTAAGTACAGAAAAACTACGTATAACTAATGTTTTCACAACAAACCTACGCTTACAAACAACACATATAATTAATGGAATGAATCTTTGTTATAGAATTACAAATATCCTATCGAACAAGCGTTGTAAATAGTACTCTCTTCTACGTAGAAAACAGAAAATAACATCGAATTGTTGTTCAATTCTGAAATTTAGACGCAAGTAAATTATGATGTACGAAAAACTGTACATGCTAATTTATGCATTAGTTAATTCCCTAGGAAAAGTCGACTGCAACGTTGACTTTCCCGAGTATTAAAGTTTAAAGAAGAAAGGAAGTATTTACATCTCTATATTGAAAACGAACAAACATTAACGTTAAAACTCTATAAAATTTCGTTGAAACCACATTATGAGAGTTTAAGGAGAAACATACGGAGGGGGCAGGCGATAACTGGAATTGGGTGGACGGGAACCTCCAGTTGCTTCAGATGAACTTTCAAATGGCGCTTGGTAAATATGTAAATTGTCGCCTAACAATCGCTCACTCGGGTCGTCTGTTGGTGTGGAACTACGAGGATAAGCTGGGGGTGGTAGGGGAGGTTTGTCATTAGGAGTAACAAGGGGTTGCTCACCATACATCTCTTTCATTGGATATTCTTCTCTAAAAATGGCGGGTTTCTTGGGCTTAACAAATATAATCTTTTCGTTCTTATTTACCTTGCTAATTCGACGACATCTTATGCATATGATGATAATCAAGCCTATGATGAAAATCAACGCAGCAACAATAAATGCAGGTATAATTGTATATTCCCACCATATGCCATCATCATCGTCATCAACTCTACCCAAAACATCCGGATCATCTGTCGATAATGGGTCATTTATCTCCACCCATGCTTTCACTACATTGCACTGACCCTCAATTGGACATTCATCAGCGTAAAAGTTCTTAAATTCTGTGTAAGGTTGCTTGTCATTGCCTTCAACTTCGTATTTACTTTTGTATTCACGTACAGCCAAAATATTTTTGGCAATGTCAGCAAAAAACCATTTTATCAAGAAATCCGTCTCTTCGTTTTCTTTATTTTCGTCTTTCTGTAAGCGAATGTCACTGTAGGTAGAAGGGTAGTTCATTTTCTTATGAAAATATTTACCAACTTTTGCTAATGTCTCAACCCGTTTTGAAACCCAATCATCGTACTGCTTTTTATCAGCATCAAGTTGGAGGTAGAAATAATGGTTGGGTTTTATCGGCAAAGGATACACATGAAATTCGAAAGCTTCAAATGCTCTCGAGCCATTTCTGTCGTGTGCAATCAATAAAAATTCGTGCTTGCCAATGATCTCCCCCATTGGTAAGGCATAAATTATTTGGCTCTTCATATTAAATTCCACCCATGGAAATTTGTCTATGAGTTCTCCCTCCCTTGTTGTCATCGTTAATGAAAGATTTTCTGTTGCACCATCCTCTTTATCGTGAAATGTATCATTTGGTACTTTGTATGCAATTGGCTGACCAATATACAGAGGAATAACATCAATAGGATTGTAAAGATGCGGTGGATTATTTCTAGGTAGCACTTGTATGATAACATCATATAGGTCTGACTTCTGATTGTCACTATCCGTAACAATCAGCGCAATCTTTGTTGTGCCCGGTACAGTTGGTGTGCCTACAAGATCGTTCGTTTTAGGTAAAAGCTTCACCCATAAATCGTCGGGTAGAGGATTTCCAGCGGGATCATATATACTTAAAAGAAGATTTGGCAGCTGGCCGTCTTCTAAATCGCTAAATGTATCAGCAGGAATGTTAAAGTAGAAAGGTTCGCCCACTACGGCGGTAAGGACATCTATAGGTTTATTAAGGGATGGACGACTGGTTGATTTGATAGAAGTAGGGATAAAAGTAGGGATGGCAGTAGGGATAACAGGAGATCTCGTTTGAGTGGGTATAATTCTAACACTAGTAGGAGCAACAGAGCTGCGTGAAGGTGATTTAGTCATTGTAGGTGTTTCAATTATCTGAGTAACAATGGCTGAAGTAGGAGCAATAAACGTCGAAGTCGGAACAGGTGTTTGTGCACGAACTTGACGTCGAACCCGAACTACATGACGATGATGAACTCTGCCATAGGTCACGTGCCATGCCACTACTGGTGATTGTAATTCGACGGCAAAAGCACCATTTTGAGATGATGATTTTAAACGATTTACTGAAGAGAAACTCTTTTCACTTTCTAAAATGTAATATACATAAAAATTATTTACCTTTTGATAAAAAAATGTAAACACTCGATAATTGATTGAAATTTAAAATGAAAACTAGGTAGTGAGATAATTCCTATAGATTTCTTTAATTCGTGGCATTCTAACAACTGAAGGATGATCAAATTTAACATAAACATACAACTCAAATAAATCTCTAATCGTAGCTAATCTTTAAAAAATTAATGTACATTCGATTTCACACAATCCGTACACATACAACACACATTTCAAACAAAAAAAATCAGACGGTTTTCACACCTGTAATACTATCACCACATCCAATCTTCCAAGAAACTGACACTCCTCTTTTCTTAGGATCTTTTTCTGTGCCAGGCCCAGCCGTTAGTAAGACAGCATCTTTGAGATTGAAAGCAGTTTTTTCCCCTTTGCCAGGCATCCAGCGTAATTCATCAATATCATTATCCAACCATTTGGAAACATCCAATAGAAGAGCTGTACGTTGGGCACCGGATAAATCTCGGGAGCTTAAATCAAACACAAGAGTGGCAACAATAATATGAGAATGATTTGGGCAATCCAAGTTTGTCTTTGAGATATTCTTGTCGGGTTCGGCAATGTCATTTGACCTTATCAATTTGAAATGATTTATATCTTCTTCAAACTCGACAACTTCGATTGTCATATAATTAACAGTGTCTACAGTTCTGTTTGTCGCATCTTCAATGATATCTAGTCGAACAATGTGTGAACCCTTTTCGTGGATTGACGGCACGCCGAGTAAAAAATTTCGTTTTTCATCAAATGACAACCAGGACGGTAACTCATCAGAAACAGGTGTTTTAAACTAAAATATCAATTCAACCATGTCATTATCAGTATACATACTGGAGCAAAAAGCAGTTAGATCTTTTACATTTACATATTGGTTTACGTATTTTCACTTCAGGAACAATTCCTATACATTTATTTTGATCCGGTGTTGAGTAACGTGAATGAAACTACTTGCAATTCTAACGTCAACAACGTCAAAATTTTCCTTCCACTGATGATGAACAATAGTGTGGATGAGTAAATACAAAACCAGAAAAAAAATTTTCCTAAGGAATATCAACATTGATTTGATATCTTCGTTCCTGCTTGAAATTAGATTACATTCGCTGGTTACTGTAATCTTTTGACTACTATTATCTGGTGAAAGTTTTCCAAAAATTAAGTTTACTCATCACAAAAATTTCCTAACTCACAGTCTTAGATTTAGAAAACATAAATTGGTTAATGATCATGCATAAAATTTACCTTGAGTGTATAGCCTATATGTTCCGTCATCTCGATAGGCAGCTTAAAAGAGAAGGCTTTTCCAACGAGAGTTGCCAGTTCTTCAGGCTTAACATCAAACGGTATCGACGATAAACCAAAGACGAAAGATAATGACAGAGTTAAAACTACGAAGTAAATTTCGACGAGAAATCTACCTTTCCAAAACAAATTCATCATTGAATATATTATATCTGGTCCTGAAAAATAATATTATCGTTACTCAAACAACTGTAGTTAAGTGAGACAACGAACAACATGTAGGTCACAACCAAAAGGAATAAAATAGCCCACTTCCATGATAAAATTTATCAAAATAAGTAACTTGAGAACACTTTAATAATATATGTTATCGCTAGTCATTCTTTCGATTTTATCTTATCTATCAACATGTAACTATAGGTAAAAGTTCAGTTTATGTCGACAAATGCTAACATCTTTGAATGTTATCAAATATGTCACTGTCGGACACCTGCAGTGCATGACCTAGCTAACACGAATCAGACTTTCCTCCTTTTGAACTTGTGATATATATATCAATAATGGTTTATTATATACGGTATTAAAATGCCACAAATAAAAAATAAAAAGTCTTCTCTTCTCAGAAAAAAGTATATATAATCTTGGAGATTTTTACTTTACACAATCAACCATCAAAAAACTCTTACTCAACATTCATCATTCCATAGAATCCACAGGAATGTTTTTGTAAACGATAAAAATTATCGTGCATGAAGCCGTTTTTTGGATGATTATTTACCGAACAGATGCTGTATAAACATGAGTTAGCCATATCCACATTGCCGAAAGCTGAGGTCTGTAATCATGTATAAAAAGACTCGGAGGACAAATTTATCTTATCGATTATCTACATAAACTTGCAACGAACATAAACTTTTAAAAAATCTTTACCGGCAAGAGTAATGTCAAATTGAAAGTAGAGTGGAAAATATTTCCTGCATATTTACAATGTTATGCATTGGTGATAAAATGATCAAGGACAAAGGGCAAAATAGCATGAACATACGAGAAAGACAAAAGTCAGGAAATAATCGGCATATTTAAGGTTAGTCGCTTTAAGAAAATCAAGCGAAAGTGATCATAGGCTTCTTAGCCAAGACAGTCAATCCAATTTAACACAATTTCAATTGCTGAACATATTAATCGAACCATAAAGTATTACGACTAGTTATAGAAGGGATTCTAAAATGTTAGCGTTAACGAGAGTTATCGTTTGAACACTATACAATGAAATACTATATCCAAACGGAAGAAAAAAATGTGTGAACGAAGCAACGCCCAACAAATTTTATAAAAATAGCAAAGAGTTTATATTCCAATAAGCATGGTATCTCAAAACATTCAATTACTCGTCGTTGGACACTGAACTGGACAAATTATATAATTGACTTGATCGCAACAATTGCCCACGAATTTATCAACAGTTTCACACGAAAAAACACTAAAAGGAATTTCAGGAATTTATATAACAAAATATACTTTAGTCGAAGAAATGCATCCTGTACACTTAAATTGAAGTTATAAGCAAGATACAATTGAAATTGTAATATTTCGGTTGTATTTCAAAATAAGAATAACTGAAATTTCGCAGTTTCAATTGTATCTTGTCAATAACTTGAATTTGTGCAAATTTTCTCGGTTTACTTTTATTTCATACTTTATGAAACTATCGTCTGGTCAAGGATTCAGGAATTCAAATACTTTAGATCGTCTTTCACACTTGTCACTGAGTATTTGGGAAGAAAATAACAGGTTCAGATATCATGGACACATCTGCCACTCGAGTTAGACAAATATCTATATATTATCTACCAGACTAACACTCAATGAAAAAAAATTTACAAAATTTTAGAACATTTCAAGTCAATAGATGATTTCCATCAAATTCTTGCTTATACAAGGAACTATATAAGCAGTTTTTCATGCGCTAAATATTGTATTATCAGAATAAAGATTAGAGAAAGAATCTAGATGAGATTAATTTAGGTTTTTTTACAATAACTTTATGCAATTTTTTATCTTCATCATACATGACAGCGTGAAAAATTTTTTAGAACTTTAGTTTGTGCTATTAGTACAAACAATACCTTTATTCGACATTTCATGATTCAGCAAGACTACAAGTTATCATACACTTTGGAGTAGAGTAACGGAATAAGAAACAGACCATGACTTGATCATTTATCACGTTGTGAAGAGATATGCTAATAATGAAATGTTTACGGCAACTTTTGCCTAGTAATATCATGTTGTGATCATAAACTGTTTCTCAAACATAATCTACGAAGATGAAATGAACATTTCAGTTTCGTGAACATTTACTGTCACATAATTTTGTTCTAAAATGAACAATATATTTTAGAATTGCAGCGTTTTTAAACCTCTGACAAAGCAATAGGCAGTATTTATTACGTATATAAAGCATACAATCGAACAGAAATATGTCATCTGATTTTTCAACCCTAAATTCTCGCAACTAGTTAATTAAGGCGTGATTTTCACTTACTTAAAACACACTCAAACTCCTTGGAGTAACGCAATTTTCTCTTCAAAATAAGAACGATCAAGTTTAGCACAAACGTCGCACCTTCCAAAGCAGACACGAGCAGAGACAAGCCACACAGCACGGACAAAACTGATAGTTAATGCAGGTCAAATATAGTGTACAAGATAAGTGCTGTTTACAATTCTATTGTTATGCAGTATTGGCTCAGAACCTATACAGTTTTAATGAAATGGCACAGAATACTAAAAGATACGATTGTGATGAAAAAGTTGTTAAACTATATTGTAAAAACAGTTTCGAAAAACATTAGTTACGCTGTCATATTACTTAGGTATTTTTAACGCAACAATTAATGTGCGCGACCACTGTTAACATTTAGTGTTAGTTTTTCATATTCGCTTTTGCTCGAGTTCACAGCAGCAAAAGCATTTTGTCTAAGATTGCCGTTTCCTGCAATATGAATAAGACAATGATTCTCAAAGGATGTAGCATTATCGTATAGGATATATGTGTATCCTATTCCTATTCATCATTTGTTCTAATCGAAATTCCTTTTAGTTTTTTCCGAATTACGATTGGACTTGAATTACAATTTTGAATATCAAGTAATACTTATAAGTATCAGGTTTTATAACGATTCAGTGACAAAAACATTTTCCTTCGCTAGACAGTCATAAATGACCGCTGCACAATGTATATTAATAACGTATTCCTGAATATAATGCAGCGGCAAAATACCAAAGTTTAACAACATTAACTTGGTATTTTTTATGACAATAATTTTCAATTCAAAGTCAGCAGAGCATGTTATTATTGAAAGAACTCAACATCGTTTGTTATTCGTGACCGTAAATTGAAACACGAAGAACCATTTGTAGACAATTTGCGAATGAATTTGTGACTCTAAAATGATTGTCATAATATTCATATTTACATGAACGAATACGGATGCGAATGTTTTGTTTTCAATTTGCGCAACGAATAATTTGCTATTATAAGTCAATGCGAAATGTAGGAATTACAAAATCATTTTAAATCGCTGGTAAATGCTTTTGAAAATTTCGTAGATGAGCGTACTGAAGTTGTCATAATACTGACAAATAAATGAATAATTAAAGAGAAATAGTATGTCCTACATTCAAAATGTGAAGTCAACAAATACTTCGAATTTCGGAGCAATAACAAAACAGACATTGACATGATGATGCGGTAAGACGAATGATCGCATATTAAAAGAGAAATATTTCTTTACGGATTCAAAACATATCATCACTTTTAATGGCAAAAATAAACATAAAATTCAAAGACGATAAACTTACCAAATTCAGAATGGACGACGTAAAATGTCAATTAAATAGCGTATGTTTCCCCATGAAGTAGCCTGCCGAAAGAAATGCTCTTTTACATTGGATTCGTGGGGTATGTTATTTTACATTCTTGAACTATTTTGATTCAATCGACCAATCGGTGTACATAGTTAGATATAATTATCGTAAGCTGGCCAATCATGTTGGAATACTATGCGTTTTTAATAGGGCACGTCTAGCCAGCTATCAGGTATCCAACACATACGCTTTGTTGTGACATTTGCATGTTGCATTGTTTTTCTGACTCGCAAAGTTGTACTTTTTGAAATTTACGAAAATGTCAAAAATTTGTCAGACCAATTTTAAGTGTATTTTATGGATTTGGTGAATTTGATGGGATTCACCGCACTGACGTAATTGATTCATTATCAAATGAAGAAATTAGGACAAACAATTTAGCCCAGTAGCAGCGTGGCCATGTATGCAACTTTTAATTAGATTTGCTCTGATGCTGTTTAGACTTTCCCACCTGTTTCATATGGTTGCAAATTTCAGATAAGGGGGTATTGTTTGAGCGCATTTGACTAGATCTGCCAAAAAATTTGCATATATGGTCACACTACCAGTAGCATACCCGGCCAGCGCATAACACGGTTTGGTCGTAGAGTCATTGAACATTGAAATCTTTACATAGCACGACTAAACTTGCTGGCTAGCAACGTCACAGGTTTGACAATGTTTGACAACAACAAATTCGTGTTTGGTATGATTTTATAGTTAAAGCATTCAATCGTTGAAAAAAAGTTTCGTAAATAAAGTTTTCAATACTCTTTGATTCTGGCCAAAAATTATTTTAAATGTTTCCATCTTTTTTGTTTAAGATAGGAACAGAAGACAAAACTATCCTTATTTATTTTGTTCATTATTGTTCTATTGGATTATAGATTTACTACACAGAACACAAAAGCATTACAATATTATGACGCCAAAAATGCAAAAAGTAAGGAAAATCTACAGCCACTGCCAATGATGTCAAACAATACAGCCTCCTTTTCGTGTATTCAAAACCACAAGATCTAAGAATAAATTTTCATACAAAGACTCTAGAGAAAACGACTGAGTTTACACACAAACAGGAAAACTCTTGGATTTCTGGACTATAAGTTAGTTCTAGATGTTTATAAACACTCATAGCATATATACGTTAGTGTATTACACGAAGGTATTGTTGTTAGCATAAAAAACTTTGAAAGAAGAATTCTCCAAAATTTTTTAGCTATATTACAGAGTACAGATCATTGTTGAGAGTTCTGATAGTTACAACCAATGTAGTTATGTAGGAGCAATCAGCAGAACAACCGTCCGCAGGATTAAAGTTCCTTGTTGTACGTTTTCCATCAGAATTATTTACAAATTACGTTTGAAAGTTATCACATTTTCCAATAGCAAAGAAGAAGAGCACTAACAAGAATCCTTAAATACTGAGCAAAGGATTCGAGCTGCTCGGAATGAATTTTGGATCGTTTTATTATCTTATCGTAAGGCCCAGTACCTGGTATTATTTTCATCATTGTTTCAGGGAAAATTTTGTTATTTTAGCTACTTATATTTATCAACTGCTACCATGTCTTCTTATTTCTTGGCTTAAGTAAAACAAAGCATTTTGCAAAATGGAAACTTAAATCAATATTAAAGTTGCAAGCTTTCCTGTTGGTACGTCTAGTGGTGCTGTATAGATTTGTTTCAACAGTTGATTTAATGCTTATTTTAACATTTCACACTAGGTCAGACTAAGTATTCAATTATAGTTATTATATATCTTAGTCTCACTTAATTTTTGGGATTCATAATTATATACAGTATAATCACCAGACCAAATTAATTGATTACGAACTTATTCAGAAATCAGAAAGCATATGTTAACTTGAGAATAGTAAAAAGCCTAAAATACTGGAAAATTTAACCAATCATTATTCTCGAAATTCTAGAAGCGTCCTATTTCAACGAGTGGTATCTGGTAACAGCCCATCCTTATCGTGATGCTCATTCCCAGCAACTGTTTGTTTCAACAGATTTGACTTATGTAACTCCGGCAAGACAAATTACAAATCAAACTACTCAGCAAATATGTTGTCCTCAGAATAAAATCTAAGCTCAATTGTTTGAGTTTTGAAATTGCACGTATTCGACGATGCTTCTTCCTCGTACGTCACAACACAAGGACAACAACCACCGCCGCTTCGTGACGTAACAGGATATTGGAAAAATATTTGTTGATGTTTTGTATTTTACGACTTACGAAATAACGACAACAAACAAGTCATGCAAAAGAAGTAAATACGATCGATATTACTAAAATCTAAATGATCGCTTAAGCATAATGCACAATTATAAATTTAATCGAACAGCTTTAAATTTGATAATGTAGGTGGAGTCGTTTCGTCACTCTGGTTTCGTTTTAAAAAAAATACCAAACAGAGACACACAACTAGCCAAAAATAATCTCTTACTTGTGATTGGCTTATTTTACAGGTGGGGCAAATAAGACTCATTTGATTGGACAGATGAAAACGTCACATATATAATAGTCATCAGTGATTGGTTAAAATTTGAAAGCGATGCAAATATTAAATCTTTCAAGCAAAGCAAAATAGATTATTAACATGTTATCACCTTTGAGTCCTTTTGCTTCGCATAATTCTTAAATTGCGAAGTATTTCTGCGTCGTTAAAATCGCAATTGCCCGTTGATCTTTCAAGCACTAAATAATACTTTTGGAAACCTCTCTGTTTGCTACCAAAAAATGAGTCGTGATCCCGCGAGAAGAAAACAGTCGAAGACATCACCGCGCCGGAGAACTACTTCTAACGAGAAGGACAATACGTCGCTATCTTGCGTAGAACAACCAATTTTCGTTCCTTCAAACTTGTTCGATATCGAAACTGTAGTATATGCTGGTCCAAAGACAGCTCCTGATCCAAGTAATTTACCATTACCTCCAGCACATTGGTTTGGCAACTTTTCACATCCAAACGACCTAACGCTCATGACAAAGCACTTACGGCAGATGTTGAAAGTAGAATCGTAGTACTTTAGCTTCATCATCATTCCATTGTTTCTTGTAAATCAGTAATATAGTGACGAGTAAGTTTATATTTTCTAGATTGTAGGTTGTGTATAAAATTGAATTTTTCTATAGAAATTGCCTAAGTTACAAAGTAGCAGGACCTTAAACTGATATAGCCATGTAAAGACAATGCACATACCCGAACCAACGTTTCCCAAAACCAACACTTAACCTTTTTAAACGAGATTTCCGACACACAAACTTTACACGACGAACATTATTGAACGTGAGTTCAATATTACAACACATAACCAATAGTACGAAGTGAAAAGAATGTTTGAAGAAAGCAAGTTGACACTACGAACAACATTGGATTAACTGGAGCTTCAAAAGACCAACTCTGAAAGAGATGCTTTCCAACAAGACAAGATAACCACACAGGCCCTTTTTAGGGCCGCCAAATGTTCAAAAGAATAAATTGTTTTTACTGTTCCAATAGACCAAAACTCAATGTTTTATATTTTATGAATTGGGTGAATTGTAGACTAACTAAGGGAAATGGTGGAATTTCAATATTCTTATTTGGAATCCCCAATCTGTTGAAGATGCATTTTAATTGAAGATTAAGAAAAAATATTTGATAGATTTGATAAATTTAGTTATTTGAAATTTTGTATATTTGTATATATCGAACTTTATTATTCATATACATAATAATTCATATACTAAACTATACTTATTTTCTATTTAAGAATTGTAAATTTAAGAATTGTAAATTTAAGAATTGTAAATTTAGGAATTGTATAGTTAGAAACATGAGTCACATGACTTAAATATGGTATATCCATTGACTTTCCACAAATTTCTGTATTAATTCTGTAGCTAAATTTTCTTATGCAATCTAACAATCCAACCAACCATGAGTGGTAAGAAGATTTTAGTCATTATTTTAGTTAAACAGCCTTGAGATGGAATGTTTCTTGGCTGTTTACAATAAAATAACATCAATTTGTATGGTAATATTATTTCTATTGCAGAAACAAATATAATAACATATCCCAAAAGCAAGTTGATTAGTGAGATTCTATTCTTTGGAAATTCATACCTAGCATTTGTGATGAAGATAATTGAAAATTAGAAAATCACCTTCACCTTATAGTAGACCTTATTTCAATATTAATAATCTTGATATTTAATAGAAATGGCAAGTGAGGACTTTTTCTTCACCCAAATTATGAAATTTTTGTGTGTGCTGTTTTTTAAGTTGTCTTGAAACTCCTATATTCTACCAAATTTCAAACCTTAAGTTGTAATTTTGTGACACTCTTGCCTGTTCCAGAATGTACACAAAACTACCAGTTCTAGTGCTCCTTCTGTACTATTACCAATAGCCATCAGCATTCCATTCGAGATACTGAAATTACATGCACAAGTTATCAAAAGGCTCCAAGGATTTTTCACTTTCTCCAAGTTTTTTACTTCATTCCTTTTAAATTCCTTGTCACTTCAATTCACAATCACATAGATCATTGCCTTCCTCCATACTGTCTTATCAATAATACAAAGCAAAGGCAATGCAACCCCCTTATTTTAGCCTTTCTATTTCTACTTTATTGACCTCATGATTTATTTTCCTGTACTTCTGCTCTGTTCAGTTCTTTTGTAATCCCATGTCTTCCTCATTGTTTTTTTTCTCTTTAACACTTCTGCACTTCTTCATTCCACTGCTAAATCTTCATATTTACTTTCCTTTTAAATAATTTTCTACCTGTCTACCTGACCACATATGCTGTAGTAGACCGTTAATCTGGAGGCACATCTTGATGATCTAGGCTCTAGAGCCTGTCTCAAGTCTTCTTTAAAACCATGCAGCACTCTTCTGCTTTTAGTTTCCACTACTTTGTCCTTTTTCTGCCTTTGAACACACAAATTAAAAAATAAAATAAGGCATGGAAAGTCTAGTATCAAACAAAAACAATTAGTACAATTCCAAATACATTAATTATAAACATTGTGAAGATTTTGAAATAAACAATTCACAGTTTCTAGCAATGAAGTATGAAATCTCAAATCGAGTTACTATATGCTTGTTCACTGATAAATCTGTATTAACAAACATTATCCTTTTGCTGTGCACGGTGCACTCCAAACTACCTCCAAAGTTATAACTATCAAACAGCTTTACAAATTTTCGGTTACTTAATTGCAGTAATTCAATAAAACAAAAAACAGAAAAAAAAAAGAAGAGGAATAATTGGTTAAGATAGTGAAAAGAATGGAATGTTTAACTGACGAAACTAAACACAATCTTGAAAGAAATAATTGGATAAAATGTCGTACAAGCCCCAAGTTAACATCATCAACTGTTGAAGCAAATTTTAAATCCTTTCCTGATGAGCAAAATCATAGAGGAAGTTCATAATATCATGGAAAACATTTTCTATATTGTACATGAATGAATCATATTAATAATGAAAAGTTTCAAGCTTGACGATTTATTTTACACATAACGTGGAAAAAAAATTCTAGCTAACATGTGGATGGGAATATAAGGAAGATGTCGCGATTGATCACGTTTTGGTTGATTGGCCTCGACGAATTCTGATGATTTTAATTAAAACCATGCAGCACTCTTCCACTTTTAGTTTCCACTACTTTGTCCTTTTTCTGCATTTGAAGACACAAATTAAAAAATAAAATTAGGCATGTAAAGTATAGTCTCAAACAAAAATAATTAGTACAATTCCAAGTGATCAGTAAATTCTGATCATTTTCTTTAAAACCATGCAACACTCTTCCGCTCTTAGTTTCCACTATTTTGTCCTTTTTCTGCCTTTGAACACACAAATTAAAAAATAAAATAAGGCATGGAAAGTCTAGTATCAAACAAAAACAATTAGTACAATTCCAAATACATTAATTACAAACATTGTGAATATTTTGAAATAAAAAATTCACAGGTTCAAGCAATGAAGTATGAAATCTCAAATCGAGTTACTATATGCTTGTTCACTGATAAATCTGTATTAACAAACATTATCCTTTTGCTGTGCACGGTGCACTCCAAACTACCTCCAAAGTTATAACTATCAAACAGCTTTACAAATTTTCGGTTACTTAATTGCAGTGATTCAATAAAACAAAAAACAGAAAAAGAGAAAAAAAGAAGAGCAATAATTGGTTAAGATAGTGAAAAGAATGGAATGTTTAACTGACGAAACTAAACACAATCTTGAAAGAAATAATTGGATAAAATGTCGTACAAGCCGCAAGTTAACATCATCAACTGTTGAAGCAAATTTTAAATCCTTTCCTGATGAGCAAAATCATAGAGGAAGTTCATGATATCATGGAAAACATTTTCTATATTGTACATGAATGAATCATATTAATAATGAAAAGTTTCAAGCTTGACGATTTATTTTACACATAACGTGGAAAAAAAATTTAGCTAACACGTGGTTGGGGATATAAGGAAGATGTCACGATTGACTATGTTTTGATTGATTGGCCCCGACGAATTCTGATCATTTTAACAAATGAGGAAACGCCAGTGCTGAGGATCTGTGTGAAACTGGAACCTGGAATTGCTGGAAGCAAAAAAAAAAGATCATCAAGACTTCATACTTGGATACATGTCAATGAAAATAGAAAAAATTACATTTTAGAAGAAAAAAAACAACTCACATGTTTTCCAACACGTGATAAATAACGGAACCTAAGTTGCTGAGCTGATCGTGGCTTTATCGATGTTTGACCTTCATACGAATAAGGACTAGTACTTTTGTCCTCCTCGTTAGACAATGTTCTAAACGAACAAATGGACAAGATAAATTCAAAAATCTGTTAAGCCCTATTGTTGGTAGTTTAGCGGTGCATATCATCAATTAAAGTCAATTAAAATAAAATGATAAACATACAATGCTGCTTTAGGTACTTGCAGCGCTTGTCTTTGTTTTGTCGACAAGTTCAGTTTCCCACCTATAGTAAAACAATGAATGGAGGACTGATTGCGAGAGTGAAAACATTTAGAAGTCATTGAACTCGTCACGATGTCTTGTACGTAACGTAAGAAAGTCGAAAATCAATTGGCACTATTAAACAGAGAGCAGTGTCGTCATAGAAATACCTTTGGCGGCATCAGCTAGATATAGTAGTATACTCGACATCAACGCCACTTGAAAATGAAATAAAACACAAAATTCAAACAAACAGAAAAACAGTAGTTTGATGATCAGTTTCAAGATTATTATTTTCTGATAATGTAAATATAAGTAATCTTACGACAAAGCCAGGCGCAAAAGAAAACTTCCAAGAATAGGTATCCTTTTGAATCCACAATCGCCCCAACAGCCATATTAGCGAGAGCCAGACCAAGGTTCTGAATGGACTGCATTCTGGGAAGGAAGTAAACCAATTAAGTGGTCAAAAGAAAAGCAGATATGTGCTACTCAATATTTAGCGAATCAATAATCAAACATTCAAGTCATACATCAGCTATACATCTATGATTTTCCGTACATTTGTAAACATAGCCACTAAACTTTTTACTCACATTCGATCACCTTATATTTGGTGATCATATTATACTATCCACTCACATTGGTGACAATACTACACTATCCACTCACATTGGTGACAATACTACACTATCCACTCACATTGGTGACAATACTACACTATCCACTCACATTGGTGACAATACTACACTATCCACTCACATTGGTGACAATACTATACTATCCACTCACATTGGTGACAATACTACACTATCCACTCACATTGGTGACAATACTATACTATCCACTCACATTGGTGACAATACTATACTATCCAACTACATTTGGTGAACATTTAACTATTCACACACATTTAACAAAATAAACGGTTAACATACTAAACATAAAATGCACTAACATTTGGTGTACTATCCACTTACATTCCGTACGCAGTACCCAACTGATTCTCTGGAACAACCAAGGCAACTAAAGGCCACAATGCACATGCAACGATAGAATACGAAATACCCATCGTAACCTATAAGAAAAAACAATGCAAAAATTATTTGTCACATAAAGTGACACGAAATTCTACTATTCAGTTTTCTGATTTCGTTGCAAAGACCATTTCATGTATAAGCTCATATAAAATGCAATGTTCACAGGTCACTTCAGTGTAATATAGAGTCCATGGATTTGCCTCCAAGTATAAGCCCATGAAAAAGGGCTTACAAATTATTCAAGTCTAGAGCTTAAAGACGGAAATAGATATATATGGTACCTTTAGAAAGAAATAAAATAACCCAATTCCATTGAAGAAGTTTTTATCTCATTTTTAAAATTTCTTTGCAATGCAATGCAATGCAGAACTGAATCATGAAATTTCGTGTCATCAACACTATAAAAACAACAATATAACACGAAGTTTTACCATTGATACAAATGGCTGCCAAAACGTGAATGCCATGTACATGTGGCAGCCAAGAGTCATCAACACGCCAAAAATTACTGCGTATATGAAAAGAAAAAAGAAGGTTAATGTACATTATGTAACATTGGAAAAAGACGATTGGTAACTTACTCCAAAAAATATTTCGACCAAATCTGTCGACTAGAATTCCAAAAAATGGCGAAGCGCAGGCGGAGACGATGAAAATGATACTATAATTGAATACAAATATTTGAAAAATGAGGGCTAATGATAGCAGACATTAAAATAAGGGTGTTTTGCACACACTTTGTGCGCTTGTAAAACAGAAATGTGTCCTCGTAAAAGAAAATCTGTATTCTTTAGAAAGAAGAAGTACAATATATTCTGCTCTTATCGTATAATGGTGGTGGTGTTTTTGTCATTTGATTTTAGCAAACGTTTCTCCTGTTTTCACAGAAAGAAAATGGAACGATCCCTTAGATGAAAAATATTCTTTCTTTCTTTGATAGTTCGCATGTATGGAATGCTTGAAAAAAGCGAATGAGCTGTAAGTTAGTTGTGCAATATATGTGGAACAATAAGGAAGCCAACTTAAGCTCATTGGAAACATGTGTCCCTATAAACGTTTTATTTTAATGCATGGCTTAATTCTACTCAAGTTACAAAATTTAACAAAAAACAAAAATAATTAAACTATAAAATCAATTCAAAACTCAATACGAAGTGAACTCCCACCCGAGTTAATCTAATACCTGGTTACAATTCTTGCAAGTGCTGGCGTCATGTCATATTTGTACTCAAAAAACAAGCTGAATAAAAGATGTGAATGACTTCAATGATAAAGCAACATGATAATTGTCTTTCACGTTATACGATCTGAACCATACTTACACTCCCAAACCAACAAACGGAAAAACGGCGACATAATAAGAGACACAAATGAAAAAAATTATCCAAAGTGTCAAAGGAAAATCTTTGATATCAGATAATCGAATTACTTCACCTACAAGATGAGATATGTGATGAAGTAAGTTGAAAAACCAACCCAATTTTTTTTGTGAAAGAAGCTCAAGTTGAAGTAAGTAAAGTCAAAGGAAAAAGACAATCTACCAGTTTTTGTCTCTTCTCTCTTTAATAATCTTTCAGCTCGTCGGTCGAAAAACGCCAATGCAAAAGCGGCTAACAAAGACAGACAGCAGAAGAGAACACCTGTCGGAAAAGTATCACATATCTGGGTTTTGTTTATCGTATTACGAGAGATGCATTGTACAAACACACTGTACCTACAAACAAAGTCCAACCCAAAGCAACATGACCATGATAACGATGGGAAAACATATCGTAGATAGGTTTCATAACATTAAAATTGACAGTACTTCCCTAATTAGACCGAAAAAGATAAAAAAAATCCAAATAATTAATAGACAATAGTTACGAAGTACAATGAACAACAAATATACAGCAATAGTCTTCAGATTGATCAAACTTGCAAAACAAAACGTAGAAATTTTGCATGAGGATCCAGATAATGCAATAACAAAAAGAAGAGAGGAAATGTTTTAATTTTTTCATTCAACTCGCAAAATGATAGCAAAAGGATGTTTGTAGCTACATTTACGTAGACCTTCTTGCATTCACTTACCACTCTAGATATACTGAGTTGCAAGCCAAATACAAAATTTAATTCTTTTCCTTTAAACCATGCAACGGAGTATGTGTTCTGTGCAACAGCAAGGTTTTCGCCACCAAGACTAAATGGTAACAGATTATAAAACGCATTAGGAATCAACACAAAATGTATATAATATATCGCAGATGAAGAAAAATCTTCGGATACAAGAGGAGAAAAAACGCGATACAGCGTTTGTATATATGAAAAGGAAAGTTTCGTATAAAAAGATGAAATTAACATTTATATGGTTTTCAGGATTGGGTTGATACAAACTATCAGAGAAGCTTCTTACTGGATAACTAGTGTTAGAAATATCTTTGTTTCCAGTAAACAAAAGTCAGTGACTATTACTGTCTTACAGTTTGACACATTGAGTAAGTATCAAAAATTGGAGACTTCATGTAAAAATCAACAGGCAATAACTGTAACTATTCCCCTTTGGAATATTTGCTTACCCAAAAATAAACCGTCCAGACTCCATAACGAAAAAATTTCCAATGTACGCACCAATTGCAAAGACAATCTATAGTAAATTCAGACATTCTTATTACCAGCACACAACACTACTTTAAGTGGCAGATGCGGCATATGCCAGGGACCTCGCGCTTGACTTTGCCACGCCCATTTTACTGAAACACATCAATTTAGGGGTTTCGAGAGTTGAAGATCCAGATGTATCGCATAATGTAGGGGCCTCACAAAGTAGGGGCCTCACAAAGTAGATCTAGACATTTAGGGCACCTAGGCCTGGCGGTAAAACAAAGGAAAATTTGCAGAATCTGATTTTTGTTGCGGTGAGGTGTTGTATGATCCTGTTCATACTTTTGACTAACGACAAAGCCGGTTTTAAGACAATGCAAGCAGTATTGCACAGACTGCTAAGTGTTGAAGTGCGCAGTTCATTATCTGACAAATTATGACATTACTATATGCCTGCTCTTTATATGTGTTGTATATTCTATGAACTTGGTTGTTTAATCTGCAGTAAGTTGCTGTCTAGCAGCCTAAATTTCCTCAAGAATTTTAATCCTTTTTATCTCAAAGCAATGCAAAAAATTCTGAATGATAATCTGTCAAAGCAAAAGACTTTAACTCTCCAATGTCCGATACTCTCTTGTTAGTACACCCAGATGAAGCTTCATGTAAATACAGTTGTTAAACGAGCAGGTGGGCAAATTCACGAGAAATCTGCATGTCCCAAAGCTCTTAAAGACAGTCTGACGAAATGTTGCAATTTTCAACATTTTTTCAACAAAGACTCCACAAATTTTCTAAGCCAAATTTTGCTATTTGAAGCTAATTTATAAAAGAAATTTTAAATTTTCGTGCGTCTAAATTCAAAGGTTTTAAGGAGGAAGAAAGAGGGATTGGGGGCGTCACCCATTGTTAAACTGACCATGCAGTAGTACTGCATTAGTAAAGTGACTTTAGAAGAAAATAAAAAACATGAACACAACATTGAATCAACTCACATTTTCATGAAATTTTGAAGTACAAAAAACATTTCAGCTCAACATACCTGACCAGATAAGACAAGTAAGCTAAACAAAATTGCTCCAAGTCTGAAATAATTCATGATTTGAATTAATAAAGTAAATGGTTTGAACCCGGGAGTATCGTTACATGTTTGTAAATGTAGATCGCCCAGGTTGGTATAGTCCTGAGAAGGACTGTTTTTGTTGTTGTTGACTGACGTTTCGACAACCTTAGCGGTAGTCATCTTCAGCGTCAAATGAGGAGTAAACGTCAGGTTAGCCGTATTTGTTATCTGGTTCTTACGTCATTGTATTGTGTGTACAGGAAATCCGTGCTCGTATCAGTCGTCTGCTGGTGGATTTGACAATCTGAATAGCTTCTTGTGTGTTCAACGGGGACTTAATTCTAAGTCCTGCCGGAACGAGACCAAAATCCTTGCAGCGGTGGTTGAACCAGAGTTGTTGGCGTATGCGTCTGACGATGCTTGCAAAACATATGTATTCGTTAGCAAGTTTTGCTAAGGTTGTCGAAACGTCAGTCAACAACAACAAAAACAGTCCTTCTCAGGACTATACCAACCTGGACGATCTACATTTACAAACATGTATTTGAATTAATATTATGACAATCAAATGCATCCTTACACTTTTGGAAATTGCCACAATACATATTTAGTTCATTAATTACTAAGAAATGAACAGTAAATTAACTACTTTATCAAATTAATTTATTCTTTGACTTACCTAATGCCAAATACTCTATCTATGAGAAATCCTCCAAGAAAACTGAGAACAACATTTGGCCATGAGTATAAAGAATATAGCAGTGTATATTGTGCTGTAGCTACATTCATGTCCTTAAAAATATTTCAAAATTTGCCATTCAGTTTACAAGGAAATTTTATCTGAATATTATGCAAATGTTGTATATAATGCTTAGTCTAAGTACAGTAACAAATAAAAAACATATCTTGGACATAATGAATTGTTGGTGTGTACTTTTCATAGTATTATGTGTAATTCTTGTCACTTTCAGTGAAAGATTAGTTATTCATGAATATCTCATTCTACCATAAATTTTAATCAATTTTCATATAGATTACCAAACCTCAGCTCAAGATCATATATAATTAAATAGCAATTAATGAAGCTTTTGCACAAAATTTGACGCACATTGTTACACATTCCACTTACTTTTTCTATTTGTTGCTGCAAAGCACCAGGATTATCATAGCAAAAGTATGAGCCTATATAAATTAAGATAACTTATAAAAATATTCATAAATGTTTGCAAATCTCCACAAATAGGCACATTACAGACAACTGCATTATAGCCGAATATTTTAAAAATTACAAAAATAGAAGCCTTTCAGTGCACCAAGATATGAAGTCTGAATAGAAGAAAATTGTTATTAATGCAACATATATATTGTTACTGGTAAGGGGAACCCCACAATATTTTCTATACTATGACACAAGGTATACACATTCCGTTCCTTTGATACTAATCTTGATTACTGTGCAACCTTATTAATACGTATCATTGCAGAATGAATAGAAAAATGACGATTTTTCAACGTTGTTTTTCTGTTAACTTCAATTTTGAAAAACTATAAACATGTTAGTAAAGTTACAATTGAAGTACTTCCCATACACTTACAGACGGTTGCCTTCTTTCAGATGGAAATATTGTTTAATTTAAAGTCATGAATATTGAGGATTCTAGAATTCAGAAAGCTTAGCCCCTTCAAGATCAAAGTTCAGGCTAACCTATCAAGCAAGTCCAAATCAGTAAGATCTAACAATCAAATAAGCTGTCCCAGAAGAGCAAAGCATTTAATTCAAGTTTTAAAACTGAGCTTTAACATAGTACCAAAAATGGAGTGAGTTGTGGATTGAAAATGAAGCACTAAATATGAATGAGCAATATTAAACGTCAAGTTTGACGGCAGCAATTACTGAAACTTACATCACCAGATCAAAGATCACCATAAAAAATTCATGTCACGTGAAAATTTACAGAAAAAAACTTACCAAAGCTCAGCGTGCATATAAACACAAGAAAAAAATAGCGATGAAAACGATGTCTGGGGTTACAAAGAGGAGTATTGCCACATCCTGTAAGATCTTTATCCTTTTCTTTATCCAGCAATGGTTCAGTTTCATCTGTCTTTGCTCTGTTTGGTGATTCCGCCATAGTTGTCAATTGTCAAATCCAATTTAACCAACAGTACATTTTTCCATCCAGCAAATGAACAGGATTCATCAAGTCAAATCCGTTGAGCAAGTCCATCAGACCTCATGGTTGCACGAAGCCTGGATAGCGTTATCCAATTGATAGCGCGAATTTTCAAATTTGTAAAAAAGGTGTTTGTGTTTGTCTTAGGTCTAGGAAATTTCATCTTTATGCAATCTCATCTAACCTAGTCCGTGTACGACATGGGCATGGTTCAGGATGTTATTTTTAAGTATTATTTTTTCTTGTATACGTGTTTTGCTTTGATGGGAAAGCTTTAAGTACAGTTTTTAAGATTTACAGTTTACCAAGCTCCGACGTTTGGCAGATGGGAAACTTTCATCACAGTCTTACAAGTACAGAGACTAACATAAGCTGTGATGATTACTGATTTACTCTGAAAACCAATAAACACAAGCTGTAAAGTTTCAGTAAAAAAGAATAAGGAAATTTGTACCATCTTGTAAGTTATGGACCTTGGTTACACAGATGATTGGGATGATGACGATGGATTTGACTTCGGTGATTACTATGACCCAGATTATTGCTCTTCGGACCATCCCATTAACAAATCTGTCAAATACCAAAATGTCCCAAGCGAAATTAACCAGGATTCAACAAAAGTATCTCGACGCTCCGGGGGCTTCGGGTCACCATCTACTTTAAAAACAAATGAAAAATTAAATCTCACCGCGGGACTCGGCAGAGGGAAATCAGGAGGTTTTGGAGGAAAAAATACTCGTAGCAAGTTTCAGTCGAAGAAAGAACTGGAATCTCAAGGAAAGAAAAATAAAGAAAATGGAAAGTTTTTGTTTTCTCGCTCTAATGACAAGATGTATGCATCCTAGCTTCTGTTTTATTGCAGTAACGTTTTACTTTGTCATTTAGGGGAAAAAAGGTGCAAATTAGAAATTGCATACTAAACGTTTGCAATGATGAGAAGATTTTCTCTAGCAATAGACAATTCCTGAAAATTAGACATTTTATTTTATATGTTTGTACATATTATGATAATGTTCACTTTTTAAGGATTGCCTACTGCCTTTTGGGGTTTTTTTAATACTCTTTGGCAGTTGTAAATTATGAGTTTACTTTTTATAGAAAAACAATTCATCTTGAGGAAGAGAAAAACCACAAACTTGCTGAAGATTTTCGTGCAGCTATTACCAATGGCAATATTGATGCTGTGAAAACTGTTCTGACCCAAGGTACAGTAATCGAAATTGAGAAAAATCCAATTTGCCACACAACTGTGTTGTTATTGGTGATGAAAAATCAAATTTAAAAGACACAATAACATGTTTTCTCACTATAGGCTTGTCAGTAGATAGTCTTTTGAAGTCCAGTTGGACAGGGCTAATGTATGCTGCAAACAATGGCCTCCCAGATGTGGTTGCTCTCTTAATTGAACATGGTGCTAATGTGAATTATCAGAAAGGTTTAGATTAATCAGTTGTATCAATAATATTCAGACTGTATTAAGTTCGCAGTCTCATACAAGTACTGTTAGTGTGAAGGATGAGGTGGATATTAGTTTTTTTGTCAGAGTTAAAATCCTTCACAAAAGATAAATGTCTGTGGTTGTTGATAGTAGCATTCTTATATCAATATTATAGCAAAAATTCAACACTCTATTTTGTCGAATATGTATTCTCCTCCCAGACATGTTCACAGTGATCATGGCTGCATGCTCATCAGATTGTGAAGCTGAGGATGAAGTAGCTGAATGTCTGAAAATATTGATTGAGAAAGGAGCAAAAATCAACTCTCGTGATAGGTAGAAGATTTTGTACTAAATAATGATGAAACTTTTATACAAGGGATGTTCATTAAACCTGGTGAAATAATAATTAAGTTACTAAATTTCACTTTTGTACAAAATTTTCTCCTTTGAAAATACATTCTACTTGACTATTAATATTTATGTGAAATTTCTGCACGTTTCTCTGCTAATATTTTGAAGATATCACATGACACCACTGATGTACACTTGCCGAAATGGACGAGAAAAATTGGTTGAGATCTTACTACAGCAAAAACCTGATATAAATAAACAAGATCAAAGAGGATGGACGGTATGAATATCATAAAAAAAACATCAATTTCTTAACCATAAACTCATGAATGTAATTTCCGTCAAGAGGTTAATGATTGAGAGGAAACAGAAATTCAAAACTTTTTTTTTGGGGGGGGGGGATTTGCGAAATACGTAAAATCCTTTGTATCATTGTCTGTGCACGATAGATCCGTAAATCTTAACAGTATGACGTATAAACCACTTACAGCACGCTCTTAAAACATTGGGAAAGTATTTGTGACTAAGCATATTTAAGTATGACGTATAAACCACTTACAGCACGCTCTTAAGACATTGGGAAAGTATTTGTGACTAAGCATATTTAAGATTGCGAAGTCAGTTGGCAAAAATCACTTACAGCACGCTCTTAAAACATTGGGAAAGTATTTGTGACGAAGCATATTTAAGATTGCGAAGTCAGTTGGCAAAAATCACTTACAGCACGCTCTTAAGACATTGGGAAAGTATTTGTGACGAAGCATATTTAAGATTGACGTATAAACCACTTACAGCACGCTCTTAAGACATTGGGAAAGTATTTGTGACTAAGCATATTTAAGATTGCGAAGTCAGTTGGCAAAAATCGATCATTCCAGAGCGACCGAACTTTTCGTAACTTTTTATAGCCAAAAACGTTGATGTTTACGTAGAATCGAAAGATTACAAACATCAAGTTTTCACCATATTTATAAAAAATGTTGACCGTTTTTTAACAGTGAGAATCTTGTCTAGCGTTCAGTTTTTGTGCAACCAAATTCAATGTCTTCATTTCACAAGTAGAAGCTAAACCGTAAAATTGTGTTTTTGTGATTAAAACTTTTTTCTTCATACAAATGTTGAATCGAAAAATCATTTAGCTACTTTCGCAAGCAATAATTTGTTTCTAATCAAGCTTTTCATCAAACTAAACTATACACAGGCTCTATGTTGGGCTGCAAGTCGAGGTCATGGCCGCATAGCTCGAATGTTAATCGACAACAACGCGAATCTTACATTATACACAAATGATGGACAATCTGCTGAGGATTTGGCATATGAGGGAGGATTTACTACCGTAAGTAATATGTATCAGATTAGCTCTTGAATTTCTACTTTTCACTAGTTTTTATTGTTTATGGATTGATTTAACTTGGTTTTAAATAAAAAATTTCAAAAAATTTTTCTTTTTGATTTAAAAAAATTTTTTAAACAGTTTGATTGTTCATCTTCATGCTACATGCCAGTTTTAAGATTGCATTTTGTGGAGCGATTTCATTTCTTTTTTTCACCTTTCTCTGCAAAAAGTTTGTGAACCTCATAATGAAGTAGGAAATGTTTCTCATAGTTTTTTAATAATTTGTTTAGCTTGCTGATGTTTTGAATAACCTCGTTCACCCAAACAGATTTATTGATCAAAACATGTGAGTGCGTCGTATAGATTCGAGTAAATTAATAAATGTTGTGTAATAAACGAATATTTTTCATAAAATTAGACGGGGAAATGAAATATGTGATACCTCAGGCAAAAGGTAGGTTAAGTTAATACACTATACAGTGGACAAACGTTGCCTCAATGTATATTTTTGTTGTATGATTGTGTTTGAAGTCACTGTCAGGCTCTAATGCTTGTTGTAAATAACTAGAACAAGTCAAGAAGCGTTACCATAGCTTTTTAACACGGTTTTTTCGATACGAAACTAAATTATTCAACTTGTTGTTTTGTCGTTGCTCTTTTAGCGTTTGTTTTTCTAATCTCTGAAAGAAACTCTGCACTATCCTTGTATCACTAACGGTTATTATAAAACGTTTTCATTGCAAACAATTTGAAGTCTTGAACTTTTTTCTAACATTAAATGATTGAAGGGAAACAGATATCCTTCTTTGCCGTAAAGCATATATGTCAAACAAGATCCAGTTGTGAACTCATTAGTTGGTTGAATAGACAGCGAAAGTAATATTCTTATTCTATTGGCATGTTGTCTGTCTTCGTCTTTTATTTCTATAGAAATTAAACTCGTTACCTCAATGACCTTTACCGGCTAGTTGTCCCATAACTATGGGTAAAATCAAAATAGCCAATACACAACCATTGACGTAACACCGTTGACAATAAGATAATTGCCAATTATAAACCGTGGACAACAAGTGGTTATGTAGACTATAGCTTGTGATAGGCTCCATGATTTATGAATCAAAATTTAATGAGAGTAGATAAGACTTAGTCTATTTCACGAAATGAGGATCTTGTAAAATATATATTGAGAGACAAAATACAAAGGTCATTCGTTTACGAATGACAAACAACAATAACGGTTGGTTCCAGGCCCCTTATTACTCAACGATTATCCCATTATGCTCTATCCCCCCCTAAGTCTTTACTAGTATAGGAAAGCGTAATATAAAGTTGTTCTATGATATTTGTTCATCCTCTCAATTTTCTAACAGCCCTTTCTTGTTGAAATCGAGTAATCTGCGTAGAGCTAGTGGTGCTTTCTTGCTTGGCTTTGTGGTCGCTGGTGTAGGTTCACTGGCATCTTCAGGTATTTTGGTTGCGTTTGGTGAAGTTCCATCTGCGGTATCTGTGCTCGGTAGTGGTGCTGGCTCCGGGGTGTCAGTCTGTGTCGCCGGTCTTAGACATGGTAATGACGGTGTTTGTTTTCTGCTGGCTGTCATTTTGTTGGGAGTAAGGTTCTCCGTTGAGACTTTTGGTATCAGCAGCAGGTCCGTATCAATAGTGTTTTTGGGTAACTGCTCTTGTACAGGTGTGAATTGCCGCAGAAATTTTCTGTTTCTTAGTGTAATTCTGTTGGACCCGTCGACTTTGACGCGGTATTGATCGTGTTGAAGAACTTCGATGACTGTTCCAGTCTTGTCCCATTTGGTAGGGTACGGTCCTGTTTGGTTCTGTATTCTTACGTGATGTCCAATGGACAGAGGTGGTAATCTTCTTGTGTGTTCTGACCAACGTTCCGCCGCTCTCATGTGCCGGTTTCGTAAAGCCTCCTCGCGAGCATTGAGTGTTTCCTCCAGGTGACGTGTGGCCTATAACGGCCGGGGAAAATTGGTATGAAATCCTTAATGGGTCTACCGAAGACGCATTGGGCCGGTGATAATTTCGTGTCGGTATCAGGCGTGTTACGATATTGTAGAACAGCAATTTGTAAGGCGTTTGTGTTGAGGCTACCAGTGGGGCCGGTATTGTTCGTGATGAGGCGTTTCACAGTTTTAACGGCAACCTCCGCGCGGCAATTTGAGTGCGGGAATGCAACGGAGGCGAGGCGGTGGTGTACTCCCCATTGTTTGAGGAACTGCCGTGTTTTGACGGCGGTGAATTCTGGTCCGCCGTCAGTAGCGCATTCGTCTGGGATCCCAAAGGTGGTGAAGACGCGACGTAGGCAATTGATTAGTCCGTCGCAACCGTCTACGATTACGAGATAGTTGGATCCTTTGTAGTGGAAATAATCCGCACAGATGCACTGAAAGGGGTAGGCTGGTGAGATGGTCGGTGTGGGTGGTGCGCTGGGTTGGGATGGTGCCATCCGGTTGCAGTGGTTGCATTGCGTACGCATTGCTGCAATATCTGAGGTGATTCCCGGCCAGAAGACTGAGTCCTCTGCGCGGGATGTCATAGATGATATGCCCTGGTGTGCCGAGTGTAGAACTTCCAGGATATTTTGCGTAACAGTGGTGGGATAACCACACGATCTCTGTACATGATGACGCCGTCCACTGTGTAGAGGCTGTGGCGGAACTGGTAGTATTCTTGTAATGGTGTTGGCAGGTCATTACGTGAAGCTGGAAAGCCAGATTCAATGACATTCATGAGATCGTGCATAGTGGTGTCGCTTGCAGTTGCCATGCCCCTGTCCCAGGTTGTGGCGACGTTTGTAAGTGCTAGAAGCGAGTGAAGCGATGGTTTCGTCAGCCGGTGTGTATGGTAGTGTCCTTCAACTCTGCTATGTCGTCCTGGAGGTAAAGCATGGTGGGGTTCTCTGGACCTGTGGGTGGCGGGAGATCGCATCGGCGGCTTTGTGACGGATACCAGGGATATGGATCATTTTGAATCTGTACCTCAGTGTCTTCTCCTTGAGATTACGTAGGCGGGGGTTTGGGATGTTTTCCAATGACCGATCACCGAATAGTTTGAGCAGGGGTTTGTGGTCTACGGCGATTGTGAGGTTGGTGCAACCGAGCACGAAGAACCTGGCTTTGTCAAGGGCGTCTGCGACCGCCAGTGCCTCCCCTTCTATCGGTGCATATCGGGATTCAGCAGCATGTGAAGCGGCTGCCGACCAGGCTGATCTTCCACCCGGTGTGGCAGCATAGTGGTCCAGTCGACTGGCATTCACAGTGTTTTTGCAGTAGCCAGAAGCCGATGCCGTGTTTTGACCAATCAGTGGCAAGACAAGTGGGACGTGTCTTGTCAAAGATGCGAACGCCCTCGTGGATTTCATTTATGATAACGGATTTGGATTCCTCAAAGAGTGTGTTAAGTTCCTCGTCCCAATAAAACTTCGCCAGGTTTTAGCAGTTTTCTAAACGGTAGCATGCGTTCAGTGGCTCCAAATGCGTATGAGACTTGATTGATCAGGCCAAACCAAGAGCGGATGTCAGTGATACTGCGCGGCTTTGGGAAATGGCGAATAGCATCGATGAATTTCCTGCTTGGGCGAACAGAGTTTGATGTGATTTCAAACCCTGCGAACTCGACTGTGTCTGAGCCAAGACAAATTTGTCTGGGTTGAGGATAATGCCGTTTCGACCGCAGATATCTAACCATTCGACAGCCTGATGAAAACTTTGGGTGAGGTTATCTGCCCAAAGTAGGGTATCGTCTATGCATTTGGTTTTGTTTGGAATGTGTGATACAATCTCATCGAACCGGCGTGAGTAACCGTCCCCCGAGGCAATGTACCCTTGTGGCGCTGACTTATACCGATAGCGACCCCATGGGGTGATAAAGGTGGTGAGGTGTCTGTCGTCTGGGTGAAGGGGAACGCTGTGATAACCGTTCCAGCAGTCGAACACTGACTTCTTTTTGCCACTGGGAACAGAGCGTGCCTGGTGAAAAGGGCTCTGGGTGTGGTGGGTCTCCCTAGTGGCGTTTGCATTTAGTGCCTGTAGGTCAACGGTTCGTCGTGGTTTACCGTTCTTTTTCGCACAGATGACCATCCTGTGGCACCAGGTGACAGGCTCGCCGATTGGGACGGGTTCAATCACGCCGAGGGCCACGTCTTGGTCAAGGCCAGCTTTCACCTCGTCCTGCCAGTGTAAAGGGACTGGGATTGGTGTATGGTGTGCTTTAGGTTTCGCATTTGGGTCAATCATGAGACGCATTGGTGGACCTTCCATGCGTGGCAGTTGTTGTTGCTCGCAAGTGTTAAACGTGCTGGACTTGTAGTGATGGAGCAGCCAGTCCTCTATTTTTTTTCGGTTATCTTCGATTGCAGGGAAGGGCAGTACTGTGGGTTTAGGTGGCGGCAGTTGGCGACGTTGGCAGTCACATGTGCTTTGATGGGTGTTCTGCTACAACGTGAATAGACTGGTTAGTATGTATGTCTACTGACATTGTGTCTCCCACGGTGGGGAAGCTGTTTGGGATGATTCCCAGGCGGCATGTCTCACGACTGAGGAAGAGTTTATTTGAGTCACGAGTGACATATACAATTTGACGGCTCTCCAACACTCGTCCGTCTTTGGATTGACCAGAGAATCTCACGATGGCTGCACCGATGATATCGATGCCATTGTTGTTCGCAGCATGCATGCATAGTGACTGGAAGCAGGTCTTTCTGGCGTAGTCCTAGTCGTTTCATTATATGCATGCTAGCAAGGCAGCTCTGGCATCCAGTGTCCGCCATAGCATTCAATGTGACTGAGCGATGTCTTGTAGAATGCAGGGTGTACCCGAGGGCTGTGTAGTCCTCTGGGTGACACCGCATTTATATGGAGGAACGGTTGGGATTGTGACGGTTTTTTCACCCAACGGTCATTCATGTCATTGTAAGTATGGTGGTCTAGCAGGATTCCGTTGTTGCAATGCTGATGGCTTTTTGTCATGCATAGGTTGTCAAACACTGCGTCCTCTTGGTCTCGGTTTGCGTTGTGTTTTGCGTCCCGACGCTTAGTTTTGTTTTTGCTTCTGCACATGGAGGCGTTGTGGTTAGGGCGTCCGCAGCTATCGCATGTTTTGCCGTAGGCTGGGCATTCCTGTCGTCGGACATTGGGTGGGCGTTTCTACCATGGCCATGTTTGCCACAGTAGGAACATGGCCCAGTTTTATTGGTTTGCACGCCCTGGGTCATATTGTCTTGTTTGCCGCGGCGATATTGGCTTCTGGTAGCATCGATGCTTTGGCTATTGAGTAGGTGGGTGGCCGAACGTCTGCCGGCTTCTTTGGCTTCTATGAACAGAAATGCCTCCTCCAGTGTCATATTTTGATTTTTATCGCTGAGCAAGTCTAGTTGGATGTCGCTGTCGGCGATTCCAACGGTTAATGCGTCGCGTAGGATATTGTCTGTGTAGTTGATTTCTGTTGCGCAGTTGGTACAGTTAATCGTAAACTTGCATACGCTGGCTTGTCCACGAAGACGTGCACCGAAGCTGCGGATAGTTTCGTCACGGTCCTGGCGCATGTTGTGTAGTTTGATGCGGGCCACCATTGTGTTTTCCTCTCGTACAGCGAGTTCGCGGATTGCAGCCATGACTTCGTCGATGGGTTTGTTGGTGAGGGTACCGCCAGCGTTTCTGGTGAGGTCCTTACGAAGCGTTTCGTCACAGCATTCGAGTAATTGGATTACTTTGTCTTTGCCGGTTATTTTTGTGGCTTCGACATAATCCTGCCAGCGCGTTTGGAAGTATGTCCATTCCTCACTGGACCCAGCAGCGGATATAGTTGGCCGTCTGACCTTTTCAATCTTCGCCGTGGCGTTGATGCCCGTGCGTGTGTTCGTTGCTTGGCTGTTATTGTGAACGCCGGTCGAGTGGATTTGCAACAATACCGCTGCGAGTTGGTCCTCAGCTTCCTCTGTCTCGTAATCGCAGTCTGGATAGGGGCATTTGTACTTCGGCATTTTCGTGTACGCGTGAGGTTATGACCTGCCTCTGGTGGATGGGAAGTACTCGGAGTAATTCAACGCCGCCGGAAAAATGGCGCCAAATATCAGCGATCGATAAGATGGTGGTGTTTACTGCAATTTTTCTTTATCTCGGGTCAGAAGGGAGTGTTATTAACGCCTTTACCGGTGCTGCTCGTTACTTTGGTTGTATGGCTGCCTTCGGGTTAATAGATTTCGTAGATCCTGCTCCCTTGGCCAAATAGGTTCCGTGTTGTTGCTGATGGCGTGTCGCGTTTCGAACTACTTGTAGTGTTGGATTGTCCGATCTTTTCGTCTGTATTTCGCTCGTCTGCCGTTATAGGTCGTTTTAATTGTTGTTTGTCATAGATAAGACTTAGTCTATTTCACGAAATGAGGATCTTGTAAAATATATATTGAGAGACAAAATACAAAGGTCATTCGTTTACGAATGACAAACAACAATAACGGTTGGTTCCAGGCCCCTTATTACTCAACGATTATCCCATTATGCTCTAGAGAGTTAATGGAGAAATGAAATAAATATATGAAACATTTTATGGCTGATTCAAAAGGCAGTGTTTTTTGAAACTTTGCACTATTCTTGGGTTCCTAGTTCTAGTTCCCAGTGTACTTTCTTTCTCTCATTTTAATGCACAAGTTTTTTATAGAGACTGTGTCAGATTTGGGGATTTGGAGATGTTTTTGTTTGGCTTGGAGCTGGGCCATCTAATTCCGCTTCTGCAGGTGAGATCATTATAGAAATATGTTAAAGATACTTTAATGCAATTCGTGTTTATACGTCATGTTGCATTATTTCAGGATGTAATTTACTACGATCTCAGACCCCTTCTATGGATTTTTGTGTAGTAAATGTGTATTTTAGTGGCGAACACTATAGATAGAAAATGTTAGATCACTATAAACTTGGAGCAAAATTGTTCAACATATGCAAACGACTAAAACGAGCACATTGGATTGAATGTTGGAATAATTTTTCACGGCATGTTCCGTTGATTTGCTGATTGTCTAAATTTCTTTTACAGGAACATAAAATAAACTTTGAAGGACTTCTTCAGTTGACAGACTCTGAACTGCAGCAGGTACTCTATGTTGCTATTTACAAGTTACAACAATATCAAAGTGATGAGCTTTACAAAATGCTCCATTTTCTTTTTATAAATATCATTTTCATCGCTTTGTACAATTCATGCATGCATACTGTATATCTATTTAATGAAAGGTACGATGATAGGTAGCAAGCTGTTTCCGAGTGTTAGCATTTCGCAAGTAATAAGGCTAGGATCTAAGTTTATCGGATGTAAATTACCAAGTGATATTTACGAGGTAATATATTTTCTAGTTAGGAGTAAGTCAAGTTGGTGTTCGAAAAAAGATTCTTTCTGCCACACACGATGTTCATACGAAGGAATGGGATTTGTCTTTGCTGCCGTCGCAAACTTTGGATCACGTAAAGTATGAGATTGGAATCGACAAAATTTGCGAAGTTTTACAACTTTATGTAAACCTTGGTGTTTTAGTATGAAGGTGTTTGTCAATGTATACCTCTCTCGTCACTTTTGATTTATTCTCTCTGGGTAAGCCATGACGAATCTTTTGTTTCTATCTCTTTTTAGAAATTACATTCTCTTGTTTCAAACCACTTATCTTTATTTTCCCTTTCAGTGCATCCGAATTTGTCGTCGTTAGTGTTTCTCTAGACCTCTTATCTGGCAGCTCCAACTACATCATCTTTATAGCATAAAAAAAACTGTCTCTTTGCTGAACATATCCAAACCATCTTAGCTTTATATACCAAATATGTAGTGCTTGTGATAATTCTGTCTAACCGTGTCACTCTCAAAGAGAATCTTAAAGCTTCTGCATGCTTTTATTGTATTTCTGCTTTTATTGTACTTTGCACATGTCTCTTTCCCATAACTTCATTTTATGACTCATCAACTTTATTTATCTGTAGTTGCTACAACTCTGCACGTCTTCTTTATTCTTAAATTCTCTTACATCTTCTCACTTTGTATCTTGCATCTAGTATCTTATCGAGCAACGTTTGATTAGCACTAAAGTCTTCTTCCCTAGACACATCCACCGGTATATCATCAAGACCTAATTTTGTCTTTGTTCGACTTCGCCATTTCCTGATCTATTGCGGTTACTTCAACTCTTTCTTCCTTCATTTCATATTCCTATCTTACTTCCGGTGTCTGTCGAAACATTTCCATTCTTAATTACCCTAATCTGCTGCCCATCATTTCCATCTTTGTTTTTCTGCTTTACTAATGTGATTTAATCATACTTTTTTTACTACCCTACTATTCAACCAATCATACAAATCATCTTGTGCACTTTGTTTAACTTTTTGCAGTACTTTTAGTTTTACCGATGGTGTATCTTCCTGTACTCCTCTTTGTTCTCTTAATTCTTCTCCCTTTTCCACGTATCATTTTCTCTTAACGTTTTCCTCCACGTCCTTCTTCCATTACCAAGTTTCTTTATTCACTTTCCTTCCAGAAGGCTTACTAAATACTCTACTATTGTACTTTTCTCCGTGATTACGTTTTCTGTAGTACTATCGTCCAGTCATCTGCAATTGTGTATTAACCACTTATTCCCACTGTAAACTTTTTGTTAGCAACCATATAGCACTCTTTTCAGTGCAAAGTTTCTATGGTTTCAAAAGTCCCTTTTTTCGTGCGAAAATTCAAACAATACTTACGTCGCGTAAAATTTTCCTACCAGTTCATGTTTGCCGAGATTTAATGTACTTAGCCAATGCATCGAAGGTGTTTAAGAATTGTCCTTCTTTTATTATATTTAATTTGCTGGTATTACATAAATGTACACACAATCTTTAAAGAACAATCTTCATTTTTTTGTGTAAGTACATATAGGCTACTGCATGTCTGTTGATTTGTGAGATTTTATTTTATTGGCTATTAGACCTTTGGAAAATTTCAGAGCATGTTCTCATAAGTATTTTTCGGTTTTTCCCTGGCCTGCATGAAATACCATTGATTTATAAACCAAAGCTCTTTGTTTTCATAAAGATTATACAAATGCTAGTATTGAGTATTATCAAGGTATGATATTGTATGGTTACCAACCTATAGCTTGTAAGTTCTTGTAATATGTTTTATTTCAGGAGTAAAGATCTGCATCTAGTTTTGGCTAACGTTGCGAAACATCTTCAATACATAAAGTGCAGTGTCGGCTATGTCATCAAATCTTTAAAACAATCAACTAATCCCAATAGTTTTGTGCAGGTAATTAATTTTTATTCTATAAGGTTAAGTAATACTTGTTGGTAGCTATTTGTTTCAACATCATTAGAAACTGCATAGTTTTTAAGTTTGAAGTTGATTTTTATTGTTAGGATGGCGAGATTGCTCGACAGTTTGTACAAAGGGCTGAAGATATTTCTGCTGAAGTTAGTGGTTTATCAGATGAACTTACAAGGTTTCGAAACTCGATTACCGAGGTAGACTCAATGCTTTATAATTCTTCGTTACATAAAAATTTTTAACTGAAAATTCATTTTGACTTCGATAGTCATAATAACATCGAATGATCGATAAACGTTTTGTTTTCTAAACGTTAGCATTTGTATAAACGATCTCTTTTCATTCAAGCAAGCTGTTTTTCTCTTCAGCTATCTGCAAGTGTTCCAAACTTTCCAGCTGATCTCGTATCAAAAGAATCAATGAGAGTTGAGAATAACAAAAAGACATTATATTTACCTATCCTCCTAGTTAGTGGTTGTGTCGTCCTTGGAATTTCCGTTGTTTGCCGTTTGAGAGATAAGTGACAGTAACTTTTCTTTATATTCTTATACCGTACGATTTTGTCAACACTTGTTCGCATGACTTAGCTGTTACAATGACGTTTTCTCGGGGAAGGAATATGGCGGCTTATTCATACACAATAACTTGTGAATGGAATGGTATGAATCGTTTATGTTCGAATTCTATGAAAGCATCTTAACAACGCAAAAACCTTCAATAAATATGTAGAATTTCTATACGCAGGGACGTCGCTACTGGGGTGTGTGTGGGGTGCAACACCCCCCAATCATAAATTAAAACAAATATCAGGTAAAAATCAGGGTAAAAGTCAGGTGAAAATCATGTGGTAAATTACTACGATACTGATGTAAATTATCGCCAAAACAATCCATTTCGATAATTCCAACTTGAAACTGCTGCGTCGGTTGCCAGTCTTGAATTACCGGCATGTAATATGTGAGAGTGAGTATATTTTGATGCCAGTTAAAATTTTAACGTTTAAAATTGACCATGAATATAAATTAGCAAAGAAACAATAGTTACAACAGCTGTTTGAAAACCTGACAGTTGATTTGTTATACTTTGCTGAATGCATTGATTATGAACTTCATCGAAAGTAGACATAAAGTAAACAAAACATTGCATTATTTCGACTTTCGATGACTAAGCTTAAGTTATCTAGGCAATAAAATCTCTGAGGAAAGATTAAATGACTGCATGATTCTTGCTGCTAAGAAGGATATAAAAAGCAAAATCTACGTGCACAAACTGGCAAAGAAATGGGCTGTTCTGAAGAACTGCCTTTGTGGGCGGTTGCACCAAACAATTTTTGAAATGCAAATGTAATTACTATTTTAAGGACAGAAACCTGAAACGTTACTTATTTCGCTAGGTTAGGGGCATGCCCAAATACGTCTGTACATTGCTTGTTTATGTAAACTAAAATTCTTATGGAACAAAAGATTTTGAAACTGTTCATTCATTTTTTAAAACTGAAAATTTTGAAGTCAGTGTTTTCCAAATTCGGCCCATCTGGAAAACATATCTGGAAAGCCGAAAAATTTCATGTAAATTTCAAAAAATCTTCAGGTAAATATTTATGACACCCACCCCCCAAAAAAAAATCAAGGTGTTCGCGACGTCCCTGTCTATATGTATATACGTTTTTATTACATGAATAGTGTTGCATGCCCAGGGAATAAAAGACAAAGTCTATTATAAGCCAGGTTTTCACTAGGCTATGGGTTGGCAGTGAAATATGGCAAGTAATTAATATAAGTAAAAGAACATGAACCCAACAAAATTGACCTGCTCACCACTGTGTGACTTCATAGCTCAGTTGGTCAGAGCACTGCACCGGCACCGCAGAGGTCATGGGCTCGAATCCCGTTGAGTCACCTGAATTTTTCAGGTTCATGAGACAATTGCTTAAATTGTCCAACAAAGTGCGAAGATCATATCTACATTTGATTTCAAACACCGCACTGCATAAAACATTCTTTCGTATAAGTAAAAGATTTGGCCCATGACATTTGTGATCAACGTCAAATGGCGTCAACATGTTTCCCCCAAATATTCGCATCAGCTCGCGATCTTTTTAAAGATTCGCTCAATGTTTACTTAGAAAACGATACATCATAGCTGTGGATCGAGAAAATTAATGTAATAAAAAAGAAAAAATGCGAAGCATGATTGTGGCATAATCGCTAGTTGCGATGATTTAAAGTGTTCTTTAAAACATTATGCATCAAAGTAAAAATATCGCGATTTTAAAGAGCGCAAAATACAAAACAAATGAATTGATATTGATTTGAGGATTTCCAACTGAACGATTTCCAAATACTGCAACTTCTGCTTCATTTTTTATAAACGTGTCGACAGTAAAACAAAATTCGTTGGTTTCGTGGTAAAGAGGCTTTGGACCTTTACTTGCGTAACTAGGTTTCTCACCTATTGCTATCGCCATTCCTTTATTGAGATGTTCATCAATATGACAATGCATAAACCAATATCCTGGATTATTTGTGATAAAATGTATAACGACATATCCTCCAGCAGGAACTATGACGACATCTTTACGTACGGTTGTACTGTTCACAATTATATCTTCTGGTGGTCCATCTCTCCATTTTCCAGCTCCACATGAGGGAACATGTACATCTTTGTTGGGCGCTTTGATTGAGCCATTTGGATAATATTCGGGGTAGCCAATCTTTGCTACAAAATAAGTGTGACCATGCATGTGGATAGGATGGGTGTAGATAGGAGCACCTTGTTCACCCTTTGTTATTATTGACGTAAAAACAAATCTTGCAGTTGTATTAAAGTTGTCTAGGTAAACGACATGAGGACAATATTTTTCACCTTGTGTTTCACATTTCACTGGATACTTGCATTCGTATCTTGAGTCAGGATATTCAACGAGAGGTAAATCTGGTAAATTGAATTGAACTCCATTGATGAATGCCTTCGTATGGTTTCGGTTGGTTTCAAAGTTGAAAAATGAAGATGTATTTTCATGTATACTTGGGATGTTTTTTCGCAAAGTGGGATAAAGTAACTGCAACGATATCACGTCGTAGCATATCATTTCGGGACCGTCATTGCCATATTCGTTGGGCATTATTCTAAATGGACAATTGAGTACTTTGCATGGAGAAGATGCATTGAAGCAACGATTATTTTGCTGCATTGTTGTGGTAGATGAATTTTTGCTACCGTCCTTATGGGTGTAAACAAGAAATGCATAACTCTCTCCTGCCAATTCACTGTAGTTGTCACATTTCACAGCAAGTGTCTGAATGTTAATTGGATATTTTGTTCCTGGTTTAACATCTGCTTTGGCTTTCAAAAGAAAGTCATATCGCTCGCCTACATGAACGACAAGATAATCTGTTTCGAATTCGTTAACGAGAAAACCATCGGTAGCTATTACGTACATTTTATGAAAATCGATTGAGATCATCAAAATAGTTGACTTTGTTGCTCCTAGAACACGGAATCGATAATGTTTGTCGGGAGTAACATAAAATTCTAAATGACGTTTAAATGTTTTAGTTTCTTCAACTTCTTCAGCAGCAAGTCTGCCATTTAAATAGAAACTAACATTTTTGTAAGGAATGGGAAGGTTTGATCCGTCGGGTAGACAAAATGGATCTAAAGTGCCTTTGTCCAATTCAATATTTTCAAATCTTTCCAACAAAGTTAACGTTTTCTTCTGTGGTTCATCTATAAATTTTCCCAACTTTTCGTGTATATCTCCTTTTGATTCGTGTACAATAAGCACTCCAAATAATCCACTGTCTCGTTGATAGCGCATGTGGGAATGATACCAATGTGTTCCTTGAGGAAAAGCTCGAAAGATGTACCTGTTGTAAGATATAAATTGATTTACCAAAGGTATGGAATGGTACATTGTTATATGGCGTTCAGTGTGACAAATGCTAGACATAAAATGTTAACAGGGGGCATATGCATTCAATGACCTGGTTATGAAACCAAATGCACACAAAGATTTTAAAACGTATGCTCTACTGTCTCAGGAAAAGAAACAGTGTCTCGCGAACTTGCAAACAACCAAATATGTATTAATTACTTTATAACTTTCTGTTATATTCTATAAACTTCCTAGTTATTTTTAATGTTTAAACATCCTGTCCGGATGTAAATTCTTTGTTGTTTAGTTGAATGTATTTGCACATATTTTAAGGAAACACTAATATGTTAAATTAAACATCGCCAAATCTTTGAAGAGATCTTTATGCTAGATTTCTTTATTTGCCCAGATTTATGTGAAATAAGTAGCTTTTGATGTTGACCTCATTGGTGCTGGTAGAGTACATGACCTGTGTGCTTTTATGGAATAATATCCATTTTCAGTGAAAATTAGAGGAATTTTTGCTAAAATCAAATGACAAAAGCATTACTGCCAGTTATGTGGTACGAACAGAATACATACGTATTTAATTATTTATTTTAAAGGACAACTATTTGCATTTACAATGCACCTTTCTGATTTACTTGTACTCAAAGTGTGTAAAAAAACACTCTTATTTTGATGCATTTTTGGTGTAGTCAACTTTGCAAACTGAGGGACGTGTAAAAATTGAGGTACATGAAGGCTGCACACACAGCTTACCATCTTACTGTGTTAGCAGAAAAATATTCACAGATGGCCATTCGCTTTCTTCGTTGAAACGAAGCTTAATACACCGTCACGTGTTTATTGAACGCACGTGTTGATATTGCTGCTGAAACGGGTTGAAACGGTTTGAAACCAGAGTCTTTATTAAAAGCGCTTTTGAAATAGAACGGAAGAGAGAAGAAGCGGCATTATGACGAATGAGTTTTAGCATGGATCTCTTCATGGATCGCATGTTAGACGCATCGATGCGTACCTTACTCTGTAACGTTTGGCTTATATTGCTGAGAAACCTAACATTTATTGTCGAACTTAGCAGAGTAGATCACTAAGTAAAGGTAATTTTGTGAATCTTGCCCGTCGCCCAGGCAATATTCCCTTTGAATATGTCGAATAGATGCAACAACTCAAGCTTTTGAATAACGAAATTTTTATTCCCTGGCAATGTTTATCAAACGTATATCGCTCACTCACTCAGACTCTCTCTTCAACTCATTTACAACAAAACATCAATCAAAATTCTTTTAAGCCTATTGGTTAACGAAATTAAAACAACTAAGGAGAATTTGTCTCTCTGTCAGTAAGACATTCAATTACATAACTTATTCCCAACACACTCCCCCTATACATCTGAAGATAAGATGTATATCTAAATGGATTACTGTTCTAGGAAGTGTTTCAAATCTCTTCGTTTTCTTCGTCAGCAATCGATTTGATGATCCCCGCTGCATTTTCAGCTGCCTTACGCTTTGGCTTGAATGGTTGAGCGTCTGGATTAAGATCAGGTCTCTCTTCATGGCTCTGTCGATCACAAGCTAATTCCATTGGGTAAAGCAATTGAACTGGTCGTTCTAGGTTTCCATTTGGCGTTTTCAACATTACCCCACGTATCACTCCATCTCTTCCTGGATATGTCTCTATAACGATCCCAAGAGGCCATTTCCTCTATTCTTTTCGTTGGATTTGATCAGCACGACGTCTCCTACGTTTACAATGAACTTTTAGTCCCATGACTCATGTTATGTCGTTCTCGCAGTGCAGTGAGGTATTCTTTCGACCATCTTTTCCACAAGGCTTGTTTGCAAGATTTCAAGTATCTTGCCCTCTTACGTAAGTCCGGATCACTTTCGACCCATAATTTCTGTTCTGGCAGATGATTGGCTCTCTGGATAAAAAGAGCTCGGGTGTCAACACCGGCAGTTGAACATCGTCTTCAAAATAACTGAGCGGTCTTCTATTGATTTGCACTTCAACGTCAAGTATCACTTCACACAGTTCTTCCCACTTCAGATTTGCGCCTCCAATTGCCTTATACATCGCTTGTTTAACAATTCCTATCAGCCGCTTGAACTGTTCTCCACACCATGGTGCTAAGGACAAGTTAAACTGCCATTTAATGTCGAATTTCTCCAAATAACCTTGAAGACGTTCCTCCTTTCGGAAAGTATTAATCCACTTCGCAGTTTTTATGAAGGTGCCCCATTGTCTGAATAGATCTTCCTGGGTCTTCCCTCCGAGCAATGAACCGTTTCAAACTTGGTATGAACGTGGAAGCAGATAGGTCCGGCATCATGTCCAAGTACACTGCTCGAGTTAGACTACATAAAAACAACGCAAGACATGCTTTGCAATCCTTGCTTGACTTCTTTTTGTAACGAATTGGTCACGCAAAATCTACGCCAATTACCTCGAATGCTGTTTCGCCACAAGTCCGGTGTTCGGGTAACTTTCCAGGAGGGTGTGGGAACTGATGTCGCTCGATATCTTTACAACCAAAACACTTTTCTAACTTTCTTTACAAGGCTTCTTAACTTCGGTATCCAATACGTCTCTCTTACAGCAGCCATTGTCAATCCAACACCTCCATGTAACGTTTCACGATGCAACTTTTCCACTACTCTTTGAGCTAGCAAGGAATCTGTGGGAAGGTAGATAGGATACTGACCCACAATTCGGCCACGACATTCTAAAATCCCTTCTGTATTGCGCGTAAGATTAAGTTCTTTGCATTGTTGCTCGTACTTTGGTTGTAATTGACCTTGCTTTTGGGCTTGTTTGACAAATTTCATCTTAGCCTCTTCAATCTCGGTAAAGGATAATGGTCCTGTTCTCTTTTCCCCTTGTGTACAATTGTTTACGAACCTGAAGAGCCATGACGACACTCTTAGAGCTCGTTTAAGTGAGCATTTTCTTAATAACTGTTCCAGAACATCACCACTGTACTGTTTTGTTGTCATTGCGATACTTTTTTTGGGAGACTGTCGCTTCTGCTTCTGTTGCAGTAGTTGGAGTTGTGGTTATATTAGTTGGCCATCTGCTCATATCAGATAACCATTCTGGACCGTAGAGCCACGTCTGATTTAATTTCCCACCCCTGCTGGCCAAATCTGCAGGATTTTCGGATGTGGGTACATATCGCCATTTTATTTCAGGATGTTGGTGTATCTTACGGACACGGTTTGAGACAAACTGCTTATACTGGCCCCGTCCAAGTATCCAATGCAAGGCGACAGTGCTGTCTAGCCATGCAAAACTTTGCGGCCGTGACAAATGATCCAAAGCGTTTCGCACATTCACAAGAAGGTTCGCTGCCATGTGGGCTGACACAAGTTCTAGCCGTGGAACAGTTAGGTCCTCTTTTGCCAGACGACTTTTACCAGCAACTAGAATTTGAGTAGTTCCCGATTCTTGATGAATAACTGAGTACACTGCAGCTCCTACACCTTGTGTGCTAGCATCCCCGAATGCGTGCAGCTCTAAAGACTTGATTGGTTCTCGGAACCCAGCTAATGATCGCGGAACACTTACTTCACACGGAAGATTGCTCTCCCAGCAGTCCCATCGATACTTCAAAGAATGGCTTAGCCGTACATCCCACAAGAGCTTCTCCTTACAGATATCACGATAAATTATCTTTCCCTCTAGAATTAAGGGTGATGTAATTCCCAAAGGGTCATAAACCTGAGCCAATCTACTCAGTACTTCACGTTTCGTTTTTGCCGATTTCTCTGATGGGATCACTATGGAAATCTCGTCACTTTTCTTTTTCCATAACAGTCCCAGCACTTTAGATTCTCCAGATTTAGTTCCAAGTTGTTGTTTTGCTAAAGTTTCTTCTTCATCATCCTTTTCTTCTTCATCTGCTTCAAGCTCATGGGCATTTGAGTTCCACTTATGTAAATTGAAATTGGCGTCGTTGAATACATCGATTGATTTCCTTTTCCTTTCCTTGGCTTTGTCTACTGTTTGTCCCCCACTAAGCAGATCGTCGACATACATAGATTTCTTCAGTTCCTCAACGATATCTGGCATCTTTGTTTTCCAAGTTTCTAGGTGATGCTCTAGCACTCCCCCAAGCAGAAATGGGGAGCAAGTTAGGCCGAAGACGACTCTTGTGAATCTATATGTCAAGGGTTCAGGTTGACTGTCACTCTTCCAGTGAAACCGTAAGGCATCTCTTTCTTGTTCTTTTATTCGGATCTGGAGGAATGCCTTTTCTATATCGCCACAAAGTGCAACTGGAAATGAACGATGATGAACCAATACGCTCCAAAGCTTATTCTGTAACGGCGGGCCTGGGTAAAGGCAATCATTCAAGGATGGAGCACTTGGAGTCGCTCGAGCGGATGCATCGTAAACTACACGGATTTTCGTTGTTTGTGCAGCTTCACGTATCACGGGTTTATGAGGTAAGTAGAACTCCCTACCCACTGGGGCTCGGTTACAAGTTCAACTACCCTTTGCTGACTTGTTCCTCAATAATCCTGTTATACTCACTGGCCATTCCTTCCCTGTCTAATCTCTTTACAAGACTGTTGAGGCGTCGCAAACTTCCTTCTTTGTAAGATGGTAAGGGAGGATGGTTACCTCGCCACAGTAGACCAGACTCGTACCAACCTTCTGAACTCCTGACCAATTGCTCCTTAAACTCTCCATACACTGAGGTTTGATCGTGTTCTGAGGTGTCGGCAAGTCCTAAAACATCCAACCGCACAACTTCTCATAATCCTTTTGAGTGGTTTGTGTTAGTAACATATGATTGTGATCAAATTCTTTTCCAGGGGACATCACGAACCATCCCAGCTTGGTCAACTCCGCGATAGGTTCGCCATCTTTACCTATTCGGGACGATTCTTTGTTTTATTCTGGCATACCCCTCCCCAAGAACTACATGTACTGGAAGCTGAGCCTTCGTGTCACCATCTTGGATATCAACCCCTTTAAGTGTGAGTATTTGGAAATCATATGGCTGTATTGGGGGTTTTTTACTGATAAAAGTTCACTTTTTTCCACTTTAATTAAATCTACTTCCATACCAAACTCTCCATCGAGGGACTCCACTTTAGTTGCATAGGTCTCCAGACGTTCTACACTACTACTCAGGAGCATGTCCACTTGTTTTGTTGTTATGTCAGCAGGTTTCATGCCAAGGACACTTACCAACTTTGCAGATGCATACGAGCTGCCAGCCCCAGAATCAACTAACGCTCTGCACATGATCCCATTAACCTTTACAGTCAAGATTGGGAAGACTCCTTCGTTGGTTTTTGTTGCAGTCATCAGGGTTTTCTTCCCCATTGCTTGTTCACACAAAGAAGTATGATGCCTTCTCTCAATGTTGACAGGTTATTTTACTTGTACAATCGGCTGCTCTATGCCCTTCTCCGTACAGTTGAAGCAGCGGCGCTTTTTGCCAATATTTGTTTCCTTCGTTGATATCCGTCACCTTTGAGCAGTCAACTGATTTATGATCGTTTGCATCGCAATATACACATTTTCGCTGACCGAATTTGGTGTTGAATACTCTTTCACGGGACTGTTTCTATTTTCCTTCCTTTCTCCTTCACATATAGGGTTTCTAGGGTTTCGCCTAGTCCATAATGTTAAGGCTTCTATTAGCTTAATGTAATCCCATTCATCCCAGTTGGGATCGGTACGAACCAAGTCGCTTCTTATACCAGACAATTTGTCCAATGTCATTGCAACACTTCCATTGATCTGCTCCAGTTTTCCCATAGTTTCTAAAGACTGTACGCAATAGGTGAGTCTTTCGCAGAATTTATGCACCTTCTGTACATTGGCATCTGGTATGTTGGGTAAGTCAAGAATTTCTTTGGTGTAGGCTTTAATCACTTCTGACTCCTTTCCATACTTTGACTGAAGTATACTTTTGCTCGGTTATACCCTTCACTAGTGAAAGGTAGTGCTTCTATGGAATACTTGACATGTTTTTCAAGCAACTCTCTCAAGTATGAAAATTTTGTTACATTGGAAATATTTGATTTGTCAATAGTCTCGCTGAACTGGTTCCAGAATCTTGGCCAATCTTTGTAGCTTCCGTTAAATTTTGAAATCACTAGCTTTGGTAGTTTAGCTTCCAGATTGCCACTAATTGTAGAATTCATTTCTCCTGTCTCTTCTGGTTTGTCCCTCTTGGACTCTTCCAATTGAGTCTTGTAGTGCAGCTTGGTTTCATACAACTCTTTCTCGAAATTCAACTGATCCTTTCTTAAATGTGCTTTCTTACTTTCATTCACTTCCATAAGCCACTTGCGTAATTGTTCTATTGCATTGTCAGCTTGACCGATGGTATTTTCTATCGATTCCTCCCACTCGGAAATGCTTTCGACTTTTCGCCGCTAGCTATTTTCAACCCTTCGACTGTACGTTTGGCGGTATCTGCTTCTTTTACTAATTCATTTAACGCATCACGATGTCTTTCGATTCTCCCGTGATTATCTGACGCAAGAATTCTCTCAGTTTTCCCGCAAGTGATCGTAATATGCTTGAGTTTTGCTTCAAGTGCTAGCTCCGCAGCTTCCTGCTTCGACATGTTTCAATACGAATTCTTGTTCTTGATCGAACTATTTTCACTTATCCCGTCGGAGGTGCCACGTTTTGTGAATCTTGCCCGTCGCCCAGGCAATATTCCCTTTGAATATGTCGAATAGATGCAACAACTCAAGCTTTTGAATAACGAAATTTTTATTCCCTGGCAATGTTTATCAAACGTATATCGCTCACTCACTCAGACTCTCTCTTCAACTCATTTACAACAAAACATCAATCAAAATTCTTTTAAGCCTATTGGTTAACGAAATTAAAACAACTAAGGAGAATTTGTCTCTCTGTCAGTAAGACATTCAATTACATAACTTATTCCCAACAGTAATATGAGTGGGATGATGTGCTGGCCACGAAAACGAATATCATTTGCACTGATTACGATCATACTGAGGAAAATCATACGAATTTGTACTGCGTTAAAACATCATTCATGTGCATACCCATTCACAAAAAACTTACCTAAATTTTCCGTTTGATGGGATAGGATATTGAGTGATATTTCCAACACCATCAATCCATGGTACGTTATACTGGTGCATTCCATGAAAATGTATCGATGTATCCTCATTCATCTCGTTAAAGACATCTACCACCACAATGCTTTTTTCCTCCACCAGTAACGTTGGTCCTTGGAATTTTCCATTCACCGAATACTGAAATGATTTTGTTGAATCTATTCGCTCTCTTTTTATGACCATTTTGATGTAACACTTGGCATAGTTTGTGCAGTTACAAAATTGTGGTCTACCATCGACTTTGTTGCACGTTACATATTTCACTGCACCTTCTATAAAACACTCTTGCGTTGAAATGCTGGTCTGAGCTAAATATGGCCCCATGAGAGCTAGCAGAAGCCACAGCATACCTGACAATAATAAAGAAATCTTAATTTTTAGTTCGGGTGCTATAGCTGGCGTTTGTAAAAAAGTACAATATTCTTATATCGTCGTGAGAAAAAATGTATGAATCTACGAAACCATGTATAACACGATAATGTTAAAAACAATATGAAATTAGGTTGTTGAACACTATGCTCCCGAATGACTTGCTGTTTCCATTTATCTTTACAAGTTCTTACAACAGTATATATATATATATATACACCCATTTGTTGGTTATAAATGGGCAGACCTTGTCGTCAAACGTCATCGTATAGCATTTCCGTTTTTAAAATATTCGCTTGTATAATGTTAAATGCAATATCATACTTTTTATATCCTGACCTTTACTTTCTTACCTTTACTTGAGACTTGAAACATAATTTCCTTTTTGTGCACAAGTTTCAACTTCTGCTTCTCTTCCAAAGGAAGGCGTGAGCTTTATGTTCAAAGAAATTAAACGACACGGCATTTCAAATTTTCATGCAGGAAGTTGAACACACGAACGCCTTTATATTGTTTCCCAATCATCTTTTATCATGACTTGCTCATTTTTATGATAATCAATTAGTCATCCTTTATGGCTATATTGCTATGTAGATTAAAAGACATATATTTCATAAATAAAATCAACTAAGACTGAAAAAATATTTTTTCCCTTTTTTTTTAGTCGATGTAAGCTTATAAATATCGACATGAGGCAAAAATGAATCGAAACTTTTGTCTTTATTACATGCAGGATGACATCACATCTCGTATGCGAACGTTACTTATTGCAACACAAATAATTCTTAAATTAAATGAAGATTTGATCTTCGCACTTTTGCTGGACAATTTAAGCAATCGTCTCAGGAACCTGAAAAAATCAGGTGACTCAACGGGATTCGAACCCATGACTCATTCTCGTTAAAGCATTCATAAAAAGTAAACAATTGTTGCTAGAAACCACCATGGAAAAATTCTGTGTTATAGTTCAATAATACTATGATATCATATGATGATGGTAACTTGCTTTCCATCCTATGCAGCAAATAATTTCTTAATTCAAAGATCATTTGTTTGCTTTATAGACCACGTTCAGACCAACTTGGCTATTTAGTGCCAACTCATACAATCACATATGATGTCAGATAACATGTTACTCACCCAAAACCCATCAGATTTAGCTAAATGTCGTTATCATTTTCTGCGTATTTTGAGGTACTAACCCTAACCCTAACTCTCGCCTTAAACCCATCAGATTTAGCTAAATGTCGTTATCGTTTTCTGCGTATTTCAAAGTACGGGGTAAAATTGCCTGTGCTTCAGTTGAACTTCCCAATTATAATTAGTATAAAAACTAGTTTGATATCGGCGCACTTTGTGATTGCGTGTGACAATACATGGGTGTGTTTTCTTTCAGAAGAACCGCATTTTCATAGCATGGATTCATTATATTAACAATTATATATACAAACAGACACCCACAGATACCATGCTAGGATCCTGTCCGGATGTTGTTATGTTTTCACTTAAGATTATTCTGTCTGTAGAAATTCTTGGATAGCCAATATAACTTTCGAACCGTTAAAAGCGCCGATAATAACATGAAAGCACATAGCTTTTCTATCCGACCGAATCGTTTCGATGTAAATCAACAGCCGTTAATATAGCCATGCTACTGCTAGTATTTGGTATTCTTCGCAAATTTTCTTTCTGTTCGTTCGTTAAATGAAGGTTACAAAAAAACATTATTCTAATGAATATATTCGTTTATTTTTATCAACAAAAAAAACATGCGTGCGCAACATGAAATTTTATCATTGACTCCCCCACATTAAAATCTTCTAAATTGTGACGTCATTCCCGGGAAAAATCTTAGCGGACACTCACCAAATCCAAATGTTCACCACTATATTGGTTACGTAAAAGGACTGGGTCGAGTCATGAATAGTGTGCAGCCTCGCTAACGATCGGCAGTGCTGTAAATACAATTTAGCCAGAATTTGAGCAAACGTGTTTTGCTGATTTCTATCTGAGTATGGGGGCCAGGGTGTAGTGTCTTGTACTCTTATTCCATGTACTCTTATTTTGTAACGGCCCTTAATTGTCGAAGATGCATGTTGCGATTAATGTTATTTTCGCGAACTTGATGCGATGAAGAAAATGTTTTTAAAATAAAAAAGTTTGTGCAGTTACAAAAGTGTGCTCTACCATCGATTTTGTTTCACGTTATATATTTTACTGCACCTTCGTTAAAATTAAACACTCTTGCGTTGAAATGCTGGTCTGAACTAAACATGGCCCCACGAGAGCTAGCAGAAACTACTCAAACCAGAACATACCTGAAAACAATAAATATTTTAAGTATGAGGGCCATGGCTGACGTTAGAAAGAACGTACATTATTCTTATATTGTTGTCGTAGGAAATGTCGAAACTTCTGTGCACAAGATCTACAGCAGGTCCACTTCGTGTGCTATTGGCTGCTGTATATTTAATTAGATTACTGGCTTCCGTTAGCCATTTCATCATTCCGAATGGTCAAAAAAAAGCAATTGACTGGCTGCGACTATGGTAATCACATGAGTAATAACGTATGCATGCATGGCACGAAAAAATTCAATGGAGTGGCTCTACTGTATTGTTCTTGCAAGAAATAAACAAGAAATTATTTACATAATTAAAACTACTAAATTTACTTCTCTCGAGTGTTTCATAAAACAGGCGAAGGCAAAACTATGAAGTGACAAACTTCTGGGTTTCGTGAAGAGAAGATAACAACTCTTATGCTGAAAAGTCTGTTACTCACCACAACAATACAGTTTAAAAATTGAGTAATTGATGTCGTTGTGTTCACTGACTATTGGTAATGATTATTGTTTATACCATTTTATCGAATCTTGGTCGAAAAAATGTCTGTGAATGTGTAAAAGAAACGCAAAACCAGTTTTACAGGCTATTTACTCGGGTACTTACGAGGATTTACACATTTTTCTACGAGGGTTAACTTGGACATTTTTAAGTTAAGTTTGGTCGCCTTGAAAGAGTTATTCATTATTGCCTGCCTTAACAATAATGTTGTTGCTGTTATGCTTTTAAAATATTATCACTTGAGAAACTATGTGAAAATATGATCTAATAGATTTCACATGAGGTAAGTCACTTGCAAAACTATCACCAGTTCCATTCTTGCTCACGAGATTTCCATGAACATAACCATGGTGGAGTTTGTGCAGAAAAGTAAGTTTAAGAAGAGCTTTTCTAATGTTATTGTCATTAATGTTTGTAAAGATGTTCAGTTCTTTTATAAATATTCTGTAATGACGGTAAGACATTTCATTTATGTGCCGGAGAGCTAAAATAGGCATGTCGTAGTCATGCTATGTCGTGTAATTCTAAAATCAATTATTAGAATATTTGACATGGTCTTTTTGCGGGAACAAACTACCTAATCATGTCTTATCTTCTCAAGAAACTTACATAAGTTTTTAAGAAACTTATGCCATGCAAATGTTCGCAATTTGAAATACATAGATTGCTTTGGAATGAGTTTGCAGAAACATGTCCACTATTATAGGCTGTTGTGCTTTTTAGAAAATTGTAATGTAGGAAGAAATGTTTCACAATCACTTAGGAAAAATTATTCATAAAATATACTGATTGTTCAAAAGTTGTAAGCGTGTACAAAGAACATATTTGAAATGCCTGGCGATGATTATCAAATCATGCAAATCAGTTTTGTTTTCGTGGAAAAAATATTCTTTTCATTTGAAAGTTGAACGTTTGCTGAGCACAAAGTTCTAGGCAAAAACTTTGTATGATAAATAAGAAGTTTTCCGTTTCAGCCATAAATATTCTCCGCATTGCATTGATTCTTTTGGTTTTTTACGAATCAGTCATTATGGAACGAATGAATGGAGAATGGATGAACTCAAAGTTTGAAAAGAAAACCAAGGTGGGATGTATTGCGCTTTTAAAAATGTGATCTTAGTATCGTTATATTTCTAAATTATACTAAAATAAGTGTGTGGGGGTGTTTCGAATTTCAAAGCGCGTGATTTTAGCATGTAAGCACAAATTGGCATATGTTGCATACAAAAGGTGTTATTGATATACTTACAGAAATAATGAACATATTTATGCAGTGACAATTACATAAATCACGCGTGATTGATACCAAGCCCTTGTATGGCGCGCCAAGATGGACAATATTACCAAAATCGAAAATATTTACAACGAAACACATTATCGTATGTCGAAAATAATAAACTGGCAACTTTTTCAATACTTGTAAAACGAAACGCAAAAATATAAAAGAAAACTAAAATTCGTTTACCATAATTTATCTATACACAACGAAATTTATTTTTCAAGTTATGAAAATTATTTTTATAAAACGAAACTCATTTATATAAAACGAAATTGACATTCATAAAACGACATTTTCTTCGAACAAACGACACTTTTTACCGCTTTTTTGCGGCCATTATTTTGTAGCCTGCAATGAGCCATCCACTACAAAATTTTGAGGATGTCTTCGCGAAGGAACTTACATAACTTGACAAACCTTGTTGCAGCAATCACTCAGCTCTCTGAAAATGATTGCTCCAACAATTGTGAAAGAACTTTTGAAGGAGATAACGATGCTAACGCTAGCAATATTGAAAGTACGATACGCACTCTGTCCCTTCTGCAAATGGTCGTTCATCCACAACCACAACAGTCGGAGGAGCAGCGACTACAGCAGCTAATACTTCAATGCACCACACGTCTCCACTGTTCAACCCAAGTGTAAATTATGGAGGAGGAAAAAAGTCAAAACGCCGTTTTTTCTCTGATGTCAGTGGCAGGGCGCGGTAGAAAATGTCGTTTGTTCGAAGAAAATGTCGTTTTATGAATGTCAATTTCGTTTTATATAAATGAGTTTCGTTTTATAAAAATAATTTTCATAACTTGAAAAATAAATTTCGTTGTGTATAGATAAATTATGGTAAACGAATTTTTGTTTTCTTTTATATTTTTGCGTTTCGTTTTACAAATATTGAAAAAGTTGCCAGTTTATTATTTTCGACATACGATAATGTGTTTCGTTATAAATATTTTCGATTTTGGTAATATTGTCCATCTTGGCGCGCCATACCCTTGAACCAATCAAAATCTTTCTTGGATCGTATTACGCGTTATTGTCAATATTACATTGCATCTGCTATGAATTTCGTTGTGGTATTTGGCAACTTTTATATGTAAATATGACCATACAATGCTCTTGACTAGCCCCAGTGAACCCCTGTTAAGTGTCTTGTTAAAAAAGACGTACGTGACTGACAAAAATTAACCCCTTAGAGCCCGTTGTAGCACTACTACAACAATCACCAGACGAAATGTGTACAAACATTTGAAAAAGCCCGAGGCGTAGAGGTGTTACTACTGCCTATTGACAAACAGACCAATTAAATTACTTAAATTTATTGTTTTTAAATTGTCCTATCCGTAAAACCAATCAAACCACACCACTTATCAAACAGTCAGTAAATATCATTTCAAATCACTTAATTTCAACTGATGTCGTTACCAATGAGATTTACTAAAGAATTTTAAGTAACAAAACATTGGATTGAGATATTAGAGTTGACGTGATAATAAAATCAAAATAATTTTAAAGGTTAAAGTTGATAAATCAAGTAATTTTTAAAGTTTAAACGTCTGTCACGTGACTGATTTAACATACAGTAGATCTTCCCTGTACCTGAGACACCCAAAAAGTGTGTTCGGCTTTTTTTTCAATTTTAAACTGAGTTATATCATAGGCTGCTCAAAACTACTGTTTTTATCCTGAATTCTTGATAAATCCATTTTGTTCATAACATAACAACGTTCCTAAGTGTTTGGGTAAGGCCATCTAATTTATCAAAAGTATTTTATTAAATATCAAGTTAAGGGGACTGTCAAAAGTATTGTTAGCGAAAGTATGAAAGTTAAATCCTTCCATAAATCGTACTGCTAAAATCCCTCAAGAAAAGGAAGCTGTATTATTTTGTAAACAACAAAGTCAAACTATCGATGATGTTTCTCGCTTTCATACAGGAAATTAAAAGTATATATCGCACCAGCAATTTATGTTGCATCGTAGATTTGTCTTCCGTGCGTATACAGTTTACATCCTTCGCACTGTTTCTAACAGGATGGCTTAACTGTTTGTAGTTGTCAACGAAGTCGATTTCTCTACGTCCACAAGCGGGGATTGGTAGGTCTGCCTGTGATAAAAGACAAAACATTAAAATGGTGAATCAGCTTTCTTTTAAAAAACATTTGTCGTTATTTCGTTACCTCGTGATTGAATAAACGATGTAGTACACTTTTTGACTCTTCTCATGCTTGTTTTATGAAGTGGTAGTAAGATTTTTGAAATTTGATATTTTATTGTTTTCTATAAGTATCGTTGATGTCATCCAGAAGCAAACGTCAATTTTGGCTCATTGTGCACACTTATCGCTCGGGACCACGCTGGGGCCCACGTGGATTACTTTTCTTTACATTACTCTTCATGACCCTATGAAAGACAGAGGTTCTCAGCCTACTGCTCTTCTCGCCCCTCCCCGAGCACCAGTATAACTTTTTAAAAACACGAGCGCTCATAGGCAAATGCTCAAAAAAACGCACTATAAACATAGGATATGGAAATAACCCAATAATGCACGAGACTTCAATCTTGCAAGAATCTCGCACTATCCATCAGACTTCCTTTAAAGTTTAGCAAAGAGAAAGAAAATGGAATTCTGGCAATCTTTTTTTGTTCTTCGATTTTATACGCTTCCAGCTAACGTTGATATCTTTTCTTTGGTTCTTTGATGATTGTTTCTATTTGATCTTTTGTCTTCTCTTGTGCTTATAAGATTATTTCATTCATTTGGTAAATTCCGAGAATTTCCAAGAGGCAGAGGTGTGGAAAAAAATCGGCAGACAGCAAGTTCTGTCCACTGTATCTGACAATGAATGCACTACTTGAAAATTTGACTTTACAGCCGTTTTCATCAGCCACTCTTGCAGATTTCATCACAATACAAAGTACTTCAGTGTATATTCTCTATACTGTGGCCAAATGTAGGAAGGCGTGTGCTTCTATTCCTAAAGAAAACAAGCGTCACAGCATTTTATATTCTCGTGCAGCCAGCCGAACAAACAAATGTATGTCTTGCTCATTCTTGATATGTTTCACAATGTCAATTACACATCTCTGCTCTCTGCTTGCGCATTTTTACAATAGTCATTGTTTAAGATATAATGAAGAAGAATTACACATGTATTCTTGACTTGCAATTCAGCCATGTTGGTGGTCTGATACAAAAAAATATTTTATCAGAGTTATTGTTGGCACCAGCCGGCGTGGGCGAGCAACATTGTTTAGCAAATCTCAAGAGAATGGTTGCAAGTCAAGAATACGTAATTACAAACGATTATGTAAAAATGAGAAAGAATGTTTCATCAAACTTTTCATTTTCCTTTTGCTTAGTTTATATAAGCTCACAAAAGGTGCATGAAGCAAAACTGAATCGCTGTTTTTGTGTTTATATAACTTTATTAACAGTTGATATCCTCATTTGTTGACGTCATTAACGGAATAATTTCTTTCTTTTGAAATTTGTTTGAGGTTTAAATTCAAATTGCATGATTTTGCAAACCATGGCTTCGAGCTGTACTAGCTGATGAACCGTATTGTGATTTTTAAAAGCACCAAGGTGATAATTAATTTCGACTGTAGGTACTTATGCAAAAAAACGACGTCTTTCTATTGTTTTTTTATTCACTTATGTAGACATGTGACGAAAAACTCTATGGCAAATTCTGTGTGCCATCGATTACAATTTAGTCGCTTGTCGAGGCAAGTTTCCTTTTAAATAAAAATCGAACAGTTAGGCAGATATAGTATCACATGCTTCATGCTGTATAGGATAAGTTCATTTGGCAAATGTCAAGGAACAAAGAACATTTCACTTTTATAATGATTACCATTAATAGAAACGGTTGTATATGATCATAGCCCTGTTGAGTGTGGTAGAAGGATTACTTCGCCTCAAACTAGTTCGTCATTCTTCTAGAAGACTATGTAGGAACAATGGATAGTGAGAATTGGTTTTGGTTATGCTTTTATGCATGGTATATGTTAAAAACGCCGGCCTTCGCAATCAGTTTTGCTGCATCACAATTGTTATATGAAACGTTCAATTTGTCACTTCAAAGGACAGTCTAAAAATTGCCGAAAACCAATGACTCAGGTTTGTTATAAAGAAATCTGCATCATCAAAATTCTCTACATTTACCGAAAGTCATGATCTTATTTAATAACAAAGAGAACTTGTTAGAACATAACCGCCGAGTTCGCTGTAAACTGTTCTAAATTAACACATTGCTGTTACATATATTATGAACAATGCTCTGACTAATTCCCCTTGTCATTTATCATTTTGATAAATACCAAATTTTGCAGACTCAAAGATACCGTCTACTATTATATACATGCGTGTTTTTCAAACCATATAATTTTTTATCGGTTGAAAGGTGCCGATTTGTGATCTCTCGTCATTAATTTTCTAAAGCTCAATCATTAGAAGATTAAGCTTTTTATTTTGGGAAATGTTGAAATAATCGTTATAGATGTTTACGGTGACTTGAAAGAATCGTGATAGAAAAGTCTGATATAAAGCACACTTTTTCAATTTGCCGTGTATGCTATAGGCCGGATTGAAGAGTTATATAACTATACATTCTATTTTCTACCTATTTAACAACACAAAGAAGAAGAAAGAGTATATTTTCCATGGCGTTTTTAACTCGATACATGGTCAATATCAATATACAAACAAACTTATTAATCGATACATAGAAGTATGTTTATCACTTAAGTGATGATTATCCTAGTATGAACATAGTGATAAACGAGTTGTGCCAACGGGATTTTTCACTTCTTTATCTTTGATAAAACACCATCTAAAAAAGACTAAAGGAAATAATTTCACCCCCATAGACTTAATTTTGTGTACATGCAGCGATAATTTCGATATTTTCTACATTTCTTGACGTTTGAATAACACCATTTATCGACAATGATTATCATTATCTCCTCGTTAATCGCTCTGACAAATAACAAGTATTCAACAACCATGACCCACTTTCCTGCCTTTGTTTGCCATATTTAAGTTTGACTTCTCGTACACAACGTCATGATCGCACGCATCCTTTGAGTCGTTGTAATCTGTAGAATTCTTGGGTGTTAAAAAAGATGAAGCTATTTGGCATTCAAGACATGTTGAAGTTGTTTCATTTGCTGTGTGTTGTACCTATTGCCAACGGCACTTGGATGTAAGTGAATATAGTAGGTTGTTGCTCATTGATCGCGATTCTTCCTTTTGTGCATCTCTACAAAACTATGAGATTATTGACGTTTTATCCTTGTATAGCGTCTTTGTTGAAGGTTTGAGCAGAATTGAAAAACTCATTTGGCAATAGTTTCGATTTTTGATGAGATTTATCTTCCAAGATATGGAAATTAAAACAACCAATTTATCGTTCTAGACATTACCGTACGTGTCATTAATTGTTGGTTGCAACCTGTGTTTGATGCTATGTCTATAATGATTTTTTGGCGATTGTCGTCATCAACACTGTATATCTTGGAAACATTTTTAGATGGGTTTTGCCAGAAAGCTACTGCATGTTCAACAAATAAGAAACATATATAATAGATTATGTTTTTTATGACATCGAAAGAAAAGCTTTCTTTTCATCTTGATCTTTGGGCATCTCGAAGGCTTAATTCATCCCTTACAAGCAATTAACTTGTCCTTTCCAGAAACATTTCATAAAAAATGTATCTAAAAATATGCTCATGGCTTGGAAAAAGGAATATAGGAAAAGCTATATAAGAAAATAGCGAGGGAGAAAATTGAGGTTTCTGATAGTCGTTATAGTTTCTATTTCTGTAACCACGCGTACGCAGAGCTTCTATTACATGCACTGACAATTTTTTCAAAGGTCTGACGTTCAGTCTTGACTATCATAGTTGCTACAAAATGCAAAATCGTATGAAATTCATGATTTTTTCATCATTAAAGGTACATGTCAAAGGTGTATGCTCTTGGTGCTAAAGTCGTTTGTAACAACGTTGTTGGTCTAGTGGGAACACAGCAAACGTTGTGCAGAGAAAATCCTGAAGTAATGAGAAGCATAGGGAGAGGTGCAGAGTTGGGGATTGAACAATGTAAAATAAGATTCAAGAATGATCGTTGGAATTGCTCCACCATAGATAAAGATACTTCTTTGTTTGGAAAGCTTATGCGTAAATGTAAGTGATTTTCGTAACATTATAAAATATTATAGTGGACAATAGAAATAGCTACTGGCACAAATTGCTCCCATCACAAATATGTTTTTTCTTTTTTTTACCTCCACAATTTTTGATCGAATGTTTTGAATAGCGATCAATGAAATTCAGTTTGGCTGTCTTATAATAAGGTTCAATGAAGATTTTCTGCTTATATGCAGTGGTTTTCATTATTATATACATGTTTGCCATGCTGTTCTGTGTTATACCAGACAAAACAAATGACAAATATTGTCTATACTTTAAGGAGAAAGCAATAATTAGCAATAAAATCGTCTAGGTAACTCTTAATTACGACCAATAAAACACGAGATGTTTCAACTTTACTGGTCAAAATTACCATAAAAGACCTTTTGATATCATTTTCTTTTTGGATAGATAGTTTATTTGCCAAACAATTTGCACTCCGTCGATTGATTAACATAAACCATAAATACAGAGAATTGAAATCAATTAATCCTAAAAAATCAACATGTAAAATGCAAAACACGATCAATACAAGACTGAGAAATCTTAACTCATACTCTATATTTACAAGAATGCTGTAAAATAAAAGTATTTTTAAAGCTGTTCGTCTGAGATAAAATTTAAAACTATTTCTTAACAATACACAGTATGGTTTAATGGCGGCGATAATAACTTAAGTAGTTTACTCTTAAGAATAATGTTACACTAAATTAGGCCTAGAGAAGACCGGGAATTCGACTTTTTCATGCTATTCTGTGTTTCGTTTAGCCAACAAAGAGACAGCTTTTGTCCATGCTATCACGTCAGCAGGTGTGGTGTATGAAGTTACGCGTGCTTGTAGCAGAGGTGAATTGAGAAAGTGCAATTGTGATAAAAAAATGAAAAAAACAAATAAAAACGACGACTTTAAATGGAGCGGATGTAGTGAGAATGTTGGTTATGGAATGCAGTTTGCTCGCACTTTTATTGACTCCCGTGAAACACAGCAGGATCCACCAGCCTTAATGAATCTTCACAACAATAAAGTGGGACGACGGGTAAGAAATGTCATTTTGTATACGCAATAATTTCCCAAATAGTGTTCATGCGTAGAAGACGCAGCATTGAGTAAAAGTATTATAATGAATAAATCGCCTTGAAGGAAACCACATGTCTTGTTGAAGTCTGAAAGCGTTGTTGCAATTAACGTTTTACCTAAATCATTCAAAAGGACATACTTAATAAATTAACTTGAAAATAATCACTAATTATCCACTTGAAAGTGTCGAGTCCTCAATGATTCTCACAATTACACAGCATGAGCAAAATCATAAAATTTCCTGCTTTTCTTTCTTTTCGAGGCACTTTCAGTTGATTCAAATTCTTTTCGCTCATGCGAAAGATTCCAATAAATTATTCACATAAAACGAAAAATTTTTGAAACGACTATGACGTCAGACATATACAAGTTAATCTGCAAAGCTTGATAAATTAAATAGCAAGAAATGCAGTTCAATTTTTATGCTACAATTTTTGCTATATTTCCTGGTTAGGCATTCTCATATCGAAATTTTAAATATGTTTCTCTTTCATGCTGAGACAAAGAATGCATTCTTTTTATTGTTTTCTTTTGGCGTATGAACGCGAAATTCCAGCTATTTCCTTAGTAATATGTCAATTAGTTGCATAATTTTTTTGTCCAAACCTCAAACAAACAAAACTGACCTGAACATTCACTTTTTTTTAAAATCGTGTTTCATCTATTTGATTTCGTTGCCCAGGGCGGCCACTACGAACATATATAGGAATATGGAAAAACTCACTCTTTTCTTTGTAAATTTGTTCGCCCAAAGAACAAAAGTGATATATTCGCCTTAGAATTAAAAAAATATGAACTTTATTCCACAGGCTGTGCGCCGTTTGATGGAGCTACAATGTAAATGTCACGGTATTTCAGGGTCATGCGCAATGAAAAGTTGCTGGAAAAAAATGATGCCATTTGAAGCGGTTGGAAATTTACTCCGTCAAAAATATCTAAAAGCAATCAAGGTGACAATGGATCAAGCAGGGAAATCGCTAACGAAAGTAAATAAAATGAAAAAACCTTCTGGTGAGGCGATGGTCTTTTTAGAAAATTCTCCTGATTATTGTGAGGCAAACAAAGCAATCGGTTCTGCTGGCACGGGAGGGCGCGAATGTAATAGGACTGGGACCGGCCGTGGAAGTTGTGCTGTACTTTGCTGTGGTCGAGGGTTCGATACAATTGAAGTGGACGATGAGAGTAAGTGTAAGTGTAAATTTCACTGGTGTTGCTACGTAAAATGTAAGAAATGTCATTATAAAATTGACAAAAACTTTTGTAAAGTCCCAGCTGCGGAAAGTATGAACACATTTGGCTATAGGCAGCCTCAAACACATCGCAGGAAACCAAGGGAGACTATGTCCTACAACTTGGAATTTAAATTTTCCTAACATGTGCGGTACGGATTTCCACGAAAACTGTAATATTGTAGAGAAGTATCCTACAAAGAGGTGACAGTGTTGATGAAAGTGTATCGTCACCAATGTGTGCTTGGTAGAATAAAGGCATATATGGATGTTCAAACATTGCATCATTATACGACAATGATGTTCGGAAATCACATTTTAAAAATACTATAACACTACACAATATGAAAAAATTTAGCGCGAACTATTGGTACAATAAATATACCTCCCAATTTTATTTCTTGTCTGAAAGCTTCACTTAGCAATGTACATATATGTGTTTAAGCATCCTGGCAACTTATTTATTACGCAAAATACAGAAAATGGGATAATCAGTTAGGAATGCAAAATGCAAAAATATTCATGCTTATCACAAAATGCTTTTTTTAAAAATTCTCAAACTGTGATGAAAATAAAACTCTTCGACAAATTATTTTTCTCTTAACTGTCCCATTTCTTATATTCCATTCCATCCGGAGGCTTGCAGTCAACTTTCTTACTTCCAACCTCACTCCAGTTTGTACTGAGGACAGTTCCACCAGATTCTACAAATGACTTGTTCATTGCTCGCTTCACTTCGTCACTACCTTCGCCGTAGATCTTCTGGAATAGTTGATTTAGTGCAGCATCACCTTCTAACTTTTCTTCTTTTTCTTCCTTCTCGATATCTGCGGCTAATTTATCCCAGTTACGATGAACATGGCTCGAGGTCGGATAAGAATGGGACGATTGAGTTGAAGGAGGATTTATGTTAATGTCTGCGTGGTTGAATTGAAACAAAAATAGCAAAACACGCATTAATTACATCTTAAAAAGAATTGATTAAAACTGAGAAATATGAATACACTAACAATATTTGTTGTCTAACAATTCTATAAAATTAAATAAAAATATGCTCTAGGATGGAGGAGAAGTGAAGTTTTGAGAGTGGGGACTTTATGTTAAACTATGAATTGAGTTGGGGAAAACAGTGCAGAAAAGGCTGAAATTTGCCTTACTTGAGTTAGATGAAGGAAGTATATCTACGTTGTCATCGTCGCTTTTTTCGAGACGGGTCCATCTGATACTCTCCGCTTTCTTCAGTCGAATTTCAATCTGTGTGTAAGAAAAATCACGTGTTTATGAAAGGAAAGAGATCAACATTAAAATTATGTTTATTGATATTAAAAAATTAAAGTTACATTTAGATACGTGCATACATATATAGCTTACCTTAAGTGGAGATACTCGATATGTTGATTCATTTGAGACAATGACGTTAGCTAGTGTTAACGATAGCCCAAACTCATTCCCATCTTCCAGTTTTATGGTTGCATGTATCTACAAAACGACATATCATAACTCATTGCAACTTTTCTCGTAATTTCACAAAGCAACTCCATGTTTAACAATCGCATAGAATGACCGACACTTTACTTCTCAAAACTTGCTTTAGCCCCTAAAGTTGCAGGCTGACAACGCTACTCAATGACGTCAATGAGTAGAGATGACGTCGATAAGTAGAGATAACGTCATCACAAAATGACAGATGTAACTTTTGTGAGAGAAAATCTTTCTTAAAAATAGATGCTAACAAAATCTTTTTCACTGTAAAATAGTTTGTTAAATTACGTATATCTTACATATGTATCTTGGATATCACATTTAACATCGTCTAAAGTCCTATTTTTTACTAATATTGTAATGACAACTCTTGAATCAGTTTGATACCAGTCGTACCTATCAATAAATTGAAATCATTCAACACGTTAAAATATAAACTGATTAGTAAATATTTATGGTGAGTTTTTAAAGAAAAAATTTACAATCAAAATTACTGTTTTCCTACATCACAATAAGAAGAAGAAAACTGTGCTGACAGAATTTAATACCGAGGTTTCACAACAGATGTAGTTGATGATGCTTTATTTGAGATTTCTGTGTCATCTGATGACTCGAAATTTCCTAAAACAGCATAATCTTGCATATTAATGAAATCATCATCAAAGATGAACAAAATTTCTTCATAGCTTTTGTGTGTGAAATAAAACATGTGAATGTACATTTACATGTCCGTATATCAGTGATATCACTGTTCGTGAATGACCATTGCACATTGTTAAACATACTGTATGAATGAATATTCTATGTTGCAAGATTTTAATAACAGTGAGGAATAAATGCATAACAAACTAAACCTAATTTATTAAGTTCCATTTCACATTTTAAAAGCCATGACTTTGCTTCCTCTGTATCTATGAAAGTAAACAATATCAAGAACTCAAAATAGGTAATTGCTATTTTGTAATACTTTCAAGCATTACAAATTTTACCTAATAACAAATAACATGATTGATTACATTTTTTTATAGCACATGAACTTACTACAGTATTTTATTTTATTTAAATAAACTTATACCATTTAATTTGACGACATTCTCAAATGCATCTTTTGCATCTCTATATTGTTTAAGATGATAATGAGCAATCCTAAAACAAAAAAAACAATCAAACTCCGTGTTTTCAACATCATGCAACTGAGTATTTGAGTTCAGGGGCAGATCCTCATCTGGGTGTGCAGTTCACAAATAAAAATTTTTTTTTGAAAAATATAAATATGCATATGTACTATTGAAAATATATAATTGGTACTTTTTCACGAATACTTTGCAATGGCAATATATGACCAACAGGATGGTTTCCAGGATATTTAAATTTTCAATTTATTCATAGACAAACTATCCCATGTCACCACATCAAAGCTCCGTGTATTAAAATAGTGTAACATAGTATTATTCAAACAATTACCCTTTACGAAGAAAGCCCTTTTCAAAGTTTTTATCAAGGCGCAAAGCTGATGTAGCATCAGATAAAGCATCTATAACATGCAACAAAAGAAAACAAATCATTGATGCTTATATATTTCTTTACATGAAGATGATAGCAAATCAGAATTGGGTACCTTCATACTTTTTCAGTTTGATAAGAGCATTGGCCCTTTTGCTGTAATAATTTGGATTGCAGGAATTAAGCTCGATGGCTAATGTGTATTTCTGTATAAAAGAATTAAAAACAATCACCAATAGATAATATCACGTTGCTATAACAACATCATCCAATGCAATCCATTTATGAGTAAAATTTGCATCATTTATGCAAAGTTTGTCCCATACATAAACAATAGCAAATATTTGCTTGTTTTTCATCATGTTTTCAAATGCTTAGTGAGCTGTGTTCATTAATTGATACCTTACTAATGTATTGTTATGTTGTAAAACTCATAAATTTTATCAATCACGATCTAAATAAGCAAGCCAAGAGCAAAAAACCTTCCATGAAGAATCCAATGATTCTTGTATCAAAAGATACAATACCTTGACTGCTTCTTCAAAATCATCATCTGAAAATGCCTCATTTCCTTCACTAAAACGAAAAATGAGGATATACAACAGATACATGTTTATCTTTAATTCTATAACTGATGTTTTGGTTGTAATTTTGTGTCATATAAACATTCGCGAGTAGTGAACTTGGATAAAATAGCAAATACATGTTATTGAGAAGTGAAACTGATTTGCAAGGTGGGATTTTCGTTCGTGTAGGCCAAATTTCAACTATCAGAAACTCACCTGAAAAATTTCTCTGCTGACATATCTGAAAAAAAATTCAAATATCAGAAGAAAAACCTTCTTTTTGAAATTCTTTTATGCCAAATGTGCATAGAAATGAAGCACAAAACTAAAGTTTTCCCAACAACGTTTGCAACTTGGTCGCTGTCAATTTTATTATGAAGAAGACTGGGGACGAGGAACCTTATGATGGCTGCCTTACGAAGTAGTCTACAGAAAGATGTCTTCGATCTTTATGAAGAAAAGTTGTTTGCTTTTACGAATGTTAGCAGACCTGGAAAGAAGAAAAAACCTAGTTTTTTATGCATTGCTGGTAGGTGTAAAGTTTAGAATCAGGCGATATGCACAACAAATGACACTCAAAATTGTCATTTGTCACTTGTCAGTCAGTATTACATGTTTATGTTTATAGTAATTTTCAAAAGATTTTGATTATATTTCAGCTCTTTCTTGAGATAATGCGTAGCTCTCACTCTGAGCTAATTATTGATTGATCTGCCCAAGGTCGAACCTTTCAGAATTTAAAAAATAGAATCAGCAGATAGATGCATCTTATCAATTTGAATGTTTATATTATATAGTGTCCAATGAAAGACCAGTTTCTGTGACAATCTATAAAGTGAAAAAAACAGACAAAGAAAGCTATAAAAAAAGAACATCATGGCTTTTAAAGGATCTGAAAACAGTGGATGGAAAGGATGCATACACTGTACGTAATTCTGTAAATCTTCATTTCAAATTGAGGATTATATAGCTTTTATTTAGCTGCTCACTCTATGAAGTATTAAAATTTCTTGTTTTTATAGGAAACACCAGAATTTGATTTGATTTTTGATAAAAACTACAAGTGGATTGCTAGTAGTTTTGCCGACAAAAATGCTTTCATTGTTGCCTTATGGAAGGTGATGTATTTCTGTTTCAAAATAACTACTTTAATTGTTCTAATGTATAACTTTTCATACAACCAAATAATACTGATAAGAATTTGTTAGTGACTGACGATGTTTTCCAAATAGGTTTGCACTAGGTATTTATCTCAAAGAAAACCAAATTTTGTTAATGTGAATCAGCAGAGCATTGAAGGTAGGAAAACATTATCTTCTCCACTCACTTAACTAGCCTCCTGCACATTTATATGGAGTCTGACACTCATAGTTAGCATGACCACACCCCATCCCTGCCTCCACACAGACCTAGATGCCTCCCACACATCTAGCAAGCTTGTCCATACAAATTCATTGCTGGCCTCTTCACCCGACTTGCTCGTAACTCTCCCACATAAATATCCAGTCACCGATGCAATGAAATAGCTGGTTTTCCCGAAGAAGGAGCTGGTCCTCTCTAATGATTTGCTAGCGCTCCTACACACCTTCTCATTTTATTCGCACAACATATAAATACATAACATATAATAAAGTTTAAAGAAATGATCAATTCAAAGGAATAGTAAATCAGTTCTATGACTCATATTTGTAAATTCTGAATTTATCTATTTAAAAGAATCATATTTGTTTCTTACCTAGAAACCTTACGTTCTGGTGCTTCCCAGCTGTCAGTGGAAGATGTCAACATTGAAGGTAATTTTTAATCCAATCATGCTACAAATTATGGACATTGTGTTATCATTTTTTATTTCAAATGAAAACGCTTGTGTTTTCTACGAATTTTTACTACGAATTATCAAGATGACTACCAACAACTTGCATCGGGAGAGGAAAAAGACTTAAATATAACGATGTCGAAATACGAATGTGCAATTAGTAATATAGAAGCCTTTACTGAAAAACTTTCGCGTGATTTGTCTTTGCTTGATGGCGTAAGTATTGAATGGAAATTGTTTGTGAAATGTATGTTTTGAACAATCTTGCGTGCTTTTTGTTTCAAATGCATAGTATGCTTATATTTAGGCGAACATCACGTCAATCATGGGTTCAGAGACACAAGTAAAGAATATAATGGAATGTATAGATGAAGGTCTAAAAGAACTGAAGGAACTCGAGGAAAAACTCGAAAGATATGATAAACTTCTGCAGGTCTCACTGCGCTTAATTTCTTCATATTTTGATCATGCCATCCGAAATCATATTTTACGCTTTTTTTCTTCCGTCAATTTGATTAGCCAGGAGAGCCCCTACTCGCTGCAGGAATTTCAAACTTGTTGTGCAAATTTTTTTAAAAGGGAACTTTTCTTGTTTAATTATTTCCTAATTTCCTGTCAAAATGTGTTAATCGTCGAATTTTGGAAATGAGCCTTACAATTTAATTATTTATTATATTAATTTTTAAATTGATTATACGCTTATATTTATTATATTTTTGTATTAAGTATGCAGTTATAAACACTTGTAACTAACTCGTATGTTGAACATTATGTAGAAAGCCAGAGATCATATGGAACACATGGACGAGAAGAACAGGAGAATGCAATTGGAGCGTGCAAATCACAAGAAATTAATTGACAAAGTGCAAAATCTTGTTGTAAGTATACATTGGTCAATAGTTCTATCATAAATCTATGTCCTTAGTCAATAAATACCGGTTATAATTCCCTTATCATTTGAAAACCTTTATCCATGATTTGATTGGATTAAAATGAAAGACTTTACTAGAATAAGAAATATTTCGTTCCCATTTTACTGAAGTATCTTTCACCTATTTGGTGTTCTGCTTTCCACAACATCTGATCATTCAATTCAGGATATTTTGGACGTTCCTGAAAGCATTTTGGAGCCATTACAAATGAAAAGTCTGTCGAATTCAATTGAAATTCAACAATGTACAAAAGCAGCAAAGGCTGTTCGTAATGCGATGAGTGCTGAGCTTAGTCCAGGTACAATAGCGAGCAGTATCTATGACAAAAACAATTACATATTAATAGACACGTAACATAAAATGTGTAATTAATTTAATCATATCATAAAACTAAGCTTTTTTGATGAAATTAGCCACGTACGTGTTGAAATTCCGTTACTTCGTTTTCTTATAGGAATGAAGAAACTTCGCGCAGTTAAAGATCAAAGGGATCAGTTTTGGACTCTTAGTCAAGAATTCGCATCGTTCCTGGCCAGTCATTTGAAATCGGTTTTTCAAATTCATGTAAGTTGCTTTTTTTTCTTCAAGACAGTTTTTGAGTTCTTACCACAGTATAGGTATTAACAGTATCCTCACTCGCAAAACTCCTCACGGATGTTAGCTCGCGCATGTTGGTCGCCATGTTGTCAATAAGGAAAGAGGAGTGAGAATATTAAGAATTGTATTAAGGAAACGCGATTTTTCCATTAAATTGGATGTATTTCTGCGTTATTATTCATCGATTGCCTATAGTTTGATAAAATAACTGATTTGAGGATAACAAAGCGTACTTTATCCAGAAAATTCTGCTAAATCCGGAAAATTGCGACAAATGTCGCCTGTTGTTGTCGGCACTGTGGTACATTTGGCTAACGTAAGCAATTGGTGTGTAAAAACGCAAAACAATTTTTGTTTAGGAGTGAAAATCACATTTCTGTAATACAAATCTTAGCAATAGCACTCCTCTTTCCTTACTGCCAACATGGCGGCCAACATGCGCGAGGTAACATGCGCGAGGACAAAAAGTTCAAAGGTTCCGACGAGAGTGAGCATGCTGTTTAATACCTGTACTGTGGTTCTTACTGTCTCCAAAAGACTATAGTTAAAAACACATTTTGTCTTGTCTTATTTATAAATTGGTATGAGTATTGTTTAGGAAGACGAAACAGAAACGTTAGTAAAGCACTCAAACGAGTTGGTTATTCCAAGTCATAACAAGATCCACGATGAACTGGCTCCTTATACTGATCTCATGTTTTGGCTAAAAGAAATTGATCATTCTAAGTTTTCTGAATTGATATCAGTTAGTAGATAATTACCTATCTGACAATTTGTAAATTTGCACGGTTGTAAATGTTTTTTTGTGTTTGATTCATTCATTTTATTAATTGCAACTTGACATTAGTCATATGTATTTCTATGATTTTTTCAAAACAACAGTTAGTCGAGGTTAGCCTCGATAAACCTGAAAATTTTGAGTATTAAATATATGATAGATGACAAACAGTCATATACGTACATATAGGCATTCAATTTGAAGAAATATTTGGATTTTTAGATGTATTTTTTTTTATATCGTGATGATATTAACATTCAGCGTTTGGTTTCCATAGATTTATACCCAATGTTTCAGCAAGGTGTATGAGAAGGAGATTCGAGACTTTTTTGAAGTTTCCAAGCAAAGATGTTCTGTGAAAAGTGCAAAAATGGCTGGTGAGTATAGTTTTCTTTTATTTCTAACAACTCTCCTTCATTCCAGGATTTCTTATAATAGTAAGAAATCCTGCCGTATGCGAAAGGGAATGCTCTCATTTTTGTTTAGTCTGACAGTGATTGTATATGTGTACGTTGATGAATGATTTCTTTTCTGAGCGTTTATGCACCGTATTAATTAGTGGACTTAATAAAATCTTTTCAAAACAGCCAATCTGAAAGCAGCATCCCATCTTTCTTTAAATCGGGACGATTTATCCATTCATGGAAGTCCCAGGCCATCGCGTGTCGCAAAATTTGATAAATATTCTACGGGTAGTCCTCAGCTCAAACGGAGCTCTCCGACGGGATCTGTCAGTTCTCAAGATTCTATTATGTCTTCGGACACTGTGTTTGAAAGTCGAAGCCGCTTTGATAAGGTACCAAAAATTAACATTATGCATTTATGTATTTATTTAGGCTTTTTTGTTTATTATGCGGCATTGAATAGCAATAGTTACTTGTTTTTCTTTTCGTCCTTTTTTAAATTTTTCCAAACGTCAATTTAAGATCTTCTATTGATAATCGTTCGCAGATCTTTGATACTTTGTTATCTGAACTCGAACCTGCTTGCTTGGCCGAACAAAAATTTATCGAGAAATTTTTTCACATGCCTTTACCCAATGATGACTCGGAGGTAAAGTTTCTTATAATCATGTGGTCTCAAGAAGATTAATCAGGCATTTAATGAAAACGACAAAATTTTTAAACATCAACATGTTTCTAAGTCATCTTTAGTATGAATGAAATATATATATTTATACATTATTATAAATACATTTTCACTAATAACACATTTCTCACACTTAATTCTTTTGCTAATTAGTAATTCTTTTTCATCATTTAATGTTATAAATATCTAACGCTGTAAATATCTGCTTCATACCGAAGGTGACTTAATTTTAACTCGAAACATGTTTATAATAAAATTTTTGTCGTTTTCTTTTATGTTCTTACAATAACATTTAGATTTCCATCATTCTATACTTGCCTTAGATTGATTTTAAACATTCCTGGAAAAACATTCCTCAGGTTTCTAAAATAGTTTTATTTCCTTTCAGACATCAAGCAATTCAAGTTTAAGCTCTATTCTTTCAAAGGATAACGTAGACGGTGCATCAATGTCACGAAGTAAACGCTCAGGAGATTTTGGATTATAGTATGTTTTATATTTTTACAGTTGGTATACGTACTGTACTGTACTTAAAGTACGGTTGTCATTTATGTCTTTCTGTTGTATACATGCTCTAAGCTTTTAAAATATCATTTCATTAATTTTTACAACATTAATTTTCTTTAGCAAGATTATGACAGATCTTTTTCGTGGACTAGATCCAGAGCTTCAAAATTTCATTAACTTTGGTGATAAATTAGATAGTTTGTATGTATTGATAGTTTGTCATTTTGATCGTGCATAAATTAGCATATCCTCGTGACGAATGTATTTTTCTTTTAGCAATACAATGTACATGCTAGTTCGTATCGGTGATTACGTCATGGCTCACCAGCATTCTGGGATACATGTTTCGTTCCTTAGTTATCAGTTGGCTCAGTCATTAATCGTGGTCAAGCGATTGTTTGATAAATTTATTGTTAGTAATTTTTATTTCTCTTGATTTTATGTTCACAATTCGTCACTTTACTATATTCGTTGATTCAATGTCTTCATTTTGATGTTTGATTTCCATTCATAATAGAATGTTCCTCTTCCCATGGAGCATTTTATTACGAATCGGGGACTTGGATTTAGCAAACGACTATTTTCACGAACTATCTTTAATTGTCACTTGTCATATTGCTATCGATTTGAGATATGAGCCCACGATTTGCTGACATACGTATTGTTTGATTTTGCAATACTTCTACGTACTTTGCAACATTCACAACCGTAAAAATCCTTACGGTTGAATATTGATACGGGCAGTTTAAAATTGATAACTAAGAGGTTCACACGTTATTATTACCATAGTTACAGTAGCATATTGGATTTTTTAGTCGGCTCTTAGCAAACAAGTTGAAGAAACGAAAGTTCCAAAGAAAAACCGATGTGGAATATTACCATTTGTATCAAAGTTTGAGGTGAGTTTTTTAGTACATTTTGACGTACATTACAAATTGTCCATACTCCTTTCATTGGGATTTTTCTCTCATATAACTATCAGCGGCATACCCAGTGGCGTAGTTGCAGGGGGGGGGCAGGGGGGCCAAGCCCCTAGCTGTTGATTTTTGGTGGGGCGCAGAAATGAATATGAGTCACAGAGTTTTAAATTTGGGCTAGAGAAATGAATTGAAGCAGAACAATTATTTCCACAGTTATAATATACAGTTAATGAAATTAACTTTGGAGAAAAAGGAAGACACGTCAAAATGAAACCTTGTAAGGGGGGTCGTTTTACAGTCAATTAAAGAATAAAGTGATTGAGGAGCATACTTGATGTTTCTTATGTGGCCACAACACCTGACTTGTCAATTGTCACAATGACTGTAGACAACATACAGGGCCAAATTTAATGTCCTCTTAGGGGGCGCAAAAAGGCCTAAAAATGTATAGTTTTTTGTCTATTTCAATCAATTTTCTTGGCTTTCTCCAAATGACAGGATCGTTGCTGGCATTGCATATTATTATTAATCCAAGCTTAATAATCTTTTTTTGTGGGTAGCCTGCTCACAGGCTTACCACGATGTTATACTAAAAAATGTCCAGATGGTAGGACGGCAATACACGAATTAAATTCACGACTACATGACGATGATGCGTTACGGAAAATATTCGAAAGTATAAAATTAAGGAAATTCGTAAAATTTTACTGGCAATAGTTGAAATAAACATCTCAAAATATCATACAGGTATACTTAAGGTTAGTATCAATACTGAACATCAATTATCTACAATTCAAGTCCTCCCGTAGGATTAAAAATAGAAATATAATTGTATAAAATTCTGTTGTGAAGATTTTCTATTGAAGCGGAAAAAAAATTAATTTTTTGTTAAAATTTTTGAACTTTCTTGAGGACGTCGCTACTCTTGTTATAGTGGCTAGCCTACTTAGCAAGTCTATTGAGTCATTGACTGAAGTCTGTCTCTCAAACAGACGTCCGACTTGTTTCAGTCGTTTAAGTCAGTCGTCCATAGAGCGCGAGCTAATAAACTAATAAGACGGACTTTTAGTTGGTGGTATTTGGAGACAAAATTATCATTTTGTTGATAAATGATCTATAATATTTTGATTATCATTACAAAAATATGACCATCGGACTTCTCTAGTAATTTCTTATGTAGTTAGTTAAATATTAGTCATTTACGCTATTCGCGTACCTATTTTTAATTTTCTAGTGGTAGCGCAGTCATTGGTAGAGTGTAATCAAAATGCAAAGGCTAACATAATATTTAATCAATTTATTAATTATATGTAACAAAATGACGAATTTCATCTTCTTTCAATTGTTGGGCTATCTTGATTCAAGCTATAAACATTCATTGAAACATGTTTTTCGCGCCCCCAGAGATTTGCTGAGACAGCTGAATCGATTTTCAAGAATGCAGAACGTCGTAATGACCTGGATAAGTCTTATCGTACACTTGTTGGGGTAGTCTTCAAGAACATAGAGAGAGCTGCTAAGGAAAATCAAAAAACTCCTGCCGATGTAATACTATTTGGTAAGAGATCTACGATGAGTTTAACTATGTCCCAATAACAAAAGGGGCTTCCTAGATAATTTTTACAACACGACAAATCTTTTTCATCTCATGCAGAAATGAATTCATAACGGTAATGTGGTTTGCGTGGGATAAAATAATTTCAAATTGTTTAAGCTACTATTTACTTGATTTTGTGCTATTTTTTTCAGAGAATTATCATCACTTATACGGTATGTGTATTAAGACAAAATTTGCAAGGTATTCGTTGTGGTTGTTTACAGGACTCTATAATTAATTGTGGCGAACATTAGCGAATAAAAATTTGAATTTTTAAGGATTAGCAAGTTTGCTCTCGAAAAGTATGTCAAGATCTATTACTAACGTAAAAAAATCTCTGTTTTGTGCAATGAAAGGTGTCTTATCGCGCTTAAAGATTGCCAGTCTAGATGGTGAAAGAAAAGAAGCTAAAGTAAAGTACACACAACACATGGATTTCTATAGCACAAAAATGTTTGGTCGACCAATGGAAAAACTCAATGTTGGTTGCGTTTATCAGTTCCTTACGATATGTACTTGATCATAATTTGAAAATTATTGTTGTTTTTTTTGTACATAGATATTCTTTGATGGTATTGAAGAAAAATTATCGAGTGGTGTAAAGGCAGAGGAGATCGGTTACCAATTAGCATTTAGCAAACAAGAATTAAGGAAGACAATCAGGGAATATCCAGAGAAGGAGGTATATTTTTAATTAATATTTGTAATTCAATCATTTATATTACTCATTACATTAGGTACATTTAATCATTTGGAGTAGAGGCAAAAATGAAACGGATGTCAAGTAGCGCAAACTTTACGGGGGGTGTTGAAAAATGCATGTTTTACGTTTAATCAACTTTGAGCGATACAAATTGATGATTTCATGGAATACTATCCAGAAGCGTGTGCATACAAGTTATTAGTTTATGACTGAGCGAGGTAGTCACTCCCAGAGCAATGCAAGGATATTCAATTGATTGCAAGTACTCAGTCATATATTAATTGCATGTTGCCTGTCTTCTTCAGCTGGTTTCAACAAATGCATTTTCAAACTTGTTACCTCAATGACCGTTATTCGCCTCGTGTCCCCACAATGTGTAAAAGCAAAGTAGCCAATACACAACCGTTGAGATACTAAAACTGTGGACAACAAATGGTTATGTAGACTGCAGCTTGTGAAAGGTTTAGATTTAGGGTTAGGGTTAGGCTTGTGAATGGTAGACTATAGCTTGTGATAGGTTTTTTTATAATTTTTATTATTTGCCGCCATAAAGTTACCTAAATGATTCATGAATCAAAATGTAGTGGGAGCAGTGGGAGTCAATGTTGAAATGAAATAAATGAATGAAACCACTTTATGGTTGATTGAAATTACGAGTCAAAAGGCAGTGTTTTTTGAAACTTTGCACCATCCTTGGATCCTTAGTTGAATATGTTTTTCTCGTTGTTATGAATACGCCATTTTTTATGCTATAGCTAAGTGGTACTGTAGTCAAGTATGTGTATAATGTCATGTGAACTTAAATCTACGTGACACTCATCTTTAAGTGATTGTTATCACAGATTAAAAAGGGTTTGGAAAACCTTTATCACAAGGTAGAGAAACATTTATCGGAAGAGGAAAATTTGCTGCAGGTTTGTGTGATTTTCAAACGTTTATTTACAACAGTTTTGCGAAGTCTTCCATTAATATTGTTTTTTGATAGGTCGTCTGGCGATCAATGCAAGAAAAATTTATTCAACAGCATAAATATTTCGAAGAACTTATAAATCGTTGTTACCCTGGTTCCATGATAACATTTGACTTTTCTATTGACAGTTTGTTAACGTTTTTTTCGGACATTGCGCAATCGCATTGATCACTCAAAACCTTAAAGAGTAGTGAGACTTACGCTAATTCTGAATATTCGATAGTTAGAAATGAGAATGAGATCCATCCGGACGAATTCCATTGACTAATACATAAGAAATCAAAAGGCTATATAAAAGGCTATTTCTCAACCTGTTACATTTAAAATGATTTTCGAGGAAAAAACCCCTAAGAACAAAGTGCACGCATTTTCTGTTTAATAGATTTTAAATCAAAGCTTAATTTCAGTTATTGCACTGAAAAGAAATTAATCTAATGTTCTGAAATTTTTATATAGCCTTAGCAGGACTCATCTTGCGAGCTATGTCACTGAATTAATGGTCGGGCTTTCTAGCCTAGCGTTTTTGTACGTAATAATTGAAAATTAAAATAACATCCTGTATCAATCTTTATACGTAAATTTGACTGACTGCATTCATTTTAAATCAACTTTTTCAAACACTAGCACTTGCCACTTGGTGGGAGATTTTATAATTACATTATATGAAGTATTTACCAGGAATCACTACTGTCAATATTCAAGATGCCAGAGTGATATGTAAGATTGCCCTTCGTACAATAAAATGATTTGGTCTTTACGTTTTTCTCAAATTTGGAAGGCTTCATCTGGTATGTGGTGATGTTAAAATTTGGAAGAAACAATATACTGTATTTTCAAGTGTTTTCCAAACATTCCTCGTGCTCAAATCACGCATTAATGTCTAAAGTTTGTTTTCTTAACTGAGTGATTAGTAAGGGTAATGAACACTAAGTGTAATAGGCTATGATGTTCATTCTGTAATGCAATATTTAGAATTTGTATAAAAACTGCATGACTTTTTCTAGCGTTAAATTTTATTATATCAAAGAACATAAATATATAGGCCATTTTGGCTAGTTTGATGTGATCATATGATCATTTTTGTAGAAAAACATATTTTGTCTTTTCATCGACAAAGATACTTTTCAATGAAAGTGGATAGCAAGCAGTTAGCAAAGCTTCGTAAAAACACTGGATATGGCCTGTCAGTTTGTAAGGAAGCATTATTAGAAAATGATAATGATATAGGATTAGCTCAGACCTGGCTAGACGAGCAAGCTATCAAGAAAGGCTGGCAAAAAGCAGAAAAACTTGTAGGAAGAAAAATTGGCGAAGGATTGATTGGAGTAATGGTCGAAGGAAACATGCAGCAATGGTTGAGGTATTACAATTCATTATGGTGATGGTATTTTTTTTGTCTCTGTCACCATGTTTTTTTTATCTTTTCAGGTATGCTGTGAAAGTGATTTTGTTGCAAAAAATGAGATTTTTAAGGATCTTGTGTTCAAGGTAACAGAAACGGCACTTTTTCACTGTAAGATGATTTTTGAAAGAGCACTAGATCTTGGTAAAACATACACTCATTCTCGTGAAGTGTTACTCAATGAAAAGTTTGTGGAAATGAAACTGCCTCACTCAGATGAGAGAGTAAATGATTTTATCTTGCAAGTGGTGGGTCGTTTGGGAGAACGCATAATGGTGAACCGTGCTATTACCATGACAATTGCAAAAAACTGTATTATAGGTTCCTATTCACATGGTCCATTTACTCATAATGTTGATGGTTGCCTCATGGGAAAATATGCTGCTCTTGTTGCCTTGCAGGCAAATGCATGTGATTTTAATGCAAACACATTGGGAAAACTAGCTACTTCCTTAAGTCAACATGTTGTTGGAATGAACCCAACTTATAGTTTAAGTAATCATTCTTCAGAAACAGAAAAAAATGATGATGGGGAGGTTTTTGAAGAGCAGCAATATCTCATGGATGAAACAATATCTGTTGGGGAATTACTTCACCAAAACTGTGTTACTGTAATTGATTTCTTAAGAATGGAGTGTGGAGATCAAAGCATTTAATAACTTAAAGTTTCATGTTTTCTATTATATGATAAATCTGAAACGTTGTGTTTGGCAACCCATCCTGAGCCAAAACGCCATTATTATGGTGACACATTTTAGACATTTCAACTTCTTAGAACAGTGACTGTATAAAAAAATTCCAAATAAATTAAAACAGTTTTCTTTTGCTTTACATATTTACAATAGAGCAACTGCATTAGAACACGTTTTTAACTAAATAAGAAGTGCTATATTAATTTTCACTTCGACAGGATTACCTAACCATATTACACTTCTTTTGTTTAAGCTCATTTTTGTATACACCGTGAAGTATAATGTAATGTTTGGACTCGTGCATTACATGGGTCTATCTAAACATTGTAATTCACAGAACTCTAAAAAACTTTGTTAAATCAAAAGCTTACGGCAGTCAAATCAAACTACGTTAAGTCATCAGGACCGTAGGAGCGTTATCAAAGTCAATGGACTCAAAGACGATCGTCAAAGATACCATCCTTTAATGTGGGTGATCTGGTGTGCTAAACTGAGCTGCAAAATTTTGATGTTCAACCTTTTAAGACAGCATTTTTGTGCAGCATTAGGAAACTATTTAGATGCAACTAAATAAAAAGAACAATTTTTTCAATCTAGAATCGTAGCCATTTGTGTAGTAATAGTAACTTTCTTGTGTAGTAATATCCAACTTCTTAGTATCGGCTAAATAACTTCTACTTTCCTAGAAATTTTGACTTTGCACTCTTTGAACACCCTGGTCATTCCATTATGACCTTTTTATGTTTATGATACTCTATTGCACGGTAGTAAAATCTGCTGTCTTAGTCACTGCAGCTGCGATGAAGTGTTGCTGATGTGTAAGTATTATTTTTTGCTGGTTTCTTGCTCGTGAAGACGGCTCATTATTTCTTGAATTTTGCCGTCATTCAGCCGAGCTGCCGCTGTACTTCTATTATGCTATCATCCACGAAATAAATTTGTTGCGTGCTCACAATCCTAAGTCAATTGCAGCGTATGTTTAGTTGACTTAAAAATTGTCATTGTGGTATGCCGCTCAGCATATCATCCTGTTCCTATTTTCATTCGCGTATCAAGTGTAGTAATTAAGTTAAGACACAAAAGGATTCAAATTTTCCTCATAACAAAATTTGTGTGTAATATGCAACCATTGCATTGTTGCTGTGAACTGCATTCACTTCAAGGTTCATTTTAAATTTTGTATTAATTTTTATCAATTTTTTTATCAATTTACTTTCAATATTGCATTCACTTCAAATCTTGAATAACAAATAAAACATGATCTACTAGAGTGCATCATGTCAAAGAAAAAACTTGGTAATTATACCTCGTTTTCATTTGCAAATGTTCAAGAACAAAGTGTTTAAAAGCTGCTAAAGTTATTACATATGACAACCAATGAAGAAATATTGTGTATTGCCATTGCTTAGTTTCATTTGCGAATTGTAAACTCATTATTTGTGGTTGGTAAGCAAGATAAAGTTCCAATCACGTGATGAGGAAATGAATAAAATAATTTTGATTTATTTGCGTAACAGCTACAAACAGATGAAGTTATGTGTACATGCAATGTAAGGTAGTAAAAAGTTATAACTATCGAGGTTAACTAAGTTAAAAACAAGTGTGAAAAAGAAGTTAGAGAACTGTATATATGAGGGATGTTAAGGAATACAGTTAAGTTGTACCTGGTATCTGGAACTTATACTCGCCCCGGCGGCTCGTGGCCACTTTTTGCGTTTTTATTACGAATGACGTCATACCCGTGCTGTGACCCGTGTAGCTATAACTGTATAGACAACGGTTAGATATTATCTATTTGTTAAATAGACGCTACAGAGCACTGGTCATGGGATCCGTATTAATTAAGCTAACGAGCCAACTAATGCGTATAAATTAAGTTTGGGAATGATGTCGTTCACTGTTTTGCACCGACATCTTTGACAGCCTTAAATTAAGAAAAATGTTTGAATTTTAAATCCCATGGAATAAACCTCGATAAAAAATCAGTGTTTACCTTGTTGTTTTAGATGTTTTGGTAAACGGTCGACAGCACCCCTTGTTTTCCACTTTTGGATACAGCAGAGATGTATTAATTTTACTCGCTCAAGTGCTGCTTGTCCAATCGATGAAAAAACGCGAACAAGTGAACGAGCTTACTGCGTTTGTTGATGGTTCACAAGTCTATGGCTCAGAGAATGAACTTGCAAAAGAGCTACGAAGTTCTGAAGGTAGCCACATATTCTTTTCAAGAACTTATTTTCATGGGAGAGTGTATTTTGACCAATTCATGTGCTTGATATTTTTCATGTGATTGCACCAGCAATGATTTAAAAACTTTCTTGAGAGCTCGGTCTTATAGTCTTATTCAACTTTATTTTTTTTGTGCGGTAACTTAAGGAGACTTTAATTGTTTCTATGTTTCTTTTCATACAAATAACCATGCAGGTTTACTTAATGTCACAAGAACTGAAAGAAATGGCGATCTTCCTCCACTGGCTAATATTTCTGCCCTCGAGGGACCGTCAAGTTTGTGTGTTGGTGTTGGGGGATGTTTTCTGGCTGGTCTTAGTCGAGCTAATGAGCAGCTGAACTTACTATCTATGCACACGTTATTCGTTCGTGAACACAACAGAATTGTAAAGAAGTTGGAAAAACTTAATTCACATTGGGATGGAGAAAAGAAGTGTCAAGAAGCAAGAAAAATGGTTGAAGCTATTTTACAAAAAATTACATATGAAGATTTCCTTCCTCTAATTTTGGGTCCAAACCCTCTCAATCCATACAAATTATATCAACCTAATGTCAATCCATGCATCTTTAATTCATTTGCTACGGCTGCCTTTAGATTTGGTCACAGCTTTGTAAGATACATCTTTGATATCCTCAACAAAAATTTTGAACCCATAGCTGATCCTTGAATTTTTAACAACGCCTTGATAAATAAACTGGAAATTGAACCATTTCTTCTTGAACTTCTTGCCAATAGCTCGCAGTCATTTGATCGTAAACTAGCAAATGATCTCTTGGAAAACTTGTTTGTACGTCCTAACTCTCCTGGTTTGAATTTAGTGGCGTTGAACATCCAACGAGGACGTGATCATGGCCTTCCAGGATACAACAGCTTTAGAGTCGCTGTTGTTGGACCAACTGCAAAATGTATTATCCAGAAACAAATGGAAGCTCTCAGAAATGGCGATCGATTCTTTTATCTTAACAAATTTGTTTTCTCTTCAAAACAATTGCGTGAAATTGAAAAATCTTTATCTCGAGTTTACTGTGACAACCACCGGAAGAAAATCGTTTCTATTCAAAGGAACGCTTTCTTGACTAATCAACAACGGATAACGTGCGAACGAATTCCTAAACTTAACGTTAGGATGTGGAAAGGTACAAACGTAGCTAGTTTTTGTCATTCAAATTGTGGTAATTCATCTTTTTGTTATTGTTTTTAAACGGCTATTTATATAATAAAAAAAATAGAAAACATTTTCTGTTTTTGTAGCGGGGGTCTCACATTAAATTAAAATGGTGTCTTGTATGTTCTACAAACTTTAATTATTCTTTTACAGATTCACAACAAAACTACGCTGGACGATTATCTTGATGCACTGTAATGGGAATAAATGTTTGAAAATATTTTACAAAATGGATTCGAGTTAGAAGTAGTTTGGTCATTTGAATCATAAGCAGTATATTTTATGAGTGCTATATCCTTTGCATATACCTGTATATAACAATATAGTTCAGACTTTCGATTTGTATTTCTATAAGTATCAATTATAATTATATTTCACGTGTATCAAAGACAAGAATAAAAAAGTATGCTTCAATGCAATAAATGAATCGTTTCTTCTTCCTGCATGCATGTAATTCTTTTGCGATTCTTGCTAGACTACAGTTTCAGAACCAGAATGTGAAAATGAGTTATTAATTGTCTTCAACAGCTTATAGTATTTTCAATCTATGTAGAGATTCGAGATCCCTCACAATCTTTACATGAACATAAAACACAATAAATACAATCTGATGACCAAAAATTCCTTTTCGATTGAGAGAATCATTCACACACCATTGACATTGTAATACTATAGCTACTTTAAGGTTAGATTGTTATTCCACCCATTGTTTAAGGCATTTGAAAACTTTAAAAACAATTTCTACGTACAAATATAAATTGATTTTCGTTTTGGTGTTCATTTGTCTTGCCGGTACGTTTAAAAATAAGAAAAAATGGCAATGGCAGTTCTTGGTCATCAACAGGTGTAAGCTAATTTTTATAAACATCATGAAGTGAAAAAGTAGTTTCTGGATAAACATGCAAACCTTAATTCCTGTACAATAATTGGTGACTGACTCGTGTATTACATGGGTTTATCACAACAAAGCTGAGCAAAAAGTGAAAAACAGCAACATCGTATTGCCTACATTGCATGCACACATCTTTAATAAATGTACAATTTTAATTTTTCATGGTCTTGTCACAAAGTTAATAAGCTACACCTGTAAAAATGTGCAACGCCCACGAAATATATAAACAAATTTTTCTACAAACTACTTACAACAATCAATATAAAGTATTTTTATCAAATTAAATATCTTTAAGTCTATGCTCTGGAGTATACGAACTTTATAAATTATAATTATTTTACGTGTGCAACATAAAATATTTTCCGTCTAACTTGGACTCAACTGCGTGTACTTTCATCATCAAGTAAATGACTTTATTATTGATTTAATAGCTCTTTTGACGCCGTCTTTCGTAACTGTACTTGAGCGAATTCAGGAGGAGGTGATAGATAACTGTCTTCGTCATTCTACATATATCAACAAACATTACACACGACAATATATAATTATCATAAGCATCATTACACTTGCAATGAATATCATGCACTTTTTTGTACTTTCACATGTTTTCCCCATGTTCCATTGAACCTTACAAACTATATGGATATGAATAACAAAGAAAAACGGTAGCTACATTTAAAGCAAGGCCAGCCTACCTTAAAACCATGAGCGTACGTTTTGAAAAGTAAGGGAACATACTTAATACTTAAAATAGTGAAGGTAAACGAGTTGTTATTTTAAATTTGTTTTGCGATTCAAATTTCAGCAAATTTGCCGAAGCAACTTATTCGTGAAGCGCAAGTTGATACATTAATGTCCAATGCAATGGACATTGGGCAAAGTTGGCATCATTTTGAGGTTTTTCTACGTATTCAAAAACATCCACACAATCTCATCGAAATTTTACCTTTTCGACTTTGAGTGACCTTTCCTTCAGCTTGTTCGCTAAGTCTTTGTCCATTTTCTTCGTATTATCGTCATCATTTGCCTTTTTATTTTGCATATTACGCCATACTTTGTCGAGCTCGTTATTTTTTAGTTCTATACCTCTGAAAAAATGTTTAAAATACGAAGATTTGTTAATAGAACAAGACAATGGACATATTTTTGTTTAAAATCGAACTTTAAGAAAAAGTCTTTCAAATAAAATAATCAATATTTCTTTGACGTTGAAATAAATATTGACAAGTCTGGCATCTTCTTTATTTAATCGACGATGTCAGGCACAGTCGGTCTTTGGTCTCGTTAGTAATATAGGGTGCATCAAAACAACTTCAACTCTTTGAAATCAGCCGACGTTTAGAATTTGCCCTATTCAGCACTAATTTACCCCCAAAGAGCCGTAAACGCTATTGAATACAATAACACATACGAATTGCGGCTAGCAGACTGAGAAAATTGCAAATCTCTAGCATGAAATTCCTTTCAATTGCGTTTTTACGCTCACTCCCGAATCATCAAAATTCATAACGTGGGGGATTGAAAGGATTGTAGTTTTTTATACACCCTGTACATTGCCGTGTGTAGCTACTAGACAAGACGAGACTTCTTAAAATGAAATAAAAATTACACAGCCAAAACCATGCATCATCCTTGGAGCTTCGTTAATCCATAGGGGGGCATTTTTTTATCTAGATCTTGTGCCATGCATTGTGTCTGCACATTGCTTTAGTAACTGTAATCTGACAATTAGCAAAGAATTTTAAAAGTGATAATTCGATATTACAAAGTAATATCATAAAATAAGACGTTTCGTTCGGGTCGCCTGAAGCTCTCGTTATAGATAAAGTTCGTGATATTGCTAGGTGATAATCCTTCCCTTTATATTAATATTGCCTACCGTTTATAGAAGTGTACTTGATGTGAACAAAACATGCAAAGTTTGATGGCGATAATTGGGATTTTAGTAAAACAAAGTGTAATTCGGGTGGATCATCACGAAATAACATCCTTACCTTTTTTGAGCAAATTTAATATCATGAGTTAACCGTTTCATGTTTTGATCATCAGGTAATGGCATCTTAATCATGTGCGGCTCCATGTAATTTGGCTCAGAAAAATCTTCTGCCGATTCACTGGGGTGATTGCGAGCTATGATAAAGAATTTTCAGTAAATAATGACGTACGAGGTACTTAGCATTCCGGAAAAGGCGAAATTTTCTTTTTGTATGAGCCAATGCGCGGCGAACACAAATATATGAATGTCTGTTACGTCAACACACATTATATACACTGCACAGGTGGATTGTGGAACATAATTCAACAAGTTTTACAGGATATGTTAATCGCTGTCTCCGGGGTTTTAAATAAAAGTACATAGTTTTTCAAAAAAAGATGATGAAATGCTAATCGGAACAAACGCGAGTGGGCTGGAAATAATAACAATGGTAATTAGTGATTGTAAGATTGATTGTAACTACAAAAAAGTGTGATAGTCAAACTACAAATCAATAAAGTCATGCGTAAATCACATTTCTCTTCCCACAACGGAACTTTACACAATGCAACGGAACGTTACACAAGCATACACATATCACCATATATAGCCAAATATCAGAAAGCAGCGGTGAATGTCACGTGACCTTAGACAATGCCTTTGATACATCAGCAATGTCACATGCAAACAGCAATGGTCACATCACTCACATGGAAAAGAAAAAGTAATCCTTCAAATTCATTTTTATAGATTATTTGTATTTTAACCGCAAGTACATTGATATCAAATGAGAAAGTTACGAAATGAAAAAACCTTCACAGAGCATTGAATTTGCATGCCAGCCAAGTAATAAAGATATTAATCAACACAAGTAATTTGACCATAACAAATTATAACAAATTAAAAGTATATTTCAGCTGAAACAATACTGTGATAGTCAAAACAATTATATATATATATATATTTTCAAAACAATTTTGTGTACCTGGTAATCTACTGGCAAAACCTGGTTCTTCAGATAGCTTCTGGGCAGTCAAAGAGCAAAGGCCATCTTTCTTGATGGACATACCTGTAGCCATCATTATCTTCAAATGATAACACATAAATGCATGTAGTTTAGCTGTCTGAATATTTCTTTCAACAATGGTATCCATAAACAAAGTTTTGTAAACACACATATCTTATTGTCACACAGCAACAAGGGTTGGTGAAAAAAATATGTTATGAATAAGTAATAAATAAATTTGTCATATGAATACACAAATATTTAAAGAAAATAAAACTAATGTAATAAAGATATGACAGTGATTCACTTTAGACAGTAGTTGCATTTTAACTTTTGAAATAATAAATAAGTGATACTTTATTGTACCATTTTCATGATTAAAAACCATCTCTGTTCAAACCATCTATGATTAAAGCCATGAAATTAAGTGTAGTTATAATGTTATTTTTCAACATGAAATACAAAATATGATTTTTTAAAATCACATGAAATTCACAAGAGTACACTTTGCAAATCACAAGAAAATCTCATGTCATTCATTTCATACACAAAATTTAGAATGCCAAAAAATACACACAAGCTACACTTTTTCCGCATTATCCTCAAAATTATATGTAATTTATCAAAATGAAACATTTAATTAATGGTGACATTTTTAAATGTACGTCAACGCCGAAGGTGACATAAAAAAATGAAGTTTAATGACACAGTGGGGCAGGCACGCCAAACAACAGCGACTGAATTGAAGACAAACGTAAAGAGTTATACACACTATAAAAGGACAGAATAGCTTAACACAACAATTTCAATTTCAGATAATACTATAGTCACGAAACTCATGTACGTCTAGCTGATTCAAACGAAGCACATAATTTTTTTTGAATAAAATTCAGGTTTAAATTGCTATCACAGTCTATGTCTACATCACGGTTTTCATATTACTCACAATGGCATTTGAGCATATTAAGTGTTACAACGCAGATTTTGACCTTGAGACAATACAGAACATATGTTCAACAGAGCACGATTCAATCGATTTTAGTCGGTGGATTTATATTCAAGAGATCTGAGTTTGTTTATTTACTTCGTTGTTAGAAACATGTCTAAAACTACTAAACGGAACGAGAATAATATTTTTCCATTTACCTTTATCTTTGCTTGAATAAGAGCTCGATAATATTCAATACCTACTATAGTACTTTTGCCTGCTATAATAAGCTGTTACTACATGTTTCACATATTCCCGTGTTTCAAGTCCAATTTTACGGTTCTACCCATGTTCTACCGCTACGTGTAATTCAATACGGCTATCAAATACTTTGTCACGCGAAACTAAATTATGTATGTTGAAAGTGGTGGCAAAATAATGATTCTGTAAACTCACTCGAGAGTAGAACTTGGTAGGTTGTTCCCAATGACTAACTTGAGCAAACGCAACAACGAAGACAAGATAGCAAGTTTATTAGCAAGGAACAAGAGATTTGCATAAAAAGACATGCAATTCCCACCACCTGGCGTGTAGCAACTGACGCGTATCGTTTTTGTTTGTCATTTAATGAATTTTTTGCACGAACCTTAACAATCAGCACGTGATGATTTGTGAATTTACACGAGAAATCACAAATTTTGTCACGATGTAAAGATTTGTTCATGATATTTCACATCTAAAACTAATTGTCTGCTTGACAAAAGAACGCTGCATTCCCTGTTTTCACGAACTTATTTAAATTTGAAACTTATCTTGAGCAGGTATCTCACCTGTATCTTGAATGCGTCAAAGATTATGATGCAGACTAGTGTTGCTAGTTGGAAACATGCATCTCAAATTGTACAAACGTTGTTCAAGGTAGAAACGGTACATGAGATCGAGAAAAGATTGTTAAGCTTTTCTCTGTTTTATTACTTTAATATTTATATACAACATTTGCTAAGGAAATTTGTAAAACAAAAAAAAGAAGACAATCAAATGATTTTGTATATTTTCAATTAATTTTAGAGTTAATAGAAAAGAGAGACAACTAGCTAGAAAAGAAATTAAGAGAAAATTCTTTACTAGATCTGACGACTTTTTAAAGTACATTAACATTTGGATTCGAAGCGAGTGTAAGTAGTTCCCAGGGCCTTCGCATTTTTTGGTTATGCCCTTATTTATGGGCGGGAAGTAAAATAAAAACAAACCGAAAGAAAAGCTATGGTCTATGAAATAGGTATGTTAAATACTTTCTTTTGTTTTATCTGTAGTGAAAGCTGCCATAATAGTACATGCTATTGATGGACGTAAATATTTTTCATCAATTATATGTTTTTTGGAAAAACTTATCCTCAAAATTGAAGTTTTGTTTTGTTTGCGAATGACAAAACGTCAAAACCACTGGCTAAAACCCTCCTAAAGCATTGATATCTGTGTTGTTTGTAAGTTGTTTTATCTTTTGTACTTTTCTTGCTTCCTCTCAATCTCAAAGTATAATTTTGTTGAAGATTCACTATCTGGTTGACATATGAAGCACTTTAATGTAAAAGTTGTGGGTTAGTACTTACTACTTTGTGATCAGCAAATTGTGGTATTTGGCCAGTTTGCATGGTGGCTTTTAAGACAGGAGAAAGCTGCCTTCTGGGGAACTTTCTAGCATAGTGCATAGAGAATCACTCAAGTTGTTCAATGAATTATGAAATTAGAACTTTTGTGGAATTATCTACACCAATTTACCTTTAAATGTGTTTTTTGATATTTTATACTACGGATTGTTTACCAGACTGGGAAGTTTTAAACTGAGTAACCAAGATTTGAAATTTGCATTCCTATTTTTTCTTGAAATTGTGAGATCTTGGGTATACATATTATTAAAACATTTGTCAAATATAGACCGGATATGTGCACCAACACCAGCAACATTTATTTTTGCATAGAAAAGCTACAGAATTATATTCAAGTTTGGTAAATAACTTTGAAATATTACAATTTACAAACCTATATAAACTGTGTTAATCATTGTATTTAATTAGACACAAGCAAGGGAAATGTATCATTGATATGTACTCTGCCATATCATAGTTTTATCAATATAATGTACATGCTGTTTCTGGTTCTGTGTAACTTGCACTAGCTCTTTCACTAATTTTCAGGTTTGTGATTTTCTATAATGCATGCAGAAATTATCTGTTTAGGTGGTTTGTTCTGTAAATGGGGGACCAAAATAAATGTGAAGTTGAAGATAGTCTATTTGAAGATATAAAACTGTTGATTGAAACAATCAAATATCAACAAGATAAACCAGAGCTTCAAGAACAAGCCTTGAAGACAATGGCATCAATTCTCCATACACATGGTAATTTTTGTTGTGTAAAGCAAAAATCAATTGCTTATAGTTATAACCTAAAATAGTGGCAGGTTAATGCATTGTCATAAAGTAGTATGTAGTTGAAAATTGCTGATTTAAAATATCAAAGCATTTGTTTTCAAATTTGCATTAATAGCACTTTGATGTGATCTCGTTTGGAAGTTGTAATTGCTTGACATAAAAGTACATTATATTAAAGCAGTTTTAAATAGTTTCAGTACTATCTTGTGAAGTCAAAAGCTACCTGTTGATATTTTGCTTGCAGATATCTGCCCTACTAAATATTAATCAACACGGAAAAATGCAAGTGCTACTTATGTACTGTTGGTGAATATTAACCTTGTTTTTGAAGTTTAACTCTGATATGTCATCTAGAGCTTAAGTGGATGCTGTTCTATGTTTGCTTCTTTGATGCAGTATAGTGTACTTATTATAATTTATGGGTATACACAACCAATAAAACACTGCACTAATTTAGTTCAGTAAGTTGTCCTCAGTGGCAGGCACTGGCGGAAGACAACCCCCCCCCAATAATTTTGAAAGATATAAAATCTTGCACCAAATCCCTTAAATCACACCTACAGAACACAATGGCTATTTTAAATAGTAACTATTTCAATGACTTCTGTACTGTACATATACCAGCAGATGCATTAAACTTGAGTGTGTAGGATTATGTGTACAAAGGAATCATTAAATTAAATTTCTGGAGATTAAATTTTAAAAGTATACCATGGCATGCTCTGGAATATCCCTAGAAATCTCATGCTTTGAGGAAGAGCCCCCAATATTTCATGAAGTGTCTCCTCTGGTTGCCCTTACTGTAGTCACTAGCAGTTTTTCTGGCCAATTTTAGATGAAGGATCGCGCTTTTTACTGCAATTAAATGGACTGGACACTGTATTGAATGTTTTCAATGTCTGCAATCAAGATCATAAACCAAACTCGCTAAAAGAAGCCTGTCTTCATGTACTGTGTGCTGCCTGTGAAAATAATGGTAAGGATCAAATAAGACAAATTAAAGATGAAAAACCTTGAGCATTAGCTATCTACGACTAAATATACTGCATGAAGTTCATTTTATCCCTTCTCTGAAAATATGTCACCAATCACGGCTATTAACCAAAACTTTCCTTGTTTTCTCAAACAAAATCGTTATGGATCGAGGACTATCTCATTAGGAAAAATGTGGCTGGTTATGATCATACAATTCACGACTGTTTGATAAATACATAAGAAGTAACACCTTGTTGAACTTTCCTTGACAAGGTCATTTACATCGAGAAAGTTTACACAGTTCGTCACAAATTAATCCTTGTGCGTACACATATGTACATATTACTACTGACTAAACTTTTTATCCGTGTAAGAAGCAAGCAGTACTGGTTCATACGACATGTTTTTTACAGTTTTTTTCGCAAAGGTGGTTGGTGAAATCAGATTGCTAACGTTATTTCTCAATAGGTACAGTTCAAAAGGCACTATGTACTGAAAAGATCTTCGTTTTGCTCAAAACGCTTCTCGCCAAGAAATCTTCGTTGAAATTGAAAACGTTGTCATGTTATCTATTGATATGTTTAATACGTAATAATGGTGGGTTAAACTACCACTTGTATGGTATGACAAAATTAATTATGCTTTTCAGGATTGATGACATTGATCTCGATATTATTTGTGATGCATTGAATCGTAATGCATGTGAAATATAATAGACAATTGATTTATTTTTCTAATCGAAAAACTGACGAAATACATTTTATATATACTCATTTAGAAAAGGCCAGTGTTTAGTTCGAGAAACAAAATGCTTAGAAAAATTGAGCTATCTTTTCAAGTAAGCTAAATTCTGTCAACTAATTTCCAACTTGTTTTGTCGTCATTTTGACGTCGGTAGAGCAACATCTACTCTATATCCAAAGGTTTTCAACCTTGGTTTCGTCGATATCATTTTGCTTTGCTTGGTACTTTCTTGAAAAATTGAGAATCTTCACCTTCCTTGGTACTTGCTTGAAAAATTGAGAATCTTCACAGTGCTTTTTTCTAAGAATGCGTTCTTTAGTAGACATTGTTTTCATGATGTTTTGCCCTTCGCAGTAGTTGTGGTTTTCATATTGTACTTCTACGTCTTGGAGTTTTGACAATATTTTCAATCTATTATTTTTAGAGATGCTGCATTTCCATTCCACTCACCCCAATCTTCCAACAAGCTTCCTAGAATTATTTCATTTCAAAACAAGGAAAGTGAAGATTATACAAACTTTTGGCAAACTGTTGCTAATGCTCTTTCAGTCAGTATTAATAACCCACAACGAAGTATGTAAACTTTCGTGCTGTTATTCTAATGTACGTATGTATTCGACTATTTATTTAGTATCGAAATATTTTTCTTCAGGAGAAAATCAGGATTATTGTTTGCGATTGTTTCCAGTTGCAATTTGTTATTTAAGAAAGTGTGATTCCTCCCTGGTTCAAACAACAACTCTTACTTTTCTCACCAATTGTCTATCTCATAACAGTAAGTAAACTTAATTCAATGAACCTGCAATATTTATCATTTCCAATGAACCATAGCTACAAAACAAATTGTTTATCCCTTCTTTTTACCTATATTTGATATTTTTCGTTCAGATCGTTGCCAAGTCAGCTTTCGTATTGTTGGTGGCCTAAGAACGCTATTTGACAATTTCAACAACGAAATGCTTTCCACTGACCAGGCCTCATCCTCGCTACTAAAAAGCTTGATGCTTACCATTGAAGCAGCTGTTTGTGGAAATGGTTTGTGTAGTATTGATTATGTAAACTAGATCATAATGCTATAGAAGAATATTTTAAAGAGTTCGATCAACCTATCAGATAACACTAAATACTAATTCCGTGCTGAAACGAATGCAGTACATTTAGATTTAGCTCGTGACAATGTTGCCGAAATGAAAGGAGTGCCCCTTTTACTGAAATCTCTTCACTCGAGTTTTTTATCGCCGTCATTCAAAGTGCAGTGTTTGATAACAATTGCAGCATTAATTGAAGAATGTGGTGAGATGATCTGGCTCAACGTAAACTCTATAGCTCATTATTAAAGTAGTATGATTTGTGTTTCAGAGCCAAGTTGTGAACAATTTGTTTCAAACAATGGCATGTCTATTGTTGTGAAAATACTTGCAGAAAGTCAGGTGATTGTACTGTGGCTTCAAAACTCGTGGTTTATTGAATTAATAAAACACTTCATTTGGTCTGAATTGTTTGAATTGGAAGACAAACGTGCATTCTTTAACTATTTCGATCTCTGCTTAACACTTAATTTTCTTTAGAATTGCGAAGAGCTACAGAAATCGGCCATTTGCGTATTGCATACATACTTAGAACAAACAAGTAAGTAACCTTGGCCAAAAAATTTGCTTATCAATATCATCTGCCATGCTACTTGAAAGAGGCCAAATTGTAATGTGAAGTATTTTAAATCTGTTTAACTGGCTTAAGCAGCTGTGTTTCTAACTAGCTAAATGGTTGATTGACTAATTGGATTGCTAAAGTTTTCTACGTCGCAATGCGTTAAATTCTGCATGACCGCATAACTGAAATGATGAAATTTGCTTCTTCATTGTTATACCTGGTTTACATCTGTTATCTTAGAATCGATGCCTGCACTTTTGATGAACAATGAATTTAACGCAAAACTTTCGAGAGGTAATGAGACTAAAACGTATAAAGATACGTTTTCAGGTATACGAAAGTTTGACCTAATTTTTATGCATCATTCCGCATGTATATTTGTAGTAAGAGGTATGTTCGTTTATTCTGTTCAGCTGATGTTGAAGATGAAAAAGTGACGGTCAGTTGTGTTGCAGATAAGATGGAAGATTTAACTAACGAAGTGCGAATTTTGAAGCAGCTCTTTACTTCCAAAGAGGTACATTAATGGTAAAATATGTTTGCACAAGGGATTGGATCGCATAAAATGTATTTCTAAGCTTAGAGCTAACATTGTTTTCTATCTTGTTTCTTTTAGAAACTCATTCAAAAGCCTGTTGCCGCTGATATTGTGAAACGTTTAATGAAAGGGATAAACTTACAAAATGATTGTGCTAGGGATGAAGACAATCTTGAACAGATTACAGAAATAGTTGAAGACATTGTCATCGGTGTTTCCTCTTCAACTTCACAAAAACAAATTTCTCTTGTCGAACCAAAAAAACGCAATGAAACGGCAATCTCGCACATTAACGAAACTGGAAATTTCAGAGAAATTTCTCCTTCTCGAAATGAAGATTTTCTTGAATTAAATAGCGTCCTGCCAGTTGATAGCACACATTCGAAGGCATGTAATAAAAATATGCATAGTTCTAAAGTTGGTGACCGCATAGATGGTAAGTGTATAAACAGTGATAAAGTATCAACAATATTTAGCACTTCCGACATAAATAGCCATTTATCTACAAACATTCATGTTGATAACGATCACTCATGCCAAGTTGATGCCCAAGAGAAGGAAGTATGTGAGCATCAGTTATCCTCTCAAAGCTCTATTTTGACAAAAAAGATAGACACACAGAACAATAGAGTAGCACCAACATATGTTTAAAATACAAAACAATAAATAAAAATGAAAGCATTGCTTCTGTTGAAGACAGTTTTGATGATGATGGTTTGATCAATAAGACCATTGACACAATTAATGCTGATAAATTCTCTGATATAGAAGTTATGGAGATTGCAAAAAAGAATTCACTCATAAAACCTGGTGAAATGCAAGATAATAATCCCAAAAGTCCTATCGATAGCAATGTCACTTGTTTGAACGTGTCGACTCATTTTAAAAATATGGATACCTCTTTTCACAAAGACAGTATTTCTTGTTGCGAATATCCAACAAATGATCAGTCTTTATCACAAATGGACACCAACGAAGTTTCATGCTTAAACTCTAATGTTGACAACAGTGAAATTTTGGTGAAAGCTTGTAAGGAAAGGAGAACTGATCTTGGAAAGAAGCTTTGAATGTTCTTAGCAGAAAATGTCGCAATAATAAAAAAGTCGGTAAGGTAAAAAGGTTGTGAAATCTGGTGATTTAGTGGTACAATTTTAAAGTCTGGAGATTACAAATTCTTGCTTGTTTGAGCTGTGAAGACAAATTTTACAGTTTTAATTTTGGTTTCAGCGTTAGTCAACATGAATGAAAGTATAGATGCTGTTGTGGCGTTGACGAAACTTAAGACTGCATGCATCACAAAGAAACGAGAACTTGAAATAGTGGATGAAAAGGAAGAATATTGCCCAGAATCTACCAATATTGCTGAAAACATTGTTGATGAATCAAAAAAAAAATCAGAGCTACCTCAACCAAAAGTTGTTGAAAGAACGTATGATGTTCCAAACACTAAAAGAAAGGTGAAAAATTGACTTCAGCAATGTTCATGCTAAAATCCCATATTTTCACAAATCTAGCTTCATCACTTATATAAATCTGCCGAACCAAGTATTGTCACACAAGCTATATGTGATTACCTTTGTAATAGCTGTCCCTCTTTTTTTTAGGTCAATAAGGAATGTCTTGGCTGTCTGTGTGATTTTACTAAAGTCAACAGTCGTAACTTCCTCAGCAACATGCGCAGTAATCCTACGACGTGTTCTGAACATCGTCTATTTGCCATAAACATTGCCACTGCCCGAAGAAGATACCATAAATACTTAATGACAAAAAAAGAATCGCCGAACTTTAATTTTGTGTCATCTCCAAAGATGAATGCTCATCATATCAATATACCTCACGAGGTAGCGTCTATATGATAACGAAGGTCGTTGCTCATTTCTATCCATGATTTTGCATACAACAATGTGTACACTTTATATCTTGATTTTAGAAAAGCTTTATCATGCTGACATATTTATTACCAACGATGAATTACATCTATCTACTTTATATATATATATACGCCATTAATGTTTATGAATTAGGCACATCCTGTTATATAGGATAAGATGGATGACGTACAAACGTCATCATCAGATGTCCTCTTGTAATTGAAATAGTATTAGCTATGTGTAATAGCGCACGTTTTTCTTTGAATCAAGACGTTTTGTTTGCTTTTTTTTATAGAAAACGGGCAGATCTCATCCTGAACAAAAAAATGTACGCCGAGCAAAAGTGCCATTTTCTACTTATGAAATCGAAATACTCAAGAAGGGTGAGTATATGATCGTTTTGTCTTGTTCTTTCATAATTGCCAACGAAAGACGTTATCAATTTTGTTTTCTAAATTTTTCCCAATTCATATTGGAAATTGAAGGATTTTTTTGCGAACCTTGTGTACGCCGACCTTGAGTTCGCCGAAGTATGTTTATGTGATACCTATATTTTATTAAGGCGTGGAGAAATACGGTCCAAGGTTCAACCTTATCGAAAGATACTGTGAATTTAGCACGAAACGCTCTGCCAAAACATTAAAACAGAAATACGAAAGTTTGAATGTGGTACGTATCGTGAAAAATCACCATGAATTTAGCAACGTATTTAATATTTTATTTATATATTTTATAAGGTTTACGTCATTTAAAGAATCATATTAGTTCATGCAGTTTGATAGCTATATCGGAAACAACTTTCTTCCCTTGCAATGTTTATTTCACCTTGTCACTTCATTACACGCTCACCACGCGTATGACGTGATAACGCGATAAACGACTTTTCACGCCACGTTTTGACGTAAGCGCATGAAGTCGTTTGTATGCTTGTTATCATGTCCCTTGATTTTACGATATCTTAAGCTTGACTTTTAGCTAACCAGAAGCCATGAATTCTTTCAAAAGAGAACATTCTTGTTTGAGATTGTTTGTCCTTATATATAAATGCGAGAATTGTTTCAAAATATAAATGTTGGGAAAATGTTATATATTTCATTTTTGGCTGTAATTTGACTGATCAAGATATGGAATTGTTATATTTAGCCATATCATGCAAAAAAGAAAATGCGCTGTCCATTTTCCCTTCAAGAAGAAGACAATTTAAAAGCTGGAGTCTCGCGATTCGGATATAAATGGACATGTATTATGGAGCATTATGAATTCAAGAAGGGTAGAACACCACAGAATTTAAAAGACAAATGGCGGAATTTATTAAAGTCCAGTTGAACTTTAAATTTTATTTTGCAAATATTTGTTCACAATTGTATGTATATTCAAATTATGTTTTCAATAATACGTTGTTAATGATAACGATTCACTTTTATCTCATTTTTGTTTTTATGAGCTATACACCATACAATACAATTAACGATGAAGCTAAAGGATTTGGTTTTTGGCAAATTTGACTACTGCAAAAAAATTGAATCCTGATCAACAGCCTTCAGTTAACGTAAAAAACGAAACAATGGCTCGCTACAGCCGAAAATTTAAAATATTACAACATATAGTGAACTATAAGTTCACCTTTATTTATAATGTTGTTCTCTTTAAATTTATATTTGTTGCAAGTTATATAGTTGCCATTTCAATAAACAAATTTTAGTCGCCAAATGAATTCAATTGTCTTGCCGAGCAAAAGTTTTTTGACATGAAACTTAGTTGAATAAATATTTGTGGGTTGTGTATCAACACAGAAAAAAATTCGTGGCATCTATAGATGCTCAGTATACTGAGTGGATAACACAAATGTACAAACAATTTAAAATTTATTCTTGAATTTTCCACTGTCTTCACTGCGATAATTCAATTCAGATTTCTTGCACTGTACTTATTCTATAGCTACTATTGCATTAATCACTCTTTCTACATTTGACGGCTAAAATCTATGAATTGGGATGAGATTTTTGGTCGTCATTTTAGAAGTCGTAGTTGGCACAGCGTGCAGATCACTCAAGAGACTTTGATGATGTCTATCAATAATAATAAATAGAATTCCTTGCGTACTATCTGATAAAACCTCTCCGATTTGTCGTATCAACTGCTTGTCATGAACACAAATCAATAATAATCAAAACCCTCGGGATTCAAAATGATGTGATATAAAAATTACTTTTGTTGATTTGCGGGTTTTTCAGTATCTTTTACCACTTGCACGTTTAGTGATGGTCTAAGTAAAGCGGTTTTGTTTGTTGTGAAACACGGATGGGTAACTGTAACATGGATTTGAAGATAAAACAGAAAAAGATAATAAAAATGGATGAAAAGATTAAACAACGGTGAGTCCATAAAACTTGCATGGATCAGTGGACTGAACATGGCATGACCAATGACCACTGGCAGGACTTAGCTTCTTCACCGGACAAAAAGACTACATGAAGTGTTCCTGCCTTGTCTTCTTGAGATGAAATAATTCAATGATGATTTTTAGTCAGTGAAAATATATTTTCATTCCTTGACGATATTTTCATGTGACAAGAATGTATGCATTAGAAAAAGATGCTTGTTTGTTAAATATTTAGACATGGCGTTGTTGTGATGACGACTACATTTTCTGAGATGAACAATATTGCGTGTCTATTTTACACGGTGAGCTTGCAGCAAACAAAGGCAAGTGTGAAATTGTGTTGAAACCCTTGGAAAATAATTTGCCTTGAAAATGACTTTTGAAATTTTAGTTATTATGAAATCGTTAAACGTTTATCTATCAGTCATCTTAAGCACTTCTAGACCCTTCCTACAGTTTTTTAAAATCCCTTTAAAGCCTGTTTTCATGGCAAAGCTCCCCAAGAATACCTTGCAGTGAACATTTGAAATATGTGTACTATACACCATATTTATGATGACGTGAATGTCGCAAAGATCATTTTAATACATTATCGTTCACAGAATAGCCTATAGAATTAATTTGAAAATATCTGAGCGAACAACGCTGCATAAATGCTATTCTCGACGTGTTTGAAAACAGCTGATCGACTTGTTTTGGGTGTTACCTCCATTTCATTCTGGAAAAAGCCTTGTGCTAAAGCAAGTGCATCAATTCGTCGCACTTCTGCATTCTTTCTACAACTTTCTTCCCACAAATTCCGCCAGTCATTTCTTCTCATATGGCAAATATTATTTTTACGATGTAGATTGAGCCGCTAACTTTAAGCTTCTTTCTCCTGTCTTTAAAGACACGTGTTACTATTTGAATAAAGACTAGTTCATTCTGCATGTAACAACAGAGAACCGACGAGTAGCAACAATTTTTGTGAGTACTATATCAAAGGATTAATTTTTCTTGCTTGTTCATGAACGCAAATGCATGAAGAGTTCGTGGCTTTGTCATATTTTATTAATGTTTTAAATCGCTCAAGATCATCTCGTTTAAGAGTTAATGCCCTCTAATGACTACAGGGAATAAGCTTTTGCATAAATAAACGCTTGTAGAAATGTAGCTGTGTCTTCAATTTATGCGAAAGTTCAATTGTTGCTACTTGAAACCACAGCTCGTTCCCATATGTCGACAGTTGCGGAACTGTAGTAAATACTTTCACATTATAGTTAGCATGAAGATAACACAGACTTCACAGAATAACAGATGAACTATTGTTACTGTACCTTCTTCGTTTTATAACTCAAAATTCACGTCAACTGCCATAAACTCAAATTTTTGAAGTATGTATAGCAGTTATTCACTTATCACAAAGCGAAAACACTGCAATGCTTGAAATATCAACGTCTCAGTAACGGCTCTTCAAATATTTTTGCGCAAAATTCGCAATATACTTGAATTTAGTGGGATTTCAAAGAAAATAAAAAATTCTCTTGAGACTACGTTGAAAAACGTTAATAAAAATGTTCAACAGCTATTTGTCTCGGATAATGTTTGTCAAAGTTGTCTTAATAAATATGTTAGATTGATTGCTTACAGATTATCAAACAGTATATACATAAAGTAAATATTTTTTTCAACAGAGTTGGTCAGTTTATATTCGACCAACAGATGGCAAGACGCTCGTCCTAAATGCTTGTGTCAATTCATTGAAGTGAATAATGGTGAACGGACTTTATTAAGTACATGAAATAAGGGACCGAACATTATGACTAAATTATTGGGAACAATATTATAATAGAGTAGGTCTACCGAAACATTTCTAAAATCAAGAAGATGCAGGTGTAAAATAAAATAAAATATACACGAAGCAATCGTTATTTTAATCAAGTAAAATTACTTTGACATAGTATTGCATACCAATTTAGTTTTTGTTCTCACAGTTGCACTCGTTTTGAATGTGCGTCATTCATGTATGCAAAGTTCTTCAATGTAAAACGACCGATGTTTTTCGTTTGGGGCATTCATATTACTGTCCATGCATCTAAATGGGCAGGACAGGTGTATCGTGCATAATTGCGCCATGAGTTATATGGAAATAAGACGAGTGATGCGCGTAATTCACGATAACATCGGTCATTACAACGTGAACGGCGCTCTCATGTTATAACGGGAACACGCATGTGGAAAGCGTGGATTTAAGGAGGTGAGTTTGTTTTAAAACTTGAATATTTGTTGCTGCTGTTTCTTGTATTTATTCAAGAGTAATAGCAATGTGGGTTTTTCTCAAGGGGTAGCTTTCAGTCAAATTGATCACATTTCCGTTGCTTGATTTCGATGACTCAAAACATTGATTTTTCATTTGAGTAGAGAAACATCGCTGTTAACATTTTCACATTCCAAAATAACAAAAAAATATCTTTCAAGTTATGCAAAAATTGTCCAGATGTCGTTCAGTATGGATTCGTCTTTAACTCGAGATAAATATTTAAGTGAGGAGAAGAGTAGTTAATATTTTTGTAGGTTTTAAAAAAACATTGAAACACAACTATGTGCTGGGAAAATTGTCTTATATAACGTAAACTTGTGATGAAATTGTATCGATTGCTTTGATGAATTATTGCATGACTTCATGTCGTTTCAAGATTCTTATCCTTTTGTTAGAGTAAATTTTACTCAAACTATACAAAAACATTACAAAACGTGAATGTGTGCATCACGAAGTTTCTTTAAAATGGCCATTTTCGCTGTATTAACTACTGAATTTGCAAAATAGTGCGCGATTTATACTGTGTTACCCTTGCAATTGTAAAATTATTTATCTCATCTTGCAATCATTAAATTCATGCAAACTAATTTAATACATACATCACAATGGATATTTGTTTATCATACTTTTGAGGAACAAGGGATATTTTTAACATCTCCCCACATGTTCACTTAAGATCTACCAAATCTAAAATTAGCTACCTGTAAAGCATCTTTACTTAAAAATTTAACGCGTCATCTAATGCTTTTAAAGCTGAGGTAGCAAAAATATAAGAACAGATTTCTCAAAATAGAACTCAAATTTTTTCATAACTTCTAGAAATGATGACGATGAGTCAAGAATATTAAATGTTTTAAATCTTTTCTTTTTTCTCGTGGAGTATTTTATGTGTCCAAGAACGAAGCACCGCTTAAGATAATTGTGCTTAACACAAGCAGATTTTAGTTTGAGATGTTGCTTTGCTTTCATTGAAGATTTAGGTAGGTAAATTTACTTTGGATATCGATGTTGCTTTTGAGAAAAATAATAAAATATTTATTTCTTCTACCACAAATGCATTTGAACATGAGCACTGACTTATAGTCTCACTTACCTGTCAAGTAATTATAATGTCTGTCTACTTATTGTTTTTAACGATTCGCCGTGTTTACTACGTTTAAATATTTTTTATTGATTTTAATCTAAAGATTTTCACCATACCTTTCAACGAAGCCAAGTATTTCTCCTAAATAACTGTCAGTTATTTTACGACTCTCCAACTTCGAGGGCACATCAAAGTCAGAATAAAGGAAATTTGTTTACATACTGCCATAAAAGCCGAGCAGCAAATTGCTTTCACAAAAATGCTCCATGTTAATTCTCATAATATGAGCTCAGTTTGCTTCCCGTGCGAGGGCCAGGCAATCAAGTAATTTACAACACACTATAATTCTATAATTAAAAAAAAAACGAAATTAAAATGTCACTTTACGTTTAAGTGTTTCTCTACCGAAAAATATTTTACTCGACTTTTAAAACGTCGGCTTTCGGGCTAAGGCACTTCTTCTTAGAGCAATATATGTTTTTATATTTACTCAGTCACTGGGCTGCTTAGCTAAAGACATCTAAATGAAACATATATAGGAAAAAACAAGCTTTAAAACAATGGAAATATTATTCAAATAAGTGTGCAAAAGGATAATTTATTCAAATTGCAAATGACAATTCAAAATTCTTTTTTGTTAGCTCTTAATATACCGTAGCTAACATTTATTATCTTCTATAATCGCAAAAATTTGCTAAAGATGACGGGATATTAAATTAATACGTTTATTTAAGTTGTTGGTATGGTTACCGTTGGAAACAAGAAAAATGAAATTTTTGACTTGATATATATAAACTATGTCTTTATATAGAAAGTTCCAAAAAGGCGAAGAAATGAAAAAATGAGCACGAGTTATTTAAGCTGGAAAATTTACACTATTGAATATTTGAATTATTCCTTTCAAAGATATCCAATTTTTATAACATAAAAGAAGGCTTTCAAAATTACAGAACAGAGCCTTTACTCCATCCGATAAGAATCCACTTCATCAATATTTCACAACATTATTTAGGACGTTAATCGTAAATCTATAATTTTATGGTTTTGTGGTGTGTTAGCTGTTAATGAACTTCGAACACCATATTGTAAACGAAACTGACACTTGCGAAAATAGGATGTCGGTATAACTAATTGAAGTTGTAAATAAATTGACGATTTTTAAAGATCCTGGATAGTTTGATAAGAATGCCTGCGAAAATTCAATTACATCGGCTTATTTTATCTTTTTGGAATTAGAAGCGTCAAATTTAAATTTGAATTTCTCATCAACAGAACATCATTGGGCTGTGCAGTCCATGATATATAATTAAGCATACCATGTGAGTGCCAAGAACTAGGCAGAAACACGCAATTCTGTTTAATTATACCAGTGCAAATTTCAAGCAGCTGTTGAAACAATCACCGAATTCAAACATAAAAAATCCAATGTGAAGATGTGCATGATTGTTTTAAATGATGTGCATGCGATGAAACATGTGTCGTTGTAAGAAATTTCCAGTGTTTCTTTGAATGTCGAGGCTATTTGAACTTAAATTGTGCAAGTTTTATAAGTCTTTCCAACCTAGTGAAGGTAATGTGACATGCTAATAGTTCTCCTTGTTTTAATAACTAAAAGATATTGTGTATAGCTAATACTCTTCTTCCTTTAAAGCCATATATATATATATTATAACATAGTGAAAATTTTTTTCAGAACTTATTTCAAATTTTTTGTCATTTTAATTGTTACACTCGTTTGCAATGTTATGTTATATTTAAGAAAATTATCTAAAACATTTTTGATCCACTCCAGTCAACTGAAAAACTGAAACGTCCAATGCAGTCAATATTTTATAAAGAAATTCGACTTTAATTTTTGCTTCTTACGAAGCATATCATTGGGTGGTGCTTATTGTACGGAGATTCTCAGATAATTTTTATCAACTTCCTCCGAATACTTGCTTTTTCTGCAATTAAATATCTACAGTAAAATTACCTAGCTCCTATACGTAATTATATTCATGCTTACAGTCTTTATTGTTAATTGTGCCGCAGGATTTTGCAGTAGATATATTGTTCCGCCCTTTTCCTCCTATGCAGTTGTGTATAAGAGTGATAAAAATTCTTAATTCAATGTTTTAGGTGGCGAAAGAATTTGCAGATACTCATATGCATGAAAAGGACATGATCAATTTTTAGTGCAAAAAATTGTTTGGAAAAAAAAATGATTGCTCCCATTGTGATTGGAGCTGTACTATTAATCCTCTGTGTATTTTGCAACGGAATCGTCATCAGGTCCTTTTTTACAGAGAAATATATTCGTAGTCATGCCAACATGTACGTAATAAGTCTATCATGCGCAGATCTTGGGTGTGGCATTGTTGGAATTTCTCTGTTTCTTGTATCTTCATTCGAAAACTTCACAGAGTACATTCTAATAATTCAGATATCATTTGATATCTTCTGGGGTTCGGCTTCTATATTTAACTGTGTAGTGTTAAGCATCGAGAGAGCCCTTAAAGTCAACTTTCCATACTGGTATGCAAACAACATGACATCCTTAAAGATAAAAGTTTCTATCTTTTTTGTGTGGTTTGCGGCTCTCATCGTAGCAAGTTTATCTTTTGCAAGAAAGGAGCGAAAAGCACCTGTGTACTTGACCTTCTTGTTCATAGTCGCTTTTGTTATTCCAGTTTACACGATATTCACTTCGTACTTGACTATATTTTATGTTGCGCGAAAACATGTACGAAACATACGAAGTCAAAATCATGGAGGTAATAAAGAGTTAAGAAATTTGCGCTGGTTGGAGGTAAAAGTTGCTTGGAAAACAAGCATTTTTACTGCAGTACACATATTATGCTGGACACCGCAATTCGTTACTGTAATATTGACAATCCTATCACGTGACAATCCATTGCCTCTTATGTACAGCTCAGTAATATTAAAGTACATCAACGCAGCTATAAACCCGTTTATTTACGCTTTATTTAATCCCTCGTTCAGGAAAGCAATTATCAAGTTATTTCAAAAAAGACAACTGATGACATCGCAAAGAAGCTATCAAAGAAATGGTAACCTTACTCTAAACACAGCTTTTCCTAGTCCTACCGTGAGCAGATATGAGTCAGGTTACTCACCACAAAATGAAAGACAAGTTCTCTCTCCCCTTGAGCACCAAGGAGAAAGAATGGAAAACTTATACAAAGACAACGAGCTAATGGAAAATGTCAATGAAGCTTCAAATCTTTATAATACGAGTGAAACAAGCCTTTAAGACTTTTCGAAATCGATTTTATTCATTGCATTAATATCATCAAGTTGCGCACCGACGCAAAATCTTTTCCAAGATAACTAAACACAAAATTGAAGAAAATTAACTTGTAAAACCTCTTTCAATCTTTGCAAACAAAACCTGCAATATCAACAAAACATTTCCCAAATTACTGCTGCCTGGGAATTGTAACATAAATAGAGGCTTTTTCTCTCTTTATGGTTGAAAATGAAGACGCCTGTAAGTTTAATTTATTTAATTATATAATATCAAATAAAATTTTTCAATATTTCAGTATCTTCATAAAACTACATCAAATGCTATAATATCGACAAAAATCACATTAGAATTGTTTTATCCGTTTTTTTCTTTATATTATTCATTTCTCAGTGTCTTTCTTTCTTTCTGTTCAACTTCCTATGCCTCTACAAAGTTAGCAAAAGTTAGCGTTCTCTTCAAACAATTAGTTTGAACATAACATTGTTTATTGATGACTTTCTACTGTCGTTATTAGGTCACGTTATTTTAGTCACCCGACTGTATTTTTGATCCTATTTAAGCACATCTTACCATCGAACAATGATAACTAAAACTCAGATGCCCATTTCATACTGTCGCTCAGTTTATAGTGCATGTGGAGATTATGAAGCAATTATCTGGCATGACACATGCTGTTCTAGAAAAACTTATGATCTTGTACACAATTTAATCAACTCCTGCACATCCCCCCGATTTTTGCAAATTATAGCTACTTACAAAATAACATAGACCTCCATATTACGCCAATTTTTTTAATTCATTCAGTTTATTGGTTATTTGATACTTGTATCAAGATTTAACATCGAATCCATCATCTAATAGAATCTGTGCTATCTATTAATACATAAAAATAAACTGAAATTTCAATAAGAGTCTAGTCAAAATGAATGTTTTTGGTATTGTATGTGGATAGTCTTGTTTTCTTATACAATAAACAACAATGTGAGCACTGACTTTATCTTTTGATTATAAAGAATATTCATGGTTTACGTTCGATAACATATTCTGACCGATAATTTATAGTCCTCAATTGGTATGAGCTAGTGATTTTTGTCTCAGTCAACTAGGCACATTACAAGTCTGACGTTTGTTCATTGTTCTATTTTTCTCTATGTCTTGAAGCCTCAGATTATTTGTCAATTCATGATGTCTGCCATAATCACGCTCCATACATTGTCATAGACTACTTTGACTACTTGAGCAATAATCAGCTTCCATGATTAATCAAACCTCGAATCGAACGACCAATTAAATGTTTATTTTCATCAATGCACATAATTTGCTAAGTAGCTTGTAAGCTTTTTGTTTTGTTTGAGCAGGTATAAGTATAACATGCGGTCCAGTAATGAAACATCGGTAAACAGCCCGAGCCACCAGAAATGGGAGATATAGTTTTGCACTTTAATTGACTTAAAGTAACATGTGCCTTTGGGTACACAAGCATGTGTCCATTGCACGAGGAGCGAGTTTATATAACAATTAAGTAAACAAAAGTTCTTAGAAATCTTTCAAACCTCATTTGATTTCATTAATGACTCACGACCACGACTCATTCGCGTGACACGTAGATTGTGGACAATAAACGCCAGCCAGAACGTCACATGATCCACTGGAAGAAAGACGGACACATGTAGCAACATGAGGTAAAATTCAATAATAATTATTCCTTTTGTATTAATTCGAAAATAGTTTTTTGTGGTGTTTTGTGTTTGAATGTGATATGCTATTTGTTGTGAATTGGTTTGTTGTGATACTTTGTCGTTCTTTGCTCATTTTAAATTATTGGAAATTTTATAGTTAATTCTTATTTAAGTTATATACTTCATAGAATAGTCCTTGACCAATTGCTCAGTCAATTACAAATACGATGCTGCCATGCTTTGCTGTACGTTTAAAATCACACTGGAATGATTTTGCTCTGAAATTTCGCTTTCTGTTCGGACTAATTGAACTGTACTTCTATTGTAATACTCAGACCTTAAGACACAGTTGTTACTACAAGCAAAATAAATCTGCTTACTAGAAGTTTGCCCTTCACTTGCAGAAATAGCAAAGAAAGGTTATGTGATAAAACCAGATGTATAATTTATCATCCCCCAGCTTTCAGACAGATACATTGTGTTAGATTCATTAGAATAAGACGAAACAAAAATATTTCAGCCATTTCACTAAGGGTTAAATAAAAATGGCGCATCTATGAACCGAGGAGTCGCATCATTGATTAATGATTATATGATTATTTTAACAGTAAGATTGGTTTTTACAATATATGTACACTTACTTGATTGATTCAATGTGCAAAATGTATATATCCATTTTCAAAACGTAATGAGTCGGCTAAACAGACCAATTATTAGCAGACATTGTTGTCGATAACATAAAAGCTGTCTAGAATTATCGTGTTTGAAACAGACGGTCGCATTGATTGTTTAAGAATTAAATCAAATTAAACGCAAGTTACATCCCGACTTAGCCGTTTTCTTATCGTTTTATTCGTAATGTTCTGGGGCGTACCTTACTTGAGCATTAACTCAGTAATAAGGAACAAAACGAATATAAGTTTTGCCAACATGTCCTATGTGTTTATACACCAATAAATTTTTAAAACGACTTCGTTTAATTTGTAATGTTGCGTACCATATCTACATTTTGATACTGCCACGACTAAAGGCAGTTAAGGAAACAGGAACAAGAAAGGAGAAAGTCAATGTTATTAGTGATTTTATAATGTTGATCAAGTTATTTTGCTTTCACAAATGAGGTAATTCGTATATTTCATTTACTATAAGCTGTGCCTAAAATATGGTGCAACGCAGTAGCTTTAATGGAGCTGCTTCTTGCCGGGTCTGTTTTGAGCAGCTACCTACATCTACTAAAAATGGTGCCTTTTAGCTGCAATGGCAATTAATATGGCATGGTGTGCTTGCTGACGTCTTAATTGTTGTCAGGGGATAGCATGGGCGTTGTTATGCATACAATCGATTCTTATATAATCTATCATCACAAAATATTGTATTCCATTACGATTTTAACAGCATGCAACGTTTACAGCAACATACGTTGACAATTCAAACAGTTAAGGGGAAAGATTGAACAGAAAATTTGAAGGGTTTTAGCTAGCTTTCAAATCTGGTTGAAAATAATTTGAAAGGACATTGTGCATCCTTGACTGTTTGATCAAAATACTGTTTTGCGCGATGGTGCCCCATGTTTTTTGAATCCAAAAACCAGTTGAGAAACATAAAATTAGGCAGTGGATATTATTCGCCATAATTTATTGAAAGGGATCGGACGAATCTATTTTTGACCGAGTGCATATATAGCTTTAAATCATTTGTAAAAGTAATCAGAAAATATATTTGAAATGTTAAATGAACGAAGTCCTTAAAGTCAACTTTCGTCCAACGTTTGGAATACATTTTGACCAGTAGCAGAATAGGGTTGAATTAAAAATTGTATGCTGACATGTTTTCACATTAATTTAAAATTTCAATATAAATTACTAATCCCGACGAGAAAGTTGAAATAATAAGATTTTTCCAGCTAATGATATAGGAAAAATGTTTCTCAAGGTTAATTCGCCAAACTCTCCCTCCGACTGGTTAAAAATTCTTGGAATGCAAACTGATGCAATCTTGCGCGAGCTTGATTTTGCCAATTGTCATTTTTGACTAAAACTTTTCTTAAAACATTTTTTTGTGTTACAGAGCTATTAGTCACATACATATTTTTGGCTATATTTTGCAATCATTTATTTCATACCTCAAATGCCTACACTATCAATAAAATATTCATAACTAAACCCGAGACGTCCGTTTGCTCTTTCAAGATAAATTTATTTAATTATACACCAGAATGTGCATAGTTTAAGTTTTGCAAACTGTGCTTGAAATTGAAATCTATTTTGTGATTAGTAAATTACATGTGCGAATGGTAATCACTGCATGTCTAACCCCACGTCATTAAGTCCAAGAAATGTATGTCTGTGTATGATTGACACATAAAGAACTCTCATAGAAACCTCGTGCGTATCGTGCCATCATCAATGCGTGAACGACAATATGCTGTGCTGCTTTCTTTTCATACGATCGTGCAAACCATAATCATAAATTCGGGTAAGTAATCTGCAAGTAATAATTAATTGAACATGTTCTCATAAACTTTAGTTAACAATGTCACGCAAATATATGATATTGGTGAAGGAAGACGAATGACCGCCTACATCTAGAATGTACTGTCGAGCGTGATCTCTATGGTGTCTTATAAATTAAATATGATGAAGTTTTTGTACATTAAAATACATGAATTGTACATTGGTTGTTTGCATGTTATCATTACGATAGGGAATCTTGTATCTCTAGTGCACGGTACGTATTATGTAGTATTACGGATAAAACGCGTCCTACTATTTTCTAAGCGTTTATATTTACAGGGTGATTTATCATTGCTTTTATCTTTGTGAGCTTTCGTTTGCCATTCTAGATTTCTTATACCTCGTTAACATGAATTCATAGCTATCACGATATTATTTCCATATCGTAGCACAACCCTGCTCACTGCTTTGTCCCACTTGCATTCCTAAACATTCCTAGATCTACTGTTGGCTTAAAAATATATGAGGCCATATAATATATTCGTATATGTTATATATACGTATGTATAGTAAAGATATAAATGTAAATTGTGTTGCTAGCATATAAGCGTATGTATGCGTTTTATTAAAGACAAATGTATATCATGAGACATAAGACAAGCATCGCTTAACATTTGATTACTACAGGCAAGCACATCAATATATATATTGGTAGTATACCGTCTTCGTTTTTGAAAAGTTACTGTTCATAAGTTCAACTAAATCGATTTTGTAAAATGCAAATGCTACGTTAAATTCGCAAAATATTTTCAATTTAGACAGTATGATTAATCAGGATTTAAAAAACGCTTACTGCGTTGGCTAGTGTTATGGGATATGTCTCATTGTTAACCTTCCAGTGCTGTGCAACCAAGCACGCTTGCTGATAACTCAAAAAATATTCATACCTTAAATTTATTTCTTGTGTTCATTTAACTTTTGTACTATTTCATTATGTCTTTAGCCATAGTGTTGGCGTATGAAATACAGGCGATTGCTGTACTGTCTAAACATTTAATCATTTAACCGAATACTTAGAACAATGATATTTGCATGAAAAAACTTCAGAGATTCTTATGAAGTTATTTTTTATTGTTTAGCAAACGTGTTGTCAAATGGAATTTTGAGACTGGTATGAAATTTAGAAATTTGGAACATTCATGGAACGAACAAGTGATTAAAACCGACGGTTCAATTTTATATACAAAGAAGCTTAGTGCAAATATTTTGTATGCATAATCACGTTTGTTTACGGGAAACGTCCGAATTTTTCTGTCGCGAAAACTTTAAAGTTTACTATTGAAATTTATCCATGAAATTTTTCAACTCAGAAAAATGAAACATGCAAACTGATAACATTTAAAAATCTCGTAATGAGAATATGAAAAATTTAGCCTCAATGAATTTGTTACAATGAATTCAAGTTTGAAAACATAAAATTTACTATAGAGAAGTCAACGCTAATTTGATGATAAATGGATTCTATAGTTACAGAGATATAAGAACACTATCTTTCTGCTGTGCCGTTGAATAATGATCATACGTCGATAAGTATGATAACATGAGACTTGTCCACAATAATGTCTAAATAAAGTAAAGCACTTATGCGTCGTTATATCTATTCACGGTCAAATCGAGTAACTCGAATTCTATGTCTAGTTACTGCATGAGTATTGTCGGAAATACAACCATGCATTTTTTAACAAAGAACACAGCATGTCATCCACAGTGCGAGCCATAAGTGATCACTGACGAATGTTTACAGAAATATGAACTTCCTTATTCGAAATAATTTCTTCTCTAGGTAATCTATTCAGACCATTTAAGCGACGATTCACATGTTCGATAATCTTTAGCGTCTGGAGATACTTTCCTTTTACTAAAGGTCGGTAAAAGTTTTTGTACAAATATAATTGAGGAGGACGTGGTCCAAGCAGTTCACATGTCCAGTTTTGCTTATAATATATGCTGGCCAGACAAATATGTTGGACCTGTGTAGGACGCGCTTCTTTTCAGTGCAGTAGTCTGGAATGAAATATTTTATGAAAGAAATACATTCAATTTTGCAGAACCTTTGTTTTGGAAATGAATTTAAGAAATATCTGGATTATTCAGTGCTTTATTTTCTTCAGATGTAAATTCTGATAATGTCAATGTCCCAGCTATCAACAAACACACGATGTATTAGCTGCAAAAAATCGTATCGTAAATTCGGTGAAAATTAAAAATCCATTTTATGACATGATACACTGTCAAAGCGCGAGAGATCTGGTTTTGTTTATAATAAGAAATCTGGTTCATGAGGTCTATAGCATAAGAGTGCGGTAAATTAAAGTAATTTTGCTACCTTAGCATGTTGCTATCCATTCACTAAACATGCTTATCCAATATAAAGTGAGCAGACTAAATGAAATATCAATAAAATTATCACATTGCTTATTCCGTATAAAATGAGCCGACTAAAGTGAAAAATTACAAAAATTATCACGTGAGCGGAAGAGTCGCTGTAGTTTGTTTCTTGTTAGACCAAATATTTTCTTCCTTTTATTACTGGATGACCCTTATAATCATTACGCATCAAAATTTACTTTGTTTCATTTCATGTATTTTTACCTAGTTATAAACGCGTTCGCAGTAATGTACTTGCTGTTTGTCAAATATTTGATTATAAATGAATTTTTTATAGATTTAGGCAAGGACCCAAAAGCTACTTTCAGGCCTTTTACGGTAAGGTGAATAATATTTGCTATTTCCGTCATTTCATTTTAATCAAAGGGTTTGTAATTTTTGGTAATGAAATGTATTCTAGAAGTTACTTTGAGTTTTAGGTAATGCTTTAAATTAACTCGTCAGTTTCCATGAAAACCAATAAGGTGCATGTGTTAGGCTGCATGAACTTCTGTTTTGTTTGTAATTATCACATTTCTCTGAATAACAGAAGTAGATGACGTGGCAGATTGCTGACACGTGAGAAAGATAAATATGGAATAAAGTCGTATTTCATGTCTATAGGCAATTGTCTAATGAATAGCAATTGAATATCCAAAAAAACGTCTACCTTTAAGACATTATATCATCATTGCGATCTTGTACAGTTGTACTGCATTTGTGACTCGTGAGTCGGATTCAACTGAAGCATTTTCCACCAAATCCCATTAATCACCGCTGAATAAACTAGATTTCTCTCGCGTTCTCCTGTGAGTGGTATTGTTATGGAATGGCGTGCGACGATTACAAACGAAGACCATGCACAATCAAAGAAGTTGTGTATTTCTTTATTTTTTATAGCGTTTGTGGAAACTTTGTCATGGGAAGTTTTCATTTACGAGAACGAAGCAACATGTGATACGATATGTGTTAACGATTATGTATTTGGCATATTTGATAAGAAACTGCTTCAGCCTCTTATGGTTATTTTATGATTCGTTTACTGAACGGTTAAGTTGCTGCAGGTTGCATCGACATTTGGTTTATTGAAACACCGTCAACGATGCATGGTTTTTTTGGTTTTCTTCACACGTGTATGGCGATCAGTTGGTTATTGACATTGTTTGGAAACGCGGAAGACAACAACAACCGTAGATCCGAACTTGTGATTTTTATCTCACAGGTTCGCATCTACGGACTTTGTGGTTTCTGCTTTTACACTCAACAGTTCGTAGAAAGAATATTGCTGTTCGTAGAGCACGAATGCCGAAGTTCGAGGAAATCGAACGATCGAGTTGCCAATATGAAGGCATATTAAATATCAATGGGAAGTGCTAGGAATATTTCTTTCATAATTTCAGCAAGCATGAAGCTTCAATTGTATATGACTGATTAAAAACCAGTATATTAAATCTAGTTATGTGTATGTACTTTGTTTTGTCTGGTCATTAGTGAGGCTACCCACGTTATAAACTTATAATTAATTGGTGGTCTAGTGCCAGTTGTCCTGCTCTGTAACACGTGATTGGGGCTTTACGCCTTGAGGGTATCATTTAAGACCTACGATAACGGTAAAAATATAAAAGACTTTTATTTAGATATTCATAATACCGGTATTTCATTTTTAAAGGCATTATATTACACCTGAATGTGCAAGTTAAGGGTAATGTATGATTGTATATAGTTTGAAGGCAGCCATATGCAGCGGTTATCATCGCCATTCAGAAAGTTCAGGTTTGATAGCCGACATATGAAACGATCTACCAAAAACAAGGTGCTCCACCATAACTGTTATACTACGCTTAACTTGCGCCTGCCTGGCAAACAGTCAAAATAACAAAAGTAAGATTTTTGTTTATAGCATAGAGTTAATATCAAAGTTTATAATTGTGGAAAGGTTATTGTTTGTTTTTCTTTATAGCCGTAGGTGTTACCTGCAAATTGTTTGCCTAAATGAGAAAAAACAGGCTTCAAACCTTACCCATAATATTCCTTTGCCTAGTATAAAGGCTGTTTTTGAATTAGTTTGGGTAGCTTGGAGGGGAACGTATTTTAGGCTCTTTCGTTGGTTAATTGAAAGGGTATAGATAGAAGTTATCACTGGCTAATCATTGGTTATCGTTCTACTTTTATATTTTGTCCAGGACACTCATATCGATTATTTGTATTTCAGTCGGATCTTGAAGTAAACAGTTCAGTCAGTTTTAAATACATAATAATCGTAAATACCTACATAATATAAACACGCATGTACACAAAAAACATCCAATTATATGTAGTCTTTCAAAGCAAGGTAGGTCGTAGTTGTCGGTTAATTCTGGCTCCAGTTCATGTTTGTTTTTGGGAATGAAAATTGCTGCCTGAACTTTAAAGGAAAAATATTTTTTCTGTTCCTTGTAATGTTGAAGTTAAAGTGGGCAAAACTATCATTGCATCTGTATTCTGCTGAGTAAGATACGTGTACGACAATCTTGTATTTGCGTGATGCTAATTACTTCACATCATTGTTCAGCAAGAGCTTTTATATGTGCCTTACTGGTTTGATGAGCCAATGACCTATAGTCGTTGGTCGATTTGCATGCAGATGGATGTTAAGCGCTGTGGGAAGGCAAATATTACTAACTTTGTTTTTTCATGACTCAGTATATGGTTGGTAAAATTACGAAGCAATTTTCATGTTGAGATGAATTTTGAGTGTTCCTCAAACATACAGATTGATAAAGCAGCGTGTTTATTTTACCAAATATGGTCAAACTATCTAAATGAGCTAAAAAAGTTTTTAGAAATGAAGTGAGCGACGTGAGTGGCTTGAGGTCTGAAAATGGCAAAGGTGCGATTAAAGTTAAAGTTCAATTCATACCAACCAAGTTTTACCAAAAATTTTACTGAATATATGTTTCAGCGGATTTTTTAAAATTGTCGAAATTTTACCAAAAATAAACAAAAAGCACCGAAATGGTCGCTACCTCACTGGCTATGGTTTTGGTATGTATGTACTGTACGTACGTACAGCAGTAGCAAAAAACGTAAGACGTCATGTTATATGTATTTTTCGAAAAACAAAGGTTGGTTTATTGTAAATACGTGGCTCTTTAAAAATGAACGCTTTTATTTGTGCGAACTGGTAAACCTGTTCATCTTGCTGGTTTCCGAGTAAAAATGCTGCCTAAATTTGAGAGAAATTGCGTTTTGAACGTTTTTGAATTTTCATACCATTTTTATTTAATTTAATTGTCTTATCGATAAATTCACATAACCTATTTTGTGACAGCTGCCATGAACTTCCAGCAAGAAGCCACGAAAATTTACACTGTTCGAGTAAAGTCAACTGGGCAAGAAATCACTTTCGGTGTATCAACTGGCGAAGATCCTCCACCGAAGATTCGTCTTTATCATGAGAATAAATCGATAGCTGTGTTCATTTACAGCAAACAAGAAGATTCGTACTCAGAATTGCCTGCAGAAAAATTGGATAAGTTTGACCTGGAATTGATGAGCAAAGAATGCAGTGCTAATCGTATTAGGGGAGATGAAAGATCAGAAAGGCAGCTTGCAAAACTTCAAAAGAAATTGAAAGAGAGAAATAATAAAGAGGATGACGAATATTGTTTTGCAGGAATGGTGCAAGTTAAAGTTGATCCTTCATTTCCACTTCCTACAGGTATTTGATGAACTACATACTTCGTTGATTAGGTGGTATGTCAACTATGTTTTAGTTGATTTGATTTCATCACTTAGGAAATTGTTTAGGTTTTTCTGTTCTTTATAACTGCTAAAGAGAGATTTTTTAAAATTAACAACTTCTTTGCAAGAGGTTTCCGTGTATGAGAAGTCATAAGAGGTATAACATATTGAAAAGGATTCTGTAGTGTTCATGTACAAACAAGATGTGTCCAGTTTTGAGAGACTTTTTTAGTAGAGTGTTGAATGTATTCACTTTTCAAAACTAAATTTAGACTTGCTGTTAATTACTAACTTATACCCACACTTTTAACACATCGTAAACTAAGAAATAGAGTAGTGAAAATTACAGCTAGGTCAGTAAGTTTGTTTATTCAAATTTGTATTATCAGCATTGTTTTCTCACAAATTGCTAAACCTGAAGTCAAGTCGCTGTTACATTGTAAAAAGACTAAAGGATCTCGCTACTTCAATGCCATTTTTTTTTCTTGAATTTAGTCCTGAAACAAACCGATTTCCTTCTTTAGGAAATAATGTTAAGATTGAAGTGGATAATTTAAAGATATTGGAGGCACCTCAGGTAACTAAGTGAAGTCTTTCATATTTAAAAAAACTTGCTTACTAGCTGAGTTATACCAAATTTACCCTTAAGTAACCTCATGTCGTATTGAAAAGTTTCACTTACAGTGTGCCAATTAATGTTGTGCAATGTGCAATTTGCACATCGTTTTAGCTAAAATGAAAACAATTGCACATCACTTTTTCAAACAATATGCAAAAAACCTCTTTATTGATTACTACCACATGAATTGAAAAAGGTCTTCAAGCTTAATCTTTACTGATCTTTACTTTATAAACAAGTGTGCTGCACGACATTAAAATCCATGTTGACACAATGTCATCAAATTCAAAGATGTTGTCACTTTGAGACTGGGAAGTCAGTCAACAGTCAACACACATGGTGCTTCTTTGCTTGTGACGATAGGGGTGTAATACATTATTATTGTCTATTTTTGTATTTGCGTTGTTTTGTAAACTGTTACATACTTTTTTTGGCTTTATAGCTATTTTGAGTATTTTCAGTAAAATCAGGAAATATTTTGCTTTTGATTCTTAATAGAAGACAAAAAAAAACTTAAATAAGCCAAATTTAAAAAATAACCAAAGGAAATTTTGATTTTAAATAAGCCTAATGTAAGATTAAACCCAACTGGCAACCTTGATCAGCCATACTTTTTGCTTTCACATATTGCTTGTAATATGACATAAGTATGATGTCTTTTATCCTAAGTAAACATCAAGGATATTACTGTTAATAATCAGAAAGCAAAAGTATATTCAGTTATTCTCTTTTCACTTTGTCTTTCTTGCCATCTTCGTCAAATTAAGGTTGTAGCTATCAGCAAAGTTAATACATTAAAAAAATAGATGAAAACATCAAATGCTGACTTGTCTGAGTCCTAGGAGGATAACCAAGTAGTGAATTTATTGCGCTGTTAAGTTTGCAGCGATTTGATTATGCCTCTAAAGAAACACTTTTGTCAAAAAAAATTGCACTTCATTTTTCTCAACTAATTCGCACACTGTTCACCAAGTATTGTAATAATAATCACTATATGAGTGTCAAACTTTAATTGTAGCAACAAATTAAAAAAAAGATGATCACAAATTCTCAACTAGAATGTTCTTGAATTTCATTTCTTCTTCATTTACCTGGTAATATCAATTTTAGGCAACATCTTCATCTCCAACATCAGTTGACATATGTTGGAAAGATATTGTTTTAAGTAATGAACATTTGGTCAACTCTATGTTTGACCTTGAGATGTCTAAGTCCAAGAACTTAACATTTCAAAATGTCTACAGGTAATATTTCTTGAGTAAATCTTATGCACAACATTTAATATTACAATAGTATTGTGATGAATAATTAAATTTTTCTTGTTTTGCAGTGGATTTGAAAAATCTTACCTTAAAACTGGTCTGTTGCCTGGAACAAAGTACTATTTTCGGTAAAATATATATATATCTATATTGTTTTATGTTGAACTACTACAGCACGCACTCTAGTCCAATTTTATATATGCAATACGTAGTTTATTTAATAATCTAATGTATTTTAATGAAATAAATGATTTTAATGATATTGTATCATGCATGATTACTTCTTCATGCAGGATTAGTGAATTCATTTTAAAAAACCTAAAAATACCATTATATACATTTAAGTGGCACCCACATATTACATGACCATCCCTGGTTGTTCCTTCCCCTCATGAAATATCTTATATCAGTCACTGGTAGTTCTTTTGCACATCCCAATACCCTTAAATTGCTCAGGGGCTATCACTAGATGGTTGTTAGTTCTTTTTCCTCACGCATCTGGCTGTCACTGATAGCTCCATCTTTAAACAGAATTAAATTTTAGTTGTGTAAACAGGAGTCCTGTTCATTTTTTTAGGATATGTAATTTCGTTTGAGTTATTGGTTGATTCGTAATCGAATTTTATTTTAATATAGACTTCGAGCTTCAAAAGATTCTGTCAAAGGACCATACTCACCTGAAGTTTTCGTCGTAACGAAAGCTGATGTCCCTACAACACCAGATATTCCTTATGTATCAAACAAAACAAAAAATCATTTCGTGTTGAAATGGACGGTGAGTGAACTGAGTGTACAGTAAGTTAATGGTTAAATGATTTTGTAAACGTCAACAAAAGTTTTTGCATATTTTCTCGTAAAAGATTTACGCAGTACTGTAATCATTGTTGCGGATAGCTGAGACACCATGGAAGATAAATTTTTTTCTGTTTCTTTTTGTATCAGTTTGTTTTCCCCAGCGATGTTGACAATAAAAACGGCAGCTAGTTCCTGTCATTATGTGTATTATAAATACGAAATTTATCATGAAAAGTATTTGATTGCACGTACGTAATTTTCTTTTGCTGATTGCTAAGAATTATGATATTTCACTGGGAAATTTGTTTCATTTACAGAAAAATTTAAAATAAGAAGAAGCTAATGATCTGATGAAAATTCGTCATTGTTCTTAATAAGTTTTTGAGTGACATGCGCGCTGCCTTTACGTATATATAGCATTTTTTCACGATATGTATGGTGTTTCCCTTTGCTGTTTATAACAGGTTGGATTTGATTTTGTCGTTGAAGTTATATTTACTACCATCTTTAGATAAAGAGCGACAATGGATCACCTATAACAAGCTATATCCTTCAGTGGGACAAAGGTCACGTAGATGGTCAATTTGAAACATTGTATAGTGGTGTAAAAAAGCAGTATAAGTGTAATCATAAATTCCCGCCGAAAACTACCTGCCGTTTCCGTGTAAAAGCGATAAATGAGATTGGAGAAAGGTGAGATGAAATCTTTCTGACAATTTGAAGTTTTCGGAAGCTGTGAAAAATGTTCACGTCATTGTTTTTGGAAATAAGTTGATAACAATTTATAGTTTTTAGTATATTGCTCTAATGAAGTATATTGTCACTTTGGTTTGTGCTAACTTTCATAGTTTATAAATATATAAATATATATGACTGTACTGAAGTTGTTTATAACTTCATTGGACCGAACTATTTTAGTTTTCCGATGAATATCTGTATTGAAGGTGGTTGCCACTTAAAATAAAGGTGCTCAGTTTTTTAAGGAATTTTTATTTCATGGGAGCGGGAACCCTGCATTGTTTGTCCTTTGAAAGTCTTGGTCTTAAATTGTTTGACATTGTTTTAGAAATTCATCCAGATTTCAATTTCAATGACGATTTTTCTATTCGTTGCAATATTTGTATTTATTGTTTCATGTTAAGGCATGCATAAAAAAGTCAAGTTTTTTAAAGAATTTTTAACTCAGGAGTCAGCTAATTTGCCGTTAAATAACCGGTTTTCTGCATTCATTATGTATGTTACTAGTATAATACTAAACGAGCACTGATGACTGCAGTATGTTGAGAATCTTATCATAGTATCGTTTTTATGAATTTTCAACATAAATTTTTGACTCTGAAGATGACTACCGCTAAGGTTGTCGAAACGTCAGTCAACAACAACAAAAACAGTCCTCCTCAGGACTATACCAACCTGGACGATCTACATTTACAAACATGTAACGATACTCCCGGTTCAAACCATTTACTTTATAAATTTACTCATACTGGATAAAGTATGTTCGGAAGCGACCGCCTCACATAAGCACTCTACCCAATTTTACTTGCTCTTTTCTTTATTTTAAAGGTTTTTTCCGGAAAATCATACAAAGGAATTTTCAATATTGATTTGTAATGTTGATAATATTTTTAGCGAATTCAGTCCGGAATTGTTCTTCGTTTCGAGTGCCGGAGTTCCATCTTCTCCTGATCCTCCATCTTTAAAAAAGCAACAGCATCTTCGTTGGAACTGTCTTGGAAACCTCCCAATGACAATGGCGGTATTTGGATTTTTTAACTGACTCTCTAATTGTTATTGTTGATTCCTTACGTTTTATGCGTTCGTTTAGCTGAAATCATAAGCTACACACTGCAAATGGACGATGAGCTTCAGGTTGTCTCAAGTGCTTTGTTCATTTTATAACTAAAAATTATAATAAATGCTAAGGGATAATATTTATTGTAATTCAATATAGGGGTATGGTTTCTTGCCTGTCTTTTTGGGTAGTCAAGAGACTTGCATTGTGCATGAAAACCTGAAGCGTAATACATCCTACAAGTTCAGAGTATGTATGTTCGTGAGTTTTTCTTGCATGGTATTTTTTATACTACTTAACTAATTACATTTCCAAATTATTCAGCTATCAGCCACAAATCTTGAAGGTGAAAGCAAATGGAGTGAAACTGTCACGATTGCAACAAAATGTGAACCACCAAGTACGTGTTTTATAGTTAACGACATGATGTCATACTTACATACGTTTTATTTTGAAACATTCTATTGAAGAAAAATGGAGTGTGTTTGAGGTGATATTTTAATGTATCTTTAGCAACTGGATTTATTAACATATGAATATTTTTATCCTCTTGTCTTTATGTCCTTGACGTTATCAAACATTTTCTTTACTGACGTTATGAAGTTGACTGTTTTCTTCCTTTCGAATTATTGGATTACGGGACTTTCTGTCTTACCTAATAAGTCGCTCTAACGCTAACCTGGCAGATCCATATTCACTGGTCTACTTTTTCAATTTTCTACCTTCTTTTCTTTTGCATAAAAACGCTCTTTAATTTCCCGCTATAACTCAAAAGAATTCTCAACTTCTTTTCATGCTACGAAAGTCACATTTTGGTTAAATTTTTTGGATACTTATCAACTTGAGTGTGTTCCTTACTCGCATATTTAACATTTTTTACCAACAACATGATCAGTCAATTTCTGGCTCCCATTTACTGGCTTATACTCTATTTAGAATCACAGTCATACCAAGATTTTTCTGTTACACACTTATTCTCATCTTGCCTTTCTCCCTTATAAACGCCTTTCTTTCTTACTTTTAAGGAAGATGTCCCTAATTTCCTGCGATCTGACTACCTAGACACTTGAGAATGTTTTCTTCAACTGTCTTCTGTTCTGTCATTGGTATATTAAGTTATCATTTAGGCACTACGTGCTCTTTGTGCTTATTTTGATGATTTGAAAAATTTCTCTTGCTTTGACAGTTGTCAGTTCTCGTATCCAAATTTAAATCTTCTATTAACAATTTTAGTAGCTCATTTCCGCTTGACATTCCTTATTATGTCTTCCCTTTTTTTGTATTATTTTGTCATCCAAATTCCTCATATTTTCTTGTCATCGTATAACCCCTTGTACGTATAGATAATTGATTTGTATGTATGCAATCTATATTTTCCAATCTCACGATGTTTTGATTTAAAAACGAAACGTCATTTATACCAGAACTTTTGTATTGTAACAAATTATATGTTTGTAAATGTAGATCGTCCAGGTTGGTATAGTCCTGAGAAGGACTGTTTTTGTTGTTGTTGACTGACGTTTCGACAACCTTAGCGGTAGTCATCTTCAGCGTCAAAATGGAGCACGATTAATTTTGACTTCTGAAGATGACTACCGCTAAGGTTGTCGAAACGTCAGTCAACAACAACAAAAACAGTCCTTCTCAGGACTATACCAATCTGGACGATCTACATTTACAAACATGTAACGACACTCCCGGGATCAAACCATTTACTTTAACAAATTATATGTTTGGCACTTGCATTTATATTAGCCAATAATTAGTTTTCTGCCTCGCAAATATCTTTCGAATAACTTGAAAGATTTTTTTATGTATAAACTTTTGGACAGATCGTATGCTTCCTCCGGTTTTGGAAGGACAAGCTCATGCGAAACATTTCACAGTTTCTTGGGGTATGTATTGTATCATCAATTGAAATGAGTTGTTTAACTTCGTAAATTTGATATGATTTGATTTCGTAAAATGTAGTTGGGCCAAGTGACAATGGTGGGAGCGAGATTGCCAGTTATACCTTGGAATTGGATGACGCAAAAGGTGATGTAGTCTTCATTTTTGCTCATTAATCGTGCTCCGGAGGGACACGAGTAAAGATTTCGGCTTGGGGACGTCGAGAAATCGACTTTGTTGACCCAGAATGCACTGGGCTTTTACAATATGGTGACTGCTGGGAGTGACAATATACAATTCTTCGAGAATATAAACAGTGGAGCTTTACTTTCAAAAATAATACAAGGATGCAAAATGCGTAAGGAAGACAAAGCTACGCTACAACAATGCTTGGGGCGATATATACTTTTAAATTCCTATATGAAAGCTGCTTGCTTTTGAGATTTCTTTAGAGATTATAGCACTGCAATTTGGCATTTGGGAGGATTTAGCTTTCATACTTTTGCTATAAGTACTTGAAACACTAGAGCACGCGTGTACGCCTGAGCATGCGTCTTGTTTACTTTATGATGGAGAAAAATAGTTATTATGACTAGCGTTAAAATAATGATATCGGCGCTTCAATCTTTATTACGTAATTCTCGTATTCTATTTTTCTTATCGCAGATGGCCCTTTTCAAAATGTTTATGAAGGTTTAGGAACTTATTTCAAAGTTCAAGGCCTTTCTCCTGGTCATTCTTATAAAGTACGCGTTCGTTGTTCTTCTGTTGAATTCAAAAGTGAGGTGAGATGTCATCGTATTGATGAACTAATCTTTTTTCTTTGAAAATACTTTCGACGAATTTCATTGCATGACAACAAAATGAGATTTCTTGAAAAAAGAAAGCTGGATATTTTTGTATACTTCATGCTGCAATTAAAACGAACTTGAGGTGAACAAGGGATTTAAGGTGAATCTTAAGGTAACCAAGGGATTTCAGGTGAATTTTAAGGTAAACAACGGATGTAAGTGAACTCAGGATTCAAGGTAAACAAGGGATTTAAGATGAACAAGAGACTTACGTAAGTTAAACAAGGAACTTGATACTTGCATACTGTACCTACGTAACTTACCTGAACCTTCAATGTCCCTTTCAATTTACTGTAAATTATCTTGCTTTCTTTCTTTTCCACTGCATCTTACCGTAGTATCTACAAATGTTGAAAAAAGCTGTACATTTCATTAACAAGACCCTTTTTAATAGTGGTCTGATGTTGTAATCATTCAAACGATGCCAGTTGTTCCTGATCCACCTTCTCCACCACGTCAGTCAAAGATTCAAAAAGCACAAAGCTGTAATATTTATCTGGAATGGGGTTAGTGAAAGTTTTCATTTGCTTTTTTTGTGGCCATCCAACTTTTTCAGTAGTTCTTTTCCCCACGCACTATAGAGCAGGTCTCAACTCTGTTGGGTTAATCTTTTTCTTTTGATACCAAAGGCATTTTCATTTTAAATTTGCACTATTCATTATTTATTTATTTCTATCTTTCGTATTTTATGCTGTGTTTTGTTTTCAGTTTCCCGTATTGTTTCCAATATATAGCTCTCGAATATTTAAAATTATCAATATTTTGAACTTTTCGTCTTATATCTTATTCTTGAAAGGCATAAAAATAACATCGTCTGCATTACTGTATTTAGGATATAGAACCATCTTATTTTTCCTTAGATGCTCCTTGCTATGACGGTGGTTCTCCTATTACAAATTACAACGTACAAATGCAAGGACCATTGGACCAAGGTTAATTTGTACTTATGTTAAATCCTCGACACATTCACAATTCTTTATTTGATGAAAACCCTTTCCCTATTGTTCAATTTTCGACAAAACTCGATCCGATCCAGCGATTTAATTTGCTCTACTCTGTTTTAGATTTCCGTCATGTTTACTTTGGTGACAAAACACATTGTGCTGTTTATGAAGTCAAGCCGAATACAGAGTACTTATTTCGTGTTCGCTCCCAAAACGTAGCTGGCGTAAGTAATTTGTAAGATACTGAACGCTTTATTTAGCTTGGGAAATTTAATATGACGTTTAATATTTATTCATGTGCACCTTCGGTCAATTGGAATAAAGTAAATGGTTCGAACCCGGGAGTATCGTTACATGTTTGTAGATGTAGATCGCCCAAGTTAGCATAGTCTTGAAAAGGACTGTTGGTGTTGGTGTTGACTGACGTTTCGTCAACCTTAGCGGCAGTCATCTTCCTGGGTTCAAACCATTCACTTTATTCTGCCAATTATTTATATTTCAAGACTTTTAGTGAAATTTTGTAATTACAGGAAAGCAAGTTCAGCAAAGTTTTACGTTTATGCTCCGGTCCTGGTCCACCAGAAATTATAGAAGATGTTTATGCTGTGTCTCGTTCATCAAGTGCCATTGAAATATCTTGGAAGGTGAATATCACTCATCTACTTTATCAAAATACTTTTAATCGTAAATCATTTTCATACGAAGTGCAACCATATATTTTCATGGTGGAAAACATGTTCTTTTGATGGAAAAAATTAATTTCTTTTAAGAATGCTTTGCAGCCAATATAATAACAGTAAAGTGTATTATGTGCGTCACAAAAGAATTCTGTTTTTTCATTTTGCAGCCTCCAAAAACAAATGGTAGTCCAGTTACTAGTTACTGCCTTCAATATTCAACGGATCCAAATGGATCATTTGAAAAGGTGTGAGTGAAAATATTGTCTTCCCTTCAGCCATTTTTGTGCGAAGCTTTTCGGCATGGAAAAATAATATATTGTTATGCTCTTTTGAAATTTTCTGTGGGGTATTATTAGTGATTGACTAAAATTCAACCTAATCAAATTTACCATCATAGTTTAAAATTTCTGGGGTTGGAGGATGTTTGGAAACCACCCGACCAAAGTGTGCCTGAGTTCTTCCGTACAAGTTTATTTTATCTGCGAGGAATTAGTTAACGACAGAAAGATCAATTGCAATGTCAGCCACAGTGTGTCTTATGTTTAACCTTCATTGTTAAGTTGTTGCAGAATTTTACGTTATTTATTACGTTAATTTTACATTTAGCAATAAAATAAACACTTTTTAGCGCTCTTTGCTTGATTCTTTGTGTCATTCTCTGCTTTTTTTTAAGTTGCTCGTACAATCTTTACGACAATTCTGTCAAAATCTTAGAACAATAGTTTCTTGTCCATCCTTTGAAAAGTAGAAAACAGATTTCATTGTTTTATTTCACCTATTTGTAGGTATTTGAAGGTGACTCAGATTATTTTCAGTTAAAGAAAAATATCTTACCAGCAACTGTCTATTACTTTAGGATCAAGGTAATATAGTATAATTAATAATAATATAAATTGTAACTCCAAGGTAATAGTAATCAACACATGCATGAAGCCAGACTGTAAATGAAAGTATATTGATGATCATGTCTGGAGTCGGTAAAGATCTCATTTTGTTATGATTGAATTCCTATACAACGCTTGCAGACCTAGAAGTTGCTTTAAATATTTTATAATTGGGTGCGGAATTGATCTTTCAAGTAGCTAATTAGTTGATCAGAAATAAGAATTGTTATTCTTTTCTAAAAATCACATAAATTATCATTAAGGCATGCAGTCCTGTTGGAAACAGTCAGTGGAGTTTAATAACTTCTTGCCAAACAGGAGCTGCTCCTCCTGCTCAAGTGAACCATTTAAAATTGGTAAGTTTATAAATCTTTAATTTAATTAGAGTTTCAGAATTATTCTGGCATACTTAAGTTATTTGTTAGCCAATAAAATATTTTAAGTTACAATTGATATTTCCAAAGTCTTAATGAAATTGTTTATCTTTGAATGTAGTTCGCCCCAGACCGTTGAAGTTCATATGACCTAATTTGGGGTTGCGTATTTCCACAGTTATAAAGGCTCGAACACAGTTTTTTTGGGGAGGACAGAGCACTTAGGAACTGGAACCCAGGAATACATCTGTGGAAATTATTCAAATTTATATTACTGTTTACCTTTCATATACCTTCACAGTTTTTCAACAGTCACAAACAAGGCATACCTCGCAAAAAACTCAATGACATCGCATCATAATTTTTTACAATATAGTTTCTATATTTGTTTAAAGCATATTTCTGACATCCAGACTTTATGTAGATGTGCTATTTTTTTCTAACTTTGTGTTTGAGCTATAATATTTCTGGAAATATTTTTGTACACAAGAACTAATATAGAAGTTTTTGACTAAGTTCTTAAGAACTGTCAGAATTGATAAAAACCCATTCGCACCTTAATCTTTAATACATAATATTTTTCTTTAACTCCGTACGATTTTTTAGATTAATCGGAACCATTCTTCAATGACAATTGAAGTGGGAAAGTCCTTCCGACCATGGATCAAAGATAATTTCTTATAATATTGATATTGATGGAAAGAAGCTGATATCTTATGTCGTGAACAATGACCACCAAAGTGGAAACAGCAATGGGGTTTTTCGTTATACTCTTTCTGGTTTAGAATCGAATACCCAATACAGGTAACTTATACTTAAAATAGTTTAAAAACGTGAAAAGTCGCAAATTTCTCAGTATATTTTGAAGATTAACAAATATGTAAGTTACATGCTATTCATAAGTCTTGTCCATAGAACGGTTTTGCATTCCTCATATGCATTATTTGCTTTTGCAGGCTACGGGTTCAAGGAGTAAACAAGTCTGGTTGTGGAGTTCTAAGGTTTGTTAGAATCGCTCAAGTTTCAATAATTTTTATAGTTTCTCGAATTCATAACAAATTCGTGTGCCATTTTAATACAATTATGTGATGCAACGAAAACTACAAAGTGATTTGATTCATCCTTATTTCTATGTGAGAATATATCTCTCGCGCAAAATACTCCCTGAAAGTCAAACGTTCACAAAAGTTTATTTTTTTCGCTTTCATTCGAAACATCACATGTGAAACAGCTGTTTTGAATCAAAAGTTTTCTGTTTGTGTCCATTTCAGCTCACCATTAATTGGAATGACGGGAAAATTACCTCCCGAAGCTCCTAGTTTAACATTATCAACCATTTCATATCAAAGTGTTAAACTTCGTTGGACGTGTGTTCAAGTTCAAGGTGACTCAAGAGATTTAAAGTATGATCTGCAAATGGCGACTTTCGGAGAAGCGTAAGAGGAATTAAATTCTGCCTTTTACGAAGACTTGTTTTTTACTCGCCTATAGTCCCTTTTTTAAAGTGTTCGATGTTTAATCTATAGGTTCGAAAGTGTCTTAAACACCGCTACTTCATCACACAAACTTGGTAAACTCCAAGAACAAACTCATTACTCCTTTCGTATTCGAGCATCAAACGAAGCTGGATTCGGGCCATTCTCGGAAATTGTTAACTGCGTGACTTCTATACAACCTCCTTCAACGGTCAAAGGTTTGTGTAAATTCAGCATTTTCACTGAAATGTCTTTACTAGTTAATTCGATGAGATTTGCTGCACATAAAACTTAGCATCTTTTTTTATTGTCGACTTTGTCGTATAATTATGCCTATGGCGCGCCTGATCCTTTTTGAAGGAACATTAACACCACTTGGAAATTGAATTTTGCAGCTTATCTACGTTATTTTAAAATGTAAAAGTTGTCAACTTTCACAAAACTTCAGTAATTGTACAATGCCTGTCTTTGCATTCCAAGATATGTACTGCTGATTCAGCTGTGAAACTGGTTTTTTTTTAAAGGATTTAGTTACTCCAACATCACGAAACATGCTGTAACTCTTGTTTGGAAAGAGGTTCATCGTATAAAACCCTCGGATATTATCCAGTACATCTTGTGTGTGAAAGTAAACACGAACAATGAATGGAAACAGGTGATTCGTTATTTTTTATAGTTGAGTGCGTTTCTTCGAAACTACCCCATGATTACCCAACGAATTTTTTTTTGCATTTTCATTGCAAATCTTTCTTAAATAGAACATATATGTTGAACAAACACTGTAACGCGTTTAAAGTTTTATTGATGAAATTTGGTTTTGATGAAAATACCTTTCATTGTTAAATTCTTTTTCGTGATATAGCCATAGCTTGCTTGTTGAACTCCACACCCTAGCTTAAATTTTCTTAATCGTGCGTGTATTGTCGATATTAAATACATCCACATTTTTATAAAGTTATTCACCTAATCATAAGATATTTTGACCAATCAATTTGCTTATATTTTTATCGCATGAATATATTTTATTTCTAACCTCCATTGCCCATTCTTTATCGACACATATTAAACGCTTCATCTTTGCAGCTCAGTCTTGCAAAGTGCAATGCTTCTTGTAAAACTCCTCGTACTCAGTAAATAAGAAGTTATTATAATTTACTACATTAATAAAAGTGCTTTCATCAGTAATGCAGGAATTAGCAATATAACTTTTTTAATTTGCACTTTCAATTTGTGGAAAGCCATTTTTTTGTATTTTCGATTTATTCTAAATTTTATCTCAAAAATTTTGTTCGAAAACTCATATAACGATGACTTCTTTTCTCTTCTTTTCAAGATCTATAAAGGCTCAGAAAACATCTTCAAGTATGGTGATGTTACGCCTGGCGCAACCTACAACTTTCAAATTAATGCCTTACGTAGAATTGGTTCTGTTGGGGCAATCAACAAGTTAACTTGCGAAGGTCCTTCTTCAGTTTTATCGCTGGCAATCCCTTGTGATGAAGAAAAATCTGCTCCCGATCTCAAATTAAATGAAGTAATTTCTGAAGAAAACGAAGTATCGAGAGAAATATCTGAAAAAACGCTTGCACTGATAGTTTTTTTTGTTTTTGCTTTTCTTGTACTTTTGATTTCTTTATTCGTGTCTTTCTTTTTTACTTAAATTGTAACTAACCTCAGCATAAAATGTTTTAGAAATATGTATGTAAAATAGTCTAAAAGGCTTCTACACTACGAATGTGCTTAGGTCTCGCATGCTTTAAAGATCAAATGTATTTCTTATGCATGCAATATAATCACACAACTCTAATATCTCAATCACAATTCGTGATAAAAGCCTTTTACCTATGAAAAGCACATTCATATAATTTATCAACAAGTTGTTCGTTGTTGGTAGTATCGTATATTCACACTGTTTGATTTCGATTTAGATGTTGAAGTCGATGTATAAGCATAATATCGAAGCATGTTCATTGAAATGTTTAATCATAGAAAAACACCCGAATAGGATAGAATACGATTTTTAGGAGAAAAAAAAGTAAATGGTTTTCATTAACTTGCAATAAAATTGTATATTTTTTGAAAACTTACGTAACTTGCCACATTATCTCATATGCGGTCAGTGGATGTATTTATATTTAATAAATTAACCTTCATAACTCTCAAAATATGTTATTTTAGTTGTCTTCTGTAACTTATAGTATGGGGAACCTTGATAAACATAGTAAAATAATGTTGTGAAAAAAACCTTTATTGTATCATTATGTTCTGTGTTTTTATTTATTTTATAGCTACGTTTAGAAAAATGTGTTCTCAGTTATGTTCATCAACATGGTAACACGATAAAATCAAAGGTGTCCACCATAAGACGACTTCGACTCGCGGATATGTATGTAAAGAATTAATCAAGTTTTTGATGATAGACAAAGAAAGATGTTAATTTATAAATTTATCAACTCAAAATTTAAAGCAGTTTAAGTTTAGGAAAACTGCAGAAGAAAAAATCATTTATGAGCATAGTTTCTTCGGCTGTAGATATAATAATATACGTATATCTATTTATTGCTATTTGGTGGAGTTGTACGTCTAGTGCTTTTTTCTGCCATTCTCGATCACCATGGAAACAAAAGAAGTGCAGAACGGTTTATTAACAATATCAGCGACATTTGACCAGAATCGTACAAAACGATTCACAAACCAGATTCAGTATGCGAGGGATCAAACAGTTCAGGTTTTCAGGCTATTAACTCGGTAATTAAAGTTGATTTAGGTAAGATATTTGCTGTGTTAAGTCAAAATTCGCGAAAGTCAATTGTGGACTTTAAGAAAATCAATCCATCAATTTTGACTTGATTAAAGGGAGAGAAGTTGTATGTCAAACCCAAAAGAAGGTGAATAAGGATAATTGATGGATTCGGAAAATATTGGAGGAGAGATCGTGGATACTTGGCGAAGTTAATACTTAAATTACGATTGTGAAGATGTCATGGTCAGGTCTAGGATATATATTAATGGGAGGAAGAAAATCGATTTTAAAAATGATATATTTCAATTGTATAGAGTAATTATGATTGTAATGCCTAAGCCTTAAACAACTTCTAGTCAAAAACTGGGATCATCACTTCAAATAAAATCTTCTTGATTACGTTTGACTACGAACTGCGCCTATTAAAAATGATTGCTTAACAAAAACAATGAACACTTTTTATGTAATGCCTCGTTGACACCTCGTTGAAATGAGCATGATCGAGAAATCTCAAGTTTTCTTTTCTCGCGAGACTTAAAAAACAAAGAAAACAAAATTTTCTTTTGTTCATCGTTCGTTTTATGTTTAATCGATACTAATGCCTCATGCTTCCCTTGTGGTCTTTGTTTGATTTTTATAAATGCTTGAGTTTGTTCTTATTTCACTTTGTGTGGTATTACCATGAGTGTTTGCAAGACCGGTTTGACAAAGGATAACACGTTCTCCTTGCGGTAACTTTGGCATTGAAAGCTGTACCAGAAACAAATATAAAAATCATCTTTTACAGCCATCAGCTGAGAAATTCTCTTTAGAACTAAATGGTTCAAAAAGTGAAAACAACAATAAGCGGTTGAGAAGATAAAGGAGCAGTGAAGTGAGCGATATCACAAGAATTCTTAAAATAAGAAGGGTTATAATATACTGAAATATTTGGTCGACGAACCATTTTAAAATACCAAGATATATCTTTAGGAAGTAAAGACAGTTATAATGTTTTAATAACGGACGTCTTTAGTCGTTGATACCATGATATGCTATTAACAATTCAATTTTATTCCTTTCGTTTACAGACAAAGTCGTCGTCAAGATGCTGCAAAAGAAGAAATAGATTATCCTTCAACATAATCATCCTTCTTCATCTTGATATAAATTATTTGACTGACCAACTATTTATTTATCATGCAATCATTTTTTTACATGTAGCTCAATGTAGTTAACCATGACTGGCACTTTCATGATATTGAGTAATGTTATAGTTATGGTTGGGTTCAGATCTTGCATGTTATCTGTTATATATCGTTTTTATAATGGATATGTAACATAGATGACAAAGAAATTGCAATACACCGGCAGAGTAATGCAAAATCTTTAAATTTAACTTCTATTTGAAGTGATTATACCGCATCAGTAAATGAAGCTGAATAAATATGTAGTCGCTTTATTGTACGTATGCATAGCACTGTTATAACATTGAGGGATGTTATAGCATGTCAAATGGCAGGTACTGCTGACTGCTAAAGTATGTTGCAGTAACTTTTATAGTTTTGTAAAACATAGTGAACAGAAAATATTCTGATAAAGTTTTTTGAAAAATCCGACAGCAATCGAAGTAAGTCTTCCCTACACATGTTTGCAGTTTACAGCTGTATTCTGCAAAGCATCGTAAAGTGCGAGTTTCCGAATGAAATTTTGACAGATCTTCTGCAAACACTGCATGGTTTTGCACAATACATGTGTCATGATTGTTTTCAACAATTATTCTTACAGCTATAGGCGTATTGGGCTCTGCAGCCCCAATTTCTCGAGAATTTGTGTATTCGGGCAAGCATTTACATGATATTCTGGCAAGATACTTACTACAGTTTTTAAATTTTCAATATTAATCTACATCATTTCTAGATCATAAACTGCTTCGGTTCTTGAGCGTGAACGGTCTTTTAATGGATGGTTTTAAATTGTTTAAATTACTTAAATTTCAGGAGGTAAAATAAAAATCGCGTAAAGTGATTGGGTTTTTCTTGAGACATAATAGGAGAATTTTACATCCGTTATAATATAAACAAATTCACGAGAAATCGGTCTATTTACTAGCGATATTGACGAATATATTGTTTACAACTTGAACACGAACGCCGATATTTTCAATCAGAGCAAAGCTTTTGCCACATAACGTTCTCCATTTATAAAAAGGGCTGAGGTCAGTAAAAGTCTTGAAATGTCTTGAAATAAAATCGTCTCCCCACACGCTATCCGTTATACATTAATATATAGATTAACAATCGCTGCGATCCCCAAAAGTGATTTTTATTTTTGCATGAAAATTAGGCTCACTGTCCATTCCATTGATTAGATTAGTGCCATTCACTCTATGATTGTTGTTCAAGGAAACTATTATCCACAAGCAGCATTGCTAATCAATGAAGAGCCTATGCAAATAGTACTTTAAAGAACGACATGGAAAAGATAATTAACATTTTGGACAGCGACGTAATCGTAAATCTTATTTTTTAGTCTTAGATCGTCGCACATTTAACTAACTAAATTTCTTCTGCGTCTAGTGTTATATATGACAAAATTTCAAATATCAAATAAAATGGCATCCTCTTAGCAAATTGTAATGATTTTAGCTTATTAATTGAGATGGCCAGAACAAAGACGTCATACGTCATATGACGTCATATAATTCGGGCAAATTTAGTCCAGCTCCCCTAAACGCAGCTATACATGGCAACAGTTTCAGATCAGAATTGCGGTACGTGTTTATTTGTATGTTTGACTGTTTGTTTGTTAGCTTTGTCACACCACTAACTTGTTATTGAGTGTTTTTCAGATGCAGAAGACGAGAAGATACAGAAGAAGACATAGGTATATGTTTGTTTGTTTTTGTTCTGCGTCTAACTTGTCCTTTAGGCTTTCAGATTCGAAGGATGAGGTTATCAAAAAAGTCACGAGTGTAAGTGTATTCGTTTCTATCATTCATCAAATCTATCAATTATTTGTTTGTGTCTTGTTTAGAACGACAAAGCTGAGGATGGTCAATTAACGTTCCTTACGGTAAGTTTAACAAATTAATGTAAACACAATCCTTGACTTTAATTCTTCGGTGTTTGCAGATGGTCAATAAAGCATTTTGATTAAGAATAGCGAAATTTCATTAGCAAACTTACATATAAAAAAAGAAGAACTATATGAGTATTCCAACATTCTAACTAAATTAGAGAGTTCCCTCGCTCTCTAATTTAGAAAAGAAGTTCTGCAGAAAGTTAATGTATTCCAAAATAGACTTCTGCCACCTATTTTGGAATATGTTTGCAAAAAACTTTCACGCAGCGCAGACTTGACAATCGTTGAAAATTTTTTGTAATCACAATAAGATCCTACATGTATTATGAAATGTGTGCTTGAACAGGACACCAAGTATTCGAAAATTCATTGAGTGTCTCAAATTAATAAAAAATATTATACGTTAATTCTTGGAGGTAGATTTAGTGGTTGTACGGGATATTAAATTTTATAGGAACAGCTGTTTGATATAATACCGATTTTAATCGTTACAGTCGTATATTTCGAAATGATTGACGTTGTTAGTCAATCACCGCAAATGTCATGAGCACCAATGAAATCCAAGCCAAGGTCAAAATGTATGCTTGTGACGGTAAGAAAGTCACTCAAAATTCTTCTAAGGTTGGAATAACAGAATTATTTTTACTTTTTACTCATTAGAATGAGCAAAATAATAAAAGTGATTTTATTGGTATTTTCACAAAATTATACCACGCTCTTTTATGGGACAAATTAAGTTCTCACCCCGCACTCCACCATGACACACCAAAAAATAAACTTGTTTTGCCTAAGGCAGCCCTAAAAGGGTTGTTTTAGCTTGTACACGGAAAGTCTTTGATCTTTTCCCATGAAAACAGCGCTTTAGATATTATGAACAAGAAAATGTATCATTTTTTATTTTTGAATCAAATAATATATAAAACTGTGAAAAAGCAGAAGAATGGAATCATGAAAGAGGATGAAGTAGTGTTAATAATGTGATATAAGAATCAGAAACAAACCATCGAAGAATAATTGACTAGAATCATGTGAATCACTGAATTCTCAAATTCCTGATTCCGCTTCATCAAACCTCGAGTAAAAAAACCAAAATAAAAGGACCAGTTTTATTGATAAAGGTAGATAATATCCTAATGTTCTCTAATAAATCTACTACAGTGAATAAAGAAAAACATTGACTTGATAGCAACCGTTATAGCTACCAGAAATTTTGATTAGAATGTTCATAAAAAGAATGTACAACGATAACTCGACAGTCCAAACAACATACTTGAAGAGAAATTTAAAATGCTTGTGTTTGGAAAAACAAACATATTTCCATACTTCTAAAATATTTTGGAGAATTGCTTATTGAGGTAAAATCTTTACGTACACCAGAAAGAATCAAAGAAATGTAAAGGATTGGACGGCTTAATAATTACACCCCCCCTGATTTTACATGAAAATAAATATCAAAATGGTGAAACTCTGGAACGCAGTTCTATTAACTTTTTTCTTATTATCTTGCTTATTATTTTCAGCATCTGGTAAGTTTTCTTTAATTTGCACTGCTTGACATAAATATGTTATGAATTTTGAAATGTGCTTTTAATACTTTATTTGAATTGAAAGATAATCGTGTTTTAGTAGGAAGCCACGAAAATTGTTAAGAAGAATTTTCAAATGAAACTGTACGATATTTCAGAATTGACCAGTAGAAATTACCATCTAAAAATTGGAAATTTGAACTTTGAATTTAGCAGAAATTCAGCTCTCTGGTACATTCAGACACGCGGGAAAAATTATGGTCTTAACATATTTTAAGAAATATAGTCTCAAAGATATCAAATACCTAATAATCAATCCAAACTTTTTCTTTTTGTTGTTTAGGTGATAAATTAGAAGACAGTATATACAAAACAATTAAATATTTCAAACCATGCACTAAATTGCTTAATGCTACTCATCAGATTGGATGTACATGTGAGTGTTACTATATAATGTTTTATGTTGTCTTTTCTGGATGTTATTGTTACATTGTTTGATTGACTGACTTTCATCTCAAATTGCTTATTATAATGTAATGCTCAACTTTATAGCCAGTCGTAAAGGTAATGTTGGTGTTGTTCATTATATTGACTCTGAAGAAAGTTTTAATTGGTTATTGCATGAAGGAAAACATGATCCTTATGTCCCCTTGTTTACAGCTGAATATTTCACACAGTGAGTTCTTGGAAAATCTTATTTATAATTGTTAGATTTTAATTGGTCCTATTTCTTGTTTGCCAAGCAAGCTTTTGGACAAAATTGACAAAAAAAACTTGAAAATTATTTTTTTGTTTCTTGCATCAAAGTAAAATGTAAGTTGTATTCCAAAAAAGCCAACAACAAAATTTATTCAAATACAAATGAGCATTTTTACAGAGTTGATACGAAGCATCAAAAATTGCTGTTTGATTCAAACTATTGTATTATTACTAAATTGTTTGATAAGCTTTTTGAATGATTTGCTGTCTACTTTATAGCGACAGATTGAAAAGGTTAAAAGATGCCCACAAAATCTCTGGAGCTTTGGTTCTTCATGATAATAAAACTACTCCCCCAAGTTCAGGTGCGAATTGCACTTAGGTATTTTTACCTTTATTTTTATTCTGTGAAGTAATTACAAAGTAGAGACAAAACTGAAACTTTGGTTTAAAAAGGGAATTTTTTCTTTTAGGCTTTTCACCAGAGTATCCATGTCCAAATCAAAATTTTGGTAAGTTTGGAACCAACACAATTGTTCTTTTAAAGTAATTTTAAAAATGTTATTGCTTCTTTGTTTGTGTAAATTTCTATGTTGAAGAGTGAATTATTCTAGTTAAATCAATCAGAACATTTTGCTTGGCATGGCGTTATACAACTTGGCCTGACATATAACTTGTAACATCATTATCATGTGGCTTGACGTAAAGCAACCTAAGTGAATATATTTTTCAATAGATATTTGCAATGCTAATGAGCAGGAACACTGTTGTGATGCTGGTGATAAAAATTCATCATGGAATCCTAGTGTATGTATAGATGCATTTATCATTTCTGTTGTAAACATGCACAATTCTATTTAGTACCAAACACATTGTTACAATTAGTGAGGATGTATTTTACGGCATGAATTACAGTTGATATGCATGAGTTACATGAAAGACCATATGTAAACTTGAGTTTTAGTTCATCTGGCATAAATAGTGTTGAGTAAAATAATCTTCATTCAAAGAATTTGTTTTTGTGGCACAAGTGAAAACAAGCTTTAAATGATTTCATTTGTTGACGAATAAACAAAGAAAAAAGCTAGATTTCTTGTTTTATGTATTTAAAACAAATTTGCCTAGTTCTGAAGAAGCTTATTGCCAAGCATGCATTTTTTTAGGATTCTATGCTTTTTCAGTAACAAATTATGTATGAGTGTTATTCTTACATATTTAGGGCTCAGCAATGTCGTATAACTACTACGATTTTCCTATCTTTGCCCTTTATGATCAACATGAATATGATCAACTGATAGAGGTTTGTCAATCAATTTATTAGAGTTTAATATTGCAATGTATAGCTAGCTGTTGTGCATGGTCTACATGAATACAGAATCAGGAACGTTAGACATGCATAGTGAATCGAATGCTCAAGTATTCCACTCGAAATTTTAGATATATCCTTAACCAATAGACATAAAGAAAAAATAAATTACCATTGCTTGTGGTTGCTCCATTTAGATAAACTTAGTAATTATAATTGTAGGCATAATATATAAAGCTTTTTTTAAACTGTATGGAGTTGTTTTTCAACAATGGCGTATCCACATTAGTAACTGGGCGGGAGAGACAATTTTCATTATGTGTATGTTTTTCTGTATTAAATTCTTTTGAATTGTTTTTAGGATTATAACATGCATGTATGGATATTCTCTCCCACAATTTTCTATTAGGCTAGCTTCATGTGCGCAGTGCGCACCTACATTTAATGTCTTGCGAAGAAAAATCCGTCATATCATCTCGTATGTGTTACACAGATAGATAGATACAGATACAAAATAGATTAGGTGATGGAAAGCCTGTACATGCTTTTTAACTGTCAATTATTTAGCTTTTCCGTGCAATTCCGTTGAAATTGTCACTATTTTTATCACTATGTCTTGACAATTACAGTATTCGTCTATTGTGGCCACAAGTTTTTGAAATTCAGTTGACATACATGTTTTTTAGTGCTATAGAAAACACAACAAAGCAATGAATAATGAGAAGCCCGACTATCCGCTTTGTGGAGTTGAGTTGCGATGCTTTATGTATGCTGCTAAAGATACACCGACGTGTTTGAGGAAAGGTGAAATACCAAGTTTCTCTGAACGTAAGTTACAGCAGATTCTTAAGTAGTCAGCTATGTTCTATTGGGTTTTAGCTATATGCATGGAAGAAGATCTTTATTAATCACTAAAAATTGTATTATACTCGTTTTTATTAAAACGTTGGTGCAAAGAAGTACAGCAAGCTGACAAATTTCCAATATATTGTGCATTGCTTCTGCAGTCACAAATTAACCAATGGTATTTTATGCTATTAACTGTATGCCCATTTTGCGGCATTATAAGCAAGGTTTTTTACTCACACTTCAGTCACGGAAAAAAGAGCGCTCTAGTTTTTGATCGTTTTTTGTGTAAAATACCCAAAGTCTTGAATATTCCAAAGAAATCAGCCGATAAATTTGTTTAAGTGAGACTGTAAAGATCAGTTTTGTTTTTAAAGACTTCTTCGAGTGATTTTAAACTGTGTCATAGTCATCTAAAATATGTATTGTATTTGGATGATTTTCACTATTTTAGAGTTAGCTATATCCCAAAGTTTTCGTTGTTTCTCTATGACTTAATTCAAATAAAAGGCCTGCTGAAACTAAATGGTTTTCTTTTTGAGTGTTTGGCATATGTATATTTCCCTGATTATGTCATGAAATAGTGTATATTTCCATTACATTAGTTTCGTACCAATGAATAACGTAATTGTGGTGTCTAATCTAGCGAAAACTTTATTTCAGATATGTTCTGTGATCCATTGGGTGACGTCAATGTTTGGGGAACATTGTTTCCATTACAGAATGAAACAAATCCTGAAGTTGTGCTTGCTACTGCAAAGGTTTATATATATTATGAAACTATTTGATTTGTTGTCATAAACTTGCCTTGGTTTAGGAAAGGCATTTTTTATATATAGAGAGAGTTAAACATTACTTCACTTTAAGTAACTGCTTTGTACAGTGTGAACACTTTTTCGTATGTTTAATAGCTTGACAGCTCAGCATTTTTCCATAATTTTGCATTTGGGTCAGATAATGATGGCTCTGGCATAGCAGTTTTACTCGCTGTTGCAGATGCTCTTGGAAAACACAAACGAAAAGTAAGTTGTAATTCTGATGCAATGTATTCTTTGCTTGTGCGATATCTACGCAACAAGCCAACAACTTAGGTTTTATTGAAAATGTTTAAATTGTTATGAAGTCGATGGGTGTTCACATCATGATACGTACACATGAATCAAATTGAATGGGTGTTCACATCATGATACGTACACATCATGATACGTACACATCATGATACGTACACATCACGATACGTACACATCATGATACGTACACATCATGATACGTACACATGAATCAAATTGAATGGGTGTTCACATCATGATACGTACACATCATGATACGTACACATCACGATACGTACACATCACGATACGTACACATCATGATACGTACACATCACGATACGTACACATCACGATACGTACACATCATGATACGTACACATCACGATACGTACACATCATGATACGTACACATCACGATACGTACACATCATGATACGTACATCATGATACGTACATCACGATACGTACACATCACGTACACATCACGATACGCATCATGATACGTACACATCATGATACGTACACATCACGATACGTACACATCATGATACGTACACATCACGATACACATCATGATACGTACACATACGTACACGTACACATCACGATACGTACATCATGATACGATCACGTACACATCATGATACGTACACATCACGATACGTACACATCATGATACGTACACATCACGATACGTACAAATCATGATACGTACACATCACGATACGTACACATCATGATACGTACGCATGAATCAAATTGAACGGGTGTTAATGGAGAAATGAAATATTATTGATTCAAATCAAGTTGAAACATTTTATTGTTTAGTCAAAAGGCAGTGTTTTTTGAAACTCAGCTGGATTCCTTGCTGTATTTTATGTTATACTGTTTACAGCGTTAGCTTGTCGAGATTTGCAACTAATAAATAATTTGTGTATACTATAGACTGCGCTGCCAAGAAGCGACTCTACTTAAGCTTGCGTTTAATTAAACTATTTAATATATCATGAAACTCATTATGTTGCACAAGTGTTGCTTATAGCTCGTGAATATCCTGCACTTTTTATATATGATACTGATTGTCTTTTTAAGATTATTTTACTATTTTTATAAGACCATATGTGATTTGTATATGTTTTACAGGGGTCAATTAAGCCTCCTGAATCGAAAAAGAAGAAAAGCATATCATGTTTTCATTTTTTAACGGAGTGAGTGATAATGTTGGTTGAAAAGTGTCTTCGTAGCTGCCATATGTAAAAATATGTTTATCATAACGTATTCATCAATGATCATAATAGGAATCCTGGGATTATATTGGCTCATCGCGTATGGTTTATGATATGATTAACGGTTATTTTCCAAGGGATGTCAGCAGTAAGGTTAGTCACTAGCAACATTTAAACAAACTTCTTGTAATAAACATTTTTAATGTCCTTTATTTGTCCAATAAGTTGTTGCATGTCATCAGACGGCCTTTAAACGAATGATTTCGTAGAAGTTACATGTTTGGGCACGCGTCTCTGAATGCCTGTAAATAACTAGCGAAATGAGTCTTCTTTTTAGAACTTGTATTGCATTATATTGTCCGTGATTTTAGGCAATAACTTCATAAGATGTGGAATAAATAGTCCTCTAAATGATTTTTTTTGTACGTTGTGCTACTTAGCATGTGTGTTGGTGCAGATCATCCATGCAGAGTAATCCAGGTTTGGTGTTTGTGTTGACTGACATTTTGGACAAAAAGTTCACCTTTACAGTTGATCCTTGACAGTTAACTCTGAAGGTAACTACCTCTAAGGATGTCGAAACGTCAGTCATCACCAAGACCAACACTCTTTATCAGGACTGCGTTAACCTGAACGATCTACATCTACAAACTTGCAACAGTACTCCCGGACTCAAACCACTGCATGTTTGCTTACGTATGTTATAATATTACTGCAACTGTTATTAAACTGTTTTTATTTGTTGTTATAGTTTCCAAAGATCGGTCTGTCTAATATTTTGTATTATATGGAACTTAACCAAGTCGGTTTGTCCGATGAAAATTCGTTATGGGCCCACAGTCACCCAAATCAACATAAAGATGCTTCTGTGAAGGTACGTGTATGGTGTTTCTGGTACATGGTTACAACATATGTAAATCATTGGCTAAATGCTTTACGTACATTTTTCAATAAACTTTCATCCATACATGTAATCGTCCATTTTATGGTCGTTAAACACTAGCATATTGATAAAAAAAGTTCGGAAACAAGTTCATAACCTGTTTTTTTTCAGGCTATGCTAAATTTGCTATCTAAATTTGGTGCGACTGTGAATTTGTCTATTGAAAATCCATCTGCGAATTCGTCACATCCCCGACCATTGCCTCCTTCGTCTTTACAAAGTTTCCTAAAAGAAAATGGAGGTGTTCCTGGCGTAGTTATTACCGACCACAAAGCAGCGTACACGAATAAGTAAGGGTACTTTACTCATTTACTCTTGAAATCAGACTAATCTCTAATGATTTGTATGGCTACTTGTATTTTGTTCAGTCAGTGATTTAACTATACTCAATTTGCTTGCCTAATGCGTAAGATGCAGAGACTATGCATATGGCGTTCTAAATCAAATGACTCCATGCATTTGTCACGGAAAATGCGACTGAATGCCTAAACAGGTCTGACGTCTGACGCGCAGCATTTCCTGCACGAAAAAATACCGTTGATGAAATACTAGTAATTTTATTGCATTTCTTTGTTTGTCACATCAAAGTATTGTTCATTGCTTGTTTTATTTATTCATAACCAAAAAATTTATGTTGCTTCAAATGCATAGGTTTTACAACAGTCGTTTTGATGAGTTGGATTTGTTTCAAAGCAGTGTAAAGGTAAATGTTTGGTAATTCAATGTAGCTGACAAAACAAATGATCCTGTATCTAAATTTTGATAGTCGAGATTTGAGAGTAATGATTGATTCAAGAACACATGCAAAGCATAAAATGAAAAGCCAAAAGTCAAAAATAAAAAGTCGATACTTGATTATAAAGATGAATATGACAACAAATCCCTTCTGTTTTATTTCCTTGAAATTAATGCTGAATGTAGACGACTGTATAAGAAGAATGATAGGCTATCGAAAATTTAAATTGACCGTGTTGGTAGTGAATAGGTAATGCTAGGAAAAGTTAAGATGAAATTTTTTTATTTCAAAATTATAAATCTGAAACATATTGGTTATTGTTTTGCAAAAAAGTCCATGTGCTACTGAATATAATATTTTGTGAATTTTTGTTGAACTCCCGCCGAATTCGGCCGACTGAATTGACTTTAATAAGTATATGTTTAAAACGTGCCATTTGCAGAGTGCAATCTAATAATTCTGTCGATGTATTAAAAACCCAGTATCATAAAATCCTCATGTGCCAAATGTGAGTTGTATGTCGGATGATAATATGTATTCTTTTGTGTCTATTAGCTTTTTTAGTTACTAAAATCATATATACAGATATATTAGGATTTATATTACCTACAGTTTTCCTCATGAATTTTCGCCTCATTTTCATACACACTGTCAATTTTTTGACTCTCGACTTTCTATTTTTACCTCTCTAACTTTATTCTCAACTCTCACTTATTTATTGGCAAACTCGAGGTATATAACTACATGTTGTAAATTATTGTTTAGTAAAGCGGTCTGTGAAAAAAACTGTTCCAAGCTGAATTTTGCCTATATTTTTGTTTTACAGAATATAACAAATTTGGCAACAACTGTTGCCAAAACGTTGTATAAGTTAGCGTACAACGAAACAAAAGATGACATTGAAGCTAGTGAAGAGTTGGTTAGTTTCATTCTGTTCTCTATTTACTTTGAAATTGTTTATTGTTATTTTAGTCATTCAATAATGCCACAATTATTGAAATTTTTTTAACCGTGAATAATGTGTGAAACTTTTGAATTTGCGTGCAATCCAACGCGAAAGGGTTATTAGTGTTGCAGTATGAGACTTTAATTGTAGATATGTAACTTTTTAATCATTTTATTCATTTCACTCATTTATCATAATTGAGACATGTTGAATTTTCTTTCATAAATACAAATATAAGTATTAGTCAAAAACGTCTTGATTTTCCCGGTATTCTGATAATTCAAGGTAGTATTCCTCCACATTTTGGTTTGCTTTTATAAAATTTTGATACAGATAAAGGAAACTTAAATTATCTGTCTATACTCAATTGCTTATTATAACAAATAAAAATCTTTCTTGAGAGTTTTTCCAACTACGATTGACTAAGCCTATTCATATTGGCTAAGCCTTACTAAATATGTGCTACTAATTTTTGACTTGGATATGTAGGTAAATCGACTGTTGATGTGTCTGTACAATACAGGAGATTGTTCTGTATTTTATGATGCTGTTTCGACAATACATAAGGGTCTGTGATCTGCTATCTACTTTTTGTAGTTTTTGTCTTCCTGGAGGCAGATGGAAAACATCATTATTCTTACTTTCTTGTATTCATTTTTCTTTACAGCGTCAGAAAGAAGAAACATCGCACGTTATGTTGGAGTTTTCTCTGATAGTGGCCAAGTTAACCTTTTCTCAAGCTTGATAAAATACCTGCTCTCTTATCTCACAGGAGAAAGACTCAATCAAACGAAGTGTGAGCGTGAAGTAAGTATAGTTACAGTATATGGTTTATTTGAATTGAATCCAGCTAAAATCATGTTGTTTTGTGAAAGCAAAAGGTATATTAGCTCAAATTATGGATTGATGTAAATGACGTCTTGTTTCCATATTCCATGATAGAAAGACGTGATGACAGAATTTTGTCGATTTATAGGTTGATTATAATATATATAAGAGAAGTATAAAGGAATGCGTGCGAGCCAGTGTTTACACATCTATAGCGAAATCACCAGCATTCGATCTTCATGATTATTCTAGCAAATATTATTCTACTTGGACCGAAAGCAGGTGTGCATTTTTTCGTTCTCGACAATGTTTTAAAAAAGGCGACTGTTGGTGATAAACTTGCTTTTTCATTCACATCCTAGGTGGGAAAGTTGTGGAATGCGAATGTTTCTAATTGGTGATCCTGTACATGAGGTTAGCTGGAATCTCACTAGCAATTATTGCATAATGTTTCAATTTTCTTTGTTCAAGGTTTTAGTACGAACAAAACAACACTATAGATGACTTAACGACAATTTTCGTAATATTCATGTTGCATTTTGAGTTATTATTTATTTAGGCGATAACACTAACCTGTGGTATTGTCGTCACTTTGTTATCCTTGGTGGCTACCGTGTTTATGTACATGAAAGCGGAACAGTTATTTGTGTCTAGTGACTGCGTGATGGTTATCAATGACAATATGCAATCGTAAAGAACATTTCCTTTCTTCATCATCAACAAAAATTTATTCCATGAGGAATTTTTCCTTGTTGTGTGAAGCCCGTATGAACGAAATTCTTTTTTAATGAAGCTGCATTTCTCGTTGTCACAACTACATTTTGTTAAGTACATGTATGATACACATACTGTGAAAGTTCATCTACGATATTTTATCAGATTTTGTTTAAATTGAACTGCAAAAGTAGATAAAAAAAAACTGAATTTGTTAATGTCCATCAAACAAAGAGTATTTCTAGATTAATTGAATAAGAAATATGAAATTAACAAATGAGAATTTGTGAACGATGTGTCCAAAAGCTTTGTAAATTAATTCGTATAAATAACATTAATAACCTTTCCGATGGCTAGCATCTTTTTCTGAAATTTTCGCCAAACTATGTATGTGCAGTAATATTTTCCCAAGAATAAAAAAAAACATTAAACTGGTCAAAACACTTGTATGATTACTATAGTAACCTGTAAATTTATCATACTTTATAGTTTTAAAAACCTTTTTCAGCTGACAATTTGAAAAAATAAATGGGGAAGCACACTCCAAAAAACATCATCTTGTAAACTCAAGATTCGAGGTATAAAGATGTAAAGTAATCTTTCTAAAATATCATATTTCCTTTCTAAGAAAGACAAAATACCAAGCCTGGACCGCAGAACTGTAAAACTAACAGAACCATACCAACAAGACTTTACGAACACGCAAAATCCGACGCCAACATAAGCGCTACTCATGACAATCGAACAAACTGCCGGGACGCACAACACATAACTGACATTTTCAATTTATACGTATGACACAATTAATGACATAAATTCACCACATCACTTTTATTCTTATGATCACATTCTTAATAACGCTAACACTTTGCACCGTCTTCATTATAACAATCCTATCTTTTTGCATTTCCTTGAGGTGAGTTTATTACGTTTCAAGAAGCCTCAGTTGAACTCTGGTCTGAAGGCTTCTCGAGAAGTTGTTATTTTTTTCTAATCTCTTGATCTAATCGTAATTAGTAAAACCTTCTAAAGGACTTTTTTTCTTTTCCTAATCCCTTCCATTGTAAATAGTAACACCCTCTAACTTCTTTTCATTGCTTGCGTCATATCTTTGTAACAATTACTTAAAATCACGCTTGCTTGTAAATAATCGCTTGATAATGATTTTGAAATAAAGTCGAATTATTGCTTTAAATTCTCATAACGCGAATCTTGAGTTTACAAGATGTTTTTTGGAGTGTGTTTTCTCATTTAATATTCTTCCTATCAAAGTCAATTATTTACAATATACATAATAATAGAGTATACCAATTAGCTGTAGTAACCTAATTGATTATTAATGTATAATGCTTATTAATGAATTGTATGGCTCGTGTGGTTTGTGCCTTAAAAACTTCCACTCAAAGCTTTCACCTGAATAAATCAAGATCATGAAGAAAAACAAGCATTAAAGTGACAAAGAATTTATAGCTACAGTCCTTTAATGTCATATTTTTTGTATAGATGTCTATATCCGGAAAACGGGAACCAATGCTCAGCACAGCAGCTTCTTGGACATCATTTTATCTCTCCAAATCTTATGTCGCACAGTTTAAGCAATAACATCACTTCAGATAAGCTTTATGCTAATAAGATCAAGGGAGAAACCAAAGTGGCTGTGATGATGGAGATGAGTCTCTTGATTCGATGCCTATTCCTTTGGGCTACGTTGCGAGAAATTCAAGAGTTCGGAATGAATTTGAAGTGTTGCAAATGCTTAGAAAAAGGAGGTTTGCTTCAGTTGTCAAGTTAACTTTTTACTACAAACATCGTTTAAATAGACGGTAATTTACTCGTGTGAAGGAAATTTGGTACGTGATTTGGAAATGCTTTATATACGCTTAGGTACGTAATATATTGGACGGCTGTCTCTATACAATCTAAAGACTTCGTTTGAATCCGAAAAGTGTACTGTTTAATCGCACAATTACTCAAGAAGAGAAGTTACTTTCTAGATAGAATCATAAAAATATTGTAAGGTAAAAAGAAATTTACTATCCAAAATGAATCAAAATTCTATAACATAATTTTTCAAAGCGGGGCTCATTTTAGACGATACAAATTGCTTGGCTTATTAAGTAATGGTATCTATAAAAACTATTATAAAAAAGTAGATAAACCCTTTTTTTCCACGAAGCCTGTGGAATGGATGCTTTACTTCATGATGAGAGAGTTATATAGTTTAAGGAGGCTGTCGTTCATCATTTGTAAAAGGTAACAAGTAAAAAACGTATAAACGTGTTTAGAGTTGATTTAAATTAGAAGTCAAAAAGGGAGAAGTTGTTTGATATACTTGGATGTTCTAGTTTCTTTTATGGGAAGATAAAATTCGAAAGCAAAGAAATTGGTTCTTGCATATGCGCTTAGAAAATATTCAATCATATATTTTTGGCATGCTCTTTGTCTTCTTAAGCTTCTTTTGACAAATGCATGTCAAACTCATCAACACTTTGTTACGCCACTCGTAATATTCGTGACAATGTATAAGATGTTTATAATTTCCCTATAACTTTGTATCTGCATATTTTTGTGCATGCTCTAATATTTATGACAGATATTATAATTCGTGGATTGATGTAGTAGAAACACTTGAAAGTTGAAAATGAAACTTCAAGCATGACAGAGGAAAAACAAAGACGCCAGGTTGAAGATAGCTTTATGAAATTGAACGTAGTTGAAGCACATAGCGTATGCTAGAGAGTTTTGGATGAGGAGTCGTGGACCAATGATAACACGAATGATTCCAAGCATGTTGACGACGATAAAAGCTCTAGCGAGAACGAAGTTCCAATACAAAAATAATAACACAGAGTCTTCTGAAGATATGTTCAAAACAAATATGGATGAATCACATATACAGTTTGGAAGCACGTTGGCTCACGTAGTATTTAGTAGTGAGAACTGCTGAATATATGCAAAAAGTTAGTTCACGTTCATTCACAGGAAGAAGATTCCATTATTGCATGTACTAATTGTACGTATGTTTAACTATATAAAGTACTGTATTTTATGCTTTTAACCATTGTACTTGTATGTTTAACATTGTACGTATGTTTAACATGAAAAAAGTGTATTTCAATATATATCTATAAAGACTTACTATTTGTTATTTTTCTTTAATTTCTTCAATAAGGTATGATTCAAGTAAACGCTTTTCAACATTTTTTGTTTTCTACTGTTACATTTTTTAGGTGTTTTCTTTAAAAAGTCAACTAATGTCAAGGAAAAAGACTTTGACCTTTGGATGAATTGAAAAGCTCGTTTTGGACTTCGAAGTTCCATTCTATTGAATGGTAGTGTCATAAAGAGAGTTATCCTTCTAAGAATATGTATTTGTCAATATAATTATAGCCATGAATGCCATGATTAAACGACCTTTGTGAAAGGCAGTGAGCGTCATTTTTATGTTATTACATTGGTCGATACGTCGATACACCAAGTATAGAAATTCTGAAATGTGGTAGGTTGCTGACCAAAACGACCGTGGATGTAAATAGCAAAAAAGGGCGGCAAAATTGTCTTATGTTGTCAACTTGGCTATCGCACTATGGCTATGGTTTTTCGTAAAAAATCTCCGAAATTACTACAACAGATTTATTCAATTTGGATTTAGACTTTTATGGTCGAGATAAATGCCTTGGAAAGTTGTTGAAGCAGAAATACCCGAAGAAGAGGCAACAGTAAATCTGTTAAGGTCAGTAACGTACTGAGTTCAAGAAGCTGCATTGCATTCATTCTCGTTGCTGCGCAGTTATAGTCAATAAAAAAGCTGGCAGGTAGTGCGGTTATTATACTGTCTCTTATGCATTTCGTTTTCGTTTTATGCATTTACTTAGGCCAACCGAAGCTTATTGAAGTTAGTATAGTAGTACATTGCTCAGTGGTGGATCCAGGAATTTTTAACGTTGGTCAAAATCAATGGTGCTCGGCATCTGTGGGGGGTATGGGGGAATGCTCCCCCGGAAAATTTTGAAAACTGTAATGACTGAAATGCAATTTCACGCGTTTTAGCAGCCACTACAGGAAATTTACGGACAATTCTTACTTCCCTGAAAGTGCATCACATCTTTAACAAATAATATGAAATAGACAACACTGACACAAAATCGATATCTACAATGGCTATTTAGCTCAATAGCAAAGCTCATCAGCATGGCTAGAAACACAAGAATCACAAGGAAACTATGCAAGTTCAACATGGGCAGCCTCTAGTATTTGAATGATTTGATAATTACATATATGACTCATGCATTTGATAAAGCAAAATAGGTATCTTGTGAAATATGAGTCATTCCCCGTGTGACATGTAAACACAGTTAGTATTTGGGCCATTTCATAATATTATGGCTCATGCATATGCATACAGAAAATATTTTGTGAAAATATGAGTCATTTCTCATGCAACATGGATACACAGTTAGTATTTAAGCAATTTGATAATAATATGGCACATGCATATGTATACAGCAAAATATATTGTGAAACTATCAGTCATTTCATATGCGACATGTAGGTCTACAAAGTTAGTTAACTTTTAGTGAGATTTGTTAATGATATGCCTCATGCAAAAGAATATACACATGGATCTTGATAATAAACAGTTTTTGATGTTATGAAGTCATGCCAACTATAACAAACTTAGTAGCAAATGTTCAACAATACTGATCATTTCACATGTAAATACAAGTTGTTAAACCATTGCAATACTAATTTATATAAACAGTATTATTCTGCAAAATTGTTTACAAATTTTATAAACAATATCTTTCACCACAGCTTCTATGATCACACTTTTGGCCAATTTTTGCATATAGAATATTGATTGCACTGCAATAAAAGGAATGAGCAAATAATAACAAATGTAATTTTTGTGTACCTGGGTGCTGTATAATCTAAGAGGATGAGATTTTGAGTTCAAGAAAGGCAACATGCAACTCTATCGATGTTAATGCAGAAGCTTCTCATTCACTACGGCCAAATACGGCTCATCGTCATTTCAAAAAGTGGCAAGAATTGCCACAGTGTGTACAAATGATTTTTCTATTTCAGACTTAGTGTAATCTCATCTAAAAGAAATATGTATTAATGGTAGCGAAAGCAATGAAAGCAGTTCGAAATTCTTAAATGCCTGTCAGACAAGGAATCAGTGTTTCCATACAAAGTGCTTTGACCCTAGCAGTGACTGGGTCAACTGCTCCACCAATGAAATAGCTCTGTTAAGCAAACCTTGAACATCTTATCAGCAAAACCCTTAAATTTGCCTGCAGATCAGTCATATTTATATAAGTGTGCTGCATTAAAGTGGAAACTCTGACGACTCCCTTCTTCACAATTCTGCATAAAATAAGCAAATTGAAAAGTAGATGTTGAAAATAATTTCATTTGAGAGAAGAATTATTATGCAATATAGTTAAAAAAGATTTTTAGCAGTTTTTACCATGGTCAAGTGATTGGTTTGAAGTACTCTAGATCCTCCATTGATATTACTATTTTTGATGACTTTGACTTTTGTTCCTGTAGGTCAGTCAGTTATTAGCTCCTTAGTGGGACAAATTAGTATTTCCGGTCTTGTAAAAACTCCTTTTCATTGAGGTGTGTGGCAAATGATAAGTTCAGCTTGAAATCAGGTACTTTAGTCATGGGCATGGGTGCAAGAGCTGGGGAGGGGGACACTTGCCTCAAAATTTTGAAAAATTTGCAAAATTTGGGCAAAATAATAAGGAAATTAGGAAAAATTTGTATATTGTGCAGTTGAGATCTTGGGTGCACAATTGAAAGTGAAATGCCTAAGATCTTTTTGAGATCATGTAGACATGTAACTACAAAATTTTTTGTGAAGTAAAAGATGTTTGTATGCCAATATGTTCTTTAGTTTCATTTTGTGAAAATTGCATGTGATTATGAATTAACATAATGATTTAAAAATTTGGGCTACTTAACTATTGCTGTCTGCCAAAAATATCGTAGTTCTTGTACACCTGTGTGAAGTGTAAAAATCACAAGGGTAAATAAACAAATGATACATTTGTGAAACAATACAAACATAATATTTTTCAGCCATTGTGATTTTCCTGAAATAAAGAATTTCCAAAATTATGGCAGAATAATGACATTATTAATTTGTTCTGTTGCCTGAATTGCAAATATAGTGAGAATATTCTCAAACAGCATTGCAGGAGAGACAGTATGACCCAACAACTAACAGTATGCTACAATACAGTATGTTTCCCTTTTTCCGTATTTAATCCGTTGTGCAAGAATTTACATACCTTACCAAAAATTTTTGTTCATCTATTTATTCTATTTTCTCTCCTCATCACCATCACCAACACCCCAAAAATGAAATAATTGTTGCATTTAAAGTCTTCAATAATTCAGTGATGTAAGAAATTAACTGAGTTGCAAGCTGCGAGTATTTTTATAGAAACCATTTGCTATCATTTCATTATAAAATATGGGGATGCTTTGTAAATCATGAGAATATTTGAGCTACGATATAATTGCACGTACCAAACACAAAGATCCAAACTGTTGATTGTCAATTTTGCTCCGTGCCTACATGACCACTAATTTAGCGAAGAATTGTTTCTGGCACTTCAACAACGATTTTATATTAGTATTGGCGTTGTATGATTTTGGGATAGGAATTAGCTACATCGTTACCATTCCGCCTTCGTGCGTTTAACAATTTAGCGAAAAATTGCACTTGACCACATGTTATTTCATTAGCCAGTTGGAGTCTCATCTTAACTGCGGAACTAATGTCTCAACAATGATGGGTTGTAAATTTCCTCTTCACTAGTCACTAAATTTTTTCTCCGATAATCAGCGTAGGAATTGTCCTCGAGTTTTGTTCAGGAAGTGTTTACTGTTCTTAGATAGCTAAAAAACCATCGTTTCTTTCCTTGGCTAGTGTGCTACACCTACATGAAGGGTTGTTTTTTGACATAGATGATGGTAGCTGACTTCGTGAACGACTTTGTTTATGATAGATGCGTGGCTGATTCTTTGATCGAGTTTCTACACTTTTTTGTCTTGGGTTCGTTATCTGTTGGTTACGGGGCTTTTCTTTTAAAAAAAGTTTGGCCGCTTTTCTGTGTTCCACTTATTCCGCAATTGCTTGTATATTGGAAGTGTTAGGGATTTTTTCCTATGATGGACTCTGTATTAGTTGTTATTGTATTAGCCATACCAGTGTTGTTTGTGAATTGTTTGTGGTGTTTTTAAGTTGTTTGGGAACGAAAATATAAAATTATTGACGTTGAATAAAATAATTCTTCCATAAGTATCCCCTGAAGAAATGCGCGCGTGTTTGTTAGCAATGTCATCGTCACTTCGATCGTTCCATTGTAATGAATACTGTTGTTCAGTAGAGGCAATCTATTTCTACGTTGCTGATTATTTTAAGCAAATGCTGAAGACTGTTTCCATGTTGTAACAGCAGAGGAAAGATGCTTGTTATAATTCTTAGTTAATTATATTCAGAAAAATGTAAATGATACGTTTGTGGAAACTAGTATGATTGAACACAAGGACGTAATTTTCGTTTTCTTAGAGAACAACAGAGCTCTGCCTTATACAAAGTCGAGGAGCTTGCCAGATTTGTACCTGACAATGAAGAAGAAAAAGGCGAGCCCTTGGTTTCAAACATCGCTGTGTCTTCCGCGGGAATAGCGTTGTCAATCTTTAATGAAATTTTTATCTTTGATGGAGAGCATTTCACATATGCATCTACTATTTCTTTCGAAAGTTATGTCGAAGTTATGGCATGGTGTCCAAGCTCACAATTTCTCGTTATTGGTGACAATTCGGGAAGCGTTCATTTCTTTTCGTATGTTCTGGGTAGTGTTATACACACAACCACTCTGACCGATAAAACTAAAGAGCAAGTTAGATGTTTCGCCCATTGTGTGTTTAGGAAAAGTGAAAATGAGGAAACTGTGAATTTGACAATTTTATCTTATCACGGATTGGTTTTGGTCTTCAAAAAGCTTCCTTTGCCTGAAATATCAAGAGCACTTGAATTGAACGATCATGCATCGTTTGACGCAATAAAGGAAAACATTGTGATGGAAAGTTTTAGTGTTGCAGATGTTCATCCAAACACATATTTCTGCACTCCAAGTCATAACTTTTTGTGTATTGCTGGGACAGGAGACGTACCAATTACCGTTTGGGACGATCAGATCTTTATTGACATGATCGATAAACACCTTTTGAATAATTGTAAGGTTATAAAATGTGAAGTCACTGCAGATGGGAATTACTTGCTTGTTTTACATGAAGAGTCGACACTAAGTGTTTTTGATGCTCAAGCATTGATAGTTTTATCAACTTATGGCCATGGAGTAAAGGATTTTCTCCTAACATCTGGGTCCGCGTCAGGTGAAAGTTTCAGCCAAGTTGTCGTGTTAGATGAGACCGTCGATGGAAAACGTAAAATCGAAATTTGTCGGTTGCCTGATTTTCAAAATGTATATTCAAAAGAAATTTCTGGGAATTGCTATCTTGGTAATTCAAACTTGCAGGAGAACATACATTATATGGAAGACTGTAACTTCAGGTTAAATAACAAGGACGTCAAAGGGCTGACACTTAAATGTCTTTCGGAAGCATCGCCTGAGCATCGCATTTACAGTTTGGTTCGCAAAAAGAAATTTGATGCAGCAGTACAATTTTCAAAAGTTTTTGGCTTAGATTCAGAGTTTGTTTATAAAGCAAAGGCCAGTTCAATAGTTGCTTCCGTATCTTCAAAGACAAATGAAAATGATTCAGTTGACGAAAAAGTATTGTTGGTGAATAATCTTATAGATGATCTGGAAGAAACCCTTCAAAATTTAGTGAACATTGATTTCATTGCTAAATGCTGTTTAGCAGCTTCTCCACCTAACCTACGCCAAACTCATCGAATATTGTGTATTGCAAAAGATCGTATAAGTAAGGTAGCAAGTACAGAGAGAAACGAACGTAACAGAGTATTAAATGAAGTTCTCTTTACACTAAATCGTTTAGAGACTTTCCAAATGGTTTTTGGCGAGTCTAAATTCTCTTCACCCATATGGCGCAGTTTTTCAAAGGGTGATATGCTGCATAAAGTTACACAAGCACTGAGTGAAGGAAATCTATCGACTGCTGCTATAATTTGGGTGCGCCATCATTTTGAGTTTGAACTTCATTTTACATCGGAGAAGTTACAATCTATCCTGTCGTCTCTTAGAATCGACATTTCATCATCAAGTATAGTGTCATGGTTGAAGCTTTATCTCGTTCCTTTTGTCATCGGTTCAATCAATGATCGTAGAGCGTTATATGTTTTGGCTTCTTGGATAGAACAACGTGTTGTGTCTTTGGAATTATCTGAAATGGAAAATTGGCCCATGAATGGAATTGCTATGGCGCGTGTTTTGTTGGATATCTGCAAAGACAAAGAGTCAAGTTACAGTTATCTTGAGTATCCAACATCTGTCGTTATAAATCAGGATTACGGATCAGCTCTTGTTCGTGTTTCAATGAGCGATAGCCAACCCAATCCAGTATCCTCTTTGGCAAAGTTAATCGAAAATTTGAACGAACTCATGAAACTTAAAGTCAGTTACCAGTGTAAACTTCCATTGGCAGAGTTCACTAACAAAACACCAACAGAAATAATGTTCAAGATGCTAGATTGTGTGATGGTTGTGTCTTTGATTCCCAATGTAATAAACAATCAAATCGCGCAATATGGATTGCAACATGGTTTTTGCGTCGATGAAGTTCTCGTCATGTATATCAATAAAAAAAGAAAGCAAGTTTTTTCATCTGGCACATCAAACACTTTGCACGAAGATAGATTTGTTGAAATTACCAATTGCATCAAAGGAAGAAGCAAAAGGTTGGAAGCTATTCTGTTACTTATGTCTTGGGCTTCTGTTCCTTGGTGTAGTTCAGTTAACGAAATGGTAAATACGGCAATGTTACAAGATCCATCCAACTCTCAACTGATAATGGGATATCACTTGATGGAGATGAAAAAGATGCTTAAGGTGTATGGCATATGTAATGTAGAATTATCTTGTGATCTTCACATGAAAAACGTCATTCGTTACATACTTACGACATCGCATGAGACGGCTTTACAGGATTCCTTACGAATTGTAGAGATTTATCAGTGCATGTCAGTAAACGATGTTTATGTGACAAGACTCAGAAATTTATGCTTGAAGGGTCTTTCAAATGAGTGTGCCACATTGCTGGTTGGAATTGATGAGTTGCATCTCGTGTCTGTTGTTCAGTATTTTCTGAAGTGGATTATACTGGTTGTTGATATTTATGAGGATAATGAGTACGACCGAAATGAGCGGCAGTTGGTCATTGAGGCTGGTATTCACACATTGGAGTTTCTTGAAAATACTGGTCTTGCTACTGATGAACTAAAAACCACTCATAAAACATTGAAAAACATACATGCACTTGAACAAGAGTTCTCAGTTTTCATTTCTTATGGCGAATACCAATACGATGACTTACGACAGAACGCTTTGGATGTCTATCTGGAAAAGTACAATGCATGCTTATTGAAAGTGTTCAAAGCAAACAATGAAAACCAACAGGAAATAGATCAACTTTTTCGATTGGCTAATTTGTTTGGTGTCTCACGTGTTCTTTTGCTGAGTAAGATATTGCTTTTGTACCCAAATAATTTGAACCCTGAGACGAATATCATATTTGCTGAATGGTATAAACTTGGTTTTGGTGAAATATCTTTTGACGACATCATGGCTTTATGTCATTCCCATGTACAACATTGGGTTTCCACAGATGACTGTGTCACAAAGAAATTTGATACAACTCTGCATGAGTTAACGAGCCGTCTTGTTACAAATTGTGAAACTAATCAACTTGATGAATCCTTAGAGCTGTGGAAAATATGTTGGCTTTCAACAATCTTCTTTAAAAGTTGTGATAACGGTGATCTTTGTCTATCGTCGTCAGTTTGCGAAGAAGGTCTTGTTGCGATGTGGAACAAAGCTGGGAGATTCCAGGATAACGGTTTCGTTTTGGACCTCAATACCTCATTTCCTTTATTCGGCAGTTACGTTAAAGCTTCTCTTACGGGCAGTAAGGATCCAAAGAAACACCTCGGGTATCTTTTGGATGTCTGTCGAGATTTAGTTTCACATTTCGAAGAAAACAATCTCCACGAACTAGCATTGCATTGCTCTCTCTTTACACTGCACAAATTTCTTATATTCGTGACACGTGTTGATCATAGTGACCTTGCAATACAAGAAGACGACATGAAGGAGCTTCGTGACATGGCATTACATGGAATTCGGCAAATTACTTCAAAGTTACTGCTCTTTCTTTCCAAAATGGTACGTAGCAGTGCCATTGATCAAAGTTTGATTTTTGCTTTCTTGACTTCAATTCCCGAAGAAGACATTCTTTTGTCTCTGAAAAACGATTTTGCCCTCACCAAAGGACATGACCCATCAAGAGCTGTTGCCGTATTTAATGTGTTTTTGGACTTTGCCAAAGCTTTTTGTAGCGATGAAGTAGTTGCTGAAGCAAACCTTTTGTACTCGGATTCTCTGTGGCTTTTGAAGCTTAAAGACCTGGCAATCAATGACGGAAACCTTTTGATAGGAGAAACAAGAGACACCGAGAACATTCTTAAACTTCTTTTGGAAAAACCTGGCATTGACGTCAGTCTAATTATAGACTTTTGCAACTTGTTTTCCTTGGATGTTTCCGGGGCTGTTCAAACGTACATATCATCCAATTTGGCAATTGTAACACATAACATTTGTGGTGAACAATTCAACCAACTTAAGTACTTTGAAGAAAATTTTGTTAAAGGTGTTGAATATTTAAGAAAGAATTCAAAAGTTTCTCGATTGTTGTGTTTGTTGAAAGAAGTTCTTTTTTTGTTACCAATGTACGATTACGAACGACTTACTATTGTGCTTCACGAGGTTCTTAAAATATCAAGCAGTGATGAAAAGGAAGCAATGGAGAGGCAGCTAGAAGTTTTACGAATTTTGAAAGATTATGCAAGGATATCAAAACCATCTGATTATGAACGACACTTTAAAGAAACCATGTCAGACTTTGGATTCAAAGAACAAGATAATATTCCTAAATACATTGCTACTACTAGACTACCATTTCATCCATTGTTCTATGGAAAACCATGGAAAGTAATATCACTTGAATTAAACGATGAAACAGTTTTGAAACTCCTTCGTCTTTGTCACATTCTGAAAATGCAAGAAGATCAGGTCTATGTCACAGCGGCCCAGAATGTTGTCTCGTGTTCTTTGGATAATGAAGAAGAAAGTCCGACCAGCAATTTTGTAACCAATGGCAACTTCGAAAAAGCAGTTAATCTTCTTACTAAAGTAAAAAATCACGAAGTTTCCGTGAAAACAGGTCTGACGATTATTTCGAAGTGGCCTCAATCGGAAGAAAGAGTAAAAGCAGCTCATTATTTGGTAAATGCCGTTGCAAACTTGAAGACAGTTTGTAAAAGTGATACTATACAACATGTCGATAAAGTCCTGAAGATCTGCAAAGATTTGTACCAAGAAATTTCGATTCAACATGTTCTCCATTGTAATGGTATAACGGACGAAGTCTCTTTAAGTTATAGACGAAAGCCTGCCAAGTTAATTTTTCATCTGTATGAAACATACGGATGTGTTGTAGAAAGTAAGCGACCTGATATTCATAAAATAGCTGACGAAATAGCTGCAGTCAGCAATGTAGATGTAGCTAAAGTCCGCCGTCATATACTTGCTACGTGGCAATCTTCATCATCTTCACGTGGCATGCGAGTGTTGGAAAACTGCACCAAGGAACCACAATTCAAGGATCAAGAAAATCTTCAGCGTGTTGTATATCTTCTTCAAGCAGATTCATTGCAGAAGAATGCTCTTTTCTTGCTTAATTCTGCTTATTGCCAAGGTCCGTCAAATATTACTTACGAAAACCGAGTCAGAGCGATGAAGTTGCTTTTTAACATTGCATCTGAAGAATTAATTGAATTAGTTGCCAATAATTCCATACATCATTTAAAGCAATATATGAAATCATTGTTTTACCTTTCTGAACTTGAAAACTTGCACCTCAGTCAAACTGTTGAGTCATTTCAGCGTTGCAATAAAGAAGGTCTCGTGAAAGGTATTTGGAAGAATCACAAAGATAATCGCAATGCAATACTGTTGATCGCTGATATATGCCTTGATTCAGAGATAACTGAGCCGCAGATTTGGAATAATATCCTTCGTCAGCTTATGCGCCTTGGCTTAACGTCTTACCTGATCAATCTTTTACCACGCCTTATGCAATTTCCGAGTTTGTGGGTCTCATCAAATCTCGTAAAAATATGGACAGAAATTGCTGTTAATTCTTTGCATAACATTATGCCACCTTTGATAACTCAAGATAAAATTTGTTGTCAAAGATCATTAAACTTGTTGCAGAAATGTCCTATAATGATCGAAGTGGTATCCATTTCTCTGTTTGACAGATTGTTAGAACTGGAATTGCATTTACATGCGTTAGCATGTTTGACTTTACTTCCAAAAGAGCTACAGCTGGATAATCTCAGTAGGCTTATGTCTCGTACCACACCAGAAAAAATACTGGACTTACTCACTGAAGAAAAGCAATCAGGACAGTGTTTCGTAGATACAAGCATTTCGCAAGCGCTTATCTTTGAGTACCTTGATTCTTTGCAGAGATACGATTGTGTTCACAATTCTGAACAATGTTATGAGTTTGCGAATTATTTGATCGGTGTAAGGAATTTTCCTAACTTTATCATGGCAATGATCAAGTGCGGCAAACTTGACTCAGCGATGGAGCTGGTACAACATTATGATATGTACAGTTCTCCTCTAGAAACGGGAAGTTTTCATTTCGACGATAAACTTCTTCAACCAGGCTTGAACGTGTTGGTAGTGTTTTTGGAGAAATTTCATTTGCTAGAAGAGTCACTCCCGTTTCTGCCTGAGTTTTCCACACGAAAGTCCTTGGAAGAAAAGCATTCGATTGACGAAGACGGTGACACAAACATCATACCTGACATGGAATTAATGGACTTTTTTTAAGAAAAAAATGCGTTTTTTTTGTATTCTTATACAGTTATACGTGTATATGTATGTATACATAGGTACGTTTTGTTGAAATTATGTTGAGTGAGAGTAAAACGGTTTGCTTTGCTCACGCGAATGTCGCTGTTGATGGTTCCAAAAATTGGGAAAATTCACTTGGGAAATTCGTGCTTATTTGCATCTACGCCTATTTTTGTGGTCAGCGTATATTCGGACATGGCTATACATTCTATCATTTGTTTAAGAATATTTCAATTTGGAAACATAATTTTGTTTGCATTAAGTGTTAAAATAAATTATACCATTAACCATTTGAATACGGAGTGTAATAAGCACGAGGCCCTTGCACAAAACACACAGTGTTCGATAATGCAAGTTACTGCTGACCGATAAGTAAAGCAACACATAAATGAGTCCTTGATTCCCATCGACAAAAAGATCTTTCTTCAAGAAAATAAATCTTCTCTGCTGGGGCAAGCATATAGAGCCCTCTGTAGAAAATGCCCAGGAGTGGAGCCTTTTGGCCTGAAGTATGGTAATAACACATCATTTTATTATATATATTAATCGTAGGAGCTTTTAGTGCGTTCCAAGTATTATATTTGCTTGGAATTTACGCCCTGGAAGTGTCAAGTATTATCTTTAAGTTTTTGGAATCTTTCGTGATATAAGAGCCAAATGAAGGCCGTGTTTGGAATATGAAGTATAGTTGGCTTAAAGTCCTTAATCCATTAGCAAATTAAGCGAGTATCGATAAAATATCCTTTGTAGACTACATTTTTGAAACAGCAACAAAACCAGTTAGATATAGGCTACCTGAATGCGAACCACAGTAATGTTTTGGGAAGGAATTATCGGTAGCGACACCGAGCTAGTTAGATTCGTTCGGAGTTCCGGATGGGGTCAAAATGATGCGGCAACTCATGTGTTGGTTTGTAAAATGTAAATCCATAGTATATAAACCTCACCATATTTAAACCAATAAAGGAGCATACTGAAACGAAAGAGTCGTGCATGCAGATGCAAGATGGAAAACTGTTCAAAATGAAAGATAAACTTTGGAATGTTCAAATGAATGGGATTGAAAATCTCACGTATTTTATTGACAACAGACTTTTTCAAGTCATATCAAAGGGGGCTTGTGTAAATAAAAAATCCATTTCTAAAATATATCACATTTTTATCATAACTTTCTAAATTCTTTCTGTATTTCAACGAAACATATCCTTGGATGGCATTATTATTTAATTTGAAAACTGCCTTGAAGTGCGTGGCTATTTGCCATAACGACAACTATAACCTTGCTACTCGCTAGTTCTAGAAAGAACTGTTGAAAACCAAAATAATGATATATGTTATACATGACACGATGCATTTTGGCAGACTCCTCATCAGATACCACGTAAGCTCTAACGAAAACTAAAAAAATATTAATTCTTTCAGTTGCTATATCAATATATCTGCTACTTCATAGGATGTACAATGTTTTCATATCATACAACGCACTTTATTTATAAAGATTAAAGCCTCCCATATAAACGTGTATAAACCATTAAAGTTTTTCTTATATTCCTTACCAGATCACTTGTGATCATGGTGTGGTAGACACACGATGTTGGTAAATATTTTTTCGTTCATCGAATCAGACTTACACCTGCATGAACATATTTACCTTCGCGATAAAAGTTTCCATTTCCCATAACTAAAAGTTGGTTATGTCTCAAATATTTTATTTCTGCTAAAATTGCAAGAAGTGAAGATTTTTCATCTTTAAAAATTTTCGAGCACGATTGTATACTAGCAATACATGAAAATATGGTTTTTTTTTTCTGTTAATACGTTTGTGAAACGCACCTGATAAACTTGCTAAATCTTGTTGCCTATGCTAGCACAAATACATCTTCGAGAATAGGATATTCCAAAAACAAAATTTTGGCTTTTATTCCAACCATGCGCCCCATATATCGGGTGTACTTTACTCGAGTATGTAGCACATGTAACTTTACGTGATGGAACTGGAGGGACGATTGATGAATGAAAATCGCTCCTAAGTACACAATTTTTGAGACTAGTGTAGACGGCTCAAGCCGTTCAGCTATTTCTGGAGAAGCCAAACGCATTCTTTCATTTTCAAATAGACTTTTACTATTGCAACGTGATGCCTTGAAAAAACATATTTGACGTACAAAAATTATTGCCAAGTAAACACAACAGACAACGGGTGCTTCTTTCTCTTGTCAACAGTTAAGCTTCAACGACATTTCCTGGTACATGATTGGGTACGAATTTTAAAAAACTGACAACAATATTTTCATTTTATTTATACCAATATACTAAAGCATATTATGTACAATTGAACTATTTAAATTTGTACCAAATACTTTTACAAATAAATATAGCGTAGGGTGTGAGCCAATTTTCTTTGCACAACGAATTCAATAAAGTTGTTCGACAATACGAATTAACGAATTAAATTATTTTGTTAAAATAAAGTATTCTGAAATCTCTCTTCAAATAATAAAAATACATAAATCATTGAACAGTCGTACTACCTATCCCCATGAACTGTTCTTTGCAATCGGCTCTGAAAATCGTGATATAGTAAATTTCCGCCACAAGGTACGCGATATAAAAACATATCTAGAGTCATAAGGCATAAAGCTTTGCCATTCATATGAAAGCGTAAAACATCTATGTTTCTGATACTATAGGTACAAGCCATCCATTCTAACCAGTTACGAACATCTTGGCATGACCATTGTCTAGGGTCTGAAACAAATTTATAACGAAATGAAAATATTATGCTTAACAAGAGCAAGACTATCGCGTTCATGAAGCGCATGTATACGTACAATTCCAACTAACACGAAATCTGATTGTAAAAAAATGAGCCTTGACCAAGGCTGAGAAAAGTACCTTCAGGAAAATTTTCATTTATAAAAGCTTCGTGACCAGGTCTTTCTTCTTTTACCATAGTGGGATAAATATTGGAGTCGGCGTTATTTTGCATGGCAAATGATGGTAAAGAGTGTCCTGAATAACAAGCAGCCTTTTATGAAGTTATTATGTAGTGGCTCATATTAGTTGTTGAGAAATAGGAATGCTAACACAGAGTTTACCATAAGTAAATATTTTTCTAGGATGTTACAAAATATATCTATATTTCCAAGGAGTTTCTTTACAATTTAATTGACTAAGTATCTATAGTTGATGTGTCGAGATGAAAAAGCAAACAGGATTCTATTTTTTGACGCACAAAGAAACAATACACATTCGGAAGAGAGATAATACATATAAATCAAGGCGTATAAAACAAACATGCAAGTAGTTACTAACAATTAATCATAAACGTAAGCTGTGGTAATTCCGTTCATCGTTAGTTCGGGAAGGATTTTGAAAATTGATTTTTGTAACCCAATATTCAAAATAGTGATGGAGATTAATTCATAATGTCAACCATTCACCGTACGCTATGATTTCAAAACAAGCATGTATAATCGTGGGGTTTCTATTCCACGCAATGAAACAGATATCTAAATAAGAGCCATATTTATAACTTAAAAAGATTATTCTACGGCACCATTCAACAGTTACAACAAAGTATCGACATACTTCTGTATAATCTTCTTGATAATGGTATTTTACTACTGTTATGAATAGTCGATAGTACTTTAAAACTAAATGAATACCGTCTGTAATAACTTTGCGACAGTTTCAAAAAAGAACGACAAAGTAATGGCGGAAACGATCGAAAACAAACGCAAACGGCACACATCACTTCAAAATAATCGATGAGTGGAATTTTGTCAGAGACAGAATATAACATAACACTTTACCTTGGGGCAGAGCTGCCATGATCTAACTTTTACTCGTTTTCTTTAAGTTGTCTTGAAACTGAAGTCATTTACACTTTTCTTGTCGCGTGAAGTGTATAAGAAATATATTTTGCAACAAAACTACGCAAACATTTCCATAAACTTTAGCACTTTCTATTCGAGTATTATGATTAAGTATTCGTAGTCATTCAAGTCAGAACCAAATGATCCAAATCGGAAACGGTAGAACAATAAACGCCGGAAATTCGTCAGAATGCTATTATAGTGAAGTGGCTTTTTCTCAGCATGTGTAAAGTTTAACAGTGCCGTAGCTGCCTGCTTGTTCTGTTTTGTGCGTTGTAAAATTTAGAAACATTAATCATTTCTTTAGAAATCTATTGATTTTGCTGAATGAGTCAATGAAAATTAGGCACAGCAGGCTCAATGCTGATTATGCCAATTTTGACAAGCAAAGTCATGAAATTGAAAATATAGTGTTACCAAACTGCAAATATTATGAGGAATGTGAAAACGATAGGGGGCAGTTACACCGGAATTGCAAAACTATGAGCTGAAAATGCCTATGGTTATTTCCGGTTGAGGTGTGTCCAGTATGCTCAGCCACCATCTCCAGAATGCTTATGACACGGACGGCATAAATAACTCGTCACCTCAAGACAACAAAGACTTGAATGACTACTTGTATTCTTTCACAAACTTGCTGCATCGTTAAACAGCTAAATTTGGGGTTTGATGCGCTGATTTTCAATGTCGTGCATGTCAATAAAACTCACACCGACTATACATGCCAATAAAGCTTTCTTACTCAAAAAGATACAAGTTACAATACTCGGGCCGTATAGATTGTTATTTCCCCTCGGTCTTAAAAAATATTGCATTAATACGATCTTTTAATCCGGAAAATAAAGTGTATATCTATTGTGTTCACTTGACGTTACTTTCAGTTTGCATTCCTTACTGAAAATGACAACAGTTTTTCGACCAAATGTTACGGATGTGTGAGAAAACATGTTGCACTTTAAATAAAGAAAAGTGCTATTTTGTGTTTGATAACTAGATTGCATTGTGGATTTCTCAGTCAAGATTTCGTCCGTGTTTGATAAAGCTCGTTACGTGCCATAATTTGTTTCTGTATTTAGAACTGTTTCTGATTAATAGAAGTTTGTGTGCAACATTCAAGGCAAAAACTGTCAGAAACTGTTTAACCTTAGGTTGACGTAAATATACAATTCTTTATATCGCTACATATTTTGTTGGTAGTGTTTTCTTTTGTCTCTTTCAATTCTTTTAAGTCTTTGTAACGCATTGTTTATCATTGTCTTACATATATAATATCTTCGGAGACTGTTTATGCTCGCAAGCTTACTTCATGAAATGTTAAATGCGTTTGTCATATAAATAAGATAATTTATGGTCAGCTGCTTCCACAATAATGAATATTCAGTACAGTCACTCATTGAATTTTTTCGTGCCACCTATATCTAATTACGCATGTGATTACCATAGCCTATAAATACTGAAAGCTGATTGGGCGAGTGAAGTTTTTAATACATGGCAAACTTTTCAAAAAAGGTTCGTTGCCATAAGGGCTGTGTAAAAAAGTATTCAACAAAAATTTTTGTTTACTTTCTCCATAAAAATATATTTTTAAAAAAGTTGTCATTTCATTTGAACGACACATTACACCAACTCTACCCACGTGATGGTCTTCTACCAATGTAAAAACATGATGCAAACAACGCGTAACGCATTTAGATGAAATTATTCCATTTGAAAGATACAAAAATACACTGTATGCGAAGTGCAAGATTTTTTCATTTCCTATAGTATATAATATAAAATATTTTGTCATTAAATTGTTACAACCGACTAATATGCAAACTTGTAAAAAGTTACAACGATTCGGCAATAGCATTCGTTATAAATTGTACTACAAGCCACGTTGCAGGACACCAAAGATAATTTCTTCACTTGGCGGGTAGACGTTGTTTCATCTGGATTTGGGAAAAAACATAATCAACGTCAAAGCTTAATGATAATAATTAATTCTAAACGTAATGATTTGTTCAAATGATTGCCAGTCGTAAATGACATGAGACTAAAAATGTACGTTCTCTGACATGATAAAACTGGTGGTGCACGCTTTCTGACAGGACAACACTGAAGATGTACGCTTTCGGACGGGATAATACTGAAGATGTACGCTCTCTCACAGAATAATACTGAAGATGTACGCTCTCTGATATGATAATACTGAAGATGTACGCTGTCTGACAGGATAATACTGAAGGTGTACGCTCTCTGATATGATAATACTGAAGATGTACGCTTTCTCACAGAATACTGAAGATGTACGCTCTCTGATATGATAATACTGAAGATGTACGCTTTCTCACAGAATAATACTGAAGATGTACGCTCTCTGATATGATAATACTGAAGATGTACGCTTTCTCACAGAATAATACTGATGATGTACGCTCTCTGATATGATAATACTGAAGATGTATGCTTTCTGACAGGATAATACTGAAGATCTATGCTCTCTGACAGGATAATACTGAAGATCTATGCTCTCTGACAGGATAATACTGAAGATGTGTACGCTCCTCTGACAGGATAATACTGAAGATGTACGCTCTCAGACTGGACAAAACTGAAGATGTGTACGCTCTCTGACAGGATAATACTGAAGATGTACGCTCTCTGACAGGATAATACTGAAGATGTACGCTCTCTGACGGGACAAAACTGAAGATGTAAACGCTCTCTGACAGGATAATACTGAAGATGTACGCTCTCTGACTGGATAATACTGAAGATGTACGCTCTCTGGCAGGATAACACTGAAGATGTACGCTCTCTGACAGGACAATACTGAAGATGTACGCTCTCTGACAGGATAATACGGAAGATGTACGCTCTCTGACAGGATAATACTGAAGATGTACGCTCTGACAGGATAATACTGAAGATGTACGCTTTCTGACAGGATAATACTGAAGATGTACGCTCTCTGACAGGATAATACTGAAAATGTATGCTCTCTGACAGGATAACACTGAAGATGTACACTTTCTGACAGGATAACACTGAAGATGTATGCTCTTTGACAGGATAATACTGAAGATGTATGCTCTTTGACAGGATAATACTGAAGATGTACGCTATGAACATATTGAAATTTCACCGGACAAAAAATACCTGGGTAATCCTGATGATGTACTACGTGAAATGTACTTGAGGATACGTACCTAATTAAAAATACTGTTAAAACTCCTTAAAAGATTCAAGTTGTTTTCCATTAACGGGTAGAGCACTCCGCCAATCTTCATCTGGATAGTCGTCAAAATTCCTTGTATCACCAGGATGGTGCATTTTTGGTACAATTGGTGGCTATATAAACAAAAAATGAAAAGATCATAATTTGCCAACTAAGCCATGCAAGTGAAAAGAAAATTTGAAATGTAATTAACTATATTCAACAATGGTCGTTTAATGCTCTTCACACGAATAGTCTGTACTCTCAACAGGATTTGGTTGATAACTTAATAACATGATGACTTTAAGACGAGTTTGGGAAAGTGCAAAAACGCTCAACCGAAAAACAATGTTTAATTGTTGCATCATGTGTATTTACAATAACTATATATACACGCACCTGTAATTTTCTTTGAATAACTACTTCCCAGTCTATTCCCCGAAACCATTTATGCGCTTTTACGTCTTCAGCGCCATTCTAAAAATATTAAAATTCACAAGATAAAAATAACACGCAGTTTTCATTACTCAGCATACATTAGAACTTACCTTCAAACATCCCAGTCTTCTTGTTCTATCATGCACTAGTAGTTTCTTTATCAAATCTCTAACATAAAATAGAGTAGCACACTGTTTCATGGTTCGTAACACAATACCATGTACAATGACAGTTTATACCTCAACCCACCCCGCTAACTTTGACTGAAGAAGCCCAGATGTGTGAGTTATAAACACAAGTTGAAATATCAACAAAAGGAATACCAGTTTATTTGATATTTTAATTATACCACGGAAATGGAATACCAGTTTATTGATATTCTTATTTATATAAATTGTTAAGTTTAATTATACCACGGAAAAACATCAGGTTTTAAAATATGCGCCAAAATTCTTTCAAATGAAGCATTCTTTGTAAAATTAGCCTGAGATGGTAAAACGAATGACTGGCAACGATACCGCCATTGCTAAATAGTTGCTTAACATCGCTGCAAAAATAATTCTTATTTAACGTAGCATTTAAGTAGAATAACATGCACATGAAATGTTCAAAACCAATTCTGACCAGAATTTCAACCATGACCCTTTATGTAAAAAGAGAAAGTTGATAAACATACTTTGCAGGAGAAGTATCCATCATCTTTGGCCATTCTACTTTGCCCGCTAAGATTTTCTCATATATTCCAAATGGATTATCATCAAAAAATGGAGGATACCTGTAATAGAAAAAGGAGCTTTTTATAGATATTTTCTTCTACAAATATTTACACAGACCAAAACTTGACACGCCAAAGAAATTGAGATGTTTATGAAATGAGCATCAATATAGGCATTTTTAATGGTATACTATAAAAAATACATAATCAAGCATTAAGAAATTATATCATTTATTCAAAAACATAAAATTCATGATATACATTGCCGATCATAAAGTCATAAAGAACTAATCGTACATAGAAATCATAAATAAAAATTTCAGAAAGAAAGCAAAAAAATTACGATAATTATCTATAGTGGGTCCCTTCTAGCTATAATCATCTTCCTATTCTATCTTCGGCATATGCTGTTAATGTATTATTTATATTTTTTGTCACACGGGCTTGCCAAAGAACTTTTGATGTGGCACACAGTTTCTTTAACATTTGTGGGATGTTACGTGTAGATCATTATTTTAAGAGTCTTTCTCCTTACACAACCTCTTCCACTATACTCGCTCAAAGAAGAAACATGTATTTGTCACGAAATTCGCATTGGAGCATCAGTCACCTGTCCAATCTTTGTCACAATGAGTGTTGGTGAAACTCGTGTTCATATGTTTAGCAGTTGGCGGTTTGCAGCCATCAAGACTTGCCTCTCTCAAACTTTTTTTCTTGAATAGAACAGATATGTCAATATCGTGTTCAATCTGCATCTTGGCTGTAGTCTGTTGACTCGTCTTGAAGTGATTTTTTCTACGTACAATTATTGCCTCAAGCCTCTAAGATGTCATCCATTACGGTCCAGGATCTCACACTCACAGTTATCACACCCCCAGTTTGTCTTTGCTTCCAGCATTCACGTTGCTGTGGTAATCTTCAGATTTTGCCAAACTGATTCTTGGCTTTGAATCCATTAAATCCCATCTCCCATTTCTTTCATTAACAACATAACTTCGTTGGTGACCTTTAATTTATTCGCTATCTTCACACAAGACGTTTAAAATGTCATCAAAAATCATTGTTGTTGCACAGACGGCTATTGGGGTGAACCCTGGTTGTTATCGGTGAAGGCAAGCACAATGCAATTTTACCATTAACTTGATCACCGCCAAGGTAATTAGCTAATGCAACTGACTCATGACAAACTTAGGAGCTCTTTCATCACTGAGATGCTTAGTTTGATGCACTTTCCTAGACCAAAAATTAACCCTTATCCAGATAAAGCGCAACAGTTTCTTCGCCTACATTTTCACTTAAAAAATTGGAAGCAAACATGATAATCAGGTACAGGCTTGTGCTCCGTCAAATCTTCATCTGTTGACATAGCTCTTCCTGCGTGTTTTTTCTTATACAACAATATAAATTTGCTTAAAACAAAGGCAGTTTTTTGTCCGAGGACAAGAAACTGATTCGTTCAATACTTTCTCCTTAATCTATGGACAGTTTATACAACTTCGAATGAAACGATTGTGTGGTTGTTTCTTTATTAAATTTTAGTTGAACACAAAACAATTGACACTCCGTAAAAAGTAAACAATATAACACCGATAACAAACAATAAACTGCTGTTGGTACATGTCAACATAAAAATTGTATACTTTTCCTGGTTTACTTTTAGTATATACATAAACATGTACTTTGTTTTGGTATTTAAATTGCACTTGTGATCTCAGAGGTAAAAAAACCTCAACTTTCTTAATCATTTTGTTCACAAGAAAATTGATGCTTTTCTTTGAGATATGCTTTAAATCAATCGTTAGTTTTTTAATATGGTCCTCAATGCAACGTATTTATGTTTCTGAGATGTACTCGTTGTTAAAGTCATGCGTTAAATTTTCCGTTTCAATGTCTGAGGTATTGATTACGACTTGTTTAACCGATAATTCTTTAATGACTACAAGAATTAGACCATATGCATTTCTACTGATGACACTAGATAAAAAGCCCTGTAGCAAATTTTGAGTATTACTTTTATTGCAATCGATATAATAGTGCTCAAAGTCAATTTGTACAGCATTACGATCGACTAAATGCTAACAATACCGTCTTAAAAAAAGTTGACTCATTGTGTTTAACAATCAGTTGAAATCAATCATCAAGTATTATGTGACTCACTATTGATTCAAACTGAGCGCGCTGTAAAAGTACAAATGCTAGTGCACTAACATATAGCGCGTACGTTACCAGTACATCAGCTGCCAATACTAGAAGGATTTTGCATTGTTTATGAGTTGTGACAGCAAATATAAGTTCAAACTGTTTTGGAAATATAGGTTGAGCTATTAGCAAAGAAAAATACCTCATTGGTAAATGCTAATGAAATATCATGAAAAACATGACAAGAAAATGTATCAACTAACCCAAATAATGACTAAAATTCACCCTCATATATTGTAAAATATAAAATATTTCAAATAAAGTTTTTGTTCCAAACAATTTACATTTTAAGATACTCACCCTATTAACATTTCATATATTAAGACACCAAGCGCCCACCAGTCAACAGCTTTGTTGTGTCCTTTACTTTGTATGATTTCTGGTGCTAAATACTCAGGAGTGCCACATAAAGTCCATGTTCTAATACAATTAACAAATGATTACTCAAATGTTTCAACAGTACATTCAATGTTGTGAAATGAATCCAAGTTATGATAAAAACTTGGATTCATTTCATGGTTAATTTAAAAATAATTTTAACAGTTGTGAAATATAGAATGTACTGAGTAGCTTTTAAAATAGAAACCAAAAATGGAATTGGCTTACTTGTCTTGTACTTCTTTGGCAAACCCAAAGTCTGTTATTTTGATATGTCCATCAATATCAAGAAGAAGATTTTCTGGTTTTAAATCCCGATATACAATATTTACAGAATGCAAATGTGCTAATGCTGAAATAATTTCAACAGTATAAAAAAGTCCAGTTGTATTGCTAAATTTTCCAGCATTTCTTAAATATGAAAAAAGTTCTCCGCCACAAACATACTCAAATACCATGTAAAGGAACTTGCTATCATGATATGTCCATAATCTAAATGAACATTAAACAGGTAATCATTATAATTGAATAACTCTTAATAAAAACAACACTCACGTCAAAAGAATTTTCTTTTTATCTGCTCAAATATAATAAACAGTTTTAGAAGTAAATATAACAAGCTTTTTTATGCAAATAAGAGCTTGCTCCAAAAATGTAATGGATTAGACTGATTTAAATTGATTTGAGATTAAAATGGGACAAGACAAGGCAATATTACTCAGATGATTTACTTAGGTGTACTTTTAATCAAAAATAGTAGCTGCAATGTTTTTTAATGCAAAGTGAAATAGTTAATATTTCTTGTATTTATGTAATGATTACAAAGACAAAAACTTAATTAGGCCAAGCCAAGTAAGTATTTGCCAAATAAGCACCCTTTAGTTTTTAATGGTGATCTCATCACATTAATACAAGAATCAAAGACAATGCTTTCATCCACAGACACATAACAGAATTATTTCTGGAACATATATTTTGAAATTTTACTTTTCTCAAAACATACTATACACATAGTCAATTTTAATCTAACTATGTGTGCATCTAATGATGTTATAGTAGGCAAAAGTTTATATGGTTTTTAATATATTTAATATAATGCCTTAAACTAGGAATGTCCTGGAAAGAACTTTGTTTTAGCAGTAATTATGACCTCATTAAAAGTTTGAAATAGATAATTTGAATTACATTCATGTAACTTATAAATGCAAAATTCTCGACAGTATTTTGCAGTATGATACTAAGATTTAATTGGTGAAAAACGTAATTTTCAGAGAGATGACTCATTCACGACAGTAACTAAACAATAAAGTAAGCTAAAGAATATACTCATTTTTTATCCATCACAGCGTACTTACAGATTAACTACAAATGGATTATCCACTTTCATTAAAATATTTTTCTCATTCTGTACGTGTTCCACTTGCTTCAGTCGAATAATATCAGCTATGCTCATCACTTTTAGTGCAAAATATTCGCCAGTTTTTTTAGTCTTTGCTAAGATGACACGTCCAAATGTTCCTGTACCTGTCAAAATAGAGGCACTCTCACCCTAAACGCAACACGGTCACGAATGTAGCAATTTACACTAAAGATGTAAACGTTTAAGATGTTAGGCCAAACACTTTGGTAAACTGGTTTTGTCAATAAAACCTGTATATGAACTACATACAAAGTAAATACGTACCGAGAGTGGTCGTTAACTCGAAATCATTTAGGTTAAAATCACGATGCTTTGTTTGAATTGCAGTTGTACTGGCCATAATAACTTCCCTGAAGTTTGTAAATTAACTCATTTCTTTATTTCAAATCACATTGTTACACTAACTCACAATACTGATTAACGACAATAATTTCCATCTTTGATTGTATAACACATCTTCCAAAATCCGCAATATAAATTAACTAAATATACAAATGAAGGTAAAATGCTTCAGTCAGATTCTGCTCATGCGCAGTCACGATGGGATTTAAGAGGTAAAGACCTTAAAAGTACTAAATATTGGAAATTGGTTTTCAAATCATTCGAAATATTCTAGTAGAGAGTAACAAATATGTTGTTTGATATTGCGTCGGCTAGTTTGGTCAAATGTGAATTGAATTTTAGTGACTTCCGTGTACTGTAAGCTGTAGCTGCATTTTTTCGGTCAACATGAGTCTCCAGTGAGCACTAAGCTGTAACACTGAGGACTGTGTGCAACACTTTTGTCTGACGAATGAACATTGAATATCATAGCTTTCACGTGCTTTAAGCCTTTAACACCCTCTTTATCTGTCTCTGGAGAAAATGCATCATTTGGTATGATAAGATTTCGCAATTTGGGTCATGGAGGACGAAGTACGTTCGCTCAAGTTTAGTTAAAATGGACCAGCAAACTGCTTATCATCGCACATTAATCGGTTCATTTCTTCTCAATCGACCTTTTAATTGATCGCGTATCGACAATACTTATCCATCACATATTGATTTTTCATGGATCATTATACATTTACCTTTCCTTAACACTTTGACCTTTCATCGACCATACATTGAACTCTTTATGGACTACTTGTTGACCTTTCACCGATCACACTTCAACCTTACATCAACCTCGTGCATCGAACTTATCACCAACCGCATTGACCTTTAATCAACCGCACATGCCATCGGCAGCAGTTTTCCAGTTTTATTTTCAGCTTTGTCATTTGACTTTTTCATTATCCTCATCTTTATTGAGAAATGCTTGAAAAAACAGGATTTTAGATTTTCTTCTACCGATTAGATAAACACATCCTTCAAATTCGGTTAAGTGAAGCCATTAGTTGTTAAATAATTGTAAATTATAATTCAGAGAACACTTTTCTCTTTCTGTCACAAGTTTTATTAGAAGTAAAATAAAAGTATTTACAAATAATTAATGTAGCTAGATTCAACTTTAATGCAGAGAGAAATCTCAAACTTATTTAACATAAACATTTTACCTAAAATGTTTTATAATGGTCAAAATGAGAGTTATTATTCGTCGCTTGCATGTTTTCCTGAAGAGCACTTTTGTCTCGGAGAGATGCGTTGGTCAAGGATTGTTCTACCTGACAAAGAGAAAACGAAAATTTTCCTATAAATAATTACAAAGTCATAGCCAACCAGGATCTTTCTCTCACACAAAACATGTATAAAAAAATCTCGGTGATAAATGGGTTTTAATCTTGAGCTGAATAAAATCACAGAAACAGATGAGACAAATTCATCACGATCAGATGTTCTCGCAAGAAGTGCAGCAAGCATCACCTTATTTATGAAATATGCAGAGAAAAGATCGCTGGGTCTTAGAATGCTGGAGGACACACATGGTAAAGTTTGATAAAATAGTAGGTGCTGCATGGAAACCGTTTTCGTCAATTCAACTCACTCACCACCCCTGTTCGTAGTTCCATTTGAGATACATCCAACTTAAGGCGAGTAAGTGCTTGTTTTATTCGAATTAAAGGCCCTGCAGAAAAAATATAATACATTATTAGTACAATGATTGAGAACGCGTTTTCGTTTGTAAGTCAAACTGTTTCCATACAGTTTATTTTTTTATAATTTGTTAATGTTAAAAAAAAGTTAATAAAAGTATTCTCATAAATAAACCTGAGTCAGTCATGTTAGTTCCTCTTTCATCCATTTGTGCTTTCACCGATTCCAGTTCTTCAGTGATCTTAACACACCACAAGATTATAATTATTATAAGCGAGAAAGTTTTTTATGGTGTAAACACGGGCATGAAATGCGTTCAAAAAAATTAACGTTTTAGCTATTAAAGGTTTTCCAGAAAAACATCGGCGTAAACATTGAGATGGCTAAATGCGAGGTAACTAACTTTCTAGAATGCCGCCAGATAAAATTACTTATTATACAGTACAAATAAGTAATTCAAAGATCAAGTTCATACAAATACTATTACTATAGACATATGACTGCTTACATAGACAAACATATCTTCTAATCCGTGTTCTATCAAGTATGGACTATGTTGCATGCACAGATTGGTGTTTATGATACCTAAAAATGGTAAACTCAAAATTAGGATTACAAAATTACCTGTGCCAATGACTTTGTTAGCTGTGTCACACCTCCACTTCCTTGACGATATCTTTCCTTTGTCTATAAGATGATCAAGAGCAAACATGAATTCAAAATGTTGTTTCCAACTACCAAGGAAATATATCTGCCAGATGCATGATGGTAACACGCACAGAGTAATTTATTGGCTATTATTAGCAACAAAATCCACAAATGGCGTGCTTTGGTGGAAAATTTTTTACCGATAGATAAAATGATTTCTCTATGTATATTTATATTTCTGTTGCAGTTATCGATCGTTATTTGTCAATAATGGATAAAATAATTTAACCAGTATGCAATGAACAACACATTATTTAGCTAACGAACACATTAAACAAGATTTTGTAACTAGCAACAGTATTAGTTATCTGCAGTTTTAAATCTGCCATGTATCTTAGCTCGCTATACATCTTTATAACCTGTGCCAAATCATCTTGCAATCCACGATATTCACTCAATAGTTGATCAAGCTAAACAAATTAAAAATTGAAAATTAAATGGCTAGATTCAACGTGATTTTTTTCCAGCCAGAAAGTCATAAACAGAGATGCTACTCGATTTTAATTCATTGCTAAACTATACATTTTCGTCGTTAAAAAGAAACGAGAAACAAGAAAAATAAGACCATGGTATCTGAGAACATTATTAAGTTTTGCAGTTTTTGAAATCAGATCAACTAGCTAAGGTCAAAAACATACAGGCAGTCTGAAGTATGCTTCTTTTGATAAATTCTTTCCAAGTATTCCTTCTAATGTACTCACCTGATTATTCACATATTTTTCTCTGCTACTGATTTTCTCAAGAGTTTTAGATATCTCAGACTGCAACTTATCCAAATATCCCTATACGAACACGAAAAAGTACGTAGTCATGCGATTGTTAAAGTCACAATGGTTACATCTTATAGCTACTTACTTTAGTTTCAGATAAGGTTGTTTTTATTCCTTCGCTGTGCTGCTGCATTTGTTCATGATGATTCCGCCAATCCTTACGTTGGATGTAAAAAGAACAGTCACCAAGGAAACTTAATGCAACCAAAGCCGTAGCAAGCTCAATATTTGGGGGGGGGGAGGTATTCATAAACAATACGGAATCCCATTACCTTAATATCACCGCGAATATGAACCTTCAACATTGGCAACACTCTCTCCACTTCTAGTTTCCACTCTGCAGCATCCACAGTTGACTCCAACACGGAATCAGGCTTTCTACTGTCTTCTTGACGCTGCATCAAACAGAACTATGCATTTCTCTCAAAAATACTAAGTGTAAATGGTGCAAGTTTTATCGCATGAGTAAAAATCAAAGCCAGACTTCAACATATACCAAACCGATATACTCTAGAATTTTTTGAGTCACAGCAAAATAAAGACGTACGGTTGTTTGGTTTTTAAGGGCCTCTAAATCCATGTAAACTTCATCGTCTTCTGCCTCTTCCTCCTCCTAACAAAAATCATCCATTTTATATTATAAAGACAATGTTTCTCGGCACAAAAATCAGTTTGTAGCTACCATGAACATACAAACATTTCTTCTTCCACTTTGTTGACCGTAACTTCAGCATCATCATCTCCAATTGCTTCTTCTTCGACTTCATCTTCAGGAATAATTGGTCTAAAAAATGCCAGGTGTAACGCGCCGCTATATATGTCACATGAACGCTGAGTAATTTTTAAGAAAAACCTTTTCCAAGTGAACTGCTTTATCTTCAAGGCTTCATCCACCAAGCGATCAAGAAGATAGCATACCTGGCATAATTTTTTGAAAGAGTTTAATCCAAGCACAATCACAAGCAATTGACGTGTAAAGAATGAAAGCAATTAAAGCTGAAAGCAGAAAAGAATTAAAAAAGATGAGATAGTAACATAAAACAAACATTTGGCCACAAAAAATCAAAACTTGCAAATGTATTTATAAATGCATGTTATAATTATATAATCCGCAGAAGACGACGATTTCAAAGGGACCATTTCATATATGAATTGCACCCTCCCCAATTTATCAACCTTCCTCGGCCATTCTCGGCATAAATTTCATGAGAGACATTTACGTAAATGAAAGAAGTTGTAAGATTGAGTAACTTTTGTCAAATCAACAAAGTGTATGCAAAGGTTTTATTTTTACGATGGAAAAGCGCATTGCCTCTTTCACGGCTGAAAGCATTGCAGCAACAGCTAGGAAAATTTTCAAAAATTATTTGCTGGAAATATTTTTGTAACTTGCATTATATTTTCTTAAAAAAATAGAGCAGATATAGAATACACGCACGTCACTTACGCGTATATCATTAAAACAAAAGTCAGACTACAATGTAGTCTTACAATAAACAATAAAATAAACAATTTTTGAATTTACTAACAAATTTATCAATGGAATTTTATTGCATGAAATTCTCACATTGGCAGAAAATTTCTGTTTTTGAAAGTTTGCTGAAAGGAAGTAAAGTATTTTATCTAGACCATGCCTCGTAAATTATTTGCGAATGCATCATGTATGGAAATGATGAAACGTATGTACGTTGTGAAGGCATTACTATGTACCTAGTGACGGCAGGTGGCTACCTACACGAAGACATTACTACGTACTCATATGTACGTACCTACGTGACGGCAGGTGGCTACCTACACGAAGACATTACTACGTACTCATATGTACGTACCTACGTGACGGCAGGTGGCTACCTACATGAAGGCATTACTACGTAACCATATGTACGTACCTACGTGACGGCAGGTGGCTACCTACATGAAGGCATTACTACGTAACCATATGTACGTACCTACGTGACGGCAGGTGGCTACCTACATGAAGGCATTACTACGTAACCATATGTACGTACCTACGTGACGGCAGGTGGCTACCTACACGAAGACATTACTACGTAACCATATGTACGTACCTACGTGACGGCAGGTGGCTACCTACACGAAGGAATTACTACGTACCTATATGTACGTACCTACGTGACGGCAGGTGGCTACCTACATGAAGACATTACTACGTACCTATATGTACGTACCTACGTGACGGCAGGTGGCTACCTACATGAAGGCATTACTACGTAACCATATGTACGTACCTACGTGACGGCAGGTGGCTACCTACATGAAGACATTACTACGTACCTATATGTACGTACCTACGTGACGGCAGGTGGCTACCTACATGAAGACATTACTACGTACCTATATGTACGTACCTACGTGACGGCAGGTGGCTACCTACATGAAGGCATTACTACGTAACCATATGTACGTACCTACGTGACGGCAGGTGGCTACCTACATGAAGACATTACTACGTACCTATATGTACGTACCTACGTGATGGCAGGTGGCTACCTACATGAAGGCATTACTACGTAACCATATGTACGTACCTACGTGACGGCAGGTGGCTACCTACATGAAGACATTACTACCATCACAACCATAATTACTTACTACACGAACGAAGATGGCTACCTACACGAAGGCAGATGGCTACCTAAGCATTCTATAGTTTAGTGTGGAAAATACTTAAACAAACAGATTGTTCAATTAGTTGAGGTATGTAGAAAAAATCAAACCAGTGACGATTGTCATATGTCAGCCTTAGTTCGAACAACACAGCTAAGGCTGGTTAAACTACGAAGTAAACTAATCAAAAAATGAAAATTCACCAACTTTAATGATTATTGGTGCAAAAACAATCATAGAAAATAAAAAAGAAATGTGAAATGATTATCACTATATTTATTACTGATTTTGAACATCATAATAAAGGTGCTTGCTTAAAGTTGTGGTCACCAATTGAAAAGAGCACAAGTTGAATAAATAAAGAGGTTCTACTGTGCCAGTCATGAATACAAGTTAGTACAGTTATATTAAACGAGAACAATAAAATGATACAGTAAACTGCAACATTTTTTTATGCTTTTTTTCTCAAAAATTACCTGTTCCCCCGATCCACTCTTTAATTTTGAAGGAGGAAAATCTGTGTCTATACCCTGTTTGTTTACAAATAATATTGATTACAGTGGTAAATAAGAAAAAACTCAGTAGCTAGCATGATTTCAAAAAAGAAGAGCTTTGAGGTGTACAGTTTACACCTTTGCATAATTTTACTTCAATATAATGTTACATTTTTCAAGGCCTTTCAGCCACATTTTGATAAAATTCATTGATATAATTTATGTTCTGTCCATGCTTACAAACTCAAAATAATAGACAATTATGGTTGCTCATGAGTATTTCACAATGGTACTCACCATTTGTTTACACTCGTCTATTATGCTTGATACTGTCGCATTTGGATCATCAAACTGTCCAATATTAAAAAAGTAAAACAAAAACAAATAAATATAAACTCCAAGATCTTTTTTTGGCATGGAAATTTAATAAGGCTTGATATTTTGAAATGAACCATAACTTTTAATCCTGCTGTCTAAATTTTAAAACATTACAATTATTCATTTCTATAGTGAACTCTAGTTTTCACAGAGAGTAAACAAAGAAATACTTACATAGCAGGACTAAATAAATATGTTGGCTACACCAGTGGTTGTATGTTATGCATTTTCAGGATATTAATGAATGCATTATAGTTGTGCATTATCTATGGCATATTGTGGTATTTGGTGTTCTTTAAGTCATGTTAATAATTACCTCTTGGGGATAATCTAAGTTTCGGTTACAAAGGTTTAAAAGCCATGTAGCAAGTGAGGTAAAGGTGTGGAATTTTTCACCAGAATTAGTCCCGAGAGCAAAATAATGACTAAAATAAAAATAGATGGACATTGTGACATACAAACGATACAATACTACATTATCGTCAACTTCAACCAAAATAATTGTATAATGCACAACATAATTACCGCGAGAGAAACCGAAAACCCATGTTCCGACAAAAACCGTTCTCATAATCAAGCAGTTTTAACTTATCAAGCATTTCTTCCATGACAGCAACAGTTAGCATGTACAGAGAGTTCCCGTCTATCGACAAGGCATCACGGCCATCACTTCCTCTTCTCATTTCACTGTCCATTATAATATTTATCACAATCTACATAACCGTTTAGTCTGTAAAAACATGCAAATTGGTCATAGCAGCTTATATTTAAACAAAAAGATTTGAAAAATCGCTTAAAATCATTTCAAGTTTTCCCTAGTAACTGTTGACAAGCATAACAATTTTTTGCCTTATTTCTTATTCAAATTCATGATAAAATCATTGTAGTGCACGTCATGTAAGACAACTGAATATGTAAGACGAACTGCCGAGTTGTCACAGTACAAGTCGGAGCCTCTACTAGTACGTACACCCACCAGGTCCAGGTGGTGGTCCCAGGCGATCCCGAGGGTGTCCACTTTCAGAAGAATTTACTGTATAGGTCAGTAGCAACCAGGAGAGGGGTCTACGAGATAATAAATTGCGTTTTAAGTTCTCTGGATTATTCGGTGACTATAATCCAGATACTATTTCAAGAAGTACTCTTTTGAATAAGTTGAAACAGTATGGGTTGCGTCGACGCAGGAATGTTGTTAATGAAGATCGTGTCAGAGAATATATTTTACGTGAACTCGATGAATGCGGTAATATGTTAGGATAATATTGAGCTATTTGGAGGCGTTTGTAATCTAAGTATAACGTTCAAGTACGTCTTCGGTTATTCAAACAAAGCTCAAGTAAATCGACCCTGAAGCATTGAGACTTTAAGTCTTCAACAAGCAAACAGATTAATAAAAAGAAGGTATTTGAATCCAGCACCTAAAACATGGCACGACGATGGGTATAATAAACTGAAGCTGTAGGGCTTTGCAATTCAAAATTATCAAAAATAATAATCAAAATTATCGGCCATCTGATTATTAAAATCAAAATTATCGGCTATCCAATAAATATATTCGGAATAATCAGCTATCCAATAAATATAATCAAAATTATCGGCTCTCAGATAATTACAAAAAATTATCGGCTATCCGATAGATATAATCAAAATTATCGCCATCGACTAAATATAATCAAAATTATCGGCTATGGGATAAATACTATCAAAAGTCTCGGCTATTGGATATTTGTAATCAAAATTATCGGCTACCTGATAAATGAAATTATCGGCTATCAAATATTATTATAATTTTTACTAACAGATATTATCTGGAAAAGTGCTATTCGAACAAAATCAGACTTGATTTAGTAAAGAAACTTGATGTACCTGAATCTTGCCAGTCAGCATTTTTGAATTAGCGCAGTGAGGAGACTTGGACAGAAAAACGCAACTCCATTTTGTTATTTCACATTGTGTGCTTTATCTTTTTTCTATTTAGAAAATCGTTATGTTTTTGTGGATATCTATCACAGCTTTAGCACCGAACGATATATACGCTCCATACAGTTCAGTAAAAGAAGATCTTCGTATTTGGACGACAGCTGAACGAGCGTTTTTCTGAACATTTAAATGGTTTATCTGGGGTCATTTATAGTTTTGCTCATATTTTCCTGTCAATATAACTATGCAGGTAATTTTTTTCCTTCGATAAAATCACCCATAAGCTATGATATTTGACGCGCAGAAATTCAGCAAGAACTGTCTCATTGTTATAAATTACATATTTTTTCTCCACAATAGGTTGAATCAAAAACATTTTAGCTGCCAAATTTTGGATTCCTTTGAGCCGCATAAATTCTGCTGCTTTCCTTATGCATGATTACGACGTGATTACTGCCTTGCAATACAACGTTTAAACTCCTATTTATTTCACTTGGTTTACATGATTTGTAGATAGGAGATTAAAACTTTGCATGATTTCAGTTCAACTTTCGTAGTTCATTAACCCTTCATGTGGCAATCACTAAACTAAAGGAGAATCAACCTTTGAAAAAATTCGCCAAGAAAAGGGTTTCAATATATTATTGTTTTACGCGTGACATATTACCTAGCTTTGTTGGCTCTGACATATTGCATCGTATTCTTTCTCGCTTTTTTTTTCTGGAGCTGCCTTTTGCAAATATGGAAATTCTGGTTTGGAAGAAAATGGGAAAGCGGAAATAGAACCCATTTCTCCGGAGGAAAGACTTGGTATATGCCTTTACAGATTGGGACGAGGAGATTACTTTTACACCATCGCTGAAATGGCAGGAAGAGGAGTATCAACGGTGAGCACCATTGTGCAGCAGGTATGTCAACTTCTCGTTGAATACTTATGGAATGAAATCATTTCAAAAAACATGCCGAAATGTCAGACTGATTTCAAGAAAAAAATCGTGGACATGGAAGAATTATGGCAATTTCCCTGTATCTGGGATGCTTTGGACGGTTGTCATATTCCTATAAAATGCCTCCCCCCGGTGGTCTTCAAGCGTGCAAAGAATATCATAATTACAAGAATTTTTATTCAATTGTTTTAATGGCCTTGGTCGATTCTACTTCGCCTTCGATGCTCTCACAAGAGGACAGTCGAAATGAACGTATGCTCGCCCGAAAAGATGTACTCCTACAAATTTACTGATCGACTTCCCTCACTCCCAATCTTTTCACGAAAACATGCATCGCAACGAGAAACCGCTCGTTCTGCTTTCCAACCAACACTCTCTTCGTCGTCTTCAAAAATAGAGCACCTTGTAGATAAAAATTTTTTGCACTTTAAACAAGTGTATTTTGTTAAACTTGTGCACGAAATACAAGGGCCATTACCATCACTCGCCGCCGCCATGTTTTTACAACTTTGCGCATGACATTAAGCATGGAAATAATTGATTTTTGCTTAGAAATATCTTAAAATAAATTATGCATTAAATTTGGCTCATGTAAAATGCGACGTTTGAATCAACATCGAATTTTCGTCGAATATTCGACTAACTCAGTCGAATATGCGAGTAAAGTCGCATTAAATTAAAATCCGTCGAATTTAATTGATTCAAACGTCGCATTTTACATGCACATAATTCTCGCATTTGATTCGGCGCATGTTAAATGCGACGTTTGAACTGGGCCTTACTATCACAAGGGATTGCTGTCTCTCCCCTCCCCGAGTAGGCAAAAACTGCCATTTGCAAAATGTATTGGGTGTTTTCCTTCCTTTATCATCTGCCATAAACGACACAAGACCAAATGGAAAAACAAGCGGAATAATTGGACGAGCAGTTTTCCAAAGTTCATTTTTACAAAAATTTGTATGCTAAAGGCAAGCGGTAGCAAAGCAATTGCTTTATTTAAATTATTGATCTTTACATGTATATGTTGCAGTTGACATGAAAGTTTGAACTCAGCCAATAACCAATTAAATCATGTTAACTGGAGCTTAAAGGATGTTTTCTGTATTTTGTTCAATTTGTTGCCAACCAGCACAAGATCAATACATCCATTAACACCAACAATTATATGGTGTCATATATGTATCTCTCAGTCTCCCAGTGTTTGTGTGTAAGTATATTATTTGATTTCATCTGGATTCATGTTACTCAGTTGTTTTCAGCATGGAAACACTTTTATTGCACATATAAACTTGAATGGTACAATCCATGTTCCGGTCATTATTTATGGCACCATTAGCATTCTATTTACAAACATACATACAGTGATTATGGGCATGGAATTGATTAGTTGTATAGGACTGATTACACATTACGTTAAACAAAGGGGAATGGGAATGCACTGCTATATAATTGCATGTCACGCGCTCGGAAAGCCGACGGCAAGCTCGAGCGAGCATAAGTATATCCACTTCCGGTGCTTTACTAGAAGATTATAGAGACGTCCTCGCAAATTTAACATTAAATTCATTGCTATTTTGAATGAAAACCGTTTTTATTAGATAAATACTATATCTTCATTTGTTGTCCAAACGCTTTGTGAAGAGTAAAATCGTCGTTCACGGATAAATCGAATGAAATTTTCTTCTGTAAATGAACAGAGTCAACAGAGAGATGATCAAATGAGTTTAACATGTCATAGCAAAACTTCACGATAGTTCATTAGTTGAGTTTTCTTGGTAAAATTTATGATTCGTCTAAAACTCTTGTGGACGTTGTGGTGCAGTATCTATGAAGCCGAAAGACTTATTGTAGTATGATATGTGCGCGTCATTCTATTCCAAGGTCATGTTGTTATGAAATTGATAGATACTCTTCCATTATAGGCTCTACTACAACTCTCAGTTCGGTACTTTTCGTGGCCATCACATCACATATACGTACATATCTTAAAACGAAAATCATTTGAGATGCTCAAGCAGTTATACTACATAAAACATTTCTTGGCTCTGTGACTGTAAAGTCACTATTGAGAGCTTTTACTTATTTATTGTCTACTTGTAATAACACATTAAATGTACTCTTATCCACCATGCGGTCAATAAAATTTTCGTGACGTTAAAATTTCCGATGATAACATAAAAGCACATTGCTTTTCTAACCGAGTGACTCGCCTTGATGTAAATCAGCAACCGTTGATAAAGTCATATAAATACTAACCTCTGATTTGTCAGATTTTGCATGGTCTTTAATTCGTGTACAAAGGCATCTGTCAATCTTCCCGATTTATTCTAATTAGATAGTGCCTTTTTAAGAACGAGTGGGCGAAGACCTTATGTTAATACCAAAGAACTTATGTATGTATGGAACCATGAATTCTCAGCTCTATTTTATTATTTTAACGTTTCTATTACATAGCCTTGGATGTCTTACAGTACCTACTGAAAAGAAAGCGCTACTAGGAAATGAAAACATCTCCATTTATGCATTCGATGCGTGTCGACTACAGTATGAATCGCTCACAAAAGAACAATATGCAAGATGTAGGTATATAATATGTGAAAATCTTTGAAGCAGTATTTTTTCTCCAACATCATTCTATACATTCAAAAAATATTAATAATATTTTATAAATGCTAACATGAAGACGGCAAAATATCTACATGAGGTGTGTCAATAAGTGCTAAAACAATCCCTTTAATAATGCCTTCAACTTCAGAATCATCATTTTGTTAATAATAGGTTGACTAAGCTTATTACGAGTAATATTTTTAGTGAAAATCCTTAATCATGCTTTTCATTTCTCAACTTAATAAGCATATGATATAAAACAATATCTGCATGTAAACCTTCCACTCACTGACCTCCTAACTGCCATGAACAGCAAGCTTCCAAGCGAATCACGGAGTCCCGCGCTAGTGACCGGTATGGCCAGTTTAAAAGGTGAAAGGCTTACTCATTTTTGTTTCTTCCTTACACTTCTTTCCTCAACTTTCCAGCGAGAACTGAGAGTTCGAGTAAGATGTTAACCCGAACAAAGCAATATGATACGTTCACGACTTACCATACTAAAGAAAGAAACTATGCGCTTATACTGAAGCAGTTAACGAGGATGCTCTTATCAAAAGGAAGCCTTATTCTTTCAAGTCCAATATACATTTTTTGTGTTTGCTCGTAGTAATGGTTTCAAGAGTTGACAGACAAAGTTCATTAGCTATGAGATGCCTCAAACAACCATTCGTACTTTTCCCATCAATTTAACCTTTCTTATTTTATTCAATAGATGTGGATGCGAGTGGTAAACAGGAAAGTGGGGTTTATGGTGGTAACACTTTATGGTATGGATCATTTAGTGAATGCGACAAATTACCTGACTCCCGTTATTGTTGGACGATGTTTCCTGGAAATATAACTCTTTTCAAAAATTACGATAAGGTATAGATAAGTTCTGTATGATAACAATAAGTAATTCTTGCGATCGACCAAAAGTACATTTAAAGTGGAAATATCGTGCACCACATAAGGTTTACATTACTGATACAGAAGCGACCCAACTTTCTTCATATGAAAGATCATGTAATCGAAATTGCGAGTGTTGTTAGAACGGTTCTGATTTTAACAGGATTTTTCAAGGTTGAAATTTCAAGTTGTAACAGCTAGTATAAATTTTCATGCCTTGCACTCATTGTATAAATGTATAAATAAACAACCGAGTGATTTCTATTTTCTACTTTAAATATTTCAGACTTATCTCATTGAGTGGGGTGTTTGTGTGCCAAAATCTTGTACAAAGAACATCATACGAAAAGACTTTTCGTATTTTTTTCACAATGGTAAGAAGGAAAGTCTTTCTTTCACACCAAGAACTCGTTAATTTTTTTTATAATATATGGGACGGCCATATGATGCGACAAAGAAATCCGATAAATTTTAACTCAACTCAAAGGTTTATATAGCTATTTTTAGTTTCAGTTGTTGTGTTGTGCCAATAATTACGGTAAATTTTATTCTCGTACTTTAGAGGCCATAAAATGACTTGCCTATAATTACATTAAAAACATTTTCTAACAATTATTTCTTTTTTACATGTCAATTATTTCAAACATTGTAAAGTATTTTACTCTCGTTTGTGCGTACTTCCTGTATATTCTGCATATATATTTCTGACAGGCAATTTATTATTTCATATTTTAGTTTCAGGTATCAATTCAGTAAAACCCTTTACAAAATATGTCCAAGTTCAATGTTCTGAGACTCCAGAATATACAGCATCCGTCATTCTGACAATGTAAGCATTGTGCTACAAATTATTGTTTTAAAATCATAATCTCAAGATGTCTTGTTTCTTCGGAATTTGTTTTATATTATTGTTTTAAAATCATAACTTCCCAATATTATGGAAAACAAGAATATATAGTGTTTGTCTATTCTCACTTTAGTATGTATGTTTTTACCATTTCGATCAAACATTACAAAAATTTGTTTTCTTCTCATCTCATAAACATTCTTCATTTCGGCTTTTTATTTGAATGGTATATAAACACATAGAAATTCTTTAGGAAGAGTTTAATTCTTGTGTTCAGTTTTAAATTTAGTCTTTGAAGGTAAATGTTTAGTAAAAAATAAGTCTTTGAGAAAACAGTTGTTTTACTGTCTTTAAGTTTATTTTTTAAGAATACTTTGTGGAATTTTGGTTGGCTTGTCTCTCTTGGCGACGACAATAGAGATTTTTCAGTCATTAAAACATGCCAACAACGACGACAAAATCGTTGACGATGGTGGTTTGCATATCTCCATGGATAAAGAGACAAATGAGAAAACACCTTTACTGCCAAACGTGAACAAAAAGGCTAATGAAAATGAAGGTATAAAACATTTTTATGGTACTATAATGTATAGTTGTGATCATTGATGTACGTTTTCTTTTTAGGAACGTTTATTTATAAAATTCTTCAATCTTTCTCAATTGCCAAAAATGTCAAATCGATCATGAACACAAATGTTGGACAAAGTGATTTGACGTACCTTCATGGAATTCGAGTTTTATCTCTGTTTTGGATTATTCTGTTCCACGCCATTATGTTCACTCGTATTTGGCCTTTGGGTTCGTTGATCTTATTGAATTGATTTATCAGGAGATGGCGGATGATTGATAATTGGGGATTGGGGAAGGTCATATTCGTACCTACATTTAGTTTGTATGATACGCAATCACAATTTATTTCAATAAAATAAAGTAGAATTCTTCACATATGTATATTAGCCCCCCACCCCTCAAATTATCAGTCTCTACCATCGTCCTTTTCTATCTATCCACTTTATAGTTCTATTATAAAAACGATTTTCAAAAAACAAACCAGGTTTCGATATAAAACTGAACGTTATGACAGTTTCCAAACTAAAGAAAATAATAAGAAAAATCATAATTATTTAGTCGAAACATTGCCTTCTAAAAAATGTTTATGACAAGTAACAGAACCAAAGTTTTTGAAGCAAAGTATTGCTCATGGTTCTTTTATCATTGTTTGTTATTGGATATCTTTATAGACAACCCAAATGATGTTATGAGATTAAAAAGAAAATTAGCTCCAATATTCTTACATCAAGCTTATGGAGTAGATACGTTTTTTGTCTTAAGGTAAAATCTAAAGATACTTTGCAGTTACATTTTTAACAAAATTTGTCATCTTGCTACTCAGACTGGGTTTAAAATAGCATTGATCTTTGCATTCAATGGCTCATGTCACCGATTTGCAAGAAGACAGTATGATCGGCATGTCATACTTAAGCAAATAAAAATCTTCCCTGGATAGTGCCACGAGTAGTTAGTGAAAAATCAATGATGACCTTGCTGTGAATAGATTGAAAAATGATATACTTTTATCCTTTTGCCAGTTGTTCATTTTTGTGTTGAATTTAGACTCAATTCAGCCATCTTCCGTGTGTTAAATTTTAATCCTTTGTCTGATACTGATTACGCCATTTAATTATGTGTTGCAGCCTTTTTTTTAATAAAATTGAGTATTTAACAAAACATCCCACCAGATTAGTCAACATTTTGAATCATCAACAAATATTTTCAATCTTATTATTGCAGTGGACTTCTTGCAATATACGTCAACATTAACAAAAGAATAAAGAATAAAGGAAAAACCAATTGGTTTAAATTTTATTTTCATCGATTTTGGAGGTGAGTTGCTTTGCTGGAAATGACCAATGATCAATACTTATTGATAATCATTACGCAGCAGCTAAGTAAGTTTTAAATTTCTTTTTCAGTTGAAATGATTTTTCATAATTTCACTTCAGACTCACACCACTATATATGTTTGTCATATTGCTTGTTACGAAGTTAAAACCATTTTGGGGGAGTGGTCCATTGTGGTTTCTTGCAGCTGATACTTCCGCTTGCAGTGAAAATTGGTGGAAAAATCTTCTCTACATTAATAATTATTATATAAAAAATGTATGTTTATTTTTTATCTAAATTTGCAAAGACACTGCCAAATTTGTGATATATATTGTCTTTAACCATTTATTTGTCACTGTTTTTTTACTGTTTACTTTACAAGGCATGCATTGGTCATGTGGCTTTTTGATCAAATATGATAATCACTATTCCTTATTTATTTTATATTATATCAAACAATACAATTTTAAAAGTAATTTTTATAAACAGTAGGATTTAAGATTATTTTAATTGGAAAAACACTTTTGATGAACGCAACATAAGACCATATTTTCATGTAATCAGCAATAGCAAAAATTTTGTTCTTTCTGCACTTTTTAATTTCTAAGATTGTTGTTTTCGGTTTTCTTTTAAAGATATGCATTATTCAATCATGGCAGTTGTCTGTTGATATGCAACTTTACTGCGTCACTCCTATCTTTCTTCTTATTGGATACCGGTAGGCTACACGTGACCTATATTATTTTGTGAGTTTTGTCTGATGGTTTATTTCAGCTTTTCACGAAAAAGATTGCTCTTCTAATTGCTATATTAGTGTTTTATGTGCAATTTATTGAACTTGTTATGTCAATGGGGAGCTCATTTAATAGTATTTACGTTTGAATAACTTTCACAAGACCATGAAAAAATCGTAAAAATGCATTTAATTAAGTTATAACGATTGTTAAATAATATGAATGCAAACAATGATTTTTGACAAGTGTTTCAACTTGATTAGGTAGCACCAGTATAACCAATCTTGCACAATAATGAAGTTGGGCTTGGTTTACATCGCAAGTTGCTATGAAATGCTGCATTCTATATTCATTAAATGGGCTTACAATTATTTTTACTTTTAGATATGGCTTACGCGCAATCTTTGCCGCTTCCAGCGTTTGTATTCTTGGTAGCATGATCACTACTTTTTGCATAGCAGCAACCAAACATATATTTCCGATAGGCGATTGGTATTCCTCTTATAGATCTAACATGTAAGTGGTTCAGCTTTAGAGTTCTTTTACGATAAAAGAAAGTTTATGTATAGTATTGAATTCATTCATAATATTTAGAACTTCTTTAAATACATTTTATAATAATAACGTAACAATCAACATTTACATACAAAATACAACAATGTACAATATACGCTATCGAGAAATAATAAAAAGCGAATAATTAGTGTTCATTGGTTGTCTGGATGACCCAATATGAAAAGCTATTCACATTATGTAAATACTTACTGAACTACCTTCAATCCTGAATGTCTACAGAAAATGAATTTTCTCATCATCATATCTTCATCATACTACCATCTATACATATTACCTTCATATTTATACATTTACTTTTACTGATTAAATAAAACTTTAACATAAACAACGTTAGTATGTATACTCCATTAACATAACTATTCCATGCACTTAACAGATTTTTCCACCCAAAAGATGAAGTTCTACGCTTGCACACTACATATTTTGATACCTACTTTAAAACCTATTGTCGAGTTCCACCTTATGCGATGGGAATGGTTCTTGGATATTATCTGCACAAATATCAATCTTACAATGCCAAACTTTCTTTGGTAAGTAACTTTTTAAAATTTAATTATTGTGTAATTGTCCATGGTAGATGCAGATCAGACAAAAATTAACTGGCAAATTAGAGGCTCGATCTTGTTTTCTTGTATGCTCTCATAGCAAAAACGTCATATCGTTTTAAACTGTGCGCTTTATTATTTTTGATTTAGAAAGTTGTTATAATGCTATGGATGTGTACCATTGCCTTGGCACTGACCGATATATATTCTCCATACAGTGCTATAAAAGAAGATCCTCGTATTTGGTCGACAGCTGAACGAGCATTTTTCTGGGCTTTTAAATGGTTCATCTGGGGTCTGTTTATAGTTTGGCTCATATTTGCTTGTCAATATAACTATGCAGGTGAGATTATGATTGTCTGTCTCAAAAACTTTAATACGAGCTTTACAAGCACAACAGGAATTAACAAATAAAAGATGATCAATTTATAGCGCCACACTCGCTATTCATAAATTTCAGGTTAATAATAAGTTGACCAAGGTTATTGCTAGTAACGTTTTTAGTGAAAAACCCAAATCATGTTTTTCATCTCTCAACTTAATAAGCATATCAAATAAAACAATATCTGTCTGTAAACCTTCCACTCACTGTCCTCTTATCTGCCATGAACAGCAAACGTCAAAGAAAATCATGGATTTCACTAAAAACATTACTCGCAATAAGCTTAGTCAACTTATTATTGACCTGATATAAATATAAGATCATTTTTGTGCTTGCACAATCTTATGCAAACTGAGGATACCTTTGGGAGAACTCGAGAGCTGATCACTGTAGTTATTAATGACAAACCGATCAATTCAAAACAAATATGTGAATCTTTTTTTCTAACATATATTGATGATTGATTTACAAACTCTCTTTATTGATTGAGCTCAGATCGGTTTTCCGACATGAACAAGGTGCAAGTGCAAACTCAGCTTAGACAAATCGGTGCACACGTTGTATTGTTGTTATTTTGATAATTGATTCACAACAAATATTTTCTGTTGAGTTATTTGTTTTCTTGTGTTATGTAGGTTGGGTCAAAAACATTTTAGCAGCAAAATTTTGGATTCCTTTGAGTCGCATCAACTATGCTGCATTCCTTGTGCATTTTGATGTGATGAATGTTTTGGCGTTTAGCATTCAAACTCCCATTCATTTTTCATGGTTTGTTTTTGTAAGTTAATAATAATGATTCTTTGTTATATGAATATTTAATAGAATTTTCGCACTTCATTTTGCACCGTTTGAAGATTTTAATTTACAATATTTAAAGTACCGATGAAACGAAAATTTTGCTAGTTAAATTATGTTTGTAATGACTAGAACTTTTTAAATAACACTTTACATTCGAAAACAGTTATTGCATATCTCTTTTCATTCACGTGAGTTTGATGTTTTTGTTATTTTCAATTTATCCAACTTGAGACGTCATGTTGCACAACGAGCTTCCCACAATGTTTCAAATACTCTTCAGTTTTCTGACAACGTTTGGTTGATAATAGTAGGCAGCATTTTATACAATTTACCACTACACAATAAAGGGAACTCTTCTCTTGTGAAGTAAAGTATTGCTAAATATATGAAGTAATTCTAGTTCTCATTATACAATGTGACGTCACAAGTTAGATAAATCAGACAAAGCAAGAACCTCATTATCTCAGGAATTAAAAGTGATATGCATAAACTGGTTTAGAATGTTCATTGTCATTATATATAAAATATCTCTTTAATAAAAGTGCAAATCAGATAGAAAAATTTTTGTTCATAAGCACTTTAATAAAAATTATACAAATTTAAAACTATATTTCCGAGAATTCCATCATGTCATCCCTTTTGTTGTTTCCAAATCATAAATATTATGTAGAAACATAACAGGGATGAACTTGACAATGAAGGAAGCGGCCATATTCGTGTTCCAACTTCCAAACAAAAGAAGTTTATTAATCTATTTTTCCATTGTTACACCAACATGGCGGTTATGACGTCAGATACATGTGTTGTAACAATGATACAGAATATATTTTATCATGTTTAGTTATTCAAATATTTATCCATGCAAGAACAAGACTAATGTATACGACCAAAAAATTTTCATCCCAAAGCTTGCATGGCATCAGTTGTAATTGTAAAAGAAGAATGATCACAATCCAACACATTCTTCTTTTAAACTAACCTCATATTTCTATATGGAATATAAGATCAAGATGGTCAGAAATTGTGAAGACAGGATATCATTAAATATGACAACCTATTAAGTTTTAATGTGGAGCACATGCAGCGAGACGTTTATTGAATTTCCGAATATTATTTTTTAATTTTTTATGCTTGTGCCACAGGAATTTCCTCGTCTCATTAACTTAGTTTAGTTATTTTAGTTAACTTTTTCATGATTTACTCCAACAGAATAATTTTTATCTGATGTGTTCAATTTTTTTCAGGTGACACATTATCTGGCTTTCTTGGTTCTAACATACTGCATCGCATTTGTTCTTGTTGTTTTTGTGGAGTTACCGTTTGCTAATATTGAAACTTTGGTTTGGAAAAGATTAGAGAAGCAAAAATAGCCAATAAGAATTTTTTGCCTGATCTTTTTTATGTATTTAAATCTGCCATACTGCGAGAATAGTATTTTTTGTGTTACATGATTCTGCCTTCTTTCTCCAAACGTAAACAGCACCTCTACATGACCAATAAGTTTCAATTTTGTCAACTCAACCTCTTCACTGGCATTTCTGTACCGTGTGTATGATCGCACATGTAACCAAACTAATTGCAAATATCATTGCACAATCGTGGATTTTATTTTATAAGCTGAACAAACAGGACTGTACCTACGGCTATGTGGGCTAATAAATATTTACCAGTAGTGCATTATATAACTAATTTTGTAAACATGAGCAGTTTTAACTGTTATGTGTGCTATCTCACAAAACTGTGTTGAGACTTGTTGTGTGGGAAAAAGTGCAAAATTTCAAAGCAAGAGCTTGTAGAATTTCTATGAAAATAACCAATTTTTCAATAATTCCTTCCTCCGATTCACACATTCGTCAGCCATTTTTTGCTTTTAAATATGTTTTAATGCTTCGAACATCTTTCACTGTTTTCTTATGAAGTGCCACACATTTCACAAGTACTGTACTGGAATCAAAAAATTCCTTCAACTTCAGTCTAAAGGCCGGGACAAACGCATACAACATTGCATTCAACATCAATCAACATTATTGAACTCAACACGTCGAGTGCGTTTGGCCAACAAATTTAAGTAACTTTCAACATGATTCAACAATGTTGAAGACAATGTTGAATGTGATGTTGAATGCGTTTGTTCCGGCCTTAATGTGATAAAATATAGATGTGTGCCATAACGGCCAATTTTTCTTTCCCATTAAGGCTGGGCCCATGCGTCTCGGCACTATGACACATAGGCCAGTCCGAGCCTGCTTTTTTTTTGAAAAATAATTATTTCAACATGCAGTGCCTCCTTACATACTTGCGTGGGTAGTATGAAATGAATGCAAATTTTGAATATATGTAAACTTCTCACTCAAGCGTAAAATCGTCTTGTTTCGCAAGTTCTTATGCAATGGTTAATTTGCCTAGAACCATGAACCCTGTCCATTTTTTGTTTGTTGTGTGAGGTTCCGAAGTGGCAATTGAGTATCGAATCATAAGTGATAGAATCTGTTTCCTCGTTGCAATATTTCTATTAAATCATATTCCATTAAATCATATTTCTTCGCGACATTTGTCGTTGTTACCGTTAGATAAATTTTGGAAAAAATAGACTCAAATTTGAATATATGTAAATTTTTCACTAAAGTGTTCTGCTTTTAAGTGTCTCGCTTTGCTTGTTTATAAACTGAGGAGTCTTGATGTGGTTAATTTTCCTAGAACCATGATCACTGTGCATTTTTTGATTCCTGCGTATTTTATACTGAATAGTGTCGGAGGTATTACTTCGGATGCTGAAAAGAAAGGACTGCAAAAAAGTAAAAAAATCGCCAAGCGTGTATTACATGGTTGTCAACAACGGTATCAATCGCTTACAAAAGAGCAATATAGCAGATGTACGTATCTTCAGAAATAATTAGATTATAGTTTGTGTTTTACTGATTTCCATAACTAGAAGAACGAAATTAAATTCTTATTGTAGAACTGCTCGCAGTTTATGTAATTTTTGTAGACAGTTTTTGTATCGCGTTAAAATAATTTGTCAAATGGAAGTAGCTACTGGGTTTGAAATGTGGTATAAGGTTGTTCATGCATGATTCGGTTAAATTGGTAAAGAGATACTTCATACTTGCACAATATTTTCTTTGAGAGAGTCAATAACTTTCATCTTTATTTTGCTCTTTATTGTAATTTAGATGTAGATGCAAGTGGTAAACGGGAAAGTGGTGTTTATGGTGGTAACACTTTATGGTATGGATCATTTAGTGAATGCGACAAATTACCTGACTCCCGTTATTGTTGGACGATGTTTCCTGGAAATATAACTCTTTTCAAAAATTACGAAAAGGTAGATCAGTTCTGTTCGATAATTATAAGTAATTCTTGCAATCAACAAAAAGTACATTTGAAGTCAAAATATCGTGCACCATATGAGCTTTACTATACTAATACAGACACAGCACAAACTTCCTTCATACGAAAGGTGGTGTAGTCGAAATTGCGAGGGTTGGTAGAAGGTCTCTTGGAGGCATTCTAATGCTGATATAAACTCAAAAAATTCGCATCGCAATTTGCAGAAGTCTAAAACTGAAATCCTTGTTGTTTCTCTAATGTCAGACATATATTTTGAAAATACCCAGAAATGCTCAACTAAAACTAACCTGGACAGTTTATTCTGTGATTCAAAAAATCTACCAATGCTTTTTGACAATCTTTTTGATATTTCACTTGTGTCCTTTGCTCAAATGCTGTTGAATTTTTCTTATTGAATTTGGTGTCTTATTCGAAGAAATCTGTCCTTGAGATGTCAACAAACCACAGCTGGGGCCGGTTGTGCGAAGGCCGAATATCAGTATCCAATGGATAACAACATTTTTGAACGCTTGAAAGTCTCTTCAATATGAAAAATCTACGATTTTAACGGTACAATCTATGAAATACAATATTGTATCAAGAATTACAAAATTTCATTATTGCAAAGAAAATATAAACCCTTTTTCACAAGTTTCAAAAAATTACCATCCAATGGATAACTCTATCCAGGCTTCGTGCACCGGCCCTAGATATTTAACTTATGAGATAAGTCAATTATTACATCGGTTATGCCGTATACGTATTATAGTTTTATGTGCAAATTCGGATGTAGAAGTATAAGTACATTCTTTTACGTAAATATATAAGGGTAGTGGTAAGACGGAAGCAAGAAAAAAGAATGAACGGTAATGCAGAAAATAGGGTAAAAAATGCATTGAATATGTAAAATGTTAAAGTTTAGGTGATTTTAGTCAATTCTAGTTCTTAAGACCGACGAAACTCAACTCCTACCCATAACATTCAACCCTCACTCACAAAATTCAATGGTCATTGTGCAAATGCATAATATTGTTGGAAAATTTTAACAAGATTTTTCGAGGTGAAAAATTTTGAGTTGCATAATTGATAGAACTGAATAATTTCTAATTTAAATTTTACAGACTCATCACATTGAGTGGGGTGTTTGTGTACCAAAATCTTGTACAAAGAACGACATCCGAAATGACTTTTTGTATTTTTTTCACAATGGTAAGCTGCAAAAAATCTTTTTTAGATTAGAGCTCGTTAGCTTTTTTTAATATGTGACGGCCATACGATGCGATAAAGAAATCCGATCGGTTTTAACTAAACTAAGTGGTTTATATAACTATTTTTTATTTAGCTTCTGTTGCTGTTTTGTGCAAAAAATAATGGTAAATTTTATTCTCGTACTTTAGAGGCCATAGAACGACGTGCCTATAATTACATTAAAAACATTTCTCTCAATTTTGTGGAATAAAGCTTCCATTGATTTTCATTGATATGAACCGGTTTGATAGTTTTAGTGGAAAGAAAGGCTTCACATTATCATAATAAATGTTTGAGATGGCTTGGCAAATTGTGATTGGACTAATCTCTGCATGTACATAAAATTAATGTGTAGAAACAATTATTTGTACAATTAAGTCGTAGAACATTTTGACTAGTGACACTTGCAGGAAATTGGACATTATAATTGACATGGGCAAATAGTTTGTATGATTAATTGACTTATTTCTCTTTTATGAATGTCAAATATTTCAGTCATTGTAAAGTGTTTTACTCTCGTTTGTGCATAAATCTTAAATCATCCGTGTGTTTATTTCTGACAGGCAATTTATCATTTTTTATTTTAGTTTCTGGTATCAATTCAGTAAAACCCTTTACAAAATATGTCCAAGTTCAATGTTCTGAGACTCCAGAATATACAGCATCCGTCATCCTAACAATGTAAGCATTGTGTAATAAATTATTGTCAGTTTTTCTCAAATTATGGGCTTCAATTGCTCGTGATAAACGGCGTAAGGTCATAATTTCTCGATAGTCTACAAATGAGTATTAAGTTTTCATCAATTCTTTAATTAACATATATGTTTTTAACGTTTTAATCGAACATTAAAAAAATTGTTTTAAATTTATCTCATAAACATTCCTCATTTCTGTTATGTTATTATAGTGGTATATAAACAAAAATGTATTCTTTGAGAAGATTTAAATGGGTTTAACATCTCAATGTACCCGTGTGTAATGTTTAGTAAAAAATAAGTCTTTGAGAAAACAGTTGTTTTACTGTCTTTAAGTTTATTTTTTAAGAATACTTTGTGGAATTTTGGTTGGCTTGTCTCTCTTGGCGACGACAATAGAGATTTTTCAGTCATTAAAACATGCCAACAACGACGACAAAATCGTTGATGATGGTGGTTTGCATATCTCCATGGATAAAGAGACAAATGAGAAAACACCTTTACTGCCAAACGTGAACAAAAAGGCTAATGAAAATGAAGGTATAAAACATTTTTATGGTACTATAATGTATAGTTGTGATCATTGATGTACGTTTTCTTTTTAGGAACGTTTATTTATAAAATTCTTCAATCTTTCTCAATTGCCAAAATGTCAAATCGATCATGAACACAAATGTTGGACAAAGTGATTTGACGTACCTTCATGGAATTCGAGTTTTATCTCTGTTTTGGATTATTCTTTTTCACGCCATTCTTTTGACACATCGACTTTGGCCTTTGGGTTTGTTGAGTCTTATTGAATTCAGTAATATCAGGGAAGAGAAATGGAAGATTGATAATCCGGGGAGATCATATTTGTAGTTATATTCATTTTGTATAATCCGTTATCACAATTAATTTCAATAGAAAGTAATAAAATAGAACATGCACATATGAATATTAGCCCACCCACCCCTTATTATCAATCTCTGCCATTCTGTTCTATGTATCCACATTATTTCTATTATAAAAGCAATTTCTTTCAAAATAGGTTTTGATATGAAACAAAAACTTATAGTACAGTTTGCAAAACTAGTATTAAGAAAAATCGTAACTGTGTAATCAAAACTTTCCCTTCTGAAACTTGTTTATGATGGGTAACAGAAGCAAAGTTTTTGAAACGAAGTATTGCTCATAGTTTTCATTTTATTTATCATTATACGTTGTTGGATATCTTTGTAGACAACTCAAAGGATGCTATTAGATCAAGTAGAAAATTAGCTCCATTGTTCTTACACCAAGCTTACGGAGTGGATACGTTTTTTGTCTTAAGGTTAGATCTTTGAAGATGTTTCCATCATTAAATTTCATACAAAATTTGCCATCTTGTTACTCGGCTGTCAAAGGTAGATTGCATTTAAAATTGTACTGATTTTTCAATGGCTCGTATCGCCAAAGTGCGTAAAAAATGTCTGATTTGCATGCAATCCTTTACCTTCAGCAAATAAAAATCTTCCTTGGATAGTGCCAGTAGGCAGTAAAAAATAAAAGGTTATCTAAATATGAATTGGTGGAAAACATTTTATACTTTTATCCTTTTACCATTAAAGTTGTTCCTTTTTGCGTTTAATATATGCTTAATTCAGTCATCTTGTGCAAAATTTCAGCCCTAGCTTGTTACTCTGCGTTTCGTTCGATTTTTCCGATAATTACGTCATTTAATTATGTGTTGCAACTTTTTTTTTATCAAATTGAATATTTTACCGTACAACGCGCCAGATTATTCAACACGTTGAACCATCAATAAATATTTTCTCTGCCATTCTGTTCTATGTATCCACATTTCTTTCTTATTATTGCAGTGGACTTCGTACAACGCGCCAGATTATTCAACACGTTGAACCATCAATAAATATTTTCTTTCTTATTATTGCAGTGGACTTCTTGCAATATACGTCAACCTGAGCAAGAGAATAAAGAATAAAGGAAAAACCAATTGGTTTAAATTTTATTTTCATCGATTTTGGAGGTGAGTTGTTTTACTGGAATGACTAATAGTCAATTCTTATTCTTAATGATTACGCAGTAGCTAAGTAAGTTTTAAATTTCTTTTTCAGTTGAAATGATTTTTTATAATTTCACTTCAGACTCACACCACTATATATGTTTGTCATATTGCTTGTTACGAAGTTAAAACCATTTTGGGGGAGTGGTCCATTGTGGTTTCTTGAAGCTGATACTTCCACTTGCAGTGAAAATTGGTGGAAAAATCTTCTCTACATTAATAATTATTATATAAGAAAAGTATGTGGCTTTTGTTAAAATATGACAATGACTATTCCATTATTTCCATATTAATTTGATAATGAATCAAATAATAAAATTTTGTAAGTCGTTTTTACTATAAAAGATGGATTTAAGGTTTTTCCATTGGAAAAACATTTTGATAAACACAACATAAGACCATATTTCATGTAATCAGCATTTTTAAAATTCTTTTCAAGTTTTTAATTTCTAAGATTATTGTTTTTGGTTTTCTATTAAAGGCATGCATCGTTCAATCATGGCAGTTGTCTGCTGATATGCAACTTTACAGCGTCACTCCTATCTTTCTTTTTATTGGATACCGGTAGGCTGCACGTGACCTATGCCAATATTATTTTGTGAGTTTTGTCTGATGGCTTATTTCAGTTTCTCACGAAAAAGGTTGTTCTTGTAATTGCTAAATTAGTTTTTTATGTGCAATTTATTGGACTTGTCATGTCAATGTGGAGCTCAATAAAGAGTATTTACGTTAGAATAACTTTCAAATGAGCTGGAGAAGATCGCAAAATTGCATTTAATTGTTACAACGATTGTTAAATAATATGAATGCAAACAATGATTTTTGACAAGTGTTTTCAACTTGATTAGGTAGCATCAGTATAACCAATCTTGCACAAAAAAGGATATTTCATGATTTGGGCTGGGTTTGCATCGCAAGTCGCTACTAAATGCTGCATTCTATATTCATCAAATGGGCTTTTAATTATTTTTACCTTTTAGTTATGGTTTACGGGCAATCTTTGCTGCTTCCAGCGTTTGTATTCTTGGTAGCATGATCACTACTTTTTGTGTAGCAGCAACCAAAGATATATTTCCGATAGGCACTTGGTATTCCTTATCTAGATTTAACATGTAAGTGGCTTAGCTTTAAGGCTGTTATCCACAATGGAATCGTCTGGGTGGATTAGTTGATAACTTGCATGATTGGTGGATAAAGTCGTCATTGTTGACAACCAATCATGTTGAAAATTTGACTTTGTGAGCGGAAAATGCCATCTTTTGGATAACAGCCTTCAGAGTTCTTCTAAGATGAACAAACTGTTGCATAGTAACGATTTATATCACGATATTTAGAATTTCTTGAAGTTTTTTAGTGATAAAGTAACAATCAACTTGATGAAAAAATGCATGATCCATTATCAGTATTAGACATAATGTGGTCAAACGTTTACTGATATATAAGTTTTATTGAAAACGAGCTTTGGGCAAAATAGTTCTTTATATCCATGATCATTCGTTGACTCCGTGATAATTTTCATCTTCATGATCATTTTCACCTCTATAATCATTCCTCACCTCTATGATCATTTTCACCTCTATGATTATTTTCACCTCTATGATCATTTTCACCTCTATGATCATTCTCACTCTTGATCATTTCACTTTGATCATTTCACTTTATGATTTCCTCACCTTTGATCATTTTTCATTTCCATGATCATTCCTCACTTTTTTGATCATTTCCTTTACATTCTCACTTTGATTTCCACTTTGATCATTTGATTATTTTCACTTTCTTTTTTTTGATCATTCTGATTTTTCACTTTGATCATTCTGATTCTTTATTTCACTTTATGATTATTTTCCTTGATATTCTTTCACTTTTGATTTCCTTTCACTTTGATCATTCTCTCTCTATGATCATTCCTCACCTCTATGATCATTCCTCACCTCTATGATCATTCCTCACCTCTATGATCATTTTATCTCTATGATCATTCCTCACCTCTTTGATCATTCCTCACCTCTATGATCATTTCTCACCTTCATAATCATTATAGTACCATCTATATATATTACCTTCATATTTATACATTTACCGTTGATGATTAAATAAAACTTTGACCCAAACAATGTTAGTATATATACTCCCTCAACATAATTATTCCATGCACTTTGACAGATTTTTCCGGCCAAAAGAAGAAGTTCTACGTTTGGATTATACGTTTATTGATATCTACTTTAAAACCTATTGTCGAATTCCACCTTATGCGATGGGAATGGTCCTTGGATATTATCTGCACAACTATCAATCAAACAATGCCAAACTTTCTTTGGTAAAGTAGCTTTTAAAGATTAGAATATTGTGTCATTATCCATCGTAATGCAACAAAAATTATAACTGTATTTAATTCAATCGATCCTGTTTTTTCGTATGTTAGCATAATGAAAACGTTATATCGTTTTAAATTGTGCGCTTTTACTATTTTTTTGATTTAGAAAATTGTTGTAATGCTATGGATGTGTACCATTGCCTTGGCACTGACCGATATATATGCTCCATACAGTGCTATAAAAGAAGATCCTCGTATTTGGACGACAGCTGAACGAGCGTTTTTCTGGTCTTTTAAATGGTTCATCTGGGGTCTGTTTATAGTTTGGCTCATATTTGCTTGTCAATATAACTATGCAGGTGAAATATGTAATCCATAATTTTCTCTTTCAAAAAATGTCAACAACTTTAATACTAGTTTGCCATGCAGAACAGGAATTAAGAGATTAAAGATGTTTTTCGTGTTTGCGCTGGCTTATGCAAACCGAGGAGAAGTTTGGGAGAACTCGAGAGGAGATCAGTATAGTTATTCTTTTATATATATCAAACAGACAAATATAAAACAAATTTTCCTCTAAATTTGTTTATGATGGATTAGCAAACTCTCTTTACATGATTTAATTGATTACGCTCAGATTGGTTTCTCACACTTAAACAGAATGCAAGCTCAGCTATAGAGCAGTCAGTACACGTGTTGTATGCCGCTATTTTTGTATTTATGTAGGTTGGATCAAAAACATTTTAGCAGCAAAATTTTGGATTCCTTTGAGTCACATCAACTATGCTGCCTTTCTTGTGCATTTTGACGTAATAGGTGTTTTGGTGTATAGCATTCAAACTCCCATTCATTTCTCATGGTTTGTTTTTGTAAGTTGATAAAATTTTTGTACATGAATATTGATAGATTTTTACACTTCATCTTGCACTGTTTGAATATTCGAATTTTCAATTGTTACACCAACATGGCGGTTATGACGTCAGATACATGTGTTGTAACAATGATACAGGATATAATTTAATCATGTTAAGTTATTCAAATATTTATCCATGCAAGAACAAGACTGATGTACACGTCAAAAAGTTTTCATCCCGAGGCTTGCAAGGCATCAGTTGTAGAAAAACGATCACAATGCAACCCATTCCTCCATTAAACTAGTCTCATATTTATTCATAGAATATAAGATCAAGATGGTCAGAATCATGACAACTTATTAGGTTTTAATGTGGAGTACAGCGTTTATTGAATTTCATCATAATATTTTTTATGCTTGTGCAGCAGGAATGTCCTCTTCTCATTAACTCAGTTTAGTTATTTTAGTTAACTTTATAATGATTTACTCCAACAGAGTAATTTTTATCTGATGTGTTCAAATTTTTTCAGGTGACATATTCTCTGGCTTCGTTGGTTCTAACATACTGCATCGCATTTGTTCTTGTTGTTTTTGTCGAGTTACCATTTGCTAATATTGAAACTTTGGTTTGGAAAAGATTAGAAAAGCAAAATAAACAATAGAAGACAAAACTCAAAATTGCTCAAAAAATTAACCAATTTCCATGAACAATTTTTACGTAATACTCTTTGCAGACACCATTGTCTAGATTTAATACTTCAATATATAAATATATGTATGTCGCTAGCTCTGTTTTTTTTAAATCAAAAAAGCAAAGCTTGTTAGTCAAATGAATGCTGACATTAACTATAATCAATATTTTGACTATTTTCTTTGTAAATTCTTTGATTTGACCTGTATGCTGTGACAGACCTCCTGCTCACAAGGTCGTCAAGGCCTTGTGGCTAAACGTATTCACAGCATACACAGTAAGGATCACAAATCAGGATTAGTTGTGAGGGCTTAAAATCTCTACACGAAATTTGGGCATTAATAAAAAATATTGCTTTGTTATCTAATTAACACGGGCATACGATGATACAAAACGAAGGAACGTACTCATTACTTCAATTTTAGCATTACGTAGATCAGACATAGACCCAGGATAATTATCTAGGATTTATCTTGCTTAGATTAGATTTTTGTACCTACTATATGGGTGCTTTTTTTTGTCATATGCTGTAATTTCTTTTACTCTTATACCATTATCGAGAAATAATTTTCGCTAGTTTGATATATTGATTACAGGGAAATTATCGTCCTTTCTGCATCTCCTCTAGTTTATTCCTCGCTACTATCTTTGCAAAGATAAGTTGCGTTCTATCATAAATATTTAACGGTAGTTTGACGTTTTTTCATTATCTCTTCAAGGCCATGACATCTGACGATTCTAAAATGGGCTGTTTTCACGTTTGTCATGTTGGTAGAAAATCCCAAATAGTGACAAAAACTTCTGAGGATTTCATGCTCTATTGGGCATCGCCACTTTAATGTAACCTTCCAGAATGGCTGCTTTGACGTCACATGAAAACGCATCTGCAATCCAAGGCATCCATAGTTCAGTTTCTTTGATGACCATAGTCAACAGTAAAGGTTGTCCACTTCAGTTTATAGAGAAAATTTCCTTTCCTTTGAGAAACACATATATCTTTTATTGAGTTCAATTACACGCGTAATACCTGTCGTATTTGCCTTTTTTTATGATGGTTTTTTTAGCAAGACCCACAACACTAAGAAAATATTAATGTCTTTCTTCATGGAGTCATGGACATTTGCAACGTAACTTGAAGGGCAAAGTTTTGTGTTTTGCATGTATATGATAGATTTCTTCCAGACATGAATTCTCTAATCGCGTATTATTCGTACTTGAACAAATTAGCGTAACAATATAACCTAAAATATAAGTGGTGTGCAACCATTCCCCTGGGAAAGAGAGAACAATGAAATATTCGCCATGTTGGATGACATTTGCATTGTAAATGAGGAAAATTCTTTGTTAAAATCATCCAAAAAGGCGACTATGATGTAATTACACACAAATGTATTAAATTCATTGGGTGCGTAATGCTTGTGTTCTTGTGATAAAGATATGTAATATATGTCAGACGAGGCGTATTTAAAACTCAAGTACATCACGATGAAGTTGAAATGATTGTTTTTTCTTCAATGATGTAAAGATGGGATTAGAAGGAGTACGATAACACAAAGCAAGGTACATGCAATACAAGTGGGGTTGTTAAACGTTACGCTCAGAACCAAAACATTAATTCCTTGATGATTATTTAAACACATGTTTCTAGAGTCAGAGACAATCAGACCTCGCGGGTTAATAATCAACCAAAGTATGGATTCTGAAATACACATGCATTTTGATTTTCGCAGTACAAATCTCGCGCTCTGTTCCATCATCAATCATACACTGTTTGTGTATACGTCTTTGGAAGAAGTCTACTTGTGTGAGAGGTAATAATGTATTTGAATATTGGCAAGCATTGAAAAGTACTGCTCAAGCACAAGAGATTTTCGCTTCCGAGAGATGTCCGTAAGTACATAATCAATAGTAGCATTACGTAGATGTTTATCTAATTCATCGTTTATTTAGCGTTATTGCTGTATTTGAAATGCGGTAGACTTGCTCCACAAATTTCGAGAATAAAAAATATGTTTTCGTAATCTAAATAACATGATAGTAAACACAAACTATGCATAGCATTGTGCATTCAATGCTTAAAAAGTAGATGTCCGCGAGTATAATGTAAAGCAAAGTGCACATTCTTTCCTAGGCTGTAGATTCGCTTCATTCGATTCACTTTATTTCATACGTACAAACAAGTAGTTCACCTGTTTATTCTTCATTTATACGGTGCTACTGCTGGACTGCATATTGCCACCAATACTATATGACACAAAACCTCCAAGCACGCTACATTTTTATGGTTCAATTATATCGTCACAAAAAGAGCTAAATTGATCATGGTATAAAGAAAATTAAAATTTAACATTGTTGTCATCAAATTTTTGAAAAATTTAGGGTATTTTAAAAATGTGCGTTGTGCTCACTTTTCAGTGTAACAATCCAGTGACTGTAAAGAAATACGTTTTGCATTTTTTTTGCACTCGCCAAAACGCCCTTGCAACGAGAACGTCACGCACATGCGCAGTGGCTACACACAAAAACTTCAATACTAATTATAGTACCAGAAGTAAAGATATAAACATTGATATTCAAAAGAAGTCTATTGCAGTTTTAGGAGGTAATATATGCATTTATTATATGGCAAGCGACACTTTCGGCTAAAAGGCGCGCTTTGATTGGCTCATAAAGATTTTTGCCTGTCCATCATTTTCCGTAATAAAACATTGTCCAAAACGCGTAACTTTACAGTCAAATGTAAACAAACTTCGCCAAGCAAACAGCAAAACGTGCGTACGCATTAAAAAACGAAACAATTAAAAAACCATTTGCAAGTGTGAGTCGAAGAAAAACACTGGGAAAACAGTTTAATTATCCAGACGATACAATTTGAAACGATTTATTTTTTTACTGACGAAAACTAGAAAAGTGAAAGTTAAACAGTACAAAACAGCAATAAGGAAGAAAAAAACAATCTTCGTTTCAGGTCAAATAATGCCATACAATAAACCCTTTAATATCCTCACTTTCACAGAGAAATATCGGTTTTTGTACAAACCTTGCCCTACGGGATCGGTCGGTACAAAAAACCTCGATATTTCTCCGTAAAGACCTCGCGCTCGGTTATTAAGGGGTTAGTAATACTTCATGAAACTCTGGGCTTAACATTATGATTGGCATTGAAATTATCACAATAAGTCATTTTCTGAAGGTCTTCTATTTATTTACACCCTGTATATCAATAAAGAAGTAAAAGATGTTTACTGTGTTTGCACAGGCTTATGCTAACCGAGGAGACCTTTTGGAGAACTCGAGAATGGATCAGTGCAAGTCGAGAATGAAGGTCGAGGATTGCACCTGCTCGATCGAGAATTCTCATATCGTCTCCATGTTTAGCATAGCCTGTGCAAACACAGTTAACATCTTATATTTCTTTTAAAAAATAACAATAATGCAAAACAGACAAATGTAAAACACCCTTTTCATTTTTCCTCTAAAATGTTTTCCTGATTGATTTGCAAATTCTCTTTGATTAATTGTTTTTTTTCATTGTTTGAGTTCAGATCTGTTCGCACAGACTCATGGAAACACAACTATATAGAGTCAATAAGCGCCTTTTTTTATTGTTGTCATTTTATAACAGCAGATGCGGAGTAAGTACTAGTACATGTCTTTAAATAGATTTTCGATTTAAAATACTTTACAACTGATCGTAATTGCAATACTGAGTCTCTCAAATAGGGCATCTTATTGTTCACAAACATCTATGGATGTTTACTGCAAAATTTCATTTACTTCTCTTCAGTGTCATTAAACAAGTTATCAGTTACGAAAATAAGATAATTTCCATGTTATTTTTTGAGGGGAGGGGAGCACCTTGTTTTTTAGTCCCTTATAAATACTCTCTGGTAATTAAAAAGGGAATAATGTCCGTAAAATGAACCATAAAGAAACATATTAAACAATGAGTTGACGACCATTATACTTTCAAAGTTCTTTCATTTTCATGACTCTTTTCAGTGGCAGCAACAAGTGAGCTAAAGATCGAGTCTTTGTTTGCCAGTAGTGTAGACGGTTTGTCAAATTCAACAATCTATCAAAAATGACCGTAAAATTGGTCACGTGCATGAAAGTTAAACAAAATGTTTCCTAATTTTTTATCACATACCTGGCCTTGTTCCATCACCATTATTTTATCAGAATCCATTACTGTGTTTAGACGATGTGCGATCGTTAACATAGTACAATTTTTAAATGCTTTACGTATTGTTTCTTGAATTTTCTCATCTGTAAGATTATACAGTAAATATCGATCAGTCATTCATCCTATCGCCGTTTGTATCATACGTAACACATTTCCATATGATCTCAAATGCCACATAACACATTAATAATATAATTACACGTATTGTTTAGCCATACCAGTCTTAGCATCAATTGCAGCAGTGGCTTCATCCAGCATAAGAATCTAAAGATAAGAAAGTTCTAACGTAATAGTAGTTAAGAGAAGTTAAAAGATTCCAGTATCTCGCATACTTTAGTAAACAACTGGTTTCAAAGTTAACTAACATCCAACTAAACCACTTATACTTGAAATTTTTCATGAATTTCTGATTTTGCTCAAAAGTATGTTTTTTATTAAAGAATAAAATTTACAATTAAAAAATTCTATAAAGAATATTTTAAAAAGGTAATCAGTTTTCTAAAGGAGAAAACACAGTTTGTTGCATTACCTTACAATTTCTAAGTAAAGCTCTTGCCATACACATCAATTGTCGTTCACCGACGGAAAAATTTTCTCCATTTTCAATGATTGGTGCTTGAAGTTTCAAGGGCAGATCACTGATCGTTTCCTTCATGTGTGATTGCTCTAATGCAAGCCACACTTCTTCATCAGAATGTTTGTTAAATGGATCCAAGTTATACCTGATATAAAACAACATGCTGTGCACAAATGGAAGTCATCTAATATCTCACATACTAAAAGTGGCTTAAGTCAAAAGTTATATCGCCTCTTAGCATTGCTATTTATCTCTTTTTTCCATACAACTATGTAGACTTCGTCACAACCCAGCCTTGGTCCTTTCAATCCACCTGAATATTCTTTAAAACTGTAATGTGCACCAAATTTATGTATGAATCGTGCATGGGGTCTTAATTAATCGCCTTATACTTTGATTTCTGCAAGAAAACCAAGCTTGTTCTATTCAACAGCTGTTCCTGATAGTCGTATAATTCGCTATTAATAGTCCAAAACATGAAATAAGATAAATTCTTCCATTTCTTGGTATCTCCTACCTTACAGTCCCTATAAATAGAACAGGATCTTGTGGGATGATTGACAACTTAGATCGAAGATCGTCGAGACCTAAAAAACATACAATTGTCAAAGACGTTCACAAAAAAGAACTGAAGATCCTTAAGATCGTAAAAAGTTTGTATTATAAAAGATATAAATAAAAACAAAATGCGTGCGCTGATTGGTCTAGAGCCGTGTTTGCATTAGCCTGTGCAAAAGAGATCTGAGCTCAACAAATCAAATCAATCAAATCAATCAATCAATCAAAGAAAATTTGCAAAACGTTCATGAATACATTTTAAAGGAAAATTAAAAATGTTTGTCTTTTTCGAATTATTGTTATTTTATAAAAGAAATAAAAGATGTTTTTCGTGTTTGCACTCGCTTATGCTCGGAGACGTTTGTGAGAACTCTCGAGCAGGTGCAACCCTCGACCTTCGGTCTTGGGCTTGCACTCACTGATCTGCTCTAGAGTTCTCCCAAAGATCTCCTCAGTTTGTATAAGCCTGTGCAAACACAGTAAACATCTTTTATTTCTTAAGTGGTATACACAAAAGCAAAATATTGGAATAATAAATAACGAAAGTATAGAGTAGTAGTAGTAGTAAAGAAGTAAACAGCAAACCCTAGCAATTTTGATGATTATAGAAATGACTAAATAAAATTAATTTCCTGGTTAACATTTATGGTTGAGCTTAGAAAGTGATATTTATGAATAACGCCATTCGGTCTTTCTGACTCATGTATAATGGTCTCTTTTAACTCGATTCAGCTGATTAACGCTAGAATGCAAGAGAATTATTCTCCCATACAGAAAAATCCTCTTACTCTCACGGTTAATTTGTGTTTTTAGTTGATAAAATTCTTCCTTGTGGTCGCTGGAACTTTCTGTTTATTTCAATATATTTCTTACCAATTTTTAACGTGTCAATTCCGTCTATGGTAATTATGCCTTCAACAGGCTCAACCAAACGGAAAAGAACGACTCCAATGGAAGACTTTCCAGAACCAGTTCGACCCACAATTCCGATTTTCTCTTGAGCTTTTATGTTGCAGGTAATTCCTTTCAGCACTAGGGGCAAGTTCTCTCTGTATTTCATCTATGAAAAGCAATCATTTATCATTTATTTAAATACATTTCAGGTGAAGTCAAGTTACAATAAGTTTAAAACCAAGATAAATTCATATGCAGTAACAGCACAAGCTATAGTGGTAAAAACACCTTAAACAGTATGAAGGTGCAAATACTTTTTTAAGAGTTACGTGGGCGAATTATGATTTTGGGAAAGGCCAAAATTTATTTCTAGAAATTGCAAACCTTTACTCCCGTCATAGACAGACTTCCCATTGAAGGCCAATGTTCATCAGGCGTTTTGTCTGGTATTGAACTAGGAGCTTCTGACTTTAGGTTATCAATGTAATGTAAAACACGTTCCACACTTGTAAAGATCGCTTCAGTTTCGGCTGAAAGTCGAACAGTGAATTGTAAAAGGCCAGAAATCTATAAAAATAAATTTAGTAAAATTTATAGCGGGATTAACCAATGTCGGAGGTAAAATGTAAAGAGGCATTAAAATGTAAGATATACTTTCGAAGGAGTCAGATTACAGGAAAAAATGTATAAGATAACCATAAAGTAAAGAAACTCGGAATTTGTTTTTTGAACTATAACGTTAATCTAATACTCAAACTTTGTTATTTGCTTGAACTTATTTTTCAAAAATAGCTACTTTCATAGTAATGAGAAGAGCAAAAAACCATACAGTTGATTCCTCTAGAGATGCACATTACAGTTTCCAAGCATAGAGGTTGTTTTTATAAGCTTAAAAATTCGTATATACAACTTACACGTATTGCATATGTTATGGCGAGTCCACCCAAGGCAGCAGGGACATCGTCTCGTAATAACACGACAAGAAGTGCGGTCACCGTAGTTATCCCAACAGTTATCAAATCCAAACGGACAGCTAACCATCGATGAGACACGTTGAATACGAAAAATGGCAACGTGTTTTTGTCAAGAAGTTTCTCAAACTGTTGAGAGAACTCTTCAGTTTTTCCATAAGCATGTAATGTGGAAAGACCTTGGACGGATGCTGATATATGAGAGAATATAGGTGATCTAGATATGTTGTCAAGTCGCTTCAACTCACGAACAGAACGACGGAATGTTATGTTTAGAAATATAAAAACAGCTAAGAAGAATACGAGAGCTATGATAAACCAATAAAACAATACGACAATTAGCACTATTGTGCTCAGTAAAAACGTTATGTTAAGTATGAAAGCTTCAACAAGAAATGATAATCTGGTATCAATTTCATCAATATCTTTGGAGAATCGATTAAGAATTTGACCAGTTGGTGTTGTATCGAAAAACTCCATTGGACTTCGGGTAACTGCATTAAATACTTGATTGTGAAGGCTGGAAGAAGCGCGCAGCATAACCCGGACGAATATAAAACATTTAATGATAAGAAGGAAGAGAATTACTGCCAATGCCGATCCATACACTGCCGCATAAAAATCCACATCAGGATTGTCATTAAGCTTACCAAGGGATTCGTCGTTTTCTGTCTAAAATTAAATTCATTCAACTAATTATGGAAGCGAAGGCTATATATAGTACCCAAGCTTAACACGGAAGCATTCATTGCATATTGGTTTGTTTTTGAGTAATATTTAATTAAAGGTTGGATGGATGACATTTTAATGATTGTTAGAATCATACACAACACCATCAGAAAGTTAGCAAAGGTAATTTTCACGCAATTTGAATAAATTAATCCCCTTACACTGTTGCCACTTCCATCATTAATCCACCGTCCTAACCAAATATCACTGAAGACTCTCAATAATGTAATGATTGTCAACATCAATAATACGCAACTAGCGATACAAATCCCTGTAAGAGATAATCCATTTTTCAAATCATGTTTTTCATATACACAATTTATTTAAAAGATCAGTATTCCTATAGTAAATCCCATTAAACACTTCACTTTGCGTCTACTTAAAAGATGTTTTTATTTTCCATCTTCATAAGTAAAAAAGCTGTTCAAAATCCTACCTCCAGCAGCTTTACAATAACGTAAGTAGGTAGAGAATGAAACCCTTCCTACTTTACGATCTTCAGCTTTCATCAGATGATCTGAAACCAAACAGATTTTTCGAAGACATTTTGTCGCATTAAAACTTATTTTCACATACACAACGCAACTTCTGTATGTGAAAACTATTGCGCTACAAATTTTTTTTCCATCGAAGGTTATTTATGTAATATAAAGCAATCAATTATTACCTTTGCCTTTTATATGTCCATTTAATTCTTGTGCCTTCATCATTTCCTTCTCATCATCGAAACTTTTCGTAGGAGCACCAGCGTTGCCATTAATTATTTTATCGTGGGAAGAACCGCTTTTTGAAATCATCTCGGAGTCTTTGTTATCTTCCTCTTCTTCGCTTTCTATCGTCCCCAATTTTTTGTGATAGTTTTGTACTAATACTGAAAATTCCTAATGAAAAAAACTACTTTCATCAAACAGGCTTTTCAGATTCTTCATGGCATTCCTTATCGACAAAAATATTGTGAAATCGATTCAAAATCAACTCTATAATTAATGAATTATATTATTGACTTGTTCAATTCTTCTCAAGTAAAATCATGCTTAGTTCAACCATGTAAACTAGCCAATAAACTTTCCTTTCCTTGCATAAAAACTGACGAACAACTCTGACAATGAAAACATGCAAATGATATAGTTGATGTCCTTTTTGTTTAGTTTGGTTTACATGCCGTATTCCTAATCTTAAAATGTAAAATATGTTGTTATACAAAATTAGAAAATGACAGTGTTTGACAGTGAAAGTAGAATGTCAATAACACTCTTTTTACGTCATTGCAATCAATCTGCTAATAGCAGTGTCTGCATACTTGATACAGATCACTAATGAAGAAATCCAATCCAAAAACTAATTAATTAGTTTTTATACAAGTGAACGTGATACATAGAAGGTCTTTTAGTACCTTTTCATCAGACATAAGTTTTTCATAAGAGCTCATTTCAGCAATACAACCATCTTTCAACAAAACCACGACGTCACAATGCTTTAAGTACTATTAAAAGCAGATGTTCACACAATTATTAAGTGTCACAATTTCGGAAAAAACTCAAAATTTTAGCAATTCGTACACTCCTAACAAAATGTCATCCGCGATAATTAAACTAAAGTTAACAAAAATGAAAAACTTGCACATATATGATATATAATTCAATGGATCAAGAAACTTATTTCCTTGTTGTTCCTCTGTGATCCCTTGTGCACAAAATACCCTACAAAATATGTACATGTGTGTATCTTCAAGCATTTAAATGATATTGACATATTTTTATGTAGAACACCTTTCCCTGAACTTAGCTACTATATACATTCATCGTTTGCATTTCCTATATTAGCTATAAATTCAATAAAGTTATTTTACAATATACAACAGCTTATTTTCTCAGTGTTTTTGCAAAGAAATACTTCAAAAATTTCTAGGAAATTAAAAATTTGCACATCATCAAAGAACAATTATGGCAAAAACGACGCAGACTTGAAAAGTTGTGTGTCATGTACTACAAGCACGAAAGCCACATTCAAAATGCGGTATGGTTAACATACAAATCTCTGTACTTAAAACTAAGTCACCTGTAGCTGATGCGTCACAAAAATGATTGTTTTTCCTGATAATGCATTCTTGATACAGTTGTTGAAAATGTGTTCTCCAACATGGACGTCCACAGCGCTAAGAGGATCGTCAAGCAGATAAATATCCTGAAAAAAGTTACACAAAAAAGTTTGTTGATTATTAGCTATAACACTGAAGGGAAGGTGAACATTGTGTTTACATTGATACAATACGCCATACAACAAAACCAAGCAAGAAAAACAGTGATTGAATTTTTGAAAAGATTAACAGCTTAGCCATCTAATTGTATATGTGCAAGGTAATAATAGGATAAAGTTTCTGAATCTATCAAAATGTTCATGCCTACATTAGAGGTATTTTACAAAACAAGATTTGAATACATTTACTTTGTTTGCATAAGCAGCCCTTGCTAAACTTATACGCTGTTTCTGACCGCCACTCAAGTTAATTCCTCGTTCTCCAATCTAAATATCAACAAGAAGTTGACATGTAAAAAAGTAACAACTTTAGTGTATAAGCAAGCAGTGACAAAAATTACGAAAACCACCCTAAATCAATTAGAATCTGTTTAATGACAAAAATGTTTTGATGATTTATGAGGAAATCTGGTAATTTTATCACAAAAGTATAAAAATATACTCAAATACCTCAGTTTGATCTCCATGAGGGAAAATATCCAAATCTTGTTGCAAACAGCATGTTGATATCATTTTTTCATACCTATATAAAGCATTACAATATAAACTTTTATGATTTATACATAAATCTTGATTTCAAATGAGCCAACCGAGCTGGTTTCATTGCCTGGCCAAAGAGAATATTTTCCTGGACTGTAGCATTCATCAACCAAGCCTTGACGAAAAAAATATTTTGCATTTTACTGAAATAAAATATATTTTAGGAATTCACAAAAAAGAGTTAATATTATTTTTACCTGTTGAGCTGCATAAGCCATAGATCCGTTTACATAAACATTACCTTCGACTAAATTCATCTTAAGAAGATAATGATTTTTAAGCAAAGAGGAAGAAGTACTAACTGAAGTAAAACTCAAAAAACTATACTGTTACTTGTGCAAGGATTGCGTTTATCAGAGAACTTTTTCCACTTCCAACACTTCCACAAACTCCAATTAGTTGACGCTAGCACGAAGAAACCAAACAATAAAGAATATCAATGATGTTGAAGACCATTTTACCATCGTCATAAGACTATTGTTTTACCGTCTTATTTTTAATTTGCATGGGCAAAGCCAGGGAGATGAAAGAAGGATGGCCATGTAAGAAAGGGATGGATGTGGTGAAGGAGTAAGCGAAGAACTTGACATAAAGATACAAGGGAAAGAATATTTCGAAGAGTAAAAATATGCTAGCTATGGAAACCTTGAGTAAGAGAGTGGCTAAAAAAATTGTTCGACTGTATAACCTTAGTAATTATCAACATAGTTAGGAGGTAACTTATGTAGATGAATCAATTGAAGCCTTAACCTAAACTAGCAACAAGTATACCTTTTTAAAAGTGAGATTAATGTCAAACAAAGTCTTCACCAACTCAGTTTTAAATTCTTCAGGAGCAACACGTTGTTTAAGTCCGTTGGCCGCAGAACGATCTTTCATAGAAAAAGTATGTATGAAATCTCGTTAAAATATTCTAGCTTGCATTGATAGAATTTCAGAAGTCACAAAAAAGAATTCGAAACATTAAAATAGTCAATATAAAACTTAAGTTTAATACTCCAAAAATTTTCAAATATTATTTTTATGTTTTTTCAAAAATGATTTTACTCTACACTAATAACCCGACACTCTTCAATCTATTACTGCGTTTAATATCAAAGTTATAGGTTTATATGATTTTTATTGGTTCTGAATATATTACTGATATTTTTTTGCTATCAAATTGATGGATGATTTGTAAGGAATTTACAGCTTGAGATAAGATTGAAACTAACCTTCTTTTGTCTGCTTGTCATTTTTGTCAACCCCAGGTATAAATTTCTTTTGAGGTTTTAATTTCACCTTAAAAAGAAGGAGGATGAAGCTCACAAAGGATAACAAAATGGAAATTTGTAATGCATGTCGACCACAAACAAAAAATTCATCATCAATCACTGCAAATTATTAAATCATTATATAGTAGTAATAGTGCATTACAAGAGGAAATAGATATTTGCATTTACAAATACATCAAAACTTTCTTTTTTTCTACCTCATTCCACCCGAAGGTGGCATTTTTCATTTCTACAGCAACACATTCATCTTGTGGTTTTACTGACCAAGGTTCATATTCATCCATTTGCAGTAGACTCTGACAAAAAATTGTGACTTCATTTACAGAGAATAGCTACATCGTTCAACAAAACATGTTTGATTTGAATTCTTGATTAATTTTAGAGAAATCGTCGTTATAAATGAAATGATTTGTAACCAACACAAACTAAAATAAACCATGAACAGCATACTTTAAGTCTTTTCATGGAAACCTTTGCCTCAGCCAACGCTCTTATACCTAATGGCAAGACTGCAAAAGCGAATATCATTGTGTTGAATACAGCAATAACAGTAAATGCCTGAAAAAAATAAAGTAGGTATTAAATTTGCAAGTTTTGGTTGAATTATATTGAATGGCATCTTACGTGTCTTATACAAACCTGAGATGCAAGTAAATCATTGCCAGTGTAAATATGAACAATAAAAGTGATAGCTGTTGAAAACGTTGAAACCGCGTTAGTCAAAGAAACATTCAAACTTTGTAATACAGCTGAATCACCGAGAACAGATGTTTCCTTCTGTCGAATGTCTAAAAAACAATTGAAAGATAAAAGTATAACATACATAAAAGAAGCAGATGAATAGATATCAATCATATAACTTAAGTCTTAAAATCCAAAACTATTTCAACGGGCTTGTTCTTATAATATTCCACAAGATTAGAAAGTTCCACGCTCACCATTATCTTTATTTTAATTTATCCAGCAAACAAACGAAAAGCAAACATATAATCACATGCACTTACGTTGTTCTGTTGAGGACACTAGTTTCCAGTCATTTATATAGAAGTTCAGAAGAAGTACGCAAAAACTAGCCTATACAAAGCTTTCAGAATAGTTTTGTGACTGTTTGATGACTTCATTTTTATTACCTCCAATGACTTTAGCAAAGGATTTTTCCCAAGCATACATTTTGATCAACTTTATGCAGCTTAGAACTTCATTCATTAGTTTTACTCTTTGATCAGTAATGCGTACAGCTTTCCCACGGAATTTTCCAGAATATTTTCCGACAATACCCTTAGAAAATCAAAGTTTGTGCGATCTACGTTATCATAACGAGCATATAATTAAGAAAATGGTATATTCAAGTAGGACAATATTACTAATTCACGTAAGACTCATATAAAAAATATCATTTACATGCTCCAGCCTTAATTCCAAATATTCTAAATCAAACAAAGAACAGCGAGCGAGCAAGTGAAACAAATTTCCACAAGTTTCATAACTTGAGTTCCGTAGCGTAGCAAGTTTAGTCCAGTCAAGATATAGAGATCAAACATATTGAAAACGTTTATATTTTATTGGTTTAAATTGGATTATTTTCATTTTAACAAAGTAATTATAATAATTTTTAAAGAAATTAGTACAGTCCTACTTCGACAACTTGAGATTTATAAGTATTCAAACCTGAATTGGGAACATCACAAAAAATATAAAACATCCTAAAAGTGCAGATGGTCCAAGAATGTACGTCGTGTATGTTATGACAACTATAAGTGCAACTGGACCACCTGAAAACAATAAAATACGCAGTGATAACAGGGGGGTGCATGTGTGTTTTAATGTGACACATGATGTGAATCAGAAATTGAGTTTTCTCTGCTGAAGATGTGCAGTATTGACCGCTTATAATAAGGCTGATCCAAAGCTAACACGTCAAAAAATGCAGTAATCTTATGTATCGATTACTTTTTAGCTGTATTTATGATTGTATACTAACCAATGACAAATGGACCATAGGCAAAAGCTTCAAAAACACGTTGAGCATCACTTGCACAAATATTCACAAGCTATACGTAAAAGACATTATCTAAATGTGCTTGATTACGTTAGCAGACGTTGTCAATAACAAAGATCAATTACACAAAGGTATGATAATGTTGTCTGGCAGTGGTAAGGTTGTCTAATGTCATCAGCAAAAATAAAGCTGCAAAGTATTTAGCGACTGTTTTTATCGCCCAAAATATTTTAAATTACTTTCAGTTACAAAGGGCTTTTTTTAAAGAAAATTTCGATGTATACCTCACCAATTGATTTATCACCAGCATTCTTTAGTTTTGACATTTTATTATAAACCATAGTCCAAACCATTGCTCTAGCTTTTGTGCCAGTTCTCAGGTTTAATAGGAAACCCAGAGACTGAGTCCAGCTTCGGCCAACTTCCGTAATCATCAAAGCAATGACCTGTATTGACGAAGAAATAGACTGCATGTAGCTATGAACATATGAAGATAATAATAAATATAGAAATAATACAAAACATATCGAATGTGAACTCACAAAATTAACAAAAACATTCTTTCTATTTATGACTTTATGTAAGTTCTCAGTATTACTCTATTGAGAGTGAACTGCACACTATTTTAGCTGCAGTCGCAAAACGAATTGAAAAAACATCTGTCCCCCAGACGATTAATGTACACAACAAAGAATTTATGAAGTTATTAAATAAAAATATCGTTGCACTCATGACTGTCCACAATGCGGCAGTGATTATACAAACATAACCGAGATATATCATCTGTCAAAGAAGGAACATTGGTCTATGATTTTCTGATTACAATATTTATTTCGAATCCGGATCTAGTTCATTTCTACAAATCAATTGAGTGTAATAACTAGCTTACCAAAAAGATTCCTTTCTCAACAGAATCCGTCTTCGATTCAACAAATTTCAAGATTCTATTTAATAAAAACGCCTAAAAGATAATTGTAAGCTAAGACACTGATATAACCCACAATAATCACATGAAACGATTGCTTTTCAAATAGATGGACTTCCAAAATGTTTCGTACATACACACTTTCATACCGACATGCATTTTAAATAATATTTCTAGCTAGCATGGGGGAGCCATTTCAAAAATTTGGGCTCTGAAGTCCTGCATATTTATTGAAATAAATTATCATCTTTATAATTTGAATGCCCTAATCGTTGAGGTAACCATAGTGAGGCTGACTACGCTAAAGCGTTTATCTATACCGTGGTTTGTTAGCTACTTAGCAGAATTTTGAGTTATTTACGAAAGAAATTCTGATCTCGCCATATCGCCAGAGCAATCGATGCCGATGAAAATAACGTCAACAGGGCTTTGCTTGAGGCAACAATTTTTTTTCATTAAAAAAAGAAATTCATTGATAACTATAAAGAGCAAGAGGCAAGAGCTGTCCACCTCTGTAGTTCCTATTTTGAATTGCCTTGATGGACTCAGAAAAACAATACATGCATGTAATATGTATAAGAGAATTCTATAAGAAAACACGAAAAGCATGCATAGGAAATAGTTTATTCAGGCAATGCAAAGGTATCAGCAGAGGAAAAGTAAATTTCATCTACTAAGTAGTATATATAAAGTTGAAATTAATGAGCGTCCTCAACAACGTGATATTTGAAATGTTATCTTTCATGTTTGAATGTAAGTCAAATGAAATTCAATTTGCCAAAATGAAAATTGACATTATTAGGACCCCATTTAACATTTATGCAATCAGTCACCAAATACATACCGGTCCAACAAATGAAATGAGCAATGAAAGAAGAAACATAAATCCACCTGCCAACGCTCGTGTTCGCATCGCTCTAAAAAGCGCCTTGCCGATTGAAGCATTTTCTAATCCATTACCACGCACTTCTTCTTTCCAAAATTTCAGTAGTCGTCGATAATTGAAGGCAGCAGAGTCGGTTTGAGGTAATTTTCCTAGATCATGTAATTCAAGAGGTTTTTTGAAACCTTTCCTGAAAACAGGAGTAATCCATGAATATAGCATCAGTTGTATGAAACCACAGTCATCTATCGGATGTTTCCCAGGATATCTGTTATGAAAAAAAATAATCAGAGTGACTTTGGCAACATTGTCGCACAAGTGGATAAGTTAAAAATTGCAAATATTTTAAGTGCATTTCAGAATTATATTAAGGTTTAAAAACCAAAAATCAATGTCAGTTTTACTAAGAGTTCATGAATGGAACACGTATAACTTTAGAATTGGAAGCTTGGGGTAAACGACCAACAGAGATCAATTAAGACAACCATCGCTAGGTCTAAATAAAATGTAAATCCTGTCATCTGTATCTTTTATAAACAGTAATTTCACCATCATATTCAAAAGGGCTACACTGATAAAGAAAACATGTTTTGTTTTGTGGTAAAACCTCATTTAAATTATTTGCAAACAAAAAATTGCTACTTATCGCTGACCAATGATCGATTATAAGGATGTGACATTTGCTGGTGATCCTTCTTCAGAAAATTTTATTTGAAATAATTACGAAATTTTGTTATGAATATATAAGCGATATTTTGTCGGCATTAGAAAGCGATAAATAGCAACAATACTATGTATGGTATATATGAATGTGCACTACGTAATGTAACATGCAAAAAAGTACTCAAAGTTTATCACAAATTAGGTAAGGCATAATTAAAATTGTAAAATGTATAATTACTCGTTGCTTCTTGGTGCCCAGGGAAGAAATCGTTTCCAGTTGTATTTTGCCTTCTTTGGCTCTTTATGGGTGACCTGAACCTCTACCTTCATTGATTCATCATTAACTTCAACATCTTGACAGCGATTTATCCCAAGTTCGTTCCACGAGAATCCTTTATTTCTCTTTGGCGCGCGAACTGCGTGTCTGAACGACTCGTTACGATCTTTGTACAGATTCTCCTCGCTGAAACCAGGATTGTCCATCGTTCGAGATAAATATGATTGAAGAAAAACTACCGGCTTATAGCTACGTTGCGAAGAAAATAAACAGCAGAATTAAATTAATTTAAATGATATCTTCACTTGTCGACTCGTCGTTACCTTTGTTCTAAACGTACAAGACGCCTACTCAGACATTTTTGTTAAATAAACTATGTTAAATACGCGCTTTAAATATATTGTGAAACAATCCATTCAACCATCGGTTGATGTCTGAATTTTAAAACCGCAGGAGATTCGATGATAGACGTTTCCTAAAGACGATCATTAAAGGACTTTAAAAATAGATAAAAGTTATGAATTACTGAAAGGAATTCTTTGTGATTAAAACGGAAAAAAATTTCATATGTGAAAACAATCATGATTATGAAATGGACCATGACTATTTTTCAAAACAATCCAAAATGTAAAATGTTTTGGCAAAAATCCTCATGAATGAACTTCAAATTAAATTAGCTCTAACGTTCGATACAATTTCCTAATTCCTGTAGCAACCATAGGGAAAAGGATTGATGTCACGGAACTGAAGGATTAATTTAAGCTTACAACAGAGAAGGAACTTTCTAATTTCTCCTTGAAATTCAAAGTCTATAGTTGCGTGCGAAAGTTGATACACAGTATTGTTTAAAAACTTTGTGTTTTGACATCAACCATACCCTAATTCTGTAGACTAAATACACATTACAATTATAGAATACTAAGTCGTCTCAACTCAACTCTTTGTTTGTTTTTGCCAAAAAATATGATATCATCCATATTGTTTACTGTCTTTCGCCAAAAAATATCACGCAAGACATGACAAGCAGTAAACAAACCTTTTCCGTCTCATTTTTTTTTATTTCAATAGTTGTAAATGTACGTTGGTGATTGAATTTCCTTTTAGACAAATTACGTGCATCTCGTCAGTACCAGATTAAGGTTTAAGAAAAATTATTGCTTCTGGTTAAAGGTTAATCAAAGTTAACATAGGTGAAATTTTGACCCATAATTTTTTCAGTTTAAAAGCTTTCATTTCACAAAATCCAAAAAGGTTCATAGCACTTCTGAGTGCTCTGATTATGAAATCTTCGAAAAAGAATCTATTTTGAGCTTCTTAAATATTGTTATCAACTTTGGCACTTCCTGCACGTGCAAATTTTTACGTAATAAGATATTCACATTCTCTTGTTACAGTAAGATTCTAATCTAGAATTTCAAACCAATCTTTGTCACCAAATTTTAAAACTGCTTACAAATTTTTTTGATAACATAACATAGTTATGGAATATGAATGATCGTATACGCAAAACAACAGAGAGCAATGTTGTTATGTAATATAATATAATTATATAACTAGAACAATCATATTCTTTGGTTGGCATGGAAAGAATTTCGAAGTAAATAAACAAATTTTATTCAAATATCGAAAATTCATATAGGTATCAATATTTTACGTTTTAAAACTTCAAGCCAGTGATCAGGTCTCGCATATTTCACTATGATTGAATGTATTGACATCAAGCAAATTCAAGGGTTTGAAAGATAATCTTTAATTAAGCTATCTTTGTCAATGCAGCAAGTTTCGAGATAAGTTAATTAAAAATAATGAAATAAGAATTTTATGGTCTTGAACATTGAACAAAAGGAGGGTACAACTTATGACGTCAGAGCAAATTATAACAGCAACAGAAAAAATTAGCATCCTGAGTCGAATTAGATCTTTCAAATATCAAAAAAAAAACACGAGTAAAATGTGTTTTTAAAGTATTTATAATGCATTACTAGGTCAACTTAGTTTTATATACAATATGTGCGTTAATGTTTACTTCCAAAGCAGGAGTTTTGCATGTGACAACCTTAGCAGGGAATAATCATCTTTCATAATAATTAAAAGAAATATTATAAATAAAACCACATAATTTATTGATTCCCAGAATATTCATTGATAAAAACAAAAGTTCATGAATGTCTTCCCTTATTGCAAATAAAAACGTACACATCATAAATATTACGTATACCAGTATCGACTACGAGCTTGCGCCTCCTTCCACTTTTCATAGAATTTTTCATATTTATCTCTTGCGTCACAACAGGGTTGAAATATGACATGAGAGCAGTGGATCGCTTTAAGTTCGTCACGTGATTTCCATACACCTGTAAAAAACGTTAAGTTTTTTGAAAGTCTTACGACCCAGGCCCGTTTCAAACGTCGCATTTTTCATGAGCCGAATGCATTGAAAACAAAAGATAATGAGGAATTTTATCTCATTTTTTTGTCTTTAATACATTCGGCTCATGTAAAATTGACGTTTGATCAAAAGAATCGGGAACGGGGGGGAGGGGGTTGGGGTTGACACAAACCTGTAGCAAGACCAGCTAAGAATGCAGCTCCTAAACATGACATTTCGATTTGCTTCGGTCTTTCAATACTCTGTTCTGTAAGCGTACTTAGCAACTGCATGATGAAATCGTTTTGGCTTAAACCGCCATCTGCTCTAAATATCAACGATTTGTTCAATAAAACAATCAATCATCGTAAAAGAAAACGAATTTCGCAATCACGGATTTATATTGTCACGCTCTTGTTGACAGCAAATTTTATCAACTGGATAATGTACGGAGTGCACGAGAATTATTGATGATAGACTGTCGTGCATTAAACTCTTACTTTATTGATGAGAAAATTGGTGTTTTTATCTCCTCTTGTACGGTGACAAACAATTGATAGATTCTAAAATGACAAGTATCAAATGTTTGAAATGTTTCAATGTACCCCGTACGACATTTTGCAAAGAATAAACTCCACACATAAAGTCTAATTCAAACAAAATAGCTGACAATATTTCAATTCTGGCAACATCGTAGAAAATAGCACAACATGAAACTCCCTATCTTCAAAGCAACGGCCTTGAAGTACCTGTAAGCAATAGACTCCAACACAGCACGGACAATGTGAGCTTTTGATGTTGATGACGTAATGCCAAAAATGGACGTAGATGCTTTGGTGTCGTTAATAGGAGCCTAAAGTAAAATAAAGAACTATGAAATACAAAGTTTTCAATACGTAGGTAGCAGTAAACTGTAAAAACATTATTCACTACCTAAGTGCAGCTTAAATCAAGCTAACGTAGCTAACAATTGGTGAACTATGGATATAAGTAATTAATCTATAACAGACAATCACCTGTAGACCGCTAAAAGCAGGAACAAAATATACTCCGTTGCAATCTAAGGAAATGTCAGAGAAAAATTACCTAATATAAAAACAGCAAATCGGTCACGGGAAAATAAGCAAAAGCTTCAAAACATGGACTGCCACGAGTTGTAAACAAGCACAAGATTTTATGTTTGACCCTTGCTAAATTTGCCTGACATATTTCATTCATTGTTTATTAACCAACTTATAGAACTATACAAACTCGATTTAAAGCTAGATTCGTACACTAATCAGACAATAAATCATAAATAGCTCTTTGTAAACAAATTTACTGCAAAAAATAGCACTTTTGAAACACAGTCAAGATATCTTAAAAAGCCGACCCCATCTGCAGACAATCACATAACGGCATCTGCAGCAAATCACATAACGGAAAATCCAAAAATAGCAACGTGTATCGTTCGTATAATTTTCCGTCACCTTTCACGGAACGAGCAATCTTGGAAGTTTCTGCAACGTTATCTTTATGATAAAAACCTTAAATGATTTAAATCCAGGAATATCGTTAAATGTTTGTGCATCTTGATAGTCCAGGTTGGTATAGTCGTGAGAAGGACGGTTGGTGTTAGTGTTGACTGACTTCTCGACATCCTTAGCGATACTGAAACATCTTCTGAGTCAAGTGAGCCGTAAATATCAGGTTAGCCGTGCATTCAAACATTTGCCAAAATTTACTCCCTTATTGACTCTGAAAATGACTACCGCTAAGGTTGTCGAAACGTCAGTGAAACACCCACAATCCTTCTCAGAACCCCATTAACCTGTGCGATCAACAAACAATTAAAAACCTTTAAAAGAAGAAAAATTAACATTCGATATAAAATCACTAACGAGTAAGTAAATCTACCTATTTCACCAGCCCATTCAATGGCAGTCCCAGTCCCTGCAGCGTTGCCTTCAGCGAGGTACGTCACATCTGAGCCAATTTTCCATCCAACTAATGGATATAACCCTAAATAGCAAAAAATTAGATTAAATAGAGAATGCTTGGAAAGAATGAAGAAAACAATTTTTCTTTGAGAGAGAAAACAGTGAGATACAAGTAAATAACTATGGTGGTTAATGAGAAAAAACTGTTAGCAAGCAAGCATACAAACAAATGAAAACACTGACCTGCAACTGACGCATGCGCATGCTTTCCAGTATTGATGTTGATGAAACTTCCAGTGCCCATGGTAAGATTGATATCACCAACATCAAAACAACACTGGCCAAACACGGAAGCCTGCTGATCTGCAACCTGTTAAAAATGAAAACAGCATTCATTGATAGGAAAGAGATAGATTTATTCCACTTAAAACAAATGCAGATGAAAACATATGTTACAGGGTTGGAAATTACAATTTAGACGTTACATACCAAGCATGATAAGCATAAAACAATATTATCCGAAAAATATAAACATGGAAAAATGAGTTCATTGTCACACATTGTACCCATGATTATGGCCATGAAGATGTTGGTGAATAATTTTATTTTTTTTGGGGTGGGGGGAGACATATAGTTCTTCTCACCACAGCTGTTACAGGAATTCGTGTGCCAAATATATCTTTATGTATTTCACAAAGAGAACCACTAATAAAATTAGAAAGATGGTATAAGATTAACTTTGCTACAACACGATTGATAATCTTAGTCTAATCTTACATGACATTCGTCATCATTACAACTCAGTTTGTAAAACAAACGCAGTACACAAACGAGTTACGGGTTACCTACCTAGTTTCCACGACTTCAGGAAGCAATGAAACTGGAATTTCAAATAATGTCGTCATCAGTGAGCTCCAACATAACTATACAGAACATAAAATTTTGTCTTTAAGGTTGTGTCTCATGCATGTAAATGATGCAATTGTTCAAGTCGCTTTACTCGCTCTACTAGGGCGAGTGAGGCCCTTGTCGTTTCTTTTACGAAATTTAATTGAATGTTTATGTCACTCGTGTGAACAGTGCATGCATTAAAGCTTGATTTTCATATGCGACATAAGTGCAAGAAAACAAAGCAATGCATGTACTTACTAACGTTGGAGAAAACAAAACAAAAGAAATTTTCTTTTCCAAATAAAGGTTAGAACGTAATCCAGAGTGTTCTATTTGATTTAGAATCCCGAGAATTAGATTTATCTATTGTGAGTGTGTCTATTTTCGATTACGTTTGCAACCGAAAATTTGATCTGGTTAAGGCAGTTTCAAATGCACTTCTACAACCTTCTCTAATTGACGTTTTAAGTCCAAAGGAAACTTAGAAGTGAAGAAAGAAACATGTTCTAGTACCACAAATACAAAACAGATAAAGATTTTGCTGGTTTTTGAACGTGCAGAAAACACGTATGTCATATCTAAAGGTTCACATGTGTTTGCTTTGAATTTTAAGTGTCATACTTATTACAACATCATTAGGATTCTTTAATCTTATTAGTATTCTCTTAGACAATACTAATAAGGAAATGAGCAGTAAAGCCTAGTTTTCACTAGTGACATAAGCACAAGCGATAAAACAAAGCTAAGCACATTCTCCAGAGATTGGATGAAATTAAAATTAAAGAATTTTCAAGTTGCTGTGCTTATGCTTATGCTGATGCTTGTGCCAGTCGCTTCATTGCCATCTTTTGTATTTTCTTTTGTCTTAGTTTGTCCTTATGCTTACGTCGCTAGTAAAAACTAGGCTTAATAGCATAATATCTCACTAGTATCCTCTGTATTGAAAATACCAAGTAAGATTTAGAGAATACTAATGATTATTGTATTCCATTGTTTTCGTTTGAATCCTGCACTTTCTTGAGCTTCACTAAATGAATTTTAGACAATATGCGATATAGAATATCCTAATAATAAATCCTAGACGCGACATTTTATCTTTTATTATCTTTTGCCTTTGCTGGTCTTTATGCTATTGTCTCTAGTGAAAACATGGCTTTAGAAAATAGCTACCATCATGGGCAAATTAAGAGATACAATGCACATAAATTTATTCACTCATTGGTGTTCTGTGATCATACTTATATTGTACTTCATGTAGTTGAATGTTTTTTTCTTGACGTTCAATGACGAGGACGGAACACATGGTTGTTCGCAAAAACAAACGCGCTAGTGATGTACTTTTACAGAGCTTGTCAGATTCTTTTAATCGTAAATGAGAAAATAAGAGGCTACAAATACAAGTAATAAAACTGTCTTAAAAAGAAGGGTGTTGCAAAAGAAGGAAATCAAGAGACGTGTACTAACTCTAAGGCAGTTGAGGTAACTTTTAAGCATGGTGAAAATGTACTAACTTTTAAATTTTGGTGTATCGACTTAATTTCAAAACCGTCATTTTATGTTTGTTGTGAGAGTTCATCAAGAGTAGCTTACTTTTCATGAAAACATAGAATTTGATTCTGTGCTAACGGCAAACAGCAATATTGTTGATGTGGCAACTACTGTTATTGAAAAAAATACAGAAAAATGTCAACACAACTAACCACATAAGGATCAAACATGCCAGTAGAGCTTGCGTTTGAATAATCTGTTATATGAACTTGTCCTAAAAAATAAAGCATGTATGTAACGGTCGGACAGATGCAAAACAAAAACATTTGCATATCCTATTGCCTATAAAACATTTGTTGACAAGTACATATTTTTCTTGCATCAACTTAATTAAACGCCAGTGAATTGTATGGTACGTGTGCTTGACATACAACGTAAACATGACTATTTACATGATTATAAGCATGAAGCATACGTATGTATACATTATTATCATGCATAAGACATATATACATGGAATACAAATTGAAATGTACTCAAATTTACAAATGGCACCTTTGGTGAGCTTCCATAAAAGCCAAGTATCTATCGTCGCAAACAATATTGACCCCTGACGGGCCTTTTTCATTAGCTGAAATATTTTGAAAATATAGATTGAAACAAAACAATGCAAAAATAATCAAGGCGCGCTGTTGTACCTCAGCGTGATTCTTCAACATCCAATGTAATCTCATAGAAACCTACAATGTAACATCTTTCATTAAAATTTATGTTGACTATGTCAACTTTTTAACATTCTTTTGTCAAAACTCACATGTTGTGTGGAGAAATTTATGACACTTGCTGCTAAAAATTGTTTTCTTCTGGATAGAAGATGCAGAGCTTTTGCACCTAAATGTAATCCCTAAAATATGGTATATGATACTGAAATATCTTGAAATGACTGCTAGTAAATCCTTAATCAAGCCCTAAAATATGATATATGATACTGAAATATCTTGAAATGACTGCTAGTAAATCCTTAATCCAGCCCTAAACTATGGCATATGATACTGAGATACGTTGAAACGACTGCTAGTAAATCCTTAATCCAGCCCTAAAATGTGACACATGATACTGAAATAACTTGAAATGGCTGCTAGTAAATCTTTATTATAATATCTTTGAGTATGTGATCCAAATGTATGAATAACTATGCAGTGTGCGAATTAACGGTGTGCAATGTGCAATTTGCACATCGTTTTAGCTAAAATGAAAACAATTGCACATCACTTTTTCAAACGATGTGCAAAAATAAGCGGTTTTAACGAAAAACAATGTCGTAAATCATATGAATTTGTTCACGTTTGAAAGTATTAATTTAGCAATTAGCGCTGTATAATAGTTAACGTAATATCGATTTGATTATGCCTCTAAAGAAACACTTTTGTCAAAAAAATTGCACATCGTTTTTTCTGAACTAATTCGCACACTGACTATGTATGTAAAACAGAATGCATTTTGTGATGCAACATTTCAGTATAAATATTACCTTCATTGTGAATGACCTGTTCCAATTTTCAGTCAATTCTGCTGCTCTCAAATCTTGCCAGGTGATAAAGTTATGAATAGGACGACCAGTACGCCTACAGAGATTCAGAAGTAAGTTTATTTACAAGTTAACTTTGAGATACAAACACAACATAAATGCAATTTCGTCGCATTTAGAAAAATTACGGCAGATATCAAATAAACATTTCAAATTTGGTGCATTATATGAAAGAAGAAGTCCATTTAGCCACAAAAGGTGGAGTTTTGATTCAAACGAGCATCTATATGTCCCCTTTCTCCTTTCTTTGATTTTCACATTCCTGCTATAAAATCATTTATTCTACTATTTTTTCAACTTTCTCTTACTCAAAATACCATCAGCACAATAAATTACTACACTTAAACAGTCACATTACTAGATTATTATGCCACTTATATAACGCAAGAGTAACTGTACAGTCATACGTCCAACCGCAAATCATTTATTCTGCACTATAGAGAGTATTTTCATGTCGAAGCATGTACAGTTTTTCAAATTCATCGTATTAATTGAGGACACATTCACTTGTAAAAACGCTTATAAGTTTAATGAATGGCGCTCGCCATTAGAGTTTAAGATGTTTAGCTATTTCTTTTTATTTAGAAAAAATAGAATTTTCGAAATAAGAGATAATAAAAAAGCCCTTCATAAATAGTGGAAATGCTAAACACCTCAAAAACGAATATCATAAGTAACTAAACTTACTTATCGAAATTCAAAAATGTTCCTCTCTGAGTAGAAATGCCGAATGCAGTTATATCTTCATATTGGAGACACGAACCTACAAATGAAATAAATGCAAATGTAATCAATTGACTATTTGTACAATCATTGATTATTTTCGATGTTTATGTACATTTGATAAAGAAAATGGAAAATTAAATAAAAATGGCAAATGAGACAAAACAATGGGAAATGACGCTAAACAATGGAAAATGACACCAAAAATGGCAAATGAAACAAAACAATGGAAAATGGCGCAATTACAAATGAGACGAAGCAAAGGCAAACAAGACCGAAGAGATTTTCCTTAAATTCCAAATCATGTAAAATTTCTTCGGAGAAACATGTTAACTGACCGCAGCATTTGCAACTCAAATTAATTTGCCATTGTCACCAACTGATCTAATTATAATTCATCGTAATAAATCGTGCAAAATTCAGACAATTACGAATTGAAATAATTTACAAACAGAAAAAAAAAGTCGAAAAACGATCGGTAAAAAATCAATTTTGACCATTAAATGGAATAAATTTTTCAACAGCACAAATCAGGATGACCGCTATTCTCCTAAGATTTAGTTTTGGCTTCGTGGAAAATGAGACAAAACAATGTAAAATGAAACCAAACATGAAAATTGAAACTGAACGTGAAATAAAAAACCGTGGAACATTAGACTGAACAATTGCAAAGGCACAAAACAATGATAAATGACAATAAACAAAAGAAAATAATTCCAAAAAGATGAAAAATCACGTTCATGACAATGAACGTACAAATTAACCTATGGTAAAATTTCAATGCAACTACGATCATTATGCCAATTGCACTAGTTAGTGCAATACCCTACATGTTTAGATGTTAGAAGCTATGTCAAATATCCTAGAGCAGAAAAGATTTTGCATTAGTAACAAAGATGTGTAATATATATGCACGTAGCTGAGCATACTTTATGGAATGATTATAGGCATTGAAATTATAAACGTCAATTTCTAAAGATCTTTCTTATTCATACATCCTGCAGAATGCTTATAATGAAAAATAATGCAAAACAGGAACATGGAAACTAGTATTGGCATGCGAAAATTCAAAGAGTCAAGAAAAACATCAAAGAAGCACAACAGATAAAACAACAGTCCTGTAAAGGAAAATTTTGCAAAAGTTTTCCTTAGTTAACTGCATGGAAATGTTGTACTTTTTATACAAGTTATTTATCACATCATGCTATTGTGACATTGAACTAGATTATTATAAGTAACATTCAACATTGCTTTAATATTTCTCTGCTATACAAGACCTTCCACTGCTTCAGTGACAACATTTAAAAACTGATCCCACAGAACATCTGGATCTATTTCAACCCAACCTGGTCTTGGATACAGTAGTTGAACCTATAATTTATAAAATAACACCTTATCATACATTGCAAAATCTATGCAGCAATAAAGAGTAGATTGTACATTGAATAGCACTAAGAGAATTGTAACACAGTGTGGTAATTGCTAAATCACACAAATATAACATGTTGTCTATAAGCAATTTTTGCTACCATCATTACGATTTTATTAGAGCACATTGTTTTCATAACTGATTTCATCAATTAGGCCCATTTTTATCTGGGTTAGGCACTCAACAGCCCTTCTAGAAACACTAAAACATTCATTTGAATGGCACATCTTAGTGCAGGTATTCATCACTGAATAGTTTGATGTGTCATGCTGTGCAGTTGCGTGTTCCATGGTCTGTTGTGCAATATGAATTTTTTATGACACATTTAACTTTATGACATGATCACTGGAACCTTTCACTAAACAGCATTTTCTGCTTTGAGGCTTTTCTCACAATAAAAGTAAAACTTGATTCAGGTTAAGAAAGGTCACATATACAAGTGCGATTTGAGTGCAATAGCGATATTTAGGGTTTTGTTGACGCAAACAAACCTTTTGGACCGCGCCATACATTGAAATTCCAGTTTTATCAAAGACGTGACACGTAAGGTTTGTCGTACCAACATCTACAGCAACAACATAACCCTCCGACTTTTTCACAGCCATTCACTACAATTGACTTGCTGCTGTTAAGGTGGGAAAATAACCACAGAAATAGAACACGTTTGACTATTAAATTTGTAGTTCTGCCGTTCAACTTCAAAGTTGAGTGATTGTTACACCGTAGAAGTATTAAGCAAATTCCTCCATTCCATTTGTTTCTATATCATTACCAAGATTATCTATGAAGTTAATCTTATTATTATTCATTTCTATGTTGTTTCATTATTCGTGGTGCAGTCTTTACAATAAACCATTTCAAAAATGATTCTGCACCCAAAAGAATGGTAACGAGTTTGTGAGTATTTGTTCCCTTGTTCCTCATTCCCTCCATCTACATTCCTTTTTGTCCGATTTTTGGCGGAAAATTTGAATTTATAAATTTTAAATTTTAATATTGTTTTTATCGAAACGGTAGAAACTGAAATTTAAATCAAATGTAAATTATATCGCCTATTGGAGAAATTGTTTCACCATTCATTTTTTCGCGAATCGCATCACTCATGAAATCGTGCGATGGCAATGGGAATCTCGAAGGAGAATGTGGTCAATGGTTATCAAAAAATTCAAATTCTAAAATCAAGATTCACAGAAAGCAGGCACGTTTTATCCCACATGCAATATCGAAATGGAAACCAATTTCATTGGATGGTGGAAAAAAATTAAATGCTAGACTTAAGCAAAGCACAATTAATCAATATCTTCACAGTTTCACTGGAGATAAAGTCGCAATTATAAAAGAAAATGTCCCTCAAACACATGGTTTGCCTCCAGTAGAGCATTCGTCCTCTACCGCTACCGTAGAGCATGGTAATAAAATTTCCAGTTTGGGTATTTCTCATAATTTATGCTTACATTGAACTTGTATAGAACTGCATTCCGTTTTCAAAGATGCAACATTCATTTTTACAGAAATGAGAAAAAGCAGTTCCTTCTATGTAATATTTCCTCACCTATGCCAAGTTATCTTAAATTTAGCTTTCTTCACATGTGGAGTTTTTACAATGAAGACTTAAATTGCAATACTTTTGCCAAAATATATCTTTGTAAAATGCTTATTTAAAATAATTTGCCCCTCTGTTACTCTGTATTGGGTGTTAGGTGATTTTCACTATTTCTTTTTACCTTGCTAAACATGCCTTATTTAGTCTGTCAAGTGGGCATTCAAGATGATAAGAACAATTCAAACAAAAGAAAACCTGTGTATAATCCTCCCAGCAAAGAAGAAAAAAGGGTTTTCAATAAGTCATCTTGTGAAAAAAAATATAGTAATGAATCAGCTAACAAGAGATGTGTTTTGGAAAAAACTATATCACTAACTGGAGCACAAAAAGCTAAGCAGAAATTACTTACCTTTAAGAAAATGAACACCCCAGCACAAAGCATTGAATTTTCATATCCCAGGAAGACAATTAACTCAAAATATTCTTTTGCATTAAAATACATGATAATGGATGAAGCAGATGGTCCACTTCAAGAAGATTTCCCTTTGGTAACTCTGCCTTCCCAACAGACACTGTCTACTTCAAACAACGAAAGCTTATCACAATTCAGTGAATGGTTGAATGAAAACATACAAAAAGTGAAGAACAATGAAGAACATGATTGTGACTGTCAAAGTGAAAATTTCCTATTTCATCATGATATTAGGTTGTCACGAAATAGTTCAATATTCTCACAATGGTTTGAAGCAAATTTAGAAAGCCTTGAAAGTTGTGGAACTCGGCATTAATTTTACAATGTTATCTGAATCTGAGTGGTTTGGCTCCTTGAAAAATGTGATTAGATGTGTCTCTTAGGACATGAGTCAAATCTTACATCTTGCAAAAATATAAAATTTTTGTTAACTGATTGTGTTTGTTAATTATATTCTGATGCATCCAACTTTCAAGTGTCCCTCAAAAGTAAATCCAAAGACATTTACTGATTCAACAAAATTATATATGAGAAAAATATTCAACAAATATACGAGAAAAATATCACTAAGATGCAGCACATATAACTTACATTTTCTCAAGTGAATAATTGGTTGCATGTAGATTCTTTGGAGATCAACTATTAAAAATAGGCACGCAATGCGTTCATGTGAAGTGTTTCAAAATTTGCGTTTTAACGAAGTAAATTCTATACAAGAAATTAACAGCGTGCAGTCAACTACACCTGGAGATATTTATACATGTATTAAAATATTAGATTTTTTAACGCAAGAATTACTATAAATTCAAAACGTGGCTGAGTTTATGTGAAGAGAAAATTGTTTTACTGATAAAATTATGAAAGATTCGCGCATGACACATGAAATATACGCACTAAATATTTAGGAAAGAGCATTTCAACTTTTCTGTTTGTTGATCTTTTTGTGCACTAACTCGCGGAAATCTGACAAAATCTTCGTTTCTCTCTTTGCTCGTTCTTCGTAGTTGAACATGGCCAATGCTCGTCTAATAAAGAAATATTATAATTATACATGCACATGCGTATTTATATGCAAGTTGATGCAAGGTTGACAATGAAATAATATAACATTATTTAGTAATAAATTTGCATTATAAATTTGCTTGGTTAACAATTAAAACTTTCTTAACTAATTGAAGGTTTAACCATAAATAATCGATGTTGGACTACTTGGATACAAAAATATAATATCAAATATAAACGAATATATTTACTTCTCATCAGCGCTGTAGATTTGGTTTTCCTTTCTTATACGGACAGCTTCCATACGTCGATGTCGGCTACCACTCATGACGTAACCTTGATCTTCAAATGACGTTATCTCATCACTAGTTAGTCCAATCTCCCCACGACGCGGAATGCGTTTACCAGCCTTAACATAATTCGCCATTGCAGCACCTTCGCCAGGAAGTAAGGCAGCACCGAAGCTGAACAAAAAAATCACGTGTCGGTGAAAAAATAAGTGATGATTCTAAATAATTCTTGTAGTGATAATGTTATTCATTTAAACTAGTATCACTATCCATGCACATATACAAAGCAGTTCATACTCCATTCTTTCGTCATTGTTCCCATGTTGAAGCGAAACTAGAGGCGTTGGACCAACCACTATATCCCCTGAAGTTTCATCTAAAAAAAATGAACCTTGTTCAACCTACGTCAGGATTTAGATTTCTCATTGAATATTTATGCACACACCTTTGCGTTTTTCAAGCCACTCGCTAACACCATCATCACCTACATATGATTTCAACAGAGTAAGCAACGGTCACGGAAAACTTACTAAGGAAAACCGAGCTTGTACTAAGGAAAACGGAGCTTGTACTAAGGAAAACTGAGCTTGTACTAAGGAAAACTGAGCTTGTACTATGGAATGCGCTATATCAATGACAATTCACTAATTTGGAAAGGAAGTAACCAGCATTTTAAATAAACCACAAAACTCTTCTACAATAATTTGACTTATTCAGCTTCCTAGAATTCAATTTTACCGTAATCAGTTTGACAGTGTGTGCAACATAATTTAAATTTCTGATCATCAGAATGATTTACAGTATGTAAGAATCTATTGTTTTTACAATAATTGAACAGCAAAATACAGTATATAAATAGTAAGACCAAATTTGTAGGCTAGCTACATCAGTGAACGCTACTAAAAACTTTACATACTTTCAGAATCATGTTCACTTTCTTCGCTGGAACTTTTCTTTCTTCTTTTCTTGCTAAAAATGAAATGACATCATCTACATTGAAGATAATGTCCCTAGATATAACTCCAACAAATTGTATTTAAACCAAATATCAATTTATTTTACTGTGCACATCATTGGATACAAAAATGAAACACAATTATTACATGTTCACAATAAAAGTGGAATATAAAAATAAAACACTATAAAAAATAAACAAGACCTTTTCTTTTTGTGTTTTCTTTTCTTCTTTTTGTCAGATTTCTTATACTTTCCATTACTAATTTCTTTGCTATTTACACCTTCCACTGACCCTAGTTCACAATTGAATTTGTACAAACATCTTCTATCATGAGAACTAATCTAATAGTCAATGTTAACTTTAATTTTCTTTAGTTAGTTGGCAACACAGGGGTTTGTAAATTAGAAATGTCATAGTTATGCAATAATACCATTGTTTTTGACATCAAATTTTTCCAAAGGATCTTCCTCTTCCTCGTTATCAGAACTGTCAGAAAATCAAAGGCCCAAAAATGCATTAACTTCTGCATCTGGTGAAATACAAAATTTTTCATTATATACCAGTTTCAAATCAATAAAACATACTCCTCTAATGGTGCCTTCGGTGATAAGCCCCATGCACCTGCCACCCCCATTACACATATATGTTCACGCTCCTGTCGTCGCCTGAAGATAATTCGATAGAGACATTAACACAGGATGCAGTTCACTCCTTTTCTTTTTGACTGATCATTATAAACATTTGGGTAGAAGTTAAAGACCTAGTGTTAAATAAACTAAGATTGACAACAAGTTCTCTAGATTTCAAAAAAATACTACCACGATTACTACGTGTATGTAAAAATAAGCAGAAAAAAAATGACTGCAATAATTATCTCTTCCACCTTTCATAATTTCGTCCAGGACTTTTTCTCTTTTCTTGACCTTCATAATGCTTCCTTTTAGGCTAAAACAATGAACTTATGAAACTCAACATCTAGATGCTTTTAAGAAATTTTAGTGAAAATTTTGATGGAAATCCTGAAGAACTTACACGCCTAGAAGACGAACTTGACCCATGAGACTCCCGAAAATCACGACTTCGACGTTGCTCTTCAATATCACTGTTTGAACAAATTATTATAAATAAATATTCCAGTAAAAATACAAATTAAATGCCATAAATTATTTTAATTACCTTGTAGGCATTATAAATAGTCAAATAGAGTAATGAATACTTTGTATAAACGAAGAAAGCCAAGAATTCTGTTTAAGTCTAAAGTATGTCCGCCATTTTGAGTAACATCTGGGGACGACAGGGGGGGACGACTGACCAGCAATCAGTGCCAGCAACAGAGAATTTTTTGGTGGAAAGGCACTGGTGACAAAATAATTTCGTCTTTTTCTTCTTTTGAATACATCTTATCCTTTACAGACTTTTTGGTCATCATCCTCTTCACCACTTCAGTAGGTCCCGGGCATGTAGTTCACCGTTCATTTAAACTCCCTCCTCAACCATCTTGCCATATCTGTCACAACTGTCATCATTCTTTTAACATCTTTTCATCTCCATTGGTGACGAATTAACGACGATATAAAAATCACTGCGTGTATCCACTATTAGGTTCAAACAGTAAGACCACTACGGAAATTTTTCTGTGTGAATGGTATTCATATTAAATATAGAGCTTTAGATTACATAGCGTAGTGGTCAGATTGTATATTTCTAATACGGAAAAGGATATTGTGTTATGTAGTGGTATGCAATGTTATGTAGTAGTATGTAGTTGTATGCTGTAGTATTTAGTGGTATGTATTGGTATGAAGTGGTATGTAGAGGCGTGGTGGTATGTATATGTAGAGGTATATAGTGGTATTTCGTGGCGTGTAATGGTATGTAGTGTTATATTGTTGTATGTAGAGGTATATAGTGTTATGCAGTGTTATGTAGTGTGTTATGCAGTCTTATGTAGTGTTATGTAGAAGTATGCAGTAGCATAAGGTAGTACCAGAGGCTAGTGTCAGAACAAAACAGCTGTTCAAACAATGCAAATGAACCAAAATGATTAAAAAAATATCAATCATATTAAAATGGGAAAATTACAGCATGTATACAATACTTAAATAACTATCTTGATGGAAAGAAAAGCCGTTGCAGATGTTCCTTGTCAATTTTTAAGGTTTTTCACACCATTTGCATTAACATAATTACTTGTATGAATAAGTGGCTACATCATTTAGCTTTCTCGGAGCCCTTTCATTGTTTGTTTGTACGCATGTTTTGATTGGTTGATGAAAACGAAGCGTGAGCGGACTGTGTCATTTTTTTGCTCGAATACGAACAGGAAGTGTTGAGCTGTATTGTTGAATCGGATTTTTCCATTTTGGACGAGTTAGACTGAGACTGAAACACAAGCATTATAATTCAGCATAAGAATCGTAATTTGACTGTCATTACACTTATAATCATTGAAGTTAAAATTGGATATCTTACACTTGAAGATTTTTTCCGATCTCTAACATCTTTTTTGATACTTGTTTTGGAGGATGTCTTGTTTATCAACTGTACAGAAAATACGTAAAATAGTGAGCTCAATCGATGCCGGTTTATGTTATATATATACCCCGGTGGAGACCTTCCTCCATAAATAGGTAGATATATCTGGATCAGTCAAAAGCTCAGGTTCTACTTTTGTCATTTTTAAACATGTTTGCCTCGACTGTTTGGTAAAACATGACAATCAAAAACTACGAACAACAGCTTATCGCAAGCCAACACATACTGACCGACTACTAGACCAATCATCTTACAACCCTACATCACACAAAGCCACCACAATCAGAACATTAACAAGACGTGCACAAATCATATGTGATTCACCGGACGCTCTACACAACGAAAACAATTATCTCAAACGTGTTTTTGACAAAAACAACTATAACTCTGACTTTATCAAACGCAACACTTACAAACCCAACGAACCCAACGAAACGAACAACTCAGTGACAACAGCAACGATACCTTACATCAAAGGTACGTCTGAGACTATCTCGCGTATCTTACGACCATACAACATACGTGTCGCACATAAACCAATCACAACGTTACGACAAGTACTAACGAACATAAAGGACAGAGAACAGCCCAACGAACGACAAGGTGCAGTTTACAAAATAAACTGCTCCGACTGCCACGCCTCCTATTTCGGGGAAACTGGCAGGAACTTAAACATAAGACTTACTGAACACAAACGAGCTACTAAGAAACAAGACAAAACTAATCACATTGCCGAACATCACCGAATCACAAAGCACAACATTGACTGGGACTCGGCAAAATGCATTACTTACAGTACTGACTATAGACAACGGCTTACATTAGAAAGTTGGTATGCCAACTTGGAACAAACTCCCCTGAACAGATCACAGCAATTACCGGCACCTTACAAACGACTTATTCACATAACAAACAAACGATCAACTAAAAACATTACACTTCACACTAATTCACAATGACAATACACAATTGACACCCACACATTACAACAAAAAACATCACACCTAAATCACACATCACAACTAAAAATAAAAATATTTCACTTCACACTAATTCACAATGACAATACACATTTCCTTTACACACAATACAATGACGTAAGAACCAGATGACAAATACGGCTAACCTGACGTTTACTCCTCATTTGATTATGAAGATGACTACCGCTAAGGTTGTCGAAACGTCAGTCAACAACAACAAAAACAGTCCTTCTCAGGATTATACCAACCTGGGCGATCTACATTTACAAACATGTAACGATACTCCCGGGTTCAAACCATCTACTTTATAGGTTCAATTGTTGAATGTCATAAATAAAGCTTAAAATAATGAAATCAGTATAACCATTGAGTTCTATAATAACTGGAGCGGCTATCTCAAGCGCGGCCTTAGATATCTGATGACGCCAAAAAAATGGCGGATTTCGTCCGTTGCCGCTGAGATTTACCGAAATTGACCGCTTGAAAATTTCACAATTTCCACTCCCTGAGGAAAAGTGAAGAAAATGTAATTTGGGGCAAGCAATTTTTGATGAAAATCACGATAAAACCTATTCCTAACAGCGAGTCAACCTAGCTTTCCAGTTATCGGCTCCTACGAGGATGTATTTATAACTATCGACGAAAGAGCTATATGTCGGCTACATCTATGAATGCAGATATGCGTCGTTTTCTTACCAGCGTCAAACTTGTTTGATCGATTAAACTCTTTAGTCTACACAAAAAGTATATCATAGTTCATCTCCACGGTTCACGAGAGAGTTAGCTTATTTGTTATCATTGCTATTTGCTTCTTTTGGAAAGGCAATGGCTTTTTCTGCAATTGTAGGATTTTACTTGTTTCTTTAAAAAAATATTAAATCTCTGGATATTTACGGATTTTCTGAAATTGAGTTTCATATTAAATTTCAAAAGACTCAAGTCTGCATAGGTTTGGTAAATGAAACAAACAATATTGTATAGAAATTACTTTAAGTAACCTTTTTGTGATGTTCTGAAGTGTGCATCAAATACTTGTAAAGTTGTAGCACATTTTGATTTTGTTGTATTGATATATAAATTGGGCAAAATGCAAATAATCATCAAAACACTTATGCTTCCAATGGTGTTTATAATTCATTTTAGTTTTAACACTTCCACCCTTATTTTCACTTTGTTTTGTTTTTCCTATATTTGCAATATAAGTGCAATTTGAATGATTAACACAGTTTTCACCTCAATAAAGCAGTTGGTAGTGCATTTTGTTCTCTGAGTATCCACATTTGGTGTTTTCTTCATACAAGAATGATGAAATGCATATGGATATGTCATAGCAAGGCAATAAAACCAAATGAATTAAATACCTATAGTGTACTTTAAAAAAGCTTTTAGAAATTAGAAAGTTATTTGATTATATTACCTCATCATCAATCTCATGAAAAGAAATAAGAAGCAAAATATTTGTAGAAAAGCTTTGAAAAGTGAAAAACATTTATTTAAAAAGCAGTAATGAAGCATATGATAAATCTCCATTCTGTACTCTAATAGGTAAATAAGCTCAAACTGTTTTTAAAGAAATATAAGAAATATATAAGAAATATACAGTACAATAATTTTAAGGTTTCATCACTGAATCTTTGATGCTTCAGTATAGTCCATTAGATATTAGTAACATTTAAACAACACTCAACTAAAATATTTTGATAAACATATGACATGATTTAACATTAAGTTATATAAACCCAATGGCTTATACAGTTTGATGCTTCACATCTGCATCGTCATCATAAATCTCAGTACAAATGTTTTAGACACAAACTTTATGGCCTATTTTTATGTTGTGAATTGACATTTAATTAAGCATCAAAACACACACAACCTTCTTGCCATCTTTTTGGTTCATGAACTTTAACTTCAAAGCATTCAAGGCATCATAGTGAATCCATTGTCTCCATCCATAGAATTTGACCATGATCAAATTAAATAACTCTGGATAAGGCAGATAAATCAATCTTCTAGCAGATCATTTTTAAGACTCTGCCTGGTCAATAATATCTTCCAGTCATCTTTACTCCTTGGTCTTCCCTGCATGTTGTCAGCAAATAGAACATAACAAGCTCTGCTCCAAATCATGGGTACTGTTGGGGCTGATCATTTCTTTTGATACTTTTCACAGAGCAAAATGTGTTTTTTTTTGCTGGGAAACTATTTTGCAAATAGATGGGTAAATTTACGATTTCATGCATTAACAAATGACAGAAAAGTATGCAGAATTTTATTGACAAAAACAGGAAAACATCAGTATAATTGTGGTTCAAGTCAGTCTTAAAATACGATCTTTAATATGTATTTTATGGCTTTTCAAGAGCATGTATAATTGCTTTTCAATCGTTGACGGACTAACAAAACAAGCAACTATCTCACCTGTGAGAAGCGATATTTTCCTTTTGTGGAAACTACGACATCCAACAATTGAACGATTGAAGTGTTGGCATTATAAAGAAATGCTAAAAGATATTGTTACAGAAATGGAGCTAACGATATCCGTATTCTGTGATATCGTGTTTGTTTTTGAAAAATTCTTTATAATTTACTATAGACACCAGGGGGAGGTCGAGAATATTATTTTTCTGCAAAGCGATCATTTCAGCGGAAATACGTCCGTTGGGCGCCATTTTTTTGGCGACCTCGCCCCAGTGAACTCGACATTTGAATAACTGGAATGATAACCGAAGCCAAAAATTGAAGCCAAAAAAATATTTGTCGTCATCATTCGTCATCACACGTCAGGCTCTAGTCTCTCGCGTGCTCATTTTAATTTTTTTAAATCATTTGTCCCTTGGTAATGGTAGAGTTCGGATCTTGATCAGAGCGTAAAAATAACGAAATTTTTGGAAGGAAAAGGTTCACGGAAAGTGAATCAAAGTGATAAATCGAGAAGCAGGGTGAGGTGAATTTGGTCGATCTGCTTTTACGCTGCGGTTTTCCTTTAAAACATATCAAAGTCTTTAAGGTAAATGGTTTGAACCCGGGAGTATCGTTACATGTTTGTAAATGTAGATCGTCCAGGTTGGTATAGTCTGAGAAGGACTGTTTTGTTGTTGTTGACTGATTTTCGACAACCTTAGCAGTAGTCATCTTCAGAGTCAAATGAATCAAAGAGAAGATGACTACCGCTAAGGTTGTCGAAACGTCATCAACAACCCAGTCCTTCAGGACTATATGGATCTATTTGCATGCAAAGTCTTTAAGGATATTCAATTATTGATATCGAGATGACAACCATGTAGTATTTCAAGCACAATAAAAATCGATGAAAAATACAATCGCTCTGTAAAAAGTAAAAATGCGAGTTATAAACTCAATATGTTTTATGAAACTGGATATTCAAGTTTCTTTTTTCTTCGGAAAAACATATCTTTAAATCCACTGAAATGACAAAAAAAGACAAACTCTGTCTGACACCGTTTGAAAATTTACCTTCGGACGAAAGAAAAGTTTATGCTTGAATATTTTCTCGTCATATTTTCTATTGTATTGTCTTTTTAGCATACAGTGTAATTTTCATTTGGCTTTTCCTCGTTACAAGTTGTAAGTCACAACGAACTCGCTGTAGTAAAGTTTCAGCTGTAAAAAATAAACTTTGGCGAGGAGTTGGCCTCGTGTGTTGTTTGTCGTGATGTTGTTTATATGTTTATGCTTTCGCAATTTGTATTCAAATTTATATTGGCCGTGTATGTTTGGCACTCAGGGGAATGAAACTGACGTACAAACCGCGTGAATATTCGACTTTGACGGACTGGAACTGACGTACAAACCGCGCAAGAGACTAGGACTTTGGCTTCAACTTTTTATCTATAAAATGTATTGTCGTTATCATTCCAGATATATATATATATGGAGTTCACTGCCTCGCCCCAGTAAAGATAGCCGCTCCAGTTATTATAGAACTCAATGAGTATAACAATCTTGTCAAAGTAGTCTTGTAGTTGCAGTTGTATTGCCGGCTCACTTGTTTACAGTTGACAAACAATGTAAATTTTTTTGTAGCAAATTTGGGTTTGTTTCTTTGTTTGGTGTGTATATATTTGCGAATTTTCAGTACAGAAAAACTGTCTCAAAAATATAAAATAGTCGCTTCTCTTTTCATATATTTTATTTAAGCCTAAAAGCCAAAAATTTTCAGTTTATATTACATCACGTCCACGCTGTCCGCTGACTGCAAAACATTGAGTATTTTATAAGAAGTGTTCAAAATACGAAGTGTCAAGTGTTCTTTGATTGTCTTTGATTAACGAAAGTTGTAATTCAATTCAAATTTGATCAAAGGATGAAAAGTGGAAATAGTCATTTGATTATAAATTGAAATTTATGGTCATAATGTCAGCTCATAGTATGGCACATGAACATGAACATAATCATGGCACTTGCTGCAAGTCTGTAAGCCGAACATGTTCACAAAATTTTGATGAGATGGACTTCGCCAGAGGAGTTTGGTATGCTGCAATGAATGGTGACGAAGCTCGAGTTCAAAAACATTTAGAAAAGAATTCTTGTCCAGATATTGTAGATAGTGCTGGTTACACTGCCTTGGTTAGACTCTATTTATGGTAGTTAGTTTTTATGAGTTTATGAGGGCAATATGTACATTTACACTAATAACTAACCACCTTTAAATTATTAGTAGTTTTAGTTTTTTTATGGACTTACAATTGTGTGTACAAATGAGGACATTCAAACTCTTATGTAACAGAATGTAAAAAGCCAAGCTTAATATTCTTCATTTCTTGTCATTATATCACTTAGATTGTATCAGTTAACTTAATGTCATTATTTTACAGCATTATGCTGCCCGTAACGGTCACATTGATGTATGCAGACTACTACTAAGGCACGGTGCTAATCCCAACTGTGAAACACGTGCTGGCAGAGCAACGCCATTGCACAGAGCTGCATATGGTGGACACTTAGAAATTGTGAAATTATTGGTTCAGTACCAGGCAAAATTAGATTTGGCAGATATTGATGGACAAACTGCATTGCACAAGGTATAAATTTGTTTTTCTATTGAGTGATGTATAGTAAAATACATTTGTTGTTCTATTTAGAAATACAGAAGTTAAAACATGTTGCTTTGTGTCTGTAATGTAGCCCAGTGTGCGAATTAACGGTGTGCAATGTACAATTTGCACATCTTTTTAGCTAAAATGAAAACAATTGCACATCACTTTTTCAAACGATGTGCAAAAATCAGCGGTTTTAACCAAAAACACTGTCGTAAATCATATGAATTTGTTCAAGTTTAAAAATATTAATATAGCAATTAGTGCTATATAATAATTAACGTAATATCGATTTGATTATGCCTCTAAAGAAACACTTTTGTCAAAAAATTGCACATTGTTTTTTCTGAACTAATTCGCACACTGATGTAGCCTACATCCAAGATGCTTGTTTAACTGCACTAAATGCTGCTTATGAGTATGCCTGTATTGGGTATATTTGTTTTTTGTGCTGGCAGCCTGCATACCTAAAGTTGAAGGGCAAACTAGGTTTGCAAATTCTTTACTCTTTATTCATTAAAACCCAATTGCTCAAAAATTTTGCTTGGTGAATATTGCAAAGTTTTTATACTTTTGCTATGTTTCCATAAGTTATTTCGACCATGGTTTGTATTTACCATCAGGACCAAGCTCTTGCAGACTTGTAGTTACCTCAGCTAACTAGGATCCTGAAATCAAATGATGGATAAAAAAGTGTGATTTCTGTTTGAAATATGAGTTCGTTTTATTTATATATTACACCAGTGTGTGAATTAACAGTGTGCAATGTGCAATTTGCACATCGGTTTAGCTAAAATGAAAACAATTGCACATCACCTTTTCAAATAATGTGCAAAAATCAGCGGTTTTAACCAAAAACATTGTCGTAAATCATATGAATTTGATCACGTTTGAAAATATTAATTTAGCAATTAGCGCTATACAATAATTAATGTAATATCGATTTAATTATGCCTCTAAAGAAACACTTTTGTGAAAAAAATTGCACATCGTTTTTTCTGAACTAATTCGCACACTGTATTACACTCTAAAGTAATTCAATTCCATGATACCAAGAGTACAATGTATTTTTATATGAAATGCTACAATCTTAATGCATGAGATTTCTAACATAAGTTTTTTCTAAATAGGCAGCTCAAAAAGCTCATGAAGATGTGGTCAAGATTTTGGTTGATGCATTTGTATTGTTAACATCTGTTAGAGATAAATGGCATAAACGTCCCATTGATTATGTTCCTGAGGTAAACAAAAAATTGAGATCTCTTTTGGAACCAATAAATGTTTAGATAGCATAGAAACTTTATAGTTCAGAATGTTTGCTTTTGCTGTGTAATTAGTTGAAAACATTGGGAATCAGTAGGGGTAATTTTCATGAATGCCTGGTCTACCAAGTTTAGGTCTGTTTTTGCAGACATCCATTGATGTGTATTGGGCTTATTGCCCACCCCACCCCACCCCCTAATGAACGTATTTGGCCTTGCTACTGTGTATATTAGATCATTTGAATGTGCATGTGAAGGAGAGATAGATCAACTAGATAGATTACTATAACTTTTGACCGCAGTATAAAATGAAAGGTCAGTTGAAAATGGCTGACCTTTTTCTTAAATTCTTTTGCAAATCATATACTTAAAACTAACTTATTACATAATACAATAAAAATTGCATTTTTGCAATGCTATTTTTTAACTTACAAGTATCACTGACAGCGCATGCTCTCTCACTAAAAATCATAACGTATAATGTAACCAATGAAGTGAAAATAAAAACACTAAAACATAAAGTAATATTATCCCAAAAGGAGGAAACTATCTTTTGGTCTTTAACAATGAGTGTATCGACAATGTGTAAGATTTTTCAACTTAAATTCAATTTTTTTTGTTTCAAGGAAGATGTATGCTATAGTTGATACTATAGTAGGCTGTGTATGCTTTTGTATGTTAGTTACGACGTTTGTTTGATTAACGTGTAGTTGATTGGTCCATATCATAAATGTTACAGACAAGTTGCCCAAAAGGTTCTGAATTTTTCGTTATTACGTATGCGGTGTTAATTCTGTGTGTGCTACAATACGGAAAATAGCTTGGCATATCACTGCAATATAATGTAGTCCTTGTATGATCCCCACCCTTTCCGTATACAAACGTTCTAATTAAGCCCATGAAAAAGGGATTACAAACTTGCTAAAGCGTACGGTTTATGGGTCAAGGCTTACAATGGACACGACTTTAATGATTGTAAGGGAAGACCAAGTAATGCGTTCACCTTGTCTTCGAGAATTGAAACGTCGTTGCCCGACTCGGATGCAGCTAATTCTCTAAAACAAGAACATAAATCATCCTGATATCTCTTACTGTCTATTTCCCCTTTTGGATGGACGTGTCCGACTCTGACAGGTCGCCTTTCATCATGAATCTTGGTTCAATTGTTGTGACCAACACGCGACCAATTTCCTTTAGAAAAAGCCATTTAAATCTTTTTTTTTAACTCGCACTCATTTTTGCGCAAGATTTTCTTCAGCACGGCAATGACAGGAATCACTTCAGTCTTCAAATATGCTAGAGCTGTTATTGCTCATCAGCTAGTCTATTCCAGGCCTCCACTCTTCAAATAATGGAAGTGTAAGCAAAGGACTTTCTGCAACATAAAATGTTCTGTACAACATTTATTACATGAATTTACATATAAAAAAATTAGAACATTCGTCTTGATATTTGTAGTTTATAAAAAAAGCATACACAACTTTTTCTCGCATAAAATATTCTGTTCTTTTATCATTTCACATTTAATCTTTACATCAAATCACCAATTTCCTCGTTCTAAACTGGGAAAAACGCGAAAATTTGTTCAAAGTTCAAGGTTTACGCACGTGGAGTGATAGCAAGTTGAAATTTAACTCAACTCGTCACCACATCCCTGATGAACTTTTTTTAATGCCAAGATTATTTCTGTTAATATTATGCTCCGGAAGACAAAAGGACGAAAATTTGCGTTTTATCTTTGCAATGATATTCACGTCATTTGCACACACTTGTGAAAAAGACCCTTGTCTCGTTTTCAAGAACATTTTGGCAAACAGCTCCTACCGGTTGTTTTTCCAAAATTTGAATTTAAAGTGTCGTTAAAATGGTGTTAACTGAGCATATGTATCTTGGGGCTAGGGTGTTTTATAAGACACATGAAACCAAAGTCCTGAGCAATCAAGAATGGTTGGTTGTAAAGAAGTATCGTTTCACCGATTATATTTGTGATAGATAACCATTGTGTGAAGTGTGAACACCAATTTCAATCCTGCTTCAATTCGTCGTTGCAATGACATCTGAGTTCACAGTTTTTTTGGCATTGTTTAGTTGTTAACGTACTTGAATCCATGTCTAGCAACATTCTTATCTTTTCTCCAGCTTAAAGTGCAAGAGATTCCTTGGCATACTTACTGAGATTATTGTGTTAGTTTGTTGTGGTTTTGTGGTTGTGAACAGTTTGCAACGTTACAGACATAGCCGCCATATTGCGGTATACAAATTGAAAAGAATTGCAAGCGTGCGCCATTATTGCTAAAATAAAGGCAAAATAAAAAACTACGAGCAATTTTTCGCTGTTTTTCTGGAAGGATCACGATTCATTTATGCGAATCATAATACCGAAGTTGGTATGACGCACAGGAATACGTTTGTAGAGTGTTGAAGACTTCCTCGAATTCATCTACTTGAGACTAAAAACGTATGTTTTGCAGAAAAGTATGAAATGCTTACTTTACTTATATTCGGGATTTTAGCATTGTCTTGCATTTGCAGATAAAGTGATGTTAATGATTATTTACCGATAATTGGGCAAAAATCGGCTAATTAATGATTATTTTGGAATCGGCTTTACCTTTGAATTACCGATTAACGATTCATGTCCGATTTATCTGCAGCCATTAGAGTCTACGACTATGTATCTGTTATAAATAATTAAAAAAGAAAAATACAGAAAGAAATACTACATTTACTGAATTGTTACAAATCGTGTAATAATAATTATCATATACCCTTAAACCTTTAGAGAAACTACGATTTATGAAGGATTTGCAGTAAACTGGCTCAGTGATAATTTGAATATATGTCAGCAAAATTGTATATCCGCTATGCATGAATACATTTCTTGGATTGTCAATGACGCACATTGATATTGCCCTTCTGTTGTTTCTTTACTGTTGAAAAGAACATTTTTACAAAATACACGCATATAACATGCAACATGTGTGCAACGGAAATTTCAGTTATACATCGGCTGTCGGTGTCTCAACAATGTAATTTCTGTATTTATGCTCGGTTTTTTCTAATAAAGAAACATTTTCGGTCTTTTGTGTCTTGTACTTTTCAAAATTCTATCTACGCTTCATTTGACGTTCCAGAACAAATGAAACTGTTTCTTGTAATGTTTAAACATAACAAAGGCAAGTGGTATTATACCTGCGTATTGTGTTATACATATTAATAGATCGAGGTCGATATTGCAAAGCACGGATGAAGACTGCATTGAGGTCAATATTGCAAAGAACGGATGGAGACTTGTGTCCTTACGTAAAAGAAGTAGCTATATACAATTTTAACCGTTAGCCAAGTTTCAAGAGGAAAAATCGGTATCGTTTTTTCACGCTTGTGATAGATATTTGAAGAAACTGCTCTTGAAACTAACTTAATTTTAATGAGCATGTGCTCTTTGAATTAAGTCTACTTAAAATGGAAAGCTACGTTTTGACCATATTGTTATCCATTCTTATTCCATCGCTCGGGTTCCTCGCCTTGTTTCTTGGTTTCTTATTCTCAAGAAGAAATGCCTTTTTTTTGAAAGATGGATTGCTGCTAATGATGGTTTGTCTGAGAGACAAAATGAATGTCCAGATGAAATTACAGCGGCGGCAGTTTCTGCCAACGTTAATGAAGAATCTATTTTTGTCATGGACAATTATTCACCGAGAGAACAAACGTGTGTTTCAATTTCATGGACTCAGTTTACACCTCTTCCAACGTACTCCACTCTTCCACGAAATTCGACTCGACCACTTTCCTCAAATCCTGCTCCTGATTATTCATCTCCACCTTCGTCGGCCCGATATGGTTATCGACTTTCTCCCAGTAATTATTCTCATTTCGGTCAAGACCCTTCAGTGAATCGAAATGAAATAATACAAGCATTACCAAGCTATTGGGATTGTTATATTTTAGATGCTCATTACGATGCGCCTCCTCCCTACGATTCTATAGAAAATATTCACGTGGATCAGCCACAGGACACGCATGAAATTCTTCCTGGTGGACTTTCTACTGCTCATGGTAGTGAAACATGGATTTGATTGTGTTTATTGCAAGTTTGTGTGATGTAGAAATATTGCGCTTTTGATAAGTACTTGTTTTTACCACAAAAACAATTCATATTTATTGTAAATGTGGTTCGATGGACTTTGCGACCTCTTTGTTTTAGATTTTGACAAAATCTAACAATTTGAGGTCCGGAAAAATTATTACGTTCTTTTACAAAATGTCGCAGTGATGAGGAAATTTTTCGATGGAAATTGGAAATACGTAGAACATTGAAATATCGCAATTCTTGCTCAATTTCCTGTGTATTGCTACGTGCTAGTTTTCCCCTTCAAACGTCCTGTGTTGTCGCCGATTTTTTATCGCCACGTGCAAGCAGTGATGCTGAACTGAAAGTTTTTATGTTCCATCAAGATTTAGTCATATTAATGGTTGCGCAACTATGGCATATTCATACCGGGAAAATATTTTATGTGTACACACACGCGAGTTTGCGATGTAACTAATAAAAACTTGTTAAAGAAAACTTGTTGCGGAAAAATTTCTTTCTTTGTCACCGGCTTTAACATTTCAAGTTTTAAATTTCCATTCTCATAACTTCTAGTTTCGAGTTTTCGATCACCTATTTGATTTGCGTTTGTATTTTTGAGACCAATACACAACCCACTGATCAAATGGACTGGAATGCAAAAGGATAACTTTTCTCTCGGAAATACATTTGAAACAAAAAAGATCAAACTATTCGTGAAATAGTTGGCGGGGAAACTGACTCGAATGGATGAACACCAGCTGTTTTAGCTGTTTTATTTTACAATATTTAGCTTATGTATGAATTTGTTCTATAGATTGGTTTTCATTACGATGCTAATTAACTGTTATTAATTGACAATTAACGAGTTATGATGTTTAATAAACAAACTTTAATTAAAATTATTGAATGGATAAACGATTTCGTGAAAATGAATCTTGTGAATAGAACTTCAGAAGATATCGGACAAAATAACATCAAAAGGTTTTGCTGGAAGTTTTCGACAATCATGGAAAAATTTTCTTGATAAGTTGTAATAAATATGTGTTTTCCGACTTCCATTGTATTACGACTTCTCACAAATAGACACTTAATTAGTTATATTCACCATTAGCATAAACTTCTACTCCGAAAGGATTTCTGATTGCACTTGCGCCGTTGGTTTGATAATGTTTAAGAACCAAGTTTGCATTGTGTGTTGCAAACATATAGGATATTTTGATTGTTATACCTTCCAAATAATACAAAGTACATCATCGAAAATGGAACGATAACAAGGTTGTCGTTTCACTCAAGTGTATTATAAACTTTAACCGGGACGTGCGTGAAATTAGATGCTTGACTTTGCAAGAGTAAATTTTTGAGTTTTTTCGTTATAGAACCAGGTTCATTACTTAAGATGATTGTACAATACCTATTCTAGAACGGTCGTGAATCGAATCGTAGGGATTTTTATTGTCAAGGTGACAAAATAAGATTTTAAAAATATATGCATCGACACAGTCGCTGATCTTTTGCCTTTGCCGCACATAAGCAGTGAAATTTGAAGAACTATTGCGGACTAAAAAATAGGAATTATGCTCTGAAATTTGGTCACAAACTAAATAGCATGTTGATTAAAAACAGTCATTTTAAAAATATTAATTTCCACCACTGGTTAAGCGGCAAGATGAATTTGTTTAGAAATTACCTGTCTCAGTTGAATGTAGAGCCAGCTCCTTATTCGCGAATGTGGAGCCACGAAGATGAAGCTGACTGGCTCGTCATTTAGAAAACATATTTCATAATCTGTCATTTGTGGCTCTCGCGCGTGAAACGATCCAAGAAAAATTTTGATTGGTTCAAAGATTGATGCCAGTCACGCGTGATTTATGTAATCTCGCGACAGTACAGAAAAATCCGAATTTTAAACTCGGGCTTACCATCAGTAGCTCAAATATGAATGAAACGTATTCACCAAGTACAAAAATGATGCTCTTTTAATGTTATCATGCATTGTGATATTATCATAGACGGATTTTCTTACTTTTTACAGGGGTGATGCTAAAAATTTTAGGAGGTGAGATAGTTAATGATGGAAGAAAAAGTAAGTGAGAAAGTATTTTAGGGACGGTCTGGTATTGAAGTTACCAAATGTAGTGTAAAGAGTTGAACATGGCCTAGAAAAACTCAGTAAAACTGCACTAAGGTTTGTTTTGCTGAATAATGGGGGGCGAACAATTTATTTAGGTGGGTGAAATCTAGTGTTGGGGGGGGGCGCTCCTGCACCCTTGAAAATCCGTCCACGGATATTATGGGGGTTTTTTGAATTCAGAAGAATGTTTCATGTTCTACATATCAACATTCCACTTTCCCTCATTTTCAACAAAAATTGGAGACCACTTGTACAATATATAACTGCATGTCGTATATACAACACGCACGTATTCTTATTGTTGTCCGCTCCTTGGTCTCTGTCAGAAAATGGTGAAACTTAACATTGAATTGTCCTTTGTACGGAGACTTATGTTTTTGAATTTCTAATATTGTCTCTTAATAAGGAAAAAAACTGCCTTTCGCAACCATTCATTTTCTACATAAAAACATTGATGAACAATTCATCATTCCCTCCATATATTTCATCAAATTAAAATACATTCGTTGATTAAAATGTTAAATAAATAAACCATATACAAAAAGCAAATTTTAAAGAATGCTTTGACCATGAATATAGCTAATGATATATATTTTAAGGAACGTAGTAAACCATTAAAAAACCTTAAAGATATGACAATGTAAACTTGCAAAGTTCGTCATAATAAATTGTATGTAAATATGAATGGACAGAATGTAGATGTGAAATCTACGACTGAGCTGGAAAAAAGCTAGCTATTCTACACTTAAAGGCGGTGATGTTGAACGAGCTGCGTTGCAAACAGTTGTTAACTCTTCTAGTAATGTTTCATAACGGAACGTAACTCGCACACCAGGTACGTTTGTTTTGTGAATATCGTTTCCACGAATGCCTTGTTTTCTGTAATTAAAGCCAAGCCAATGGGTTTTTACCTACAGAAAAAATGCGTATGAATGCAAGTGTTATTCGTAAATGTTCAATGCTTTACACAAGAAATGACGACAACATCTTAAATACAAATCGTTGCACTTGTATTCATATAAGCATGAGAATTTTTTTCACTTAAGTATATATATAGACGTCGGCTAAAAATTTGATGTTCTCGGTACTTTAAATGAGCATAAATGGTGAATTATTGCGACAATGAAAATAAGCGTTAGGAAAAATAACCTTAGGAACAGTTACACTGGTCGAGAGAGCAGTTAAATTATAAGACTGCAGCAAAATGACTAAATGAGTTTAAATGACGATTCGACGAAAACATGGAGAAAAGTTTAAAATCAACTCTTACTCTGTCCTCAAAACCACTCATTACAACGCTGTTGCGAGCTAGCTCTGACATGTCTGTTGGATTGAGCTTGTATACTTGTGCAGCGATGCTGTATTCCTCCATTAAAGGCTCCTACAAATATAAGAGAAATTTTGAGAAATTGGCTTGCCGACTAGGACTTCCTGGGAAAGACGTGAAATTTTCGTGAACTCGTCCTTACATTAGTATATCACGGAATTTTACGCCATTTTCATTAAATCTCTATTAATTATATAAATACTATTGGACTTTAAGTGCAACAAGCAGCTGTAAACCCTTACAAACTCATTGAAAGAAATAAATATTTTAACAAAACCAGCCCCTTCTAAATGAAATTTTGCAAAATGTATTTTATGTTATGTTATGTTATGTCTTAATTGCAGGACTCAGGATTTGCATGCAAATATACACACTCACACAACAAACTTGAAATACATCGGTGTGAAGTGGGTTTTTGTAACAGAAATCAATCAATCGAACTGGTTGTAAAATGAAAAATAACCTTTGTAAAATGAAACTGCAAAGGATCGTCCGTAGAAAGTGATATCAATAAGCCTCGAGCAAAAAATTGAGGTAGAGGATTACGATGATAGTCAATGAATAAAGAATTATTACTAAGCGGCGACATGGCAATACCAATCTGGGCAAGATAATACAGATACTGCAAGGCTGGTACCTAAAATAACGAAAACTTCCTTTTAACGATTCTTTATGAAGTTTATGGTTTTTTGACCGGATGAACAAACATCGTGATATATACATAACGTACCTTCCTAAGCATCAGTCCATGAGAAATATTCTCAGCAAGCATAAATCCACTAACTAAATGTGTTGCTGCACCAGATTCACCACAATGAGGGCGAAACGAGAATGTGTTGAAACCTCTTTCTCTGGAAATGATGTTTACGTCAATATTTTTATTTAATTCAGTTTAATTAATATTACACGTACATCATACCTTCTAACACGATTGATAACCATAATATTACAATACATGAAGTATAAATAGTATGCATAGGGAGGGTTATCTTCAAACGTCCATTCGGATGGTAGAGGACTGTCTTCTTGAAAAAGAGACGCCTCGTGTTTACTTTCGTCATCTACACTATCGAAACCAATCACCTTAAAGAGATAATCACAAAATGATCTCACATTTTTCACACGTCAGTCAAAGAGTGACTCTTTTAGGACAGTCAACAATTGAAGCTTGTAATTCACTTCACCAATTTGCATCCAAATCTTTTCAATATGTAATGTAACACGCAAAATTAACACTGACTAAAATAAAATATGTGATTCAGGTCTGCATTTACATTACAAGCAAAGGATTAATGCGTGTGTAATTAACATTAGTTATAACCCCAACATATATCTACCTGAGATAAAAATGTGTGCAGTTCTGGATGAGACCCTGGGTTCACAGAAACTTCCATAATAGGAAAGAAAATATTTTCCAATATTTCCTCGAAGTTCTTTACCAAGTTTTTCGAGCGATAAACATCACTAGAAAACAGATATTTATACTCAACAGAAGATTCTTCCCCTTATGTAATAAACATTGTGTGTGTGTCATTACTTACTATAGACGAGGTATTTGAATTAACCACCGTAAATTATTGGAATAAACATCATTATCAATTGCCCATTTTGCAAGTTTATCCCACTCATCTTTGGAGCGACCGTAGATAGATATACGTAACTCGGCATTTTGATATTTGCTTTCTTCTAGATCCGAAATTACTTCTTTTATCAACTCAGCAAAATATCTTCCTTGAATGAAATTATCAGTTTTCATGAAAATTTCACGAAGCCGACTTTCTCCTGAAAAACAAAATGGACGATTATTATCTTCTTATGAGATGTTCATTTAAGTTGCGGCGTAGAATCCACCGCCATTGTTAGCTATTGGGAAAAGTGATAATTGTGAACTATTTGTAAAATTCAATAAATCTTTTAACACACAACACCAGATTACCCAAGTCACATAATTTCATTTAGTTTATATGTATAAATATCAATAAAAAAAAAACTAACCAACGGGATTATACTTGCTATTGAACTTATCAAAGCGATGGAAAGTTTGATGCCCCTAGAAATATATTACGTTAGGTGAGATGAAGATTTCGCTTTACAGCAATTGCGTTTTAAATGTATAATTAGTTTTAGGAAATGGCTATAAAGCTATGACTTTATTGGATCGACAGTCTTTATATCAACACTTACAGCGTGTACATCCAAAATATCAACACTTAGATCATAAACGGAAATGTTCAACGACTTGAACACCTAAATGTAATCAATAAAATAATGAAATGTATTCGAGAGAAAATCCTGTAGAACGTCACAACGCGAGATCTCATCAAAATATATGTACAACATAAAATTGATCACATTTCTACAGTATTGATTTGTTAAAGGATGGTATACACAATCATTTTTTTAATTATTTATAAGATATAAAGTTTTATTGTAACAACATTAGCTCCTAGCCTTCTTCAACCAACTTTCATAGATATTTTAATTTTTAAATTTGCATCCAGTTTACAAACATCAGAATGAAAAAATACAATTCTGGCATTGAATTCAACATACAAACAGGAGGCGGAAAGCAAAAGGAACTTTTAACTGACATGATTGACAGACAGGCAAAACCTTAAGAAGCATTTCAAATCAATTTTTAAAATTTCCTAATTCATCAGAAAACTGCCGACTCATTTTAAGAGAAGCACTTTACCTGCATAAACTGTGAGTAAGCCTTAAGTAATAAGTAAAGTCTGCTTACACAGAATCATTAAAAAATCATATCTTACGTCTTCTAAAGTCAAAATTTCTCCTTCGCGTTCCAAGACGGCTTCACCAGAGCATGATTTCATTTTCTTCTTGATAAATCTTAACAAATGCTTTTGATTCATTGAAGACGAAGCATGGATATGAGTGTCAACCTAATTAAGAAAAGGTATTCAATGATTTATGTGATTGACTATAAATATAACGATAATATAATATTTCAGTAGAATTTATTCGCTGTTTTTTTTTTAACTACAAACATTAATCATGCAGGCAAATGGTATTCAGGTGAATACGCAAATGAAGATTTAATAAGTCCTTGTGATATTACCTACGTATATTAACTTTCCAGAATAATGTGTATTACGCTCTCCTCTTCAAGCAATGAAATGCGATAACCCACGTATGCACAAACCTTTCGAACGTTGTAGAAATCTCTGTGGGGAGCTTTTTTCATTTCAGCAAGTTCTTTTAATTCGTTTAATAAGATGTGAAGGTTGTAACGAGCCTCGAGAAACTTCAGTCGGCGAAAACAAAATGATTTTCTGACAAAACAGGAAGATAGCAGTAAGACAGTAATATGGTCTAATTTTGGCCATATCTGTTTTGAAATGGTAGTTAATGGTATCCCATAAACTTCAAAAACGAAAACGTATATTTTCCAACATATTATACAGTCATTGCGACTGCCACAAAGAAAAAAAACAACAAACAACTAGCAACCAAAATTTTAGGAGAAAGCCTAAGCAACGTTTTCTTAATGGTTTTTGGAAATTTAACTTCTTCTCAGCTTCTGCTGTAATTTCATCATTCTACGTATTTTTTGTTATTGTTTAGATGGAAAACTGATAAAAAGACTTACATAGGTCCATGAGCACTTAGCGCAAGTAAAATATTGTAATCAACAAAAAATTCCTGAAGAGTTGGATGTGGGTGTCTTTTAATCTTTCCATTCGCTTCAAACAATGTGCTTCCAGGATGCGATCTATCCGCACCAGTAATTTGAACAACCCCGTCAATCATCGCAAATGTGCAACCCCAGTCGTCAGGAATTTCGATGTTCTTGAATGGATTCTCAGATACCTCAAGTGATAAATTGCTGACTTGCGATAAGCCTGAAAGAAATATGTCAACAGAATTGCTTCTTACGCGATACAAAATTATAGAAAGATAGCAATATAGTACTTCGCATCAAGAAAAACTGAATGATCATATGGTACAAACTGAATGATCATATTGTTACAAATTGAATGATTATCAGGCTAACGTACAAAATATGTAATGCTCACATTCAACATCTTCATATGATTTTGTGACCATTCCTGTTTTCTCCAAGTACTGCTGAATGTCATAATCATTGTGCACAGTCTTGAGAAGGGCTTCCGTGGTTGGACAGAAATTCTGCAGACTCAAAGCCATGTATTTACTGCGAATGTGTAAAGCTTCCGCCAACAGCTCGGAAGCTTGCTGAAGGTCCTTTAAAGGTACCTAATATTTACAAAAGAGAAATTTGTAAATATTAGGTAAGTAATTGGAATACTTCATGTAGTGAAATGATGACACTACAGTGTCAAGAACTTCTGCTTTTGTTTTAGTGGGTAATCGCAGTTTATTTGCGTCATTTAACTACTCACCAACAAAAACAGTAATAGTAACATGGTAGGGGAGTCATGCAACCTGTTGTTGTTTTATGAATTTGTCCTGAATAAAGTTTGGAAAATATCTTATTTGCAGTATCGTAGTTTGATCCTTTTGACTGTGAAGGAAGAGGTGTAACATTAACTTTTTGCCGACGAACGCGCAACTCTGATCTTTTTGACTTGGAAGAGGGAGGTGGGATTATCATTAGTGCTTATACCAACGAACACGTAACAATACAAGTTCGTAGATATAGATCATTTACGACGTCCACGTTAGTAGAGTCCTCAGAAGGACTGTTGATGTTGATGTCATTGACTAACGTTTCGATTACCTTAGCGGTACTTATAATCAGAGTAAGTCAACACTATAACTCTAACAGTTCGTCTAAATACGCTACTAACTTGGTTGATCTACATCACAAACATGTAATGATACTTCCTGGTTCAAACCATTTACTTTAAAACAAACTGATGATCTTTTTTTACTGGGAAGGAAAGCTGTAACATCTAGGGTTTAACTGACAAATACGCAATGATTATCTTTTTGAATGGGAAGGGGGATGGAAAAAGATGCAATGTGTGGTTTTTCAGACAAACACATGAACTTACAATGTCTTTCAATAAAACTTGTACTTTGAAAATTGTTAAGGTGGAGGGGTATATGTAATACTGACACTCTATACCCCTAGCTAGTAGTTATGTTCCCACTGACACTCTATACCCCTAGCTAGTAGTTATGTATCCACTGACACTCTATACCCCTAGCTAGTAGTTATGTTCCTCTCTACTAGCTTTAATTATTGTATCATGTCTGCAACATCAAAGAACAGTACAATAAGGAAAACTTTGCAGCCAGTTGCCTTGAGTGTCATTGCAAAACCACATTCATGATCATTATCAAATATGTTTCAATGAAAAGTAAAAAACTGCTTAAAAAAGAGCTTCCTGTATACTTGAACAGTCTTTTGGGATAAAAAATCTACAGTGAAACTTTTGCAATAAGCTAACAACAAAAGAAAATATTTTGAGAATTAAAACTTTCATCAAATCCTGTTCATTGCTTTAAATTGATTGAACTTACACCACTAGCTTCTTCTCCATCAACCACCACTCTTTGAAATGGCAGACGCTCTTCCATTTCATAGCAAGGCAAGTCAGTCTTAGACGAATCTGTCAGCATCGCTTCATCTTTTACTGTATTTGATTGACTATGCCACTCTCGAAAGATTTCTTCTTTGAGCATTTCATTCTGTTCAATAGGTTCATCTGGAATCTCAAATGGATGGCAATGACCTTCACGTTTTGAGTCTGTTGATGTCTCTGCATTCAAAACTTCAAGTGTCTCATGCAAGGATTTCAATACATTGTCATGAAAATGTTTGCGGCGATTTGACAATGATTCATGAAAAAGTGGCCTTCTCTCCATTTTTTTCCCTTTGATAACAGTAAAACTTCAGAGCTATAGAAAATGCATAAATAAATAGTTGAAATGGTAGAAACAGAAGTGTATGAAAATCTTATTAAATATAGCTATCCTCAATGGTTTGAACAGTGTGATGCTCAGGCTTCTCTCTTATCAATAAGTAGAAAAACAAATGATAGAATTGTTTTTTTTTAACAACTGAACGTAAAAAAACCTATCAATAATCAAGGAGTTTGTAATACTGGTAAGGAATTTAAACAAGCTTAGTTAAACGTACTATTTATTTCTGTTAAATCATGCTATCCTGGACAGGATTTCAAACTAAACTATCATGAAAATTTAATTGATTTCGGAGACAAAAATCATACCTTCGGAAACATTTTATTTGGCAATTCTCTGAACGTTGCAAAAAAACATATCATTTGCCATTCAAATCCGAATTATCAACCATAAAACATTTAATTCTTACCTATACAACGGAAATAAGTCAGGTAACAAAGACTGAACTTTTCCCAATTTCTTTCGACAGCCAAATATTTAAAGAGCAAGCTGTCACACAACTAGCCAATGTTAAATGGACAATTGGCTAGCGAAAGATAAACATTAAACGCCCATTATGACTTATGTATCAAACAAAACATAAGAAAGTAAGCCAAGGAAATTTTTATTTTGTATTATCTCCAATTGTTTTTCTTACGCAAAACAGGTGAAACAGGTCACGGCAGTCACGGTGTTTTCACAAGATCGTATCGTGTTTCATATATTTCTCTGTTATATTTTTATATTTTTATCAATTCATAAATATCTATGAAGCAGTGGACGTCATTCTGCTCATATTATATGTGATCATTGATTTGATTCATTGATCATCCAATATAATTTATTCATGATGACCATGATGAAATCTGACAACATCGGAAATTTTGAAATTGAATAAAGTAAAGTGGAAGCATAAACATGGCGTACACAAGTCAGAAAAGTTCCTATCATGCACAAGCAAGAATTTCATACTTATAAAATAATCAAATGCCACTTAAAATGAGATTTTTCAACGTTGCGTATTTCTTTGCAGCAGTTATAAATATCCCATTTGGCAATTTCGAACTTGTAGTTAATGTGAAAACAAAAAGTGGCAAGTTTATTCAGCAGCATTTGATGGCAGACCCTGGGAAGGACATTGTTATTATTGAGTATAAAATGCCAAAAGGAACTAAAACAGTTACTTTGTTTGATTTTACTAAGGTAGATTTTCAGCTCTTCCACTTAACGTAAAAAGTATGAAAAAGTTTAAAAATATTAAAGTACATCCAACACTAGATAATTTATAAAAAGCGCAACGAAATTCTGCCTGTTGTAATTTTACGCCAAACTCTTTGCTCCCGTGGAATTTTCAATATAAATTTCGTCATGATTTTATAGAAAGTACTTGTCGTCACATCTTTGTTACTCAAAATCCTTTATGTACAGGAATATGAAATACTTAGGTGTTGATGACCAACAAATACTTTGTAAGTAATAATCCATGAGCTATTCCAGAGAAGGCTATTCATGGGACTAAGTCCACATAAACACGATAAGCATTTAGAAATTTAATACGTACAAAAAAATCAACTTGTCTGTAGATCATTTTTAATCTGGTGCAAATAGGTTTGGCATGCAAATCAATCAGGAATAATGAAAACTTGTTTACTTCATTGAAGTAGATTATTTCTCAAATTCAACTCAATAATTAATTACATGAATTTCATTGTTTAGCATTTGCAGGTTATCAAAACATCATTTTTTGGTGAAATGGAAAGAGGTGAAAAGCCTATTCACACCATTTGTTGTGTATTGAAGTTTTTCTCTAGTGACTTCATATCTTCCGATGCCATGTCAAAATTAAGACAGGTTGGTTTTTAGTTCTGTAAATAATGTAGCTATTGAATGTAATAACTTAATGAAGTTATAAGTAAGAATTTAAGCTATTTATTTTTTATGTGCACTTTTAAATGAATAGTTTAGCATGTTAAAAAAAAGAGTTGGATATGTTGGCTTGGGAGCTAATGCTTCTTTTAGCATGCATAGATTATTTCTCTTGGCTATCAAGACTCTTTGACAATGGTGTAAATCCCAAGGGGGATTGGGGTTGCTCCCTCACTTTTGCAAAAATCATTGATTCCACATTAGAAAGATACTATTACACCCTGAGCTATTCACCCACCCCCCCTACTTTTCAAAGCAGATCTGCACCCTTTGCTCTTTGAAGAATTGATTTATCTATTATAAGATTTTTGTTTTAGAAAAATCCTGTTGCAATACGCATTCCTGAAGAGGAGTTAGAAAATGACTTTCTTATCATGGGAAAAGAGATCCCATGGGAAAAATCAGGAGTTTTTAGTGGCCATGTTCATCAGTTGTGTGATGATGCTGATAGAATATATACTAGTGAGAGCAATATTGAAGAAATTTCCCAAGGTGAGATTATTACATAACTAAAAAGAAACAACAATTCTTTCTCATCTCTGACATAGATATTGTCTAGCTTCCAAAGTGATTTAGTTAGGAAAAGTGTTGCATGTTATCATGCATAGCTACATCAAATTTTGATGTTGTATGATTGGAAATTTCAGACAGTTTGTTGCACCAAGTATTGTAGAACTTTTTTTTGAAATTCGACCAATATCAAATTTTTGGTTGATTCACATTCATTTTTGTTTTGAAAGTTTGCCAACATTCTTTTTATGGACATTTTAAGCTTTTGTTTCAGAAATTTAGACACCAAATATACATCTGTGTAAACTGCGTTTTTAAAACCCTTTTCAATGTGTGAATTTGGTTGGTAAAATAACCTACCTAAGGAGAGAAAAATGCAAGATTATGGACTGTCAGTGGCTCCCCCATGAATTTTATTTGGGTGGGACACCCCTAGAATGTCACTTGCATATATTACGCTCAGTTTTATATGACTGACATTTTCACGCAACATATATTAAGACCTTAGTATGAGAATATTGGGGGGGAGGCAGTCAACCCCCTGCCCTACTTTGCCCATGGAGTTGTAATTTATTTTCTTTAATGGACTCACAGTTAAAGATTGAGTATTAGCTACCAAGGAAAAGATATTTCTGTGACCCTCAATTGTTAGGATGCAATTGAAATCATTCACGTGGCTACATGTCAGAAATATTTAGTTTTCATTATTTATTCTGAGCTATATTTATACAGCAATTTTTTATGAGTGTAATTATTCACCTGGGCAGAGTATTGGGACAAACTAAGGATATTTTAACCATAGGCAGCCCACAACTACGGGTTTATTATTGAATCAAGGGTACATTATGTTTGAGGGTATTCAAGTGTGTGCATTTTTTAAAGAAAAGTATAACTACTTTGATTTGTTATCAAACTGATAATTAGCGAAGCGATGGTTGATCCTTATGCCTAGCAATTATTTCTTTGTGTATAGGTGACAAGAATGTTTTTCAAACACTTTTATCCTCAACAATTAACATCAACAGCAACAGCAACAGTTCTGACATTAAAAGTTGCAATGTATCGATTGACAAATCTGCCACGTGTATTTGCCATTACGAGTCGTGCCTTAGTTGGTATCCATGTGCATTGAAATATTGTGATGACATTGGTCATGGAGGTGAAAAGGTATCTTATCGTTGTGGTATAAAGACTTGCGGTAAATGCAGACTATTTCAGTATTACGTTAACAACCATGAGGATTGTTTTTGGGAGACGCCTTTTAAACATGGGACATAATTTAGGAGAGGTGATGACCACCATTGAGCTACATTCAATATGTTTGACGCAATGCTTTAGCGGATAGCAGCTGGTCGAAGTAATCTAATGCATCGGGAAGCAATGTTTTCATAACGGTGTTGATATCGATAAAGATTGATCGTTGCAATTATGGGCAGCTAACTAGCTTTAAGAACATAATTTTTGTGACTCTAAGATCTGTTAGAATTATGTAAATCATGCCGTCGCCAATAATAACTGTTTTAAATTTTATTGTTTCGGTAAAACATCTAGCCCCAATTGACGTTATTAGTTCACCTGTATGAAGCTCTTTAAGATGCATAGGACCTTGTGCAGACAACGTAATCACTTTGTACTAGCGACGTATTCATAGGTACAACACGCTTCGTGGTGGACCGATGATCGATTATAATCGATGACTGATCAAAAATTTCAGACAACGTGACAATCTATGGTTCTTTGTGTACAGGATGGCGTTCTTTGTGTACAGGACATTGGAATGTATCTGCTTGCAATAAATGCATGTGTAAATTTTAATTCTATACATAGCTATACAGATTTTTTTCATAATCACCTAGATTCGTACACGTAGTCTGATATACTTTTGATGCATTTCAATAACATATAGTTAATATTGAACACGTATTTTAATAAATCGGGGGCGAAGTTGACTCGTTTATATTTCTCTTCCCTTGCAATATTTTCTTGATACAAGCAATACACAGTTCGTTTGCTTCCCTTGCCTCTTGACATACGACATAGAAGTTAAGAAATCCATGAGGAAGATCGTCGACTATGTATAGTTCAACTTTGTTGCCAACGCTACGAAGACGTTTTGCGAACTCTATGGAATCATCAAACATAGGATCCAAACTGCAAGCCTAAATAATGTAATAAATGTGGTTGTGGATAATGAAAGCTGAAAATGGCTTGAAATTGTATCAATAATAATGCGAAGGAAGTTATTCAAATTGCACAACCATGAAGGCATGCGCAAAGAGAAGTTAAATTCTAGATTAGTGTTGCATTTACATTCATGGAAAAGAGGGAAAATTACGGTCAAGTTTGTCTTCACTATGATTTATTTTGATATTCAGAAAAAAACTGCGAAGTAAAAATAGTGTATTTTAAACCGAAAAACTTTTAAGCACAACTAATATGGAATGTAAAAGAACTTACCAATAAATCGAGTGGTGGTAACGTAGCCAACTGTTCATCTGATGCCTTTAAAGGTGATATAAAAGGATTCTTTGTCACATTGAAAAGTTCTTCATTAGAAATAGGACGTTCAACATAAGGAACCGACTTTCCAATCATGTGCTTTCTTTTTTTTGAAATGTCTGATTCTATTGTCGATGACTTTTGACGCATCCGACTTCTCTCAGACGATGAGTCTTTGACAAGATCAGGTAATACCGCAGTATCATTTGAAGATTGAACGTTGTTTGAAAATTGGTCTACAGTAATGTCTCCCGACGATTGGGTCTCTGTTGAGGTTTTTTGGTCAGGTCCAAAAGAGACGCCGGCTGCATTGGTTGTTTCACTTTCATTGCTCTTTCCAGTGGACATGCCAGTGTACGCTGCAAGGCATTGCGTTAGGATACCAACCGGTAACAAAGGATCAAGAAGAGTTAGAAGTCGTGAGGGCGAAGGACTAAATTCGACATTAAACGGAGCATAGCATGTTAATATTCCATCTGGTAGACGCAAACCAAATGACGCCACTTTAAGACAAAGAGATACAGAAAGGTTTCCACCTGTAATAAAAAATTCAATTGCTATTCACCATACAATACGTTTAAGATAATACGATTCTGGCACTAATGAAAATAAATGCAAGCAATCAACATCTCTTTGCAGATTTAACATCTCGTGAATTATTACGACACAGCATGCAAAGTTTGGTTACATTTGTCGGTAAGTCTTACAACATTATCTTTGTTTAATATTTACGTACCGGCAGAATCACCAACTAATGCGATATATTTTCCAGTGGTACCAAGTCTATCAAAGTTTTTAAGTGCCCAAATATAAGCGAACGTGCATTCCTCTAAGGCTCGTGGAAAGGGCAGTTCAGGAGCGAGTGCATAATTAACAGAAAGAATTGGAACATTCAATGACTTTGCCCAACTTCGTAAATAGATCTGCAAAAACAGTTCAAACAATAGACATAATCACCTAAAAAATCAAATAATATCATTTTTTGATTTTTTGAACTCTCTAATTTTTCTAAAAACACGTAGAGATGCAAATATTGTGGATGTCGTTCACATTTGAATTATTTTCTAATATAGTGACCTCGTGGGATGTAGATGATTGGGCAACAAATCCTCCACCATGCAAATGGATAACAAGACCGTCTGCTTTTGTTTTCGTTTGAGCATTTTCTTTTACAGTACCCGCTTCATCACGTTTCTAAAATGAGGATCATTTTAGTGAAAAGTAGAAATTCCCTATGGAAGAGTTTTTATTGATCAATTGTAAATAGATTATAAAAGTTGCTGACTTACTCACCCAAGATCAACAACTCAAAGAATTTTTAACATTTTAGTGTGAAAATTACGTTAGGCAATGGAATTATTCCGTGGAGAATTGGTATACAAATGCGCTATACCAATCAGCGGGGTCTATCACAAACATTTAATGTTTATTTAATGTACATGAAGATGCATGAAAACTTTTGCACTCAAAGCTAAAAAATTTGCAACTCCATATATTAAATTACATATGTCGGGCAATTTGCGCAACTTGCACTATAACCTTTCCTGTTTTCCATCCATCCAATCTAACCCATCATCAACTATGCATAAATATTAACATAAAAAAAGTTAAAATGCAAGCACAAATAACTACTAAGAGCTTAAAAAATTACATTGAACAACAAAAAAGAAGAAATACTCCACGATTTAGAAGCAGAGCATTCGCGTTGGCAAAGGCTACAGTTCCTGAAACTTTATACGCTGTAACAACATGTGCATATTTTATTCCCATGTTTTCCAATTGTGTTTTAGTTGGGCGTAACAAAATTCTCACACTAAGGCCTGTTTCAAACGTCTGGGCGTTCGAAACAGTCCATGATAAAAATGATAATTTATTTTGACAATTTTACTGTCAGATGAACCATTGAAAGTCCAAATACCAAAAAAGGTTAAATACTCAAAAAAAGTTATTGCAAACCTTGCACCCTGATTAATTTACAGACATTTCCCAACTGTAAACATTTTTAATATGCCTTGTATATGATTGTAAAATTTCCAACTTGCACTATTACCTGTCCTGCTCTAAGTTGAAAAGATAATAAATGTACATTTATTGGTGATGCACCAATCCACGAACTTGGAGGTTGAATAGTGAGGTTTTCTCCATTTTTTGCTTTGATATTTATAGCTATTGGTGGGATTTCAAATAATTCATTTATCTTTATGGATGATCCCACAACAACAGGAAAAAACTAAAAAATGTATCAAACAACCAATTGATTATGATTGAAGAAAATGGTGGCAATTCAATTTCATCTGAATAATACCAATTGATTTCTTTAAAATGAAAACTATTGTTTATTTAATCAACTGCATTGTTTGCACTTTTTTGTGGATTCTTACAATTGAAATGTGCTACATGGGTTTAAGTGGGTTTTTTTTATATACAAAGGAAATGAGTGACTTTGACTTTCCCCCACTTTTCTTTCATTGCCATTTCAACTTGCAAGTGAAACGGGGTAAAAATTTTGGGAATAAAATCATACCTGTAAACCATATCGTTCTGTCAAACACCAAAATGATTTACAGAACTCAACATCCACTAGAGTTATAAGAGAGATAATTTTTTTGGCCCTAAGGTCTGGATTTATTAAGTACTTTGGACCATTTAATAGAGATGAAGCAGCAATGCTAAAGGAACCATCATGATTGGCATAACCATCCCCATATGATGCCATAACTACGCTTACTGTTGTTAGGAAACGTCTCAAGCTTGAGTTAAACTGAAAAGGACATAATTAATCAAATTAGCAAAGACATGATGATTTTAAAACAATATTATAAATAGTTTATCTCACTAAAACTCAATGCTAGAAAATATGTCCTGGATTGCAACACCTGGTTGTCAATTACTTACATAGAAACCAAGTCGTCTTCCATAAAAACACTCCTTCTCCACTTCGTGAAGATGCCTTTCAGTTATTTTCTTTGCCTCAAGGCAATTTTCAGGTGGAAACAAGTCATTGCCAACACTCCATTCTAAGATAAGTTTGGTGAACTCTAAAAATCTAAAGAGACCTTTAGAAAGTTGTAGATAACTAAAAAGTTCTTTATAATGATGATCAGAACGAAAAAATAATCCAGTTCTGTTTTCCTGAAAATCTTTTCCCAGGGCAAAAATCCGTCTGAAACAAATTTCAATCACTCGTACTATTGTCCTATAACCGTTCCCTTTTATATGAGGATCGTAGTCAAATAACGGCGATACAGCAGCAACTTCCAAAAGCAATTTCAATGTTTTCGTTGTGACTCCGAGTAATTCCTCAAAACACTGAGCAAATTCTTCACCCTTTCTGGCACCATTGTTTTCTAAGTAAAACTGTCTATTTTCGCAAAGAACATCCGTCAGTGAGCTAAATAGATCAGGAAGATATTGATAATCTGACTCGATATACGATCCCATGATTCGATGTCTTCGTCTGCCAAACCAATGGTCAAATCTCGAACTGTCAAAACACGATGTGTGTCAAAAAAATTTTTTCTTATTGCCCAGTCAATTGCATCCGATGATATTAAATTCGTAACTTCATTTGCAAATGATATTTGATACGGCTAAATTCTTGGTGACGATCATGATGAGTGATGAAGAAAAACTAATTTATTTTGAACACCTCCATCTCTTTGACATGACAATATTATCATGCCATTTGACGTCATCAATGAAAGATACATACCTGTCCAATCTGTCCCTCATGTGGGACTCGAACCATAAACATATGACCCGAAACCCTTGACAAACATTGGGCAACTCAGTTTCGTTGGTCAACGAATGATTTAATCATTGATTTTCCTCACAGTGAGCCAACACATAATATACAGAAAATATATTATAATAGTATGTCTCAGATTAGAGTTTTCTATTAAATTTTTGCCTGGAAAATTTTACAGTGTTTCAGCAATTTTGTTTAGGTTAAGTCGTGTCTCCAAGAAAGTTCTAACATTATCTAATGAAAGTAAATAACAGATGCTTTTAGTAAGTAAGCAAAATGCAGGTATTCACGTTGTACCACAGAACAGAATATATCTTGTCAGTTTTCACTTCACCAGGTTTTCAATTTTTCGTCTCAACTCAACGGCAACTTAACCTGTGCTTCCACATTTCAATATTCAAAACTCTTTTCTTTTCTTTATTTTATTTCATTTAAATTTCCTAACTGGTAAATGTCTTCTTCTAATGTATTTGAACACTTCGGTTTTTCGCTTCACACTTTGGGGCAACCTACAAGCTTGAGACAAATATGATCATATTTTGAGGCTCTATTTCAGCAATAGGAAATATTCACGAATGCAAAACCAGTTTTCTGACTCGCTTTGTTCTACGCCAGCTGGTCGCATGGGATGAATGAAAATGATGAGAGTGACTGACAAATGAAGTCACTTGTTTAGTCAACTGTAAAAAAAATTTTTATTTCCAACACAGCATGACCGCAACCCAGCGATTTACTTTGTTACTGCCTTAGTTACTAGTGTCCAGAGGACCTAAGAAAAAATTTCTCGCACAAGCTTATATCAACACGTTGTAAGTAATCCAATAGAATTTGACATATTTGATGTTTGAAAATTTTTCATACACCGTCTATCGGTATAAATTACAATTCACAACCTGACAGTTTTCTGGTATAAATATTCAGTGCATCTCGACTGAACGTTATTCTCATCAACATCATTCAAATCATCAAAATATTAGTGAATATTTTAATTATATTTTGTTTGTGGACAAAATATGTATGACGTTTTATGCAAACACTGGTCCTAAAGTCAGATCCCTACTACCTTAAGAAGTTATACCAACAAAAACCACAAGGAAGGGACATACACTATAAGTATAATTTTTGTTGTTGAGTCAATGATAAATGAGCCGGGAATTAATAGTACTCACAGTCAAAGAAATATTTTGGCTTAGATGCTGCTTTTTACGAGCATTGAAGATCGCTTTTTATTTCGTGTAAAATCTTAAAAAATTTTATCTTGGCTCAAATAAAAATTCTTGGAGACAAGTGGAAGTTGTACGATGCGCTCTTTATATAGATTTCATCAACGTGGCTGAAATGAAAAAATAAACAACGACAGCAGTTATTTTGGAGAACTATTTCTCCATAAACGTAACATAATCAGTGGGTGTATGTTTACCTGATAATAAAGAATATGGCTTCAGATTTTGGAAATCCTTTGAGGAAATTCAAGCTTGTGTTTTTGGGTGAACAAAGTGGTGAGGAAGATATTAGATCATAGGGATTTATCAGGCTGACATGCACTAGTTGATAGAAGTAGTTAATGAAATTATAAGTATGTTTGACTGTGTCGAAATACACTACTATATCTAATAAGTTAGAATCTATCATTAGAATATCCTTGGTTTATGTTTCATCTTTAGTTGGAAAGACGTCGCTGATTACTCGATTTATGTATGACAGTTTTGACAACACGTATCAGGTATGTCGAAACGAAGTATTATTTTGTTCCATTTTTTTATATTTATGAGTATCACTGAATGCCGCATAAACACGCTATAATATGAGGCTAGATTAACTTTATTCGCTGCTTTTTGGAGATACAGTTTTATATTTATTATGATTGGTATTTAAACATGGATTGTACGAATTCTTGGATCATCGAGAATAAAGTCAATAAACCATTAATTGATACTTAAACTATGTATTGTAAATGTTAAACTTGTTCTAAAGACATTCGTGCACATGATTAGATGAAATGTACTTTTACTAATTCTTTCTAATTCACTGTGATTTCTTGTTTCAAAAAATTAGGCAGTATACTGGGTTAAGGCATTGATTAATAATTCATATTAACTATCAATGATTTTTGCTGATAACATATAAAATTACTCCTCATGGTGTAAAGAGGGAATAAAAATTTTGAAAAATAATGTGGTAAAACGAACTGTGGAGTTTTTGGCTCATATCAAACAGTTATGAGAGTTGGTTATTAGATTTGTTTTACGTTTCAGGCAACTATTGGTATTGACTTTCTTTCAAAGACTATGTACCTAGAAGATAGAACGGTGAGTTAACAATTAAAAAAAGACAACATTTTACAAAGTTTGTAAATTGCACACATGTGATTCAAAATTTGCATGCAGAAGTGCTTACTTTTCTCAATACAAAATGTTCACTCAGGGAGTTTTCAGCATTGAAAGTTCTCTTTTTGATAATTTGGTTGCAAAAACACTCAATAAAAATTTTTAGCTATGTTATCATAAAAGTTCAGATATTTTGAGTGTATTGTGTATTGTACATTTACTGCTTAATTTTTAATACATAATTTTCAGGTAAGATTGCAACTTTGGGACACAGCTGGACAGGAGAGATTTCGAAGCTTAATACCAAGTTACATTCGGATTCAACTGTTGCTGTTGTTGTTTATGACATAACAAGTACTGTTTGAAGATGGCATTTGTAAACTTTAAATATTCCACGCAAATGTGTTTTGAAGTAATCAGATTTTTGATTGTTTTACTTCAGATTATAATTCATTTCAACAAACTAATAAATGGATTGATGATGTAAGAACTGAGAGAGGAAATGATGTCATTATCATGTTGGTTGGTAACAAAACAGATCTCTCAGATAAAAGGTAAATTGAAAACATCAAGGTCGAAGGTATCTCTTAATGTGTGTACATCATTAATTTATTATTTGGTCAAAGTAATAGTCACAGTGGTATGTGTCATTTTCAATAGATTTCCAACAAAAATGATTCAAGATAGTTGTGTATTTTGTGTTGTGAACTGGACTTGCTACATGAGTCATACAGAATGACAAATACAACCTGATAAGCCATTAACTTATTTATATGTTTCTTCCTATAAAGGCAAGTCACTACCGAAGAAGGTGAACGCAAATCAAAGGAATTAAATGTGATGTTTATTGAAACTAGTGCTAAAGCAGGATATAATGTAAAGCAGGTACTGTTGTATACATATAGAATTTATTCTACAAAATATTTTGAACTGAGAAAGGAAATCATATTTTATTGCATTTTATTAGATAGGGGTGGATTCATGGGGGAGTGGCTCTAGTTTTATTTTGATGGCTTCTTGTTACCATAGCATGTCAGACTTTTTTGTTGAATTCTCTTACGTACCTTGTTATTATGATTTGGAGATTTTGGAAAGCGTTCTCTCTTAAACATTTATCGTAATTGCTTAAAGAATGAGTCTCACGATAATGCTTTGTGCATTTGCGCTTACGTACCTCTGGTTTTGAAATTTTATATCTGATATGGTGTTAACAGATTGTTTTCTGACAAACCAAAATATGAAATATCTTCAATTTAACTTATTTCTTCTTCATTTCATACCGCATCGCGCTTTGGCGTTGATGGACCAGACTTGGTAGTAGAAATAGGCATATTGCTACATTAACAACCTACGTCATAATGCTGCCATTTCGAGTGCCCTGAAAATGGGTATTTATAGCTTATTAAGTGGGAAAAGCATGACCGTGAGACTGATTCTTTAGTTGTTGTACTAGTATTTTGTAGCGAAGTCTAGGAAGCCGTGCGCACTCCTCTCTTAAATTCCCTCCTGTTGCTAGACAGTTTGTCGTTCTGCTAAAACATGATTCGGTTAAACCATCGCACAAGTAATTTCATTTTTTTTGCGTAGTATTTAAGTTATATTCTATAAATCATCTCTTTCACCCTCTGGACATTTTGCTTGTGTACTTGCATTTACGATGTCTTGTGCACAAAATACCATCCATTTTTTAGCTTTTGTATTAAGAATTTATCTGCTTAGTTTTGCTCCATAATGTGAAATTTCCTTTATCAAGAGGTTTCGGCCTGCAGATTTCATGATATGAAGTTTGCGGAGCTGTCTTTGTAATATACTTTTAAAAATACAAAAACTCTGTTTACCATACTTTGTAGCTTTTCCGTCGAGTTGCTGCAGCTTTACCTGGAATGGAAAACACGGCGGAGAAACCGAACAAAGATTTAGTCGAAGTACACTTAAATCAAACGCCTCAGGACAACGTGCAACAAGAAGGAGGATGCTGGTGTTAGTTACATCAACAAAATAATTTGCCACAGCCTTGTTATCTTTTAGAAGTCGTATCGATTATAAAGAATGACTTATGATGTTGCCAAACATCTTAAAGTCTACTTAATCATTTATCACTCAGATTTTAGGCCATGATTATTTTGAAAACTGGTGTAAAAGTTAAGTAGTGTTACTTTCAATTACAATCAAGAATCGACGACCTTGTTTTGTTTATTTTACTGTATTTAATCGTGTTTGTTTGGTGGATTACTGTTATTTCGATCAATTTATACTTTGTACACAGGTAGTTAGGCACGTACAGAGCCGTTTCGTCTGTTTCAACATTATTTGGGGACTAGTGAAGTGTTAATTTGTAACTGTTGAGATGTTGGTAACTGGTGAAGTGTAAATTGTTAGTTGCTGACTGGTGAGGTATTAGTTTGTAACTGGTGAGATGTTAGTTGGGCACTGGTGAGGTGTTAGTTGGTGACTGGTGAAGTGTTAGTTTGTGATTGGTAAGATGTTCGTTGGGGACTGGTGAGGTGCTAGTTAGTTACTTGTGAAGTGTTAATTGGTGACTGGTGAGGTGTTGGTAACTGGTGAGGTGTTAGTTGGGGATTGATGAGGTGTTAGTTGGGGACTGGTGAGGTTCTAGTTAGTGACTCGTGAAGTGTTAGTTGGTAACTGGTGAGGTGTTAGTTGGTAACTGGTGAGGTGTTAGTTGGTAACTGGTGAAGTGTTACTTGGTAACTGGTGAAGTGTTACTTGGTCACTAATGTGATGTTATTGGGGGGGCGGGTGAGGTGTTAGTTTGTGACTGGGTAGATTTTTGTTGGTTAAAATTTGGTATGTCTACGAAGTAAAATCACACCTTTTTATAAGATTTTGACGAAAAATCAGATTCTTGATCTGCCCAGTCAAACTTTTGAGATGCTAAGCTCCTATCAGCATATGGGCAAAATCTCTCACCACTCAAGAAAAAATGTTAATTTTACAGTAACACATCCAAATGTTGGTTTTTTTTTTTTCTTCTAGACGACTTTCTTATTCGAACTTACTAAAGTTGATGTTATCGTCTAAATGAAAGAAAATTCCCCTGAAGAGTATTGAATGCACCCAATTGACCTAATTAATGTTTATTTGGTTGCTGCGCATGTTGAAATATTGCTAAAATTTGGTTACAGGAATTACTGGATTTTGATAACACACATCTCATCCACTCAGCAAAAAATAAATGTAACGTTTGAGTTTTCATTTAGTGTATTCGATATCAGAAATTCTTTTTCTTATAAGTTCCACAAAAATACAGATTCTAATTTGTAATGATTCTTTGCTATAGATTAAACTCTGCTACCCTGTGCTACGTAAGTCACTAATTACAGCATGTCAGTCAGTAACGTTTTTTACGATTAACCTATTGCACCGTGCTTGGCTGTGAGACCTGACTGAGCAATGTGCACGTGGTCATAATCTATCAAGTCAATTTTATTAGATTTCTTGTCAAAACGTCTACTACGGGCAGCTATTTTACATTTTCTTAACATAACGATTGATTGCACAGATACGTAAACACATACACTCATATGAACAATCAAATAATCATGATAAAACTGTTGCTAAATTATTTATATATATCAGTATTTTTAAATCGTGTCCGGTGAAGTATTGGACACGTGACCTAATTTATGACGTTCACAAAGGCAAATGGACTCTGACTTTGAACTATGGACTTTGCAACTGGCGATTTTGTGGAAAGACTACTTTAAAGGCAGCAAGTATCCTCTCTGCATTGCAATTGCAAAGCAACATGATCTTAGATATGATTGAAAGGTCGTTCCTCTATGTTCTCAACTTGTTTGCTTCTTGTTGGAGTTATATATCATTTTATCCGTGGTATATTTTGTTCGGCCAAAAAATACGAAATGACAAAGTTCAAGCCAGGCCTACAGTACTGAGAGATCCTAGTTCGTCCTATCGATGTGTAGAGCATTTAAACGATATTTTAAGAACTCCATTTCATGGATTATATACGTTGGATACATTACTAAGGTATGTGGAACACCTAAAGCTGTTGTTGCTGTGTGTTTTAAATATCTATGTAGAATTACGTACAACATCAGTTTTAAATAATTGTCCTTTCTGGCTACAGAATACAGGGGCCGGTTGCACGAAGCATGGATAGCGCTATCCAGTGGAAAGCAAAAATTTTCAAACTTGTAAAAAAGGTGTTTACGTTTCTCTCACGACAAAGAAATTTTTCTCTTATAAAAGATTTTATGAACGTTTGCTACCCAGTGGATAACGCTATTCAGGGCAACCGGCCCCAGATGTGTTTGTCCTTTTGGAAATTTAAGATCATTTGATTAAGGCAAATCGCCCTTTTCATATGCTCACATTTGCAAAGATGTTTTATTCACTAAATATTTGTTTAATGACGGCAATGTTGTAAAAAAGTGGTCATCGTAGGTGTAAAATTCATTGCTTTAGTGATGGATTGAGAGAAAGGAATTCATTTGAAAGAATTCGCAACTTAACCCCACAAACTTCTTAAATTTCCTTCAAAAGGTCAAGGGCAATGCTGGGGACATTCAAGGGTGCACAAGTGAAATATAACTTTTCAATCGTGTGAATCAGTAATTTGTAATTTTTAGACAGTCAGTGTCAAGCTATGGCCCATCAAAGTGCCTTGGTACACGAGAACTCCTCAGTTCAGAAAATGAAGTACAACCCAATGGAAAAGTGTTCAACAAAGTTGTACTTGGCGAATATAAATGGCTTAGTTATAACGATGTTCTGACAAAGGCTGAATCTTTTGGTTCTGGACTCATGGCTATTGGGCAAAAAACAAAACAAAATCTTGTCATATTTGCTGATACTAGAGCAGAATGGATGATAGCAGCTCAAGCTTGTTTTATGAACAATTTTCCAGGTAAATTTGATATCTCCTTTTTGCAAGTATCCTACTCCAATAACCACAATGTTGTTAAGTGACATTTGTGAAAAATTGAAAAATGTCATGAAGTTTGAGACATTTCTTGCTGGAAAATTAACAACTTTTGAGACTGTACAACTTCTTTAACTCTTCTTTATACTTTGTGTGATACAAGTTAGTGTGATTCAAAATTTAGAAATCCTCAGCTTGTTTTATTTATATACCTTAATGTTTCCTGCTTTTTTTTCAAATAATAGATTCGTGCATTTTGTTTTACCTTTCAAATATGTAGGCTTTAACTAGCATTCACATTAAAATATATAGTATTAATAGATTTGTGTGTGACTTCTTTGCATTGATAATTGATAACAGTTAATCTGACTCATTGATTGTTTTGCATTGAGTTATTCAAGAGTACCTTTTTCTTCTTAATAGTTGTTACCTTATATGCTACTCTTGGTGAGGAGGCAATTGTATATGGTATCAATCAAGCTGAAGTAGAAGTTGTCATCACTGATGGGCAATTACTAAACAAGTTGCAAGCAGTTTCACATCAATTATTGTGTTAAAACCATTATCTACATTGGTGATACAGATGTTAGTGGTCTAACATCATTTCCTAGCAATGTTAATGTGCTATCTATGACTGAGGTTGAAAAGATTGGAACAAGATCTCCAAATGGTAAGTGTAAGGAACATGTGCTTACGTCGTTGCATTTATTCATAAGAGGGTTTCTGGCCATTTTATTGCAGGAGTGGATATACCGTGGGTGCAATGGGTGTGCCTCCCTTTAATTCTCTAGCACCCCTCAAAAAAGTTCTAAAATGGTATTAGGTACTATAGACTATTATTGTCATAGTATTTAAGGTTGGAAAATTCTACAGTGAGATTGAGCAAAAATTAGAGCTTGTCAAGACAAAGACAATTTTACATATTTCATACTACCACCCTTTGCAACTGAGTTCATACATGCACATTTGGAAAGTTAATAAATGCAAAGTAACTTGTTACTATGTCATGTCACTTGGCACCTTTAGCTAGGACAATAATGCACCCTCTTGGAAAATCTGCTCCCCTCCTGTCAAATAAACATTTATCAGCTTCTGCTTTATTGAAAGGCTGTGTTTGACTATTGATTTCTGCATTATCTTCATTGACAAAATAACTAACAAATCGAAAGAACAGTTAAAAGGTTTTTTTTTCACCATATACTTGAAAGTTGCTTTTGGTCCTGTCATCATACATCACTGCACAAAGAAACCCATAACATCTAAGTTTTGCATTTAATAATAGTGCTCTCAATAAAGTTGTACAAGTCAATATCAATAATCTAAAGATGGAAGTTGTTTGAGATCTTTGTCTGAATGCCTCCTGTGTATATACAGCACCATTACTCTACCTGAGCATACTCACATATATCATTTTCATCAAAATATACCATTACCTGAACTTTCATTTTCATCAAATATCATATTTAATTTTTGGAGTATACAACTTCCTGCAAAACACTTAATGAGAAAAATGCTTCTTGTTTTTTAGCTGTTCAGTCACGTGTTCCACCTACTCCAGAAGATACAGCTGTGATTATGTATACAAGTGGTTCAACAGGTTTACCTAAAGGTAAAGGGTTTTCAATGTGTGATTATATACTTAGTATGTTATTTAAGTTACATAGGCGATGTAAAAGATTGTTCTAGCATTCCTCCTTACTTACCTATCACCAAATCTTTTTTTGTTCTTAGGAGTTATCATTTCTCATGCAAATCTAGTTGCAACCATTGCAGGCATGACAGACAGAGTACAAAATAAGAGGTGAGCAGTTATAACATAAGAAAGAGCCAAGGATTTAGGGTTTGGTTTTTTAGAAATAAGAGGAATTGAACTATGTACAATAGATCTAGCAGTGCAACTTTCTTGCCAATATGTCAATCAATATGGCAATAATGACTGAAGTATGGTAATTTGAGGGGGTAGTCGGTAGAAAATTTGTTTGACTGTGACAATTTCATCACATATGCGTATGACTCAATTCTAAAGCTAGAACGAGTGAGAAAAGCTTCAACTAGTGATAGAAGTGTTTAAGTTTGCCTGACTATTTTACAAACGTCTTGCCTTCAGTTATGCAAGTGATGGCTATAATTTCGAGTGAGTTGTGAGTGATGGTGATGTTTTTGTGATGGTGGTTATTTAGAAAGTTCTGTAGCTATATGTGTTCATATTTATGTATAATTCATATTTTAATTACTGGTACCATTCTCTTGCTTACAGAGAAAGTTCTGTAGCGATGTGTGTTTGTATGCAGTGTGCGAATTAACGGTGTGCAATGTGCAATTTGCACATCGTTTTGCTAGAATGAAAACAATTGCACATCACTTTTTCAAACGATATGCAAAAAACATCTTTATTGATTACCACCACATAAATTGAACAAAGTTTTCAAGCTTAAACATTACTGATCTTTACTTTATAAACGAGTGCGCTGCACGACATTAAAATCCATGTTGACACAATGTCATCAAATTCAAAGACGTTGTCACTTTGAGACTGGTAAATCTGTCAACACTCAACATACATGGTGCTTACATGCTACGACATTGGGGGTGTAATACATTATTAATGTCAATTTTTGCATTTGCGTTGTTTTGTAAACCGTTACGTAGTGTTTTTGGCATCATAGCTATTTTGAGTATTTTCAGTAAAATCAGGAAATATTTTGATTTTGATTCTTGAAAGAAGACAAAAAAAACTTAAATAAGCCAAATTTGAAAATTAAACCAAGGGAATTTTGATTTTAAATAAGCCTAACGTGAGAAAAACATTAATGGCTCAAAACATTAAGCCAAACTGGCAACATTGATCAGCCATACTTTTTGCTTTTACATATTGTTTGTAATGACATAAATATGATGTTTTTTATCGTAAGTAAACATCAAGGATGTTACTGTTAATAATCAGAAGGCAAAAGTATATTCGGCTATTCTCTTTTCACTTTTGTCTTTCTTGCCATCTTCGTCGAAAGGTTGTAGCTACCAGCAAAGTTAATACTGTAAGAAAATAGATGGAAACATCAAATGCTGACTTGTTTGAGTACTGGTATGATGGCCACTTGGTGAATTTATTGCGCTGTAAAGTTTGCACAAAAAAGTCGAGAGAATAACATGCACAAAAAATTTCTCTCATACAGCTGGATCAGCTGTTGTAACGAAAAACACTGTCGTAAATCATATGAATTTGTTCACGTTTAAAAATATTAATTTAGCAATTAGCGCTGTATAATAATTATCGTAATATCGATTTGATTACCCCTCTAATGAAACACTTTTGTCAAAAAAATTGCACATCGTTTTTTCTCAACTAATTCGCACACTGTTTGTATGTATGTATAATTCATATTTTAATTACTGTTACTATTCTCTTGGTTATGGGGAAAGTTCTGTAGATGTGTTTGTATGTATGTATAATTCATATTTTAATTACTATTACTATTCTCCTGGCTATGGGGAAAGTTCTGTAGATGTGTTTGTATGTATGTATAATTCATATTTTAATTACTGTTACTATTCTCTTGGTTATGGGGAAAGTTCTGTAGATGTGTTCGTATGTATGTATAATTCATATTTTAATTACGATTACTATTCTCCTGGCTATGAGGAAAGTTCTGTAGCTATATGTGTTTGTATGTATGTATAATTCATATTTTAATTACTGTTACCATTCTCTTGGTTATGGAGAAAGTTCTGTAGATGTGTTCGTATGTATGTATAATTCATATTTTAATTACTGTTACTATTCTCTTGGTTATGGGGAAAGTTCTGTAGATGTGTTTGTATGTATGTATAATTCATATTTTAATTACTGTTATCATTCTCTTGGTTATGGAGAAATTTCTTTAGATGTGTTCGTATGTATGTATAATTCATATTTTAATTACTATTACTATTCTCCTGGCTATGGGGAAAGTTCTGTAGCTATATGTGTTTGTATGTATGTATAATTCATATTTTAATTACTGTTACCATTCTCTTGGTTATGGAGAAAGTTCTGTAGATGTGTTCGTATGTATGTGTAATTCATATTTTAATTACTGGTACAATTGTCTTTAGTGATGATGTTTACATTGGTTATCTACCTTTGGCGCATGTGCTCGAACTTGCAGCGGGTATGACAATAATTGTCCATATTATCATTCATAGTTGGGTTGTTTTATGGAGTATTGTGAATGGCTGAAACTACTCTCATAGTTTATGCAGTCAGTTGTTCTCATTTTGTTTACAGAACTCGTCATGCTCACGAAAGGAAGTTGTATTGGCTATTCTTCACCTTTAACCCTGTCAGACATGGTTTGTAATCATTTTGAGATGTATTGTTTTGTTTGCATTAATGTTTGTGCTATATATTCCAAATGCTTACTGGTAATCAAGTGAGAAATGACAAAGTTTTCATGCAATAAATATTATTTTCTCAAAAATCACATGGTATTTAGTGTAAGTAAGTTTGCATACCAGGGTTGCGCGTCATTGAATTGGAGTTCTTTGTACTTGTAAGCAACACCTAGACTGGACAATGTATCCAAATTATAATTCTTGAGTAACTGAGTGACTGTTTATACTTTTATACCAAACCTCGATTGTTTTTTTTTCTTAATCACGTTTTTATGCCCAGTAATTTTGTTCCGTGTCAGTTTCCACATTATTTTTTTTTACGTTATCACTCTTCGACGTTCCAAGACTAGATCTTTTTTATTATATGGTACCAGTTGTTATACTGTTAGATTTACCGGTATGTCCATAACTTTTTTATTATTTTTACTCGTTTAGTCTTCCAAAATAAAGAAAGGTTCGAAAGGCGATGTAAGCGTTCTTAAACCAACTCTAATGGCGGCCGTTCCGGTGAGAGCAATCGACCAGTCTTTGTTCCAAAGCAATCTGTTGTTTTCAGCTTTTTACTTTTTTCTTCATCAGGCGATAATGGATCGTATTCGTCACAATGTTCTTGATAAAGTGAACGAAGGTTCTTGGTTCAAACGACTGCTTTTTAAATTTTCGTATAACTATAAAGTGGATCAAGTAAAGCAAGGTTACGATACACCAATTATAAACAGGTAACGCTAGTCGAAATTAGAAACTTTGTTCTGGTGATGCAGACAGAATTGCCATAAAGATACAATGCAGATTAATATTGGCACTAATGAATGGTTGATAAAAATATTAGATTCATCTTCAAGAAAACAAGAGATATTCTTGGCGGAAAAGTGCGTGGGATGTTGAGCGGAGGAGCCCCGTTATCTGAAGATACGCAATATTTTATGAATGCATGCATGTGTTGTCCTGTAATTCAAGGTTATGGTTTAACAGAGACATGTGGCGGTGGAACAGTTTGCTACAGTAAGAACAATTATATTCATCACATTGTCTATTATGTCTGGTAAACATGCTCCAGCAATCTTCAAATTTAGGCTTAGTAAAATTATTCTCTTATGAAGTTCGGACCATATCATGCAAAGGAAATTTAGAACGTTGTATTTTTAGAAGGTCTAGAAACGAATAACTGACCAGCCGCGTTTCTTGAAATATGCAATCATTTGTCTCACGATGATGTATAAAGTCAATATTTTGTGAACATTTTTTACTTGAGAAAATGTTTGGACGTATTAAGAAGGAAAATTAAGTTCCGTTTTCAAACCAACTCCAACTTACAGCTGATAAAAATTTTTAAAGTGTGGGATAGAACTTGTGGACGTGCTGGAGCACCAATTGGTTGCACCGAAGTTAAACTTGTGAGCTGGGAAGAAGGTGAGTTAAATCGCTGCTTTTGATTTGAGGAAATCGCGTTGTATCTTGTTTGATAATATTTTGCCACAGGTGGTTATTCTCCATATGACAAACCAAATCCAAGGGGCGAAGTTGTTTTGGGTGGAGGAAACGTCACAATGGGTTACTTTAAAATGCCTGATAAGACAAACGAAAGTTTTCATGTGGATAGAGATGGACAGCGATGGTTTTATACCAGTGACATTGGTGAAATTGAATCTGATGGTACTTTGAGAATCATTGGTGAGTATAAATTTGTACTTTTTTCCAGTGTTTAGGGGCTATGCCAATCACGTTAAATGCATTGTTCAGAAAGAGAAATGTGTATCATATTTCGTGACAACTCTCGTTAAGGAGCGTTTGAGAATTTTTGCAGCAAGTTTTGAGCATCATCCACGATGTGTAACATTAAGATGTTCACAGTTAGGAAGACTTACTAATTGTTTATATGTTTGTTTGAATTTTCTATAAACAACACCTACAGTATTTCGAGATTATTTTCACACTTAACATACTGGTACATTCTCCAGCTGTTCTTAAACTATAATTTCAGATGTAAAACTTACAAACTTCGTCAACAATTTGTATTTCTAAAGGCCCATTTCCACTTCATTCGCAATTCGCAAATCGCATGCGATCCTTTGTTTTCAATTCGCTTGCGAACGTTCGCAAATCGCATGCGAACATTCGCGTTGCGAATTTGACAAGTTCGCAATGTTTGATTTTTTGCGAACGTTCGCATGCGAACCTGCGTGGGCAACCAATCAGAAAAAGACAACAACAAACCAAAATGGCGGCGACAGGAAAGATAGAATGGACGCCAGAATTAGTTGAAGCCTTGATTGAAAATGTTCGTTCAAGCAAAGTCGTTTGGGATACGAGCAATGTAAATTACAAGAACAAAAATGTGCAGGAGTCAGCATGGTTAAAAATAGCAAGTGAGTGTGGTCTGGAAGGAAAAGCATCGAGTATTAAAGCAAAATGGCGCGATCTAAAAGACACGTATAGGAAAAGTTGAAGTTGTTGATACCAAAATCTGGTGATTCTGGTGGTACAAAGAAAGCTACTTGGCAATGGATGAGTCAAATGAGTTTCATGAAAAAATTTAGCATCGTTGAGACGCCAACATCTTCTAATTTCTTGACAATAAATGAGGAGGAAAGTCGCCGGATAGGCTTGCTGTCAAACGACACTGAGGAGGACATATCTGACTTGTCCCTAACTTTAGATGATCCAAAGCCAGACAGCCCAGCTTGCTCTTCGTCAGCAAGTGCCGTTAGTAATACTGAAATCTCTAAAGCACCAAATTTCTCTGGTAAAAGAAGGAAAAGGGATGAATCACTCAACCAGGTAGATTTGGCGATTTTATCTGAACTAAACAAAGATAAGGATGATGATGAGGATAGTCTGTTCATGAAATGCTTGATTCCGCAACTAAGAAGACTGGAGCATAAAAAGAAAGCATTAATAAAATGCCAAATTCAGCAGCTACTTTTTCAGGCAGAGTTTGAGTCCAGTTTTGAAGATCAATGATTTCTTCTGAATTGCTCCTGCTAGATGGAGTGTTCTAGTTAGGTCTTGGCATGTAAATGTGCAAAACATGTACTTGAAAGTTTTGACTGTTACATATAAAAACAAATTCACAGCTTATACACATACAGTCAAAAAGAACTGCTCAGGTTTTGTTTAGTAATGTTGAATAGATAGCAATTACCAAAGAGCTGGATCCACTTGTTATTGAATATACTATTATTTTTTCTCAGAAATTTCATGTAATGTTTTGGCATTTTGTGACAACAATACCCTGATAAACTATTTTTACTAGTGGGCAGTTCTTTTTGACTGTTTGTGTAAGAAAAAACAATCAAATTAAACAGTATCTGTGTGTTATGTGTTTTTTACAAGATTGGAAACATTTTGGTTCTGCTCTTTAGCTTTTAATACTCAACATTAACAAACATCATTTATTTATGTACACATTTTGCCAAGGTACTGCACCAGCAGGTGAATTGAAAAAGTTCTTGAAAATGTCTCGATTTCTTTTGCACTTTTCTTGCAGGCATTACCATTTTGGTTTGGGTTAAGGATTGATAGCCTGTATCCTTATTAACATCTTCTCTCAAGCTCCTGGCACAATATCTGCATTTTGTCTTCAGAATCTACAAATCCCGTGGGCAATATCTTCGCTCATGTCTGGGCAATGTTGATTCATGGAACATTAAGAAATTATGTAAGGCTACCACAGCTTTGACGATACCAATGCAACGCTCAGGTATAGCATCGATTGGTCGCTTGAAAATGCGCCATCTTGCAGTTGAAATGCCAAATGTATTTTCACTAACTCGTCTTGCCCTCGATAATCTGTAATTAAAATTCTTTTGCCATGTTCCAAATACCGTCCACCATATGGCTTCATAACATGACGTCCTAATGGAAAGGCATCATCTGCAGTTATTACATAAGAACATGTGGTGTTTGTGTTAGGCAAATTGCAGTCTTCTGGTAAAGACAACCTTCCATTATAGAGGGCATCTTTCATTCCACACCGTTCAAATATACCACCATCGCTTGAACTACCAATAGCACCTATATTCACTAGCAAATAGGAATAATGTGCACTGCAAACAGCCATCAAAACAACACTGAACCAACCATGAAAATTAAAGTACAATGAACCAGTGTTGGCAGGACAGTGGCATCTTACATGTTTGCCATCTAGTGCCCCAATACACAATGGAAAATTCCACTTCTCCCAAAATTCTTTCGACACATCTTCCCATTCGTTTGTTGTTGAAGGACATTGGACATAGATAGGAGATAGTGCCTTCCATATTGCTAAACATGTCTCTGGGACAATCTTGTTGACTGTAGAATGCCCCAACCGATAACTAAAAGATATGGTTTGATGAGAATCCCCAGTTGCAAGATATCTTAAGGTTACTGATAGCCGTTCAGCCGGCGAAATGGCTTCCCGTTTCTGGTTAGACTTAATTATCAATGGGGCAACTAACTGCAACAATTTCTCAAATACAATCGGTGACATACGAAAATATTTAAAGAAACTTTCGTGGTCTCCTAGTTGCATTTCTCTGACCAGATTGGCATACTCTCCTTGCTCCTTTCTTTTTTTGGAGAATAGGTCGGACCCAAAATCGTTTTCTGTATTTTGCCTTCCTTTTTTGATACCTTTTTCGTAATAACAATAATATTAAAAGTTTTCTTCTGCAAAAAACTGCCATGTTTTTTATTTAACCCGCAAAATTTTGCCATACAAAATAATTTCATTTTATTGGTCAATTAAACAATAGAAAATCGTGCGAACAGCGTTGATGATCGTGATAAGTGTGTATTGAATTCGCCTGTGTACGCACGTCGCAATTCGCAAATCGCATGCGATTTGCGAATTGCGAATGAAGTGGAAATGGGCCTTAATTGTGTTTTGCCAAATGCAAAACTATACCCAGCAAAGATGTAAATAGTAATAGTAGCACTAGCATTTGAAGCTGTTGCGAAATGTTTTTGGAGCATATCTCTTTCATGCTTTTAACTCTTTTATAGATCGCAAGAAAGACTTGGTTAAGCTACATGCTGGTGAATACGTTGCACTTGGAAAAGTTGAATCCATTTTATCTCGTTGCTCTATTGTTGAAAGAATCTGTGTCTATGCTGATTCCGGCAAGACATATGCAATTGCTTTCATTGTGCCACGTGCCAAGGAAGTTGCGACTCTTGCAAAATCTTTGGGTCTCTATCCGAATGACATGGAAGCTCTGTGTGAAAACCCAGCTATTGTTAAGAAAGTTATGGAACTGATTGAAAAAACAGCCAAGAGTGGTAAATTGTTTGTTAATTTTTTGCAAAATAAGTGAATAGTTTTTTCCGAAGCTTTTCATGGGTTTGTTTTATGAGGGCAAAAAAAATCGTATAAGTGTAAGTTATATTTATCGGCAACTTACACAGTCTGTAATCGATTCACTGCATATTGTAATGGATAAACAGTTTTTCCAATCTACTTGTACAAGCATTTTAGCTTTAGGCTTTCACTATAAATGTTGTTTTCTATTCATTCTAATAAGAGCTAGCATGCTTTTATTTTTCAGTGCAAAATTTTTCCTGTAATTATTAAGTTTTTCCTGTCCTTTTTCGTAGAAAAACTGGAGAAATTTGAAGTTCCGAAGAAGATAAAATTATGCAAAGAAGCATGGACTCCAGAAAGTGAACTTGTTACTCAATCTCTGAAACTTAAGCGGCGCAATATTGCAACGTTCTACGCTGACAGTATAAGAGCAATGTACTCTTGAAGAATGTTATTGATATTAGGAACTGAATATACTCGCTCAGGAAAAATGTAACTTGCTTATAACTGACGCTATATTGAATAGATGTAAGTGCTTTTTATCACTGCAAAATCATTTTAACCGTACCCAGTGCAACCATGTTTAGTATCTGTTGTGTTTTAGTGATTGCTCAATGTAAATTTTAATGCAATGAAAGTTTACATTATGAACCTTTATTGATTTAAAAACCAATTATGTTGTTGAGATCAAATGCTTACTTGGTAAATATTGATCAAAACGTTGACGTTGTTTTAAATAGATAGACAATAAAAGATGCAATGACGTAATGATAATTTATTTCTTAATTTGCTGACCTACGTAACGTAGGCTCGTTTACCTCAACTTTGGAAATTCGTCGAATTATCATTTGACATTTTTATTTCTGACTTGTGCAATTCATTCCAGCTTTGGCAGGCTGTACAGCTTTTAGGAATTGTATTGGCCTCTGTTGTTATTTTTCTACTCTGATGTTGAAAATATCGCAATTTCAGAGTATTTAAATGGAGAATGAAATGCTTGTTACATCTAAAAATATAACAGGAAATGGAGAGATTGACCGTGGAATTAATGAATGGCTTCGAATGGACAAGGTAATACGCTTGTTTATAGCATAAGGTATGTGCTGTGTGGCTTTTTTGAGAGGAAAATCTTTCAATTTTATGCTGTGTCACTGAGGAAGAAATATTTTGGAAAGTTTGTATTAATTTCGCATCACCTCGTTCACGTGTACACTCCATCACTCCATATGAAAATTAAAAGGACAACCTGTGTAGAAAATACACTAGTTGTAAAAAGCATTACCAAAATTAATCATTAAATTCATTTATGTTTCCAAGTAATATATGAGCCATACATCTTGTGCCCCCAGTGCAGGAGTCACCATGGTGATACCCAGAAGGGCACATTGTTGAGCCGTAAATGCATTTGCATACAATGATGCATTGGTATTGCAGCTACCTGGGTGAAATTCCAGAGTAGGATTCTGTAATAGATAGAATTTCGACGAATTTCTAAAGTTGAGGTAAACGAGCCTACATTACGTAGGTCAGCAAATTAAAAAATATATTATCAATATATCATTGCATCTTTTACAATTCCTTGACCTGTTCCTTGACTTAAGCGCAGCATAAGAATGAAAGTTAAGGATCAATGTTCAATATGGTTCAATCTTCAAGCGGCAATAAGTTGTTATGTGCCACACAAAACTTAATGTGGTTTTAGTGTTTATAATGTTCACTCTGACTTAGGGCAATTCAGCAGCAATGTTGAATTTAAAACAAAATTGAAAAGTTGACCAATGTGATCTGTTGGTATTTAGTTCACGGTTATGTATACATTGAACTCTTTTGGATTTTTACTGAAACCTAGCAATAATTGATGCTCTCAATGCTTTGTTCTTTGATGTGTTGAAGAAAGTTGAATATGGTGGCCCTTGGCCATGTCGAATTAATTGGTGAAACATGTTTCTGATATTGTGTTCAAGAAGGAATGGTTGCTTTTGTAGAATGTAGCTGTTTCATCCTTTGTCTTGTGGTATGCTGTATTTAGACCCAATTTCAGGATTGTAAAAACCAATTTAAAATCATTCTTAATCTCAAATCCATACAAGGTACAAGTATCATCAGGTCTGATCTTACGTTGTGTTTGATCTGACTTAAATGGGTTTTATCATTCTTGAGTTATTAGAAGAACTTGAATTAAGTCAGAGGAGCCTTGTTGTTACAACTATAAATTATGACGTCAGAATTTTCCCTAAGTTGATAGACTTTGCGTCACCACTGGTGTAAGGTTTTATGGCAGGACTTTGCCATACAGATTCAAAACTGTTGCTTTCACGAATGCTGGTTGCATTGGTATTGACAGAGTATTTTAATACTAATGGGAAGTCCGCACTGTACAGCTAAAAGGTTAAATGGTTACTTTCTTTTAGTCCTTCGTTTTTGATGCGTTGTACTCACCTGCTTGGTGTTGTGACCTCGAGATCTTAAGAAATTATTTTTGTTTGACAGCCTCGTAGGACCTATTCACAAACTAAAAACGTCCCATCCATACATCATGTCTTTCCTTGCGCCGTTCTGTTTAATTGCTCCTTTGTCGTTAAATAAATCCTAGCGCGTATAGTCAGTTAAGAAAAATTGCAAATCTTTTCGCTCTTTCGGTTTCAACGTCTGGCGTTGTGTGCTTGCTCTTCACGTGGTTTAGTTTGTCAAGAAAGACCCGTACCATTCCTAAAACTTTGTCATTGTTTTTATTTGGTTGCAAATATAGTTTTCAAAAGGTGTCTTTCAAAAGTAGATTTTTCATCTGATACCAAACCTTTCAACAGAAAAGCCTTTCTTATAAATAGGATGATTCCTTTATTCACTATTTGCTACGCATATGTAATATGTTTGGCCATGGTCATTCACAAATCACCAATAGATCCTTAATGTAGCGGTACAAGTTTATGGTTTACACATGAAGTGTACATTCAATGTGCATATCCTCGTCAAATATATGTCATTCAATATTCATTTATATTTCTAAAACAAATGCAAAGATGGTGGAAACAGGGCATTTTACATGAAACTCTGAAACTCTTTATTCTATGTTAGAAGTATAATATTTGAATTTTTAAAAGCGAAACCATCTGAACATCTCGCTATTTATCGTTCCTTTTTGCATAACCATTATAGAAAGAGTTTTAAAACTCCCGTTTAGCCTGTGATAGCTTGTGTAGCGTGCATTCTATATAATGTGTATAGTCTATGATCTATGTATTGTGTATAATGCATGCAGCGTTTTTATTGTTTGTATGGTGCAGTTATTTATATACATACACTTTATGTTTTAGAACACCAAGACTGTAGCGGAGGTAAAGAAACTTATATCTGATAAAAATCATGATGAGCTGCACAAGCGATTCTGTAGCCGAATATCTTTTGGAACTGCTGGTAGGAAATGTTTCCATTTTGACTAACAAGTTTTCATATTCATCCAATCTTCATGCTATCTCACGATATTTAGAAAGAATTTTGTTTCCAAACTCGTCGTCCATTATTTAGGACTTAGTTTATATTTTCTTTCCTCCAAAATTTACCTGTTAAAATCTGTTCATCATCATTATGAGATCACGTGATGCGAAACATTTTTCCTTTATAGGCCTTCGATCAAAAATGGGTGCTGGCTTTACGTATATGAACGATTTGACTGTAATTCAGGCTTCACAGGTTTGTTCACTGACGATTTACACCCAATCACACCCGCTATTTTGAGACTATAGCTATAAAATCGATTAATACAATAGGTCAAAAATATATTGGAGAGTTATAGTTTGAACGATCAAGGATGTGTACTGTATATTACAAATGTAAAAAATATTTAAGATTAACTTGAACTAAAAGCTAAAATTGTTGTTTAAAACTTTGCACGACTCTTGGATCCCTAGTTGTCGTTTAATGAGAAATGAGAATTTATTTCGTGATAATTGTTGACTTTTTTCTCTATCATGAATTGCATTACGAGTATGGTGCGTGTGGTTATTAGCCAATAGTTTAATTAATTTATTTAAGTCAGTTTTCTATCCAAAATGAATTATAATTTTCTATTTGTTCCTCCTAAAACAGTACACTGAGATCCAGTTGATTGGTATAAAAATTATTAGTTGGTTGAATGGACTGCGCAAGTTTTGAGTCATATATTAATGGCATGCTGTCTGTCTTCTTCAGCTTGTTTCAACAAAAGCCTTTTCAAACTCGCTAACTCAATGATTGTTATCGGCTTGGCCTTCCCCCACCAAGTGTAAAATACAAAACCATAGGCATTACACCGTTGACAACCGTTGACACCGTTACTGAAACCGTGGACAACAAGACAACGAGTGGTTATTTAGACTATAGCTTGTGATAGGTTTTATCAAAATGTTTTATTTTGCTTATTTTGCCATGAAGTCAATGGATGTTCGCCTCATGATACATGAATGAACAATAAATGAGAGTTAACGAATATATGAAAACAGTATGAAAAATTTTAAGATTGGTTTTTTTCAACCACGACCAATCATAAATTTAATTTAGCAAAATACCCAAAACAAGTTTAAAGATCATCCCAGGCATGGGGCATGAAAGGGTAACTGCTCTTCCACCCCACTCCAACATTTCCCATAGTGACGTGTAACTGGAAAATGTCAGTGATATATAATAATGCGTAATATATGTAAATGTCATTTTGCTTCCCCCCACCCTCAAAAAAAATAGAATGCCGCCGGCGCCACTGATATCAGGTGATTAGTAATTTATACAGGGGCTTTCACATCTTAACTCTGCTATTGCGAAGAAACGTAGTTAGAATTTGTATTCATCGGAGTTTGTAATCTTGGCAGATCTATACCATAGTTACTAAAGAAAAAAATCTGTTTGTCATTTAGGGGCTTTGCAAGTATGTTCAGGATCTGTTTTCTAACGTTAAGGAGAAAGGCATTGTTATTGGTTTTGATGCAAGACATAACAGTGAAAGGTGAAACAAAGTATTAATTAGTTATATATAACTACCGATCCAGAATGTCGTTAGAAAAGTATAAATAGTGTTATAAAGATCATTCAAAGACCCCGTATTTCAACAGAATAGTATTTAGTGGTAATGATTAATGTGATTCCTGATGTTAATACAAAAGTGTTAAATTCTGATCATTAAACAATCTGGAATGTAAATAGAAAAGTAATAAATATTGATCATTTACACATTCTGGGCTAGTTACACAAGTAAAAACTGTTAACTCTTAGCTCAACTCAACATTAAACCAATGGCCGACACCGTGTGCAAAATGACGACCTACACGGACTAGCACAAAGTCTCCAATAGGATGGACGTTTAACTTTTGTACTCTGTTGAGTGTTTTCTTTGAAATATTTTTCAGATATGCATTTTTGGCTGCAACTGCATTCTTGAGTCAAGGAATTAAAGTGCATTTATTTGGAAAAATAGTGCCAACTCCTTACGTGGTATGGTTAGAAATTCTATGGTAGTTGTTGTGCATTATATGAGTGAAAAATAGTGCCAACTCCTTACGTGGTATGGTTAGAAATTCTATGGTAGTTGGTTTGCATTATATGAGTGAAAAATAGTGCCAACTCCTTACGTGGTATGGTTAGAAATTCTATAGTAGTTGTTGTGCATTATATGAGTGAAAAATAGTGCCAACTCCTTACATGGTATGGTTAGAAATTCTATGGTAGTTGTTTTGCATTGTATGAGTGAAAAATAGTGCCAACTCCTTACGTGGTATGGTTAGAAATTCTATGGTAGTTGTTTTGCATTGTATGAGTGAAAAATAGTGCCAACTCCTTACGTGGTATGGTTAGAAATTTTATGGTAGTTGTTGTGCATTATATGAGTGAAAAATAGTGCCAACTCCTTACGTGGTATTGTTAGAAATTCTATGGTAGTTGTTTTGCATTGTATGAGTGAAAAATAGTGCCAACTCCTTACGTGGTATGGTTAGAAATTCTATGGTAGTTGTTTTGCATTCTATGAGTGAAAAATAGTGCCAACTCCTTACGTACTATGGTTAGAAATTCTATGGTAGTTGTTGTGCATTATATGAGTGAAAAATAGTGCCAACTCCTTACGTGGTATGGTTAGAAATTCTATGGTAGTTGTTTTGCATTCTATGAGTGAAAAATAGTGCCAACTCCTTACGTGGTATGGTTAGAAATTCTATGGTAGTTGTTGTACATTATATGAGTGAAAAATAGTGCCAACTTTTTACCTGGTATGGTTAGAAATTCTATGGTGCTTGTTGTACATTATATGAGTGAAAAATAGTGCCAACTCCTTACGTGGTAGGGTTAGAAATTCTATGGTAGTTGTTGTACATTATATGAGTGAAAAATAGTGCCAACTCCTTACGTGGTAGGGTTAGAAATTCTATGGTAGTTGTTGTACATTATATGAGTGAAAAATAGTGCCAACTCCTTACGTGGTATGGTTAGAAATTCTATGGTAGTTGTTGTACATTATATGAGTGAAAAATAGTGCCAACTCCTTACGTGGTATGGTTAGAAATTCTATGGTAGTTGTTGTACATTATATGAGTGAAAAATAGTGCCAACTCCTTACGTGGTAGGGTTAGAAATTCTATGGTAGTTGTTGTACATTATATGAGTGAAAAATAGTGCCAACTCCTTACGTGGTATGGTTAGAAATTCTATGGTAGTTGTTGTACATTATATGAGTGAAAAATAGTGCCAACTCCTTACGTGGTATGGTTAGAAATTCTATGGTAGTTGTTGTACATTATATGAGTTGTTTTATCTCCACTTTTTACTGATAGTTACAACAAAGTATACATACGTTTATGTTTTGTAGCCTTACACCGTCAAGAAATATAAATGTGCTGCTGGAGTCATGATCACTGCTTCACATAATCCAAAAGAATACAACGGTTATAAGGTGTGTATCGAACTACTTATTTTATGTTGTTTAAGGCGATTCAAAATAAAATTTTGTTAAACGTACGTATTTCATTATAATGAATTTTTAAAGCTGTTACATTTTTCTTTATTCTAGGTGTACCTTGATAATGGTGCACAAGTAAGTTATTGTGAAATATCTACTCGATTTTTCTTAGATTTTTGAACTATCAATGTTTCTTACGTCAAGAAGAAATAATTCAGACTTGGTGTTTATAATTTATAATTTGTGTTGTCTTTTAGATAAAGTCGCCACACGATACACATATTTCCAGATGTATTCAGGAAAACCTTGAACCTTGGGAATCTTCATGGGAAATAGACCTGATTAAGACCAGTCCTCACAGAACTAATCCTCTTGAGGATATAAATAATTTGTACTTTGAAGATATTATGAAACTATGCCATTACAGGTACGTAGTTCCATCAAATCACATTTTGCATCGTTCAGAAGATTTCTGATACAAGATCATGTAAAAAATATTAAATTTAATTGCATTTTATTTCGACGATAAATAGAGGAGAAAACAAGCAATGATATTTGTGAAAACCATTATGTGTTTGACAATTTGATTTTCTTTTTCATGTTCAGTTTTCTTCCATTATTAGTGAAGTAAATTTATCTGAAAGTTGTTGACTTATAATGGCTTCAATGTCCAATTTGTACGTAGAAATGTGATGGAGTCAAGTCAGCTGAAAATCACTTACACGCCAGTTCATGGCGTTGGGTATGAGTATGCCAAGATGGCTTTTGCTGCTTTTGGTCTTAAGCCTTTTGTTTCTGTCCAAGAGCAAGTAAGTGAAGCGTAGCTTTATCAAGCAGCTGCTGTACATACAAATATTCATGTTTGATATAACAGCGACATTTTTGCTCATTAATAATATGTTCTTATGCATTAGTTTGGCTTGAATGACAAGACAATGAATGGAAAAGTTTTATTTATAAATAGAAAACTACTTTTATGTTTTGCTGTTATTTTATTCCAGATTGAACCAGATCCAGAGTTTAGCACAGTTAAATACCCTAATCCAGAAGAAGGTAAAAGTGTTCTGGTAAGCAGGCATTTTGGACATGGCAGGCATGCGCACAAGTACATGATGATAAAATGTAATGTTTTACAAACACTTTAATTTCAAGATTCCACGAGATAGACCAATTTGTGATATTAAATCAAGACATCACATCAAGTATACTATCCCATAGAGAGTTATTGTGTTCTTAATTCGTGATCATTTTTTGCAGGATTTGGCTGTAAAAACCGCAAATGAAAACGGCAGCACACTGATATTGGCAAATGATCCTGATGCTGATCGTCTGGGAGTTGCTGAAAAACAATCAAAGTATGTTGACGTCTTTGTTTGTTTTTTTATAAGTCGGTTTACAACGCCAGGCAATTACATGTGCTTTGTTTTTCATGTCAGTCTTAAGTTTGAAGCTTTATTTTCTGCAATATAATTTTAGTGTACGTATACTGGAATTATCGATGATTGATAGTTCAGTCTGCAGCTGATTGTGTTTATTAATCCTTGTTATATAAGTGCTTGTGTATATATAAACGTGATTGGTTCATTCGTTGTCACATGACTTACGATCCCTCGTGAAATAGTGAGTTTCGTTTTCGTTGAGTCTCATGCAATGTATCCCTCGGCGAAAACTCACTATACCCCTCGGGAACATACATTAAGTGTATTTTATATATCCTGGGGCTAGGATAGGATCCGTATTGATTTTCCGTATCAATATGCATTGGTGTCCTTGTGGTGTATTTGTAGCTTATGAGAGACTACACATCAGCTTATTAAACATGTTTATAAATTGTTTTAGTGGTACTTGGAAAATCTTTTCTGGAAACGAAATTGCTACTTTGGTTGGCTGGTGGTTGATGGAATGTCATAAGAAGAGTCACCCGAATGATATGCCAGGTTGCATTGTTATATTGAAATATATATAACAAAAAATATGTTTAAATTCTTTGTTATTTTTCTTTATTATTTTTACATGGAATCTTTGTTATTTTTTGTCATAACGTTCTGAGAATTTCAAAGTCATTTGCAAACGTTCGTAAAACTTGTTCGTTAAGGGTGGAAGTTATCGTGCCATGTTTCGCTTTTGCTCACCCCTCCCCTCCCCCACCCTCCCCTACTCCACCCCTCTCCACCCCTATGAACGCAACTACATTCCCATAGTTGTATTTTCGGATGATGGTGTATTCAATCAAAAATTAGTATAAAAAGTGAAGTTCGATAGAATCATTTTGTTTTACATACAGAAATATAAACAGATAATTCAAATACATAGGATTTTAGTAATGATTGGCGAAGAGGGAATTGTAAAATATTTCCATGTCAAGTAGCTAATATCCCATATTATTTAGGTCAAAACGTTGCAATGGCTGCCAGTACAGTGTCCTCACAAATTCTAAAAACTATGGCGAAAATGGAAGGATTTCTTTATGACGTAAGAATAACCTGTCCAAGTGATCTATTTTTGGGGAGGGGAGATATTTCGGGGGGGGGGACAAGATTGAATGCAAAGCCAGCATTTTTCAAACTTGAAAGTTTATATAAACTGTTAAAGTTCCTGCGTATATTTTATCGTCATTCGTTTACGGTCGTTCGTAATTATGAGCCCTGTGTATTGGCTTCCATGCTTTACTTAACTGAGTGTTCCCCAATTGGAATTCGATGTATGTGTCGGAGATTTAATCTAGTCTGGGGCTTCCTTGTTGTCTTCGATCGTTCGTTTGCAGAACTATAGCATCTTCATGATTCGTGTATATATACCTTATTTTTGACCAGCTGTAACAGATTGTACACATAGCCTTGAGTCTCAGCATATGATATCTATAAAGGAAAATTCGTGATTTGTACGCTTTAGTTGTAGTATGAATTTCAAATCAAAGTTTGATTAGTTCTCTCCTTTTCGCATTCGCAAATAAAAAATAATGTATCTACAAACTTGCAATTACTAAACTTAACAAGAAAAACTTTGGCCTTGTTTATTTCCCAAAGCACGATAACTCTGTGCGCGGTGCCAACATACCCAAATCCCCCAATCCAGAAAGCATGCACAGAATGTTCAAGGGATAATTAAGACTTGGGGAATGTTAAGACCTTGTCATCTGAACAGTATTGATTTCAGATCAATGACAAACCTTGATGAGAATTATCCTTCTTAGTCTTTAAAACTGTTATATGCCATACATAAACGTCATTAGGCACGATCCATATGCCAGCTTGTGCTACTCTAAAATGATCACTTTCTGGAATCAAATTTAATTTTGTTCAATTTATGTGACAGAAACTAACAAAAGCTACTAAAAACAACTTGCCTTCAAGGCACAAAAATTGTGCTTATTGAAGCACGTTGTATTTTTGTATATGTCGGTTATTTCTAAGGTTGAAGTAGTCATGATGTTGTCAAGAAGGATGAATATTTATCGATACAGTTTCAATTACCATACTTAAGCAACAAACTATGCTATTATTCTCTTAGGAATTCAAGGATAGTGTAGGTTTTTAGTGAAGGTCAAGTGCATTATCTAAACTTTTCCTATTTTAAGTTTAAATTTCTGAATGTTTCATATATAATTACCAAATTATCGTTTTGAAGTTTATCAGTGCAAGTGAACCATAAATGTTTTGTAAACCAAACTTTGTCTAGTTGCAACACCTAATTTTCACAATTTAAATAAGAATTTTTTAACAACCTTATCTTCATGTCTTGATTGACGGTCAAGAATTTATAATTCGCAAAACGGAGATGGCATTCTTAAGCTGTATCAGTATAAAAAAATTAATGATGCTGATACTGAAGATACAGCGATCAGGTCTTTCAATCAACTCATTCCACAATACAATAAATTTTAGTCATTTTGTCAAGAATGAAATGATGAGAAATGTTAGGAAAAGTTTAATTGCAATTTTTTTCTGGCGGGACAGCTAAAAAACAAGATTAACTGTTAATAAAATATCTTTCAATATTTTTGACACATGCAATAATGTGTTTTGAAATGCAGGGACATTGACAAATGTAGGACAAAACAAAGTTGTGAAGCTCAATTTGATCGCCATCTTATTTCGTAGAAACTCTTAAAATTTCAATAACCTGATGTTTCAACTTTGCACCGAGTAATTTCTTACGTTGTAGTCATTGTAAGAACCAGAATTAAGGATCATTTCTCGAGTGTAAAACTGCAACATTTCAGTGGTACTTATTTTGGTATCATAGCCTTAGAACCGGTGATATAAGGAAATAAATTAAAGTTTGTCAAGTTTAATTTTCAAATTACGATCATGACACAGTTAACTCCACCATTGATAATGGATTTTCCTAGAACGAAGCCTTTCCAGTGGAATTTCTTTTTTCGTAATTTGAAATGTTAGTATATTCAAGAATGAGCTGCTATATAATGTATTTTCACTTTTCACTCACTCTCATTTTGCCACTCTGATATTAAATATCTAATGTTGTGATAAGACTTTGACACTTTAATGAATAGTTAGGCAACTTCATTTCTCAAGAAAGGCAGCCCCATTGCTCAAAGAAGGGTGCTCGATAGCATAGAATATTCCTAAACAAAATGTCAAAAGAGGAAACCTTGAGAGGAAACACGAATTTTCTGCATACTCCTAGGAAACACTTACTGGGTTCAAGTGGATAGCAAATAGAGCCGATGAATTTCTGTCGAAAGGAAAGACAGTACTTTTTGCTTTTGAGGAAGCTATAGGTATTTTCATTGTATTCACGTCAATTGTACTTTATATTACGTCAAACCTTAGCTCTTGGCTTATTTAAAGGTTTTATGTGTGGCACTTGTGTACTGGACAAAGATGGTATTAGCGCATGTGTGGTTTTAGCTGAGTTGGCGTGTTTTCTTGCCCAAAAACAAGTATTATTGACTCAACAGCTGCAGAATATATTTGACAAGTAAGAATAAATCTCTTAATGTTTTGTTGCTGTTATATTTGAAATGTCAGTGATTGGCTGCGATTGCCCTTTTACAGATATGGCATTCACGTTACCTTCAATGGCTATTATCTCTGTTATGATTCAAAAACTATTGTAAAAATATTTCAAAATATCAGAATCATGAACAAAGGCGATGTATGTATTAAGATATTTGTCCGAGATATGATGCAAATTACTAGGACTCCTACCTTAAAGAATTTTTCGGCGTTTTTTTGATGTCTTTTAGCTGTTCGTTAAGCGGATCACAATTCTGTTTAATTGCTACATGATTTGACATTTTAGTATCCAAATTTTTGTGGAAAGTATCAAATCGTTGGTTTGCGAGATCTCACGACGGGATTCGACAGCATGCAACCTGACAAGAAAGCTGTTAGTATCTATAGCATTCAAATTTAATTGATGTCTTTTTACCCGAAATAATTGACGTCATTGCCATACGTTTTGATGACTCGTTATAAAATAACACCAATTTTTGTATGCTTTATGTGCTATAAAGAGTGTTTTGTTTATTTCTCCTTAAATTTTATTGTCAGACTCTTCCTGTGAGTTCTTCAAGTCAGATGATTACATTTTATTTTGATAATGGTTGCACTGCTACCCTAAGAACCAGTGGAACTGAACCGAAGATCAAATACTATTCTGAGTTGATTTCTGATCCTAGTAAAAGGTACACCTAGCAATAAAGTTTTTTTTGTAGTGGTCAATATATCATCGTACTTTTGACTGTTAGCTTATTCTTCTTGTAGAGAAAATAAAGAAGTTTGCGAAGGAAAAATTAAAGATGTGGTGAATGTAATAGTTCGCGAGTTCCTAAAACCTGAGGAAAACGGTTTGATACCAATGGCGGATTAATTCATTTAAGGAGTATTGATGGATTCGACGTGTGTGGAGGTGGTAATGTATGATAAAACAACGCATAAATTCGGTCTGTAGGCTATTCCTGATTATTAAACGAAAATAGATCTGGAACTATTACTCTTGCAATAGCTGTATTGTTTTTGTCTTATTGTGTTTTAAAAAGTATAACTGCGTTTCTTTGAATTTTCATGTATTTTTAGTTTATAATTTAGCCTGATGATTATTTTGGTTGTGATAATAGATAGAAATAATTTTATCTATAAAGGACCTCGGAACCGGGTAACCCCCCTTATCTCCTTTTCTCACTGGCAAAAATTCAGCATGTGGCGAAAGTTACTCCCCATTCCCCGTTTGGAAACAGTCACCGCTGTTTAAAAAGATAACCAGTCTCAAAAACATGAAAATTGCTTTTCGAATTTCTAATGCAAGGACTTTTTGTGCCAGATCTATTTTTGTAAATTTTATACGTGGTAATGTAATTACCGACAGGTATAAACCTACATAGCAGTCTAATATATAAATATATACACATATATACAAATATATTAAATTTTAATGTATGATGTCAGCATACTATATGCTTCTTACTAAAAACTCCCTACTTCTAAATCGTAAAGCAAAAGCAATATTTATCATTTTCTTTTTCTGATTAACTAAGTTCATCAGTCAGGTCGATTTCATCATAGGTTTTCGAACTATCTGTCCTTATTTTTACGAATAACAAAGGTTAAGCATAATTTGCTTTTCTAAACTGCTAGCATTTAAAATGCTTATTTGTACGTGTAATTCGCACACCTAAAAAAATCACAAATTATCGTTTTAACTTCTAAGATATTAAGCCACATATATAAACTACTTCAAAATGAACTGAGAGTTACGTATTTGTATAGAAAAATAACTAAAAATTTTTGATACGTCCATACTTATCGATATTCAACTCTTGTGAATAAATCTGAAAATGCATAGATGATTGGAGAAGATACATATAGTGTTTGTTGTTTTCATCATAGGACTTTTCATGGGATTATTAAACATATCACTTTTTGAGAGAACAACTGAAAGTGAATAATCATGAAAAAGTTACGTATTTTCGTATCATTTATATTTTTACGAACGTCAGTGCTATTGACGTTTTATCTGTCGTATATACAGTATGTTGATAAAATGTTTAATCAAACGGCTCGCACGTATTTCATTCATTTATTAAATAGTTGCATAGTAGAATATTTCTTTGCAGTGCTGCGATAACTTGAGGAAGTACTTTGCTCGAGTTCTTAATGCTTAGAATATTTGCTATATCCATGTGGCCATTAGGTATAAGGCTGTGGGTTTTTTAAATACACATGTGTATGTCTTTAAATCATTTAAATGAGTTTTTAAGTGGTAGTCTTCTGACGTAAGATGTTTCGTTTCAATCAAGATATTATCTTACTGAGACGAAGAACATACGGACGCTTAAAAACACGCATGCCTCGTTAGACGTTAGACGATACACATTTACTTCACATCGACGTGTACTTCTAACGGATACTTGAATTTACCGAGAGGGAAAACGTTGTTGATGAGATACATGAGTATGTCGGTGCAACGATGGAGCATGTCTCCGAGCCATACTGCTCTATCGGGAAAGTTTATGAAAGGACGACTACGTCATTCCAAGTCTGATGTGGACATAAGGCTCGCGTCTTCTAACTCACCGGCTTCGTCGAAAGCAATTAACGTTCGAAAAGATACGCTGAAGTTTGATGTTAATATCGGTAGCATGAGAGTTCCATTGCAAAAAGAATACAATATTGTACTCTTAGGACAAGCAGCTGTGGGAAAATCAGGTAAAATCACTGTCTGTCATGTTCTTAGAGATACGCAGTTTAGAAGATTAAGTTCCATAGATATTTACCTATAAGTACATGAGTAGTTGCAGGTTGAGACCACTTAAGTATAACTGGACTGTCCTACTATTAATCAAGAACTTTTGATAGCTTTCTGTTGAGAGAAATGGACGCTGCATCGATGTTATCCTTTCAATGTGCATGTGTTCCCAATTTTAATGAAATTTTTTTATTACTAACTAATGAAGAATCCTAAAATTATTCTTGTGTCATTTTGTTGATGATGAAAACAAGTTTTGTTCTAATTCCTGAAATATATTTATTGTGAAATGGTCCTGGAATCAATGGTAACCTTACATGTTGATGTTTTAATAATTTAATATACGAAAATGATATAGGCTTGCGTTGGTTAGCTGAGCTTGCTACGAGTTTATATTATTATTGTATAATGAAAACTACCCCTCTGTGCCCCCTTGAATTCCTCATTATATGCAATGCATCATTTATCATTTTTGACTTCTTTAATTCGATGCCATATATGGCATTCTGGTGTGTGATTTCCAATCGAGTTCACCAATTAACCATCACACTGAAAGATTTCTACACATTTTTTTTTGTCTAAAAACAGTCGAACCAGTTTAATTTTGGTTATTGTTCTGCTTCAATTATGAATGATGAAAGTTGTCACTTAAATTTCTTGACATTTCAATTCCAAGAAAAACATAACGAAATTGTTTCACGTGTTTGAACGATGGAAGCTTTGACGTTTTACACACTATCACAATCTATATTTTGTAACATAAGATAAATCTCCTGGTATGTCGTTAGTATGCAGTGGATTTTTGTACGAGTGGGTTAAGGTTATTTGTGGTAGCATAATATGTTCATCAATCAGTATTTCGTTCTTAACTCAATTACTGCTATCTAAGAATGTCTAGGAGGTGTTGTCAAACGTTGAAATTACAAAACTGCTGATGTTGAGTAGAAACATCTTGTTAGCTTTTTGGGGCATGTTGGCAATTTAATGAAATCAAATGAAGTAATTACAAATAGTGTCACGTTTTTGTTTTTGTAGCGATTCTTGTGAGATTTTCAACTGGAAGATTCATTCATGAGTACCATCCGACGCTTGGTAAGACTGAATTGTTATCATTGTAGTTTTTCCGGGGGGGGTGATGGAAGAATCGGCAAAAGTTGAGTATTCTAGAGTTTTCCATCGTTTAGAAAACCGTTGAATGTGAATATAAATTAAAAGTTTAGTTTTGTTTGCCGACCGGTGTTATGTGAGAAATAACAATCATTCATTTTGTATTCATAGAGATGACGTATGAGATGCTGGCTGATATAGATGAAGACACGACACTTTTACGAATTTTTGATACTGCAAACACAGTAAGAAATTATTGCACTTTCCACTTCTTTAACACATCTTTATTTGTTCATTGTTTTATATAATGACGTACACCCTTCGCCATTTTGAATCCGTTATCAGGATTTTCGAAAAGTCATAAACTTTGCATGATATTATATTTGATTCATGAATCTCTATGACAGGCCCTAACATTTTTACTTACGTTCAACGAAGGTGATAATGTTAAAAATAACTCATTTTCAGACAACCGGTTGACTGAAAAACTACAAGTATGTAGACTACGACCCCTGCAATTAATCATTATAACTATAAATGTTCAGACATAATGACGGGCACTAGGGTAGTTTGTATACATGGTGGAATGAAAACAGAGCTTGATAAGAATCAATGCATTTGTTTAACTCCCCAGATTTCACATGATCATAAAATTTTCATTGAATTTCGTTTCCTTTGCAACCTTGCAACATTGATTCCTTTGAAAGCAAAAAAGCCTTGGCTACTGATCTTGCATGCCAGGCACTTTAGGCTATAGACTATTGTAGTTAAACGCTGCGTATTCCGATATCATTACATGATATAATTTTAAAAGGTAATGGTGTTTTTTAGACCGAGCCTGTACATCTTACGGAAGGACGAGGATTCTTAGTTATATATTCAATAGACAACAGGTTGAGCTTTGAAACTGCAAAGCAATTGGTAAAATTAACAAAAGAATTCAAACGCTTGCGGCGTCTCAGTCCATCTATTGTTTTGGTTGGTAACAAACTGGATCTGGAACATCTAAGAGTCGTTTCTAAACGTGAGGGAAGAATATTTGCAATGAGAAATGATTGCTCATTTTTTGAGACTTCGGCTATGGATGATGTAAACATCTGTTCCACTTTTCACGAAGTAGTTCGTCAATTACGTGGTGGAAGCAAGAACAGGTCTACCTTGAGTAGAAAACAATCGTTTACGAAACTTTTTTCACGATAAATGGTTAAGTTGAGTGTGTGGCTTGGCTCAAATAGCAATGCACGCGCTCGATTGCGTCGTTTACCTTATGTTTACCTTATCTACATTCCTCAACCAGGTTTCTAAAGATAATGTGTATTCCAAAAAGCCAGAAAATATCTAAGAATAATTGTGAAGACTCTTAAATCGTGATGAGTCGTTATATTTTGACTAAATTCTATGAAAGCGTTTCTATTTTGAAATGTTTTTCTTTTTAGTTGTCATATTTATGTCTGCTGTCGTTTGTAACTGTTTATTTGTTCCTATATATGAAGGACAGGGACCGCGCGGAACAATTTTTGATTGGGGGAGGGGCAGTCGACCACCGCCCGTGAAAGAGTATGTCAAAATAAAATGTTCCAAAATTTTGTTGATGATTATTAAGCGAATGAATCTTTTAATCAGCTATCATGGAATATTAGTTGTTCCATAAATTTGGTGGCCTTTTGATGCTGGTAGAAATTCTTAAAATGTCTTGTAGAGATAACAGAACAACAAGGTGCTTATTAAATGGATAAAAAGCAACACATATATAATTACATTATAATACATCTGTCCTAACTGAATTCTTATGATCATTGTTTCATACATCAAAGAATATTCGCGAAAACTGACATCACTCTTTTGACTGCGTAATTATAGCTTCTTGAATATAAATTAACTTATAAACTGAAATATATCTAAGCAGTTAGCGTTTACATAGCATTAAGGAGATGATACGTGATGTTTATTTTCCACTAACCATTCATCATAGCAGCGGGAAACCGTAACCAGAGCACTATAGTATGATTATATCGTATTGATATTACAGATCCGAACGTAGGCTGCGCGCATAGCATGTTTAGAGCTTGTAGAGTGATCGTTATTCTTATTTAATGAGAAAGAACTGTTATATTGTGCATTTGACGTGTAGCTAAGCGACAAATTTAGAGGCCAAATAAAGGACTGATTTCGTTCAATAACTTACCGTTCGACACTCGAATCTCACATCTGCATCTTTGTATGACAAGATGTCCTGAGCAAGATTTGGATGTTTTAGTTTATGTGTTGGAGAATAGCTGAATGGCTGTATAGTCTGACGATGCGACCACAGAATGAAGTAGAGCAAAATGAACAGAATCCATCGAAATCTTCCTTGTACACACCAATGGCATGGGTTCGACATTTCAGTATTGAAGACAAACTTAGAATCGACAATGTAAATTTGATGCCCAGCACGGGATTATGCTCCTTTGAGTCGTCCATGAAAACGCTGAACGGAATGGAAATTGTCAGGAAAATCATTTTACAACATTTGCGAAGATGTTCCACTGTTGCATGTTGGTTTGGCTTTATTTCTGCTGCTTTAGCGGTTATAGACGTTGAACTAACGCATCATTTGCACTTGAACACAAATGAACGACAGCAAACAATTTCTTCATTAAGTATACACATTTTCAGAGCAGAGGAAATTGTAAGCGTTGTAGCAAAATGTCTTATATCCATGCTTACATTCATAATGTGTATCAATATCTATCTAACATATGCGAGCATCTGCAAATTTGACATTGCTAGAAATCTCTTGCCCGATTCTGCCACCGTTTTTAACTCGAATTTACTAATTTATTATGTATTGGAGAGTGTTTTGTGCGTGTTTCACGTACCTCCACTGGCCGACCATTACTTGGGTTTATCTTACAAGCTTCAATTATTAGTACTTGTACGAATGTATGCTTTTGCTCGTTATATGAAAGAACACAACCAATTTACAAGGAATAAAACTTGTATGTTCTTAGCTTCTGTAACGAGAACAGAGCTCTCAAATATGTTTTTGCTCAAGACATTTGTCAAAAAGATGCCTTTTCGCGTTCTTGTGTCCACTTACCTGGTGAACATATTTCTTGGTGCATTTGTACTTTATGTTATCGAAGCGAAGGATTCTTACCTTGTAAGTAAAAGGCTTCTCAAATGTTATGTATATATATTTCATGCAAGTTAACTAGTCATGTATTTCGTTAAAACGCTTGCATGCAAATATCCTTTGCAAACACAGTCATATTAAACTTTTTCATTTTTATGTGATTGTAAAAATTAATTTTTGCTGTGCTGTTCTGTAAGTTAAATTTTTAATAATAGAGGAAAAATTCAAAAACACGAGTCCCTTAAGTGAAGAGGGTCATCCGTTAAAGTGTAAATGAAGGTGACGATTATCAATTATGTTAGGCTTAAAGTCCCTTGAAAGTGATGCACTCAGAACTCATTTTAAAACCTAAGCCGGTTAACTGATTGCATTTTAAAATATTCATGATCTATTACGTTAACTTAATTACCTACAATTTGTTATAAATCATTTTTGGAGGAATTTCAAGCCGAAACCCAAAATAAAATGTCAGCATTAACTTCAACACCATACAAAAAAATATGCTCTGTGCGACTTAATTCCATCTTAGCTATGGCGGACTGAACAAATATTGTGTATATTTTTGATTAAAAATAAATTTAAATTACATAAACTGAACTTATATAAGAAAATCTTTTGCAATGATCATATACATTAAAAACAGAAGCAATTTACACAATTGTTGATTTTCATGTTGGATGAGTTGCATATATGATATAGAGATATATAAATGAACAATACAGCAACTTTACTCGCACAAACTTCTGCCCATTTATAGAGATAATTGAAATTGATAATAGCAAAGTCTTACAAATAAGTTACGGGTATATCTTTGTGTACAAACCAATTTTTATACAAATAATGATGAATTGCTCACCTCCGTTCTTCGCCAACAAAGTATCTGTATCAGCAATGGCTTATAAAGATCGATTGCATGGCCCGATTAAATCTTGGTTGAAAATTCTAAAACCCCAATAATGATGCCATGGCTGTCAAGATTAATCGTTGAGATAACTTATCTGATATCGTTGACAATGACTTAAAAATTAACCATATGTCAAGTGCTTGTCAGGTTTGATTTGACGCGTCGAGTTACACCTTTTGATCACAAAGCAGCACTGTATTTTTCTTACATCTCACATTTAAATCGCCTGTGATTGAGTTGATGCATTTTTTATTCATTTCTTGTATAACAATTTCACCCGAACAAGTTACTTTATTCTAGGATTATACATGGATGGTTGTAGTAACCATGACTACGCTTGGTTATGGTGACGTGGTTCCAGTGACTCTTATCGGTCGTCTAATTGTTGGTTTGATGTCAGTTCTGGGTATATTATTAATGGCTTTACTGGTATCGGTTGTCAATGACACATTGCAGTTGAGTCAAAATGAGAAGCGCATACTGGCACATTTGGAAAATGCAGGTATATATACGAAGTTCTAGCAAAAACGACAATGAGGTTAACAATGAGGTTAACAACGAGGTTTTGCACTAACTTCATGTTTTTGAGCAGTTTTTGCTGACAAAAAACATGAAACAATCCTTGTATGATTTTAGAGCAGATCAATCGTAAGAAAATTGCTGCAGCTTCTTTGATTCAAAGTTATTGGAGGTTCAATCGTTACATTGTATGTAATCGTGAGCATTTGGCGTGGAATAACCGTCGAAAGATTGTGTATTTAAAAAAGCTCAAGAATCATCTTTATACAAATCTTCATCGCTGGAGAAAACATAAAAGAATAAATAGTATGTGGTCGTAAGGTCTTCATTACTATTTATAAACGTTATACCTCAATTGAAAGGTTGAAATAGGAGTGATGATTCAAAATAATTGTTAAGTGCATGCTTCCATGTTTGGTTTTACTTGTTTCAAATCCAATAAATCGAGACAGTTTTCTTTGTCATCTAGATATATTTCAAAATTTAGGTGATCATTGGTATAAGGAATTTGTTGCTGATAATCTAGCAATGATGGTAACCGACTTAAGTCGAGCAGTGGACAAGGTCCAAATTACAATGAACAGAATGAAATTTGGCCAGTCTCGTGGTAGGAAGACTAGCTCGCAGTTAGCAAGAAAGGAATTATCTAGAGAATGCACAATTATCGAAGAAAACGAGGTAAAAATGCTTACATGACGTTTACGTGCATACAAGTTTGTAAACTAACCTAATATATATTGTTAAATTATCATTTTTAATCATTATTAGGTAAAACATTCAATTATTACCATAGTAATGTATTCATTTTAACATTTGATGCTTTTCTATCAGTAAGATAACCTTCATCAGGTTGATCTTTTATTTTGAGAGCATTTGTTTTCGGGTTAATAGTTTTAAGTCACTGCATCAGCTTGAAGGGACGGTTATGCTTTAAACAGCAATTATTTATCAAAGTTTTGTATGTTTCTGCATAGTATTGTTTACTTAAAGAATAAATTTTTGTTTTTTCTGCCTTGATTTTATGGTCACGAGTCAAATGATCATGATATAAGAATGGTAATGAATCTAGCAATGGTAATGTTAGATGGTCTAAATCTGTTTCAAATCTAAATGTAAAATTAGATTTTAGTTATATGTCAAAGCAATATGTATCGCATTTGCAAATTTAACTTATTCTACAAATAATATTACAACACTTGTATCATAATTATAGGTGCCGTGTTGCTATCCCAACAGAGGTCACAGGAACACCAGATCACACTCGGAGCCCGACAAAACTGTATCGAAGCAATTTTATTCAAGCCATTGTTCGGTGCCAGAAATAAGAATTTTCTCTCACGCCTCTTGTAATGAAACTGCTTCTAACAACAGTCGTATGATGCACACTGATCAGAATGATTTGCAAACGGAGTTTGAATTGAAAGTTGAAGCGATGGAGAGCTTCTTAGATGATTTTTACATGAAAGTTAAGCCACGCATGCGCGAACTAAAGAAGATTGTTCAAAGCGAAAAGATTTTGAAATAAAACTTTACAGAAGAATGGTTTCAAGGCACTTTAATGTACTCCAAGGTGTAAGTACTTCTGGGTCTTCAAATGTCACTTAAAACTTCTGCCATAAAGGCAACATGCTCAGAAAATAAAATCTAAAGTTCCACTCAGCGTATTTGTGAATGGTTTAAAATGAAAATATTTACGCGCAGAACACAAAATGCTGAAGACATAAATGCGAAAACTTGTAAAAACGCAGTACATGAATGTAAGAGAAACAAGTTCACAATTGAAATACAGGATAAACTGCTGAACCTTACTCCTCAACCATTATTTAAGGTGTCAATGATTTAGTGTTTTACTGGGTCAGAAACATGTGACTTTGTAATATTCAATAGTTAGGTTTTATATGGCCTCCATTTCTATACCCTCAATATACGCTCTGATATCTACTCTATATAATTGAAAGAGTTACCACAAAATATATGCTTTTACTTTACAGATAATTTACTTTTCACGTTGCTTATTTGTTAAACGTAGAATAGTCTTTTAATTACATTTGGAAATTAAAATTATATTAACGGAGAAAAACTGTTTTGGAAAGTCAGAGAAGAAACGAAAAATTCTTCAATGTCGTTACCATAACAACAAGCTTAATTAATTACTATAATATTTTCTTTGTTGTCTACGTCATTTTACTTCAATTAACAAGCACAGTTGCTTCATTGACATTGACTCCCCTATCTTCTCTATTTATTTCATGATTTTTGGATAGCTGTCAAAATCGCTTTGCTAAAAGCCATGTCGCCCTTTCAAAGGAATTGGTAGCTAAGTATTTGTAGGTAGGTAACTTTTTATCGTACAATCATTGGCAAAGCCATATATTAATTGATAATCTCTAGTTAAGGTACGTTTACACACAACGATTTGTCCGGCCGACAAGCCTTACGTGTTCATGCCATATTTGGAAAGTCGCCCGACTCGAAAAATCGGACGAAAATCTGTAACAAACTAAAATTTTTCCCGATTTTTACTGTGTTCCTATGGGTTCAGAAACAAGCAAAATATGATTATCGAAAATCATCGAAATGTCTTCTGTCAACACGGAAAAAGAAATTGTTGAAAGCGTCGTTGTTTTTTGAAAACCAAAAGCTGCAGAGATTCAGAAAAAGAAAATAATCAAGAATATTTTCTTAAAAAAAGAAACTCGGCAAAACTTAGATCGATTTGCACTTCACTCACACCGATCTTTATATTTGTTTTCTTTTTTTCTTTATTTTTTGAGGGAATAATAATAATATACATTGCCTCCGTAGCTACAATGAGAAGTTTTTATTTCGCTTTGCTATTGTTCTTGACATATTTGCTTTTTTTTGAAATCACGTAAATACATCGGATGCATTATTTACACACAGCGATTTGTCTTACAAGACAAATATTCCATATATGGCAAGAATTACGTAATATGGCGTAAGTGTCGGCCCGACAAATCGTTGTGTCTAAACGTACCTTTAGACAACACACAGCTTTTAATTACTTTTTAGGAAAGGTATGTTACACGTTCAATGATAAAGTTGCTAGTCAAAACAAAAAAGTTGAACGTATACATATAAAGTACAAATTTCAAAAGTCATTCGTAATTATAACAATGATTTTTGCACAGTGAGCTGGAAAAAATTGCTCTACCTACTCTGGAAAGCTAATTGAAATATCCATTACTATTTTCCCCATTGTTTGCGTCTGCATAAGTGTGCAAGAGGCTGTAATATAAACAAAAGTGAGAGATTTACACAGATGAGTTTGTTCGATGATTTTGCAGCGCAAATAATTGTACAGCTCTTGATTTTCACATTCAGTGTTCTTTTTACGTGGAATTAGAATCATGCTATAGAATTATACATTGTATTCATATTGTGTATATTTTATGATACCACAATCATACATATTTGATTCAAAAAAATTTCTTTTCCCTTTCAAAACAGCATTTCTTGAACCCAGAAAATATGGCTCAACACTTTGTATTTGGTTCAAGAAGACGCGAAAGACATAAGTCGTTCTTTGTTCGTATTTCATTTTTTATTGTGCTATTGTGCTGCACATCGCTGTTTCATTCACTCATACCAAATGTCTCATTGTTCATCTCCTCAGGTAACATTACCAACTGCACATTGAAAAAGACACTTGTGATCTTTTCTGTGTGATAATGGATAATGTTATTTAATCATAAAGATTTAAACATTGCTTACTTAAGATAAATCAAGGTTTACATCAAGAAACTTGCTTTCAACAAGTGAGTGGGAGACGTGTGAGTTCGAAACAAACAACTTGAGGAATGAATCAGACCCTAACCGTAAAATGATTACGCCAAACGAAGCCTATGGGTGGATGACACTTCACATCATATCTATAATTGTTATTTTCATTGGTAGTATATATTGTAGATCATACTTTATGTGTTGACTTCTAATGACAAAAATTTCCAGTGGTGGCTGAAGGCGTAAATGAAATAGTCGACCAAAAATGAAGATTTGCCATGACAATTTCATACATACTCAAACCACTTGATGTCAATAAAATAAAACATAATCCGAAAAGGTAAGACAATTAAAAATGTAATATTTCGGTTTTGGTTTCGAGATGAAACAGAAATGCTATATTTTTAATTGTCTTGTTTGATAACTTGAATTTAAGTTTACAAGATGTCCTTTTTCGGATTATGTTTTATTTTATACCTATTACCTAATGAATTTGTCGTCTGGTCAAGAGCTTGGAGTCAAGTTCGCCAAATTTTTAATTAGGTTTGCTGACCGTATGTATTGGGTTTAACTTCGTTATGGGTTTTTAGCACTCGCTATTATATGTGACGATTTCTTTGTGCCATCTTTGGAGGCAATATCAGAAAAGCTTGATCTTTCAGAAGATGTAGCTGGTGCAACTTTTATGGCTGCAGGATCTTCTGCACCAGAACTCTTCACATCTGTTGCTGGTGTATCTGCAAATAGTGATGTGGGTGTTGGCACCATAGTGGGGTATGAGAAACACAATCTGATAACAATTTGAACAGATGAACTACTGATAGTTTATCTGGCTACAAATGTTTTGTTTTCAGGAGTGCCGTTTTTAATCTGTTAGTGATCATAGCGCTAACTGCTGCACTAACAAAACAGGTATAGTGCGTGATATCTGAATGAATTGGTGGGGACTTAGCCCTTTTTGAGATATAACATTTTAGTTACGAGTTAATATTGTCCATGCATAGTGAGTCTTGAGACATTTTCTGTATTGTCGTTTTGTCCTGTACGTGTTAAATGCAGGCTATATAATAATCATTTTTTCATTTGTAGACACTTAAGCTAGATTGGCGACCCCTTCTTCGTGATTCAGTTTGCTACGGCCTGTCAATTGCAGTGTTCATTCTATTTTCGTGGGATGCAAAATTTGATTTCTATGAATCCGTAATCTTACTTCTTCTATATTTTCTGTACATAATTTTGATGAAATTTAACAGGAGTCTGATGGAAAAGCTTGATCGATGGGGGTATGTTTAAATAAATATTTTTATGCCGGCTGCAGCAAAAAAAGGCTATAGGTTAAAATGGAGGATATCGCGCATATACGTTTTTCATTTACCATTTTATACATGATACGAAGCCATTGTTGGACTTAAATCCACCCGACTCTTACTGCAATGCATGCACAAGACAATTGAAACTAAGAATATGAATAGGAATGAATTCATCTCAACTTTTAATTTGTCATGTAGTAAGGTTACAGAATAAAAACACGCTTTTTGAACAAAGGATTTTGTTTGTGTCCATTCTTTATGGCTATGATTTATACTAACAAACTTAAAAGCACTGTGTTTATTTAAAAGAACTAGTCGTGTTAGTCCTGTTGTTGTTGATATACCAACTGTGGAAACTGTTGTTGAGATCAATGAAAAGGACTTTGAGACTGATGGAAACGAAATGTATGAAAAAGATACATGTGCTGATAAAGGGCAACTTCCACCATCACAACAACTAAAAGTAATTTTTGATAATGCAATCATGTTACTCAATTTTTCTACCATTAAAATAATGAATAATACATTTGAATCTTTTCCTTCAAATATTTCATAGATTCTCAAGTGATAGGATTGCAAAATCTAACCACAGTATGTTGTCAACATGCACTTTGCCTCATTTTTCACACTCTCATAGAGGAGAAATTTCTAAATCATTTGTAAGTATACGTTATGATTTAACGTTAGCACCTGTAAAAAGGTTGTGTAAAAAAGAAGGTGGCTTAAATTTAAAATCTGCAATAAAAATCAAACATAAAAATATCGGATTATCAAAAAATTAGTACGGTTATAGCAACCCTAATGTTGTCAATAATGGATCGCTGATGTCATGTCCGTGTTTTTACAGTATAGTCAGGGGTAATTTAGCTGAACAGTCAAGACGACAGTATAAAGAACAGTTACAAATAATGCAGCTGGGGTGTAACTTTAGAATAGAAATTCATACAAATAGTGCTAATAATAACTTTTCAATCATTTTTTGAGATTTTTGGGGATTTCTTTATTTTATTGTCTCTCCTTCATGGTAACGCAAGGTAGTGCAACTGCAAAACCTTAATAGGTTTACCTTAAGTACCCTAGTTGTGAGTAACTTGACCATAACTTTTAATTTTGAGCGACTAATTTCTTTTTTGATTTACAAAAAAATTGTATGACTTTTCTGAACAGACGAGCAGAAGATATTCCCTTCCACACCATTTCCCGCACGAGATTGCCAAAGTGAAATCTATCGCAGCTGGACATATTCAAAACGATATACTGCGACAGGCTAGTCATATGGGGAAAATGGAGCACGATTACTGCAAAGAAAACAACCATGAAGAAGGCAAGTTTAATTAAACTGTTGATATTGAAATTGATGTAGAAAGATATTAAGCAAAAAATGATCAATAATGAGCAGTAGAACTTGCATGGCATAGTGGAAAATACAGAGTCTTTCCTCTTCCAAACACTTCCATACTTTACATGCCCCTATATAGTTGAACATGTGGACTCCCATTAAAATTGTTGTACTTCTCGAATCACAATATTCTATTGAATTCGGTTCCTTAAAAAAAAGAAGATAGTCTTTGATTCAACTTTCACGCTTTCATTCTCAATGTTCCTTGAAATATGACAAAAAGTTGCTTTAAAGTATGATAGAAGGAGAAATTTCACACTCTAAATCCGCACTATCTACTCTGCATTTTCCACAATGCCGTAGAACAGACGTTTTTTCCTTCAATCCACTCATACTTTTGTATGTCAACTTGTTTTATGACAGAATTTGTAAACGAGCAACAACAACAAGAAGACGTGATAAAAATGCGCGTCATTCCTTGTTTGCCCCCCGTCGTGGCTAGTTTACCAGAAAAAGGAGATGGACAAGGGTGTATTGCCATCTTAAATTACATCATAAGCTGGCTCCTTTTTATTCCTTCGTTTCCATTCCTGTGTATGTTCACGTGGACAATACCCAGCTGCTCAGAGCCCCACAACAGGAAATACTTTCTCGTTTCTTTTTTTGTCTCGATCTTATGGATTGCCGTTCTTAGCCTCGGTATGGTGACTCTGGTTGGTCGAGTCGGATGTATTTTGAATATTGATAAGTTTACCATGGGATTGGTTGTGGTAGCTATCGGTACAAGCGTTCCCGTAAGTCAATATAATTATAATGTTGAAATAATTTCACGGTGAGGGAGAAGTGGAGGGAACTGGGGAGAATACAAGCTCTTTCTTTTTCAAAATTATTTGTAATTTTGTATTATCAATTTCTTTCCAGGATGCATTAAGCTCTGTCATTGTTGCTCGTGATGGTTTTGGAGACATGGCTGTTTCAAATGCCATCGGGTCAAATGTTTTTGACATCGACTTAGGCATTGGTCTACCATTTGTAATAAAATCACTTATTGACAATCTCAATCCTATCAAGTTGCTCAATGATGTTGACCAGGTAAATCTTAAATGTAAAATCAATTTTCCTGATTGAGGAAAGAAAGCGGACGTACAAAGAATCAATCATCAGCGTGTGTTGTAATTTTTTGAGGATAATATTTGTCTTGTAGGTAGCAATTATCCAGAATAACTGGTTTGAAACAAAAAATTAACAATGGAAATAAAATGGAGCCTCGGCTCTTTACGTTATCAAAATGGTCGTTCTAGACGTTTTATTTTGTTTTTTGATTTTTTCTATTTATATCGACTATTATCATTGTATTTATTTTAGACCATGTACGATAAAGGTGAAATGACAATTGTTCCACATGCGAAATTTGGTTTTTTACTGTTGTTGATTTTGTTCATATGTCTTGGAGTGTTCACAACGGCAAAGTTTCGTCTTGGTCGAACAGTTGGTTTATCATTCTTTCTGATGTATGTTCTCTTCGTAGCTTATGCTTACATACAGGACCTGGTTTGTAAACACGATTGCTAGCCGATATTTTAATGTATATGTAAATTCAAAATCTGTATATCCAAGGAAATCTGTGAAAAAAGTATTTTTTTGCTTCATTGAATAGCTTGATTGACCATTCATAAGATGTGAAAGAAATGAATCGACTCTTGTTGGTAGTTTTAAAACTTATGTCCACAAAAGAAAACGTGTACAAATAGAAATGTGTACAAATAGAAATGTTATCCAAGCAACAACAATCTGCATAAGAGTACAGGAGCTTCAAGCTTGCACGAAAATAAAAACAACTCCTTGTAAAATTAAGTTGCTAATCTACCGACAAGAAATGTTGTTTTAACAGGGTTGGTAACTTGGCATTTTGACAGCCAATTTTGGCTTTTTTTTTCATTTTGAATGGCAATGACTATAATGTTTGTTTAACAAATAAGAATGACATAGAAATATCGTGGAAAATACCCATCCTGGGAAAACCTGACATTTTAACATGACTGTGATTTGTAATAAATAATTAAATGAAAAACTAGTTCTGTTGACATACAATGCAATCAGAAACATTTAATTTTTTTATTAGATCATTACAATGCCTGGAGCATGATGTTGTTTGAATATAACGTGTTAAAATTGTAGTAAGATTTGGCTCCTAGTTGGCTTTTTCTTAAAATAGAGGCTATTTGGCCTTATTTTGTTGAATTTGCCCTTTTTTGTACATTCATCTGGCTTCGGGCATCCGCTGAAAATGAAACTTACAAAGAAAAAAACTACCGTTTTTTGAAAAATAATTATTCAAGGACTGGGGAGTGGGATACCTGCTGAATCACGGCTTCAACCCTCCCTCCCTGAGTTGGAGTTCCAGCAAAGGACCAGCATTCAATGATGAATTGTTAGTGCCAGGCCCTTCACCCGCAGCCGCGGTCAGATTGCTTGATTGATCAATTTATAGACGATAGTTGATTTGAGAAAGTAATGGGAAAAACAAATTTGTTTTATAAATTATGAATATTTTTAATACTAAATGACAAATTAAATGATGGTTATAAAACTTGCGTGAGAATATTGGGAAATTATGGGAAAAGACAGCTCCGGAGAAGATCGTAACGGTAGGCGACCTCGAAGAAAACGAGAGGAAAGACGACGTCGCTCGCGAAGCAGGTCTAGAGGACGATCGCGTGAAAGACGATATGGAAGATCGAGGTCGCGAAGTAGAGAGAGCAGAAGGCGTACAAGTCGTGATCGTTTTAATCGAAGAAGTTCAAAACATAGAAGAAGTCGACGCAGTTCGAGGTGGTTTATGATTCATTTGTGAACACTGGTGGCACATACTCATGCCGGAATGAGGTTTTTATGAAGTTCTATTCATGCAGTTTTCTGATCTGTTTTATTTTCTGTTTTTGATAATTGCTCCTTCAAAACGGATCGTTTGGATCGTAAGTAGCAAGTCACGAAGGGGTACGTAAAGTTTTCAGCTTTTGTGTCATTTGGAAACACCAGCTTCACAAAGCATAGGAGATTAAACATATTACATATCCAACTTCAGTCTCATTAATTTTTTCATCTGGTCTTATTTTGAGCCATTCTTCTGACCAACACTTGCCACATAGCCAGGGAATTGAGATAAAAACTAAATAAAGCGGCTCTATGCAAATAAATGCAGTTTAGCTGCCACCTTTTGCTACTGGCCAAATGGTAGTAGGGGTGTTTGGTTGAGATAAGAATCATGTTTAAATGAAATGCTCCATTTACTATTTGCTCGAAGTGCATGCTTAACTGTTCTTGTGCTCCATCATCTTGGTTGCTGAGACAAATCAAGTCACTTCTGTGGAAGTTTTTACTTATAATTAAAGTGTTATATAAAGATAATGATTGCTCTCAAAAAAATATTACTTTCAACCTCATTACTTTTGTATTTTTGTTTGCATGTTTGAATATTGAGTTTTGGGTTAAGGCTTATTTTTTAAATTTTATTACTCAATGTTGATTTAATAGACTTAAAATTAGTATCTATGTTATGGACTATGCAGTGTGCGAATTAACGGTGTGCAATGTGCAATTTGCACATCGTTTTAGCTAAAATGAAAACAATTGCACACCACTTTTTCAAACGATGTGCAAAAATCAGCGGTTTTAACGAAAAACAATGTCGTAAATCATATGAATTTGTTCACGTTTGAAAATATTAATTTAGCAATTAGCACAATATAATAAGTAACGTAATATCGATTTGATTATGCCTATAAAGTAACACTTTTGTCGAAAAAATTGCACATCATTTTTTCTGAACTAATTCGCACACTGGGACTTTGTAAGGTAAAGTGAGTATTTATTTACATTTGTGCCAACTAATTCCTTAAAAATTCACATTCTGGCAGTTATGTTCATCATAGTATATTAAATATTTTGCATGTATTGTATTAAAAAAGCATTATATTTTTCAAAAAATTCAGTCATTCAACTAACATAAACAGAAATGGTCTGTAACTTTGGATATTATTTATATGGTTGCATTAAAATGTTAAAAAGGGCTTCATATATATATTACAAATAAAAATGAAGGACATTGTTTTGTCCTTAAGCTTAACTTTTTGGAATATACATACTTATTAATATTATTTATTATTTTTCAGATAGATACAGTCATTCTAGAAGTCATTCTAAGAGCAGATTAAGAAGGCATAGGTCACACTCATCTTCTAGTGATAGGAGGAAAAACAGATATAGGTATGCATTTTTATGGGAATAATTTTTCATGCAAGATACCAATGTATTGTGTTTTCAAGAATTTTTGGTATGGAGTGTTGACGTTTATCACTAACTTTGCATTTATTAGATATTTATGTAGTAATTTTGATAATTTTATTTTCTTCATGATTTTAGAAGTTCATCTAGTTCATCATCTTCAAGTTCAAGATCTTCCAGATCAAGAGGTGTAAGTATTCTGTTGTAACAATTTACTGTATCAATATTCTGGTGTTAATGTATTAATATTTTGCTTTGTCTAAACGAAACTGATTATATGACATACCTACCTACCATAAATGCTAGCTTTAGTACCGGCTTGTCTGATTTTGAATGTGTCATTTATCTGGGATCAACCTTAAGTGAGAATGGTGCTTATTAAAAAACTTTTGACTTAAGGTGCGCACCAAACATTTTTACTGCTCCAAAAATAAATTTATCAAGATCTATTTACATGATAAAATATAATGTAACTTAACTTAGTAACTTTATATTTCTTTTGATTAACACTTCACTAACATCACTCATATGCAGCGTTTAACTGGGAGCGGTGTTAAATACATAGCTTCGGATTCTGAGTGTTGTGGCACTTAACTGAGAGTGGTGTTTAAGTGGGAGCAGTGCTAAAGGGGGCATTTACAGTATGTGAATTGTTAAATATTGTATTAATGGTGAAATGTTGTTGATTTGTTTTTAATGGGAGGAAGGTAATTGTGTTTAGCTACTGGCTTCTGGTGGGGGTGAATACTTATGCATTCTTTCATTTAAAAAAAATTCTTTCACCAGAAATCTGCAAGACAGTGTAGCCAAACATAGTTTTAGTTTCTTTAGTTAATTTCACTGTGTTTACGTATTTTCAAAATTATTTATTCATCAAAGCCTGGCAAAAGACTTAAGAGAAACAAAGTAAAGAATCTGGGTGAGTTTAACATTAATTGCACGAATGTTGTTTGACAAGAATGATTTGACATACAACAGTATTGATTCAATGTTCTCCATGCTCACAGAGATGTTTTTGATGATACATTAGATTCTCAAGACCCAACTTCTTATATACCAAGTGCTGAAACTATTGCAAAGATTAATAGTGATGGGTTTACCCCTGAAACATTTGTATCACAAACCCAGGTGAGAGAAGATGTTTGTATTGTCAGGTTGTATTTTTGTTGAAATCAAAATGAAATTATTTGATTTAGGCTGTAAATGGCTCAAGTATCAATTCGCATGTTAAAGGCCATGAAGATGCTATTTTTGGTAGTGCTCCTGTTTCAAAAACCATCTTAAATGTACCATTTAATGATAGTAATCAGCAACACTCAGAGAAAGATGGAATCATGGCATCACAGGTTGTCAATACTGTTGTAACATAGACAATGTAGTAACGATTTGAAGATCTCTAAATTAAAACTGCTCTTTTGAGCCCATTATTTTGCAAGCACATTTTAAAATTGTATGCCAGGTCAGGGCTTTGTCAGCACTTTTTGTATGTACTCTGGAGTTTATGCCAAATTATGCACACCATGAATTTTATGCCAGAGATCACAAGACATTAAAGGATTCCAACCTGGATTGTGTGGCTTTTGTGAGTCACAACGCATATATTACATACCAGAAAATAAACTTTGGAAATCTCCAAATCAATGGGTTTTTAAAGATTCAAACACATCCCAATTTACTTAATGTTAAATAGTTTTTTTTCCTCTTTAGTTACATGAACCAGAAGAAATCAAAAAAAGTAGATGGATGAAAAAGCTTCAGTCAATGCGAGAGAAAAAAATGGCCAATACTTGACATTGACCCTGAAATGAATTGCAGCATACATACATATTTAGTGAAAAGTAATTTTTTTCCATGACAACAGTTACCTTACATGTTGCTTTTGTCAAGAAAAAAATCCTGGCATCATTGGTGGGTGTTGGCTAGACAATTGTCTTTTATTTTCTGTAATTATAGTTTTTGTCATAACATGGTATCAAAAATTGTACTATATTTAAAACAGTGTTTTATATGATTAATCAAAACATTGTACAAACCTATTACTAATTAGGCAGTGTTTGTTTCACTTTGAATTCTTATGATGCTTTGGATTTTTGCACATAATCTCTGGAATCAAGTCATTTATACCATGGCTGTTTGGTTCAAATTTAATGTGCTACATCAATATTGTATAATACAGATTGAATTTCATAGCAAAAATGTGAAAATTCAATACTCTAGCATGCAGACATTTCCTTGGACAACACACTATTATACAATGTATAAAATCATTTTATGCAATCTTCATTTTGCAGTTTTCTCTTTGTAAACCACAATTCCTTTATCAATCAGATCAGGTATTTCAACAGCAAGCCATGGTCCAAGCTGTTGAAAACAGAAAATGAGAGTTATCTATCTTTTAAAGAAATTTGTTGATACTGTATACACATATTAACACTTACACCCAATGCCATGGCATGTGCTATTCCAAATTTGGGTACGTTTCGTGCCCATAATGGCTTAAAATGTTCAGTTAAGCATATCTTTCCTCCCCTGAAAAAATGAGCTTAGATGAAATGAATTTAGAAAGAAATGGGATGTAAAATATACCTTCTGCAACAAACTTGAATTTTTCAATAACTTTGTTTCAAGATACAACATTGCTTTATCACAACTCACTTCAAGCATCTATAATTGTTCAACTTAGATATCTTACCTGTACATTTTTGCAGTTTTTCCATCCAGCTCAGGTATTGCTATTTCTGGAGCAGTGGTAGGATATGTTACAGGAATCTAAGATAATGAAGACCATTAAAAACATGCATGAATTGTTTATGCATAGTCTGCATGGTAAATTTGCTGCAAGTAACATTTGTTAATATTAGCTCATGACTACAACTTACATCAAACTCAATATCAAATTCATATTTTAGCAGGTTATGCACAAACCAACATTTACCAAACCACCTGAAATCATACAAAATCATCAAATAAGTTAGACTTCAATATTATTAATGATTGAATGTTTCTGAATGATGAGTAAAAGAAGAATATTGCTTAGCTCAAAGCTAACCTTGTGCCCTCCTTATTGGATTCAAGACGAAACCAGTCATTGTCGGCATGTTTATTATTTCCAACATACTAATGGCAAAATAATGAAAATCAAATTTATGTTATCTAAGTCGTATTACCTGATGCGATAAGCAGGGGGGTGCTGGGACGTCAAACATTGGGGCAATATTCATAAATCGTGCATTATCTGATGTTTTGCATCTTTTGCATTGATTAATTTCTTTTGAAATCAATTGTTTAGTATGATCGGCTATAACAAACATATGAATAACTGCCTCGCCAATTAAAAACCTTCTGACGTCCCAGCCGGCAGCCGTTCCTGTAAATTCAACACTTAGAACAAAAATAAAAATAGAAAATGACAACGTAATAGAGTCATTATACTTTTATAAGGGAGCCATATTCTTCTTTAAGTCTTATCACCCACGAATCTTTATCCCTTGGACCAGCTTTAGTTTTTAAAAGAGGAATTGCAGCGAGAGTTTTCTTTGTAGCTTCGTCCACCATTTTGTTTATGCGCCTTTTCGGTTCATGATCAGCGGTAGAAATTTTTGCTATGTAACAAATCACTGGTAACAAACGTAAAATGTTCATTTCTGCATAAATGTTTTCGTAAAACTCTAATTGAAAGAAGAAATGAATTAGAAATAGTAATTTCTTTTATTATCTAAAAGGTAAAAATGATATGTATAATCCTTGTGGCTGGCCATGGAACAAAATTGGAGAATGAAATTAAGGTACATACATGATACATATTTGATAAACTTTACTCGTTTTCATGTATGGAAAAGAGAATGAGCATTTTTAGGAAATTTTTAAGGGCGATAATAAGGAAGTGATTTATGAACCAAGTATTACTAATACAATATGTAAATTCCGTTAATTCAGAAGTCCACATAAACTTATTTCACTTTTGGTCACAAATTTTCAGAATGATCCCTCTGGAAAATTTAATCACCTTCAAGGAGTACCAAAAGCATTGTTACCTGGTGTAGGGGGAAAGAAGATTCTTGATTTCTGGTGGGATGCTATAAATGTGTAAGTGAACATTCACTTGTTGAGTATGTTGGGGTTTGACTGATTGGTAAAGGTGGTAATAGGTCTCAAGATTGGAAGATAAACTGTTATTGGACCTAAATATTGAAATGATTAACACTGTTTTTTGCAAAACGTCAAGGCAAAAACTAAGTAGCTCTATTTCAGTAAAAGTACTTCAGTTAAATTGAATACTTTACAATCTTTGGTTATAATAGTTACATAATAGTCACATCTCTTAAAATAGTCACATCTACTACTTACATATTTGTCATTAGCCAATAGGGAATCCAGTCTCTATTTGTGAGGCAAAAAACGTCATGTTTGATTTTAAATTCTGTGTTTAGACGTCAGTATTTTTCAGCTGTTTACTTGGTCACTAATGCAGACAAGTAAGAAAATTTTGAAAGTTAAACATTATTTCACTATATTTCCTAACACCATAATTTTTTTTCTATAATTAAGATACAAGCATTATGAACGGTGGGCAACTGCACATGATTTTCCCATGGAAAACATTGTCAATGATGGATCAACTACTTTCCAATCTAGGTATGTACGTATACAAAATGACTTTAGATTCTGCTGCTTCATCATTTATTCTATAATAGCCATCTAACTGATGCTATAAAGTGCCAATTCAGTTAATGTACTGCAGCTTAAAGTTTACTTAATCTTTAATTTGTAGGCTTGGATCTGTAGCAGATTTTGAACTGGTACTGCGTAATAAAAACATCAACAGTGATGTCCTAGTGGTATGATAACCATCATTTTAGCAAGAAGTTATTGTTTCACTAGCCTATCTTTGATTTCTCTGAATTAAATATTATTATATTTTAAACATTTCAATTATCATATATAGTACGTATTATATGTAAGTATATCAATTTTAACAGGCTGTCAACATCTACAATTAAATTGCTTTCAACACATACTGTGCTATAGTTGGACAAACAATTTTTTAGAAATATTTGTACAAATATTTTTTTCGATTCATTAAAAAAATACCATTAAAAATATCCTGAAATTTTGCATTTAAATATTTCTTCTTTGAAATTTTGATCCATACATATCTTTTGAAAAAGGTGGCTGGCGACATGTTGTTTCAGGATCAAAAATTTGACATATGTCAAGTAATTAACTATTTCAAGACAAAGGTATCATTGATGATCATAACAAAATACCTACCACCATCTTTTCAATGATAATTTGGTGGAACACAATGCTTGTTTTAAATGAAATTGAAAATTGCTTTGCAGAAAGGTGAACTAGCTATTTATTATGAAATGGATGAAAGCGAATCCACCCGAACAAGAGGAATCATTGAAGTTTGCCCAACTTCAAACAGGTAATAAAGTTGGCATATGTAAGTGCTGATTGTATATATATATATATGATCTCCTGATTAGGGGGTCCCATAATACTTATATCCAGAGAAATCTTTTTTTTCCCTTTTTAGGATTGTAAAGTTTCTTGAAAAACCAGAACCGCATGAAACAAAATCAAGGTTAGCAAGCGTGGTAAGCCCCATTTCCTGTCAGTAATGCGATATCGTCTTTTTCAACTGCCATGAAGATAGAATATTGAAGAAATATTTTTGAACTGGAAATATGATCACGTCTGATGTGAATTTTTTTCAGGTTTTTTATTGTCTTCGCAAGGACATATTATACACCGTCGAAGAGTTTCTAAAAAATAATCAAAAACCCGAGGAAAGGGTATTTGGCAGATATATGGTACGTTTGATTGTTTTTTGATCAGAGAAGTTTATACGTACATTAATATATCTTTAACGAGCTGCAAGGGATCATGCGTGCCGTGATCATCTGTATATCAGTCTGTATGAAAGTTTATACGTACATTAATATTTCTTTAACGAGCTGCAAGGGATCATGCGTGCCGTGATCATCTGTATGTCAGTCTGTATGAAAGTTTATACGCAAGGTTGTATACAGTCTGTGTGTGGGTTGTCATTACTGATCAAGTAACAGTTATCATCCGTGTGCAGAAACGAAGTTTACTCAGGACATACATACGTAGAAGTAAATACACGAAGGCAAGATTCTAATGGTTTCATTTTCAAAGGAATGGCTTGTCAAGAAGACACCAGTATTTGGAATGAAATTACCAACGGGTTTTCAGTTAATAGGGAAAGTGGTAAGTTGAGAACGTCTTCACTCTTCAATACTTTCATCTAACGACTCTGTATACAATCAGTCAATGAAGTCCAACGTGTATACTTTACTATGAACACCTGTGTTAATTAATAATCTATGATATTAGGGTCTTTCCGACTACCAAAGATGGGTGGCCTATTTTGCGAATATGCGATCTCAGCTTGTAAGACATTCCTTCACGTCACGTGTGTACGCCAGGTAAACTTTGAGGTTCAGATGCAATGTTATTTGCATATAAAAATATGATTTGAGTCATTAAAATTGCCTCAAGTTGTTTGCATTCTTCTTTTCATTTTCTAGAGTCGGTCTTGTGGGCAATCCATCTGATGGTTTCTATGGTAAAACTATCGCATTGTCTATATCAAATTTCTGGGCAGAAGTATCAATTTCGGAAAGCGAAAAACTGGTTAGTTGTTTTTTTGTCATTGATTAACTGCAAGGGTTTATTTCCTGGAAGTGTAAAGTCGTTGAATTTCTTGACTTTTTTGTTTCCTCTTACACTTCATGTACCTGATGTATGATTAAAAACTTGCACCACATTTTAGGTTCTTGTTCCTCATCCGTTGAACGATCCAACAGAATTTGGAAGTTTAGGTGATCTTCATGGAATCAGTAGAAAAGAAGGGTAACGCGTAAATCGATTTAATTTTTCTTCTGGTCTTTCTTTTTACAAAATCAACGTGTATAATTGCTGTTAGTCATGTGCATCATGCTAGACTTCGTTCATGTGACGTCATTGTTGATAAAAATCACTAATTTGGCATTGAAACCCGTTCGTTTGCCACCCTACACAATAAGAGTTTTATTTTATATATTTTTGAGCATATTAATATGATATTAAGGTATTTTGGAGGATTGCGATTGTTACAAGCAACTTGCAAGAAATTTTATCAATTCTGCTCAGATCATGGGTGTGTAGTATTTATGATCCAAATAATTTTCTTCGTTGTTTTTTTTTTGTTTTATTCACCCAAGGCAAAAAATTTTGACTTTGTTTACTTGTGTCCATTTCTTTATAGAATAGCACTTGCTAAGAGAAACTTTACACTCAGCTATGATACAAACATTCCTAGGCAAGTGGTATGTTTTAAAGTGACGATGATTGATTTTCGTCCTGTGTTCATGTGTACAGATGTAATTTCTTTATTAAATTGTTTTTAATTCTTCAGGGTTTGGCTGGAAGCAGGTAACTTTTACGAAAAGGCAATTAGACAATCCTGTTATGCCGTCAGTGCATAAAAAATAGCTTAGCTATTGTGTCGATTTTGAAGATATTGAACTTTTTATGTTTTAAATTGTAGTGCGATTGTTACTGCAACCTTAAGATGCCTTATGGATTTTTTCAATCTAAATGATTTGGTAGGTCAAATTCAAACATATATTATTCATATAGTTATCTCACAAATATAAGATAAACAGTTCAGAGTTATTATTTGCGTGCTCAAACAAAGTTACTGAAGTTCGAGATCAAAAAAGTTTAAAAAACCACATTACATTCCTATGACTTTTTTTGCTAGTTTTTGTGAATTTTTCCGAATTTGGGTGTAGCAACAAAAAAATAAGTCTTACTCACCTGGCATGATATATTATGTTCCCAAATTATTGCCTTGTTCAAAATGAAGGCATTAGTGAAGTATGCATTAATTGAGAGTTTACACTTGTAAAGGATCTTGAAAAGCCAATTCAACCTCAATTTATATTGAATGTGGAAAAAGATGAATTGTTCATTAATGCTGGATTGCAAGATAGAGTCATTCAGGTTGGTTTTAAAAAATTGTAAAATAAACTTTGTATGGAAATTGAGTAGCTACAGTTATTTAGTCACGACTCATGACTACATAAATGCATGCATTATATGCAGTGTTTTTAATTCAATAAATGACTTAATTTTAAATTTATGGAAATTTCTAATTTTAATTTGCCAACGTTAATTATGTGCAAATTTAAGGTGTACGAAGGTCTTGTGTACATGGATTTTGATAAGGAAATTATTAAAAAGCAAGGATATGGTAAGAAAATGATTAAATAATAGCGATACACGTACATCACTACTTCAATAATATGTCATAAGTAATTTAACTATTTAGAATGTTTATTTGATGTTGTTCTGATTTGACAGTTAAGTTTGTTTCTATCTAGGCAACTATGTAAATCTACCTGTTGACGTTATTCCAAAGCTATGGCTTGCGTATGTTACTGACCCAAGTGACTCAGGTATAACATTTACGACATTACGTATAGTACTCCAGTTTTAGAAGCTTTATTGAAAAAGATAATGACAGGACTTCTCATTCTTGTAAGGAAAAATTCATAGCAATGTGAGACAAAAGTGGGAGCAAGGTAACATTTGGCATACTTTCAAAACTGTTTAAACATTATTTCTGACATCTGAGCAAGTGAAAGCATTAAATAATTTGGATTTTATCTTTAGGTGATGAAGAAGTTATAGCTGCGATGAAAACATTTAGTGAATATACTGACAAAGCAAGGTCATTATTGAATAGAATTTTACTTGTTTGATGAACACGATATTTGAAGAAATGTTTTATGTTTTGTTTTTGAAATGGTGCGACCGTTCGACAATGTTCATAATGCTAATACAGGCAACGTTTAGTTTGAACATCAACTTCAAATAGTGATGTCCGATTTTGATAACTTTTATTTATCTTTTAGAGTTGCTCTTGAGAATCACGATATGTCAAGGTATGTTCAATCGTCAATCTCGAAATCTATCATTATAGGTAGTTAGCATTTAGTAAGTAACACAATCCATAGGTTACTCAATTAATGCCAGATGAATTCAGTACGGTACCGCCTACGTATATAAGTTTTCCAAAATGTTGTGCAGCAAATGATTTTTCACTTTTACTTTTATTTCCAACAAAGTCACGCGTTAGTTGGCTGGACAACTATTTTTTACTATTTATGATGTATGTCTGTTGCAGTTTAGCCCAAATAATGAACAGTAACTTCAATTTGAGAAGGTCTGTACGTATTTATCACAACCTTTTTTCTAAAGTCATTTACATCGATGAAAACGTACGGTTCTTGCGGTTTTATGTTTAGAAAAATCTACGGTGATGCTGCATTGGGGGATTCAAACTTACAAATGGTTGAACTTGCCCGTAAGGTACGTATGTGTTCATACTTAAAATGCGTTACGAACTTTTGATGCGTAGATTTTCGACATACAGTCAAACTCCCCTAAGCGGGCAACACCTTTTGGACATAACCTGGTGTCTGCTTCCGAGAGGTGTTGAGGATCGAATTTTGACGTCTTGCTTTCTTTGAATGTGTAAAAGTCAATATGTAGGTACTTTTTCGTGTTTGGTTATGAAACTCACGTCCTAACTGTGACATTATTCAAATTCCAAACTTACGATCAAAGAACAATTATGATACAAAAATGTTATGAATGTAATGTTTTAAAACTATCAAACTGACTTTCATTTCCACAGTATGGATCAGCAGCAAAGTTTCCAGGAAGTGGTGGAGCAGTGATTGGTTTATGCCTTGATGAGACTCACAAGGTAGTGTGCTAAGTCAGCATAAAGCTTTACACACAAGAGGAACCAGCTAAGATTGATTTCTCCAATGCTAATTGGCCATAAAACCATGAGCAATTAATTTCAGATTTGCAGTTTATGTGCCAAGGGCCAAGGCATTGAACATTTTGCTCAGTTAATTTGATCAAATGTATTAATTATACATACATACATTTCTTCATCAATCACCATCTTCCTATTTTTTTATCATGTGCACATTCTATTTCAAGAATTTGCACATGCTATTTCACATAAACAGATTTTCAAGGGGAGTGCCATCCCCAAACATCAGATTTCACCCACTAAAGAAATTGTTGACCCCTAAGAAACATTTCAACCCCTCCCCCCTCCCAATATTTATTTACGGCAACATTTCATCTTTACACTACCTTCGGTGGCTGCACTACCCAACCGACCCTAAAATCTTTACTACCTTACTTTGTCTTAGATCACTTACTATCTCCCCCTACACTAAAACTGTTTAGCATTGCTCCTCTAAAAAAGATGAAAATCCATACATGGGGATACCTATATGTGGATTTTCTTGAAATTTTTCTGCATGTAAGCCAGTTTAACATTCACACATGAGTAAATGTAAGTGTTGATGTTTTAGGATGATCTCAAAAAAGCATTTCAAGGAGAAGGATTTGTGTTTTGTGACATTATTCCATATCTTGGAGAAAAAATACATTAGATGCAATGTTGATGATAATATTGAAAATGAAGGTCATGTGAAAACAAGATGAAATAGGCTACATTTTATAATGCCCCAGATTTAAATATGTTTTTAGAATCTGACTTCCTCTGGTAGAAATGGTTTGATTCAGGATATGTGCATGATAAATGAGTTAGCCTGTCAGATACTAACAACTTCCTGACTTATAATTTAAAAGCCTTTAAAAGGTACTGAATACCCAACATTCATAGGAAATTGTTACTATGGCAAATTTTAGTTTGCATCAGACATCTAGTACTCTTGACAACCATTGAAACAATTAGCAATATCACCAATATCACCATAATTAACAATACATATACAAGTATTGATTATTGCATAAATTAATAGTTCTTGGCATTACATTTTTATTTTTATAAATATATTCAAATTTGTTGTCTAGAGAAATCATATTATGACAAAAATTGAGAGAAATGTACAATTCGATGTAATTACAGATAAATATGATCTCGCGATAACAATCTATTTAGCAGTAGAGTACTCTTCGTAAAAGACAAACTATTTCAATACAAATACGTACGATACGTAATCTTTGACTAATTGGTGTACAATATAAAAGACATGAAAACCAAAGCCGTTCAAACCAAGATCCCATACAGTTCAGACGTAATAAAAATACAATTAATTCATTGGCTCACCACGCTGTCCACTTCATCAATGAGTAGCGTTATAAATGAAAATAGCCAACAAAAACAAAGCAAACATGATAGCGGGTAGTGCATATTTCAGTCCGAGTTCTTGGCCTCTTATATTGTTCTTTCGTCTTTCACGTTTTTGCTTTCTGGATTCTTTAGCTGGTTTTCCTTTAAGTTGTCTCATTTTAGGCGATGCTGTGTGATATAAGCTATCAAAACTGTTATCTTTTTTTTCGTTGATAAGCGATTTTTAGTGAATTTTACGGTAGACACATAAGACACGTTGAGTTGTTACATTGGTCGACAACACTTTGTCGAGTGTTGTCGATATTCGACGAGATGCTCAACAAACATCCATCAAAAGGAGGCGCAGTGTGCATTCTGATTAAGTTGGGCCAGTAGGGGTCAGCATTTTGTTCATGATGAAAGCAAATAGTAGGACAAAATCTAGCCTAGAGTTTTTAGCTTATAAATATACTGCAGCCTGGGTTAAAGTCATCACGAGTCGATATTTGAACAAGTTAAAATAATACTTTTTATATAACATGTTCATCTTCAACTATTATATAAATGATTAGTCACGTAATACAGCCATTTTTGAAGACTAAACACCAAGTGGTCTACAATCGAGGGGAGGGGGTGGAAGATTTCACCAATTGTGTATATCTAAGTATTAAAGTTGTGTAAGCTGTAACTGTAAGCTGTGATGGCTTAAACGATTACTACAAATATAACGAAGGCTGGGGTGCACTTTATGGGGTTGGGTGTAAGAGTGTGACACCCTCTCGATCAGAAAGTCCCAAAACGTAGAACACCTTAGCCTTGCTCCAATTTTTTATGTTTATGTATCCCTTGGAGAAAGTTTTAAAAAAATAAATAGTTTAGTATGTTGGCCGACATCCCGCGAAATGAACAAATAATCCCATTGTTTCTAAATTGCTTATTGAATTTTCAGTGTTTTCCAATAGAATGAGTTTTGTTTATATAAATTTGTGAAAAGAATATTTCATCTAATTCTCTTGTCTGTATATTTACCCCACTTTAAACAACGGTATATAATCAATGACAGTTTTTGACTTTCTGTGTACCTTTCCTGGGGGACACCTTGTATTCTGAAATTACACTTTGTGAACTTGCTGGATGAATTTTGACATTCAGCAAATCGACTGAGGGAACAGCTTTGGAATAAATGAGCCTCTTTTTGTTGGATGTAAGTTTGTAGATTTCATATTCGACACCACTTTTCTTGGTTATATCCTTCTTTTTCCGAATTATTGCTTTATTAGGCATGTTTCGCTTGCAAGGATACTCATTTTAAACATTTTTGAAAGAGTGACTCATTAGCACCACTGTTTTCAATATATTTCCTCTGACCCTATTATTAACATCAATTAAAAAAATATATAATGAACTATTTACAAGAATTTTCGCTAAATCTGCAAAATTTTGTACTGTACACTATCTTTAAATATTCATTAGTGTAGCTTTTAATAGAGAATGAGTTTTATACAGACAACATGAAAAAGTTCAAAAAGCTCTAAATATAAAATTTCACAATATATAAAGCTAGGAAACTATCATCGAATGACACGCTCGAAAGTTGGGAGAAATACAAACACAATAGGTTTGGAATGAGTACATTGTCATTGGACCATGGGTAAGTAAAGAATGTTAGTAAACTTCAGTTATCTGCTTTGGAACTACATAGTTTGCACTGGTCCAGTAATATCGCGTGAAATTTTCATATTGCTGTAATATATTATGGTTGATTGGCTTGTTCGAGTTTGACGAATACGAGATTAAGTTCGATGGTTGCAATCGTCCATGTGATAAACTTGACAATAAATGTGGTTGGTGTAGGAGAGGTAATTGTATACTTTCGACATTTGCAGATTTATAAAGTGATATTACATTGGAACTGATACCCGTTCTGTAGCAGACATCGCCAGGATCAATCCACAGCGCCAGGCCTGAACAAAATGTCGAAAGCAAAACATCTTTTGAGATGTTGCACACTGCAGCAGCCTTTACTAGAAGTGGATCAACGATTTTGCTGTCCTTGTCAATATTTATACATCGAAAACCGCTTCCTTTCATCGGTTTGTCTGGATACCAATGATCGGAGAACCTTTCAACTAAAGACTTTCGTAATGCTCTTCTGAATAAGTCTAACCTCTCACGGATCAGTACTTCTTCTTGAGATGAACGGATGTTCAAATATAAGAACTCGCAAGCACAATCAATTTCGTCTTTCATGATTCTCTGAAGATTCAACTTCAATTTTGCTTTGTGTAATATTACAAGATTGTGGACTTTAAATAATAATCCGCGTTGACGTTCCAGAGAGTTCTTCGATGAAACAATTACATCATGTATACGTAGGTCACAAGAAAACTTTGAGAGAATTACGAAAGCTGACGTGATACGTGAACAAAAATATACTGTGCTCTGCGCCAATAAAAAAGCTTGTACAATGTTGTGACGTATTGTTGCCGGGTGATAACAAAGCCTTAAAAACACGCCTTGGCGTTCGTTACGTAATTGATATGATTGGCTTATGACGTATGGCACACCTGCACAAGTAAAAAATATTTTGTGTACTTTTAGTTCTTAATTTATTGACACAGATTTTCGTAGCACAAGTGATTTAGGACTTCTTGAGAATGTAGAATGAAGTAGAACAATAACTATCAACTTTCTACGGTAGTATTGCGTGAAAAATCTTGCGTAATGAAATTGCCCAATCTGAGCATTTAATAGAACAGAGTACACTAACACTAGAGTATCAAATTATCAATCACAGAGACCTACCGACCTTCGACATTGGCGAAGTTTGCTTTAACATTATAATGCGTGAGCATCACCTGACCATGTAAACTATTTCACAAGGCACTTGAAATGTGAAACAGGTGGATTTTATTTTGACTTTAGAATGTCAGGGTGTCAGTGCTATTTTAAAGTTGGTAAACATTTGACCAGTAGTAAATTTTTGCCCCGTTTACTTGCGCACCATTTTCCTATTGTTTCCTTATTCAAGTATAAACATTTCTGCATCGTAGTTTCAAGAAGAATATTACAAAAATGAAAATATATACATGTTACAACCTCGCACGTGACATCGTGAGGCTACAAGTCATGTGAGTGTGCCATGAAATGATTGCGTGATGAAAACAAAATTACTCGTGATTTTATAAAAAACATAATGTGTACAAACACATTAATCAGTTTTACGCACTCCAACAAGACAAGAAAATGGCTGCAACATTAATGTATCTTGTATTGTTATTGAACTGCATATTTTTTATTATGGAAAGCTTTGCAATTGATTTTTATAAAATGAGTGGGAGTAAATCATCGCGACCTAATGTCGTGGTGTTTTTGGTTGATGACTTAGGTATAGGTGATATAGGATGCTTTGGCAACACAACGATTAAGACTCCAAACATTGACAGTTTGGCAGCGCAAGGAGCAAAGTTAAATCATAACTTGTCCCCGGAGTCAATATGTACTCCAAGTCGTGCGGCAATGTTAACTGGACGATATGCTATACGCTCTGGCTTGGCTGCAGCGCCGAATGAATTAAGAATTATTACGAACCTTGCTTGCAATGCAGGTCTACCAGAAAATGAAACAACATTTGCCAAAATTTTGCAAGAAAATGGTTACCAAACAGGTGTGTTTATAAAATATTGATAACTTTTCATACACTCTTGAATAGCACAGGCTTACAATGAAAAACATAGGCTTATACAATGAGCAATACAGGCTTACAATGAACAACGTAGGCTTACAATGAGCAGTTGTTAATTTCTCATTATTTCTCATTATTTTTTCTATCAGCACACTTTTAAACATTCCTTCAATGCATAAAAATAAAAATTTGTGCTTTTCTGTTCGCATTCAAAAGGTTAACAAATTGTCATACATGATTTCCTTTTAGGCTTGATTGGAAAATGGCATCTAGGCCTGCATTGCAAGGAGCAGGAAAATTGTCATCATCCAAAAAATATGGGTTTTGACGAATTCTATGGCCTACCACTGACAAACTTGAGAGATTGTGGTCCTCTTTCCGAAGGTTCAAGTCTGTTGCACATTATGCAAGAATCAGTTCGCCGTCTTTTAGTTGCGTTGTCTCTGTTAACAGTGGGGATATTTCTCACTGGACTTTTTTCTAGGAAATCGCTTGTATTTTTTATTGTTATAAATGCACTTGTTGTTGTAGTCGTACCATTTGTTATACAAAGCGTATTTGCACGAAGTGTTTGCGTTGTAATGCGCGATTTCGATATCGTAGAACAACCGATACAGCTTGAGAACCTCACAGTCCGATTTACTAACGAAGCAAAAAAGTTTGTCAAACGTAATAAAAATGGTCCCTTCCTTCTTTTCTTTTCGTTTGCAAAAGTCCACGCAGTTCTGTTCTCGTCTCCACGTTTTAAAGGTCACAGCAAACATGGGCGATATGGGGACAACGTTGAAGAAATGGATTGGAGTGTTGGAGAAATCATAAAAACGCTCGAAAAAGAAAATCTTTTGGATAATACGTTCGTTTATTTTACCTCTGACCATGGTCCATTCCTAGAGATTAAGTTACCGTCAGGAGAGAAACTCGGCGGCTCAAGTGGAAAATATAAAGGAGGTAAAAATTTTAGTCCTTTTGTGATTCCAACACTTCGCCACATCTCGTGCAATTGACGCAACTTTAGGATATAAGCAGCAGAAAAAACTTTACTTCCATCTAATACACTGCAGCACAAAACCTTACACAACCTTATATTTGAGCTGCAGAAAACGTAAAACAATCTACTTCCATCTAATACACAACTTTGTGATATGAGCTGCAAAAAATCTTGAACAACATACTCCTATTTAATTAGGCAAAGCACAGACGTGGGAAGGAGGCATACGTGTTCCAACTGTAGTTATGTGGAGAAATCATATACCTAATGGAATTACTATCAATGAAGCAACTAATGGTATGGATTTATTTGCAACAATTATTGAGTTAGCAGGTGGACGTACATTGCAAGATAGACATATAGATGGGAAAAATATATTGCCACTTTTGATGCGGAAAGAAACAGTATCTCCTCATGAGTTTATGTTCCATTATTGTGGTAATGCTATCCATGCAGTAAGATACCGACCTCGCCATGGAAATAATACGTGGAAAGCACATTTTCACACTCCTTTATGGAGAGATGGATACCAGACATGTGATGAAAAATATGTGATGTGCCCATGCTTTGGTGAAGATGTTGTCCGTCATGATCCCCCATTACTGTATGATATCACAAATGATCCCTATGAAATGTATCAACTTGATACCGATCTTGCAGCTCATAAAACTATCATAGCAAAGATTAAGAATGCCGTAGATGTCCATCGGCGGAGCATTCTTCCTGTACCTAAGCAACTTGGATATCCGAACGCCTGGCCAACGAACATACATCGTCAACCTTGTTGTAATATTCCATATTGTAAATGTTTCGAATAGCCGTTAGCTAAATGCTTAAAAAAGCTTGACTTGACATTCAAGTGCATTGATCAGTTGGAGCGAGCAAGGCAGCAGTGAATAATATGAAGTAAGGCTGAGGAAAAATTATTGCAAAACGTGGAAACTGTGCCATTTCGTAGAATGCATTAATCTGTAATTTCCAAAAGGCGCAATGAAGAACGTCAGCATTCACTACCTTTAAAGTAATCTAGTTAAGATAACGAATGGTGATACCGTGATGAAAGGAATGAAAATTGAGGTTCTTTGCATTTATGATAATTTAATAAATAACAACATTGTCGTCGGCCTAGGAGTTTTTTCGATTCAATTTCTAAATGCGCGAACAAGATATATGAATCGGGACCAGATTAACCTTTCGTGGGGCCCTTCTCCAACAACAACCCTGAAATTCAGATTGCCTGAAATCAGAAAGATTAAAAAATAATATTTATACCATGATGTGCAAAAATATATTTATGTTAAAACAAGAAAGTATATATTTGAATTGTCGTCTAACCCAGCTTATATCATTAACATTAATTGATAATTTTAGAGAACTTGATTATAAAGTAAAAATTAAGCCTAATTAACAAACTAAACATTCATAAGATTCAATATACATGCTCTGATGCAGCGATGCATGCTCGCTTGACATGTATGTAAAATGTACGTGTAAGTAATGTAACATATCTTTACTAAAATCTCATTTTGCTTTGTAAACGTTGTGTTGGCGGGATTTCTTTACAGCAAACTCTTTAATTATGGACGACAACATTCAAATTGAATTTAATTGGTGACAATGGAATTTAGGATTATTCATTTATTCTCACTTCATTTTATTTATTCACAAATTTATTTATTCGCACTTTCCGAATTTATTTATTCACACTTGGAATTTATTTATTCACACTTTCCGAATTTATTTATTCGCACTATTCACACTTTCCGAATTTATTTATTCGCACTTTCCGAATTTATTTATTCGCACTTTCCGAATTTATTTATTCACTAATGGTACTTCCATTTGAAACTATAGTTACTGCAATGCTGCTTAAAAAGTTATCAACAATGGCGCTTCATTGCAAGGGAAAGGAATGAGCATGGCTTTTAATCTTTGTGGATGAACTGAAAGACTTTTGGTGAGCTTAGAGATTTTAGAGAAAATCTAGAATCAGTCACCGAAGAATATATCCAATCTGTTGTTCGAAGACTGGAAAGGTTGTTGACAGAGCAAATGTCATTGGTCTTTACCGATTACGAAGTAGACAACGAGCAAATGCGAAATGACCAACGCCTTTATAATGCACTTGTTTTCTGCCTTGAAACGACGCGTTCACTAAAGAGCTGTTTGCATATGATCCCGGCTAACCGGGATTCAGTGAGACGTTAAATCATTTCGACGCATTGAAAAGAGATAAAACTTTAAGCGAAAAAATTACAACTGTTTGTTAAGTGCCGCAAGTAATTCCTGTTGTTATTCTCAAATTAGGCCAAATTTGTTGTTTGATTTTGAATGTTATGCGTATAGTTATTAAATCAGAATATTGTGAAAGTGCTGAAGAACAATTATCTGATGATAAGTATTAAATCTTTTCCATTTGCCAAAATCATTTAACGCTCGGCTGAATCCCGGCTATCCGGGATCATGTAAACAGCCCCTAAAGGTTATGGTCACAAATTACATTCCAGAGTCACCAACAGCTGATGATTTTGCTTATTTTCCTCCAATATGTCAATGTAATGGAAAACCAGGAAACGAGTGAGAGTTGGGAAACGCTGCGAAAGTTCTTCCCGTAACGGTGAAACTGAGTTGTAAGAATTCCTCGACGTAGTAGTTTGAGGTGACGATGCTGACAGTGAAGCAAGACGTTGAATATCACTAGTATTAAGCGTCTGCAAAGTACGCAAAGCTTCTGCAGCACGCTGAACGGTCGATGAAGTAACGTTTTCCTCCGCCATTTTGTTGTTGTGAAATATGAAATTTCATATTATTTCATAGTAAACAAAGTTTCCCAAATGGAAGCACCATTCGAGAAGTGCGAATAAATAAATTCGGAAAGTGTGAATAAATAAATTCGGAAAGTGTGAATAAATAAATTCGGAAAGTGCGAATAAATATAATCGCGAAGTGAGAATAAATAAATTCCAAGTGAGAATAAATAAATTGATCTGCTAATAAACTAATTAATAGAATAATGACATGTTCGGCGCGTCATAGTTGTCACTTTTAGTTGTGTCATCTTTGCCGTCAGATTCCTCAGAAGATGCCACAAAAAATTAAAAATATTAAAACTGAGTAATGCACAGGGTCCCTAAAGCGCGGGGCCCGTGGGCGTACGCCCCTTCTGCCATATGGTTAACTCGGCCCTGATATGAATATATGAATACATACGATTAAGAATTATTGTGAAGAATAGGGTTGTTAGTTTCGAAGATGGGAAACAGTTTTACCTAGCGACGAAGGAAGCGTATTCATGGCCGACCATGGCGACTCAGATAACGAGAGAAATAAGGTGTGTTTTGATGTGTTCTATATTCTCATTTTGAAATAATTTTCAGATATTTTCTAACAGGCGACCCAGTTGCTTGCCAATAACGTTGTAGAATCTCACTTGCTTTTGTTTATTTCAATGTGAATTGCGAAAGTTTTTTGTACTTTTTAAAAGTAGAACATGATAACTCCTCCAAATACAAGTGGCCTAATGGTCAGAATAGACTCAGAAATAAAACCCATTCTTTAAGACAAAACGTGTAGTAAATCAGCCATATGATGAAACTCTTGATGTAAACGATGAAGAAGAAGTAGCAAGTACATTTACACCAAGTCCAAGACCACAGATAAATCGTGGTGCAAGTATGTAATGTCTTTTTAATATATAGTTTATTTCTATTTTAGTACTTGATGACTAAGTTTGCATTTTGTAAAAATGATGCTGAAATGACTTAATATATTTATTAGTTTGCGGCTCGATGACTGATCAAAGTGAAGATGAGTTCAATCATGATGATTTAGTAGATAATAAAGTAAGTATGATCCGCTTTAACTATATTTCTTTTTATTAACATACATACAACCTCTTGATTATACACAATGCAATGAGGGAATTTCATTCTTTTTACTCCTACAAGGCAATTTCTTTAGCTAAGTAATTATTTATTAATTTAGAAACTTAATTATGTTTCTTGTTTAACCAGTGAATGAACACAAAAATATTTGCATCGTGCATATCAGTAAATGATGGAGTGGCTTTGCTATTGAATCCTATGCACTGATTTCTTTTTTCATCAGACCAGTGATAGTTTAGTCAGTGATAAACAAGATAAAGTAGTTCAACCAAAAGTTAAAACAACCAGTGATGACGAAGAAGAAGAGCAAAGTGATAGTTCTGATGAAGGAGAGGATGAGGATGAACACAGAGGAACGTTGGAGGGGTATGATATTTCTTAAAATTTTATACAAAATTGAGATTTTTCATTCAGAACCTTATGTTCAAATGGCAATGCTGATTTTTGTTGGATTTTGGAATTTAAGTACTGTATTTCCTGACACAAGATATAATGTCTAGAGAAAGCTTTAGTGGGGGACAACTTTCCTGCCTAACCTGCTTTGTTGCCTTTTGCATTGTTCAATTGAATCATTTTAACATGTTTTCAGTATTTTGTCCCCATTGAAAAGGGCAATAAAATGTTGCAATATAAGTGGGGATTTGCTGTATCCTGGTATGAGCATCCAATATCCGGTAATAGCCAATATCTGGCGCATAGTTTGAAAATTTTATTGCCATTTTCGAGAAGGAATTTTACTGAAACTTATGCATTAATGTTACTTATTCTCAATTGAGTGTTGCTAGCTGAAGTGAAATGTATCTTTAAATTATACGTATATTTGTTATTACATAAAAGATAAAAGTTTCTCCGGATTTTAAATGATTTTTATTGAGCTTTCGACTCGTTGCTTCGAGCCTTCATCAGAATGAGGATATTTATTTACACGTGCTTTTATATATTTGTTATTATATATGACATAATATACTTTCAACATACTTTGTAATGCACCCTCAAAGCCTTACCAGATTATAGTATCCAGTATCCAATTATCATTTTTCTTGACTGTCATCTGGTAAACTGCAGTCTGGTAGTATCTGGTATCATGCAAAGTTGTATCCAGCACATCCCTACTTGTGGACAGATTTTCATAATTTTACAGTGGTTTTGCTAAAAAAATGCCCCAAAAACTTTGGGGTTGAAATTTTTCTTAAAGGTGTGAACAATGTATGTTGTGAGGTGAAATCTGATGTTCCTCTGGTGTCCCTCCCCAGTAAATCCATCCATGTCCCTACTTATGAATTAGTGCACTTTTGTCATTTCATGATTAGTGCTTGTTTCATGATTAATGCAATAAACAGATTGTAATTCATTAAAGAAAGTTCTATGAATGAAAATACAAATAAATATTATTACCAATGTTTTAGCGTTGTTTAACTCTGATCAACTGCTCTAAGATTTTTGTACATATTTTTTTGTTCATTTCATTCTTCACTATTTCATTACTTTTATATGAATTATTGTAGAGCATATGATCCTGTGGATTATGAACATTTGCCAGTTGGAAAAGACATAAAAGAACTATTCCAGTATATTACCAGGTACTAAATTATGATAAGAAAATTATATGGGTAAAGCTTTTATGTATTTTTGAAGCTATTTATGTTTTTTATCTTTAAAGCATTCCACTCCTTAAAGACAAAGTATAGACACGTTTAGGCAACTTTGCACTCTTTTAGAAAGATTAATATGAGAAGGATATATGTCAAACAATGTTAATTTTTTAGTGTCGGGTGTGCGACATTTTAATATTTTTAAATGTTTGAGATTAACTTACGTACATGTAAATCAAACGTCGAAGATACTGTTATTGTTTGAAAATTTGCACTATCCTTGAATCCCTAGTTGTTATTTAATGAAAAATCATAATTTATTTCATGATAATTACGTATGACGATTCTCTCTATCATGAATAACGTCACAAGTATGCTGTGTGCAGTTATTAAGCTAATAGTTTAATTTATTTATTCAAGTGACTTCGTCAGTTTTCCATCCAAAATGACTTAAAATTTGCCACTCGTTACTCCTAGAGAAGCACAAAGAGTTGATTTGTATGAACTCCATAAGTTTGTGGAGTATTACATGTTTGTAAATGTAGATCGTCCAGGTTGGTATAGTCCTGAGAAGGACTGTTTTTGTTGTTGTTGACTGACGTTTCGACAACCTTAGCGGTAGTCATCTTCAGAGTCAAATCTTTGACTTCTTCTCAGAACTATACCAAGTAGTCACAAGTATGCTGTGTGCAGTTATTAAGCTAATAGTTTAACTTATTTATTCAAGTGACTTCGTCAGTTTTCCATCCAAAATGACTTAAAATCTGCCACTCGTTACTCTTAGAGAAGCACAAAGAGTTGATTTGTATGAACTCCATAAGTTTGTGGAGTGTTACATGTTTGTAAATGTAGATCGTCCAGGTTGGTATAGTCCTGAGAAGGACTGTTTTGTTTTGTTGACTGACGTTTCGACAACCTTAGCGGTAGTCATCTTCAGAGTCAAATCTTTGACTTCTTCTCAGAACTATACCAACCTGGACGATCTACATTTACAAACATGTAACGATACTCCCGGGTTCAAACCATTTACTTTTGGAGTGAACTGCGCAAGTTTTCAGTCATATATTATTGGCATGTTGTCTGTCTTCTTCAGCATTAGTCAACAAATGCATTTTAAACTCGCTACCTTGTGTTTTACTCTTTAATTTTTATTTTCGATGAAGTTGATAAACTTTTACCTCGTGATACATGAATCAAAATTAAATGACAGTTAATGATAAATGGGAGAAATTTTTCGAAACATTTTTTAGTTAATTCAAATTACGAATCAAAAGGCTTTTTTTAACTTAGGCTGTATCCTCAGATTTCTAGTTGACACTCATGCTATGATGTGTAATGCCATACGTAGGTTTTTTTCACCATTTTCAAAGCATGCACATTGTTATCATATACAGCAGTATTACGTATGTTGCTTTTGGGTATGTTCTCCTGATTATTGCTGATATTCCCTTTTACCAAAATTTGTTTCTGCGTTAACTATATTCAATGTTTATTTTTTAATCCAAGGTACACACCACAGACAATTGAGTTGGAATACAAGTTGAAACCATTTATTCCTGACTTTATTCCTGCTGTGGGAGACATTGATGCATTTTTGAAGGTTATGTTGGAATATGGCTTGGATGTCATGTTACAATTTATATTCATGTAATAATCTTTTCATCTTTTGCTCTGATCGTGCAATTTTTGTTTACTTGTTAAGGTCTCCAAGCCGGATGACAAACCAGAAGCTTTAGGTCTTACAGTTTTGGATGAACCCTGTGCCAAACAATCAGATCCAACTGGTAATATAATAAGTATATCTATACGTAGCTATATACGCACATAAAACTTGTACAACAATGTACTCTTCCGGCAATCACTATTGTGCAATGGTGACTCCTGCGCTTGCTGAAACTTTTGCAACTCATAGTTTCCTAATGCGATGATCAGGAGATGATCTGTAATTCTGATCTTGATCTTTATATAATATCATCACACTCATTTGAACAAACCAACCTGAGTAATGATAATTTATTTGCCTGTTCACAACTGATAAGCTTTGTGAGTAATACGTACAATTAGAGTGAAATATGTTCGCCCAATGTACGTTTCACTAGTGTCGTTGTCTTTGCATATAACAGTTGCTTTATAAATGACCAGTAGCGAAACCAGCCCGTTATTTTGTTCTACAATCCAAATGCTTCTGTTTTCAATCACTTGAAAAACAATGAATGGATTTAATTTATTAAAGAAATGAATAATAATTTTCTTATATAATTAGCAAATGTTAATTGAAAAATTCCGTTCAGTCGGCAAAGGTTTTTTGTTGGCCGCTACATGTTTTGCTGATTTTTGAGTTTTAATTGCTTGAGAAAGTGTTTGTTGTGACTTTTGATGACGTTTTTGATGTTGTTAATGTAATTTAGTTTTTGATCATGGATTATGCGCAGTAGTAGCAATAAAGTGAATGATTTGAACCCGGGAGTATCGTTACATGTTTGTAAATGTAGATCATCCAGGTTGGTAGAGTCCTGAGAAGGACTGTTGGAGTTGAAAAGACACCAAAAGTCTTTCTCAGGACTTTATTAATCTGGACAATCTACATCTGCAAACAAGTAGTGGCAATATTAATCATATATATATTGTTTCCAGTTTTAGGTTTGCAACTGATTACAGTCTCCAAACAATCCAGCAAAAAATCAGTTGTATGTATGTCAAAACGTTAACGTATTAAGACTACGTTTACACTACTCCGTTTTCGTTCGACAACGTTCAGCAAGCGTGGTCGTATTGCTGCGGCAAAGTAACATTTTCAAAGAAATCCGCTCCGGTGCAGTGTAAACGAAATCCGGTCTTTGTAATTTTTTCACACCGTTTTCAAACTGATCCGTTGTGTAAACGTCGTGTAAGAATTTAGGAATCTTCACTTACGGCTGTGAGCCCTATAAATGTTACCAAAAACTACTGTAGTATAACAAAAATGAAAAATTAACCTGAAATTTATGCATTTGGTTGAACAATTTTCATGGTACATTAAGTTGCACTTCCTATAAGGTTTAGGAAATATTAAAAAATTCTTGTAATTTCAAATTTCATAAATGAATGTTGTGCGTTACATGGTTATCGACATTAGTTGAAAACAGAGCAACTTTGTAATACTTCATGTAAATATCTATCTTTAAGAAGCAAATTCAACGTCATTTTTTAATAGCAATATCAATTATCGTGACATATAACATTCGTAAATGTCTTCGACGGAGTGCCATTACGAAAAGATGTGAAGAGTTATTAAAGTATCATTAAAAGTTTAAAACGTAAAGTATCTGGAATAAATAAGGAGATGTGTCTAATTTTTCTTATGCAACTTTTATTTCAGGCTGTTAAATCATTGGTAGATCCAGAAAAAAATCCTAAAGCAATAACAAACTGGATTGAAAGCATTAGGTGATTTAGTATCCACAGCATTGTCTCAAATGCGCTATAGCTTGAACATTTGTGTAATCATGCAGAAAATATTTAATATGATTTTAGGCACGCCTTATCATTTTGTTATGCCTACCTTTAAAGGTATAACTTTGAGACGATGGCAATGATCTTACCTTGCATATAAGTCGACTTAGTTTTGATTTTCACCCGTATTTTTACATGCTTTTTCGCTCCACTGTTCTGTGATTGATTTACACTGTCTGCCATAAACGCCAGATCAACTAGTTCTCACAGATCGTCATACTTTTAATACTTTTAGAGAACTACATCGACAGAAGCCTCCACCTACTGTTCATTATCAAAGGTACGTTTGGTGTATGTCAATGATATACCTTTCGTAAAATCATTACTCAAATCATTGGTCAAAACACTGTGTAGTAGCTAAATAGCACTACAAGCTTGTCAAACACTATTTTCATCGTATTTTCTGCGATAAAAATTAAATATCATAATTATCGTTTTACGTACGTAAATGATTTATCAGCTGGAAAAATTCCATTGAATTTTTTCCATAGGGACATGCCTGATATTGAAAATCTTATGCAAGAATGGCCTCCAGAGTTTGAAGAACTTTTAAATCAGGTATGACAAATGTTGTGTGTAAAGTTGAATTGCGTTGCACACCATCCCAGATAATAGTTTTGGTGTTTTACAATAATAAAATATTTCATCATAACTGTATGGTGTATACCACTTAAATACTCTCGTTTTTATAACCGAGACCAGTTTTAATACTCACTCCTATAAATATACTGTACAGTTTCCACCTCTCCAAATATCAAAGATGTATTGCTCAATTCTTTCAGGTTGGTCTTCCCTCCGCTGAATTAGATGTTGATCTTCCTCAGTACGTTGACCTCGTCTGTGGTGAGTAGTCAAGGAAACGCTTTGTAAACAAGAAAGTGCACCTTATAATATTGCGTTTTTGTTTACCTTTTTTATTCTGTCGTACACTTATTTCCACTTCTCTCAAATTCATCCTCAAAAAGCTATGTGTTTGATTACTTGTGCACAAATTCACAATATTAAAGGGAGTTTGATTGTGAATGGTTTTATTTTTTTTGTGTAGGCCTGCTTGATATCCCAGTCCAAAAGAATCGTATCCATTCACTACACGTTCTTTTTACTCTGTATTCTGAATTTAAAAACTCACAGGTTTAGCAATATTTCATATATCCAATCGAATCTATTATGTATAGAATGTAATTGGTGAAATCTTTAATAAAGAAATGGTAATTTGTCATGCTAATTTTGATATTATTATATTTTGCAGCATTTCAACCAGCTTGCCAAAGACAATAATTTAGATAACGCGTTGAAAAAAAGTGATTTTGAACTTGAAAGTAACGCTAATATCCTTGATTGATAAAAGCTCTAATTGTGTACATTAAAAAAAGTCACATATATTTCTTATTGTATTATTGTATTGTATGTATGCATGTATGTATGGTATTCTATTGTATTATTGTAAAATGATTCCATGTTATTGCGTCTTATCTTGAATCATTGTTCATTGACATATTAACACGATTTAAAAAACAACTTTGTTAATGGATGTGCATGGTGTATTTTATTGGAATAAATTATTTCCCACATAATCATCTCTTGTAATTTTTGTGTATGTGCTATTCACTACTCAGCCAAAGTGGGAAAGAAAAGAACTTGTCCCCTGGATACACTTAAAATGGCTTAAGGAAGATTATAATCAATCCAGGAGGGCAATTGTTTGTGTTATTTGCACTGGCCGAGTGGCAAATCAATACCGTAAACCATTTAGATGAGTAGACCTTGTGTATGTTGGCATTCTGTGATGCTGGTGTCGGTAAATTCTTTATCTCCTGCTGACTTTTCAAAAGTAATTTCAGAGTCAAGTTACTGAATCTGAATGCTACAATTTCAGCATTGACTCGAAACATGACCAGTAGCAAAAGAGTTACCGATTACTGTCTCATATTTTTGAGGAGTGAGCATATTTTTGTTGGGAAAAAGCTTCAGTGAAATGGAGAATAATGCTTACAATATGTATTATGTGATATACAAAATTTTTTTCGTCGATCCACTCTTAACTTGGCGCCTTGGAGAGCTTTGGAGGCCATTAGCAAGGCAATGCTCATACACGCGCTCGTACCATTGCGTACCTGTTTTTTTGCTGATTTTTGATTTCCAGGGGGGTGGTATTCTTCGTGGTGGTCAGTGGTGGCAGTGCTGTTGGTCTACTCTATTTAAAGTTACAAAAATTCAAAAATGTCATACGTATAAACTAAGCCTGGTCGATTATATTTTTATCAAAGAAACAAAACAGATCTCTACTTTAAAATCCACCTGGCTTCAAGTTAGTTGTGTGAATAATTATTATGAATGTATTTTTTATGTAAAATACAAATGACAGGGTTCTCAATTTTTTACCACGGTAATACTAATAGTCTCATTAAATTATATTGTGACACACTGGCATTAAGTTTTTCGAATCTCTCATTCTATTACGCAATGTTCAAGTCTTGTCAGGTTAGAGCCAACATTGTCTGTTCTAGCCAGCAATAAACATAAAAATAGCTCATGTTTAAATTCAAGATATAAAACATTTTAAAATGGCAGATATTTTATTAAATGGAGTGTGACTGTATGAGCAAATAAAATCAATATGGCCGTAATATTTTTAATGCATATTCTTGTAACTACCATTTTCTTATGCATGTTTTGTTGAACTTGCATAGCTTAAGACTAGTACATTGTTTTCTATAAGTTTTAAGTTTTGTTCATGGTGTAATGGACATATTATATATTTTAAGGTTAAGTGCATATTATGAAGAGCCAGCCATTCAATAATGCTCAGTACATTTAGTCAGAAAACCCCGTGGATCATAAGCACAATTATGGTATGATTTAGCATAGTGTAAAGAAAATATTTATGACAGTTCTCATTCACATTTAGTTCATGTAATGAGCTTTCACATCAAAAGCTATTTAATTATTAAATAGAAAACTTACTCTTCTAAAAATTGTTTGATGCCAATCATTTTACATGTGTCAAACTGACCTTCAGGTCTACTACCTATTGTATATGAAGTGGATATATTCATGTTCTGTAGATTATGCAAAGTTACCAAGATCAAGTGGAGATGGAATGGAATCACAAAGTTTATCAAATGATAACACCAAGTTGATCAGTGAGTAACACCATTCTTACATTTTCATCTTTGAATGCAATAATCCTTTGAAATGAATCTAGATACTCCGTCACTGCAAAAAGAAAAATTTTGTAAATTCGATGATGTAAAGAACTGCAGCAAGTCAGCAGATGGGCAGAAGTTTTTGCCCAATGAAGGTTTTAGTCATCTGACCAGCCTAAGTGGCAATGTGTCTTCAACATGTGTTGAACGAGATGCTGAATGCTTGGATACTCACACTCTTATTAAGGATTTACAAACTCAAAATTCCAAACTTACAAAAGAAAAGGAAGGGCTTTTGAATAAACTGTCAGTGCAAAACAAGGTAGAAAAATTATGTACAACCATTGGTTTTAAAAAAGCATACTTAGACTATGCTATTCACTATGCTATTCACCCACTTGCCTAGTTACCACTGTTTTTAAAAATATAAGCATATATAAGGCAGTGGTAACCTAGCATGTTAACTATGTAGGTAGTAATGTGATTGTGGCAGTTATGTGTGTGGTGAACAAATGTTAGCCAAATTTTTTTATTGATCTGTATTGTTTGTGCAAATGTGATGTGTGGTTTTTGATGATATAAATTAGTAATGCAGAGCAATATTTGGAAATAGAAGTCTTGAGATAAATCACCATAATTTCTATTAAAGGTAAATGCTGACCTGAAAAAATTGTTGGTAGCATCAGTTGGAGAAGACATTGGATTGAAGTATGTATGCTTAACTTAACTTAGTGTTTGCTGAAGATATTGAGTTAACTTTAATTACCCATGCAAACCCTCGTAATTATAGCTGATTTATATTACTGTAACAGCATAATGTGTATTACTGGTGTATTGTGTATTTACTGATACAATGCTTCTACATTCCATCTACATTCAAATTAAGTACATAATGTTGAAAATTAATCAATTTAATCAAAACATTAATTTATATGTCATGCATCCTTTTAGTGAGTGGCCAATCATTATGTTCCGTATATTACAATATTTAACCAATGTCTCCCTTTATTAATGCTTGTTAAGGCTTCAGGAAATGAGTGTCGACAAAGCTCAATTTGATACAAAATTTGACCATATGGAAAGAAAATGTGAGGAGTTGTCAGAAGAGCTCAGTAAAGTTTCCATTGAATGTGATGTTTGGCGAAGCAAATTTCTTGCAAGCAGGTACTTGTTATTTTCAACTAATGCAATACCATCTGTAAAAACTACCAACCACAATCACATTAGTAGTGGGAATGAGGTGAGATTTCACAATTGATTATAGGAAATGCCTTACCAATCAATCATCACTTATAATAAAAAAAATCAACCAACAACCATTTCACATATTCTTCACTTACATGCATACATAGAAGCAAAGTGATGGCTTAGCCAAATTGTATTTCAACATTCAGTAAAACAAATAAAACTGCTCCCAGCATAGCAATGTTATATTGTATGTAAGTATTGAGTGAAGTTTCTCATCAAATGACATGAAGTTGTATTGGAGATCTCATTGTAAAAATATTTTGAATTGCCCTTAGAATGATGACTAATGGACTGACTGATGTCAAGACTTCTCTCTATGTAAAAAATCGCAATTATCGTATTGCTCTACAGAATCTGCTTGAAGAGCAATCTGATATAAGGCAACATTTACGAGCAACAAGCAGGTTTATTTTATTTACTATGTATTTCCAATATTTTACATACATATAAATGGTTCGTTCGTATATTGTTTAATTCTTTACCTGTGACCGAAAGCTGTATGGCTGTTCATTTCTTTGTTGTACATAGTCGACATTTGAATAGATATGTTATATAATGATATGTTGCAGGCTTTTACAAGGGATTCACAAGTCAACCAACCACAATTTATACAAAACATTCAGTAACAATTCCTGGCAACAGCTGCAGAAAAGTTCAATTGTGGAGCTATCTCATATCAATTTTAGTTTGGCCGAAGAAATTTGTCTATCAATAAATCCAACTTACTATTATTTATCAGGAGATATTAGTTCTGCTGATGAAGAGATGATTCCAGTTGCCAATCTTACTCCAGCTGAACAAATGGTGTGTCATGCATTAAAGAATGATAGACAGGATGATGAGTCTATAGGCTTGACAATAAATAAGTTAAGTAGACAGTACATGGGAAATAGTTTTGCTAGCAGATTTCTGACCAATAACTTTCGTATAACATTTGACTGCTGTGAGCGTTGCACTGGCCCTTTGAAAGTAGTATGATTAATTCTTAAACATTTTAGTTTAACTTTCCTGCTTGCAACATTGAGCATTGTAGCATTTAAGAGTTAATTGTGCAAATCTTTGAATTTCTACATTTCTAAAATTAAAACTAAGAAGTGAGAGACAAATCATTTTTTTTTCATTTTTATTCACTTTTCATGACAAAAATATTCAAGATAATGTTGCGAAAATCTATGAGTGCCAAATTCGTATATTTTTCGTTTCTTTGCCTTCGCGTGATAAAAAAAAACACTTGCGAAAATTTATCAAAGATCGTACAGACATTTGATCCCATTTGTGACCTGTAATTAAAATTTTTGAATGCAATACATACAAAGTGTATCAATCAATTAATAGCACACAATTTTTTTATAATTATTCAGAAACAGAAAATTTTAAGGCAACTCACACATTCTAAAATGTTATAGCTTCCATCAAACAAACTTTGCTTTCTATTATATCTCTTAACCACTTGGCATTAAATTCACTTTTTCCTGGCCTAAAATTGTTTTTACATAACACATCTATTTGCTGAAAATACTGCATTTCAGACTTTGCATTTTGATTATTTCGACAAGAATAAGTACGTACCTGTGTACAAATTGATGACCTTCGAATATATAAAAAACTTCAATAGGATAATCCTGAAAATAAATAATCTACAATATGGGCTAGTTCCTTGTTTGAACGGCTTGGAAATTTAGGTAAAAAAAAAGCAATATCGGTAATACCTTGGGTTTTATTTTGCTTACTTCCAAAGTAAAGTAAGTTGAGGCAGTAGCTCGTGGTATTGGCTTTCTTCTCGTCGGAATACTCCATTTTACTTCATACCTAAAACGTTTACTATACGGTAAGTCATCTTCCTTTAGAAAGTCTATACAGTGAAGCCAACTAGAATCTCGTTTCCAAGTCTAAAGAATGGTTCACAGGAACGTTTAGATTAGGTGTCTGCTATGAGTATGTTTCTGTTAAAATCTCGTTTTCAAGAACCTTGATAAATTTCAGAATGTCGCTAAGTCCTTCATCCACAGTGAAATCTTCTATACTTGTCCAAGTTATGTTGGATATGTGAGCGAATGTCTGGTCGTCAATTATACCGATAGTATTTAAGTAATCGTCCTTAGCTTTTTGTGCCTTCAACTCTAATTCTTTCCTCAAAGCCACCTCGTCAATTTCTTTCTTTTGATGCTGCTGAAAGTCAGTCAAACCTGACAATCTTCTACAAGCGCTTTTGATTGCTGCATCAACAATACGATGAGCCTCGTCAATAAATTCAGCCATTCAAAAAAGGAGAATAAAGTTATTAGATAGCATGATGAACGAATTTGAGGACGATAACTTCATTTACGTTGCTATGGCAATAATAAGTTGCTCGTTACGGGCCGGTCGCACAAAGGCCGAATAGCGTTATCCATTGGATTGCAAAAATTTTCAAACTTGTGAAAAAGATGTTTCTGTTTTTTTACGATAAAGAAGAAATTTTGTAATCCTCGAAACAATATTTCATTTTAATAATTGCACAGTTCAAATCGTATATTTAAACGTTCAGAAAAATTTGCTATCCAGTGGATAGCGCTATTCGGCCTTCGTGCAACCAGCCCCAGACGAATTTGAAATAAATGTTTACGAACCGTGTCAGATTTCGAAAAGTATGTTTCATAATGCTTAGGGACTGATTACATGAGCCCGGGTAGCCAGGATTCAGCCAAGCGATTTTGGCAAATGGAAACGATTCAAACTCGTCATCAGATAAATCTTCCAGAGAAATTTCACAATATTCTCATATAATAACTACGCAAAACATTTAAAATTAAAATAACCAATTTGGCTTAATTTATGAATTTCAGCAGGAATGACTTGTGGCGCTTAGCAAACAGTTGTAATTTTTACGCTTAAAGTTTTGCCTTTGTCAATCCCTCGAAATCATTTCACGCTTCACTGAATCCCGGTTAGCCGGAATCATGTAAACAGCCCCTTAGAAAGTTGTTTGAGGAGACTGAAAAGAATTTCGAACAGCAGCAGTTGGAGAGATTGAAAATATCGTGTGATTGTTCCCCCATGCTGTCTGACAAAAAATACTCTATTGTACGATGCAGCTCGTCTGGGAATTAATCAGAGAGAATCATTGACGCCGCGAGAAATTCTAGAGAGATAATCGAAGATTATTGGTGACCTTTGCTGTTGTATTTTTCATAATCTTTTTTTAAAATGAAATCTAAATATTTTTGGTAACTGGAGCGAAATTCTATTTTCTGGCAAGAGTATTTTAGTTATGTTGTTTTTGGTGACTAATATATGCTATCCAATCGTGGGCGTAACTGTTGGGGGTGAGGGTGTGACACCCCCAAATCAATGCATGCAATGTTGACACAGTATTATAATCGAACTATTGGGAAATTTCAATGGTCATTATGGTAATTTCATTGGTGCTGTTGTGCATATTTTGATGTTAGGAGTTGCTAGGAGCTATTTGAAATTTCAAAGAGCAGAAATAAAAGGTTTACGGGAAGTACCAAAAATGTCCCCTTATACAAATTTTATACCTCTGGGAGTGGAACTGAAAACCATTAATTTGTAAAATCATTTTTGCTTGATTCCATCATCACAATTAAATAAGTTGGCGAGTAAATTACATACCTTCTATGCCCTGTGGTCTTACTAGCACAGTGTTTGACATTGAAATTATCACAATGCATCAATTTCTAAAGCTTTTTATTTTTGCTAATTGACATTCTCTATTTACGTCAAAACTAGCGGTGGGAAATATATTCAAAATAAGAAATGAGATTTGATTGAAAAGTTATTTTTTACTTGAGCACCATGTACAATTGATGACACACCTAGAAACTAACCAATCAGAGCACAACGCGTTTATAGACTTGTAGCATATTTTATGATCAACTCAGCCAAGAACGTGTCCTTTGAATCTTTGCAGCGGTACGTGCACGAAGAATAGTTAGAAGCAGTCGAAACAATGCTTCAGTGAAACATTTCTTGGAGTTTTGCTAAAGCAAATTCAGGTGATAAGCTTTTTATTTTCGTTTTAACTGATTACTATCTCTTTGAGTGATGTGCGAAATGTGAACGACATTGACATTTATTCTAATCCGAGGGCTATATTAGTTTCCTTAAAGTTTTGCTTTAGAAAGTAATGTTTGCTCAATGCTTGATTCTAGACTTGAATATTCTTCTGGTAAACACCAAATGGTCACCAAGTCCGACTGAGAAAGTACGAACAAATGTTGGTGTTTTAGGTCGAATTGATTCGCATAAGTTATAAAGTGGTTATGGTTCTCGATGGAGTGATTACTATTCCTATGAGGCTGAGCAACACATAAAAACGAACAATTTTTGCTTCGCAGCTGTAAAGTTATGTAACTTTGGTGAAAATCCAACTTCCGTTGAGCTGCTTGCACAGTTTAATAAAATGTTCAAAGTAAGTGGCTACCTTATCTTACGTTCATCATTTTTGTTATGTATTTTGCAAGAAGAATATTTTGAACTGACATGAAATATTTAACCTTTGATTGTCCAATTTAGAAACTTTCTAAACAAAAATCATCAAGAAGTTGAAGAAGTTGAGAAACGCGTTTTCTCTTCCTCCACATTGTCTACATGACAATTTACAAAAGAAAACACAAAATACTGCTCTTGAACAAAGCTTGTATCAAAATAACTCGTGTATTCATGGACAAGTCACTAATTTGTTCTAATGGCTGGTTTGAAACATTTTTCCTGAGCATTTTTCTGGCTAAGATTACGATTGCTGCCTTGACCAATCGATTTCAAAGACAAGAAAATCTATCACGGTAAGGATATGACTTTATGTCAACTTCCTAAATTCTTGTAACCCTTCAATAATTTTAACAAAAGCTCAACGTGTACTTTACCGCCATTTTATTTCTTTTACAGATGAATGAAATCACGCCATTATCGAACGCCCAAATTTCGACAATATTTGATTTTAAATTTTTCGGCGTAAAAACATGGAACTTTCTTCGCGTGAAAATATAAAACTTGAGAATCCTAATTTTCCGACTGGCTGTCAACATTTCCTGTCTTATGCCGTATGCGACATGCACATTTGCAAGAAATGGCCAATCTTGCTCCTGTGCTTGCCGTCGTCGACATGAAACACGGGAGTGTTCATCAGGTAGCCTGAAAGTTGGATATGATGGTTCCACCATCAACGTTAAGAATATTTTTTAAAAAAAATAAGTTAGGCTTCTTCTCTGTGGTTATGCCTGCTCAGCATCCGGTCGCTCCATAGTAAGAATTGGAAGAGAAGATTCGTCGTTTACCGCTATCGATCGTAAAACTTGGCAAAGGATTCATCAAAAACCGTGAGTTTATATATATATGCCTTTTACGTACTTCACCCTGCTAACAGGCAGGCAAGATCTCCAATAAAATCTTGGAAATAGCCACAATAAATCCTGGTGTGCAGTATATTCCACTGTAAGGCTATTTTTTCAATGCAGAGATAAAAATTAACACACTTTCATAGAAGTTTTCAACACTGCATGTTAAAAAATAGTCTTGATTTAGAGGTGATAAAATGTTGCATGTTCGAAACAGTTCATTTCTGCTCCTTTTCTTTTTAAAATTCGTATATAAGCAAGCGCGAACACAACGAGTCTACCTGATTGACAACCAAATTTGTTTTTTTTATCCGCTTTACGATCAAAAACCTCTGTGTGAATATACTGCTTTACGCACGCACTGTCTGACTGCAAAAGCGTTCTTTGTCTCGCAGAAGAATAGACAGGAATATAGCTTAGATCGGAAATGCAAGTGAGGTTTGGCCAGAGGAAGGCAACTTCTACTTGGGGTTAGTGGGTACAAATGGTACCTTAGCGTAGAGGATGCAAATAGCATCTGTAAGAAGACCTTAGAAGACTGGATCTAGCGAACAAGACCTCCAAAGCAAAGATGATCGATCTTTCTGGTGAATGGACACTCAATTTTACTACCCCTAGAAAGGTAGGAAAAGTCCTGGTAGTTAGCCAATTTCATGAACGGCTTACTACAGTGACTATTAAGGTACTCTGGGATCCCCCATAATGCATGAGTAGTTCAACCCACCCCGGTTGGAGGTCACCCGTAGGTGCTACATGCACTAGGTTAAGTTAAGTTAAGGGCATGATGGGTTACCTCCTTCAAGGGGCATTCCTTTTCAGGGCGGAATTCCGGTGTCATGCGCAGGTAGGAAGTTTAGATAGCTTAAGCATGCGCTGTAGCTGCGGCGGGTAGTCGCTATGCCTACATAACGAAAGTGGGGTTCGTACTTCAATGCACCACACGATCAACAAAAATGACAGAATTTTGAAGAATATTTGGAACTAACTTCCAATCTTTCTCTCAGTCATTTTTAAATCAACAAATTGAGGCTTTTGAAAAGTATTCAGTTTGTTAAGACATTTACAGTTTAGAGGCGGCGGCGTGGCAATTACTGTAAATGTAAAAATGGTTATGTGGCTATCTTTTAAAGATAACTACATTCCTGGGAATTTCAATACTGCAAGCCACAGCGCAAACAGGCATAAAAATAAACGATTAGTACACCAGGTCTAAGTATGCGGAATGCCTTCAGAAAAAACCTACAAGAAAACATACTTTTAATAAAAGAAAACATACTTTTAATAATTTGTTTTCTTTAATGGTTTCTATGAAGACAAACCGCAGACGTTGTCACGTACTTTACTAAATTGTTAAACGAAGGTTTCCATGTTCACCAATTGCGTTGCAATCAAAGTTAATTACGTGGTAATCGTCAAAATAAAACATAACTTAATGCAAGTCTGAATGCAAGTGCTATCGGTTGTTTGGTTGCATCATCCATGGAACCATGGTAACCAAACATAGCGTGTGCTTCAAGAGGTTACTGTTAACTTAGCTTTTTGACGTAAAGTACACTTTTTTCAGTCGAAAAAAGATTTGCTTTTCGAATAGTAACTGCAACTTGAGATACTTTCATCTAATCCATGTCTTGCAGCAAGCGCTTGCTCCAACTTTAAGCGTTAGTGGCACCGTGCGCGCAAAGCACTGAATGAAACGGTGCAAAATAGGGACGCTTAGGTGGCGCTAGGTGCGATTGATTTGGATGTGGATTAGATGAGCAAAGCACACGTTTCATGAAATTCCCATCAAGTACACAATTTTCTCAATCAAAGTAGAAAATTGTCAAGTTCGGTTATCGGTGCATGGCGTGCAACTATAACATTCGGTTAATGGCGGCGTGTAAACACTAACAAATTGTTAGACTTCGAAGTGAATTCAAAAATTTTTCATATTTTGGTTTTTTAAATCGCAATAAAGGTACGTAAAGTTTATTGTTCTTAAGGGTCCCCAGGGCGCGGAACTTCGGCTAAAATCCCTAATGGTTTTTTCCCCTTTCAGTATTTTCTAAGTTCTTGGGTCTTTATGCCTGGTCTTACTTAATACTGTTGAGGGTTTTTCCATTAGGGATTTTTTCATTTCGATAAGGTCTTAAAAAAAACAGTTAACTTGGTGTGGGACTGAATTTGTACCTCGTCTTCTATACAATATTCAAAAGTAGAAATTTAATTTGAAAATTATTCTTATCGGTTTTGAGCACTGGCAATTTGTATGTAATAATTTGAAAATATATTTTGGTTTTTATCATTCTATGTATTTTTGTGGCTTAAAGTTGGAAATTTGGTTATTTGTACCATGAATACCGTCCTATTTCTAAAAAGCTTGTAATCATTATTATTTGTCATGTCAAATCAAGAATTCCTTAAAGAAGCAATGTCGTACCATGTTCTACATATAATCTTGGATATTGGTTTACGCTCTTGTGTTTTCACCTTTACAGTCAAATACACTTGGCTACCAACTTTAAGCTGCAGAAAATTGTACTTCTCAAATGTTAAAAATCTATTGAGCCACCAAAATTTACGAAAAATGATACTGACATCTTTGAGGATCGGTACAATTTAGTCCTTGGGTTCGATTCCCAATACACTGTTTCTCTATGATAGAAATTAGCAGTTCTCCAAATTTAATGCTTAGTTGTTTTCATGGAAATTATTTCTTACTTTTTTATATATTCATGCTGTAACTTAAAAGACTTAAATTTCCCAAATATTTACATTAAATTTTAATGAAGAACTGCATTTATGGCCATGTATATACTAAATAAGGTTGTTCACAGATAAAAAATTATGTTTGCAAATGCATATGATCTTTTCTGGTCACGAATTTCTTTAATAGTTTCTTCGAATATTCTTTAAACAAACAGATGGACATTTTTCATATTCTTGTTCATGAAGAACGGGCGAAAATAGCTACTACTATCAATTTTTGAAATTATCAAAATACTTTAAAGAGAAATGAATTTATTAAATTCTATTAATAAACCTTAACAATCGAGTATTGATACTTTCATAATAGCATCATAGAATGTCCATCATTGTTGTGTTTCTGTCTCCCAAATGCAAGCTTCCCATTTACGGTTCTGTGTGGATAAATAGGTTCTAGTGAGTTTGTGGCTTCATACCTCTCCCTCATCATTTATAATGCGTACTTACTTGCAGTTTAATCTTGTCTATACATCTATACATATTTTTACCTAATGCTAATCATGCAATGTGATGTCATAACGATGTCATTTGCATATTGAGGAAAAGTTCCGTACATTCAAAAAGAAATGAAATAACACCATTCTATATTAAAGAAGTAATTAAATCATTTTAAATTGCCTTAAGAACACAATCCAAAAACATGCACTATGGTAAAATTTGGTATTTTAAACACTGGTGTTGACTGATGTTTCATTAATGCAAGAACATTTAAAAAAGCATTAATTGCTTAATATCTAATTGATACAATAAATTTCTTCAAATTAAATCCTTTAGTAGCTAAAGATTTCATTGGTTCAGTGCAATTGCCAATTTTGATAAAAAAAAGCCAATTTTTAAGACATTCATTGCTGACATGATTGTATTTTTGTATGCTATTTGAGTAAATATAAAGATCGATGTTTGAAGAAGCCATCATTTCATTGAAGATGACACATGTAAATGTCTTGGTATTTCCTCTACATATGGAGTAGGTTTTTACTTACTCCTTCAGAGATTAAAACCTGCCAACGTAAGGCTCTGTGTAAAGTGCTAGACAACTCCACCAATCATGCCTCTGTCATGAAATGATTTTTATTGCATATAAAATTTGATATCGTTTTACGAGTCATGCACCAAAAAACCTCAGTCTCATCTCGTCTCCTTGCGTGTATAACAAGGTAGGAACACAAAATAACTCAAACTAAATTTTTGGTATTAAAACTTCAAAGACATAAGTAACGAGTAGAAATCCGTTATATCATGTGAATTGTCGTTCGATATGAGTTGTTTATAAATGAAAGTTGCTTTGTTGTATATGGCGCGCATGTAATTAGTTGGCTCAATCTTGTGCAGCTTGTGTTGACTTTAAAATATATTTTTTGAAGCAATGAAGCAAGAAAAATATTATTTGAAACAATTATTTCAACGAAAATGCATAAAAATGTGTGAAGTATAGTCTTATGCATGAAAATGCGTGAATTATAGTCTTTTGTGTGAAAATGCGTGAATATCTGTGAACTATAGTCATGCGTAAAAATGCGTGAACTTATAAAAACGCGTGAAAATGCATGATTTTTAGTCTTTTGTGTGTAAATGCATGTACTGGAGTTTTTGCATAAAAATGCGTAAAAATATGTAACAAATAGTCTGCGTAAAAACGCGTGATATTGAGTGAACTACAGTCTAGTATAAAATGCGAGAACTATAGACTTTAGTGTGAAAACGAGTATAGTCTTTAGCGTTAAAATGCGGGAAAATGTGTGAAATATAGTCTTTGCGTGAAAATAAGTAAACTATAATATTTTTCACGAAAATGCATGAATTATAGTTTGTGTGTGAAAATGCATAAACTATAGTCTTTTGAATGAAAAATGTGTGAACTGTAGTCTTCGGCATGAAATAAGTGAACTATAACTATAGTCTTTTGTATAAAAATGTGTGATTTAGCTATATTACTTTACACACAAATAGCTACGTGAGTTAAAGTGTTTTGCGTGGAAAGGCGTAAAAATGTGTAAAATATAGTATTTTTTCACGCAAAGACAAAAATACATGTTTATCACAAATTTTTACAAATTTT